CTAAGTATATTTAAACATGACTGAGAAGACTTGGAATAATACTATAGTTGGGCAGGTAGTAATACCACTATATCAACCAGTATTTATGTTTTATGACAATGAAGATACACTCTAACAAGACTATTATGACAACAGAGATCAGTACAAACGAGATACGGATTAAAGTAATTAGGAGAGTAATCGTCAGCCTGAACACGGCTTAACGAAACGCGACTCTAGATGTGGATAATTCTGTTCATTTATCTTATCTACCACTTACACTTGTCTACGGCCATACCTAGGCGAAAACACCAGTTCCCGTCCGATCACTGCAGTTAAGCGTCTGAGGGCCTCGTTAGTACTATGGTTGGAGACAACATGGGAATCCGGGGTGCTGTAGGCTTTCTCTCTTTACTTTTTCTACTTTTTAAAAGTTATTGGATTTATCTTTTATTTTACTTTTGCAATTGTCTTGGAAGAGATCGAACTGTTGTATACTTGCTGCAGATCGGTTACTTGCCAGGTGACAATACACAAAAAAGGTCTATTTTGAAAGTAAATTCATTAGTCACCTTTTGCTTTTTAAGACTAAACCATCGTATCCAAATGCAATTTATTACTACAGTAGCCTTGTATATGAATCTAAAGTGATACCAACGATTCTCAGTTTTACTGTTCGTTCTAGTTATGTTATTACAATAAAATTAACCCATTCATCGCCTCTCAACCGGCGGAAAACGCAAGCATGCCTTTCTAATGTCCATTTTTCTTCGTCATTTCCAATTCATTTTGATAAAAGGATGCTTTCGTAGTCAAAATTAAGACAACGCAAGAACGCTTTTCAAAGGGACAGAAATAAATCGTCGTCGGAATAAACCGCTTGTAATGTTTCTTTTTTTTTTCACTTAGTGACTTTCAATCGGAAGAGTTAAAGCTCATGCCGAAAGAAAGGTAAACAAATTAGGCGTAAATTTGAGTGGTAGGATTGCTCTGCAACTCTATTTCTTCGTTCGTAGTCGTCGGCGGAGGAGCTAGTGCATCATCCCTTTGTTGATATCTGGGCAGCGTAGGCGAACCGGTGTTTTCAGCTGAGCGCTCAAATTCCATTCCAAGGCCAAAAACAAGGATGTTATAAACTGCCCAAAAGATAGCACCAACGAACCATGCGAGACCTTCACCAAGACCTTTGAAACCAACACCAACGAACCATGCAAGACCGTTGCCAAGACCAACCACGATAAAGATTATAACTTTAGCGGCAATCCGTATTGTCAATATGAAAGGCCAAATAAGTGCTAGGCTTTATTAGTAACACACATTCTAATAACTTTTGCGATTAACAATAACGCTCCACTTACCACAGAAAAGAGCAAAGAATATTGCCCATGTCACAAGAAAAATGCCTAAAGATAAAAGGATTGCCTGACCGTATCCTTTTTCAATTGATAAATTTAATAAACAAGAAAGAAAATTGAAACGATGGGAGATTGCTAATTTATAAAGCAATGATAAAACGAATATCAAACTGAAGAACCTCCGTTTACTTTTAACGACTACATTTTCAGGGAAATAATGATCTGTCTTCTTCCTACATTCGGTAAAGAAAGCATTGAAGCCATCAGATTCAGTCATTGTCTTTTCCTTTCTCTGCTTGGTTTTGAAGGAAGTTGGATAAGACAATTTTTTTATGTCTTTTGGTGTATTCAAAGGAAGTCCCTTTTCGAGATCAACATTGTAAACATTAGCATGGTTGTACGCAGGAGGATCGCTTGAATCGAATTTCAACTTCTTTACCGAAATCCTAAAAATAAATAAGAATTTCAATGAATAATTAGCAAAAGAGCTGTCAAATAAAAGCTGTTGATCCGTATTCGATGGAACAATTTCGCAAACGCAAATTCAACAGAAGTAGCAGCCAAAACTAAAGCAGCTCCACCTGATCATTCCAAATAATCAAATGAAAGTCACATAGAAGCCCAATTGGCACGAATTAAAGGAATAAAGAGTTGGCTCCAGCAAGACATTTCGCATCGCTTACGCAGCTTTGAGTCACAAATGAAAGTAACAAATTTCACTTTCGCTTTGTTTACAAAAAGTGTTAATACCGTTTTTTATGAATGGTTTATCAATCTTTATGTGGGAACAATTTGAAATTTATATTTCTACAGCTATATAATACTAGTTCTTTCACGATTTTTTTTTATTTCCATGACATGAAATAAATATTTCACCAAAATGACTATCTGAGGTCTTCTGGGCTTCTTTTGATGTCTTGAAATTTCAAAATACCGACTTGATATAATGGATAAACATATTCTTTTTCTAAATGTAAATATTATACTATAACAAGTCGCTGTAAGTCCATCGAAACCTTCATTAGATGATTTTCTGGTCGATCCAGTTTCTTGTTCCCAAATTGAGTCGAACCTAATCAACCAGGCATACCCTAATATATTTTAATTGATTGTTTCGGAAACAACTATAAAGCGAGTGGCTTCTCCATATTTCTGCAAACACACGAAATCCTTCCACTGTTCCTTTGACAATGATTCCATGCACAAATGACGAACCTGCTAGTTCCATCAAAAGTTGCAAACTTGAAGGCACAGGAATTCTGAAAGACAAAATGAATTCCTACACTGTGAATCTCCTTTAGAAGGTTTTCTCGTATATTTCAGAACTTTCTTCACAATCAAGTTTTCCATGAATATGGACCTGTGTTTTTTATCGTTAGTTTCTCGTCATGATCTTCATATTTCTTTCCAATTCTTTATTTCTTTTACTTTTTCACTTTTTCTTTACGATTTTGCCTGTTGCATAAACCAAGACTCTTATTTGTTTACAGAGTGACGTCCGTTCGTTACCTAAAAAAAGAGTGAATACGCATCTAGGAAATTGCAAACAAAAGCAGAATTTTGATATCGTTTGATATTGCAAAAATTTTACCGTTTATTTACGGTTGAGTAACATTTACTAAGTCTATAATTAACATACTTCCTATCTTCAGTTTGCTGCTAGCATTAACATTCGAAAACTTACTGCTTCAACCTCATTTCGGTCACTTGAGTCTTGGATCATGACGGTGAGCAATATACTCGTTCTCGGAAGCTTAAACATGGATTTGGTTATGCAAACTAAAGTCTGTCCAGCAGGAGGTCAAACAATGCATGGTGACCCAGATGGATTTCATACTGGCGCTGGTGGTAAAGGAGCAAACCAAGCAGTCGCTGTAGCTCGATTGTCAAATCCGTCTGATACTAAAATCTACATGGCTGGCTGTGTCGGTGAGGATGTCTTTGGGCAGGATATGTTACGAGGCCTTAAGCAAGACAACGTCGACGTCGACGCTGTTAAAGTCATCCCTAACAAATCCTCTGGTGTTGCAATGATTATCGTAGAGTCTAACGGTGAAAACAGAATTTTATTGTCTGAAGGAGCAAATAGCTGTGTCGATGTTCCCTTCGTGCAGGCTTTGGAAGAAAAAATCCAACATAGCGACCTTTTAATCCTGCAACTAGAAATCCCTCTTTTATCGGTCCAAAAAGCAGTTGAGTTAGCTCACAAGCATCATGTTGACGTTTTGTTGAATCCTGCTCCTGCCGTCTCTTTATCTCCTGAACTCTTGCAACATGTCAGCTATCTGGTTCCTAATGAACACGAAGCAGCTGTTTTACTGGGATGCCCAGAATCTCCCCCGACAGCTCAAAATGCTGAACTGTATGCTGATAAGCTTTTGGCTACGGGTATTCGCAAAGCGGTCATCATTACTTTAGGAAGCGAGGGTGCCTTTTACAAAACTAAAACAGGAGAGAGTGCCCATATTCCTGCAAAGAAAGTACAAGCAATAGATACTACTGCTGCAGGTGACACCTTTATTGGTGCTTTCTCAACCTCAATCTCTCATGAAAAGCCCTTGAAGGATTCCCTCCAATTCGCCGCTCAAAGCAGCGCAATTACGGTTCAACGGAAAGGAGCAGCCAACTCGATTCCTACTTATACGGACATTCAGAATATTCTAAAATAATTTTGGTCTTTCTGTTATTATTATTATTATTTTTTTTTTCCTTCTTTCTGAGAAAGAAGGAAAAAAGGACGCAAATACCCTGCCTTTGGCTTTTATGATACTACCTACTACTACTACAATAATACAACTATGATCACCTTTATTCAATCTTGTTCATTTTTCTTAACATGTAGAAGCTACTATCATTACCTTTAACATATATTTTCTTGCCAAGTCTAAAGATATCAAGTCATCATCATAATCAAACAATTTGTTCCATCTCGGCTGCGTACTGCAACAGCTGACGAACACTTTGGATTGTATGTTTGTCTGCTGTAGGAGGAAGTTCCAATTGTTGTTCTTCATCCAGCATCATGGCATCTTCATTATCAACCACATTGCTTTCACTGGGGAAATGAAGTATGCCTTCTTTGATGGTCCACCCACGTTCAGCAGCCAGAGCCTCAGTTTCTTTGGAATTTTGAAGATATAACAAGCTTGTCGCATTCGCAAGAGGAATCGTGGTATATACTTTTTCTGCGCAGGTTGCAATTTCATTACGGACCATAGTCATGACGATCTTCATAAAATAACTGAATTCGGGGAATGCGCAGGACTGGATCATCGACGCAACTTTGTCAAAGGCGCCTTCCATAACATTTTGTTCTAGCGACATAACCCAAACAACGTGTGGATCTTTTTCAAATAATGACTTTTCTGGTACAGACTCTAAGGCAGTATGGAATTCTGCAATACGGTTGTCCGACAGCAAGTACAGAAGGTTGAGTGCAGTCACCATACCCATTCTCGGGGAAGGAGCAAGAGCCGAATCGTGGTAAAAGGGAACGACTTGACTGGCATAACGTGCAAATGCCTCGATATCCGACGTCTGAATCGATACTAGCACACCATATTCAAATACATTTCCTGTCATCTTGTTAGTCAAAAATTTCTACACAGCTAAACTTCTTTTTCCGCTTCTCTATAACACATACTTGCAAAGATGCTTTTTTCTCTATTGCTGGTCGGTAAGAACAGATTCTCTTTAGCTAATTCTAGCTTTAAATTGACAAGCTCTTTTTTACAGCTTTGCCAATCTTTTTTATCATAAAGTCCCGCCAAACGATCCAAATTTAAAGCACTCATGGTTCTTGTAGAAGAAGGGACTCGCATCCAAGTTTTGGTGTTTTGCTAGATCGATCAAATAGTGCAATACAAGGATAAGAAAAGTAAACGCAATTCTGGTATAACAAAATACTAAAGAGTCATTAGATTAATTCTATGGCCTCGTTGCTTCTCTCTATCTAGTAACTTTGCAAAATGCAGAATGTTTGGGCAAAAAGGATTGTAGCAGGTAAGTCATTAGCTGTCTACTATTTGCAAAGTGAAGCTGAAAAATGTCATAATCTGTATGGGAAAAGCAGTAGGTCGAAGGATATCAAGTTTGCTAGTCATCTCTTCTTAGTGAAAGAGAACGATGTGTTTGTCTTTGGAATGGAATGCATAGTATATAAAAAATCAAATAAGAGAACCATCTTTGTTGCAAAAGTGGATTCAAGTGGGTTAGGAACGCAGGCTGCCTCGTCTAGTGCTCTCGCGGCCTCTGCTATAGAAACAGTGATCAATGCTCAGTACGAGGAAGGTGCTGCAGAAGTCGAAGTGACTCTGTTTGCAATTTCTCAAAGTCAGTATTTGTTCCCAGAATCTTCTGAAAATGGACACAAACATGTTTTGTCAGATGCCGGACTTTTACACTGGTGGGTCAAATGTCTAGAAATGGTGCGGAAAGATTACTATCCTGCTGAAGAACAGTGCAGCGAAGCAACCGTAAATAGAAACTCAGAGGACGTTTCCGCTGAGAAAAAAAAGCACATGGCTTACATGTTTGTTCCGGGACTTCCGTCTCTTCGATCCTATCTCCCAAATAGCTTCTGGAAGCAAGGAACTGCTTTGCAAGAAGGAAAGGCCATAGAAATGATTCCACGATACCCGGATGATCCAAAAGCCAGATACCTGTACGAAATTCAAGATCAGCGAAGCGAAATGAGTGTCGCCGAGTTTTGGGATACCCTATCGTTTCGTCAAGAGTGCTGCTCAGGAAAATTGGTAGGTTTCTATAGCTTAAGCCTACCTAAGCATACTGTAGAAGCCGTTTCTTCAAGAAAAAAAAACTTTGACTTTGGACTCGTTTTACCTCCCAAGCTATATCGTATTATTTATGACTCTCTCTTAAAACGTTCTTTTCGTTCCCTTTCTATTGCCTCTCAATCGACTGAAACCTTTTTAGGTGAAACAATTGCAGCCATACAAAGAGTGAATGGCTTTTCTATGGATAAAGTAGTCCAAACAATTGAAGGAAACGCCAAACCTGTTTCTTCCAAAAAGCGGGATCCGGAACCTCCTCAAGCATTGAACGTGCTACAACCCAGAAAGAAAAAAAAGTAGTATACATTGATTTAGTTAAATGAAGAGGATTGCAAAGATTAAATTCATTATGTCATAAATTAAAGGAAAGAAAGCGATACAATGTAATAACTGAATCTATCAACCAAAAAGTAAAAGCAAAAGTGACCCAAAGCCAACGTTCTACTATATTTTATTAGAAAATCATGCAATTTACAAATCGAATGCATCAGAATAGCTTATGACACATTCTATAATCCATTCAAAATCAACAACTGGAACGTTTGTACCCGTATTCCCAGAGTTAGAGTTAGACACGATAACATCCCAATGGGAGCTAATTTTCGTTACAGAATTTTTATATTCCACCTCTGCTCCTAAAGCAAGCGCTTGAAATATATAGGCCAATACTCGTTGGGAGTGCTCATCATTAGCAATTCCGTTCCGAGAAAAATTCACGTTTGGTAATAAAAATAATATACGTTTTCCAGATAATGGACCAAAGCTTTTATGCAGCTGGTCATACAAACTAGAACCTGTTAATGGTCGCACTCGCTGAGATAAAACAGAATTTAACCGTTTTGAGTATCCGGCCGCTAGCAAAAAAGGCGAATGATCAACAAATTTCTGTTTTTCGATACAGATCGTTATAAATCTAGGATGTAAACATGGAAGGTTTAAAGCTAAAGCCTCTAAGTATTTAACTTTCCTAGAATGCGAGTCTGAAATTACAAAAGCATACTTCCATGACTTCGACCTTTTATGTGGTTTTAACGGGAACAAAATTTTGCCTTTTCCGTTGTAATAATTACAGTACAAAGAGCTTAAACCCTCATCAAGAACAGTACCGCCATGATATTTTACTGAATTTATCAAAAGTGAACGCTCTTTATCATCAACAGTATTCAACCCAGTAAAAACGAATATGCAATCATGAAAAATCGAAACTTTTTTACTTTCCGTCATAGTTACTTGGTTTGCTTCTTCACCGTCATCGTTGACAGTATAAGAACACATGGGGCGCTTTCTGGAAATAGAAGAAGAAGAAGGTAGATAATTAGAATCTGTATCCACGTTTGACCTACCCGCAAGCTGAAAATCACGGTCCTTAAATTTTCGGATTTGGGAAGGTATTAGATATATCGTAGACATGGGCACTGCAACCTCGTCTTGTTTACCTATCCTTAAACTTACCATGTCATTTCCAAAGGCATCTGTAGGTGGGATAGATGTGTTTTCACCTGTTGAGTGGTATGCCCGCAAAACAGTATGATTTAATCTCAAAGCTGTGGACCGAACAATGTCACCTTCTTTTAATTCAAATCGTTTTAGCTGGTTCACATTAACAGTACTTGCAGTAGAATCATCAAATTGTATCTTAAATTGAGGGATTCCAGAAGCTGTAGACATTGTCTGACATAGAACTGTCGCAGGATAGTAAAATGCAGGATAACCCTTAAAGAAAGCCAAGACACGATTTTCAATTTTGTGAATTGAATTGGAAAATTTTTTCAAATCAGGAAGAAGATAGCGTGGTTTGTCTATTTCGAATTTGCCTCTTATGGGCTCTGATTCCATCCCCAATTCGGGTGAATTAACCATCTCTTTGTAATTATTATTATTATTATTTGTTTTAGCATCTGAATGAGGGAAAACGTTGGAATTTTCTTTCAAGTGTTTCCTTGGAACATCAAAATCAGCCTTTAGAGGCGATTGACTAGAAAATTCATTTTCAGCAGTATATTCAGCCTTCCTTTTTCTAGTATTTAGGGAATCAACATCTACCAATATTCGGCTTGAAATAGGAGTATCAGAGATGATATTCCTCTTCTGCCTTGTACTTTGCTTAGTTTCCCGATTAAAATCATGGTCACTTTCGGTAGGGGTAAACTTTGTCGGAGGTGTTGATTCGATGCCAGTAATCAAAGCTAGTTGCGGTGCTCTGATAGAACGTCGAGTAGGGGTAGACTCTATCTGACCTGCATCCGCTTCACTGTCTAATGATCCAACAGGGTAGTCGTAGTATCTACGTTCTTGGGCAACAGTATCAGGAACGAGAATATCCTCAATAACATTCCCTGTTGCTTGCTCATTGGAAGAATGAGGTACAGGGGTATCTTTTAAAGTGGAAGTCATCGATGCAGGAAAGGTAGATCCCGGAGGAGAGAGCAATTCGGGAGAATTGGGGAAGCTCTGAGGAGATACAATTTTTTTTTGTTGGCTGAGAGCTCCTTGTTGATTATATAGCTGCTCCAAAACACGCTCGGCTCGATTCGGCGTCGAGGCTTTTTGGGATCCACTTGATGGATTTTGAATAATAATCTCATCATCAGAAGATCCAGAAGATTCTGACGCTATTTCTTTTGTTTCAACAACTTGTGTAGGGACTTCAAATAGCTGTGTCAAACCAAGACCGTCATTTTCGTTGACGGGTATGTCGACATTTTCGAACGAATTTCTAATTCGCTCAGATCTATCCTCGGAACTAGTTTCGTTCCTATTCAAAGATTTAAAAGAAGATTTCAAATCATTATTAACAGAAGATAATCGCACTGGAGAGTAGGCCACCGAATGTAAAGGGTACGCTTGCTGACTCGACGACTTGTGTTCAGCGAACTCGGGATTACTACTTATTTGCATAAACAATTTTGCTCATCGATCAACTATGATAGCTATGAAAATGGAAAGAAGAGGTCAAATTCCACCTTACTCCGAAGAAACACTTGAAAAGACAGTGATGGACTCTAACGAGAATGTAGAACAAAAACCCAGTTTCTTAGTACCTTTTTATTTGACTTTTCTTACTCCAAAACTCACAAGAAAAAGTCTAATATCAACTGGCTTGAATGAGCAAAATCAAACATAAACTAACAGTTTCAAACGAATCTTAAACGCAAATTCGAATGTCAGATGTTAGTGACTATCTCTTAATACAAATACGTTTGAAACCCGGCACTAATTTCTTGGTTTTTACAAAACATGTGCGAATACGTTGCTAAGGAAAAATCGTTGGCAAAAAGCTCGACTCGAAGAAGTAAGAAACACCAAGCCTGTTGCTGTATACGCAAACAACCTTTTTGATCAAGAAAGGAAAAGAAATATAATAATAAAAGGTTGGTGTGTTGTTTACAAACAATTTTTTCCTTATTGATTTTCCCATTCACTAAATTTTTAGTATAATTAAGTCATATGGCAGCGGCATATCAATTCAAGGTCGGATAGCACAGTTGGTTAGTGCGCATGACTGTTAATCATGAGGTCGAGGGTTCGAGTCCCTCTCTGACCGTGTTTTTAAATTTTTAGTAATTGTCAAAAATTACTTTAATTGGAATAACATTAATTGAATATAATGGTTTATTCCTCTTTACGTAGTTTGCATGGTTTCTCTCGTCTGAGCGGAATTGATACGACCGTACTATTATTTGGTTTCGGCATGAAGAATTCATCTTATTTAGTAACTCGTTTTATCGTTTTCTCTTTTTTTCAACTCATATAGACTCGTTTCTTTTCGACATCTCACATGGCACGAATGAATTCACATTTAAGACTGCTTTTCGCAATCGTAAGTGATTTCTATCATTTTCATCCTAAAGAAAGCTTGTATTTTGGAATTCAGTGGTCACAATGATCCTTTTCTTTAAGCTATTTTACTGCTGTTTGCGATCTTCGTTTTCCTTGACTTGGCGAGCAATGGCCTTTAGGAATTGCAGGGCACCAACCTCGCTGGGGGAAGCAGATTCGTCAAGCGATAAACCAAGAGCGGAAATGACCTCCAAACCGTTAGGCGAATTCAGGGTTTGACTCAGCGACCTAAGTGCTTGAGCATATTGAGGACTATTTAAAACTTCCATTACAGCTTCCACGGTGGCCGGTGTGTCAGGAGGAAGATATGGCTTCAATTGATCAACAGCGCCTTCTTGAGATAATAGTTCTCTGACATTAGAGGGCTTCAAAACATCGGCCAAGTCCACTGTAGTAAGGGACCGCTGAGAAGAGATATTATTCAATAAATTACGAACTGTTTCTGAGGCAGAAGCTTCGTTCATGTGAGAATCTTGAGCGTCTGAAGAAGGAAGCTGTTCTTGGTTTGTTTGAGATTGAGTGATGTTTTCGTTTTGTTCGGTCGTATCCATATCCATCGCGTCGGAAACTGTAGCTACGTCTGAACGTGCTGATTCTTGATAATCCTGTTCTCGAATAATGGAATTTATCCGAGATGCGTAAATCTGGTCGTTAGAAGCGTCTACGTCTTGCATCCAGTAAAATAGTGACAGTGTTGAAGATGGATATTTCAACATGTAACCTCTGTCATTCGGGCACTCTTCAATTTTTTCGAAGGTACATTCTGAAGGAAACACAACTATATCCTACAACCTTCATTAGCGCTTGTTTTTCTTTTAATGCCACTCCCTCTTTTTACGACGAAAAAACACGTACATCTTCAGGTGCATCCATCTCATCTCTCTTTCCCCATTGAAAATGCGTTAAACCATCGGCATCTCTAGTCATAGAGATAAATCTACCCTTCATTAGTTGTATGTTCTTTCTTCCATTCGTCTTTTCTTACCCTTTCGCAGGATCCGCTCGAAGAATTTTGGTTCCTGGAATTCTACGAAGCTTTCCAGCTTTAAAAGTTATCAATGACATGCTAACTGACAGTATCAAGCTGCAAATATGCAAAAGACAGAAACCTTGCTTTCTATGGGAAGCTTTTAGTATATCAGATGGCACCGTCTCACTAGTATGTCTTAATTTGATTAATGTTCTCGCTGCACTACTTTAAGCCATTTGTTTATACTAGTTAAGATGAAAATGAGAAATATGACTTCACTCGTATATAACTTAGTTAATCAAGTTAAATTTATCTTTCCTTTGATTTAAATTTGCTTTCTTTAGAAGTCGTAGTCATTTTTCTGTAGACAAACATTTGCATGTACTTCTTGACTGCACAAATTGGGATGTCGGTGTCGCGCTCTTCTAGTATTTGTAGCTGCGTTTCTTTTTTTTCTGAACTATGTATGCTTTCACTGGCCTTTCGCTTTGAAATTGAAGTATCTACTTGATGGATACTTCTGTAGGCCTATGAAGAATAATCAAAAGGGGTCTTCAGATATCCAAAATTGGAAAGGCTGTCGTATGCAAAAGATAACTGTATTAGTACTGATGAGATCTACTATATTGGAGCGCTAATAAGCAAAAGGATCTGAGTTTTTATTTACCTGATAAGGTAACAAAACTGGTGTTACTTTTCAAGGGTAACATAAAAAGATTGTTCTTCAGGATTGTTTGTTTACATATGGTCAGATTGGAAGAATGTATAAAATTTTACTTTTTTGATGTTTTCTATAAGAAGTACATTGCCAAACCAAAAAAACAGTTTCATAATAACCACCACTTTCGAGAGTTTTTGGTCTTGGAAACAACATCTTCATCGTATAGAATTCAGTTTGTAGCAACAGGCTGGAAGAGGTAACGTAGTTTCAGTGTTCTGTAAGTTTTCATTTTCATCCTACTCGCACTCGAAATCCTCGTCCATGAAATGGGAAATGCAAATCAGTAGCTTTGTAGCAAATTGTCCAAAGCAATCTGCTTTTCATCTAATGAAATTAGCGTAAGTGCTCAGTTTAAAAATCTACAAGTATCATCAATCACCCTACACTTTGTATATTTCTACTTGTTACTATGTTAACTAGTAATCAAGACATCAAAGCATGTTAAGTAATGAAGCACAAGTCAGCTTTGACACTCATCTATATATAGAAATTCATTTCAAGGTAAATCTCTCCTCTGTAGTCAAGATATAAGACCTAATGTTTGTATTTATTTTCTTCTACAGTCCACTTAGAATTATTTAAAGACGTTCAACTACATTATTAGGAAAACAGCAAGTATATCTCTGCTAAAATAAACTTTGTATGCAAGCACACGACACCTTTCCGGTTTCCTTTCAGTTTTTGAACTTTCATACCAATGCCTAACTCCGGCGACAATTGAATATTTGGTATAACTAAAATTTTATAAGCATAGAGGCTGCAAGCACCAAACCCAAATGAACGACTGTAAAGGCAATTCTTGAGGATGAACTTTCCTCCTCTTCCTCTTCTTCGTCTCCTTGGTTAACCTTAGAGTTGTTCGTACTGTTAATTGGATATGGCTTAGTCTTAGGATGCTTGGGGGCAGTATACTGTCCATCGTCACCGCTATGATAAGGAGACCACATATTGGTAGGACCATCAATACCTAATGGCTCTCCAGCACCCTCTTCCATGTAAACTTTAGCTTCTTTAGGCATAGGAGGCAAAGTTTCCCATGCTTGGAAATAAGTCGAGTTTCTAGGACACTCGCTAGGTAAGCCATCTTTTCTATAACCTCCATCTCCTTTTGGATTGGGTACTTTTTGAAATTGCTTCATTAAAGTTACGCAATTCTTAGAAATCTTACGGTCACCATTTCCATCAATAATAACCAGACCATAATTGTTTGGTTCGGCTGAATATTCGTACACCAGTCCTCCGGAAAATGATTCAGTCATCTCAGGAGAATAGATAGCCTCAATTTCCGTAAATGGACGATCTGGAGTTTGATCTTCAAGAATCTCAACAGTGTTACAACCAAACTCGGACAAAAATAGAGGAATGGAATAGTCACTAAATTCCCTAAGGCGGTCGAAGTATCCCGAAACGCTCATGCTAGAGTGACCGCACCATTCATACATGTTAAATGCATAAAAATCAGCACGCTCACTTTCATCTCCACAGTTAAAGTAATGAGCCAATTCAAGTCTATTTTCGGCAATATCTGCTGCAGAGTATCCCACCGGTATTTGTCTACTAGCATGTTTCTTAATATAAGCCTTAACATCTCTTGTTGTAGCTTTAACCCAGGTAATTGCTGTCGTTTCGTGATCGTTTACGACTTCGTTACCGGAGAAGAAGCCTAGTACATTATCGTAGTCCTTGAAAGCATCAACAGTAGAGAAAATGTGCTGCAAATATACCTTGTTATAAGAAATTGCAGGATCGGATCGCGAAATAGAATGACGAAAAGTATTGAGATCAAGGATGACATAAATTCCAGCGTCCTCGAAAGCCTTCATGCAATCATCGTGATCAGCTGCATTGTCTACCTGATAAACACGAACGGTGTTAACTCCCATTTTCTTGAAAATCTCAACATCCTTGTGACAAGCACTTGAAGCCAAGGGATCTATTAATGAAGAAGAGCCACCAGGCTGATAGTCGACACCACGAAGATAGAATCTCTCACCAGTTACCGAATCAAAAAACGCATTTCCTTTAGTAATAATAGGATTAGTTTTAGCAAAAGACTCAAGGGCTCCAGATCCTAAAAGCAGAAGAGCATAAAATAAATGACGACCAAGAACCATAGTTAAAATACTGCTTTCGTCTTGATAAGTATATAGAATACAGCTAAGTGAATGAATAAGTATGCGTTAATGCTAAGCCGTTTCATGGCACATATCCTTTATATATTTACAAAAACATGGTCAGATGTAAACAAACAATGGTCGAAACCCAAACCTAAATTAGACGCATAGAACCGAATTCTAAACAAATAAAAAAACTTGATTGGTAATAAAGAAATCTATTGTTAGGACTATTCAGCCAATTCAAAAAATAACAAGGTGCCTAAAAAGGAATCCAGGTTGCTACACCTCAAAGTCGTTTTTATTCAACAATTTTTTTCGACAGAAGTTTATTCTTAGTCCTTATTTTTAGCAGACTCTTCTCCTCTCAATGAAACAATCCGGTTCAAAACAAGCTTGTCAGGAGCGTTACTAGTCTTATCTAAACAGAAGTAACCAACACGCATAGCTTGGAAACGAACGCTCTCTGGATTTCCAGCCTTATCAACACCAGAAGATGAATCAGTCTTCGGCCAAGGAGCAGTTTTGATCAAATCATGAATTCCAGTCTCTATCATCGAATTCTTCAAGACAATTTCACTATCAGGATTCAGCTGGTCAGCTAATTCATGATCCTTCAAAGCGGCAGGATTGTCGCACTTGAATAAATTATTGTAGAGGTGAGTTTCCGATAAGCGAACTGGGCTATTACTTGCAGGGTCTTCAGAAACCCATTGAACAAAAGTTTTGGGTTTCTTAGAGGCCGTTTGATCATACTCGGCAATAATTTCTACTACGTTTCCGTTATCATCTTTAATAATCTTCTTCGCTACTACAGGGCAAGAAGCTCGGAAGAGACCAACAGGTTGATTCAAAGTTAAACGGAAAAAGTCATTTGAAGCCTCTTCACGGAAGTCCGAGCGATCAATGTATACGGTCTTGGTAAGATATTGAGTGCGGGATCCCATAGAAGGGTCCTTAGGGTTGAAGGGTATCTGAATCTCCTCTCGGTAATCATCAGCAAGGTTCTCAAGGATAACCTTCACGGGATCAGGGAGAAACATAAGGCGTGGAACACTGTTTTCGAGGAAAGAACGGACGCAATTTTCAAAACGAGCAACCTCAATATTACTAACAGCGGTGGTTACACCAACCTCACTAACGAATTCGAGTATAGCACCCGGGGGAATACCACGGCGACGAAGAGCAACAAGGGTAAACAAACGAGGATCATCCCAACCGTGAACATAACCCTCGTTAACAAGCTTCATGATCTTTCGCTTACTCATAAGTGTCCCTACAACATTTAAACGACCGTATTCCCTTTGGGCTGGACAATATACCTCAAGAGCGTTACATAACCATTCATAGCTGACTCTAGAAAGGATAAACTCGGTAGTGCAGAGGGAGTGGGTGATGTTTTCAAAAGAATCAACCAAGCAGTGAGTGAAATCGTAGGTAGGATATATTTTCCATTTGTCACCCGTACGAGGATGAGGAGTATCGAGAACGCGGTAGGCAATGAGATCCCACATTTGAGGATTGCCGTCATTCAGATCCTGTTTCATTCGCAAAATTGCTTCTTTTGGACGATACTTTCCATCTCTCATATTGCGAAATTCTGCCAGCGATTCCTCAACGGGACGGTCACGGTGAACGCAGGCATATCTGGGGCCACGCTCTTCACCACCTCTTGCCTTTTTAATTTCAGTATCGGTGCAGTGACAAACATAACCTTTGTTTCTCTTAATCAGTGCTTCGGCGAGCATATACAGTTGATCGAAATAATCGCTGGAATAAGTAATTTTGTAAGGAGAAAATCCAAGCCAAGAAATAATATCCTTAATACTCTCAAAATACTTTGCTTCTTCGGCCTCGGGATTGGTGTCGTCAAAACGCAAGTAGCAAATACCTTTGTGATAGCGGGCAAACCCAAAATTGACAGCGATGGCTTTGGAATGGCCGATATGGAGATATCCATTTGGTTCGGGAGGGAACCGAGTGACAACACCACCGCCAGTTGCTTCTAGGTGTTCTTTCATGCGCTCAGGAATGAGCTGTGGGTTTCCGCCAGGTTTGTGCAATTTTGCTAGAAAGCCTTCTTCAAACATATTATAGTTGCTCTTCTTGGAGCCTGTCGCGCCTTTCTTCTGATCTTTCGTGTCCGCCTTTCCTTTGTTTCCCTTGCCTTTTTTACCAGCAGGAGCATCTCTTTCATCTTTTGGTCCTAAAAGTTCTAAGTATTTCTGATCAAGTGTCTGCTTTACTTCCAGCTGAGGTGCCCACTTAAGGATAGGATGCTGGCGCAATGCGGATGTCGTAGCATTGAAAGAGGAGTATCTTTGCTCACTAATCTTTGCTTCATTTTCTTTGATGTATTGGCTAACCAACTCATTGATTTGTTCTGGTGTACAGGTGACGCCAACGCCCGATTCTTTGTCAAATTCTTCTTCATTGATGGAGTCTCTACTTTTGCAATAAGCAATAGCAGCGCTTACTTGGAGATTGCTCTTTAAATCTCCCTTGACTATTTTAGAGCAAATATATGGTTCGTGTGTAAGCAACTTCGTGTCCTTCTGTTTCAGAGATTCATTTGCTAAAGTCAATAACAAGTTGCCAACAGAACGATCGCATCCTGACTCGTTCAATTTAGCCCCCTCAATTACTCTATTCAAAGCAGAGCTCAACTTCTTATTTTTCAGCGTATCCTTGACACGAGTTTCATTTAAGCCTATGTTCATAAACTTTTTATCTAACTCTTCCACGCTTGATTCCATTATGAAATTACCTATTTAGAAAAAATTAAACCTATTTTCCTGGTGAAGATCACCTCTCTTTGTCAGTAAACAAAGCAAGGGTAAGTAGAAGGTAAAAATATTTGGTTTAAACGTTTTGCTCTTTAGGAAAGAAGACGCGCTGTATCTCTTTGCAATGCCGAAAATAAATATACTGTCTTTTAAGAAATTCCTTAATATTGTTTAACAAACGTAGCAGAAACAACGTTAATAAATAAAAATAACTACATCCTTGATTTTCACAAAAAGAGGATTTTGCCAATTGTAGACTAGACTAGTTTAGAGTTTCGAACCAAACTTCTCTCGTTAGGGTTAGTTTTTTGAGATCAGATTCTGTAGAGCTAGGGCTTGTTTTTATATAGAAATAGCTGACAAGTCAGTCTGCATTAATATATGTCTTTGAAGAGCATCCAAAGGATGCTACTAAAAATGCGTAGGAGACAAATCGAAGCTTGTTAAATTTCTTCATATGTTGGTTGATAGCAAGCTGCTACGAATTACCTTGTTTATTTATTTCTTTTAGCGATATCATTGTTGCTAATCCTGCTATTATGGATGCATACCAACCTTATAGATAAAGCATAGTCTTTGAGAGACTTTGGAAGAAGTCTTTTTTTGCAAGAGACTAGCATTTATCTTTTTAGCAAGCAGCGTTACATCCATCGCTACTGCTACGATTTAGCAAATTGCTGAAAATACAAAAACTAATGTAAACATCGGTGCATTATTTGATCATCAGTTTATTATACTCGTGGAATTCCTTAAGGAGACAAAAAAAAGAAAGAAAATGCTTTTGTAGACTTTCTCCTTGCTCTTAATGTGTTGAAAGAAAGTAACTTGTTATTTGAAAAGTTACAAATGATACTTAAGGAATATTTACAGAATTTGCTTCCTTTGGTTGAGTATTTCAATTACTCAAATTTCAATAACCTTTACCTTTTGAATCAGCACTTATACTTTTTATTCTTTCTAATAAAAATATAAATACAAGTTTATTCTTCTTGCTTGCATATTAACGAGAGTCACCGTTCTTTATTATATGATCGCTTAAGAAAAGTTAAATGACCTTAAGTTGCTGCCCACTGGTACAATGTTAGTTGCCTTTAACAAATACTCGCTTCACAGAAAACATGCCAGCGGCTTCATTAATGACGCGTCTGCGAAGGAAATCTGGTAATCAGGTAAAAATTGACACTCTTTTTTCAAAAAAGAAAGGACCTTCTGGATCCGTTAGCAAAAAGAATGAACGTTCTGCTGTCCCAAGTCGGCAAGCTCCATTGAAGGTTTTTTCTTTTCAGATTCCTCCAATTCTTATAATGAATGATTCTTCAGTATGCAATTGCATTGAGGAATTAATCAAATATATGTTTGAAGATGTTAGTCTCACTCGAGATAGCGAGTTGCTGATTTCGAACTGTCCAAGGGTAATTGTCGAAACACAACTTGCTGGATTATTCCATTCAGACTTTACAAGCATATCAAGAGAATTGGAAAGTGAAATTCGGATAGGAGGTGTGCGCCGTTTATACTTGCATCGTGCCGATAGTTTTTCAGGCGAATCCTGCTTGGTATTACGATCAGAATTAAACGAAATTTACCAATTCTATTTGAACAAACACAAGGATAACAAGGAATTGCTTTCGTTAATAAAAAAATTGCAAGAGTTTCTACAAACCCATGGATCTAGCTCGTACCCAACGGAGGAATTAAACCTTTCCTTGCAAGAGAGACGGACTTTGACAGCTGCTGGATTTTTAACTTTGGATGGTACTGATTCATATGGTATATCCTTACCGAATCTAGGTGTATTTACTCATATCCTGCATAGTAGTCGCAAAGATCTCATTCAGTTTTTCAAGAAGAGACCTTTTTATGAGTGCATTGAAATTTCTTTGTTACAAAGAAACCTCTCTATAACCACTAAGAGAAAACAGGAAACTTTTTTTGGTTGGAAATTTCGACTTTGCGACGCCATTGGTGCTGGTTTAATTGACGCGTTTATGACTTCTTGTGGTAGAGCTTATCGCCTAACCAGGAGAGGTTTAGAATACAAATAGCCTTTATCCTTCTTTTCTTTTCCTATTATTAATCATTACGATATCCCTTTACAATTTTCCTTGGTTTATCCTTCGTTTAATTTATTCAATTAATAGACTTTGGTCGTGCCTTAAACAATATGATTGTGGTACTAATTATCATGTTCTTTCTTTTCAATGGCTTCAAAAATGTTTTTAGCTATCTCTTGATGAACATAAAAATACTTTTTCGGATGTTTTTTGGTTTCAATATTTGTGAATGGGCGACTGGTAGCAGCGTCAGGAGTCTGTAGTTCTTCAACATTGTACTTCCATTCCTTTCTTCTTCCTAGTAAATTCAGAGTAGTGAAAGTAACTAAATTTTCCTTTAGTGTCCCTTCCGTTACATATGATTTTCCTGCCCAGTGGATTAATCCCGTTGATATTGTTGAGGCTGCGCAAGCTTAGACAATCTGGTTAGTACTTGAACAACAATGAGTCATTTTTTTCAGATAATACTATTGAATCATACCTGTAGATATCATAATAAGCCGTGTGCCAAATCCGATGCCATTTGCATCCAAAAGCAGCATTAACGGGGTCATCATGTACGTTAATCCTAAGGAGCCAACGGAAAACCTTTTGATATTAGCTACTGCCGTTTTTAGTGGTGCTTCATAATGGAAAACTGCTTTTGCAGGAGAAGTACTCAATTGTCGCACAAAACCCTTCACGAGCCCGGGATTGAATATCATTTATTAAAGATATATGTACTTTCTTCGTAAAAAAAAAACAGTAAATTGAAAGAAAAAGACTGAGTAGGTATCAATATTTGAGGCTGACTTTAAAACAAGCAGGAAGTGGACCGGTGCCTTCACTAAGTAGTATGGACAACTATATCCTTTCAAAGAATGCTATCAATGAACGTCTTTTATTTCATAACCTATTTGTTTTTATTGAAAAAAAATTAATTTATTCAAATCTGTTACAGCAAATCATCATTAATTTATTCATGACATCTATACATCTTAGTTGGATATCGCTCATAAACGTGACAAGCGATATACAAGAAGTACACAAAATATAATAGTTATCTATGCTTAATATAAAGAGAAAAAAGTTTTAGCTGCTGATGCTAGTTATTCTAACTTAATCCATCGGAATGGCTCTTGCCAAAGTCTCCACAAAGCAAGAGACAGTATCAACGTCTTGTTTAGCTGTTTCAGCAATCAAAAGGATCTTCGCAATTCCAACGTTAACCTTTTCTGTTCCTGTGTAGCCCTGAAGCCGCTGCAATATATCTACCCGAATGTTGGGGTCGGCAAAATAATCTACAGATTGTAGAACACGATCTAATTCTTCAATGTTACCGACATTCGGTACAGCTAATTCAGCATCAAAAGACTTTGTCATGTCAATTCGAGAGAGCATTGTTCTCTCGGAACTAGTAGCAAGAATAAGCAAGCGGTGACCTTTAGGAGGCTGTTTTTTGAAAAGGACCATCAAAGTTTGAAGTAAGGTGTTCGAGAAACGGGGACCAATGGGAACCCAATCAATAAGACGTTCAATTTCATCAACAACAATCACACTGAGAGGACTCCTATAACTGTCTTCAAACACGCGATTCACATAGGATACTCTTGCGTTTTCACTCATGCCAACCATACCTTCGGCAGTTACCAATTTGATAAAAGGAAAATCAGACCCCAAAGCAATAGTAGCGGCTAAGGCAGTTTTACCAGAAGCTATAGGTCCAGATAATAGAACGCTCATTAAACGGGTTCTTTCAGAGTTCTTAACTTGCTGGACGAAGAGCTTGCCTTCTGTGAAAATTTCTTCAATATGCTTTGCATAGTTAATAACACCACCCTGTACGCGACTTTCAAGCTCTTCTTCGCTAACACCAAATGCAGGACGAACTTCATTGAGAGCATTCAAAAAATCATTGCGATTGACTTTGATGTTTTCCAAATCTCCAGAAACAGCAGCGGTAGTACCTACTTTAATATGGCGATAAAATGCAAAACTTGAAGCGCTCTTAATTAAACCTGCAATTTCAGCACCAGAAAAGTTTTTAGTAAGATTTGCTAATTCGATCAAATCCACATCATCCTCTAAAATTCCGTTGGAAGCCATACGTCCAGTATGAATCTTCAATATTTGTAAACGACCATGTTCGTCAGGAAGAGAAATTTCAACATGAACTTCCAAACGGCCGGGACGAACAAGTGCTTCATCAATCATGTCTTTACGGTTAGTCATACCAATTACGAGGATATTGTTTAGTTGATCAACACCATCCATTTTTGCAAGTAACTGGTTGACTACCTGATCACCAACTCCAGTGTCACCTCCAGAACTTCCTCTTTTCTTGCAAATAGCATCTAATTCGTCAAAGATAATAATATGGAGACCTGACTCTTCTCCACGCTCACGGTACTCACGTTCGGCATCGGCGAAAAGTTTACGAACATTTTCCTCACTTTGACCGACATATTTGTTTAGAATTTCGGGACCATTTACAATCTTCGGTTCACGAGCATTGAGCATTTTACCAATTTGACGAGCAATTAAAGTTTTACCTGTACCAGGAGGACCGTAAAGCAAAATACCCTTTACGTGATTAATACCTAATTTTTCAATCATCCCTGGAGGAAAAAGACGCAAAGCAAATGCACGACGGAAAATGGCACTGAATTCAGTATCAAGACCACCAATTCCCATGTCTTCGAATTTAAATCCAGGCTGTAAAATTGCGTTCGCTGCAGGACGCTTCATACTAGCCTTTAGACGGAGTGTACTGTTAGCACTTTTAAGAAAGTGAATCTCTGTCTGAGAAGTTAGGATTCCTCGAGAATTAGGATCCGTTTTGCTAGTGATTCCTTGGTCTGGGGAATCTGAAAGCAAAAGATCAACACAAGCAATCGTACGCACAGTGGCCTTTATATTGAAAGACTTAAAATCAAACACAATCTTCTGTCCAGGGGCAAACACCTGATTTTGATAGCTGCTTGCGAACAGACTAGCCATTTCTTCGCCGTCTAAAGCTTCATTAGTTGTACGATTACGATTTTGAAATTCAACTTCTAATTCTGCTGCACTTAAGTAAGGCGCTCCATTTGGTCCGAATGGGTCATAACCTGCAACATTCACCTGCTGATTAAGAGACCAAGAGGCCCATTCTCGATGAGGTTGCGAAGCACCTAAGCATCCTTGTGGAAATCCAGGAACAGGTTTCGTACTGAAAACTCTCATATTATCAACGATGATGTACTGCTCACGAAAATCCATTGGAGAGACAATGATGCAATTCGTTAACGCATCCTCTGTGGATGTAGCTTTCACGATTCGAAAAGGTCCTGAAGGTTGGCGTACATCTACATTTGTCGGCATTGGTGGTTTCTGTTCAAAAGGGTTAAATGTTGATGAATGAGTACTCTGTCGTGAATAACTGCCACCCAACGGTTTTCTAGTTGGAGGATCTGTCGGTGATTTATTTGACATAAATGGCAATTTCCATTTAGAATCCATAATGTATTTTAAGGAATGGCAGATATCTCTACCTGTTTTTTTGTAGTGAGTACTATGCTTTAGGAAGGTCAAAGGTGGTGTTTACGACGTGTTACTTAGCTGTCGTTCAGTAGAAGTAACGCAGTGTTCATTTTCTGTTACTCAAAAATTGCTTGCCTAACAATAAAATAAAAATAAAATAAATTACAAAAGAAAAGAAAAGAAAAGAGAACCAGGAACAAGCGAAATTACGTTACTAAAAAATGCTTTTATTTCTAATCACGTATAGAAAAATCCATCATAAACCGAACAAAGTGCCACTATTCTAATATCATACTAAAGTCTGGTAATACAATATAAAAAGTATGATATATGATAATACTAAGGAGTAGAAATATAAGCGCATGCAATAAGTAAATAAATAAATGCTTCTACTGATGTTGAAATTTCCTTGAAACTTTCATTACTAGTAAACAGTAATAATATCCCACTGGCTGAATTAATAAATATGTTTGGGTGAGCAAATAATTTCGTTAGACGAGCCAGATCTTCAGTTAGGAAGATTTGACTTGGAACATTCAGATTATATATAACCATTCTAGTTACTCATGACCATAGTATACTTGCTTATTTATGTAAATAATTTCCCTTACAAATTTATTTTTTATCGCTGCTTCTATTCATGTATCTGCCTCACTCGAATTGAAACTTCAATCACTGTGAATAAAAACGTATAGGTAATGATATAGCATTCAATAACTACAAAATTGAAGGATAACTTTCGTAATCTTTGTAACAAAAACTTTAAAGAATTCAGCTTTCGATTCATTAGACTGTAAAGTGTATGTGCTCTTGGTTGAAAAGAGCATGAGATTTAATTCTATCTATGTTAACTGGCACAAGATCTAAAAGGTCAACCAAGATTAATTGTATTAACAAAATATTTTCCCGTCAAAAGCCAATCGGTCATTAAACCAAAGGAGAAACAGTCAGAGAAAAAAGATATCATTAGCAAACAAGAATAAACTAAAGAACGAAATAGTAGACATTAATCAATGGCGGATTTATTCTACAGTTTCAATTTATTCACTACGCTATTTCTTGTAATTTGACATGGTTTTATTATATTGCGAGTATACAAAGCACGCATGCTTCATGGTATCACAAGAAAAATAGAAAAAAAAAATATTTATAGCAGGTATAAGTAAGGCTCTTATTTTTTTTTTTTTTTTTTTCTCTTTTTAAAAACTTCTTAATATTAAAAATGCCGACTGTGAAGATCAAGAATGAATGAGCGTTCATATATATTGCCTTACTCGAGACAAGACTCCATACATCCGTAATAAAATAATTTAATAGACAAGTATTCAAGATTAAACGAAAAGAACTGAAGCGAACTTCCTTGCCCACACTGTATCCACACTTAAGAAATAAATAAATAATAAATTAGAAGTCCATCATTTCACAAAGCAAAAGAGACCAAAGTTTGAAAAGACAGATTAAACAGTTTTAGAATCCTACACAGCAATAACATTCAGTGTAACCGCAGTTTAGTGCTTCCATAAATATCCCCCTTGCATTATTATATTTTCGTGTAAAACAAATTAGATACTACAGAAGTTAATTGTTTTAAAGTTATTGGCTTCGATAAATACGTATCAAATCCACATTCTTCGCAAGTCGTTGCAACATGCGATAGAGCATCTGCACTCAGAGCAACGATTGTGATAGCCTTATAACCATTTTCTAATTGATGCTTCCGAATTTCCATACAGGCTTGGTATCCATCCATGACCGGCATTTGCAAGTCCATAAGAATCAGTGAATAATAATTGGGATCATTTCGCTTCCACTCTTGGAAACAATCCAAACCATTCATAACAACATTAAATTCCACGCCCATTTTTTCCAAGTAACGACTAAAGACCTTGATGTTAATGACATTGTCCTCCGCTAAGAGAACCCTGAATTTGCTGTTTTTCAAATCGTTTTGAAGGGCTTCGGTTTCGGCTTTACGTTCGACAGCTAACTTTTCCGACATTTGGCTGCTTCGGTTAACGTTATCATCTCTATTTATGGAATCCTTGTAAAAAATGGGGAATAATTTCGAGGGTTTTACCAAACGCAATACGAAATATATTCTCGATTGATCAATTTCACACCTTGTGAATAAATTAGGAAGGGCCGCTTTTTGCTTTGCATTTACAATGACAATAAAGATTGCATTCCTGTAAGATGCGCAGTGTTGAAAAAAACGAAGAAAAGTAGCATAATCTTCAATTTCAACAAGATTCAGGATTATATGACTCACGTTGGACTTAATAGGTGTTTCCCTCAATTGATGATAGGCTTTAGTGGTATCCTTGAACGATATAATATCTTTTAACGTTTTCTCATCCAAGAGCGTCTGAACAGAATTAACCAGTGCTGCACTGCTAAATTTTGTGTGTGAGACAATAACAACTAAAGCATCATAATTCAATAGAATACCGTCAGATTGAAAACGATATAGTTTCCAAAAAAGTATATTACTTGGATCAATAGATGTTGAACATTGACAAAAATTAAAAGCCGGAGCAAAGGGATTATGGTATCCGCTGATCTTTGAACTATTTTTAAGCTTTGTGCTATTTTCATTTGTGTTTACCTTGATACCATCCTCAGAAAATAAGTTGTTTACTTGTCCCACGTTCTCGCTTGTTAATTTACCAGCATTATCAGCGTGTTTGTAGTTGTTTGGCACATTAATCTTTTTGGATTGTTCGTACGGATGGAAACACACAGGGCAACATCCATCAGGTATATCATAATTAAGGATTTCGTTATCAATCTTGAATCTGGCAGTCCATATAAAATGTGTTCCCACACCTTTGACACTTTTACATGTCATTTCACCGCCATGAAGTTCTGCTAACTCACGAGAGATGACCAATCCTAAGCCTGAACCTTGTTTCCGAGCATTCGAAGTATCAATTTGAGAAAAGGGTTTAAATATGCGCGATTGTCCTACCTCATCAAATCCTGGTCCAGTATCAATGCATTCCCATTTCAATACTACGGATTGCTCTTTTCTCAGCCACTTTTCCACGGAACAGTGAGTAATTACTTCACCCATATCGGTGAATTTTATGGCATTGCTGATAACGTTCAATGCAACTTGGCGAATTCGGTTACGATCTCCAAAGAGCACGTCTGGAATATTGAGGTCAATTATAAAATTCAATTCAATTCCTTTACAGAATGCTAGCGTGCTTAATGTTTCATTAGCATCCTCCATCATGGCGCGCAACGAAAATCTTTCACTGCACAACTTGACCATCCCTGCTCTTACTTTGCTCAGATCCAGAATATCATTAATAACAGTCAGCAAAGATTCAGCAGACTGTTGAATTACATGAGCATAGCTAATTTGCTCGGACGACAATTCCGTTTCCAATAAAAAACTAACCATCCCAGTAATACCGATAAGAGGAGTTCGAATTTCGTGAGACATATTAGAGAGGTACTGCATTTTATCCCGTACAATTCGATGAGCCTCAACATTTGCCTCTTTTAGTTTCTCTTCTAACATTTTATGATCGTGAATGTCAGTGCAAGTACCTAACCATAAATTGGATCTAAAGTCTGCAGAGTTATTAACACAGACGGATTTTACCAGATGCCAGCGATAGTAGCCATCAGTAGAACGAAACCGTATCTCAGCAACGTACGTGTTAGCACTCGTAGGATCTATACTAGGATCAGGAAGCAAGCATTTCTTTCGATCATCTCTATGAACCGCAGAAAGATAACCTAAACCCAAGCTATTCTCTAAAGACAATCCCGAGTAACTAAGCCATTGAGCATTAGCATATATAATTCCATTTTTTGTGCTAGCGGCAAACACAATTTGAGGAGAAGCTTCAGCCAAAGATCGATAATTACTTTCATTAGCAGCAGCAGCAGATTGTTTTTGCACTTTCGATTCAGCAAGCTTTTGTTCGTGTACATCAGTCATCGTACCAAAAATATGTAACACTGAACCACTACAATCAAGTAGTGGAATAGCCCTAAATATAAAGAAACGATACACACCGTCAAAGCGTTGTAAGCGTATCTCCTTAGTAAAAGCTTCAGCAGAATATAGAAATTGCTTCCAATCCCTCATAAAATTCTGTAAATCATCTGGATGTATGCAACCAAACTGCCTTGTCAAAATTTCATTTATGCTTAGACCACTGTACAACTGAGCCCGACCGTTAACCCAAGTGACTTTTCCGTTTGAAGGATCTGCAATGAATACATGAACAGGAATAGAATCAATTATGCTTCTCAAAAGAGAAGAAGGAGGAGACGCGTCATCTGGGAGATTTTGTCGTCCTTGAAAATCGTTATTCGACCTCAATACATTCTCATTTGGCCCTTTATTCACGGAGAATTTCTTATCATAAGGCAGTTTTTCTGATGTATAGCGTTTGTAATTACAAAATCGTTGCCTTTTTTTATCAAATACTCTCTTCAGCCTTTGCAAAAAATTTTGCGTTCTTAGCGACGAGCCATTAGCTGTGAATTTCGAACATGCTTTTATGTCTCTATTGTATAGAGAATGAAGATTAAATAGTTTTTTTTCACTCAAATTTGAGCTTCGTTCTTCATTTGGATATTGATGAGCATTCGTAACCTGAGACTTAAAACAAAAATCTCCATGTTTTGCACCTGTTGTCGAATGTAACTTTGATTGCATATTATCATGACTATTATAATAAGGAACGTTACTCGGAACCATAGTTGCTTGACAATTTGTGTAAGCAGCGAATATGAACGGAACTAGACGACTGATATATGACAAAAGGTTTTCAGGATACGGAACAAGATTCGACTTAAAAGAAAGGATTGCAATAGGAATACGATTGGATGGAGAACTAGATCTATCAGTTCCAGGATGTACAATGGGAATATGAACTAAACTATACGTTATGTCTTGTTCAGCAATAGACTGCCCCCAAAGATCATCGTTGGACGCTTCTTTGTGAAGATTTTGTGTATCATTTAAGTTTTCTTCGTTCTCATCGGACTTGGAGAAGGAAGCTTCCTGTAAACCTTGGAAAAAGGGGTTTCGATTAGACTCAGCTTGGATGGCTGGACTGCCTATAGGAGATTTGGACCAGGGTGACAATAAGTTTTGTTCAAACTCATCATACATACCGCGGTTAGCCTGTCCGGAATTCACCCATTCTGAACAATAGTTGTAGCGGGACGGTGCTTCATGAAAGTTATTCGCAGATAAGAATGGTTGGGAAGCTTTATTTGAGATGTCACTATTCTTTGTACTGGTAGCACTATCCCCGCTAGCAACTGTCGTATTAGTTACGCGTTCCGTTGAATAGCTATAATCGCAATTAGAGGGACGGCTGGTAAACGGGAGGCGTCTAGTATACACTAGGGGAGCTTTTCGTTCAAGGACTGTTTGAACGGTATAATGATCTAAAAGAGGACTTTTTCGATGAGGAGGTCGCTGGGAAAAATAAATAATGCCTTTAGCCCCTGTGGAGGCCGTTATAATAAACGGATCGGATTGATCAGCGATATCATCGTTGCCGACTTCGGAATCATTGGTATCATTCCTTTTAGTATCCGCTACAGACCCTTGATATAAACATTTTAACTTCCAGGGGGTATTGAAAACATCAGAGATATCACAGGGTTCTATTAAAGAAAGTTCGAGCGCTGAATATTGCTGTGTAAAAATATCTATGACGTTTTTCCAAAGTTGACATATATTAGTATTAGACACTAACAAAAACACAAATTCAAATAAATTAGTATAATGATCATCAATGACATCGGGAAAATGTGTACGACGTGATTCAGACAAATAATCACCTTCGAACGGCTCATACACAGAAGAAGCCGTAGAGTTTCCTCTACTAGCATTAGCTGTGGTATTCTCTTTACTACTGTACGATGCCGGAGAAACGTGACCACCTAAATCTTTGGATGAATTGATAGGAGAGTTACTTTGTTCAAACGATCGCCGCGAGGAATGGCTCATTGTAATATTTGAAGCCACAGGCACTTGAAATAAAATGTCTGATTTATCCAGCGATGGGCGTTGTTGCATAGGAAGACGAGGAAAGTTCAAATTAGGAGAGGTCCCTTCAGCAGAGCTGGATAAACTTGATGAAGACAAAGGTTTATGAGTTTGCGTATTATAGGGGGTCGAAGATAATTCGCCAGAAGAGAAGTCTGCTGGAGACTTATAAGATCCTCTGAAAGAATTAACTATCTTGGAGGATTTAATAAACTGTTCATCCATGGCTTCTTTCAGCTTGTCAAGATGAGAAGGAGTTGCACCTGGCAACTCGTCCTCTTTCAAAAGCCCCATAACCGATAAAAAAAGACCAGAATACCTTAAAATTCCCAATTAGCAGGAGTTGAATAATAAACAAGACCCGAGAACAAAGGACCGAAAATTAATATATCTCAATTAGAAGATTATGTTGTAGGTTAAAAAATAGTGTTTTTGTAATACTTTTGTTCACAGCACTGCCAAGGTAAACACCTCTCAAATATCAAAAAAAAAAAAAACAACAACCAAATACTCAGGGTAATTCGCTAAACTTCCTCTCGTCTCGTCGCGTACACAAAAGTATCAAAAGCCTACGGCCTAATTTCTGACCTTATAACCCTGGCATTCAATTTGTCTAGTAAATTCTGGATATGTTCAAAGGGCAACTTCACAACAGACCAGATTTTCCGGACCACATTGGCCTTTAACGAGGTCGAACGAAAGCTAATGTTCTGAGGTGTAGGAAATTATGGTATAGTACATGCCATGTAGAACTGACCACACAAAATATGAATTGCCTTCATCATAGGAAGGTCCAGCGTCCAATAATAAAGATAGATGAGCAAAAACTGCTTAACATTCAAGTAATAGGACCTATTGAAATGTCAAAGAAGAATGAAGAAAATGTAAAAAAAATTTGACATCATTCAGCAGGGTATAACTGTATCCAGAGTTGATCATCTAACTAGCTAGATGATAGTATAGCCAAGCATAGAGAATAAATTACGGTCACGGTATAAGTGATAGAAAGAGATATCAAGCAGTAAGCAATGGAAGACTTTTATACTTAATCAAAAAAAAGGTCAGTGTCCTCCTTGTATTTTCTTTATGACAGTGCCACTTCGTGGACGCTTATTAGATGAGACTGTTTGAATAAGGCGTTGCTGGACGTACACCAGAGACGTCAATGATGTGTCCAAGATGCTAAGTTTTTGTAAAAATAACTCACGTTCTTGGTTTATTTCATCTTCATTTTGCTTTTGCATGCCTGCTTGGGTTTCAAAAGTTGAAGAAAGTTGAGATGTACTATCTGTGTCCTGCTTACTCCGTTGGTTTTTCACCAACTCTACGTATCGTTCATGAGCATCTCCTAATGCTTCCATAAGATACGATAGCTGTTGGCGGGTAGAGCTTAGTAAGCCATCTCGATTTTTGAGCTCTGTTTGTGCTCTTGCATACAATTGTTCAACAGCCTCCGTCTTTGAATTGGGAGAATCAGGACTTTGCGAATCTGTCAATTTAGAAACCATGTCGGTTTCCAACTCAAAGTTATTTGAACTATCCGTTGCTGCCAGACAATCTTCTGGAGGCAAACAATCATGAAGAGAAGGGTTATTTTCTCTTTGCACAAACAAACTTGATGGATCTTGTTTGCTAGACAGTTTCAACTTTTCAAAAAGATTACAATCACAATGCGACAGTAGTGCTTTATAAAAGTACAACTTTCTCTTCATTTCTTCCATTGAAAGCTCTGAATTAACGACGGCTTTGTTTTTTATATTCTTGGCGCGATTGCCAAAACGTAAAGTAGAGAGCGTTTCGCTAGCATTGTAAAGACTCGGAGAGCAATTAATAATCAGCGTCGTTCGAGAGTTACCTCCCAAAGATTCTTTGAGAATTCTGGTCAGCTTTGAGTCACGATAAGGTATGTGACCATGTTTGTTTTCTGTTAAAGAGTTGATGACCATTCCTAAGGTAGAAAGTGACCGATTAATCTTTTTTGCCTCTTCAAGCGTTTGTCCAACGGCACCGCTCTTCCCCACACTTTCAGAGCCTGCAAGGTCCACTAAAAATAGACGACCGCGCCTTGTTTCCCCAGAAGAATTATTAGTCTGTACAACCTCCACAACAAAGATGGAATGAGATCGAGAGCTAGTAGCATTCATGTTGGTACTTGCGACGGCACGGGAACTCATCCCTTGGTTCAAGACTTGGAAAGCCTCTGCTTCGCTCGACACATATACGGTTTTTAAACCTTCTACGTAAACGCCCTGAAGTTTGTTTTCGTGAACGGTTAAATGATTATAGTCAGCTATCATTAGTTAGCTTCATAATTCCGACTCAAAAAATAAATTCGTAAATCATACGAGAAAGTAGATCCCTAATTTTTTCCATGTAGATTTCCATATAAGAAACTTTAACTTCGTACTCGGTTGTCGAAGGGGACGATCGAATTTTGTCAAATATCCTTTGAAGCATTCTCGGGGTCAAACCAGAGCTATTTGGATCTCCTTCGGCTCCCTATGAATTTAGACATTAGCAGAATTCTTACTTCAAAACTCATTATACCATCATGGTGTATGTTTTTCCAGAGCCCGTCTGGCCGTAGGCTAGAACGGTGCCATTATATCCTTGAAACAAATCTAACAATTAGTATAAAAAATTCATTGAAAAAAGGAAAACGAAGCCGTGAGAACTTGGGTTTTAATTCTCAAGGACGTTATGGAATTCCCTACCGTCCACTGTTGGCTTGATAGAATAAGAAAATAAATCCTCCTGGGTGCTTTTTGATCCAAAGACTCTATCAAACACAAAATTTCCGGTGTAATCATTTGTCTAGAAGCTGTTAGGAAAGAAGAACGAAGAGCAAAAATTAACAGGTAAAAAAAAAAAAAAAAAAAAAAAAAAAAACCTGATTGCGGACCTTGATATGCACCGTATTTTCATTCAGTGGAGAGACAATCTCTTCAAATCCTAAAGATTGCTCGAATGAATTAGAAGGACGAATTCTTGAAACAACCTTGACAGAAGTCATTCCATAAAGGGATAAAGTTTACTAGTAAATTCTATAGAAAGTGAAAGGAACAAAAACAGTCGTACTGAAACGTATTTCCTACTCTGAAGACTAGCAAAAGACTGTTTTTAAAAAAGGGAGAGTACAGTTCAGAAAATTTGTATGAGACCAAAATCAAAGCTCGAAAAGAGTGTCTAGTAATTTCAATCTTATTCAATTGTCTGAAATGATTAAAATACAGATATTGAATCTCTTATGTTTTCTTGATGATATCCTTGAACTTGTTGGTAGTTGTTGGAATATGAGAAACAGGACACTTTGAGTTTGATTATGTCTCTCATTCGTGAGGAAGCATTGAATGAAAGTAAGAAAATAAAAAAAAGAATAAAACAACTATGAATAATCGCAATGAGTAAAAGGAAAAAGGACACTTTCTTCTTTTATTCAAAGTCCTCCAAATTCCAGAAAAGAAATTCCTTTACAAAATAAACTATACCTTCTATCCTAAGTCAATGAAAAAGATTGTCAATACCTTGAAACGAAAGCGCTTTTATAATCTCGCGAGTTCAACACCCCTTTGTTTGTTTATTACTGAAGTACAACGTATTTCGATATACTCATACAATTATTTTCTTATGATATCGCTTACGATGATATTTGTTTACAAATAAAGAGATTGAATCGGTCGCACAAGAATGTCACTTCTTAAGTAAAAACAAAAAAAAGGTGGTCTTAAAATCAATGCACTTCTGAAAGTCCCATCTGCAAAAGTCGACATTTTCCTTTGGCATAATTTCAGTCCCCGCCCCCGCACCCTCCTTGTGCAGTTTGTGCGTTTTCTTTATGCAGGTACACAGTAACTCCCCCACTTAGGGTGTACATAGTATTCCACGCTAGTGTTAGGGTTTGGGGAGCACGCCCCACATTCACCTAGAGTACCCCCACCAACCACCACTTTATATGATCAGCATAAGATAAGAACAGGAGAGAGAAAGATCACACTCTAACGATTCCGCATGTCGTTTTTATTTGCGAAACGACCAAAATCAAGTCAAGATGTTATTCGCAATCTGTGTGAACAGCTTCATCGCTTAGAGGGAAATCAGGATAAAAAGAAGGTACGAAAACTGAGGTGATAGAATACCTTGAAGGTCGCAATTACTGATGTAAAGAAATAGTCATTTGAGGAAATTGCAAAGTATTTACAGAATTTGAGGATTGCTCTTTGTGGTACCGCAGAGGCAGAGCCTCATGCAGACCAGGTTTCAGAATTATCGTTGCAAATTTATCAATCCAATGTGCTTCTGCTACTAGCGCGAAACTTGCGAAAACTGGACTTTGAGTCACGTAAAGACACAGGATTGATTTTCAGTGCCATGCTTCGAAGACAGGTAGCTTCACGCTATCCTACAGTTGATTATATGATGGGGAACATCAACATTTTCCCTCTACTCATTTGTTACTATCAATACCCGGAGTCTGCCTTCACTGCTGGAACAATTCTAAGAGAGTGTTCTCGACATGATATTCTGAATCAGGTGTTGCTGGAAACCAGTCAGTTTTGGCTGTTTTTCGAATTGGTACAAGCCCCTAGTTTTGATATTGCCAGCGATGCATTTTCTACGTTCAAGGTACGTTTTTATATCTTTAAGATATCATTTTTTTCAGGCCTCGTCTTTGAAAGAAAGAAGTAAATTTTTTCATTGGCTCAATCGTTTCCTTTTGTTTACTAACACCCTTATAGGCTCTCTTACTGACGCATAAGCATCGAGTTGCTGAATTTATCTATAAGAATTTCGATAAATTCTTCTCACATTTTACTGTGTTATTAAATTCCGAAAACTATGTTACCAAGCGGCAATCGCTTAAATTGTTGGGCGAAATCCTACTAAATCGTGCTAATTACTCTGTTATGACTCGATACCTGGCCTCTGCAGAAAATTTGAAGCTAATGATGATTTTATTACGAGACAAAAGTAAGAATATTCAGTTTGAAGCATTTCACGTCTTCAAACTCTTTGTTGCCAACCCTGAAAAGTCTCCAGAAGTAGTGGAAATTTTGCGACGAAACAAATCCAAACTACTTACTTACCTTTCTGTTTTCCACAATGACAGAAAGAATGATGAACAGTTTAATGATGAACGTGCATTTATTTTGAAACAAATCGAACGTTTATGATACCCCTTTTTTTTTCTCTATTCAATGCCGTCTTTTTCTTGCCTGCGTTCTTTGATGCTTCATTTTTATCTCTCATATCTTTTTACTTTTTTTTTTTTTTTTTTTTTCTGTATGTCTTTCTTGTAAATTAGAATAGATTATTTAGTTTAATGTTACCCAATGATAATTACTCAAGCTCATCAATTTGCATTACTTGCAAACTATCTTTTTAAAAAATATGAAAGAATTATTAAAAAAGCTTCAATAAAATTTATTCCTTATTCTCTAACGAAAGTATTAATGTTTTTCTATGAAAGCGCATAAAATAAATTGAAAGAAGTATCGGTAAAAATAAACCGTCGTGGTACAATTGAATTTCATATCAAAAATAAACATGAATTTTCAAGGCAATCATTGAGGTAATGTAATGTTTACAGGCTTTTGTGAAAGCACTTCATACCTTCCCCATTTAGGATCTCTGAAAGGAACTGACAAGGCTCTTCCAAAAAATGGAGTATTCTTTGTATCAATAAAAGGAAACGTAAACAAAACCTTCCACCCAGGCTCCTTTGAATAAACCAACTCATGTTTGGTCGGTTCCGAGTACGTAAACTCGGAATCTATTAGAAAGTCACATTCCTCTATAGAGACATAACGGGTTGGTTCTTCATGGTTTAGGTCGTTCATATACATAGGCGTTTCATGATATCCAGGACGATTCCACCAGCTCGTAACATTATCTTCTTTGAATTCAGCAGGCAAGATCCCATCAAACTCACTTTTTATAAACTTAAGGCGAGCGTTATCAGGAAGAAAAAAACTGGATGGATACCTGTACCACTCTTTACCGACGCAGACATTCATTGTTGAGCTTCCCGGAGTTTCTAAGTATCTGAGGGCAGGATATACAATCATTGGTGCATTATAGTTTTGCACTGCCAAAATTCTGGCAATGCTAACGCATCCCATAAGAAGGTAAATGCTAAGGACAAGTATACGAACAGGAAATGTAGATTGAGCCCTTTGCGTCACGTTTGTATATAAGTTCATGCTGATTTTAATGAACATATCCAATCCAACAGCTCCAGCTAAGCAGAGAACAGGATAAATGGGGTACATGAACCGCTCTTCTTTGTGGGGCTGAAGAAGGAAGATCAGCAACCACAGATAAAAAGGAGAAATGACAGAGGAAAGGTCAAGGAAGGAATCTAAATTAATCCAGTTGGTGAGAGCAGCAATGAAGACAAAAGGACCACAAGCTAACGCAAACCAAAAGGCAATATTGTGTTGCAAAGTCAGGTTAGCAAAATAATACCACCAAGGCTCAGTTCCGTAAATGTCGGGACCACGACCGTCTTTTGCGAGGACATTATACTTAACAATATTCCAAGCTACAAATTGAAGTTTCTGATAAAAGATTGAGTCCACCGCAACACAAATGCCCGCAATCAAAAGACAAACGAAGCCACCTTTCAACCAGCGAGACATCAAAGGGATAAACTGGCGTTTGAGATCCATAAGTTCCAGAAGAACAAAAGGAATAGATAGGGCAGCGGAAAAAGGCCATCCCAAAATTGCACCAATCACGACAAATGAAAGGACTTTAACGGTACGCCTGGCTGAAGGAAGACTCAACTGGGCAGATAGGGAAAGAGTAACCATGTTCATAGCAAAAGACGATGGAAGAAAACTAGTACTGGCAACCCATATACCAGAACTGACAAAGAGAATAGAGGTCAAATGAAGGGCCACAGCACGATTAAAGTTCCTTGCAACAGCTTGAACAAGTGTAGCTTCACAGAAGGCAGAAAAACAGGCCATAACGCCGCGGACAAAATAAAAAATATGGAGACGACTCAAACCCATAGTTTTGGCAACTGTAGCTGGTATAGCATGTAAAAAGATATAGAACCAGCTGCGGATGGAGTACTCGGGAGAGTATTCCCATGTTTGAAGACCATAGCCATATAAAAGATAGTGCAACGGTTCCCAATAGTTATACACCTCGTCACAATCGTCAATCACACGAAAAGATGCTGACGTAAGATGCAAGACAAGCAGAATGCTGAATGTCCAGAGGAAAGAGACCGGCAACGTTTTTTTATGAGGAGCGGATGGCATGTTAGTGGAGGTACACAAGTCTGCAAAAAGAATTTCTTTTTAAGAGGAACAAGGACCAAACCTGGTGAAGATAGGCAAAAAAGGGGACAGAGAGAAAGCGATCGTCGCAATCAGCTACTTGTTATTATACCCGTTCAGACAACAGTTCTAAGGCGTTTTTATATCGTAGAAATAAAATAGTATTAATAAATCATTAGAAATTTGAAAAAAAAAAATTGCTAAAATTGGGGTTTCCGCACTACGTTCCTACTGGCAAGGATGGAAGTAGTTGGCTGCTGGTGGAAAACCTATAGTTGACTTACGAATGACCCATCGAGCATAAAAAGGATATCCTTCTAGGATGGATGTTCTACAATCAAGTGCTACAAGAAACCAGAGATTAGTACTTTGATAATTTCCTACTCAAGAGAAAAACCGTTCTCGGCTTGCTACAAAGCTCCAGATATATGCTTCACGCTACGTCTTGTGCATCCAAATCATTGGGAGAATACAAAATTAATTATTATTATTGTTGTTGTTTCAACTCATTAATATACATGAACAATTGATAAACAGTTGTGAGGCACCCTGTCCCATAAATACAGAAAACGTTAGGCTTTATGACAAAACAGAACAAAAGAAGCATGAGAAACAGCAAGTCCCGACCCAATTCTTCTTTTCATAACTTCCGCTTTTCTTTCATTCACTCACACGTAGACACCAATACCCAACCTCATACCAACATATTATAGATTCTTAACACACAATCACTATGGAAGCAACGGCGAAAACAATCATCAGCAAATATGGTACTTAGGCGCGTTCACCGCGAAGACGACGGGCCAATTGCATATCCTTGGGTTGAATGGTAACACGCTTACCGTGGATAGCACACAAATTGGTATCTTCGAAGAGAGAGACAAGGTAAGCTTCGACGGCTTCTTGAAGAGCACCAACAGCAGAGGATTGGAAACGCAAGTCGGTCTTGAAGTCTTGAGCAATTTCACGAACCAAACGTTGGAAAGGAAGCTTACGGATCAACAATTCAGTGGACTTTTGGTAACGACGAATTTCACGAAGAGCGACGGTACCAGGGCGATAACGATGAGGCTTCTTGACACCACCAGTTGCGGGAGCGGCCTTACGGGCGGCCTTGGAGGCAAGTTGCTTACGGGGAGCCTTACCACCGGTGGATTTACGTGCAGTTTGCTTAGTACGAGCCATTGTAATTTTGTAATAAAACTTGGGAAAAGAAATCGAGCTTTCCTGTAAACAAATGATTTCTCAAATGTCTTTGTTGTTGGTTAAAGGCAAGTTGTGGATCCCTCTTATTATATATGTATAACAGGTCACACATCTTCATCTATTTTGGGGTTAGGGTTTTTGATGAAGAAATTAAACATATATCGAGCGCGTCGCACTTGCATCAACTTGTCAAACACCGTACTTCAACAAAGCATTGAATTGTATAACACAATTTTATAATTGTGTACGCGTTTCTGAAGCAATTGCTTATTCTCCTGTAGTGTATCTTCCTCATTGCCGATTGAGGAACTGGTATTCATTCATCTAATTTTTTTCGATTTATACTCTTTTTTATTTTTCTTTTCGTTGAATCATGTCTGGTCGCGGTAAAGGTGGTAAAGGATTGGGAAAAGGCGGTGCCAAGCGTCACCGTAAGATTCTGCGTGACAACATTCAAGGTATTACCAAGCCTGCTATTCGTCGTCTTGCCCGTCGTGGTGGTGTAAAACGTATTTCTGCTTTGGTCTATGAAGAAACCCGTGCTGTCTTGAAGTTGTTCTTGGAAAGTGTCATTCGTGATGCCGTCACATACACTGAACACGCCAAGCGTAAGACCGTCACTTCCTTGGACGTTGTCTACTCTTTGAAGCGTCAAGGCCGTACCATTTACGGTTTCGGTGGTTAAACAGAAGTTTTCATTCACTTATGGGCGACCTTGCATGGGCATTGCATTAATTTTTTTCTCCTTTTGTTCTACCTTCTTTTCTGTATACCGCCGTTTTATTTCTTTTCTGACTCGTTTAATGTGATTTGTTGTATTCATTTTGTATATCCGTGTTTTTCTGAACCTACCGAAGACATGACTTGTACATTATTGTTTATTTGCAAGAGGCCGGTAAGAAGCATGAATGCAATGATGAAAGATTTCCGATTCTAATCCGGTAATAATTTATTCAAAACAATTAATATATACCTACATTTTTTGCATTTTATTCATCTTGAGTCGTAGCTCGTAACAAGTTGTAAATCCGTTTTTCAGCGACTGCTTTCTGTGTGAATTGTTCTAATGAATAGATCCACTATATTAAAATACCAACACAAAGTATCCTACATTCTTTCAAATTTTGTTGTAGATTCCAAAACTGTTTTATTCGATGTACGGCAATTTGTCTATTTACTCAATAACTTTCTTATATACTGGAATAAAAGGAGCATTCAAGCCGGTCCACATTTGGAAAGACGCAAGTCCTTGACGTACCAATACCTCTAGACCACTGGAACAACGCCATCCATGCTCAGAAGCAACTGCCATCAAAGGAGTGTGCAATGGCTTGTAGGCCATATCCAAAAATATAGATTGCTTATCGCCAGTGGCAATCAACGTCTTCACCAAACGATCCACTCCTTCGGGAAGTGCAATATCAGCAGGAACTGTAGAAATGGCCGAAGCAATGGAGACACCCTTTATTTCTTCAGGCGTTACCTTATCGGCATCCAGTACCTTAATATTGTATTCAGGAGGGAATACGTTCTGAACCGCGTATGAGTTGGTTACCGTGCGGTTCACAAGATAAATATCCGAAACACCCAAATGATGCAATGTGTAAACAGCAGCCCGACTTGTGCCACCTGCTCCAATTACTAAAGCACTGGATCCAACCAAAGACATTCCATCCAGGGCAGCAGTAAAAGTATCATAGATACCACGCCAGTCGGTGTTGTCTCCCCGAAGACACAGCTTCCCATCCTTCACGGTAGGAATGATTGTGTTGACAGCGCCAAAGAATCTAGCCTCGTGGCTCAATTCGTCCATATATCGCATGATGGGCAGTTTATAAGGGATAGTGACATTTGCTCCACCAAAATCAGGGCTGTGAAGTACACTTTCCACTTCCTCAACAGAGTTTGTTTCGTAAGCTTGATAAGTATGAGGAAGACCCAACAAACCATATGCAGTATTGTGAAGGACAGGTGAACGTGAATGTGAAATTGGTTTCCCGAACACGTAGAACTTTTGAGGAACAATTTCGCCAATCAAAGCCAAAGCCTCATGCAATTGCTTTACACTCAACTGACCTGGAGCAGCTTTAGATGGCAAGTCAGGATGGGTAACAGGAGTTAAAAACTTGTTAAAAATTCTGGAAAGCTGTCCTTTGCTTCCCATATTAATCGCAATCAAGGGAATCTTCATAGTACGAGTTACAGAATTACGGAAATTCTCAAGCTCTAAATTATCGTTGAAGGTTTTGGCGGTACCAACAAGCTTAATAATATCAGCAAACGAAGATGCCAATTCAATTTTTTGCATCCATTCATGAGGTCTAGCCCAAGACCAAGTACCAGAAACGTCGTGCCAAGACATAAGTAGCTTAGTGTTTCTCTTGCTTTCATAAATCTTGGTTATAGATTCGATGCTCCAGCCTAATTCGACATCAACAAAATTGATACCGTAACGAATAGCTGATAGAACTAATTCAAGGGCTTCTGATTCCTTATCATCAGGGAACAAACCACCCTGTTTCTTTGTGCGAACAGTAAAGATAATGGGCAAACGAGTGTGGCACCGAAGCAAAGCAACCTGTTCTGCGACAAAGTCAAGGGTGGGAACTCCATTCTTAGCCTTAGGATCCTTCAAGTGATCAACCCGAATTTCAATGGCATCACAACCCAGACTCACCTCATTTAACAAAGGAAGAGCTTGTTCAACATTAGGGAAGTTCAAAGTCAAAAATGTAGAACGATTCTTTTCCGTAAGCTGCTGCAAGGATCGTGTTTTACCAGTAATAACTTCCAAAAATCTGGACATCGAGGATTCGATTTTTTCCTCTACAACTCTCTCGTCTAAAACTGGACTGATAAAATAGTGTGAGCGGCATTGACGGTACCATTGATGGCGCCGACCGTAAACATCACGAATGTTTTCTTGATCTTTGTAAGCAGGACGGGTGATATCTTTTGAAAGATAGGAAACAATGTGATCAAGATTTCTATGAACATGTAAAACAATGCCCCCGTCTTTTACATAATTTTCAAGTAACTTGCGTGACTCGCTCATTTCAATAACACCACCACCACTTGCGGCAACAAAACCATGAGGACGTTCTCGAATGAATTCACGAAGCAATTTGTGCTCTTCATGACGAAAAGCATCCCATCCCAACTTGAATACAACTTCCGTGATAGGCATAGCCAAATGATCCTCTAACAATTCATCCAAGTCGACAAATTCCATATCAAGCTGTTTCGAAATGATCTTGCCAATCGTAGTTTTACCGGCTCCACGCATACCAATCAATATGATAGAAGCATTTTTATTAATCACAGCACCCTGTTGTTCATTACCGATGGTAGAACCATGCAATGAAACTCTAAAAGAATTGCGTAAAGCATCCCACCAAGAAGGCCAGGTTTTCTCAACACAAGCTTTATCAATAACAACGGTAGGCGAAGGTGCAAGAATAGCTAATAAGCTAAAGGCCATGGCAACTCGATGGTCGTCATAAGTATAAACACCACCTTCAGGAGAATTTAATGTCTTATAATCTTTGCCAAAAATGTAGATACCATCTTCTAACTCACCGGCGCGCACACCAAATTTCGACAGTTCATGAACCATTGCGGCAATACGATTACATTCTTTGACTCTTTGGTTGCCAATACCGGTAATACGAGTAATGGCATCACCCTCGGCATTCGAAGCTACTGCGGCTACGACGGAAGCGGTCAAAAAGGCGTCAGTCATGGTTTCCATATCAACACTTTCAAGTGGCTTCAATTTACCCTTAGGAGGACCTTGAACGGTTGTACTAGTTGCTGTTTGTTCAACCAAGCAACCCATAGGCTTAAGCACATCTCTAGCAAAACGAGAATCACCTTGCAATGAAGAACTACCAATATTGGGAATAGTACACTTAGTGCCGGTAAGAGCAGCAATGGCCAGAGGATAGGTAGCAGAGCTGGCGTCACTTTCAATTTCGTAGTTAGAAGGACTCTGGTAATTCGCTTGAGGAATATGGTAAGTGTTCTCTTCAGTAGAAGATTTCTGGACATTGATACCAAAAGAAGCCATCATGGCAATAGTCATGTCAATATACAGTTGCGAAATTGGTTTACCACCAACTAACTTAAGTGTGACTGGTTCAGATGCATATGGAGCACACATAAGAATGGAAGAAACATATTGAGAGGAAACTGTAGCAGCTAGTTCAATAACACCACCCTTTAAGCCACTTTCCGAAGACATAGAAAGAGGCAAGGAGCCTTCCTTTTCAAGATATTTAACAGTACAACCGTTGTTCCGTAAGGCATCGACTAAAGGACCAATTGGACGAACTTTCATTCGATGATTACCAGTAAGAACGACACCATGTTCATTATTCTTAGTTGGAACAAGTGCAGAGACACCAGTCAGGAAACGAGCAGCAGTACCAGCATTACCTAAATAAAGAGCATCTTTAGGAGGGCTCATTTTACCGCCACTACCTTCTACAACAAGAGTTTCGCCATTATCTTCCCATGAAAACTTGGCTGCTCCAAGGGATTCCAAAGCTGACATCATGAATTGAGTATCATCAGAGTGAAGCATATTTGTAAGGCGGCAAGTACCTTGTGACAAAGCAGCCAACACAAGAGCACGATTAGAAATAGACTTAGAACCAGGTGGAGTAACTACAACGTCGAGAGAATGTTCAGTAAAAGTACCAACTTTCACGTCAGAAGATAGAACAAAACGGATATCGTCATCGGAAACTACAGTGGCATGCTTTTCGTAAGTCTCACCAATAGCCTTCAAAATTACAACTCGCTTTTTGGATCCTTGATTCTTTTTATCAACGGCCATGGTCAAAATGAGATTCTCAACGGGGCAATCTTTAAAACCTGCATATTTCTTAATTTTAGGGTCATTAACGCTTACGGGCAAGCCATAAGAGACAAGGCATTTAGCCAATCTTCCAACAGCATTAGGTTTCAAAACACCCAAATGTCTTGCAAGTTCTACCTCCTTAATCATACCAATTGCAACACATTCACCATGGAGAATCTGAGGGTACAAAATAGCTTCATATGCATGTCCGATACTATGGCCGAAATTTAGTAAGTTACGAAGACCACCCTCACGTTCATCGAGAGTTACAACTTCGCATTTTGTGCGGATGGAAGAAAGAATGATCTTTTGAAGCAAGTTTTTGATTTTGAAATACTTGTACTCTCCAGAAACAGCGGGCTTGTGAATTTCTTCCATGAGGATAGAAGAATTGTTTTCTAGTAACTGAAAATCTTTCTCATTCCACATGGCAGCAGTTTTAATAATTTCTGCTAAGCCATTGATTACTTGACGAGGAGATAATGTGTGCAAAACGAGTAAATCCACATAGACTCTCAAAGGTTGCCAAAAAGCGCCAATTAAATTCTTTCCGAGAGGGGCATCAATACCAGTTTTACCGCCAATAGAAGAGTCTACCATTGCAAGCAGAGTAGTAGGCATTTGAACAAAACGAATACCACGCATAAAAGTCGCAGCGACGTATCCAACTAAATCACCAATAACACCACCACCCATAGCAATTAATAATGTGTCTCTAGTGCAAGATTGAGAAAGCATCCAATCCTCAATTTCAGCTTTCATCGCGCGACACTTGGATGACTCCCCAGGAGGAATGATGTAGCTCAAAAATCTCGATTCGGCTCCATTCTTTTTGATAGTATTCCTAAACGTACGCTCAAAAGGTTCCAAGTGATGAGGTGCAATGTTAGAATCCGTAATTACAATATACGTTGACGACTGGAATTCCTTCAGAATTTCTGTAGCGACATATTCGTTTAAACCGAAACCAACCTTTACGGTCTCCTTGCCAAGGATAGGGACCGTAATCATATCTAATTCACTTGACATATTGCAAGTAGAAAGCCTTTACGGCAAGAGTCTCACTTTCTCGGTCTAAGAATGTGGTAGCGGTTTGGGTATATTACACGCGACATTCTCACTTTCTCATAGCAACCATGTTTACAAAATCGTTGCGCTTCACAATCTGAATATGAAAATTAATAAAACTGTAAACTCATTGAAAGCTGGTGAATTATGAATTTAAGTAAATTTATAAGTACCAGGACTACCAAATTAGTTTGAATCTTCAGTACATCGGCTTGAATCTTAGAAAAATTGGATGCATTCTAGCGTTAGAACTATGACCATAGATACAATGAAACGCTCTAAAGCGTTTCTTATGAACAGTAAAATAAGTAATTGATTTATACTCAAAGTAAAGCAAGAGTATGTTATAATAATGAGTCGATACTACCGCAAATTTTAGACCGAAAAACCTTGCAATTGCCAGAAACCATAAATAGATAGCAATTATGAAACCTTTCGAAGTGAAAAAGAATGTATTTTAGAGAACAAATAAGTATGGAAAAGGATAGGAAATACAAAAGTAAATCTAAGTAAATTATTAGATTTTAATTTACTCAGAATCGGAGTAAAATTCATCAGATTCTGGATCAAGCATTGAGAGATCGAGTTGGTAACGCATAATGGCACCAATGCCACCGAAACCCTTAACGAACTGCATACCCTCTTGAGAGCGATCAGAAACGAATTCCAAATTCGCACCATAATCCTTATAGTGCTCGGCAAGCCACTCAGACAATGCCATTGTGTTAACCAACTCCATTTCGGCACCAGTTTCTTTATCAAGCAAATATGAGTTGGTCTTGTCGTTTTCTTCTTGTTCTTTGGTCATGTAATTAACTACAGTATTGCCCTCAGAGTTTTTAAACTCGTAGCGCGTCATGTCAAGGTCGGCATAAATAAGAAGGATTTCGACAGCACCTTCCTGTAAAGCATTCATAGTATCGACAACACCAAAGCAATACTTGCCAGTATCCAAACTAATTTCATCAAAGAACTTTTGAATAATCTTTTTCTCTTGAACAAATTTCACGTTAGCTAAGGTATCAGCTGACAATTCAATAGCTTGGTTGAAACCGGCTTCACCACCGTAGGAAACATCAACAGTCCTGATGATTTTTGCTTGTAGTCTATAGTCAAACAAATCACTTTGACCAAGTACAGTCTTGAAATCAGCAGAACCAGCAAGGATAAGGCCAGCGACATTGGCCTTGTCATCTGTGATAAAATGTTGAACAGCATTTTCGGCAACCTTACGAATGTAATTGTGTCGCTTCTCCTCACGAAGACGAGCGAAACGAAGAGCTGATTGACCACCACGACCGTGCTTCTTGGGCAAATCAACGCTAAACTTTTGTAACACCTCGCGAGAACTACCAGAAACCATACCGTAAAGAGTTTGATGACCATCCATAACAATGAAGCCAAAGCGTTGATCAGTCTCCAACAATTCGGCAAGAGCTTCTGTGTGAAATTTGTTATCACACAAATATTGAGAGGTATTAATGGGTTTGAAAGGCTCGAAGTCAATGTTAAGCTTTCTGGTTTTATTGCCTTCCATCATAACTTCACCACAGTAAATAACCAAACCGTTTTCGGGGACCTTATTGTAAAGCTTTAGACGCTCACGAGTCGAGGTAATGGCGGACAAGACGGAAAGTCTGTTCACACGAGACTTAATGTTTGAGGCGGTACCATATTCTTCCGCAAGCATGCTGCTAATTCGAGAAATTTGTTCACGAGGAGGAATAATCAATGTAATCATTGAAGTACCATTGCCATGGCAATTGACCAACTGCTTTACCAAGCGGCGAATCTTCCAAATTTGAATTGCTGTTTCTGCTTGTTCGCTCATTTTTCCCTGTATATCAAGATTTTTTTTGCAATCTCTGAATTTTTCTATTTAAATATCACCAAAATTACCAAAGAACCCCAATTATTTAACTAAAAGACCAGGAAATTAAATTTTTGGCCTCAAGGCTGAAATGCTTGGTAGTCGGTAAGTTTCTTTTGCTATTAATTCAAGTGACCGCGCTTTCCTAGTTTACCATCGTTCCGCTTCACAAATCAGCTTTAGCAATTTAGCTTTAGAAACTCTGTTTATCAGTATAACGTAGTATAAAGTTTCTACGCTTTCCTATTTAAGTAGTTATATCATTTTTTTCAACAATACCGTTAATTATTTTCTACGCAGTTTGGAATACTAAGTAACGAAGCATCGCTGTGTAACCCAATTCTGTTATGTTACTGATTTCTTGTTTGGTAAGTAGCAAGAAGGAAGATCTGTGTAATGTTTATTTCATGAATTATGAGGAAAATATGTTATGTTTTATTGTATATAATATATATATATAAATCTAAGAAAAGAAAGACAAAGTTTATAACTTTTGTGGTTTAAACGAGCAGATTTTACTCCTTTAAGAGTTTTTGCGCATATAGGTTTTTACTGTTGTACTTAGAGTCTTCGAATTAGCGGTTTATTGCATTCAGTAAACATAAAATAAAAGATAATTGATGAAAAAAACATGACTACAGCTAGCCAGGTTTGATTATTACTACGACACGGTTACCAAGCGTTGTGCTGAGATTCTCCAAAGGTAGGAAACCATTGAATAAGGTATTGCAAAAGTAAATAAATTGAAAAAATTAAGATATTTGGTTTTATTCATGTTGGTAGCTTTTGCATGTGAACCAACTTATTGGTATCTATTACAAAAATGCATGCTCGTGGGATCATTTTCTTGAGAAATAATTTAGTATGGACAACTTATGTTTTTTTTTAAATATTTTTAGTTCAAAAAATTTTACGAATTCCTTTTTATGTTAATGGAATCTACTGAAAAATTGTGTTTACTTGATCACTTACAAACAAACAAGGTAAACAGACACGATCGACTATTCAGCCATTAAGTTTCATCAAAATTTATGAGAGAATTGTAAATTAAAAAGAAATAAACATCAAGTCTTAGTTCAGTTACCTTTCGGAATTTGGATTAGTTCATACTTTATGCTGGTACCTTTACTCGAAAAATTTATTGAGACAAGTATAAAACGATGTTCAACTAATCAAAAGGCGCTTCCAAGTCAACCTAAATGACGCTTTATGCGTATGGATTTGAAACTCGATATTTCCTATAATCCGTTTTCTCTTCCGTTATTGAAGCTCAACCACAAGAGATTCCTAGATCATAGTCAGTCATGAAATTCAAATGCTAGTCACTCAAGTACGACTTAGTTGTACTTAACCGTAATTTAAAATGCTACAAGTTATGGACTTCTGATAATCAAATAGAATCTGATTTTTTCAGTTATTGTTTCTATAATAAGTTTGTTCGTTTAACACATTGTGCTAAGGGAACGAGCTATTTCATATATCAAAAGAGAAAAAAAATGTAATAATCATACAAGCAGCTTTTGTTCCTAGAGTAAACGACCATCCTGGATGTGTAGACAGCGAAATAAGTGCAAGTCTTCAACTAAATGATACACAATATGATTTACAAGTCAAATCAAAATTAGGACTTGCTCATACTATCACGAATACTTTGGGAACTGGCACTTACAGGGTTGTTGGTCATGGGAAGTACAGTAGCGCTTTCCTTTTTGCGCTGTTGCTGAGCCTTTGCAACGGCGTAGACAATACCAGAGATAAATCCCAAAAAGATAGCGCTGACAGAGCCGAAAGTGACAGGAGCATTAAAAAACAATAAACCAGCAATTGCCAAAGGTAACTTATTGAGGGCACCAACCATACTATAAGTAGTCGAGGAAGTGACTCGAACACACCAAGCAGAAGTATAAGAAATGCCGACCGATGAAACACCACTAATTGCCATGGCGATCAAAACATTGTATTTAGAGTCAGGAGGAAAGTTTTTAGCAATGTTTTCAGCACTCCAGTTTTCCGTGAAGAGAGTGCAAACGACTAGAATTGGAATACTAAGAAGATTATTATAGAACATGGTGTCAAAGTCACGGAAGTTTGTGAGCTTAATGCGCTTACGCATGGTAAGAACAAAAGCCGCATTGGTTATGCAGTTCAAAAACATCCAAGAGTAACCGGAGTTCAAGGAAGTGTATCCAGAAGTAGCAGAGGATTGAATATCTGCCCAAGCGGCCACAACAGAGGACAGAACCATCAAACCAAAGGAAAACAAAGTTAGGGCAGAAACATGACCGCCAAACCAAAGCACTTCACCATAGGCAATAACAATGATGGTCAAGTTTTTGAAAATAGTATATACAGGAACAGATAAATACTGTAAGGCTTTGGAGGAAGTGTAGATCATAGCTACAAGCAAAAACGAGATAGGGAACCAAAACTTTGCCTCACGAAAATCAAAATCGCGGTAGGTGATTATTTTGAAATTTTTCAAAACCCGAATTGTAAGGACACAGATTAGGGATTGTACGGTCAACAGCAGAAAGTTCATGTTATACCCAGGACTAGACAAGACATATTTGTTTGTCATCGTCATTAAAATAGATGCCATGCAATAAGAAGCCACCGGAAGAGTCGGTGATTTACTTATACGATTCGCAATGTTTGCATCCATTTTTAATTTAGTGTTGCAATTGAATGGCTCCGATTAAGTCAGATACTTGCAGTTCTGAGCTCTGTACAGAGTAAAACCTCAACAACTTAAATGGCGCCTCACCCTTACCTAAAAGCAATTTGACGATATCATTACAGTGCGAGACGATCAGGACTAATTTATGAAGATTGCAGAGACGAGAATAGAATAACATAATTCTTTTGATTTTCAGAAAAGAATGTATGCTGCTCTTTTCTAGCTGAAAAATCTTTCATTTTTCAAAGCGGACTGTACACCGATAGCGCAAACATGTTCATTGAAATTACTGGAGAGCATCACTCACTTGCATTATTTTCTTGTAGCCGTTTTGGTTGAATACGCTTTGTTTTTAATATTTCGTTTGTTTTTGTTTACAAAACACCTTTTTATTGATTCCTTTTAGTCTGCTTTATTGTTATTTGAGTATTTATTTTTTGGGTTTGTTACTTTTCAATAGAGCATGGAACTCCCCTATTTAGTTTACTGAGAGAAGGTTCAGATATGCTAAACCCATACCTTACTATGTCACTGTTAACTGGATTTCGATTGTATACTTCACCACCACCCTGCTCCATCATCGTGTAGGCTTTCTATCACTTTTCTGTCTGAAGTCACAGTTTACTTAAATCTTTAGAGCCTTGCAGTTTGTAATTGGCAAATTGGTTTTTAAAAAAACCAAGCATTGAACGTAATTGGAAGCTGCACGTTGCGAAAGTAAACATTACAAGAATATCTGTTTGCTTGCTGTGAATACCCTTTTATTTGTTATTAAAAGAATTGAACTTGAAATCACTTCGTTTCGGTGAGAGCCTTTTCCCTAACCATTATTTTGCAAGATGTCGCGAAGAAGTTCTGTTACTATTGAGCAGGCTATAAACCCAAATATGTTGAGGTTCCGCTCGCAACAAATGCAAGAAAAAGAGGACAAGAAGTTTGGTGGTGTACAAGCATACAGCACGGAAAGTGGAATGCTGTTCCACGCAGGTAAACTTGTTATCATCATGTCTGGTTTACCGGCCAGAGGAAAATCCAACATTGCTGTATCTATAGACCGATATCTGAAATGGCTTGGATTCCATTGTCAATTCTACAGTCTCGCAAAGTATATGGATGAACAATCAAAAGACGTTGGAAGCTTACGAGCTCCTTCTGGTATGTGTTTTATATTATGATTTTTTTAAGACTTTTTTTGGAACATGGTAACTAACCAGCTTGCGTTAGCATCCTTCTCGAAGAGTCTTCTGGCACTTTACAGAGATAATACCATTCAGCAGTGTTTACGAGATTTAGAAAACTTTCTTTCGAGAGAAAAAGGCCAAGTCGCTATTTATGATGCTACGAACGGTACGAGAGAAACAAGGAAAGATTTATATGATCGATTTAAAAGCCTTGGTTTTAATGTTTTGTTTATCGAAAGTATATGCGACGAAGAAAACGTAGTTCGTGCCAACATTCAGGAGGCTATCCGTGTCTCACAAGAGGTATGAAAAGTTTAAATCCTTTGTTTTTTCTTCTATTTTTATTAATGATGGTTAGTTCAAAAACTGGGACTTAAAATCAGCCGAGGCTGAATATTGTAGACGTATAGATCTTTTAAAAATGAATTATGAACCTATTGATGAAAAAGAATATTCTTATGTTAAAATGATTAACTTTTCGGAGACGCTCATAACCAACCGAACGAATCAAGGATACTTATTGGTACGTTGTTTTGGTATTTGTTCTCTCTTAAAACTCTACTAATGGCTCAGTCACGTATTATATTTCTGTTAATGAATATTACCCTTACGAGAAATCGGGTATTCTTGGTATCGAAAGCTTCTATGAGACCACTCTTATCCCAAGAATCTGAGGATGATGAGGCGAACCGTAAGTTCATGGAATACCTTGTTCAGCAGTTTAAGCATTTGTTTCCTTCGATTTCTTTTAAAAATCTTGTTGTGATGTCGAGCTTGGAAGACTCTACAATGAACCCTTTTCGAGATTTGGGGTCTCGAGCATTCTCACGTTCAAATCTGTCACCTCTAGTAATGGATTGGTTTGGTAATGATTATGAGAAACTTCGTGCTGCTTTTGGAAAGGATGAATATGATTTATTTATGAGAGACCCGTATAGGTGTAGGGTGAAAGAACGGGAATCGTTTTATGACCTTGCAGTCCGCTTGGAACCATTAATTTTGGAAATTGCTAGAGAAGCTCGTGACGTAGTTATTGTTGGATCGAAAAGTTTGGTCCGTGTACTTTATGGATACTATATGAATGTTCCAGCTGGGGTGTGTATTTTTTAATTCATTATATATATATTCTTTATTTTTTTGTGCTGACCATGAATGTATAGGACATACCTTTTCTTTCTTTGCTACCTACAGCAATTTTCGAGTTTATTGACAACAGTACCGGCATGCAAGTTAATGAGTATGAGCTAGATGCTAAAGAAGCTCATGATTACGACACTGCTAATGAAGATTTTATTGGTAAATATAACACGCCTCCTCCCGTATAGGGAAAATAATAATATCGTACAATATGGCCAGCTGTTCGCAGTTATAGGTTTCTAAAAATAACAACTACGACTATAAGATTATCGATCAATATTACCAAAGAAGCACTGAGACGGGAATTATTGTTTGCTAATCAATTAACCAAAAAATTGCTCTATATAAGTTAGGAAGTTATTTAATTTACACATTCATTAGGAGCGAAAAAAAAATTAGATACATGTAGACATCATGCTGTTCAAAACATTTAAAAGTTGCTCGTTTTCACATGCTGCGGCAACACGCTCCTTATCATTCAACTGCTTATTGACTTGCAATTCACTTGCATGCGTTCCCTTTTTAACTTTTACGTCCACGTGGAAACGAGGTGGAAGACAGCGTTCTAAACGCACACGGATGCACAATCCAATTAATGTGCACATAGAACAGTGGGGAATAGTAGGAGTGATATGTACAATAACTGCAGAATTCCCATCTACATTATCGTAAACTTCAATATCTTCCAACTTCACAACTGACAGTTGAGCCAAAGTTAAAGGGTGTTCAGGATCATTAATTTTCGCTAACAAATCAAAAATTTCTTGCGCATCAACTGCATCGCGAATCTTCTCAACATTTTCAAGCTCGTCACTTATATCCCATAACCATCCTTCATTACCTTTTAAGAACAGATTCTCTTCTTCTTCTTGTGCTCTTGTAGGAAGTTGGCTCAAAGCCTTCACTTCAGGATTTTCGTTTTGCAATGTAGCGCTCATTGAAAAACTTATTGAATCAATTAATTCAATCAATAACAGCTAAAACCACCACCGATACAGAACACTGTTCAGATTAACGTACACCTGCACATGGATATATATATATATATATAGTCTCCTCTCTCCAGAGTTTGCCATCTCGTTTGACTTCGTAAAAAGTATAGTGTGGTTTGGTAGCTGTATGTAATACCTAACAACGAAGCATTGTCATATATACTAAAGCAATTTTAACAAAGTGCTAAAATATTATGTAAACACATTATACGCGTTAGAATGCGAAAAAGTATTTTTTCGAAAAATGTTATAGCTTGTTAAACCAATAAACTTGGAAAGTGCACGAGCAACTCTTGGTAAACAACCCTTGAACTATAGTTATAAGTGTTCAATGATTTAATTAAAGCTAATGAAACCATTTATGAAGTAAAAATAGAAAAAGAAACAGTCTGGAAATTACTTATCAATTTGACGACGCGTTTCATCGAGTATTGAAGAACTTGGAAACCTTGGAACAAAACCGGAAAAGCCTTTCGTCCCATTGTCTTGTGGTACTGATATTTTAATGGCGGATTTGAGCGCTTCATCACACAAAAATACAGATTGGAAAGAGGTGTTTCGGACGCATAGCATCTCGCAAACCATACAATTGGAAAAGTTTATTCAACAGCAGGTAGAAGAGAAAAGCAGAGAGCTTCAGCAAAATGTATGCTTGAATTATCAAAGCTTCTTAAAAGCTGCTGACAGTATATCTCAAATCCAATCTAGCCTGTTGACTGTTGTAAATGATGTTCATCAACTCCAGTCTCACACGAATGAACGCAAAGTAGTAGCTGCTGCTGACGTTTTTTCCAAATTATCTTCACTGGAGATATCTGATAATGAAGCTTGTTTGAGGCGTTTTGTAAAGAGATTCTGTCATACGGTTTTACCATATACTTTTCAGCTACTTCATGACAAAGAGTATCTATTATCCGTTCGTCTATTCCTTTTTTGTGATGTTCTAATCCAACGCATCCCTAAAGGTGATAAGGATTTGAGTAAACTTATCCATAAGTATGATGCTTGCATTCACTACTATGTGGAACTGTTAAGTCAACTCTCTAAAACTGATTCGCTGAATCAAGACAAAATAATTGCATCCTTTACTTTACTCAAAAATTTCTCCCTAGAAGATGCTTTAAATGCCTTTTTAGATGTTCGCTTTGCAATCGTCATGAGCATGACGGATACATTGCAATTTTGTTTGGAGTTTGTAAACACCAGTATCCTCGTTAAAAACATGTTTCCTAATCATATAAATCAGATCATCAGCTCAATTCGTGAGCATACGTTTTTGTCCAGCAAGTCACTTCGCAAAGACCTTTGCCTTACAGATGACTTGTGTACTCGCTACTTGCTTCCTCAAGATCTAAATTTTGTTCCACAATGGGATACTTCATTTGATGTTGATTTGACGAAGGTCTTGGAACAATGGAGAAATCGTGTATACTCACATGCCGAGAATATTAAAAAGCCCTTTTTTCAAGAAGACATAGACCTTGACAACTTAAAATCTATGTATGATTCACTTTCAAAAAGTACCCCTGTTACTCAAATGGATGATCTCCAAGATTTATGGAAATCATTATTGTGCCCACATTTCGTGAACTCTTTACAGAAAGTAATCAATGATCTTGAGTATCACAATTCTAAAGTTTCTGTTTTGATAGAGGTGATTCTAACAAGTTCACCTCAATTTGAACACGATGTCTGGAACTTAGCAGGCGAGCTAAACTTATCATCATTTCAATCCTATTTTTTACAAGCTTGCGGAATGAAGGATGACATACAATCTTTTCATCAACAACTTTCATCTTTTAATAGTTCTGTGAAAAGGATTGTCTATTCTTTGGAAAGTTTTGACTCTTACGAAAATACCCTATTGCCGTTTAGTACAACAAATCTGAAATCTATATTATACAACAAAGTACAAGACTTGTCAGAAGACATTATTCGCAAACTTGAGAAAATATCCGAAGAAATATTATTTTCCAAGTCAATAGAAAATAAAGATTTTCTGTTGGCAAAAGCAATCAAACTTGTTAGACTTATAGGACTGTGTGATGCTATTCCTAACTTCACTTCGTTTGATTCTTTTCGTGAAAAAATAATAAACGCTTTAGCAGAGGAAATAGTGAACAAATCTTTAGAGGGATATCCAACTAGCTTTAATGAAGAGTTGAGGACGCTGGACGGAGACAGTTCTGAAAATACGTTTCTTCCTTTGCGGGCAACTTATACTGTTTTGATGAACACAGTTGATAGATTGGAGTCTATAGGAATCGATATAGCCACCGAAACCTTAAAAAAGCGGTTAGTATCGACCTTGAGTGTTTCAATGCTTAATGTTTTTAAAGACATTTCTTTCTTGTCTCTAAGTAATGTTCAAAAGCAAAAGGTAATATTTGATTATGAACTAATGAAGCATTTATATAATAAGTGCGGGAATGAAGTGCAAGTTGAAGAATCGTCCGTTGTATTTGAACTGCAATCCGAAGAAAATAAGGAAGATACATCACTAATTGACATAGGTGCAATTAGCACTGAAGCGGAAAATTATGTGATGAGGATCAGGTCATTCTTTACTATATTATTTCCTAATAGATTTTAACGCTAATATTTTGTGATCTTTTTTACATCCTTTTCTTTCATATATGTTTATTTAATTAAGACTAATTAATCTAACAAAGAATCGTGTCTCAGGCTTTCTTCTTCAATATTTCGAAGTTTTGGAGTATTAAAATCATGGGGAGACACTACGATTGCTTCAAAATCATTAGCCAACAATTTCACATCTTTTTCAAAACTATTAAACTCTGCTTGAACCATCTCGTTGAAAGATTTTTGTGACACAGAATCAGATTTCTTCGAAAAGTTCAAATCCACTGGGTTGAGATATGCATCAACAGCCAAGCAAAGATGATTTTTCAGCGCAGTATTTTGTGATTCAAGGCTTCGTATCCTTCCTTCGTACTCTGTCTTTAAATCCTCAATAATTGCTAACAGCTTTTTGCTGTGTTCTTCATGTCGTTTCATTTGAACTCTGTCAGACTCCAAAGTAGAAAGAATTGTATCAAATTCATTCTCATTAGAATCAGCATAACTTTTCTTTACGTTTAAGATAGAGATATTCTTAATTTTTCTGGCTGCTTCCGCATATCTCAGAGTTGAGAATGTATCGTCAAAATCGCATGGCGACACACAAGCCAACATAACGGTCCTGCAATTCCCTCCTAAAGCGTCTCGTAGCAGACGAGTAAGGAGTGAATCATTATAAGGAATCATGAGATCGTTTTTTTTGCTAGTAAGGGACGCAATGACTCGGTTCAATACAGATAAAGAGTTGTTATTAGCGGCGGACTCGCTTGGTGTATCCTTTCCCGATTTTCGGTTAGAGCTTCGGTCAAAACTTCCTAAATCTAAGATTTTTAAGTAAGAATCTTTTTGCATAGAACCTTGCTTGTCAGTTTTCGGGATTTTTTGATGAACTTTAAAAATTATAGCGGTATGACCATAAGACTTTCCATATTGATCTGCTATTGTGGTTTTTCTTGTCTATATGAAGTTAGTTAATACTCAATATTAAAAAAAAAAAAAAAAAAAAACCAAGTAACCCAAGATGCGTACCTTGACCGCTAACCGCAAAAATGCATCAATCTCTTGAGCATTTTCAACTTCAAATTGGGAGAATCCTTGGGAAAAATTATGTGTAGAAGCATCAATTCGGATATCATTTTCTTTGGATTCCTTGGATTCAAGTAAGTCGTATACTGTCTCGTTTAGGACTTCTACTACGGAAATGGAGACGCGAATGACAGCATTCGTTTCTTCTTCGATCCTCTCTATTTCATTAAAAAGAAAAGTTGAAAGTCTCGGGATCAATCCAGCTTGTCCGCGAACACCAATTGTTGAATATGTTTTACCGCTCCCGCTTTGACCATAGGTGAATAGACAGGTGTTGTAGCCCTCCAATGCTGAATGAATTAAATAGGGCCCTATTCTTTGAAAGATAGCTTCTTCTTCAGACGCCTGGCCGTTGGATCCAAAAACGGAAGGGACAAAACACTCATCGAGATGAAATACTCGAGGTCCTCGGACTCTGTGCCTGTGTCTAGAGTTTTCTAATCCTTCGGGAGGGGGTTGTATTATGATTTCTTTTTTTTCTTCATCCACGGTAAGGAGATCGACGGCATTTGTTGATAATTCTCGAAGAGACTTGGGACGAACCCGAACGATTGTTCGAACATTAGCTGTGGACATGTTGGTGAAACGTTACGAAAGAAAGAGATTGCAAGAAAAGAAAGAAAAAAAGAGAGTAAAAAAAGAAGAGTTAAAACTGAAATGAATTACAAATCTCAGAAATAACCAAAAAAGAATGACAAATGTGAGCAAGATGAAATACCCAAGAAATTCAAATTCTGCAAAACCGAAGCAACTAAAAAGAAGGACAAGAAATTAGGATTTTACCATTTGTTTCTACTTAAAAAATGAACCTTTTTTAAATTCTAAGTACAGTGGTCACAAAAACCACTGTATCATACTATCATGCTAACTAGCAAGTAACATGGTTGTATTTTCATGTTCGTTACTTGGTTTCATAAATAGCATTGAAAAGGATCATTTCATTGATTTTTTATGTTATAATCAAGGTTTAAGAATTATTTTTCACTTGTAAATATGTTTTCTAACTGAATGGGTTTCTTCTGTTGAGATTGATTTATGTGAATTTCAATTGTTTCTTGTTTTGCGTGGTATTTATTGCAAGTCGTCGTAAACAAACAAAAAGGAAATAAAGAAAGAGTCTTTTGAGAAGAAAAGATGAAATTGGATCCTTGGATTCGAAAATTCTTAGTACGAAAAAAACTCATTTTGATCATTAAACAGTGAATCCATGATAAAATAACACCCTACAGATATTCTAAAAGAACATAGCAAAAGAAGTTCTATAACGCCATGTCTTTTTGTAGCTGTGCTACAATAGAATCAAAGTACATAGCTGCTCGAGTTTGAAACCAGTAGTGGATTTGTTATTGTTCATTGTCAAGTAGCAAGGATAGTGTCATAATAGCTTTGTTTCCAGAAAATCATTGAATGAGCTTTTCTTTTTTTTTTTTTTTTTTTTTATATAATCCCAATCTCTTTCCTTCTGTATGATTTAGTGTTTAGCAAAAACTACCTCAATGAAAATTGACGCTAGAAGCAATAAAGTGATACTATAACGATAAAACTATGTCTACTTTTTTCTCTTCCTAATCAGATTAGCTCCAGTTTGAAACTTTTTTTAGCAGATCCAACTTTAAGCTGAATAAGCTTGGAATAAGCTCTTGCTATTTTAGGAAGATACAACAAGTGATAGAACTCAAAAATCAGACTAGATAAAGTGAATGCAAATTTTTTTTTCATCTTACAAATTCAAACTTGACTGGAACCACAACTATACCCCATCCTTTCTTTTTTATTTGTATGTTTACTTGTTTACAGTAACGTTTTCTCAATAGACTCGGCAAAATGTAGGGTTCATGAACACTTTTGAAACTCTCTTAAGAAATGCTCTTTATTTGTCGTATTCTTAGTGCCTCCAGCCATGCCAGTAAAGTACTCCTTCCATCCTTTTACTTCTGCCTTCAGGTTTAACTGGCCTTGCCTTACCACCTACCTACTACTGCTAGTACAGCATTTGTACATACCCCCATTGAATACTCCGTCCCCCACCTTGCATGTCTTTTAGTGTGGAAGCAATATAGGGTATTATAACGCGGTACAATCTTTTTACTCGTTATTTATTATTTAATGATTATGCTTCAAAATGTCAAGTTAGAGTTTAACGAACAATGATCAATCGCGATACTTTTTCGTTATTCTTTCTCAGAGATAAGATTCAAGGTGAGCTAATATAAATTCAAAGCAGTCGCCTAACGTAACGAGGTTGGTTTATTTTTACTTATGCATTACCCTTACTTACCCTCATTAGTACTGGCGAGTTCATCAACTCACAACCAGTATTGAAGCATATTCTAAAACCATATTTTTATCACAAAACCGTATAAATTACTTCGAATGCAATAAAGGACCTGAAGAATAAAGTATAGAGTTGAACATAGAGTTCCTAAAACAAGAATTGCTTCAATTAGAAATCGGCGACTTCAGTTTCGGCTATGGAAGAATCGGGACGGCGACTCCAGCAACGTGCTGCTGAAGATAGAAATTCAAGAGACTCCGATCGACCGCGTAGAAACAGTATACATCATGAATATGCGAGTTCTTCTTCGAATCTCGGTTCAAGTAATGGAGCTAATAGTGAAGGTGCAGGATCCGTTGTGGACCGCTCAGTAGGAACCGATCAAACGAATATACAAATTTCACCGACAAAAAAACGAATCCGTGGAAATGACGGAGATAGGTTCATACCAACTCGAGGGTCTTCCTCTTCTGAGTTATGGACCAGCTTCTCCGCGTTTGACCCTCCACAGACTCCCGGCAAGCGTCGTACATCTCTTGCTGATACTAATTTCACAAATCTGTTACATTCGGAGTTGTTTGGAGATTCGGACGCATCGCCGTCATCCGTTGCTATGGCAAAAACGCCCAGTACATCTAACTTGAATTCATCGATGGCGAATTACGATACGGGCCCTGGACCGGCTACATTACAAACACCTCCATCCTCTACATTTTCCTCTTCTTCTTCTGCCTTACAAACGACTCCTATTACTCCGTCCAGAAAAGTGTTTCAATTTATGTCCCCGCGGGAACGTAACAATTCGCCATATAAGAGAAAGCTACTTTTTCAGGATGATCCCAATCGTACAAAGTATTCTTTATCGCCCGTCCGATCGTTGACTCGAGATTTTGTTGCTGCTGGACAGCAAGAGAAACGAAAACTCCCAACTTTACCGTACAAAGTGCTGGACGCTCCTAATCTTGCTGATGACTATTATTTAAATCTTCTTGACTGGGGTCAATGTAATGTTTTAGCTATAGCTTTGGGTTCACGCGTATACCTTTGGTCTCCAGTAACCAGCGAAGTAAAAGTCATGCACAACTTTTGGCCGTCCGATACAGTTACTTCTTTAAAATGGGTTCAACGGGGAACACACCTTGCTGTCGGCACGAATAATGGAATGGTGGAAATATGGGATGCTGAAGCTTGTAAGAAAACTCGGACTATGGCAGGACATAGTCTCCGTGTTGGTGCCCTTGCTTGGAATGATCATGTCTTGAGTAGTGGTGGACGTGATAATACTATATTGCACCGTGATGTTAGGGAATCCGAACATTACTTTCGAACTCTCCGATCTCACCGTCAGGAGATTTGTAACTTGGATTGGAGCTCGTCAGATAATCAACTGGCTTCAGGTGGAAACGATAATGCTTTATATGTATGGGACAAATTTAGCGACGTTCCATTGTATTCGTTTCACAATCATGTAGCCGCTGTTAGGGCTCTAAGTTGGAGTACTCATCAACGCGGAATTTTAGCCTCGGGTGGTGGTACTGCTGATCAAACCATAAAGATTTGGAACACACACAGAGGTTCAATGTTACATGATATTAACACGGGATCTCAAGTCTGTAGTCTCCAGTGGTCAAAGTTAACCAATGAGATTGTGTCCACCCATGGTTTCGTTGAAAATGAAATTGCTATATGGAACTATCCAAAAATTTCTCGGGTTGGTACCTTAAAGGGGCACACAAATCGTGTGTTGTTCTTGTCTATGTCTCCAGATGGTGAAAATGTTGTTACCGGTGCTGCTGACGAGACCTTGCGTTTTTGGAAACTTTTCGATTCAAAAGCGAATATGTCGTATAGAGGTTCACCTTTTGATCCTATCATGAAAATTCGTTAAAGCATGCATCTTTACCTGTATTAATGTTTTTCAAACTTATCGTTCGGACAATTAATAAGGTCTGCTCTCATAGCAGACTTGTTATCTTCTGAATTTTTTTATTTAACATGCTTTATATCCATGTTCATGACACTCGTTGACGGCTGATCTATAAAATTTAATCCTAAATACGCTATCTAATCTTTTTTATCTGATTGCCCTCTTTTGTGAAAAGGTTTTGTTTAATTCTGGTATGGACCGTTTTCCATTAATCCTTGTCTTTACAGTTACTTTGATTTTTCTGAGGTTGAACTTTTCAATTATGTTGTTTTGAACATAGATTATGTTTCTCTTTTTTAATATTCTATGATTTTGATGCTTTCTTTTGGACGACACAAGCTACTTTGGCTCACCGTACGTCTTTCTCTCCTTATTTTTAATATGACTTGATTTTGAATTCGTGTACATTAGTTTAGTACTATAAATTTTTGATTTAATGATAGCATTTTCAATTAATTCGTAAATCATAAAGTGTCAAGCATGATAATGGGATTGGTGTTGACTTTCGAAGCAAAAACAATCTTACATGGTAGATAAAATGGATGGCGCTTTGCAGCAAATGAAAAATTTGATAAAAACGAACATATCTTGACTGGTGTCATATAGAAATGGATATATTCACTATTATTGAAATTGATTTATGAATTGTAGGTATTTTGCTTAATAAAAAACTAATTATGGAAGAATTTATTAAGTTAATGACTGCTCAAATCATCAATTGGCAAGCAAAAAGAAAGAAGAAACGAAAAAAATATAAGATATAATACATTGAGGTGAATGATGAATGAATAACACAAAACCAACATTGCGGTTTAGTTCAGTTTTAGGATAGCTACTTATAGTGGTTCGGCATTTTGCTCGGCTACGACGGCATCGACTTCAGTAGCTGCAGCCGTAACTGTAGGGGGAATAATGTGATTATCACCACTGGCTTTTTTGACAGTGACGCTACCATCCCCGCTACCAAAGTAAGCAGCAGAAATCATGTTGCAGAAGATACCCACTTCTACAACGCCAACCAGAAGCTTGATTTTTTCAAAAAGCTCTTGAGGGTTTTTAATTAAACCAAAGCTAGCATCGATAATGAAGTTACCATTGTCGGTAACGACAGGACCAGCCTTACCAGGAGCACCCATACGCAGCTTAGGTTCAAGAGCACCTAAAGCAACCAGTTGAGGTAAGATGGAGGTATAAGCCATGGGCATGACTTCAATAGGAACTCCCTTCTTCCAATGTTCACCCAGCATATGCGAATTTTTACGAGAGTCAGCGACAATGACAAGGCGCTTTGCCAAGAAGCCAATCAATTTTTCTTGGAACAAGCAAGCACCACCACCTTTGATGCACTGCAAGCTATCGTCTACTTCATCAGCACCGTCGAAGCAAACGTCGACATCAGGATAGCAATCTGGATCTCCTAATCGTAGACCACTAGAGACAATTAATTCTTTGGATTGAAACCCAGTTGGGAGGAAGACAACATTTTCGACTCCCGGCTTTGTTAAAAGACGTTCGACAACGTAAACCACTGTGCTACCACTGCCAATACCAATCACCTTTGGGTGTTTTGGGTAATTTTCGTCGACAGCCATATGGCAAGCCATACGCTTTGCCATTTCCACAGAGGAAAGCTCAATTCCGTTTGACTTGGCTTCCATTGTTTGAACTGTCAGATATGTTTAGGTATAAAGATGTAAAACGGAAGATACGCAATAAGCTTTTTTTTCGTACGAAACGGGATCTCTTCACGGCTGAATTTTTACCAACGAATGTATGGAATCAAGTAGACGGATGGACAAGAAAATCCGTATAATATATAAAAGTAAAAACAGTGAAGAAGAAAAAATGATGAACCGAAGGCCAGGGGAATCCACAAAGAGAAAAAGGTGACTTTTGTACTTTTTCTTAGCAATGGTATGGTCCTTTATGAGGTGAAAGATTTTAAAGAAAGAAAATGGAAAAAGGAAACCGTAAACAAATTTTTTTTTAGCCTTTTTGCTGAGTTAATTGAGAAGTCCAGAAACCCTTTTGTGCTCTGAATACGTCCAACTCAGTGAGAAACGAAACAAACGGGCCCAGATCCGAGTGCAAACAAACAGGCAAGCTGTTTTTCAAAAAATCAAAAATATAATAATTAAAATAAGTAATAACAAGAAATTAATGCTCAATTTTTCGTGTATTTCTTGTAAACCCTCCTTTGGGTAGATGGACTGGAGAAAAGGATCGGTGTTTCATTTTGACTCCGATATTGGGACTCCGAGAGTTGGAGTCCGAGATTCGGTGATATACTTTACCGAGAGCAGCATTTTCTCCTTAAAATCAGTAAGAGGAAATCGTTAATTTACTAGGTGAAAACAAAAAGCAGAAGCGAAAGTGTGTGTGGATGAAAGATGGGACTAGAGTTGTAAGAGACGATCAAGTTGTAGGACATGACCAGCGTTTTACACAAACAAAACTAGGCTCCGATTATTTGGTATATAAATTCGGGGTTTCATTTGAAAATTGGACATCAATCACCAAAAATAGGTGCGTGTATAATTACAGATATATAAAATAATACAGTAAGATTCATTTTAGGGGTTAAAATCATAGCAAAGAACCTTTCAGGTTCAAGTTGTTTGGAGACAAACAACCAACCAGGATTCTTCACTATACGAAAAAAAAGACAAAAAATGAAATTTGATTTTCTCTTCTCTCTAGAGATATCCATAGGCAATAAAAAGCACGTTTTTTATTGTAACACAACTAGCATGGGACTAGGTCTACTTAGAACTTGCCGAATTGCTTAGAGCCCTCGGTGTGTTTGACAACACGGAGAACGTTGAAGCGAACAGTCTTACTCAAGGGGCGGCATTGACCAACAGTAACGACATCACCCTCGTTAAGACGGAAAGCAGGAGAGACGTGGGCAGCAACGTTCTTGTGACGCTTCTCATAACGGTTATACTTGGGGATAAAGTGCAAGTATTCACGACGGATGATGATGGTACGGTGCATCTTGGTAGAAACGACAGTACCGGTCAAGATACGGCCACGAATGGAAACTTCACCAACGAAGGGACACTTCTTGTCAATGTATTGACCATAGATAGCCTCAGAAGGGGTCTTGAAACCCAAACCGACATCCTTGTACCAACGGCGACCGGCACCCTTCTTGGCATTTTGGAAGATATGGGGTTGCTTTTGATAAGCACGCTCACTTTGAACGACAAGCTCGGTAGCCATTCTTGTTAGTTTTCTGTGTTGGCAGAGGTCAAGGCACCCTTTTCCAAACAACTAGTCGGATGCAATGTTTCCCTTTGTGACTGTTTCCTATAAACCCTACCCTATTGGTTGCTGAAGATGTTCATAAGCTTATAGGTATAATCATAACGAGGTGTGGGTGGAAAACAGCAGTAAACAAACAAGTCGTTTGGTTAGTAGAAGCGTAATTTGATTCTTTTTACTTTTTTCTTTTTCTGTTTTTTTATTAAATATTTTTTATCTAATTTAGCTTTACTATTTCTGTCTTTTTTGGGGGGAGGCAAAAGTGGTTTCAGTAAAGTCTCGTTCATAGCTACAGCTTGTTTATAATTTCATTTCATCAAGGAGATTTCAATTGCACTTTTTTTTCCTTTGTAATCATTAAATATCGTAGAATTTTTCCAATAACATAACAAATGTTGAGACCCAAGATGTGTTTCCTCTAAACCATGGATAAGTTTGCTATTAGAATTTTCTCATACGAGATACATCATGCTGCTTTTCAAAAGAATTTTATCAACCATGTTTAAACATTTTAAAGCTAGTTAGCGGTAGTGCCCATTCAACTTAGAAGCAATCCGCTCTGCATTGTTTCCAATCTTTTTCAACGTAAACAAACCATGTCACCTAGGGCATCATCAGCAAGTAACATCTGATTCTTTGCGTAAAAGTAATTTTAAGAGATTGCTTCATTTAGGAACATTTCTTCCTGATATTATTCTTCTATTCGTTTTATTTACTTTTTTTTGTTTTTTTACTGTTGATGATCGAAACCTTCTTTATAGACCCAATCTACCACTGCTAAGCGATTGTTTACGTTGTGTCATCCTCTACCAGATTTGCTTTACTTTCCACCAGTGCAACTATAGATGCTGCTATACTCTAAAAAGGAGAGATTTTCACCTGTTTTTATGGATCTTTAGATAAGAAAAATGTCTCGAAAATTAGAAAAAGAGTTGTTTGTATCAAATACGACCGGTTGTAGTGTCCTTGAGACGACTGTCATGATATGCATCGGACTTGCTTGCTGTGTGCTGTGGTCTTCGATGAAGGTACGGAAAATATTTCCTGAAAAGGGATTAGCAAGATTTCTTTCTGAATTCTTTATTTTTGGGCTTGTTCCTCTGTTTGCTATACATATATCGTCAAACATTCATCCTTTGCTTTTAACTATAGCTTTCTTTGTCCCTTCTGTGTTTCTTCATTACTCCAGTCCAATCAATTGGAATTACTTAAAGAGAATCCGTAACAACAAAGGACAGCAAACCACTGACACCGCTGACTATGATCATCGTATCGCTTCAGTAACATTTTATCGCTCACAGATGATGCTTGCGACTGTCACTTGCATCCTTGCAGTAGACTTTCCTTTCTTTCCAAGAAAGCATGCAAAGGTGGAAACTTGGGGAATCTCTCTCATGGATTTGGGTGTAGGTTCTTTTATGTTCTCCTCTGGAACCGTTGCTGGTCGGAAAAATGATATCAAACAACCCGGAGCATTTAAGAAAGTACTCCTGAACGCTTTTATTTTGTTTTTGCTAGGAATCTTTCGGATCTTTTTGACGAAAGGAATCGAGTATCAAGAACATGTCACAGAATATGGCGTCCATTGGAACTTTTTCTTTACGCTTAGCTTTATGTCAATTACAATATTTATACTCAGGAAATCTCTTTCTAAGCTTTCATACTTTTATCTTGCTACATCAGTGACTGTACTCCATCATTTTTTGTTGGTTTGTACACCGTTCCAAAGATGGGTGTTATCGGCTCCCCGTACAGACATTTTTTCTCAAAACAAAGAAGGAATTGCATCCTTATTGGGGTATACCTCAATTTTCTTATACGGAATGCATGCTGGAAGTATATTATTAGTTGATCGACCACGAATGTATACTCGTGCAGAATCATGGAAACGATTCCAAAAACTCTTTTTTCCGTTGGTTTCTCTGATATCTTTATACTTTGTTTCTGATTTCTTTACAAATGGGATCTCCCGCAGGCTGGCAAACACACCTTATGTCACTGTAGTCGCTTTTGCAAATTTGTTTTTTCTATGCCTATATTTATTGTACGATGCTTACATTTTCCCTCCATCTTTTCCTTATTCGGAGCGTGTTCCTGTAATCTTGGAAAGTGCAAACAATAATGGACTTCTCGTCTTTCTCTTGGTAAGTCTATCCTATTCTATCCGTCCTTCTCTCTTCTCTGGTTCCACTCCTCCTGTCACCTTTATTGTTTACTTCTCTTTCTGTTACTAACTTTTTTTTAGGGAAATATTCTTACTGGTTTAGTAAATCTTACCTTTGACACATTACATAGTAGTAACGTTAAAGGATTGCTTATACTTACTGTATACTTGTTTATTATCTGTTATGGAACTGACAGACTTGAAGCACGTGGAATCCGCTTTAGATTATAAAATTCATTTTTCCATGTCTTTATTATGAATTGCAATTTCCTTTCTTTCCTTGTATTGCATCTTCTTAATTCTTTTTGAGGCTTCGTCAACCATATTTAAGACTTCTTGTTTACACTATGGATTGTTTCACTTACGAATATTCACTTCCCTTACAACTTATTTCCCAATCCTCTTACACTCATGATATGCTTCTTTCTTTCTTTCCGGATACGCTTTTCATTTTCAATATTCCAGCGACTAAGACTACATAGAACTTTCTCTATGATCTGCTCATTTATAGAACCCTTAAACTCCATGTTTATGATCTATTTATTAACCTTTCCATCCATAAATGTCAAAATAAACAGATAATTCTTGTATCATTTTCTTTTAAAACGATATCATATTCAATGATGAAAACACAACGATATTCAAATCTTTCATTTCTTCCAAGCTCATTGTTCGTTACAAATTGTCTTTAGTTAAACGCTGGGCCGAGGACCCATTCTTTTTTTTTTTAAATAAAACTATCATTCATTGTTTATACTGGTCCTGAAAAAATTGCGTTTATTGAACTGCGCTTTTGAATTGAATCCACTCGTCAAAAATCAAAATATTGGCTAATTTTTCTTTTTGACCTTTCTCTTCCTTTTATTTATTTTAATCACATAACATGATTTTTGGGTTTTAATCATATAGATTTGGGTTTCATTTGGATATTTTTACTTGTAATTTATATTTGCATCAGACATGGATATAGACATCGAAGTTAAACCAGAGAAGGAAAGTGAAATAAATTATGCTTGTCCATACGAGGAGTGTGATAAACAGTACTCAAGGCCTTCACTTTTAGAACAACATCTTCGTACACATTCGAATGAGGTATGTAACCAAGTCAGTGTTCAATAAATATGGGATGATCTGTGGACAATTTCCTAATGAGCTTTTTTCTAACCTTACCTTAGCGTCCATATGTTTGTCAACATCCAGGATGCGAAAAATCTTTCTTTCGAAGTTCTCATTTGAAATCTCACCAGCGTTTTCATACGAGAATTAAGCCCTTTACTTGCACCTATGAAGGATGCTCTTCTTCATTCTATACGTTACAACATCTGTTACGGCATGAAGTTATCCACAAGAAACCTAAACCATACGTCTGTACATGGGAGGGTTGTTCACAACGGTTTGTAAAACATCAACAGCTTCGATTGCACATAGCAAATGAACATACTCATGCGTCTCCTTTCCCTTGTACTCATGCAGGCTGTACTCAAGGATTTTCGACCAAACAAAAACTGCAAAACCATATCAGTCGTATTCACGAAAAAGTGGTGACCTACAAATGTCCTCATGAGTCTTGTATTGATAGTCCTGGATTTGAGAAATGGAGTCAACTACAAGGACATATTCGCGAAGCTCACGTACCTACTTGTTCCTTATGTGGAAGACGATTTCGTAGCGCGGCTCATCTTCGGCACCATGTTACGCTTCATATGACAACGCTCGAAGAAAGGAAGTCTTTTAAGTGCTCTTATGAAGGGTGTTCCAAATCTTTTACTAGAAGCTCTGCGTTGAGGAAGCATAACCATGTGATACACGAGGGTGCATTACCTTTCTCTTGCCCCAACTGCGGAACAAAGTTTGGATACAAACATATGCTTCAAAGGCACAGCGAGAAAAGTGCATGCCTTCAATCAAGTATCTCTCCAGTCAATGAAACTAGCAGACCAAACTCCCCGGTTTCTTTCTTTGAAGACACCTGTAAAGTGGATTTATCGCACACTTCTTCTAACGTCGAACAAGTTGTAAACCAACTCACGGGATACGGTTACGAAGATAATCGCCTTTTCCCTTGTCTAGTTCCTGGCTGTGAGTACCGATTTAAAAGACTTTACGATCTTCAAAGACACGGAACTTCGTATCATGATATACCTTCGACTGAAATAAATACTCTCAATGTAGAGGCTATGTCAAACTCTTAGTTAACAGAGTATCAAATGTTGTTTTCATATTTTATTTTATTTTATTGATTACACTCAAAAAGCTTTTTAGCTTGTCATTTTGAAAATAGGACAACAGATTTTTGCGTAAATTTGCCTTTTGCCTTTTCAGAGCGATTTAAGGCGTAAAGCATTACAGCTGTTTATGTGAAGATGGGGTAACTAGTCATAGATTAAATAGAAACGTAAACATATGCAAACAAAGAAATTCTCTCTTAATAAAGTCAGAGCTCATGAAGAATTCTGTCAACAGTGTTCCAGTATCTTAGTCGACTGACATGCAATGCAGCTAATTCCCAATCAGCCTTTGACATTGCAGTACTAATTTTATAGATTTCTTCGTCTTTACGAATGTTGTTCTCTCTCATTAACTGTTCAATCCTTTCAGGTGAATCCCTGCTGGATGAAATTTCCTCGTGAACATCCATTATTTGCATTAAGAATTCTGGGTCCTTATCAGAGACATTCTCCGAATCTGTAGAGATCCCTTTTTGTTGCAAAATATATTCGGCCCTGCTCAATGGCGCTAATAGAGTATTATAAGCCCTTGTAAGTTCAGCAGACTTCGATTGAGAAGTGTTAGGATCCACCTCTTTGGCAACATCTGGATGGTGAATTTTTATTTTCTTCAAGTAACTAGCTCGTAACGCTCTAGTATCTAATTCAAAGGGATTCTTCTGTAACGTTGAAGCATCAAAATCAAACATTTCAAAATACGATTGCTTTTCATCTTTACTGGAAGTACTGAACAATCCTTTACCACACGTTTGGAAAACAAAAGATCTATTCCTAACGGGACCCTTTATGAAAGATTCGCATAAAGCAGGCTTCTGTAAGCTTGTTTGAATTGCGGTTCTAAAACCTTTGGCTGGTAATCTAAACATTGGTTATATAATAAAAGGAAATAATTCAGCAGCTATAGATGCTCGTTCAAAAAAAAATTCAGAGTAGCTAATTCCAGTCGTCGTATCGGTATGGTTATGAGGTGAGAGGACTTTCTGCAACTTTTTTCTTCCTACACCAAATGCCAGTAGTATACGGTTAAATCTAGCAAACCTGTTTGTATAAATTTCTTCTTTTTTTGAAAGGATAAAATTTCATAGTAAGAGGTTATTTTTGCTTTACGAAAACACGAATCTTTGACTATTCTCTACCTGTTGATAAACGTCTTTCTGAGGGATATTATAAAAAACTACGTTGAACAATTCTACTTTTTGAGCTTTACATACATTCTATTTTAGTTGCATCCTACTTTTCCATCAGTACTGCCATTTTGTCTGTCCCTTATACTTTTCTGCGTTCGACTAATTCTTTGATCTTCTAAACAGCCTTGTCGCTGACACTTCAATTACGATGCCATTCGGTCAAGTAGTCGTGGGTCCACCTGGCTCTGGTAAATCAACTTATTGCTATGGTATGCACCAATTTCTTTCTGCTATTGGCAGACAATGTATCATTGTGAATTTAGATCCAGCAAACGACTTTATGAGGTATCCGTGTACGATTGATATTCGGAAAGTGATTGACATCGAGACCATTCAAAATACTTATGACTTAGGACCTAACGGTGCTCTCATTTTTGCAATGGAGACTATTGAATACCATGTAGATTGGTTATGTGAAGAATTGGAATCTCATAAAGATGCTTACGTTATTCTTGACTGTCCTGGACAAGTCGAACTATTTACCGACCATGATTCCCTTCAAAAAATCATTTCCACCTTATCAAAACGTATTGATTTCCGTCCTGTGGTGGTCCAGCTTGTTGACTCGTTTTGCTGTGTTGATCCCGCTGCATATATAAGTGCTCTTTTAGTTTGCTTGAAAGGCATGCTTCAATTAGATCTACCTCACATCAATGTTCTTTCAAAAGCCGACTTGCTTTCAACTTATGGAACATTACCTATGAGCCTAGACTTCTATAGTAATGTGCAAGATCTTTCTTACCTCACACCTCTTCTTGACCGTGATCCTCGGCTTCTCCGTTATAGTGAGCTTAATAAAACCATGTGTGAATTGATTGAGGAGTTCGGACTTGTATCTTTCGAAGTCCTTGCCGTCGAAAATAAGGCAAGCATGCTCCATTTGCTTCAAAAAATTGACCAAGCTGGAGGATATGCCTTTGGGTCTACTGAAATAGGCGGCGATATAATCTGGGCAAATGCTGTCAGACAAGGAGGTGATCCTTTACAGGATGTATCGCCTCAAGAACGCTGGATTGATCGAAAAGAAGAGTATGATAGATACGAACGTGAAATGGAAGAAAAATACATGTCAGAAAATAAAAAAGGAGAAGCAGAAGAAGAAGAAGAAGAGTTAATGTAAATTAAGTTTCCCTCACGCAAGGAAAAACATATGTTTTATGGTTTCTTTTTCGTCAAGACTGATGGCATTACGACTCATACTTAAAAGCCACTTTTAAGACCGTCTCGTTTCATAATAAAATTGTTTAGGTTTCCGGGTAGATTAATGGTTCTCGTAAATGTACTACATGAAATAAGAGCTCGCAAACTCAGCTATATTTACAGCTACATGAGTATGAGGTGTTATTATTAAACCGAAGCGATCAAACATTACAATTATGGATAAACATTATACGTAACTTAACATCAAAGTCTTCAATTTACTCTTCACGTTTTGTTCGAACTTTTTTTTTTCTGTCCTTTGGTTCCAAGATTCTGCTTTCCTTATGTTAGTTTTTCTGTACAATACAACTTCAGGACTTACATTTTTCTTTTTCTTCTTCTCCTTTTTCTGAACTTTTATGGGAGCGATAGTAGGGTTCGAGTTTGTCTCTCGACCATAATCATTATCATTAACAGCTGAAGAAGTTGGGTCCAATGAAATCAAGGGCTTTTCTTGCTGAATCTTTGATCGCTCCAATTGATCTTCATCTGACAAATGAACTCCTTCCGGTATCTCATCTTGAGCAACCTCAACAGGTCCTTGAATAGGTGAAGCGAGTACTTTTCTCCGTCGACTTTTTTTAGTAACTATAATTCGTTAGCTATTTTTGAAAAAGTCAGATCTAATACCTTTCATTATCCTGCTGCCTGAAAAGAGAGAATCATTCTCGGTAACTTCGTTAATTCCGTTGGTGTCATCTTCTGCAGTATTCTCCTCCTCCTTAAATGGACTTGAATTCAAATAAAAGGGACTATTCAAATCTCTAACGGCAATAGATTCTTTTGTTCGTAGGATATTCGGGGAACTATTTGCTGATAATCCAATAGTATCCCTTGCACTTGCGCTTTCAACGTGAATGCTTTCGTCTATCATATCCATCAACTTTTTGGGAACTTCAATAGTACCGTTTATGGGAGTATCTAAATCCAAACCTTCAGGAGGCAATACCCTTTTCTGTGCTTTGGTAGCGACTGGGTTAAACGGTTCAGTAAAGAATAGATTAAAAACCGTGCTTTTAATAATGTAAGGAGGTCCTTTCTGAAACCTGAGAATTTCGGAATAATCATCAGTATTGAGAACTTCTTGAATTTGGGCAAACATAATACTGTATTCAACAGCCCTAATTTGGGACTCCATATCAAGTGAATGTGCCAGGCTCTCCATAAATTGTTGAATTCGAGTAACCCACAATTTCACTAAACCCAATTTCTCTGTATTCCAGGCCGCTTCCTCGTTAACACACCATTGGCAAAAAATTTTAGGAATAGACTGGATGAGTATTGCTTGAACGTTATTTGGAAGAGAGATAGAGGTTGGACGAACTAGTCCATCCAGGACGTCAATATATTCTTCAATATATTCCGCATATTCGCCTAAACACCAAAGAAGAGAAGGTAAAACTTCACAGGAGCTTTCCTTATACTTCCCTTCCATAAAAATCATAGAAGGGTCAGTAATTATTTGGGAAAATAAATCAATAGCAAATGGCCTAAGAGCTTTTACGCGAACGCAAATGTCAACAATTTGGAATGACAGAATTTTCCCGACATGAATTCCTGGTATGCGTGAAAGATCGACATAAACACTAAGAAGCCATTCAAAATCAGAAATAACTGCATAGTTTGACTTTGAGGTCATTTCAACAAGCTTATGCGCGGTTATGGTTCGAGAGTCTTCGTTAAGAACGTCTTCGGATGAAGCCACCAACTGAAGCATTATTGTCTTCACGATAGAAACAATATTTCCTGCATTAACTATTTGGCAAACAAGGTCCAATGCTCTCATCCTAAGCGAAGTGTCGGAGTCTACCAAACACTGAAGAATTATATCTAGCTGCTGAGCAACAAGCTCTTGATGCGTATTCGCAAGCTTATTGAATGAAAGTAAAGCAACATATTTCAAATTCTGATCAGAGTCTAGAAAAAACTCACGTAATTTTGTTGCACACAACCAAGCAAGTCGATCGGAATGAGAATAACCTGCTAGCATATTTCCAGATACAATGGTGTTTATGCACTCATACAGTAAAGACATAGCATGCGTAGTCTCGATAATTTGAGTTAAAGCTGGAACAAGCTTTTTTACAAGCCTTGGTTCATAAGGGGTTAAAGACGCAAACAACTTTACAAGCTTGATAAGCATCCAGTTATTAGAAGAATTTGTTAATAAATGAAAGAAGTCAGGAGCAAACTCCAAATAGTTTTTTGGTGTTCTGCGAGCCAGCTCACATATTACACTGACAGAAGCGTTAACGACTGAGATGTCCGTATCATCTAATCGCTCTCGGAGCTTTGGAACACAAATAGGAATGGCATCAGGATATTGCAAGCAAAGTCTATAGAGAACCATAATTGTACGTTTTCGTACATAGGGTACCGAATGATTTAATAGAATCAATACGTCTTGGTATAAATCTCGTGCTAGCCCATAGGTAGAGATATGTGATAATCCGTTGATTGCTATGGTAATTTCTGGAACTTTTGAGCTCATTATGTCCTAGAGATGTGTTAGTAAAATGTGGCATAAGACTTTAGTTGGAGGAAAGTAATCCGACCTTTTTTATTAAATTGGTTGTGAGCATAAGGACATCAGTTGTTGGCTTAAAAGATTGCACCGCAGCCAAATATCCTCTCTGTTTTTGAGAAAGCTGTGAAGAAGCCATAACTTCGATGATTTGAAAACTTGCCCAGCTAACGTCATTTCCAAACATTTCCAACTAAATAAGTCAGTAAGGGCACTTAATATGAGTTACGAACATATGCAAGCTTCAAAGCAGCTTCAGCTTTGATTTCTGCATCTTGACTTGACACTTCTTTTCGGCATTCCAATAAGCAACTGTTGACATAACTATCTTCATCGTCTCTATGGGATCTTATTCCCTTGATAAGATCATTTAAGGACTTTTCAAACACCATAGCCCTTTACAACCCTTGGCAAACCTACTATTTACTGTAATAAACGTAAACTGTTAGCCAGTTCATGCAAGTGAATTTCACCTAGAGTAGTAGTACTCGATCTTAGAATAATTACGCTAACTCTCGTTAACCGATATCTAATAGTCAGAGTTGTACGGGAAGTAGACTAGCAAACTAGAAATTCTATAAACAATAGTTGGTACATATATCAGTGGTCGAAAAGTTGATTCATTTCATTATTCCCAAATAAACAGCCTTCCTAAAGTTCCAAGGACAAGATATAACACTAATGGGGCTGACATATGTTTAAGATTATTTTCAAGTATCGGTGTCAGACGAAGTAATATTACTGTTACTTATTTATCATACTAAAGTGTATATTATTTTCTGATGTTACTTGATTTAACATAAACAAACCATTGGAAATGTAATAGTAATCAAACAAATACAAATGATTCATGAATTTATTTTAGGTTTTTTTTATTGTAATGGGAGATTATACATGGCATAACAATCTCCATTTACATCGTCAGCGAGGGAGAATTTGCTGGTCAAAACGAATCAACCTGTTGATGAAAACTTCGTGTAGTAGCGTAATCTCCTTGCATATCTACTTCATTAGTTAAATTAAATTATGAGTGTAAGATCGCGTACCTTTTAGAGGTTTGCAATGCGTTAGATCTCTCAGTTGAAAACACTGTTTGTTTGCAAAACAGAATTATGCGAATGTACTATATTGTGGTCAAACAAGTGAAATAATACTAATCTATTCTAAAACCAGGAAAATTTTTCTTTCTCGCTTTTTATATAGTCTACATTGTGGTTTTCATCCTGCTATAAAAGTGAAACAAATATTACTTCACTATATAATACTAACAGGTTTTATTGTATTTGTTACCTACATTAGTAACATTGGCGATATTTGTACCCCAGCAATGTTACTTCTGGTCTTATTAATAAATAAATGAAATTGATACAAAATGCCTGTACAGGAAGAAAAAGGAATTTGAAGACAAATCTACGTTAAACATAATTTTGACATATGAATTTCTTTACTTCTCTTCTTGTCTGATCCTTTTTCACATATACTCAGGCAAAAGGCAACAAAGCATCAGATTGTCGATAGTATCTTTATAAAAAAAGTGATCAATTGCAACCGCTGCTCTCAAAAACAGAACTATACAAAGCACTTGTATGACATTCAAAATACCTACATTGATATAGCTTAGAAATAAATAAATAAAAATTAATGTACACCAAAATTAACAAAAAATCATAGCCCTTCTTCACCTTCCAAATCTAATCTTTTTAGAGCAGTTTTCAAACATTCGCGGATTTCCGATTCATCAACGACTTCTCCACCAAAAGAAGAATCCGTACTTCTTTGTATACTACCAATTAAAGGAACGTCTAGACCTAATCTCCCAAGTTGTTTATGCTTTTGTATGGACATACTCATTATGTGATCTTCCACAGTATCTTCGACTATATAGTAATATACATAGGTAGGTCGGGTCTGTCCTATTCTATGTACTCTTGATATAGCTTGCAATTCGATTCCGCTATTTAAAAGTGGTTCACCTACTCCGTTAGTTATATATTCCCAAACCGTTTTCTTTAAAAGTTTCTGATAATTTTTCCTTGACTCGCGAAACTTACACATAATTACATGAGTAGCATTAGTAAGCGTTAAACCAGCTCTAGTTAATTTAGTTAGTATTGAGTCTTAGAGTAATCATTACTTACGATTGTGACCTAGAATGAAGCGTCAATACTTCTATATCGCGATCAGCCTTAAAGTTTTTCAAGCAACTAATTTTTGTTTTGCCATCAAATCTTAAATATGAAACACCGTTTGCCTCAAATGACTTATGTAATACTTCCAGTACGTCCAACCACTGAGAAAATACTACTACTTTCGGATATAGCTCAATTCGCTTCAAATACTAGAGATAGTTAGTTGTGCTTTCTGATAAACTTGAACTTACAGTTAAATGTCTGACTATAGCATCAATTTTTGATCCAAAAGAAACCTTCAATGGGATGGATACAATCTGTTTTAAAGTCTCTTCATCCATAACTTCCAAATCCTTTTCCTTATTCGGGAATCCCAAGACGAACTCCTGTCGCAGACGTATGTCGAAACCTTCACCAATGTAATAAGCACTATTTTTGGTCAATTTGGATTTGCACATGGGGCACGATGGGTGGTGTTTCAGCCAAGCAACTAAACAATCTTTACAATAAAAATGTCCTATAGGAAAAAATTAGTATTGAATCACAATTTACAATACACTCAAAAATCAAATACATACCGCATGTTGTAATGAAACCTTTTTTTATAATGTCTCGACAAATAATGCATTGCTGTTTGGAACCAGCCTTAAAAACAGCATGTTCATATAAATTAGATAGATATCGAAGTCTGGATTCAAAATGCCCGATTTTCCTCAAATTGTTTTGTTTTTCTGTACTCAATTCTTTCAACAAGAGTAAGTGAGCAGGAATATCAATTCGCGAAATCATCTCATCAAGACTCTCGGATGCAGGTTTTGATTTTGAACTTTGCTCTTCCTCTTCCAATTTTTTGTTATATTTTTCTTCAGCATGTCTCAAAGCTGACTCAAATAAATCTTTCTGCTCCATTTTGATATAGGAAGCTTGCGATTGACTTACTTTAGGGGCTGTTGGAGGTATCAAAGAATCTGAAATTTCCTGCAAATGCTTATAATAATCAATTCGCATATTATAAGTGAGTTGTATCAAACTTAGCTCTTTCTCGAGTTTTCGGCATGTTTTAGATTGATCTTTCGTAACTTCATTTAGTTGTTCAAACAATCGTTGCGCGATAGTATACTCAGAAGATGTGTTTGATCTGCCTAATGCATCCGCCAGTCTTGCCAAAATGTTTTCAAAAGTGCCATATTCATTAGTCTTTGGGCGAGCCTCTTCCCTTTCTTCAAAAAAGAGCATATACTTTTTGTTGCGTTCTTCAGTTTCTTTTTCTCCTATTTCTTGAGCATTTTCTATATTTTCTAAAAGCTTGTATTTTTCCAACTCAGTTTCATGAGATACAAAAGTATTAATTGTTCCGTCGATAGCAGCAACTCTATCAGAAATCATTTGCCGATATACATCAATACAATATGAAATCTCTGATTGCGCATTCAAAGACTCTTCATATTCGTCACCTGTTGGATCTGACTCTTGATCTAATAAAGGAAGCTTCATCAAATAAATCAGACGATCCCGAAACTTCACTAAAGACTCTGCTTGTAAATTCAGCTGTTCACGTAATTGCTCATAATCCTCAACTACTAAATAACTCAAAATAGTTCCTTTAGAGCTTGCTTTTGGTAGCTTTGGTAAAACCACAAAGTTTTTTCGGCTAAACTGCTTGCCAAATTCATCAATATGTTTACTTGTTTTTTTTATTATATCACTCATCATCTTTCTTCTTAAATCTTGAGCAAGACTATAATACTTTTTCTCCAACTCTTCGTTTTTTAAAGCAAAGTTGGTGCTTGCAATAAAAAAGTAAACCTTGTGAAGTAAAACCTGCCAAGCTCGTATATTACCAGGGTAGTTCAGACCTGCGTATGACAAATTTAGATGACTTTTGCTTTCATCAGGATCAATTTCTGTGCGACTAATTGCGCCCTCTAAATCTACAACAACCGTTTCTACAGTTGGAAGGATTTCGTTCCATATAGCTAATGCCTTACCGTAATCTTGTAGATGGTCAAAGACCCAGCCTGTGGTTACGACATCGGAAAAAAATTGCCTTTTGGTAGAAGAAAGTGATGAATTTGTCTGTTCCAACATAAACATTAAGACATCATTAATACTTTTCATAGGACCACCACCGAAAGCTGATTTATTACCAGAACCAACTTGAGGATGGCAGCAAGCTTGTCTTAAACGAATAAGCCAACGTTTCATAGTGTCTAATTGGGAAAGGTCAAGGAGTTGATCATCCAGATATTTTAGTGATTTTGCTGCTTCGGTAAGAAGATCTTGGTAATTAGTTTCTTCAACAACGGTAAGTCTTGTTGGCATATATCTGCGGTGCTGTGGAGGTAGCCGCAGTTCGTGAGCAATATCTTGTTTGCAGTTTCTACAAACCAATGGAGAGAATATGTCACAAAATTCATGAACCCGATTCAATTCCATAATTTGTATCCATGTTTGCTTCCGATGCTGATAGATAGGAGAATATCGAAAAAGAAAAAGTAGACCAAAGAGGTCATCAACATTACCTCGAACGGGTGTACCGCTTACTGCCCAACAGTTCACCCTTGGGATTCTATAAATCATCTGAGCAACGTTACTTTGCGAGGTTTCTACCATTTGTGCTTCGTCCACGCATATCCTCCACCAGCAAATGTCAATAAGAGGAGACTTAGGGGGAACATGTCTTTTCTCATGGCGAAGGTTTCTGGAGAAGGATTCAGCATATAATAGCTCGAAACGCAAATCAGAATAAGACGTTATGACGATATCAGCGTCTAAAAACTGGTCTAAAGAAAATGATCCAGAAGACTTTCGTATACCTTTGTAATGAGATATCTTTAAAGAAGGCACATGCAATTCAACTTCAGAAATCCACTGATCAAGAATCGTTGACGGCGTTATAATGAGTGTTGCTTTTGAAAATATCACGTTCTTTTGCAGGACTGAATCGAACTGTGTACTAAGAAGCTTGTCGATAGGAGGTTGATGAAAAAGAACAAGGGACAAAACTTCTAATGTTTTTCCCATACCCATTTCATCTGCAAGAACACCACCTTTTAGTGCCGCAGGAGCAAGTTGAAAGACATTTTCCTTTGATAATGTTATATAACCATATGTTCTATTGACAAAAACTTTCCGGTCATTATGAGGAAGCTGATATTCATTCCATAAAGGAGGAAGTGAGCATGAGTCTTTCGAGGAATCCTTTTCTCTGTGAATCATCCATTCTAAGGAGCGCCTCTGAAAAGGAAGCAGGTCCGATAATAAACGTTTGTCTCGACGAACATCTACGGTAGGTAAACTCTTGGCCAGCTGTCTAGCATTATCGTAAAAAAGATTTGTGTTTATCTGTGTATCTTTCCTTGATTCAATAAAAGGAGAAGGAAATATTTGATCTATTAAAGAAGTATAAATAGAAGAAGTACCAGAAGCCATTATAGCTTCTTCCGGCGCTTTTATGGAATCCAAGATGAAGATCCCAATATTAAATTCAAGCTTTCCATTCTTCAAGGTGAGGAAACATTGAAAGTAAATCAAAAACTTAACCTTCCCATATTCTTCCCATAAACGACTCCACAAACCCAGGCGTGAGGACACTAACGATGACAGAGGATTGGCATCTAGACAATAGATTGGTTCCATTTTGTTATTAGATTTCAATTTCTTTGTGGTAAACTTATATATTTTTAGAAGCTTTTCCGGTTCCAAAGACATTACCGTAGCTAAAGGTTGAACTTTCAATTGCTCCATGAGCTCTTTGGAACCAAGCCATCCATCCATATTTAACGAAAGCTTTTCTATAATTGCAGGATAAGCATCTTCAAAACTAGACTGCAAAAAGGACTGTTCGAGCTTAGACTCAGTTTCCTCCTTTATGGATTTCCGTCTTTTCGCGGGTCTTTCTTGCCATTCGTTTTTCCCTTTCATATTATAATCCCCAATTTAAAATACCTGGATGTTAAAAGTTACATTGAAAGAAACAATAGCCAGTCAATTGAGTTTATTAGATGGAAAAATACTTCTGCCACCATAGGAGTTACTCATAGGTTATTGATTCATGTTATTATACTAGAGAGTTTATCATAATAGCGTATAAGCGAAAAGTATCAGTATGATATCCTATTATTCTAAAATAATGTAAACACAGAAACAAAGAGGTAAAATTGCAGTTATCTGCTCAAGACAAAAGAATTGAAACGAATTATATAGAAATGGTTGATAAAAAAGAAAAATGTAGTCTACTAAAAGTTCCTTCAGAAACACTAAGGACGCTGCTCACTTTAGCTAAGTCTATTGCGTAGTTGACCTTGAAAGTACTAGTAGCCTTGTTTTCACTATCAGTAGAAATTCCTTTATAGTTCAATCAGTTAATCTCTACTACTTGTCTTGGAAAAATCAGTGAGCAAGAACGACAAGTGAGCCACGATACATCTATTGCTAGGAAAAAGTGCTAAAGGCTTATAGCGCAATATACGTTTTATTCATTTAAAAACTTAACTTTTACATGCGAAACTGATTCTGATGACCGTCATTTCATATGCCAGTCTCCATAGTTGCAAGTACCTAGAAAGCCACCAAGAAAAATAAATGCAATCATGTCAAAAAAACATATTGTTAATTAACAAAAAGACAAACATATTGACTATTGAAAGATTTATTGAAGAAGATTGCTTGTGTTAGTTTCTAAAATTTCATACGAATTCATACTTTATTGTTGACCACCACTACTGCCAGGGTATCTATGTTCGTCCGGAGGTCCGAATATGCCCTTGCTTACTCTAAAATTAAAGAGGCAAGTATTTCTGGTGGATGTGTAGTACACATTTTCGTTGCTTTAGATCCTGATGCATTATGCGCTTGTAAATTACTGTCTCGATTGTTGAAGGCCGACTTTATTTCTCATAAAATTAGACCTGTTTCAGGATATCGTGATCTGGAAAATGCGAATCAAACTATATTAGAAAAAAACGAAGACTTGAAGTTTCTGATTCTGCTCAATTGTGGAAATATGGTTGATTTAAGTTTTTACCTAAAATCTGATGAGGATATATCTGTATATGTGATTGATTCCCATCGACCTTACAATTTGGATAATTTATACAGGGATAATAGAATCTACATATTTGATGACGGTGATATTGAGGATGATATGGGCAAAATACACGATGCATGGTTTGCGCTCGAATCTTTACCTTTATCAGACGAGGAAAACGCTTCTTCAGAATCTGATAAGGCATCCGACGGCGATGGTGAAGAAAATAATGAGGATGGATTATTAGACCCTTCTGAACTTCCTAAACGTAGCAGAAGAAGGTACTCGACAGAAACAGAGCAGCGCAGAGTACATAGGAAAAATATCATAAGAAAAAAAAAGGAGTATCATTATGTGCTAGCTGAATACTATGATACTGGATCCTGGTATGGAGAATCAATTACAAATATACTGTATTCGCTTGCGTCCATGCTTGGTCGAGAGGATAATGACATGCTTTGGCTGGCTATTATCGGTCTCACATGTTTGGAAGTCCATTGTCGCTCTTCAAAGAAATACTTTGATAGATCTTATAACCTTTTGAAGGACGAGGTGAACCGACTGAATCCTTTGCCATTGGATAGAACGAATATAGGTCGACCTCACGGTAAAACTCCTTATGATCAATCCATACGGCTTGAAGATGAATTTAGATTTATGTTAATTAGACATTGGAGTTTATACAATGCTATGTTACACTCGGCGTACGTAGGCTCCCGGTTGCACATTTGGAGCGAAGAAGGACGGAAACGCCTGCATAAGCTCCTGGCTAAAATGGGATTAAGCTTAGTAGAATGTAAGCAAACTTATATTCATATGGATATGAATCTAAAGAAAACTCTAAAAAGCAGTCTTCAAAGATTTGCCCCTCTTTATGGACTCGACGATGTAATATTTCACAGTTTTACTCGTACATATGGCTTCAAATGTACACTAAGTGCAAGTGATGTTGCTTACGCAATTAGTGCTTTGCTTGAAGTTGGAGGAACCGGTACATTTTTGCAGGCAAAAAATGTAACAAAGGAGCCCGATATGACCGATGAACAGTATCTGGAAAAATTTGAAGAAGAACAAAAACAAGGATGGCTAAAAAACTTTTACGACGCTTATGATGCCCTTGATAATGTGGATGCATTAGAGAAAGCTTTGAAATTAGCTATGAACATGCAGCGTTCTATAGTTCGCACTGGTATTGCTTTGTTAGAAAAGAGATCCATAAAAGCTCTACGCTCTTTTCGTATTGGATTGATTACTGAAGGTCCTGATATAAGGATTTTCCAGCATCCACTTGCTTTGACGAAATTAAGCCTTTGGGTCGCTGAGGCTATCAGGGTAAGATTTTCAGGTCCATATCACTATTCTTTGTAGAGACTAACTAAAATTATAGGAACAAGAAAAAGAATTGGGGAAACTAAAGCATCTGCCTCTTGTCTTAGCCGTAATGATCGAAGAAAAAAACAGCTATTTAATTGTAGGTACTGCTACCTCCGCCTTTACTAGCAATGACGACGAAGATGATGGACATGGCCATAATCGTTTTGGTGTGGCTTTCCAGGAAGTAGCCAGCATGACTTCTGCGACGCTACAAATGGATTGTTTTGAGGCTAGTGTCATTGAATGTAAAAAAGCTGATTTAGGCCTGTTCCTCGAAAGTCTATCTCTAAAAACCTTACAATGACATGGTAAACTTCTTTAAGGTCTATAGTTATAGGAAAGGTTTATGTGATTATTTTATATAGATTAAATATTTATTTACCGCACCAACAAGTGTTAGGGCGTTCAACTTGTATACATATATCTCTTAGGTTTGGCAGAGCCGATTTTAGTTTTCTATATATCTCGTCCCTCGTAACATTCAAATCACCTTCTATACTGACTTGAAGATGTAAGGTCCCATGCAGCTCTCCTTTTTCATTATTCCAAAACTTTGGATTAGACAGGCTAATAATAGATCTCATAACACTGATATCTGAAAGACATTGTTTCAGGGCATATTCTGACTCTGCATCCGTTACTGTTAATAGGTTTTTCGCTGAATTTTTTATAAGAGGTATGACTGAAAAAAATATCAAAACGGCAGTTACTATAGAGGCCAAAGGGTCGAAACCTGTCCAAGAAAACCATTTGATAAGGAATGTAGAAACAATCACGGCCACAGAACCCATGGTGTCTGCTAATATATGAAGAAAAATTCCTTGCATATTGTCGTTTTCAGAATGATGATGATGATGATGATGGTGGCTATGTGAATGATGATCGGCATGAGACAAATATTTTTGCTCTTTTTGTGAATCGAAGTGAACTAAGTCATCATGAAGTATTGGAGAATGCTCGTGCTTGCGTTCGTCCTGATAGTCATCGATAATAGAGTGTGTTCGCAAGTCGCGATGATGATTATTGAATTCCTCGTATATATTAACATCATTAGTGTTGTTGGGAAGTGCTAAATCTTTACTGAAATGTGAGCACGCCCCATGATTATGGGCATGTCCGTGATTGAAGGCGACTATACCTACTAGATTCACGATCAAACCAAGGAAACTTACAAGTAAAAGTTGATCAGTATTCATTTTAGGGGGATGGAACAACCGATAAAACGCCTCACATACAATGGAGAACGATATCAAGATCAGAAAAATCCCATTCGTAAAACCAGAGAGAGCCTCAACTTTTGCAAACCCAAAAGGATATGCATAATTCGAAGGAAGTTTTGCCAAAACAGTTGCGACTAAGCCCACGAAAACGGCAATGCAGTCAAATGCCATATGTATGGCATCAGAAATCAACCCTAAAGAATTCGTGTAAAAGCCATAAAAAACTTGTACCACCATGTAAAAAAGATTCAAGAGAAAAAAGAAAAAGATACTTCTGGATTCCTTATCAGCAAGTATTCCGTTAACCACAAAGGTATTATATACATAAACAACGCGACTGTTGTCTGGAAGCTTTAAAGTGTTTGTGAACTCTGAGCCGATATGAAAGTAAGAAAAATAAAGCTGATACATTATTATGATTCCCTTCAAAAGCCCATTTGATACAAAATGGTACGCGGCAACAGAACCAAATGCTAACAGGACACGAACGTCTCTGAAGTCTAAGTTGTAATTCATACTATCCAGATCATTATAGTTCATGCAAAATATAGAAATCAAAGACGAGAGTGCAAAAGGAGTCATAGATATGTCAAGAGATTGCAATGGAAGCAAACCAAATTGGCTGAAGCAGCATAATAACAAAGAAAAGAGAATTAATTTAAGACCCGCTTTCTCTTGCTTTTTCGAAGATTCTAGGTAAAAGGCACGCATACAAACAGCAAAGGTTACATATAAGATGCTAGCTAATGTTGTGCTAACAGAAGAATCTGGCTTAGCAGATAAACTAGAAGATAGGCTGAATAAGATGCACACTAACGGAATTAAAAGGTAGTTTTTCAAAGAAGTAAGGGCCCTAAAAGGATTAGATAATTCGGATCGGTGATTAAATAACTTATAGGATAAAACGCATAAACAAAGAGATTCAAGACACCCAAAATTGGAGGCACCAATAGTTAGTAAGTTCATAGAAATCGCTGAAATGAACACATTTTGGATTTTAAACGGTTGATACGAATAAGAATAGACACCCAGATATTGAGTTACAAAACTAATAAACAAAAATATGCCAAACACCAAATGAAAAGGTACCTGTATAGTAGCTTTTTGGATTTTTAGGTTCAACAAAACGAAATAAAGTAAAATAAAGGTAAATCCAAAAAGCTTTGACGAAACGAAGGAATGATTGAGGATAAATTTTCGAAGATCATGTTTTTTAGCAAACGTAGAAGCATCCTGCTCTATGTGATTTTTGGAGCTAAACATCATATTGCAAATAAGTTGCAATTAACTGGCTATAAGCAAAATACAGTATTTTGAAGCCAATTCAACGAAGGACAAAGTCTCTCCTCTAAAAAAAATAAAAAAAATAAATAAATACCCTTATATGAAGCAGCGAATTCAGGCGGTTGGTCCCTTTGCTCAAAAATCAATCGCTTAATAAACTCATCAATTGAAAAAGAAGGCTAATGAATATACAATAGAATAATATAAAACATGAATTATTTTTTGAACCAACTTAGTACTTATTTAGGCTAACGAGAGCAAGAAGAGAGCTTTCCTAGAAAGCTGCCTAGGTAGAGGCACAAAGACAGTTATAATTAGGAAGGAAATCAACAATGTCAGTAAGTTGAAGTTATAGAAGAATATATTATAAACAACAATAGCAAGGGAATTTTGAAACGATTTCTGTTTTCTTTTTAACTGTGTCTAAGTATTCTTCGCAACGTTCTATTTGGCTGCCTTTTTGTAAGACTGCATTCATACGAAAAAATTGGGAAAATGGGACGTAGGCAATATTCTGGTAGAAAAAAGGTAATTCATATTTATATTGATTAGTTTATGACAAAAATGCTAAAAGGAAATCAGAAAAAAGACGAGTTTATAGATTGGGATCAACTACCACGAAGGTAAAATTGTTTGTGAGCTATAACAATTGAAGCTGACAGTATAATCTTGTAGAAATGAAGGATTTGAAAAGTATTACAAGCTTCAGAAGCTCGTTTCAAATGATGAAATTGAGATATTAATGCAAAAACTCGCTGAACCGCTGCCAACGACATTTCGCATTACCTCTTGTAACCAGTATGTTAAAACATGTCTCTATGTCTTTATAATAAATATAAGAAGTTATTAACGCAGCTACCTTAGGCATGGGACTCAAGTCCGGGATCACTTCATAAAGCATTACTATCCTCTAATTGAAAGCGTCGAGGTCGATGGTACAAAGGTTTCACCTCCTGTTCTATTACCTTGGTATCCGAACCAAATGGCTTTCATGCTGGATATTCCAAAGACTATCATTCGAAAAAGCCCTCCCCTAAAGCTTCTTCAGCAATTCCTAGTTTTAGAAACCGAAGCCGGTGATATCAGCAGACAAGAAGCTGTGAGTATGATTCCTCCTCTTTTTCTTCATGTCGAAAGCCATCATAAAGTACTCGACATGTGTGCTGCCCCTGGCTCCAAAACTGCTCAACTTCTAGAGGCACTTCATACTCCTGCGGATGGCAAAGAAACATTCGATACTCTACTTCCTTCTGGTATGGTGATAGCAAACGATTCAGATAACAAGCGTGCTCACATGCTTGTTCATCAAATCAAGAGGTTGAATTCTCCGAATATCTTAATCGTCAATCATGATGCTTCTTTCTTACCTCATTTCCATGTCGAACTGGATGGTCCCAATGGAAAAGAGAAGTCATATCTGAAATTTGATCGCATTTTGGCTGATGTTCCATGCTCTGGCGATGGTACATTTCGCAAAAACATTTCTCTATGGACTAACTGGACACTAAAGACTGCTCTCGGTCTACATTCTACGCAAATAAAGATTCTAAAACGTGGCATCGATTTACTCGCTAATGGTGGTCGTCTTGTGTATTCTACTTGTTCTATGAACCCGATTGAAAATGAAGCTGTGGTTGCTGCTGCTTTGAAATCAAGTAAAGGTTCGACTAGATTAGTAGATGTAAAAGATGAAGTACAGGAATTAAAAAGAAGCCCTGGTGTGAAAAGTTGGACTGTCTGTGATAGCGATTTGAACACATATCCTTCATTTGAATCGCTTCCTAAAGACCTCAATGGAAAAATGGCCAAATCACTTTGGCCATTACCCGAGGAAGAGCTCGAACAAATGGGAATTGAAAGATGCATGAGAGTGTACCCTCATCATCAGAATACCGGCGGCTTTTTCGTAGCAGTGTTAGAAAAATGTGACGACTCAGAAGTGTCGTTGGAGAAAGACATTCCAGAACAAGAAGTTTCGGATGAAGCAGGTAAAAAAGCAGAAATTGAGCAGCCTATTTTGAAGAAACAAAAATCTTCAAAATTTGAAAAACGATTATTATCTGCAGAAAATCGAGCTTTGAAGGCAGGAAACAGATACCATGAGCTGGATCCTTTTGTTTATATTAAAGACAATGATGAGATGCTCGATAAAATCTATAAGTCATTCAAGATGAATGAAAGCTTTTTGAAAAAGGACTTATTTTTTGTTCGAAATTTAGAAGGAACAATATCTCGCGCGGTATACGTCTCTAACAGTTTATTCAAAAATATTATAGAATGTAATCGAAACCGAGTGAAGTTTGTGCATGGAGGTCTAAAGATCTTTGTAAGGCAAGATTTCGGAAGTTTATCCAAGGAAGTTGCCAAAGATACTGATGTCTGTGTTTTCCGTGTACAAAGCGACGGATCAAGACTTGCAAGTCATTGTATCAACAAAGACTGTGTTTTATCTACTGATCTATCGGACTTGTTGATTTTCTTAGACCATGAAGCTGTCACAGTTGATTATTTCCCAGAGGACAGTATTTTCAGGAAGCATTTTGAAACTCTTCCTTTAGGTAATACCCTTCTTCACGTTGATCTAAAAAGAGAAAATAGCATTATTAAAAAAGACGTTTATATTCCATTGTGGAGAAGCGTTCGCATGTGCAACGTCATGATATCGAATGCTGAGAAAAGGTTTGTTTTGGTATATTAAGTAAACTGATAACTAACTGTTTTTATCCAGGACTTTAAAGTTGCAGATCGAAGGACCTAAATATGAAGGAGACCAAAATGTATCTACTGAGAAAACTGCTTGAGTTTAATTGGAGAAAATATTAGATATGGAAGAAAAGTAGTTAGTACGGATATTATAGAGAAGAAAGAATGCTTTATTCATATGAGCAAATGTAGCTAATGCATTTGTGCCAAAATTATTTATTCGCTTTTCTAGAATTTATAGGTAAATCAAAATGATAGTAATATAGGAGGTATTCTTAGATATCTCTGTATGAATCAGTCAACTAAGCAGCTTCTTGTTCAATTACAGGAGTAGCTTCAGTCTCGGCTTTGCGAGTGAAGCTAATTTCAATTTTTTCAAGCTCCTTCTTAGCCTTCTCAATACGTTCCTTAGTAGCAGAATCTTGCTTTCCTTTTAATTCACCAATACGTTCCTTAAGCTGCTCTATGGCAGGCTCAACCTGAGTCTTAGTCAAAGGAGCTTCAACACCAACGAAGTCGAACTCCTTAATAGTACCCAATGAAAGGTTGAGTCTATCAGAGTCTGCTTGGTTGTTGTGATTGTTTTTATTGGATTTCTTGGGCTTGGACTTCTTGAGGCCGGAGAAGATTGCATCATCATCAGAGTTGTCCTTCTTCAAAACAGTACCTTCTGGAATAGGGTCGACATGACGAGGGGCAAGACTGCGGGGGCGCATATTGTTGGCGGGAGATTGCTTTACGCTATCAATTTCAGAGGCTTGGGAGGAACCGATAGAAACATGAAACATCTTGAGCAAATTTTCACAAGCAAGAATTTCCTCGGTGAAGGCAGGAATGCTAGCCTCTTCCAACTTTCGTTGGGCTACGGCTTGCTTCTTCTCCTTATCACGAGCCTCACGCTCTAAACGGATTTGTTCTTGGCGCTTAGCGCGTTGTTCACGCTCATAAGTACGAAAAGCGCGCAATTGGGTATCATATTCTCTTTGAAGTCCTCTACGTTGATTGTATAATTCGTCCAAAACAGCTTTTTGGGCATCACGTTCACTGAAGATCTTGCGCTGATCCTTATAGTAACTGTCTTGCTTTTGACGAACTTCATCCAATTGAGAGCGAATTTGAACAAAATTTTCACTGAGTTTCTTGGATTCGGGATCATTAAGTTGATTGCGAAGCTCATTAAGTTCACTCTTCATGGTATCGACGGCAGATTGAAGCGTGTTCAGTTCAGTAAAGCTTCTTCTGGTACGGTTGCACTGAGTAATTTCCCTCAAGTACTTCTTTTCGTCAACAATCTTCAAAGTTCCAGAGTCAACGGCGGCTTGAAGTTGACGAACGTGACGATCGAGATCAGCCTCCGACTTATATGGAACAGTTTTTCTCAAGGCATTAAGATCGTTAATCTGACATAAGTTAGCAAATGAAACCCGTCAAAAGAATCAGTATTCTTTTTTTGCATATAAAATCAAAAAAAAGCCTATTTAGCAACTTGAAAAACGAACCTTCTTCTTTAAGGCCTCATCTTGAGCTTTCACCTTGTTAATAAGGGCTTGCTTAGAAGTACGAATGGATGACTGGGCGTTGCGAATTTTATCCAATTCAGTACGAAGCTCTGCATTCTTCTCTTGCAAGGAACCACCACCGCGAATTGTTCCAAGCTTTTCCTTGTGTTCAGACTAAAAATACAATAGGTTAGTTAACGCTCGTGAAATTCGATAAACGAACAAATCATCCACTCCGTATCACTTTTTTATGGATTGTAAAGTATCATTCTTTATAGAAACGCGTAAAAAAATTGATATTCAGCGAGAATTTTCAAAGAGTGACGGACCTAGCGGATACAACCAACAAACATACAAATTGCTTCTTAACTTCATTAATTTTAGCATCTAATTCATTTAATGCATTTTTATGAGCAGTTTCATCGGGACGAACAGGCTTATTAGACGACATTATTCAGAATTTTACTCTCCTTCGCACCGTTGATGGATGGTGGTATAGTCCAAGTTCAATAAACGCTCTCAACCACAAATAGAAAAGCACGGACGCAATGAAAGATGATTGTATCATTTTAATGTTTTCATTTTAATCAATTGTAGAATTAAATCGTTATTAAATGTCTCAATAAATAATATATCTTTTGATTGAAGAGAAAGTGGGCTTGTATACTAGTGCAAGGTAATCATAGTTGAATCATACCGTAACCTTTGATTGTAGTTTAGACCTCTAATATTTATAAGAATTGGCTTTCAATAGTATGCCGGCAAAAGAGTTATACTAAGGATCCAAAGTAAAACTGAAGTTATAGCTACGAAAACGAGAATGGCCGTTGATTTCCTAATGAATTGCCAATTCTTTATACCTGACGAAAAAGAATGAGTAGAAAGTTATCTATTTCTTGTGTAGCAATTGATCGGATTAAGCTTGGCTTCACCTTCTGTCCTGTCCCCGTCCATTTAATCCTCTAACAGCTAGTCACATACGTTGTCTTTTCTGATAATTTACTTGCTTTCTATTTCTATTTACTTTTAAGGACCTATTCATTAGAACCAGTGAGAACGAGTCAACTGACTTCGCAAGAAGCTTCAATAGAAAGATTGTCTCGAGATATTTTAAAGGAAGACAAGTAAATGTTTTGAGTTAAAAGGAAAAGAATGTAATTAATCAATTCATATATCTGTTCAGGTATCGAATGGATTGGTATTCAGGTACAATTCCATAACCATCAAGAGAAAGCTAAATTACTTAATTAGCAACATCTGTGGTTCAGTGAAAAATTATACAGAGAATAAGGATTTGTAGTATTATCAGGTTTCTTCAAAGAACATTTGATTCACTCAAAGCTAGTACTTACTGCTAGAACATTGGTTTTTTTCAATGGACTCTTTCAAGAACGAATTATCAAAATCTATAGGAACTCAACGCTTAAAGGAAATACTTTCTTCCATACAGGTTCATATAGGTTTACCTGAAGCAGAAAATACTGCTTTATTACACACAATTGCCGTCAACATCTTGCCTAGCTTTTGGGAGATTGGGAATGAAACCTCGTCAATTCAAGATCAACTTGTCAATTGTTTTGCAACCTTCCCTGGTTTAAAGTTACTTTGTGCTCGATTAGATGAGCTTGTTTATGGCGATCATAAAAATGCAGCTTCCATCGGAATGCTATACCTGGATGTTTTAGAAGCTTCATTTAACAAATTGAACTTAAAGAAATCTCGAAACACTATCATGTGCTCCAGCATAACTGAATCGAAAAAGCGCTCAACATGGTCAGGCTTTACATTTTTTCTTGGCAATTTCGGAATCATCAATTCTTCTGCAGCATTTCTTTCTGCGTACAATATTTCGATTACAAACAGAACTTACAACGTCTCTAACATGGCTAAATATGTTGAAATCTTAAGTAAAAAGATAGCAAGCTTATTGGAACCTCAAAATGATTCAATCATCACGGACTTTTCCCATCTATATCACTATTTATTACGTCCAGGACAGCAAAAAGCCGCAGTTTCTGCCTTATTTCCTCATTTACAGACGTATTCACCTTCGTTTCAAAACTTATTCCGTTCGCTAAACCCTTTGGATCAAAATACTTTTTTAACATACTTATTTTTGGACCTTGACCAGAAATACTCTCATTTTACTTTTCAAAATATCGAAGATTCGGAGTCTATTCCAGGAGCATTGGCCACGTTGCTTCGACTTAATTTTCTGCCATGTGATTTTTTACAGTGGCTCGAGTTTAACTGGGAGATACCTCTGAATCTCTTTTTGATGCGTTCTATAGTTTTAAGCTGCTCTGTTTCTTATAAAAATGTAGATAAAATAAAGCTTAAGCAGACTGTTAACGCATTGTTCTCAACTTGGTCGGCTTCTCATTTTCTGAAAAATTATTCGGTAGTGTCCCAGGAAAGATTGACTGTCTATTTAATTTTATTACTCTCAAAACTAGATCGAGAATTCCTGCATGAGTGCTCTAAGTCATTTTTGTTTACGAACGGGATATCCAACAGGCTTGAAAGTTTAGATGAAGGCATACGTCTACAGGGCATGGTCTTAGCTGAGATTATCGCTCAATATTTTCTTGTATCAGAAACAAAATCACTAAAATTTGATGTCCCTCTAATGGCTAGTTCCAAGGCTACCTATTTGAAAAGCCTGACTGAGTTGAACGATCAGTTCCAGCCTTTGGATTCGTTATGTCCGCAGGTTCTGTCAGCCAAAAATGAAAAGAAGCATATTCAAGATGGCAATGCTCCAAATACTCAAGAATCAGTAAACCTTGATAAAACTTTTGAGGACAGTAGCGATCATAATGAGCGAAAAGTAATTATCGATGATCTTCAGCCGTATGAAATTTCTGACTCGGAGAGTGAAGATTCGGTAGATGATCCTACTATTTCCAAAACAAAGGTGGATACACCCAAGTATATCCAGAGTTTATGTCGGCTGCTATTAGACGTTGAAAATTATGACGCACAAAAGGTCGCGATTGAGACCGCACCAGAATTGATTCAAAGAAAGTCTCTGTTTGGATCGGAAGTAAAAGATCATGCCAAATGGCTATTGGAAATCTTAGTAGGACTTCAAAATCGTTTTGATTTACCCAACTTCGATAGACTACAACTTTCGTCCCTATGCAATCTTCTTTCTGCGTGTCCAGAAATCTGCGGCCCTGAAATATGCTCCATTTTGTTTATTGGAGACTTTTCTCTACGACAGAAGACTATGATATTATCAAGTATAGCCATGGCTGCAGTTTCCTTGGCTAATGATGAAGAAAGGTTTGAATTTCCTACGAAAAAGTTACCTCAAGCACTTCATGATCAGTTTTTCTCCATCACACTTGATAAATTGAGTTTTGATTTTGAGAAGAAGCTAACGATGCCAATTATGGAAGAGTACCAGGATAAAATTGAAGGGCCTAAACCGTTGCAGACAAGGATCATTTCTAGACAAACGGAAATTGAATCGCGTAAACGCTCTCCTAAAGCTAATAAGCTATCTAAGGTAGTCGATAAGTCCTTATTTCTATTGTTGACCAATGGATTCATGATGGCAGTCAAGCGTTCCTCTTTTACCGATCCATTATTTTTAGTGTACTATCTAAAAACTATGGGAATACTATTTTCGCAAAGCTGTACCTCCAAAATTGAAGGATTAAGCCGGATGGTAGATGAATATATTATTGTCTTAACGGAAGTTTGTCGTCTCAAGGTTGAAACCCCGGAGGTAAATGAGGCTCTTTTGTTCAACTTTTTGGTGGTTTTAGAATCAACACCGGGTAGTTTATTGGCTTCACAACATGGAAAGTCGTTATTGGGATTTGAGGCGTATACACAATTTTTGTTTAACTCTGCTGATAGTGGGGAGAAGGTGAAGTCGGTTGCGGCAATGGTATTATTAGAATTTGAGAAAAAAATGAAAGATTACAGAACTCTTGCATTAGAAAAAATACTCGACGATTCTTCTAATCTGTCATTAGGAAGATTTGGTTTAGCTGGGCTTTAATCTATGTTCTCTTTTAGAATGTTAGAAAAAAAAATTGACAAAGCATTATTGGACTCATGATTCTGCTCTCCAATGTTTAATTTTTCAGATATGTCATTTAATAAAATTTCATCTTGGCCGTTTCGGATAAGTAAATCTCGATTTTGATGAAGTTGTTGTGTGGCACCTTCATAACCCTTAAAACAACTGTATTTGTTTAACAATTCCCTTAAAAATTGCTGATGTGATTTGCAAGGAATCTCTAATTCATCGGCCAAGATTCGCTGATTGTCTCTTTGGTTATGGAAAATACTTTCATAGTAATTGACCAATTCATCTGTTTCAAAAACTTGATGAAGCCTTTTTGTAGCCACGTCAACGATTATTGTTTGAAACTTAAGATTGACATTTTGTATTTTCTGCATTGTATCCCAACAAGGCGGAATTAGAAGTTTGTCATTTTCGACTGTATTTGCAGTTATAATATGATGATTTTCCCCGGTTAAAGTAGATTCATCATTTAAAAGATAGATGTTTAATAGACTTTTAAAATTGTCCCAGGAAGATGGATTAGACGAAAGGTACATAAAGGAACTTGTGGGAATAAGGAGCAAAAGATTTCGAGCATATTGCTGTATAAAATCTTTCAACTCATCATTCATAGAGGACGTTTCGGTTTCATTATCAGGCTATGGAGTCAGTAAAAAGCTATAGGAATCAAATATACCTGAGGTAAAATCAAAGTAAAGTTGAAAAATGGATCAAATTCATCAGACACGGTTGTTGAGAAAAGGCTTTGATAATGAGACATTATTTTTCTTTCTGCTTCTGTTAATAACATGTAGTCTTTAATGATCCAACTTACGCTTATCTTGCATTTTAGAGAATTCCTGACGAAATTCGCCAATTGAGCGTTGACAAACTCGTAAGAATTCCAGAAACTCCTTTGCAAAGCCTTTTGGACTTTCATAAAATACTTGATTTACATAAATCACCCATAATGAGTCGAGTCCATGCAAACGCAATGACTGATGCACAAAAAATTTTAATAGCCGATCTGTAATAATGGACGATTGCCAAATGTGAATTATATGATTTTTTTCTTTTTCAAAGTAAGTAAAGGTCCTTTTTTCGCACTATGCATACCCCCTTTGTCTGAATGCAGAGCAAAACACTCATAAGATATCTCACAGCAATTGACTATTGGAGACGACATGAACGGACAATTTTTACTTTCTCTTGATATGGAGTAAATGCCACATTTTCCCAAGAGGTCTGAAAATCCAGAGCACTTTCCTACTTCGTTTAGCAATGATTCCTTCTGATGAGGGTGGAACAAACATACCTATTAGTAGAATGCTGGATTCCTTCAACACACTAGTTTGTAACGTTTCACTGAATAGTTTTTCCAGAATGGGTTCCATGTTTTGTTTCAAGTAAGAATGCCCTTTGCAAGTGAAACAGGCGTTAAGGAGCCAAACGGATTGTGAGGTAGTCAAGAGAAATGTAGTTTTAAATTGTTTTTTTTAAAGAATTTTCATGATTTGATGTTGATTACAAGGTACTGAATGAGTTTTTCTTTTGGAACCATGAACCTGCAATGGAAGTTTGTTTTTTATTTGAACAAATACCTGGCAACATATATATATTTCGAAGGGAAAATAAGCTTTCATAACGCTGTAATTATTTTCTTCTTTATTCTGCTTCTCTTGTTTTTTTGGCGTTGTATCAAGTCTTTTCATGAACAGTAAACAAATAAACGTGAAAGTGCTTGTAAATATTATAACTAGGATGAGCCGTAGGCAATTCCTAAACGACAAATACATTATCCTAAAATCATCCTATAGATATATAAAAAAAAATCAATCTCTACACAAGACTAGGATTCCAATGTTTGATCATGGTCTCAAAATAGGATAAAAAATGATAAAAAAAAAGAAAAAGGACAATGTGCACTTTTCCCCTTATAACAAATAGTTGGAATAAATAAGCTGTACCATTGGAATAGAATAGATTTTAATTGGGAGTTTGCTGTACTTTAGCAACTTTTGTTTACATTTGATTTCCCTAAGTATTCAAAGACATCTTTCAAGCAATTGGTGTTTTATACCCAAAGGAAGAGCGATTATGAAGGTGAAAACAACGTCAGTTAATTAGATGCTTGTTTTCATGTTTCTTTGACTGTAGTACGGACATTTAAAATTTCATTATTGGAGAAGCCCTAGTGGTGCTGTCTGTTGATATCGTTCTCTTAATTTTGTTTACTTTATTTTAATTTATTTAATTCCATCTTTCTCCACGGATTAATATTAGTGCTTCATATACCATGAAGACTATAAACCCACCACCTTTACTCTACCTACAAGCTCGTTTCATTCCATTCTCTAGGAACCACTTTCTACACGTCCACCTCAAATTCAACCAGCTTCCAATATCCTTGTAGTTATATCCAGTTTATATGTAATAAAACTAGCTTTAGGATATATGTAATACATATGGAATGGATAAACTAGTTTTCTCGTATTGCCCTTCAAGTAAAGTGAACGCCAAGTTTTTAATAAAGGTATGCTTTTTAGAATGGCAAGATGCCTTAGATACACATTTGTGTACCTTTCAGCTATTTTCAGATAGCGAACCACTTTCCTTAGTACAACGATTTTTTGTTTCAAAGACTCCAAACAAAAGTGTGCTTCCAATTGAGCTGTCTAGGTTTGCCAAAAACAACTGGGTCAACTTTGAGATTAGCGTGGCGGAGTTTCCTGCGAATTCGCACTTTTTAATTTCTATGTGGAAACCCTCTTTGCATGATGAAGCCAAGTATGAGTTCGTTGGAAATGCAAAATACGCCTTATTTGACGAAAACAAACTTTTAAGGCAAGGGCTACAGAAAATACCTATCTATAACTTAAACGACGAAATTAGAAAAAGCAATCCACTAACTTCTGTTGAAAGCCAGAAAGTTCGTGAACTCGAGCGCTTCGACCAATTGCTATTTAAGCTTCAACTAGGTGATATTCCTTCGGTAGCATGGCTGGACGAACTGTCATTGACGAAAATAAAGTCGTTTCGTTCTTCTTGCATTCCTCTTGTTCACACTCCGCACCTATATGTCGAATTCTTGCAGTTTTCATTTCCTATTTTATATCAAAATCTAAATTACTCGAATATATATACTCCTGTCTTTGGCTCATCTTTCGATTTGGAATCAAATTTTGACAGTCCCGCCGAACTCAAACATCGCAGACTTGTTCGTTCTCAGCGCAATGGTCCATTGGACAGAGACTTAAAGCCAAACTCCAAGATTCGTAAAGAATTGGAGAATATTATGTCCTATCCTCCCAGCGATGATCTTTCCCTGGAAGAAAAAGATTTAATATGGAAATTCCGATACTATTTAACTAGGAATAAAAAGGCGATGACAAAATTTTTGAAGAGCGTTATGTGGTCTGACAGTACAGAAGTAAACCAAGCTCTTAGTCTTTTGGATAGCTGGACTCAAATCGATATAGATGATGCCTTAGAACTGCTTAGCCCTTCGTTCAAAAATTCAACAGTGCGTGCATATGCTGTTTCTAGATTGGAAACTGCATCCAATGAGGAACTCTCCCTATATCTTCTCCAACTCGTACAGGCTTTACGGTATGATATTCCAACCGGTGCTGGGGAAAATCCCAAACCAAGTCCTTTGGCAAGCTTTTTAGTCAGTCGCGCAGTTTCGTCTCCCAATATCGGAAACGACTTATACTGGTACTTAGTGGTTGAAATTCAAGATGAACCCTCGAATAAGCTATTTTCTTCAGTGATGTTCCTTTTTCAACAAGAACTTTCCAAATCAACTGAGGGAAGAGCAATACGTGAAACACTTGCTACTCAAGCCAAATTTATCGAAAAATTACTTAGGTTGAGCAAATCTGTTCAGGCATACCGGGGAACAAGGATAAAAAAAATAGAATACCTGAAGTCAGTCTTGATGGATTCCAAACATCATTTTATGAATTTTACGGCTCTTCCACTCCCTCTGGATCCCTCTGTCAATGTAGTTGGAATTGTTCCTGAGGCTTGTACGGTCTTTAAATCAACCATGCAGCCCCTTCGCTTAGTCTTTAAGTGCCAAGATGATAGGTCATACCCGATTATATTTAAGAATGGAGATGATTTGCGACAAGACCAACTTGTTATTCAAATACTGACACTCATGGATAAATTATTGAAGAAAGAAAAGTTGGATCTCCATCTTAAGCCTTACAGAATTTTGGCTACAGGACCAACTCATGGGGCTGTACAGTTTGTTCCATCTAAAACCTTGGCTACTATACTTGCTGAATACCGGGGCAGTGTTTTAGCATATTTACGAGAGCATAATCCAGATAATGATCTAAATTCTAATACTTATGGCATTCATCCAGAAGCAATGGATAATTATATTCGCAGTTGTGCTGGATACTGTGTGATTACCTATCTACTTGGTGTCGGTGATCGTCATTTGGATAATCTACTAATTACGGAAGATGGTCATTTTTTCCATGCGGATTTTGGCTACATTTTAGGAAGAGATCCCAAGCTTTTTTCACCGGCTATGAAGCTTTCAAAAGAAATGGTCGAAGGCATGGGAGGGTACAATTCTCCTTTTTATCAACAATTTAAGTCATATTGTTACACTACATTTACTGCCCTTCGAAAATCTTCCAATCTTATCCTTAACCTTTTCTCGTTGATGGTGGATGCCAATATACCAGATATAAAGTTTGACAAGGACAAGGTCGTTTACAAAGTGAAGGAGCGTTTTTGCTTACAAATGTCTGAATCTGATGCCATCATGTATTTTGAGCAGCTAATCACAGATTCTGTCAGTGCTTTATTCCCTCAAATTATTGACCGTATGCATAACCTTGCTCAATATATGCGCTCGTAAATAGAACGTGCCCCCAGTTTGCCTAGATTTGCATGATTCTGATTTTATTGTTTTTTTTTTTTTTATTTTAATAATGCTAATGTTTATGATTAACTTCTTAATAAGATCTGAATATCCTTACAAATATTTCAACCAAAGAGCAGTACACACACTAACTACAAACATATGACGTTGCTTATTATTATTATTAGGCATTATATAATCTTATTAGGTAGAGGTTGGATTTGTCACAGTTAGGATTTTACGCTATATAATTATAATACTGAATGTATTGGCTTAAGGCTTGTAGAAGGTAAAATTTGTAAAAATTGGGCTCTACTTAGTATGTTCTATAAGTATTTTCAGAGTCCACTGACTAGATTAGCTAAATAAACGACATTTAGATTTATTAAGCCAAATCCGTCGAATCTTCCAATCTGAAGATTCGTACTTCTCGAGTTAGGTATATATACCCTTTAAAACAGGTAACATTGTTTTTTCTTAATAATATTATAAGCCCTCTCTTGTATTATTATAATACAATATCTCGGCCTTGACAGGATTATTCTCTGCAACTAGAAACATGTCAGTTGAGTTGTAATAATATACATATGGTCTAAACAAAATCAATGTAAAATTGGAATGCTGAAAGTTAATAGTATATTATTGAATCAAGATGCAACATGTTTATCTGTTTCGCTGGACAATGGATACAAAATCTTTCAATTGAATCCTTTGAAATTGAGAGCTCAGAGAAGTACGTAGCCTTGGAGTTTGTACCACAGGATTCATAATTCATTAATGACAATATATAGCGTTTAAAGATGAAGGATTTTCCATAGTGCAGATGCTTTATAGAAGCAACATTCTACTGCTGGTCGGAGGAGGGAATAATCCAAAGTACCCACCAAATAAGGTATGTTTTGATTTTTTCTTGCTTTGTACATTATAAGCTTACCTTTCCCTTTTTTGTTTAGCTCATTGTTTGGGATGATGTGAAGGAAAAACCTGTTCGCGAGCTTGAGTTACACTTCGAAATCAAAGGATTATCTTTTGATGGTGAACAGTACGTATTGGTAGCATTTATTTTGTCTAGGAAAGGAAGACATACTAACGACCCCAAGTTTGGTGATCGCTACTGCTTCAAAACTCTTTCTGTATCAGTTTACCCATGCTATGAAATTACTTCGGACTATAGACACCCAGAACCCAAAAGGTTTGTTCTTCAGTTTCGAAGGCAGGATTATTTTGACTAATTCACTTAGGCTTATGTGCTATGGTCTCTACTAAGGAAAAAACTACGGCGGTATTTCCTTCGAAAAAAGTCGGACAAGTCCAAATTTTGTTTTTGTATAAAGACCTTATAAATACCAGCATTATCTCCGCGCACGATAGCGAACTATCTTGCTTAGGAATATCTAATTCAGGTTCTAAAATCGCCTCCTCATCTTCCTTTGGAACCCTTATTAGAGTATGGAACACAGAAACAGGAGAAAAAGTATCCGAGTTTCGACGGGGGTATCAACATGTATCCATTTCCCAATTGTCCTTTTCACCAGATGAATTGTTATTGGCGTGTGCTAGCGCCAAAGAAACCTTACATGTATTTTCGTTGAAAGGTAGTCCTAATACTAACAGAAGTATAAAATCTTCGACCACCGATCCCCAAGATACAGGTGAACTATCCTCATCCACAAATGAATCTCATCGCCGGACACATTGGAAAAGACATATGTTGAAATTGATTGACAGTGGAAAACGTGCTCACTGGAGAATTCAGTTGTACCAATCGAGTCCAATTCTTCTTCACTGGCTTGATGAAATGACTTTGATGGTCTGTTATAGTGATGCTACATATCAGAAAATTCGCTTAACTGTTCATGAAATAACACGGTCTGATGATCATATCGTGTCCCATGCTAATTACTGTTATGATTATATCTTAGAAGCTGATGGGTCCCTCTAAAATCGTTTTTGATACGAATTACAGATAATATTTAATTAGAGAATCAAACAAGATTTGCATCCTTGGTTTGCTACTTCTCTGCTAATAATTACTTTAATGAACAGATTGTCGATTTCCTTTGCTTGTAAATTTTTATAATTAATACTTTATTAAATATTATAATTCAGCCTTATATTCTGTAAACATATATTCCATATGCACTCACTGGCCATATAGTTTAGTAAAGCCATACTGCCACAGGAAAATTTCGATTTGTGCAAAGTTGCATATCATACCCAATTCTTTCACTTTTATACATCAATAATGTCGAATGCACCGGAAGTCGTGCAAAGACTAATAAAAATGATCATGCGAGCTTTCTATGAGACCCGGCATATCATTTTTATGGATGCAATTTTGAGACACTCAGCGTATGTTTCATCTTACGGTTTTCAGACAATTCTTACTAACTGTGACAGCCTGACTGATGAGCAAAGTGCTATTTTAATGGGAATTCCTATCAAGGAATGTCGCTTTCTTGCAGGAAAATTGAGAGAAGATCGTTTATTAGCAATGTAAGGAAACTTGTTTAGGTCTTCTAACTGAGAATAGTCAGAGTAGGGCAGAGGTCAAAGAGGGACAGCAAAGACAAATCCAGACTACGTACTTTTATATCGATTATTGCTTCACGATTGATAGCATAAAATGGCGAATGCACCAGTTGGTTAAGACAGTCGAAGACAGGATGCGTAGTGTAAGTCATATATTTGGTATTTACTTCCTTCATTATTCCGTTTTAAATTATCCTATCCTGTACTTTGTGTTAACAAGGACGAGGATCTGTCATATAAGGGAAATGAAGTCTGTCCTCTTCATACAGTCTCACAATATTCTATGTTTTGAAAAAGTACTAACTAAATTTAGGATTTTGATTCAAAAGGTTATGTCTGTCCGTTTTGCCAGAAGAAGTATTCGAGTTTAGACGTGCTGTCGTTAGTGACTCCCGAGGGTACCTTCTTATGTAGCGATTGTGCGACAGAATTAAAAGATGATGAAGAAAGTGCGGAAATGATGTCTAGTCAAAAACGATTAGGCCGTTTAATGGGTCAGGTCAGCAGGATTATTGAGGCTCTAAAGCAGGTTGATGAGATTGTCGTGCCTCAGAACAATTTCCAGTCTGCTTTAGAAAGAGCTGTTCCCATATCAATGGAGAATCAAAATATTACTTCACAAACCTTGCCGAAATCAAGCACTGATATTCGTCATGCCACTTCTTCACCCTCAATTACTGTCGACTTTTCTGCAGATGCAGAGTCTGCCGAGGATGCTCGCGTTAAAAACTTAGACAAACAAGCTGCGGCTTTACAAAACACTGTTCCTGAATGGCATGCAATGTCTACCATTTCTGGCGGAATTACCCGAGTAGGAGCGAAGAACGCTAACAATAATATTTCTTCGGATACAGTGGACGAGGAAGAAGATAAGAAGAAAGATTTTAGTACTGAAAAGTCTGCGCTGGATGCTTACTATGCGAGTTTACGTGCTAAGAAACAGAGCTCAGACATACAACAGGAACCTAGCATTAATATCGTGGATGATGAAGATGAGGACGAAGAAGATTTCGAGGATGTTCCTAGTCTGCCATCTACTACTCCAGTTAGTCACATAAAAAGAAAACAGGAAGATCCAAATTATAACGACTCTGATAATGCTAAAAAAACAAAAACGGAAGATACCATTGCTAATGCTAATTCCCTACACACAGAAAACTCTGAAAAGCTCAACATAAGCGATGATGATAATAAAGTACAAAATGTCATTATTAATGATATCAACGAAAATGTTGAAGATGATGAAGACGATGCAGATTTTGAAGATGTTTAATTGTTCCTCCTTATTCCCCAAAAAATATTCATGTTATTCATTTAAAAACACTGGCATTTAATAGTTTTTGGCTACAGCACTCATCAGTGTCCGGATTCTACTAACAATAACTGCAGCTTCCAGTGATGATAAAACCTCAAAATCATATCTAAATGTGTTAGTATTTATAGAGCAGAAAACTTAGATATGTACCTTTTCGTCTCTCTGTTTCTCGAAATTATTAGTTTGAAGTTACAAGGTGACTTTTTGGATTGTTTGCAAATAACTATTGATCCGACATGAATGCTAGTAGTCTTCGGCGTTTCAAAAATATTCCTAGATTCCGAAGGCATTATGTGTATATATTCGCCGTCAATAGCGAGTAATCGTTCATGTCTTCCCATAAACGAGACAGGTTGACGTTTCCAAACTATAAACTCTTGATAAGTGTTACTAGACATAATGTCTGCGGCATTATATGCCGGCGGGAAATAATCCTTTTTTGTAGAATTATAGGTAGAATCTTCCGGAGAAGGAGTACTCACTGGAAGGCTGGGTCCTTTCTTATCTCTCATTTTCTTTTTCACTAACTCGAGAGTTGGAAAGCCATCGATAGATTGAAAGGTTTTATCTAAAGGGAGAGTAACATCTGAGTCCGCAATTCGTAAAGTATATTTGAGACGTTCCAACTGCTTCATCCAGCAAACTTGGTTTAAAACCATAGCAAAGCGTGTATTTTTTGATACTTCAACGTTACAAAAGCGAGAACTTTCTCCATAAGGATACAATCGGATCTTGACAATATGCATTGAGTTAAATATATCTTTATCACTTTCACCAACTTTGTTTGAATTATTAGAAGTAGAACTTGTATGGTGCGTATGAAAATGATCGTCATCGGACACAGAAGTTATCTTCTTTTTCTTTGTAACGAAGGGAAAAGCAGCTTGATTTTCTTTTATTTGTGCATTTGTAGCTTTTACCAAAGCAAACGCATCGAAGGTAAATTTTGCTAAGGGACCAGTTCGATCAAGAGCGGGAAAATCATCATCCAACTCTCCATCGTCTTCCACAATACGCAAATTCCAATAATTTGGATTCTGTGCTTCGTCTTCAATAACCGGCATCATGTTTTGACTTATATACCGGAAAAGAATATAACCTATTGCTTCGGAAACTAATATAGTATTTCGCAATTCAACATACATTGGCTGAGAAGCATTTTCGCTAAAGGGGCAGTATATTTTTAGTTTTAAAGGGTTTGGTTCAGCATGTCCTGAAAACCCAGCGAAACTATCTGCCAAAGGATTTTGTTGACTTGTAGAATTTTCATTCTCAAACAGCTTCCGCAAGGCAGACTCTGGCTGTTTCACCACAGTTGGTACCCTTTTTGAAATACCATCTTCCACCTGCTCCTGCGACTTTTCAAAAGATCTAAATTCACCTACTTCTTCATCATTTTTCGGTGAATTTTGATAAGGATATATACCTATTTCTCCGTCACTAATTTGTAGAGAGTCGTCTGAAGACGAATTCAAAACACGTTCATATTCAGAAGATAAGCTGCTGAAGCGGGAAATTGACCTCGAATGATTATTCATATTTGATTTAAAAGCCTTCCCATTAGGAAGGCGACTTTCCAAATCTTTTCTCGTACCTTTCTGAGCATGATTGAGATAAACCTCGTTCCCAGAACGTGCGTTTGTTCGCATTGGAACTTTGGTGAAGGAAAACATGCAAGAATTTTCATCGTCAACCATATCAGAAAACTCTGAAAAATCCGTAACGGCATAATCCGAGTCTTCAAAGTTCGAATTGCTTTGAGAACCATTCTTTAAGTTTCGAGGTGCGTTCTTTCCGTTTCCTGAAGCTTTTTCCAAGGAGGCTGTAAATTCACTAGCAAGAATTGGGGGACTTTCTAGAGGTAGTTGTGTAAACGAATAGCTTGTCCCCAATAAATCCTGGTACTTTTTCAATTCTTGAATTTTCGGTATATCTGCTGCAACTACCTTCTCATCCACCGAACTGTTTGCTGTTCGAAAATACTGCATCCTTAAGAGGAAAATTAAAAGCCTAAAAGTTAATACTACCAATTCTTTTAGCCTACTCACGGGTTGAGTCAAGTCCACCCTACTTACTCCTTTTCTTGAGTTAATTCCATTTTCACGATGCTTTAGAATTACAATTATGTTTAAAATTTAACTTCCTGAGGTTAAACATGCTTCAAATAGCCCGCCTTAAAATCTGAAAGTAGTAGGCTTTGGCTAGGATTTTGTCAAAGGGAAAGTCCAAAATAGATACTCCTAAGGTACGAATTGTCGAGTAACGATAATTGTAATACAGTATAGTATAAAATTATTACTGTATGGAAACGAGGTTATTGCAATAAAAGGCGACGTATGCAATTATATCTTATTTATTATTATTTTTAGACACTAAAACAACCCGGTCTTTTTCGATAATAGTCAATCTAATTAATAAAAAAAAAATAACTAACGTTATGTACATGCTGTTCAAGTATTCAACAAAATTCCCATTATAGATTTTATGGCCCGAAGGCCAAACATATAAGTTAGATAAAATATGGATAAGTATAGCAATAATTTGTACAAAATAACACTTCTGAATCAGCATTATAGACAAGTCAAAACGTAACAATTAAATATCAGGCTCAAAGTAATACCAAATGCAATAAAAACCTTAATAGAATCAAACAACAGTAACAGTAATGGTAAATTCCAATTATGCAATAAATGCTTAAATAAACAGTTCAAAAAAATGCAATTAAATCCTCATTCTTTCACTCACCCTTACCTCAGTGCATTGTCTACACTGTCAAAGAAAGAAATGCTTTCGTCCATTTCTTGCGGACCCGAGCGCACTGACCCAAGTACTGACGAAGCGTAGACATCCACTCTTCTTTTTCGTCAACAGTTTCAGCATAGAAGTCAATATAGTCTGAATTTTTGAAAATAATTCGAAATCCAGCCTCAAAGTATAGATAACCTTCCAATTCTTCCTCATCGCTGTAGTGATTATCATCGACAATGTGAGTAGCTTCAGATAATTCAATAGTTGCACGACGTGTCTTTGTAAATGGTTGGAAGGCTACAAGCTTCGAGCCAATTAATTGGAAATAGCGACGACGCCAATAAGGACAATCTCCACCCTGTTGACATAAATAACCATCACATAGTAATGTGCGATCCCATTCAGCAAGTTTCAAGTCTTCCATAGCTGCTTCAATTGAAGAGGGGAGCTCCTTAGGAGAAACGGGCAAAGTAGGTAAAGCGAAGACATGGACCATCATGTCACCTACCTTACGCGACGAAGGCTTTGCATCACGCGCTGTAGGATCCACTATCCATTTGTTAATGATTGGAACCATCATGGACTGGCATCGACCAAGAGCGCTCCGACTAATTGAATCAATATCTAACGAGATTTCACCAAAGGTTCCATCTTGCAAAACATAACCATGCAGAGCCTCTGATACAGGATCCATAGCAGAAGATTTGCGCCGACTGGTTGAAAAAACCTTTCCTAAGCCAGAACGAGAACGGGTCTTTGGAGGTTCATACGTTGCCTTTAAGGCCCAAACAATAGAAGAATCCGCAGATTCATCAAAAATATATTCCTTTTCTATACTTGTGGTAGAATGCAAAGGTTGCCAGGGAGCAATACCTTTAACTCCTTTAATCTGATATGTAAAATTCGTAGTTACACCAGAAGCAAGAGGAATAGTTAAGTTTCGGATTTCCTCCAAACGTATGTATAGTCGGCCTCTGCCTTGCATATTTTGAGGAGAAATAGAGTAGCGGCTATAGATTGACTCATCTCTAGCAGGCATGAAACAGGAGTTAACCACACGTCTTGATGGGGCCGAAAAGCCTTCATTGCTTGATGCGTAAACAACTTTGGAGTTCTCTCGTAGTAAATACTTTCTAGTCAATGCATCAAAAGCCGACAAAACATTTGTAAATCTAGGATCTGGTAAAGCCATAACTTTGGGAAGTAAGGTGAGATGGCTGTCTTCATCTATGTTGGGTTCTTCAGAGCGCATTGAGGACTTCATGGAAGATATAGGATTTTCTTCCTCATCAATAGAATTTGACCGATAAATACCAGTTCTTTGTTCTTGCGGCGTTGTTTCTTCATCAGATACATGAGGAGTGTGGACTTCCTGAAAAGAATAGGAATCATCAGAAAATCCGAATGAGGCAATGCTGTTCACTGGATTTGCAGATCCTACTATATCGCTGACGCTACTAACGATACTGTTAGAGAAGCTTGAATCAGAGGGGGTATGTGCGTGATGAATTGGGGATTCCAAATTATAACTCATAGGAGATGATAGGGCATTATCGGAAGCAGCATTAGAATCCTCTCCTGTTAATTCTTTGGAAGTATTTGTCATGGTATTACTCATTGATCGGGCTGGGTTCTTCTTGGGAATTGTCAAGTTCTCGCAGCTTCTGTTAGAAAAAGGGCTTCTGCATTGGGTAAAAGAAACCGACTTTTGAGTCATTGATGAGTGATTCGAAGACAAACTGGATTTAGAGTTGGCTCTCGAATGATTATTGTATGCATTTTCCACGGTTTGAACCTTATCAAGACTGGGGGTTTTTATTGAAGATATGGGTGACTTTTCATCCCCACTCAAGGTATTTGAAAGATCTAGATCTTTAAAGCTTGAGCTTAGACGACCTTGATCGTAAGCAAAGCTATCGTTTTCTTCAGCATCATCAGTTTCTTCACAGGAGGGAGCGACAGAAGAAAGGTTGCTTCGTTCTAATTCAAGTTCTCTCAACGTATTTCCCCTTGACACTGAAGCTAAACTCGAAGCGTAGTCTGACCCCTCATAGTCCGTACTGGGTATAGGAGATGGTATCCTAAGAGCTCTGTGAATATCGGCCAAGTACGATTTGGCATGTTGGTTTTGTTGGGTAGCACCTGTAATCATGTTTATAAAAGGAGAGCCAAAGGCTTTAGGTATAGCACGTCCGTATGAGAAGTCTTATATAAATATATAAAGTTTTCTTTCTTTCTATTAAATATGGCGGCGTTTGTAAGTACCAACAAAAAATGAACAAAAAGACGGCCTTCACTCCCTTTTTTTTTGTATGCACAAAAAGAATGCTTTCAATATGGAAAGGTAAGGAGGAATGGGTCATTATAAGCAGCGAAGGGGTATGTCACCAAGTGGCTGGTGAACCGATATTCGCATTAGGTGGCTGGTACTATCAATTAAGACCAGCATCGTAATATGAAAGGAACTTAAAGATATAGGATAACAAATGATACCACTTATTGGCGGCTCGTAAATCGTCCGTATTCTCAAAGAACCTACTTTTCTTTCTTATGTTTATAAAGTTATTGATCCTCGTACGCAAAACCACAACCGGCACAAACGTATACCAAAGTCTATTAGGTTAGCATTTTAATGAAAAAAGAAGAAAAATAATAAAATACCATTCTTGAGTCACCACGGCGTGAATGCATCTGGTAAAAAACGGCTTCATGATGGTGACAACGAGGACATTCTTTCTCAGTTCGTGGAAGGGTATAATCAGTTGCAGCATCTTGGGAGAAATGTAAACCTTCGCTTTCATATTGTAGTTAGTATATCCTTCTTACTTTCCATAGCAACTAATACATACACATTTGATGTTATCAACTCATGTCGATAGACTTTACTTGTAGCTGCAACCTTGAATAAGTTAGCAACTGTATTTTAATTATGAGTCTCTCAATACATCCCAACCCTATAGGAACCAATTCTTGTCCAAATGAAGTATAACTCTTTGGAATGTCTGAAAAGTTGATCCAGGAGTAATCAATGACTTACCTCTGAATAGTCACAATTTCTGCAGGCTAAGCGTAGAGTTCTAGCGATTTTATCTTCTCGAGGATATCTAGCAAATTTTTTGGTCAGAATACGTTGCAAACATCAACCTTTAATAATCGTACAGCATGTTGTTGCACTCGATACAATATTGAAAGTTCGACATTCTTGAAATTTAATATTGCAAAAGAAAGAAAAAAAAGAATAAAAACCGGAAGATTCAAAGCTTTTTTGCAATTTTGACGTTGTGTGTCGTAGAGAGTGTCTATTTACGCGTCAACAACCAACTTTCGTAGATGACTTCTTCATCGAATCCGGCTCAATGATTCATAATAATGCTAAAAATCATTTTTATATACAACAAAATCAACTTTAACAAAAACAAAAACAATCAATACTTCCAAAGACAGAAAATTGGTATAGTAATATTCTATTAGATTTATAACAGTAGCACCCCTATTTAACATGATACACTCATGTTGGGTAAAGCACATAAGGAGAGTCAATGAAGCATGTTAATTCATGATATATCATACAAATCAAAATCAGATTGGCAGTCAGTCTTTACCAATCCTAGGCTAATTGGGAACAAACTACTGGAAAGATTATTATAAGCTATATCATCATGACAGGCTTTTGTGTGCTCGGATGTGGTACTATGGGTAAAGCCCTTTTGACAGGTATCTTTGACTCAATCAAGGAACAAGATGAGCAAGCTTCCAAGAACGTAACTGTTCCTGACAAGTTTTACGCGTGTGTCAAGTTTGCTCAAGAAGTCGAAGAAATTCAAAGGTTATTTGGTGAAGATGTAGAAATTTCCGTACGTGCTGAAGAGAACGTTCAGAAAGCAAAAGCGAGCGACGTTTTATTGCTCAGTTGCAAGCCCCAGGGTGCTGAAGAGGTTTTAAGTCTACCAGGCATGAAAGAAGCCTTAAAAGGAAAGTTAATCTTATCTATCTTAGCCGGAAAGACTATTGCTGCCCTTGAGTCTTTGTTGGATGAAAGCACTCGTGTTATTCGTATCATGCCCAATACCGCTAGTCGTATTCGTGAAAGTATGAGTGTGCTTTGTCCTGCTCTGAATGCTACGGAAGCAGATATGGAATTTGCTGAATGGGTGTTCAACGGTATTGGACGTACTATGAAGCTTCCCGAGAAGCTTATTGATGCTTCTACAGCCTTGTGTGGTAGTGGACCTGCATTTGTTGCTACTATGATTGAAGCCATGACTGATGGCGGTGTCATGATGGGGATACCTTTTGCACAAGCTCAGGAACTTGCCGCTCAAACCATGGTTGGTACTGGACAAATGGTGTTACAAGGACAACATCCTGCAAAGATCCGTAATGATGTTTCTACTCCTGCTGGCTGTACTATTAGTGGATTGTTAGCCTTAGAAGATGGAAAAATCCGTAGCACAATTGCTCGTAGTATTGAGCAAGCCACCAAAACTGCTTCTGGCTTAGGCAAGTAATTGATTTTAATGACTAAGCTACGCTCGTTTCTGGCTTTTAACTCTTTCCTTACAGCTTGTCTTGTTAATTATATGTGTTGAGACTAATGTACAATAGCTTCGATAGTATGAAAGAATTCTAGAAACAATCCCACTTCTTTTTGTTTGTTGTAGTTGAATTACTTGTTTTTGCTTGTTTCACTCCAAAAATATAAACAAAGGTTCCGGGTCAAGGAATATCAGTTGTTATTCACAAATTCCATACGGAGGTAAAAGAAAGCTTTTTTAAGAGGGAATTCAATCCATATCATACTATTTGTATTTTTGTTAATTTTAGGTTAAAAAGCCAGGCTTTGGACTCTAGTTTCTTCCTGTCTTTTGCCAAGTAGGTCATCTCAATGGAAGTCTACATCAATGTGTACGATTTAATGCAGAATTCCCCTCTAAGCAGAATTGCTTGGACGTTGGGACTTGGCATTTACCATACAGGTCTTGTTTTAGATGGAAAGGAGTATGCTTATGGCGCACATGCTATTCCGAATGCTACTGGTGTCTTTGTAACTGTGCCCAAACCTCCTCTGGAAGGTTGTAGATGGCGTTGTTCTATTCCTTTACCGCCTTGTGAACTTTCAAAACATGAAGTAGACGAGATCATCACGCGTCTAAGCAAGGAATATACAGGTACCTCATATTCTTTGCTGTCGCAAAATTGCAATCATTTCACCGAGGCCGCCGCGAAAGCGCTAACAAACACGACTATTCCTACTTTTTTAAATCGAATGTCAAAAATTGGTCTCACCTTCCCCTCTATTACGAATGCAATTTTACAATTAGATATCTCCAAGAGTCCAGCTCAATGCAGCTTGGAGAGAACCAACTCATCAGATTCTGACGAAGAAGTTTTAATTCCTTCATCGGCTAAACTACAACAAATATCATTTCCTAAAATTCCTAAAGTTATCGTTTCACCTCCTGCTGTGAATACAGACAACTTGGTATCAGAGTCCCCATGGATCTAACCACTTCTCTCTTGAGCAAGTTTTTATACAAATGCACGTTTGTTTTATCATCCATTATTGTTTTATATCGTTGATTAATTAATTTTTTGTTTATTTTTTTAATCTTTCTGATTCTCCTTTGCTAATTTTCGAGTTAGTCATCAAATCACCTGCTATTAGCTTTAGGAAAACCAAACTCGCTTTCTACAACAACAACGATGGCTGACGCAGAATTAAGACTTTTAAATGGAGTTGAGTTCAAGTTTGCATTGGCCAAAAACTCGGAATCTTTCCAGTCATTAATTTCCGTGTATTTGGCTCCAATCCTTTTGAAGCTCGATTCACCTCACGAGCCAGTTAGAAATAAGACTATAACGATTGCAAATCATGTCATGACGAGAGTTACGAGTGAGACAAATTTACAGTTACCTATGCTTGCTCTTGTAAAGCAGTATATTCATGCAGATCAACCGCTACGAAAACGCTTTTTGCTGGCCTTTATTACTATAGGAAAAACTAGACTTCCTTCTTCTCCCCCTCCTGATACTCAATTATTACAAATTTGCTTAAGTCATGTAAATAAGCATCCAATTGTTCTAATGAGCTTAACAATTCGCCTCTTACAAATGATTCATCCAACACCTTCAATTTCATGTCCTGAGGAAGTTTGCTTTATACTCTCTTCCTTTTTCTTAATTCAATCTTCTCAAACCGTCTTTACTGAGTTACAACATAATCAAAAAACAGTACAGTACCGGAGAGGGGTATTAAACTGGTTCGAAAAATCTGAATGGCCAAAAACATGGAACTGGCTTGCCTATTTCTTCGCTTCTTCTGATACACACAAAGAAGTTGCTCAGTTAGCTGATGACCTAGTACGCAATGCAGACGGAGCCCCGGATGTCGAAAATCGAAACCACGTTAAAGCACTGTTAGACATTGTTTTAGATGACTTTTATGTGGATCCTCTACGCTTAAAGCTTTCTGTTCCTATTTCCTTGAGGAATAAAGCTTTGCAGTACCTTTTACATAGCAATACCGTCTGTACGGATCCAAATTCTTTGAATTGTATTAAACTTATCCTTAAAGCTCCACCTACTTTGCAATCCAGATTGATTCAATTCACACGATGGATATCTGCTAATGCAGATCCAGATTTCTTAAAACCGAGAGCTGCTGGTATTTTGGAAGATATTTTTAAAATACTCTCAAATTCAGCCATTCAGAATGAACTTCTTCGAGGATTTTTATATACTTCTGTTGGATTGCTGGCCAAATCAAATTCCGAATTGATTTCTACTTCATTGCTCTCCACCCTATTATCAGCTTTACAAGTTGAGTCGCCGGATGTACGTGTAGCTATTGATGAATCATTATCAATTATCCTTCCTTTTTTTAATAACTATCATTCGCCTTATGAGTTGTTGCCTATCATTGAAAAATTTATCATTAGTACACCAAACTCACCTGCTGCATCCTCTTCCCTTCGCTATCTTTTAGTTGCATTTCCATTCCAGTTCTTACCATCGCGGTTTCTATGTCTGAAAACTCAGGATTCTAATATCTTTCCTTCTTTATTATCTGAGGAAGCAAAAAAGGGCCTTTTTTTGTCTAGGTGGCTTCTACATAATAATGTCTATCTTGACTTTGCTAAAAATAAAGATTCCCCGACCTCATTCGCCTTCTATCCTGATCCAGATGATGCTATTTTACATTTAGTTGCCGAGTATAATCCAGAAGCTCTCTGGAAAACGTTTAGTGTTGAGGTTTGCTCATCAATTCTTAGCTTTATCAAAAGATGTATGTCTTACCAAGTAACCAAAGATTCGGCCGTATATGATGATAATGATGTATTCAACTCTTTGTTAAGATCAGATCTTCCTTTAAGAACAAAATTCTCTAAACTAATATCGTCTCTTAAATACCTACAACCTTATTTCCGCTTTCTCTTTGAAGGCGTACTATTACATAGCAAGGAAGCCGCTTTCACATTTGACCAATTCTCATCTCTTGCTTCACCGGATATCCTAGCAGAGTTTTCAGAAGAAGACCTTATGAAGCAAACGTTAGTCGCCCCTTCCAATTTAAGAGACACAATGTCACGAAGTTTAGGACTGCTCCTAAGTACGAAGGATTACAAGGTTATTTTCCATTACCTAGAAACTCTTTTACGAATAATAAAGACATCAAATAGTCGAAATGATAGTCTTTCAAAAAATATAACAGCTCTCTTTATCATTGGATATACCGTTTCATTTTCAGTGTATAGAAATGGCAGTGAAATTTTAAGCTCAGCAAACGGCTCTATTTTGGAAGAATTCTTCAGCATCCTCTACGAATACCTTCAGTCTGGAGTGTCTACTGATAAGAGATCTGCATTGTCTGTTTATCAAGGTATATTTCTGAATATTTCTATGGAAGATCTAGCTAGACAAAATGTTCAGTTAAACTCTGTTATTGAAACTATAGTTGCTATCGCAAAACTCGAAAAGGATACAAGTTTGCGTATTCTAGCAATGACTACTTTATCCCACATCCCGCTTTCTCTGCACGAGCCTTTTGATCCTGACTTGATTGACACGATCATTAATACTGTATATCTGAGCTATCATGATGATTCGCCTGATATATTATTCGCAAGTGCAGAATCAATGACTAACATTGCAGGTGGTCTGTGCTGCACATTCACGAAGACCAAATTACCTTTCCGAGATTTCGAAAACGAAAATACATTTTCTCCATTATATACAAAAGTTCTCTCCAAAATTCTTGACGAATGGTCAAAATCTTCAAGACCACTACTTCGTAAGGCTTCGTCTTTGTGGTTATATTACATGTTACAGTTTTGTACATGCCAGGCGTATACCCACGAGCGTTTCAACGACATATATCATACTTTCTTAACTTTTTTAGTTGATCAGGATGACTTCATTCAAGACACAGCCTCCAAAGGCTTGAAAGCTGTTTATGATCTTTTGGATGGGGAGAAAAAGAAAGGGTTCACGACTAACCTCATCAGTACCATTACCGCTGATAGAGTAGATCCAAATACCAAAGCCCCATTGGATGCTGATACTGCTTTGTTTACTACTAATCAAGGTTCTGTAACCACTTATAAAGATATTTGTTCTTTGGCTTCTGAAAGTGGAAATCCGGATTTGGTTTACTCTTTTCTCAGTATCGCAAATACCAATTCCGTTTGGCAGGCCCGTAAAGGATTGGCAACAGGTTTAGGCTATATGAATATCAGTGATGATGAAAAGCAGAAGCTCTTTACATTCAACTCATGCACTGGATCTCAATTGCTGACAAGACTTTATTTGTATCGTCATGATCCTAATATATCTGTTGCTAAAACAATGACGGAAATTTGGAATTCTCTGGTACCTTCTAATCTTGACTTAAGAGCACAACGTCAGCATCTTGTTTCTTCTTGTTTGGATTGTATGGGTGATTATTCTTGGAGGGTTCGTGAATCAGGTGTTAATTCACTTGTCGACCTATTAAGCAACGTGCCTGTTTTGGAATACCTTGATCAACTCGAAGGAATTTGGAGAATGGCATATAGGACTTTGGATGACATAAAAGAGAGCGTTAGAATATCCTCTTTTCCATTATGTAAACTTTTGGCAAGAGCTGTCATTCAAACCGTTGAAAATACTTCCGTAAATACTACTGATACGGGCTTGAGTAGATGTCGAACAATAATGTCAATAGCTGTTCCATTCCTATTGAAGTGTTGTCATGAGAAGGCGAAAGAAATTCAATCGTTTTCATATTCAACCATTACTGCGTTGGTGAAATTTACAAACCCGGCGTTAAGTCCGTTTGTTCCGTCCATTATTGAAATAATGCTGGAATATTTAACCAAATATGAATCGAACGCAGCATCTTTTATGGAATTCCACTCCTCCACTTATAACGTGAACGCTGAGGATTTAGATTCGGCTCGCGTGTCAGCGGTACAAGGCTCTTCGATGATGTCGAATATTGAGAAGTGCATTTCTATATTAAACGAAGAATCGATGAAAGATTTAGCTCCCGTATTACTTCGAATGATTACTCGTACTACCGGGGTTCCAACCAAGGTAGGTAGTGCACAGATTTGCATGTTGCTGGTAATTAGACGCCAGGACCTTATTATACCTTATGCTCCTAAGTTCAATCAAGCATTAAAGGCATCTATATTTAACAAAAATGGAGCTGTCAATAGTTCTTCCATATCAGCGTTAGGTTATCTCTTGCGTGTGACACCTTTAAACAATGCTGATGAAGTGTGTCGGGATATTTTGAGTCAGTTCTATGAAGGGGACGAGTTTACGCAAACTGTTTGTGCCAACTTTGTTCGAGCAGCGGCAAGGTTTGCACCAGACTTGATGCAGAACCTTGGTTCAACCCTCTTTCCCTTTATTTTCTTTGGTAAACATTCGTCTTTCAACAAAGTATCATCAGTTCTGAGAAAGCTTTGGGATGATACATCGTCAGGTGGAAGTTCCATTAACCTTTACAAGGATGAGATTTTAAAGATCATTCGAGCAAACTTGGAAGCAACACAATGGGATTTAAGGCGACCATCTGCTGAAGCTTTATTAAGTTTTGTTCAAAGCAGTCGTCTCAATAATTCAGAAGAAGTTTATGCATTACTGGTGGCTAAAATGAAAGAGCGAAGCTGGCCGGGGAAAGAGTACTTACTTGAAAGCTATGTCCAGTTTGCAATAAAGTGCCCAGAATTTATACGCACTTCTAAGCTGGATGAAGTTTTGAATATATTAAAGCGAGAAGTATTACGAAGAAATATCTCCTATAAGATGCAAGGAATCCGGATATTGGGTGACTTTTTATCTGACTCTTCTTATCAAAATGTGCAATTTTATGATTTTTGTATGGACGAATGTGAATTCTTTCTTGAAGATGCATGGTTTCATGAAGAAGATTCCGAACTCTCTATGGATGATAAAGTTCAATTGCAGATGAATGTTGTTTATTTAATGGCAAGCTCCTGTAGAGAAGGTGATGACAACCGTCTTATTCAAAGTTTAATTAAGACGTTGGATCAAAATTATCTTCATTGGAAGGTCAAGTTAGAAGTTTTACGGCAGGCACATAAAATTCGGTGTCTTTTAAAGGATCCTATGGATTCCAAATTTCTTTACGTGCTGGCTCGTTGCTTTGAAGGGAACCCGTCACCAAGGGCTAAAGATTATGCTGAAAACATTTTGGGCAATGATTACCTAAAATTTTTGAGAAATTAATCCCTTGAATAGATTTTTACTGATCCTATATATCTAAACCGTTGCCTACTCATTTTTTTTGCACTAAATATTCTAAATAATAAATAATTCTTATCATTCGTGCAAATAATTAATTTTAAACTATGCCCACTGGGGGGGGGGACTTTTGTGCCCAATGAATGCAATTTTGAAATTGTGAATTAACTGAACTTTTGTAAAGCATCCGTGAAACAAGGACCTTAAAACTATAGCGGCATGTCTAGATAATGACAGCTTAACATCTATTCAGTCATTTGCTTGTTTTTTTCAGCTTCAGCTTCCTTTCTCATCTGCTTGGCAAACTTGGCTTTGTCTTCATTCAATGAGGCATAGAGCCAAAACTGCCACATGAGATCGCAGAAAGCAAAAGTGAAGGTAACATTATTGCTGAGTACGTGCTCCTTTTTTATGTAAACAAATGCCGTGAAGATAAAGTCGAAAATAGCACGGAAAGGGATCATGGCACTAAAGTACAAGACATTATGCTGCAAGTAAGCTACAGTGTGCATTAATGACAACACGAGAAAGAGAATCCCCATAAAGGCTAACGCGGGCTGGTTGTTTTCATTGCTCACCAAAGGCTTCTATAAGTATGTTTTGTTAGCAGTTGAAGGGAAACACAGTCATAGCAGCAGCTAGCATACCAAATCCATCGCAGCGCCAATTAATGCTGAAAGGCCGCTGTCAATTACAAATGCTGGTTTCCATAACATTGCAACTCCCAAGTAAGCCAGTAAAGAACTGTAGAACAGGGTAATCGTGCCAAAACGAAACAGCATAGTGGAAACTTTTTACAGAGGAACAGAGTAAATGGGAAATCAAAAAAATGACGTCTAACTTTAATGAACTTGCGACAAGTTATATGAGCGATAATAAAGAGACGCTTTTACCAAGTTAACATTGAGTTGCAAAGCGAAATTTCATTGTAGTTCGTAGACATATCATATTAGGTAATGCAGAGCTTCGTACTAACAAATTAAGATGATACATCGGCTGGACATGTAGTACAAGTTTGCCTTCGTTGAAATCGTTGATTCATACTTGCGTATTTATTTCCAATCGTCAAGATAATCCATTGTACTGGAATGGTACGGCATGTATTTTTTGAATTCTGTGATTGACGCCAATTCACTACCCTCTAGGATTAGCATTGGGATTAGTGTTTGAAACATTGTACTCTACATGATAAGATGAAGGGAAAAGAAATGATAGAATGAATTCATACATAGACATGTAGCAAAATTGCTCATAAGGGAGAAATCTCTATGAAAGTAAATAGTAAGTAACCAAAGTGAAAACATGACCAGGCATCATAATCCTCGCTCGAGAGAAACTGAAGGCTAAATGAAAAAAAAATACTATTTTTAGTCTCTTTTAAGAGGAAAAGTTCTAGTCTCCACACCATCTTTTGTAATAACCTTAACTAGCACAGAGTCACCGACCTCAATATGTCGCTCGCCAGCACTGGTAAAGGCATCGTGCACTAGTTTCATTGCCTGATCTAAGGTTAATAGTCTGTGAGGCTGAGGTTCAGCGCCATTTGTTCCTGGGATATATTGATTATGTAAATTTACTTGGTTGTCCAAAAACGGCGTGATGAAATTCGCCGCAGAACCTCCAGCACGGCACCATTCTCGTTCATAAGATCCAACAGGATCAAAGGAATAGATTTCTCCGCGATTTTCTTTATCCATTCCGGCCACAAGGGTGTAAACATAGTAGGGGAAAAACCGCTTGCCATATAATAAAGTACGAACCATTCGTGCGCACGATTGAGCGTTCATTTTCCTCTCGTGATTATCATGATAAAGCTCAATTCTCTGTTGAATTCGTTTGACAAGAGCCAAAGCATCTGCTTCAAATCCAGATGCACCAACTACTAAATCATCTCCAACTTCATGAACACGAGGCATAAAACGGGTATTAATGTTGTAGCCATTCACATTTCTTGTATCACCTGCTAATAGAGAGAATCCTTCACCAGCAATAGCAATGGTTGTACCACCATTTTGCACATATGGATCAAACCCGTTGGACATCGTTTGTTACCGTTTCCCGTGAAACTTCTCTTTAAATAATGCTTCTATCTTTGTTTTTTTTACGTAAAAACGCTTGCTACAGCTTTTCTTCACGAATTCACAAATTTGCTTGTTTCAAGGTTGTATGGTAGTCAGCAGCAGCATACTACTACTTCATATGCAGGAAATTCCCAAGTGTCAGGAGGGAAGGGTATGTCACATTAATACTCTTTAATACAATACATAATAATCTCTTCTGAACACGTTACGTTTGTTTACTTTATGTCTACGAAATCCAAACAAAGTTGTTTACTCACGCTTAATCAAAAGGAAATATAAAGGAATATGAATAGTACACATAGTAAAAAGCTATTTTTAAGCCATCATAAATTATCGTATATAAACTTAAATCATAAGCATAATTTTTAAAGACATGGGAAAAGCAGAAGCAACATAGCAACTTAAAAATGCAGAAATCAGATAAGTATCATAATAGTTAGCTCATCAATCACATAACGAGTTTAAAACATTGAGAAAGCTGGGAATCCCATCAGTATATGAACGAGCCTCGGTATTTTCAACTCTCATGGAGACTGTAAATGAAAAAACAGGCAGTCGGTTTGCCCAAATAAAGGTACCTTCATCGGTACGGTTGTTACCAGCTACCAAAACCAAGTCCAAATCACTGGGCTCGTGTAGGATTTTTTTTAAGGTATAATCCGCAGCTGTGGACTTTGAAATATCCTTCGGTTCCACCAAAACGTGACCTTCCATAGGAATCGCCTTACATGCATGTCCGGTTTCATTTACACTACTACATAATTCAACGGCGTTTCTCAAACCACTATCCCTGTTTTCAACTTTGACATAATTGAATTCCATTGCATATCCATGATCGATTAAAGCAGAGCCGGGAGTTCTCTCACTGTAATATTCAATAATATCGTGCATGGATTCACGCCAAGCCATCTGCTCCTTTTTAAAGAGACGAATCCAAGTTTGCAGGTTATCCTCGCTTGCCGTATGTGGCTTCACATAACATCCGTTTTCGGCAATCAAACCCATTCCAGGAATATTTACAAAGAAAGTTTCTAATTCATCTCGATCTAGACAACTGCATATGTAAACAATATTTTTTGGATCATTCACCATTCGTGTCAATATATTAATCATATATCCATAATGGAAATCCACAAACTCATGGCGTCCTTCCCAGGAAACAGCTTGTCCGTCAAAGTTCAGAAATAAAAGACGCTTCTTTGCATTGGCATATCGACTACCGACAAAGTTCAAAGTAAATCTGGGTATATGAGAAAGATCATGTTTTTGTTGAGACGACCACGACTTTCTCAATTTGTTCTCAAATTCGGCAGCCCATGTAGAAGCCGTGTGACTATTAATTACATTTAAGCATAACTCATAGCGTTTGATTTTGCTCGAATCATCTAACTCTAAGGCCTCTCGCATAGCTTGGCTCATTTCTAAAAAGCTCCATGGGTTTACTATAAAAGCACCTTTGCGGAAGAATGCAGCGCACCCAATAAATTCGCTAACAATCAAAAGTGACTTTTTCTCTTTTTGGGACAAAATAAATTCATGACAGGTAAGACTCATTCCTTCACGCAAAGAAGACACAATGAAGGCATCTGCAATGGACAATAAAGCCAGGTACTGAGGGTAAGTTAAATCACTTGAAAGAAAAGTCACAGGAAGGTGATCTATGGAAAAATCGCCAAACGTTGAGTTAATCCTAGTTACAATTTCTGAAACTTCCACTCCATACTTACGGGCATCCTCGGTCATGGTCGCCGTTTGTAACAAGATGGTATTTTTTTGATATGAAGGGTTATCATAAAGAAACTGCTCAAAAGCCAAAAGCTTTTCACGGATTCCTCTAATGGGGTCCATTTTATCGCAACCTACAAATATGTTCAGATTCTCATATCTTTTTTTTAGAAGGTTTATCGTGTCAATCGTTTCTTCATTATCCAAGTAAGCTTGAACCGCCTCAGGGTCCGCACTAACGGGATGAGAATAAACATCGATATAACGATCTTCAAGAAGGATGCGATCAAAAGTCGCTTCAGCATATATGACGCGAGAGCAAGACTGAAGAAAATGACGCTTGTATTCTTCAGTTTGGAAGCCAATCAAATTGGCCCCCAGCATACCACGTAAAAGCTCGTTTCTGCGTGCAAAGCAGCGGAAGACTTCTGAAGAAGGAAAAGAAACGTGAATGAAAAGACCAATGGCAACATTAGGCATTTTTTTTCGCACCATTTCAGGTACAAGAAGAAGATGATAATCATTCACCCAAACGGTATCTCCGGGATGATAACTTTCAACAACTTTGTCAGCAAATGCTTGATTGACCCTCACGTAGGCATCCCAATTGCTCTCTTCATGGAAAAAAGAGAAAATTTCATTATGCTGGTAATGCAAAGAAGGCCATAAAATCTTTCGACAATAATGATTATAGTGGCCTTCGAAATCAGAGTCGGATGTGTATACAGCCAAAGATTGATGTTTGACTAATAAGGCTGCAGAAATAGCATCTTTTGTCTTCTTGGAAAGAGTCTCAGTGGGCATACCCAGGAGACCTACCCACACATTGTTTACCAGCTTCTTGTCGCGGACGGCAGCATCTACAGCATGAAATAAGCCACTGTTGCCGATAATTCCACGCTCTACTGTCCAACGAGCAGAATCAAATAAAGCAACGTCTTTCTTGAGAGAATCACGACGTTTTTGGAGAAGCTTTTGTTTGGTGCCCAGACCAGGAGCACCAAATCGGTCATCACGCTTAGCAAATGGTGGAGGGGAGCCGGCACGTGAGCGAGGTTGGGTATAAACAGGAGAAGAACGACCAGAACTAGGTAAAGGTGAAGCAGTACCTATATTCGGCGTTTTTGGCGTTTTTGGTGTCTTTGTACCGCCTCCACGTTTAAAGGAGCTCAAGTTAAAGTAATCGGAAGTATTCTCATGCTGAGGGGAGAAAGCAGGAGTCAAAGGGGCAGGAGTGGCTTGTGAGCTTTCTTTCTGGGAAATAGCAAGATGAGAGAGAGCATTGTCTATGCGAATTGAGTTTCTTCTATTTCTGGAAATCTCATACGAGCTCGAAGCCGGGTGATTTTCGTGACCTTTATCCTCAAGTTCGTCTAAATGAAAGTTTATCGTGTAGGGAAGAAAAATCGAGCAAACTAAAGTTCTACCCATTTTGTAAAATCGTAAATTGTAACGAAGTCAAAGGAAAAAAATAGCGTGCAAATTGAAATCAAGGAAAAATGAGAAAGAAAATAAATATATATGTGGATTTCTTTTGGAATAAATAGTAAAGCACTCAGCAGACAAGCAAAGAGAGCTAGCTAGAAGGAAAAAAAAAAAGGATAATGACTTTTCTGTACTTGATATGAACAAAAAAAATCTATCGGTGAAGGGTTTTTAGCCAAAAAGGGTTGATGTAAGAACAGAAAAAAACTTGCAAGAAAAACAGTCAATTCTGCATAGAAAAGACAAATAAACCTCTTCAAGAAATGCTTTTTCTAAAGAATTCCAATTGTAAAATGACAAAAATAATGTTACTTTAGGGGTTTTTTCTTTTCTTTTTTTGGTAATAGGAATCAATAAAAGAACCCGCAGTAATAGGCAAACTTTTTTTTTTTATAACACTTGCAATTATCAATTATAATGTAAAACGAACCGCAAGGAACTAGGTGAGGAAAACAATGATGCGATCGAAAGTGAGTCTAACTGAAGTAACGCGACTAGAAAGGCAAAGAAATGCACAATATTTTTTTTTCTATAAGCAAGAATTTACCCGCGTAATATTATTCGAAAATATGATGAATAGATGTTGGGAAATGGTAAGATGGGATTTGTGGGTTGTACAGGACATATAAGGTTCTCCATGGCGTCACTGGTAGACTTAGCTACGTAACATATATATTTAGAAGGGCCTTGCGCTTACTAGAAATTCATAAGTCTCATTTCTTGACACGAACCGACTTTCTTTTACTTTCTATACCAAAATGAAAGATAAAAGGGGTCAAATAAGTGCCGGATTCTACATTTTCGTTTACACACAGGATGATTGGAAACAAATGCATTGTTTATCCTCTATTCCTGGCCACTGATGAAATTATGACGATCCTTGATAGTGATGTTTTGCTTTCAGACGTAAAAGTATGTAACGAAGGAAAGCGAGATAAGGTAAACAAACAAATAAGCGAGTGGTTCCACCAATTTTGTCTTGTAGATCCTCTTTATGAAGGAGCGTATATGTAAACAAAGGTAGATATTGTTTGGGCTAGGAAATAGGACTAGTAACTCAGTAAATAAAAACCAAAGTAAAAGTCTAAAAGCAAAAACAAAAAACAAAAAAGAAGAGAAAACAAATTGAAGATTAGCTACTGAAATGTCTTATACTTTTAAACATGTTGCATTATGATTTGTAATTTTAGGACAGCCCAGAAAAGGAAAGAAAGACTAGAGCTATGGGAAAAAAAGAAAAAGGATTAAAAAAATTCATGAATAAACATACAGAAAGAAACGAAAAATAAACAGAAAAGAAAAGAAAAGTGCAAAACGAAAGGTTCTGCGGACTCATTGAATAAAACGGAAAACAGAAAACGAATTAAAACATGAAGATACAAAGAACAAAGGCAGCATACAAACGAGAGAAAAAGGAAAAAAAATAGAAAAATAGAAAAATATCGTTGAAGCAAAATTGAGTTTAATTTGCCATACGGCGTTCGCGTTCCTTGGCAAGCGTGTAGAGAGTGGTACCGCCGAGAATGAGAATGACACCGTAAATGCGATTTACATAAAGAGTCTCGTGTAAAAAGGTAACAGCAAAAATTGTTTGAAGAACACCACGAGCTGCAACAGAAATCATATAAGAAACAGGGGAGGTGACTTTGATTTGGGTAAAGGTTGCAATATTTAAATAGAAATTAGAGCAAGAGGCAGCAAGGAGAATAAGAGAGAACTTGGTTACTTCCGCTCCACTCACAGTTTTGACGACATTGAAAAGTTCGAGAGAGAAAACGGAAAGACAAAGACAAAAGGCAGACATATAGGTTGCGAATATATAAATGAGATCAAAAGTAGGAAACTCATGAACGTAATGCTTAACAGCGACAGACTCAATGGCTGTTGTAAACGAGCTCCAAATGCCCAATGCGACCCCGATGAAGGGAACGTGTTGCTCAAACTGGACACCAAAAACAAATCCAAGCATAACTAAAAAGCAGCCAGTGAGAGGGAAAATATGGGTTTTTTGACGAAGCAATAAGAAGGAGAGAAGAATCGTGAAGGGCAACAGTAAGCCACGCGATATTTGGTAAAAAGAGACAGGTACAAAAGAGAGACAGTATGTTTTGCTAACGATACCTAAAATTTTCACGAAAATGAATTTTTTCAGCTGTTTCACCGAGGAAAGATGTAGAGTTTGAGAGGCATTCGAGGAAAGACGCCAATAGACCTTGACCATAGTAGCCGTGAAGGCCATTTGGAGAGAAAGCATTAGAAGAGGGGCTCGCACAACATTAAGGGCTTGCTTATTCAGAATGGTTACAAGGATCGCAAACAGAATTTGTGATGCAACAGCAAAGAAGATCTTCAAACGAGAAGGAGGGGCTGAGGAAGAGGAAGGTAGCTGGGATTCGGAATCAATGACTTTCAATTTGTCCTTCGGCTCAGAGGATTGGATAGTGGAAGTAGATGATAAAGGTGGCAAGGGAGACGTGGAGACAGAATACGAATTTTTGTCATCATAGTCTTGGTCTGGCAGAGAACTATAAGAAGCCCAGTAAGAGGGAGGTCGACTCATTGATTATAAATGGTTTGAGAAGAAGAGAAAGAAAAAAAAGGGCAATGTAAATTCAAAGCATAAACAATTTATCTAGGAATGATTAGAAAGTTCTACAAATCCTCATATAAGGAATTTGAAAAAATAATAAAGCAAGTGATAGAATGTAGATTGACGAGATAGAAAAGAACGTTAATGGAGTGAATCAAAAGATAAATAATCAAATAGACCGATAAATACTTGAGATTTTCGAAAATAGCCCTAAGGCAAGTGGATGGAGTATGTCAAGCTTACTGCGCATCCCAAAACGAAGTCCTAGCGAAAAAGTAACCCAAGTAACCCAAGTATACTCTTTCCTGTAGAAAGCAACTGTAACCCCCACTATGTACTGTTTCTCAATCCTTTAAACCATCCTTGACTTGAGTAACCCCATGCCCCCACACGAGACCTTTTGTATAATCTTTAGCGAACGATCAAATCATCCAAGAATGATGTTTTTATGATTAACGCTCTGTTCCAACACTGTCGGTCTTGAGAAAAAGAACCCAATTAAACCAAGTATTTGATAAATAGAAGCTGCAAAGGAAATGAAAAAAACGAAAAACTGCTACAGCGTATCTAGACATGATGTTTGGTTTGTTTACTCTTGACGCCAGATGAAGAGAACGCGTAAAATATCTACAAGCATTGCACTCGCGTTAGCAGCTCTCTTTTCTTGAATTTATTAGAATACGAGATTCCTATTATTTATTTATTTTTTGGTTATATAAAACTCGTTCTAGTAGAAATTCTCTTTCTTTTCCTATCAGATTGTAGGACATTATCATTATATTAGATAAGCTTGGTTGTCTTTAAGTTCCTTAAAGTTTCTTAAGAAATTTTTATCTCAGGGAGAAATCGACTCTAACCGAACCATTCCTCCACAAATATTCCTTCATAAAACACGGCCATTTTTATTTTGCTTTTTCTTTCTGTTCTGAATTCAGACTTTAAAGAGCTCCTCATTGTGTCTCTGACTTGGCCGTAAACGGCTTCTTTAAAAGTGAAATAGAGTAGAAATTGGGTTTCTGGTTCTGCAGTCTTCTTGGAGGATCGCTTTTGTTTGAGATTTGGGGAACCACTTTTTCCTCTCATTTGAAAAATCTTTTTGTTTCTATTCTTGTCTTTCTTCTTGTGGAGTTGATTCGATCTTAACTGGCTTTATTTTTCTTACATTGCGTGAGGGGTTTTTTACTATCTAAAAAATTTTAAAAAATAAAGGAAAAAATAGAAGGCTGTTTTATTTACAGCTTTTTTTTTTCTTCCTTTAGTCATTCCTTTGGCCTGATTTCTTTCTCGTGCCGTTTTTGTGCCGTAAAACAAGAATTACGGTCTCTATTCTGTTCGTGTACATCATCGATAAGCGTTTATATTACCAGTATAAACATTACTGTTTTCTCGTCGTGGAATCCTCTTTCCGACTTGCTAATTGTCTCTCTTTTTACTTTACGTTAGAAATCTGTACATAGTCTGCAGCCTCTTTACTTTTCTTTTTCATTTGCATGCTTTGATTCGTTTTGTTTGCTTTCACAAAATTTCTTAGAATCATCTTTCATTGGTTGCCTTCCGCTCGTTTCGTCTTCTGCTTGGTCTCTTTGTCCTTGTCTTTTATATGCTATTTTTTTTTCTACGATTGATTTGGTTTTAATATGATGAAAAAATTTAGATTTTTCTCGTCTCCTCGAACTTTTGGAAACTGGACTTTTCGTGCCTTACTTCTAATTTGTCTTTTCTTTGTACTTTACTTTTCTTTAAGCATCTCCTTTCCGTCTTCTTCACTTTCTTTCAACTTGCCAACTATTTCGTATGCAGCTTCTTCCGTGTACGCCCAACACCTCGAAAATCTTAGACACGTTTTTTATCACACCATGGATCGCCAGCTCGCTGGTGTTCGTGATATTGCTCTTGTTCACTTGCCGTGCACTGCTGACTCTGATAACTTTTTGTCTATTTTGGGACAATGGCAATATTTGAAGGAAAGGAATATTTCCGTTCGTTATCAATCCTGCCCTCGTCACTTTAACCTTTCGGTCGCTAATGCGACAATTAACCAACTTCACCCTCTGTACTCTGCTGTCCTTCATGCCGCTCCTATCAAAGGACATCCCTTCAACTTAAACGACTTTGTGTCTTCCTCCGAGCCTTCCCTCGATAGCATCCGTCGACTCAAGCTACGTTCTTTTCCTGTCAATTATCCTTTTTTTGTAGATGAACAAATGCAGCATGCACTAGAGGCTATGCGTCATCATCCAGATGCTTATTTGATATCATCTCGCATAACCGAAGACACTAGATACGCACGTTCTGGGGCTGGTACCTTTACATTTGCTCCTGATTCTTCAATTTCATATTTAAGTCATATAGATCATTTTCAACAACCGAAAATGTCAAAATATAGTGCCAGTCTTATTTTATCTAAGGATCACAGTGTTCCAATAGCTGGTTCGAGAAACATCAAGTATCCTTGGACGCTTCATTTCTGGGGTCCCGAACAGGACCGTAAAATTATCACTGCAAACTCGACGCTTGTTGAACAAGCAGGTCAGGTACTTGAATATGCACAGCCTCTGCTAAGTGAGACGCCTTATTTTATAACTGATAAATTCCAGTTGCATCTCCTCGCCACTTATGCAAATTTAAAACATGTCTACATTATCAATGATTACGAATCAGAATTTGGCAAATACGAGCTTGATTGGTTACAAGCTCTCCATTCCAAAGGAAATGTAGCAGTTGCTAAGAATCTATATTCAGCAATGTTAATTGTGGATAATTGGTTAAGAGGTACCTAGTAGACTAAGAAGACTCCAAAAAACATACAAGACTAGAAGGAAAACAACTTCTTGACTTGTCTTGTGCAAAATTGTCTTATTGGTTTGTATACAATTTACATCTTATCTATAAGGAATGGCTCTTCCTTGAAACTTTGTTCTTTCGCATTATTCTTTTTTTTTCTTTCTCTCTCTTTTCGAATCTTAAAATATATTGTCATCCCTTTGTCACGTTTATTTTCATACCTAACCGAAGGTATGATGCTTTTAGTTGTTCTTTTTGACGTTTTTTCTATATTTATTTCTTTCTTCTGTTCTTTTTTAATTCTATTTTTATGATTTTTTTATGCATATATTTTTTTTTTTCCTTTTCTATACGAACATTTAGGTGATTGTTAATTAATTTTAATATCACAGTTTTTGGATTGAATGAAAGCTTAATCTTTGTAAGAGTGCGTTGAATTTCTATTCAGAAAACATTTACGACAGCATTAATATCACGGCATTCAATTTGTAAAGATTGTAATCATAATAGTTATCTAGTCATTAAATCTATGTATGCCTTGATATTCGAAACTAAGGAAACGGTAGTGTCAGATCGATGAAAAATTACACAGAAAATAGAATGATAAGATTTTATCAACCTTAAAGCAAAAGACAGATGCAACTATACATCATTCGTAAAAGAAAGGTAAAACATTTTGGACACATAGTTTCTTCCTGAAGGGAAAAAAGCAAAAAGAATAGATCGTAAAAAAGCCACGTTTAGGTAGTACGGGGTCCCAGCTTATCAAGAGCACGAACACCATACTCTTCCCACTCTTGTTTTGAAACCCACATATGATCATTCTGGGCCATAATATCGGCAAGGACGGCACCACCGATAAATACTGCATGGCGACGACGAGGAGCATCTTCAATTTTAACCTTGAAGTTAGGTAAACGAGATGGATCGCCATGAAGCACACGATCAAACCACAACTGCTTGATCTCCTTCTCCAGGCGAGAAGGCAAGCCAGCATACATACTGCTACCACCAGAAAGAACAATAGCACGATACAAATACTTACGGACATCGACGTCTGCAGCCTGAATTGTATTAAAAATAAACTCACTTAAGCCGGGTTGTTCACTACCAACAAGATGAGGCTGGAACAAACATTCAGGGCATTCAAAACGTTCCGAGCCCACTTTAATAATGCGTCCGTCAGGCAAGGTATAGTTACGCATCAAAACAGTGGTTTCTTCACTAAGCTTGTGATCAAGCTCGAGATCGTAACTGACATAACAGAGTTTTTCTTTCATTTCACGTACCGTTTCAAAATCAGCGGTCCGGTTAAATGCATATCCCTTTCGCAAAAGCAAATTGATGAGATAGCGAGTAGCATCTCTTCCTGCAACGTCCAGACGACCAACAAGGTGATTCAAGACGACACTTTCGTAAACAGGAACAATATGTGTAACACCATCACCGGAATCAACGACCACACCACTACTTAGTCCCTGAGCATAAAGAGATAAGACTGCTTGAATGGCCACATATACACCGCCAAAACCGTATCGCTCAAACATGGTTTCGCACATTTTTTCACGATTTGCGACGGGATTCATCGGAGGTTCTGTAAGCAAGATTTTTTGCCCATTCGTATCAATTTTTAATTTATCATAGAATGTATAGTCCCACAAATTATTCATCTCTTCAAAATTACGGATAATACCATTTTCCATGGGATACTTGACTTGCAGCAGTGATCTCACCGCCTCTGCCTCATCACCAACCATAACATCTTTGATTTGAATATCGCCTGTTTTTTCTTCTGCACGTAAAATTGGTCTACCTACAATTGATGGAAATTGGTGACGCGGAAAATTGTCTTTAGCGTACCCGACCTATGTTTTCTTCAGTCAGCACAGTACATCTTTTAATCCTGGGAAATCGACCTTACCTTGACAAATCCAGTACCATTATCTAATACAATGGGAGCAGATGCCATGATGAACGGCAAATTCTTTAAATCTCACTTCTCTTCTGGTTGGTAAAGGGTGTGTTTCATTGCTACTTTTCAGCATCGTCACTCGATCCTCAATTGAATAGGGAGCTTTACCGTAGGGTTTCGAGGTGTTTCGTACTGATGAGTTTTTAATAACGTAGTTGAATGCAAATGCACTTGTAAATAATCAACAAAGAAAAAAATAAAAATAAAACAATAAAAGTACAAATACGACTATAGATACTACAAGAGAAACTGCATCCCTTCCTCTATGAAGATTTTGAAAAAAAGAAAATACAGAAGAAGCCATCTGAAAAGTAGAAAGTTCCATCAACCTATTCCATCGTAGTATTGAGTATGAAAGTGAACGAAAACTACAAAAGTTGTATTAACTAAAAGAAATTATCCTTTTCTGTCTTTATTAAAGGATAAAATAGGTTACAGAACTCTTTTAAACACGTTCATCTCTATTATTTTCGTATAGTATCACTTTAAAACCTAAGAAAATACATGTACCTCGACTTGTTACCTACAAATATCATACTTTATTGTTTATACAGAAAATAATGAAATGGAAATGTATAAATTCAAGATACAAGAGATAATTACAAGTTTAAAGATTTATCTTTCTTTCGCTAAGATCTAGTTAAGTTGAAAAAGTCCAAGACGAAATCTCTGGAGAAATGTTTGTAGGAACCATCCGTTTGAACCGGCCAACTTTTTGATTCCTTCTCCATGTGATAAAACCTAAAGAAATCATTATACTAAACAAATAATTATTAAATACCTTCTGAACTGAATAGGAGACGAGATGAACTCAAACAAAAAAAAAGCATAGAATCAATCATAGTGAAAGGTACAAGAAACAATCTAATAAAAATCCCTAGTTTGTGACTGTAAAAATAATTTACTCTTAAACAGAATTAGCACCTTCTACAAGAGAGGAAAAGCTCATATCCGTAATTACAGAATTCTCTGCTGCTAATTCCTCTCATATCACCATTCATAATTGAGCTGAACTAAACTGAAATGTATTAAATTAGATTAAATTAATTAAATATAACTGGTTCATAGACCCGCATAAATTTCCCGTAACATGAAATAGACTCATAAACTTAATCAACAACGATGGTAATAAGTAGGATCGCAAAGTTCATTTCACAAAAAAATAAAAAGAGAGAGAGGGAAAGGCAAAAAAGAAATATTAAAGGAATTTAGGGCCACTTCTTGAGGTCAGACTCATCAACACTGGAAAGCTCTTCAGTAGGAATACGTTTAATATCATATGTCCGGTCCACACGGATAGAAACCTGAGTCGTATCACCAGGAGAAGTTGTAGTTTTTAGGCTTTGAAGCTTTAATGCAGTGCTGGACGCCCATAAACTGGAAAGCGGGAGAGAAATAATTAATAGACATTGGGTCATAGAACTGAAGCCATCGTAAGTGTGAATAAAGCTATCAATAATAGTAAAGATAGCAGGTACAAATAAGCATTGACAGCTGATAATTAAAATACACTGCATAGGACCAAAAGGAAATTGACCAATTTTTTTTCGAATCTGTATTGCGTGGAACAACTTGTACGAAAAGACAGCACTATGAAATATAACGCTGATAGCAAAAAGAATCTTGGCGATAAAGTATACCCAATAATATCCAGAAATTTGATGGTTATTATATGGAATTAACCATAAAAGGTAGTTGATTTGCTGACACATGTTGGTAAACCAAAAAGCCACTACCACAAGACCCATACCAGCACTGATACAAGTCATGATCCTTTGAGTCTTCCTATCGTGTGCGGAGATGATACGAATTTGCAAAAGCATACTAATTTCCGCTGTAATGATGATAATCGTACCAACGATCATGACCAATACATCAAAGACATGAACATATTCATGAACAAGTTGAAGCGCAAATCCATACATGACCACGAGGCTGTAACTCTTGCTGCACAAATTCACAATCATCAAAATAGCGCGAATACACATAGAGACAATGCTAGCAGAATTCACAATAAATACAGGCGTCCTCCTTTTCTCAGGAGATGAAAGAAGGATACTCATTACCATGATCAAAACGCCTAAGGCTAATTGAGCGGATACTGTCATACCAGTTAGAATCCGGTTGCGCTCGGCTTTGTCGATTAAGCTCAAAGGAACTTGAATTGATCCCTGCGTCGATAAAATAGATACATTTTGATACTGAAGTAGTGTCCCATTAGAGGTATGATAGTTTTTCCACCAAGGTTCTCTCATGATGATCAATGGAATTCACCAAGAACCAATAAAGCAAAAACGATAAATACGTAAATGATCAAAACAGTGTTCCAAAATTACAACGGCCACTTCACGTCGTTGCAACAAAATTTCCAACACCAAATGGTTTCCAAATGAGAAAGCGTAAAGGAACAAATCCTTAGAATGCAACAATGATTTCCCAAAAATAGAAAAGGTCGTAAAATAAACGAATATGACTCAGTTTCCGTGACTTTCTTGACAGACAACGATTTCTTCAGACAAACGATTCCAACAGCAAAAGTAATATTCGCAATGGATCTCTTATATTAAGAAAGATTACTTCTTTCCTGGAAAAGAAATATGTATGTGCATGGTCTTTTATACCTTTGCTTGAATCTATTCATTGTCTTGGGCTCCATTGTAAGAGGTATTGTTTTATCCATTGTTCTCAATACAATACCTCTTACAATAGGAATGGAGGATGTAAGGAAAATAGACAAGATACTTGAAAGAGATAGGAGCTAATTTGCTTTAGTATGAAAAATATAGACATTTAGCTGGTGGAGAAGCTGAAAAAAGAGGTCATTTTTTTCAGATGGCCCAGCAGGCTTATGCCTCTGGGCAGAAGGCAGAAGCTCACGAGCTAAGCCAAAAGGGGAAAGAATGTGGACAGAAAATGGAAGAATATAATCGTAAAGGTATGTACAATTCTTGCTCTTAGTCTTGACTTCACATCTTGAAGTGACCTAGACGGAGAGTACTGGTGAAGGTTTCATTCTGAAAGGTCGAAAAGGTCCAAAAACTGCCTTCATAGAAAATAGTATTAAATCGAAAATAAGTATTCCTGTGACATATTTTTCTTGCTGAGAACCCCGGGCTTTGTTTATTTGTTCGAAATTCAAATACAAGAAACTAACATGAAAAGCTGCCTACGCGATCTATTTATACAAAAATACTCATTGTCAACCGGATGAACTTGATTTACATGGTCTCTATATTGACGAAGCTGTGCAAGCTGTTCGACAGAGAATTCATAACTGTATCCAGAGAGGAGAAGATCATTTACATGTGTAAGGATTTACTATCGTAAAAGATGGAAAAGAAAGCCACTAACTGAGTTTGTTAGAATCGTTGGCAAAGGCAATCATAGTGTCGGTCATGTGGAAAAGCTTAAGCCTGCCGTTATACAAATGCTGGAGCAAAACAATTTTCGTTATTCCACCGAGGTGAATGAGGGACGAATTTATGTTTCTTTTCCCCATGGAGTTGTTCCACATCCTCCTCAACCTGTACATGCGTCTCCCTACCAGCATCATCAACAACAACAACCACAGCCACAGCAGCCTGTTGCAGCCCAAGGTGTGGACCCCGAGACCGAGAAAGTTATTGAAGAAGTAGTTACCTGTTGTCTTCCTCGTCTGAAGACTTGCTGCGTGATTATGTAAACTACACGAAATTAAAAACAAGTATCTCGCATGTTCGACGATGGATACTCGATTTCAACCGACAACTGACTGTTCCTTGTTTCATGTAATATATGGGGTTTGATCTTTGTTTTATCTCTGGTAAAATTTGATTTATCGAAAGGCAACCTCTAAATACTTTTCATACATCCTGGTTAGAGATGGGCAGAAAGAATTTACCTTTATACCCATTCGTGCCCATCCTTTCTTATTTAGAGAATTCATAGAAGTTTTTTTTTTATTGACTACAATTGTTTTCTTGTCTAGAATGTACATTACTTATCGTCGCAATTGCAGTCTACCTAATAGACGGAACCTGCAAGGTTATTTTTTCCTTCTCTTAGCTTTTCTTATTATTTCCAAAGTTTTATGGAGCTTGTACTAAGATTGTTGAAGATAAAACGGGACTTTTACAATCACTTTGGTTGAATACCAGTTTGGTAAATAGAATAGAGTAAAATACGCTTAATTATTTTTTGGTTTCTATTGTATTTGGTTTTATAAATTATAATACTGGGATTTTCCTGCTCGAATAGGATGCCTTTGCTTTTATACACTTTTATAAGATCCGCATTTCACTTTAATCTGTCTGCGGTTTTCTTGTAATAAGTACAGGTTAACAATCATTAATAGGATAAAAAAGTCATTGATTCCTGAATACAAAATCAAGTCATTAATACTTCAAAAAGCAGAGATATCAAGGTCAGTAAACTACAAACTTCTAGAGAAGGGCTTTCAAATCATTCACATACAGTCATGAAAGATGATATTTTAATGGCAGCAAGGACAAAGGCGTTGAATGGATTACGATTTGTATTAATTTTGGATGTTTTGGCACTCTTCCTAGGCTCAATAGGAAATAAGAAACTAAAAATCCTTCAACTAGCATATCCTAGTTCCTGGTCATTATCTCCAAAACTTTGGACACCTATAAGGTATAATTTGAAACCTCCTCAACTAAAAAACTTGAATCTTTTCCTTGAATCCATGATTAATTTTGAGCACTAACCATTAGAATTGTTATTTTAATTTTCGACTGTTTGTTCACAGCAGGAATCGCTAATGAATATGATGATGTTCTACAAGCAGTTTTTCAGCTAAGTAATAGATTATGTGTTTCAAGCTTTTCTGAAGTAGCCGGGACTCTGTTTATGGTATGTTTCAATAGACTTATTTTTGGTACTATGTGTTTAACGTGCATAAGAAATTTCAAGGATCATGGTTCTGTGCTATTTTTTTTATGATTTCTTCCTACAATTCATTTTCAATGATCCGTTCCTTACACAAAATGAGAAATAGTTGGGACCTACTAGTCATTATTGGACTCCCTACAAAAATTCATTTTGTTTACAGTCTTTTTCAGGCTATTCATTATCTCGAGTTTTCTTCATCTTTCTTAGTGGAATTACCTTTTACCTTCCACATTTTCTCATGTGTCGTTTTGTTGCTTTTTTTGGGGAATCTAATTCATAAAAGTCGTGATTTTTTCTTGGGATTTTGCTCAGTCTTTTTTGTCCTTCTAAGCAACTCTAATCCTTTTATCTTTAAAAGGCCTCTGTTATTTTATACGAATTTAACTCTAAGCTTATTACTCTTACTGGAAAGCATTGTTTATGTGATGATTGTAAGTCATGGAATCTTTGAATTTTTGGATGCTAACTTCAGAGAAAAGGAAAAAGAAAAGATAAAAGGGGTATCGGAATCCGAGTATTTGTATGATAGCGATTCTGAATAAATAAAGCATTTCATTATAAAACAAATATCCATCTATAGATGAAGCAAATCGTCGCGAACAAAAAACTGTTTCCTAGCAAGTAACTTGACCGCTTTGAGCCATGCATGAACAGAAATTGATTCTTGAGTCAATGCTGAATTCAAAGCTTGTATGCTATTATTCAGGATAGCATCATTCGAACTCAGTTTGTACTTTTTCCTATCCGCTTCCGAAGGTATTATGAACAACTCCTCGATCGGTAAGTTTTCAATTGTAATAGTTCTTCGTAATTCATCTTTGAGCTTTCTCCTAGTCATTCCCAGCAAAAATCGCTTCCTGTCGATTTCTTTTGCCAATTCTTGCAACGAACGCTTTTCATTATCTAGTAATTCTTTTTTCTGTCGAAGGCTTTGAAATGTCTTGATTTGCTGCATAAGTTCTGCATCGAGCTTCTCTTTCCATCGGCTTTTTGTTTCATCCAAACGTTTTTGAGTAACTTCTAGTTTCTTATCCTCATGATTTGGAGGTTGAATGGGAAAATTAATTTCTTCGTCTAATAAATTCACTGTGGACTTGTTGATGGGGACTGCATTTGTGTTCGTTTGTGAAAGCGAATCATCCAAGTGTGGTTTTGAAGGAACGGGGGGAAACTTTTGTTTCGGAGGCAAAACTGGTGAAGAGTGATGCTCTTGCTTCTCTAGAGCTTGTAAGGAAGAGGAGTCTTTTGAAGTGTTATTTGGTCGAAAAGAATTTTGGACGAGGTTCGTATAGGGAGCGGGTCTAGGTGGCAGACTAGGGCTAGAATAGTTATCCTTATTTTTCGCAGGAAATATTTTTTCTGTCGACGGAGAGGAAACTCGACATGCTATCGGACTAGAGGGCTTCTCAGGGACGGGAGGCTTTGATAGATTCAAGGACAAGGAATGAAGGCTACTTGTGAGGTTGGTAGTATTTGTAGCTGGCGGTTTTGGCTTTGGGGGAGCTTGGGGTACCTGACTTTGAGTTTGTCTAGGAAATGTTTGGTTTATAAGAATGTGAATAAGACGACTCAGGTTGAAAACGGAAGGTTCATTTTCCCAAAGGTCCAAAAAAAGGATTTTATATGAATGAAAGTTTCCTTTCCTATCCTTAAGAAGTACGGTTGGAGGTACTTTAGGATACGAAATAGGTATTGTTAGGTGAACAGATTGGTAATCACAATCCTGGAAATTCGACCGAGTAAATTCTATCAGAACACTAGGAGATGGAGTAGAGTCGAAAATAGGGTTGTTTTGAAATTCAACAGATTGAATAACGAACGTAGTATCGCTTTGTTCATTCACAACTCGAGCAAACTCTTCACCTACAGTAGCATTCCATTCCCTCAACTATTGTTCTTGTGATTAGTACATTTAATCCATATGTTGAAGAATACCTTTTCGATGATATTAATAAATGGTTTTGAAAGACGGCTCATTTCGCTTATTTGAGAATGACGATAGGGTCTTTCTCCGGTGAGTATCAGAATTTCAGAAAATGCGAGCTGGACGTTTCCAGAGACATTAATTCTATTTTTAAGTATACAGAAATCAATTGTGATAGTCAGTTTATCTAGTTTTCCAATACGCAGTAAAATATCGAATATAGGGACATGGAAGCAGGTACTAGGTATATAAATATCCTCGTTTTTGCAATTTCAATAAGAAAACCCCGTTTTTAGCGTTTCATATTGTTCTTCTGTTTTTATTTTTTATAAATTCCGTTTTAACGTTGATGATATGAAATGAACTTTCCATGCTGCTTTTCCATATGACACTGACCTTTGTTGAAAGGTGAAGGAAGTAAATTCAATATCATTTTTATAAAAAATAAATACTGATGAATGATCATACCAGGAATCTCTTGTAAGCTCCAACTCTCACATTGCCAAAGGCAGGCAGGCAGACAGCCTTGATCTTTCACTATACCTCTATCAAGGTCTTTCACAAGCGAACAATTAAAGTCGAAAGTGTCAAAAACGCCTTGGAAATTGATTGAAATAAATTTAAAGACATTTGAAGTTACTCGTACATTGACTAGAGAATTATAAGGATGGCAGTCTGGAATGCAGCAGCTCTAATGGGTAAGAATACAAGATCAATGGAAAGCATCCTTCCATTAACACAATATAGGACTTTTAGGCGTTGGCTTAGGAGCGTATGGCTCTCATGGCTTGCAAAAACGCGTTCAAGACCCTCACTTATTGAAGGTAAGCCAAACGATTCTGAGTTTGCTGGAATAGTAGAAGGAAAAAGCAAGGAAGAGAAGAATTAGAGTTTATAAAGATTTATATTTCTAACGATTAGTCTTGGTCCACGGGTTGTACCTACTTGATGTTTCATTCCCTAGCTGTCATGGCCATCTCTCTCCATCCCAAGTATGGCAGGTCAAGATGGACCACTCCTCTGATGATTGGTGGCAGTACGCTGTTCTCGGGAAGCATCTTTGCTCTTGTGTTACTACCAAAGACATCGTCCTTCCGTAAATTCTTGGGTCCTGTAACTCCTTTGGGTGGTCTCTTGATGCTTGTTGGTTGGTCTACAATGCTCGTCTAATTCATGAATTTGACGAAATCAACGTTTCTGGCTATGGCTTGGCTTTTAGAGGGAGCTGCTTTTAGATGTGAATTACAATGGATGAGTTTTTCAGTGTATTTTTTAAGCATATGACATGTGACTGAAAGTCGAAGTGAATTTCTGATTAAATATCAAACCAGCATTTTAATGAAAAAAAAAAAAAAAAATACTACAAGCATAAATAAAGACACACACACACACACACACACACACACACACACATACAGAGGAATGACAACAATAACGATTGATTAGGTATTATACATGAAACAACACATAAAGCATGAAAGGGAGATTAATTGTTCAAGTGAATCAAGTTTTTTTCTTGCAAATAAGCAACAATCTTTTCCACAGATTGTTCAGTGGACATATTATGGGAAGAGACAACGACTTCAGGAGCAAGAGGAGCTTCATAAGGCGCGGAGATGCCAGTGAATTCCTTAATCTCACCGGCACGGGCACGCTTGTAAAGACCCTTGGGATCGCGTTGCTCAGCTACCTCAACAGGGCAATCGACCAAGACCTCGATGAAAGGTAAGCCATCCTTGTTGTGGGCTTCACGAGCTTGGTCACGGTCTTTACGATAAGGAGAGATGAAAGAAGTGATGGAGACGACAGAAGCGTCAGCAAACAGTTTAGCAACATGACCAATACGACGGATATTTTCATTACGATCCTTTTCGCTAAAACCAAGGTCGCTGTTGAGTCCAAAACGCACATTGTCACCGTCCAAGCGGTAAGAGGTAATACCATTTTGCAAAAGGTATTGTTCTAAAGCACAAGCAATGGTGGATTTACCAGAGGCTGATAAGCCAGTCAGCCAGATGGTCATGCCCTGATGACCTAAGAACTTGGTACGTTCATCTCTTGTAACAGAACCAGGATGAAAAGTGATGTTGGTAGCCATTTCACTGTCTATATTGTATTCTATTATTCTATTGTAGTGTACGGTACTGTACAATGTTGGATTATAAAGAAAACAAAAGGATGAATGAATTCAAGAAGAGAGTAGAAAAAAAAAAAAAAACCAGGCAGTTCTACGGTGACAAGAAGCAAAGATCCAACTACCGCAAACAAGGGAATATGCCAGAAAAAAAGGACCTGCTAAAGGGAAAAAAGAAACAATAAGAGAGGAGCAAAATACGATGGACCGGGATTTATCCTTCTTATATTTCCGTCAAATGTCAAATACTCGACAGTCACATGGAATGTCGCAATAGAGCTAATGATTGCGCAAGGCCGATATCGAACGTTAATTTGTCTCGGTTATGGTTCGAGTTTAAATTTTTTTTTTTTTTGGTGGTTTCATGTGACATAAGTATTCATGGTAAACAAAGGAAGGAAGAAAAAAAAACAACAGCAGCAGCAATGGTAGTAGGCCCTGCCCTACCTGCTTGCCCTCCCTCTATAAAATTGAACGCACTACACAAAAAGACGAAAAAGCGTATTTTACTCAGCCGATAACAATTTATAAAATTAATATATTCTCGTTTCTTTGATTTTCAATTTAAGGAATTGAAAAAAATATATAAAAACAAGGGGCCAACCGGATTTGAACCAGTGACCTGGGGAGCTGCAATCCCTCACTCTACCACTGAGCTATGACCCCAAGTTCGATGAATGAAAAAGCTATAGCATACATAAGTAGATTGGCAGATAAGGATTCGTGATGAACGATTGTAGGCTGAATTCTATATCTGCTTCTTCTTGAAAACAAAAAAAAAAGAACGATTTTTTGTTTATTCAAACCCTTCTCTCATTATCGTATACTCCAAACCGTTCTCATTCGTCTCGTCTCGTGATGCTTGTCTTGTTTTGTCTTTCCTAGCCTAGGCTGCCCTTTCCTGCCGGCTCTACCTTGGATAGGTTTGGTATTCCGTGCTCTAACGCAATGCCACATTGCAATGCTGTGCTACGCTCTCTGGTAATAGTACAAGACAACGCACCGTGTTCTTTTGCTTCTACGCTACTCGCTACGCATCAATATAGCGAACCCGTCCTGGTTTGCAAGTCACATGTAGGTCCTTTTACGACGGCATAGCGAGCTACGGAAAAGGTGAAAAACTCGAGTTTACAAACCTGCGCTTAGCCAAATTCATTGTATCAATTTTTGGATTTTTACTTCACAATGGCAAAGGAAAGAAAAGAACGTAAAAGCTCTGGTGCTTCTGAAGATGAGTATGACTCGTACCTCCCTGCGTTGATGCCAATCGCCCAACCTTTGGCTCCTAAGAAGCTCAATAAAAAAATGATGAAAACTGTGAAAAAGGCCTCCAAGCAAAAGCACATCCTCCGTGGTGTCAAGGAGGTGGTCAAGGCTGTTCGTAAAGGTGAAAAGGGCTTGGTTATTCTTGCTGGTGACATTTCTCCCTTGGATGTCATCTCCCATATTCCTGTCTTATGCGAAGACAACGATGTCCCCTACGTCTATACGGTTTCTAAGGAACTCTTGGGAGATGCCTCCAACACCAAACGTCCCACCAGCTGTGTCATGGTCGTTCCTGGTGGAAAGAAGAAAGATTTGGCCAAGGCAGAAGATTACAAGGAAAACTACGACGAAATTCTAAAAGAGGTCCCCGCTTTGGGAGCTTAAAACAGAACGGAAAATGATTCCATTATTGTAAGACTCTTGCTGGAGAGATTAGCTTATTGAGTCAAAATTGGGTTGGATTTTATTTTCTTATTTTGCTTTTTCATTGTGAAGGGCAGACATCTGTCCTTGTTACTTTCAAAAATATCTTTATCTGTTGGTTTCTGAAAATTGAACCTTTTTCTATCATGAATAAGGCTCCTCTTTTCGTCTTTCCCTAAGTTCCAATTTTGCGTTCTCTCTTTCGTTTCCTTGCATTTCCATTCATCTACTGCTTTCTTTTTTTGCGGATAGTTTAGGAATTTGAACAATAAAAATTTAGTTGACGAACAAGTTTTGTTGGATGCTTGTTTCTACAGCCCCTTTTTGTGTGTTTTGAAAGAAACTTTCTTGTGATGAATCCTGCAGAATGCAAGTAAACAGATGAAGAAGAATAAAATAGTTTATTTATTCGAGTGAAAAGACTTGACTGACTGTTGATTACCATATCGAGATATTTGTTCTCAATCGTATTCGTCAATATGAAACTTTTGAATCATCCAAATACTCATATACTTTCTTTGTAACCAACAAACAATCCAAATGGGGCTGTTTAATATTGAACGAGCTGACAATGTCACCCTTTGTAGATTTTGCTTATGTTTCCAAATATAGACAGTGCACTAAAAGTAAACTTCCATATTTACTAGCCAAACAACCCTCTTTTGTTCCATAGTTCAATATTTTTATTTATATCAGTTGATTTCCTGCAACAAATTCTTCTTTCTGGTTTCCTTCCTACAGGTTGCTTGTCTTATATCCTGTGGACCTCAACCAACTTCCAAGTACAAAGTTGAAACAAACACCAAAGTATCCATAGTTCGTTCTCAAAATATAAGCTATTGAATCCTATGGAGTATCGAGATGATGGGCTGGGTGAAATGATTGAGTTTTTGGAAGGTAACTTTTGAAATTTTCTACAATTTCTTGAAATTTCATGATACTAACGCTGACTATGTAGACAAACTATATTTTACATCTTTAGATGAACCACCAAATGAAGCTTTATACCCTCACATGCACTTCTTCTCAATAGATGATGAACTTGTTTACAATCCTTTCTATCATGATTTTGGACCATTAAACGTGAGTCATCTAATTCGGTTTGCAGTCATTGTTCATGGAATTATGGCGAAGCATCGACAATCCAAGAAGAATAAAACAATTGTTCTTTATTCGTCCACGGATACCCGTTTACGAGCAAATGCAGCTTGTCTTTTGGCATGCTACATGGTTCTTGTTCAAAACTGGCCTCCTCATTTGGCTTTGGCTCCTTTGGCTCAAGCAGAGCCTCCTTTTCTTGGATTTCGAGATGCTGGCTATGCTGTTTCAGATTATTATATAACCATTCAGGACTGTGTGTATGGCTTATGGAGAGCACGGGAAAGCGGTATTCTTAATATACGGAACATCGATGTTCACGAGTATGAGACCTACGAAAAAGTTGAAAACGGCGATTTTAATTGGATATCACCGAAATTCATCGCTTTCGCTAGTCCAATTCAGGCTGGCTGGAACCATCCTAGCACTCGTCCGAAGAAACTCCCTCAACCATTCCTTATCGTGTTAAATTACTTTAAAACAAATAATATAAAACGAGTCGTCCGACTGAACGGTCCTTTATACGACAAAAGCACGTTTGAATCCGTCGGCATTCGTCATCAAGAAATGTATTTCGAAGATGGTACAGTGCCCGAGCTTTCCTTGGTAAAGGAGTTTATTGATCTCGTCGAAGAGGTAGAGGACGATGGAGTAATCGCTGTACACTGCAAAGCTGGTCTTGGCCGTACCGGTTGCTTAATTGGAGCCTACCTGATTTATAAGCATAGCTTTACTGCTAACGAAGTAATCTCTTATATGAGAATTATGCGTCCTGGAATGGTTGTTGGTCCCCAACAGCACTGGTTGCATATTAATCAAGTTCAAATTCGCGCATATTACTATGAGAAGGCTATGGCGAAAGCTATTCAACAAGCCATTACTACTGAACCACTGGCGACTCCCCCAAGGCAACCGCTTCATGCATCCAACGGTGTTGCTGCGCAGGAAAAAGTTAGCACTCCTTTACCAGAGCCTACTCCAGGCCAGCCGCGTAAGATTTCCGGTCATCATAGTATGGCTTCCCCTCAGCGATTACCAACCACCTCTGCTCGATTAAACGAAAAATTACAGAGTGTTTCTAAACGGGCTTCTAACGATGAAAACATAATGAACAAGTACTCAGAAAGGCGTGAAGATCCAAAACCGGAAGGCGAAGATACAGATACCGAATCTGTAGGAACCCCCACGGAAACAATCTCTGTAGCACGTCTTCGAAGGTCTTCTAGCCAAACCACCCCAGAATCTTCAGTTCGCTCTCCTTCTTCATCTTTCAGAGGCAGTTCTTCTCGGAGGTCCAGTGGACGTTGGAATGGTAGTACTTCTCCTCTCAACGGTCATACAAAGAAAGCAACCCAGAGAAGTGCCAGTATGTCTTCTATAAACAGTACGTCTAATGGCCGCATTACAAAGCCTCGCTCTCCCAAATCTCGGCTCTTTTCTTAAATTTCCTACTGAATGTCTTAACCATAATAACCTTCTAATTTGAAGAGCAACGAATTCGACTGAAATGTTATCTTTTTAATTCAAATTCCTATAATCCTTATTTATGCTTCCCAACCTTTCTTTAGGAACATAATTTTATATGTTCTCTTGCATATTCGGATACCTCTTGCCTCCCAAGAAAAGTGACCTTCTACACTCGTACTTCAACACTTCACCATTCTTTTCTGTATTAAGGTTGTATCTTCCATTAAATTTTCTTTTTCTTGAACTTTTCTTGTAATTATAATTGCATTTTAAGTCACATAGAAGTGCAAGCAATGTCGAATTGATGGTAATAACGAACTGGTTTTGTTACCAACTCATAGGCTTATTTCACCTGCATTAATAACTTTATCCTTAACAATTCAATTTATATAACTATTCAGAACTAATTTAAAAGTGAAAACTTCTAGTAATTGTATTCAAGCGACCAAAATTTCTACTTCACTAAGGCGTGGTTTGGTCACACAGGTTTTTGTCCATGTTCTCTCCACTTGGCCATTTCAAGCATATAAACTGTCCTTTTGCTCGTAGCGATCAAACGTGCCCTGCGAAATACTGTATATTCAAGCATGCAGATGTTTGCTACAATAAGGGCACTCTTGTTTCGCATGTACAAGAAGAAAACTCTGCGAATCAACGTGAAAAGATTCAAGACAATCAACCCCTTTCATTGTCCTCCATGTGTACAACAGCTCAGATTCGATATGTCCCATCTTCTTTTACTACAGCTATAAAAGACGGTACTGTCGCTATTAAGAAGGACCCTCAGTCAAACAAGGTATTAAAGGAATCATTTTCTGGAGACCAATCTACTAAACGAAAAGATAATGAATTGAAATCTCCGAGTTCTGTATTAGCTGAAAGCACAAGGCCTCTCAAACGGACAAGGGAAGAGCCCCCGAAACCGACATTGGATAGAGATATCAAGAAGCCTGACTCGTTCGCTATAAAACTGAAAGAAAGGCGGACTATGAATGAGCCTATGGCCATTCCAAATCCAGTTTACGACTCTAACGCTCCAGCAGGTCATGAACTTAGAAAACGCATGGTCCATATCTTTTATGATGCTTTTTTAAAACTTGGATACGATGCGATTGAAAGCAAAGAGAAATCCCTAGAGGAGGAGAAAAATCTCTGCTTATCCACAAATAGCAAAATGGTATACAGCTCTTCTTGCAAATCCAAGATTTTGTCCTTAAAGAGATCACCGCCTAAGGAAATTTTAGAGAAAAAAGAAGATGTGAGTGATCTGATTCCAAAGTTAGTTCATCCAAAGCAGCAACTTGAGTTATGGGGATATAATTTTGGATATATAAATCCATCTGAGCCGGATGATCCTTTGCGGGAGTGTGATCGATGTGGAACAAAGTTTGTAAATCTTACAGGACCTTGTAAGTATCATTGGGGAAAACTCTTTCGAGAAAAAGTGGGTGGAGAAAAAATCCGTGTATACACCTGTTGCGAAGTGAAAGAAGGAGAGTCATCAGGATGTACAAGTGAAGAGTTTCATGTTTATCGATATCAGCATTTACCCTATTTAGCAAATGTTTCGCCTTACGTTAGTTTGTCGACCGACTGCCCAGGGAAAGAAAGAATGTATTGTGCGTTGGACTGTGAACTTTGCTACACAACTTTGGGATTTGAACTTGTTCATTTAACAGTAGTTGACAAAGAAGGAATTCTGTTGAATCAATTCATTCGTCCCAAAGGAGACGTTCTGAGTTTGAACACACGTTTTAGTGGAATAACCAGTAAAACGCAATTGGAGTCTGGAATCAGCATGCGAGAAATGTATGAAAAGCTGAAGCAATTGGGCATTACAAGAAATACAATTATTATTGGGCATGGGATCGAAAATGACTTGAATGCAATGAGACTGATTCATGAACAAGTGATTGATACTGCTATTTTGTATAAGCATGAGCGAGGTCCGCCGTTCCGATACTCTTTAAAATATCTAACGAAGAGGTATTTGGGCAAAGAGATCCAAACTGACACGCATCACAGTGAGGAAGACGCGATTGCTGCTATGGACTTGGTAATTTATTGGATCCAAAAGATTAAATCTAGGACATAGACAAGTTACAATGGAGAGTAGAATTAAATAGAATGAAATTGTATTTCATTTCCATACCACAAATGGTACTACTGTGGCAGTAGATAATCAGTTAAGAAAAAGTATATGAATTCAGCTATGAAACGACGAGAGGGGGAAAGTGTAAGAAAAAAGACAGAGAAAATGAAAGAATTAAAATTCGTTGCAAAATCCTTTCTATCTAAAGAAGTTTGATTGTCATACAAACAATTACTCCTCTGCAACCAACTGTACTCCTGTTAGTAACAGTTCACTACCATGTACACATAGTATGAATATGCCAATGGATGGGAGAATTGTACTTACGTGTCGACCCCATTTCGAGTTCAAAAATTCATTTCGTTCCTTGCCCCAGCAGTAAATGTAATAAGCAACGCCAAACGGAATAGCTACATAGAGACCTTCGTTAAGGGCACGACGGAAAGTGTTTCGGAAAGAGCTTGTCAAGAAACCAGCCATAGGTTTCTGTTGAAAAGGGGACAAGGTGTAGGTAATGATACCCTTTTGCTTAGGACCACCGCTAAGGTCTAGTCAGTAAAACCAATCACACATAAACTGTTGTAGTACTATGAAAGCCTTTTGCTTTCTTCTTTAAGCACTCATGGAACATACAGGTGACCCCACCAGCCTCTATTCAATCAAGTTAGTATTCAACTCTTACAAACACCGAATTCCAACAGGACAGCAGCTGAAAGCAAAGCAATATGAAGAAGAAAGATACGATTCCAAATAATATCGTCTTTTCTAGCCGTTTGAAGCCGCTATAAGCGACTTATTTCATTCCCGAGACTTTCGATCAAAAATCAAGTCTTTGCTCGCTTTCAACATGCGTATACTTTATATGAACTTACAAATAAGTTTTTCCACTAGGAGCACCACCCATTTTGCAAAATTAAGTCAATTCGTGAAGCTTCGAAATCCGTCAAGATATATGGAAAGGGTAATTAACGGTGACCCAAACGAGAGAAGGACAACCTCAAACGGCGAAATTTATAATGTAAACTAAATTCTTATAAATTTAATTATATAAATTTAATAAGTTTGGTTTATTTATTTTCAGGTTTCCGAGTAAAAGACAGAGTTCCGCCGGTACTCCTACCTAAGGATTTGGTAGTTAACCTCTTCCAAACATCAAGTACCAATAAAAGAGGGAGAGTTCGTAAAAAATGGCTTTAGTAGTAGAGAGAATAGCAAAATACGCAATTCCAATTAGTATTGGATTTACTTTGCTTCAATCTTCAATTTATGATGTTTCAGGTGGAAAAAGAGCAGTATTGTTTGACCGACTTTCTGGTGTTCAAAAGCAGGTTGTTCAAGAAGGAACACATTTCTTAGTTCCTTGGGTTCAAAAGGCGATTGTGTACGATGTTCGAACACGTCCCAGGAACATTGCTACAACGACAGGCAGTAAAGACTTGCAAATGGTATCATTGACTCTTCGAGTGATGCATCGTCCTGAGATTGGCATGCTTCCTCAAATCTATCAGAGTCTTGGCTTGGATTACGACGAACGTGTGCTTCCTTCAATCGGTAATGAAATTTTGAAATCCGTAGTTGCTCAATTTGATGCTGCTGAACTCATTACTCAACGAGAGGTTGTATCAGCCAAAATCCGTCAAGAACTTGTTCAACGTGCCACTGAATTTGGTATCCGTTTGGAAGACGTTTCCATTACTCATATGACTTTTGGTAGAGAGTTTACCAAGGCCGTTGAACGGAAACAGATTGCTCAACAGGAAGCTGAGCGGGCTCGATTCTTAGTCGAACAAGCTGAGCAAGAGAAACAGGCTAACATTATTCGTGCCGAGGGTGAAGCTGAAGCCGCCGACATTGTTTCGAAATCTCTCGATAAGGCTGGAAATGCTTTGATTCAAATCCGTAGCTTAGAGACCAGCAAACAGATTGCTTCGGCTCTTGCTGAGAAAGGCTCTCAAGTTACTTATCTTCCTTTTGGTGGAAAGTCTGGCATATCAGGTAATGACACATCAGGATCATCTAGCGGATTTCTCTTAAATTTACAATCTTAAATGGACAACTTGGAAGTTATCGTTTTTTGTTTTAAATTTTGCCGTACTTTTCAGAAAGCAATTGTTTGTTTTCTAATTCTAGCCGGTATTTTACTGTTCCCTATTCTTTATGATCCATTTTTATGTGTTTAATATCATTAGGTCTTTTATGCTTTATCCGTGTAACTGCTTGCAAAATGAAATGGTAAATGTTCCTTGTCTTATCAATTTCATTCATTTCGTTTTCTAACGGGTACATTAGTAAGGGAAGTTGCACTGAAAAGTAGCAAGCACGTGGAACTCGTAAATCTAAAAAAGAAAAAAAAAAAAATATCGTATAGCTCTTCTTATATAATAAATAGCAATATCTTAGTAGGAAAAAATTTACATGTCTATAAAGAAAAATATCGTAACGGATTTTTAGTCAAAAGGCAGGCGACGCCAGCCGGTCTTTGATGCAGCAATTGCACTAGGGATCTTAATTCCACAACAATCCCCATAAGTTGAATGAATATGACTAATTTCGGCATCTTCTCCTTCTTGAGGAGCCGCAGACATACTCGGTACTGCCGGAATCAAATATCCAAATAAGTAATGTTGCATAATGGGAAGCTTGGAAAGAACTTCAGCACGGTACATCTTAATCATACCTTCATTGACCTTTGCCCATGTCTTGACGCTTGAGATATCATCAATCATAGGCGAATGAAATCGTAGCGAAACATTTGGTTTCAATTCATTAATGAATCGAACATATCCCAGATACATATAGTCATTTGCACACATTTCAAGGATTTCAGGATCGCGCACATGTTTCGGACGCAAATATTTATGATGCACTAACTGAGAAGAGCCAAAAAGGAAAGGAAGAAAGTGAAAATCATCTAATCCCCAGACTCCATGAGAACCGGCAGGTTCCAAGAAGTAGGTTGTCTGTATCAACCTCATCAAGTTGATGTACTGCACAAAAATTCGAAGAACAATAGCAGGATAATCTTCTTTCGTAAGAATGTCCAGTCTTCGTAAGGAAAGAAGCCAAGTCATAAAGTTAAGTTCATGACCACTTCCATAGTCTATTCTTTTCCTATTACCAAAACTCTCGTAAAAGTACTTTCCAGCCTCTCCTATTGCATTCTCCTCCAGCCCAAATGCTGCGTGTAATGTAGGACACTCACATTCGACCTGATCGTAAAATGACTCGAATGCTGGGTTTCCGAAACGAGAACCTTTGTTTTCAACGGGGGGATTCAAATTGAGTATTTCTTCTACTCTTTTGAGAATCAAGAGAATGTACTCAATAGACGGACTCAGCTTTACCTCAGCTGAAATCGGCTTGTCTTGGATACTTTCATTTAGATCACAAATAAACGAATCAATTAAGCGATAGGCCTCTGATTCTTTAAAAAGGTTTAAATCATTATTATTTAGTATTCTTCGAACTGGAACAAAGCAGCGATTTTGTTCTTCAACAGATATCATTTCTAGAGCCCTTTGGTATACAGGCTAAGAAGGATCACGGCTCTGCTATATTCTTGAGAGATATTACCGTATATTATAATACAGAGGTTTGGTTCGGCTCCAAAAATAAGCTTTTTTTCCCTATCCAATATGTGTTTTCGTAAGAAAAAGAAACTAAATATACCTGTAGACTCAGCTATTGACCCTTCGGGCGTTTCTCTTTTCGGGAAAAACAAAGATCGTTAAGGCGATGACCATGTTGCAAGTTCATGCATGGTATTCACAGGAAGGTTTCATTCAATAGTTTCGACATACTGTAAAGTTTGAAATAAGAATCAATGAAAGACATATACGAAATGTAATAAGTATGGGTGTCATTCAGTTCATGCTAGGTGGTTTTCTCTAAACGTTCATTCAATCTTAATGTCTGTCCTGCTTAAAGGCATTTAATTTGTATCTGGGCCTTTGTGACATACCATTTCAAGTCATAATGAAAGAAAATTAATTGATGTACAGATTTTTACTCAACCCACAAAGAAAGTTCGTTGATCATTCTTTTTGTTTCACATGCATATATAGGTCAAAAGTGTAAGAAACAGAAGATGCTCTTTAAGAAAACCTATATGAACATTGAACCAAACTATAAACCTCGAAAACAAATCTGGTCCTTCGCATTAGCTATTAGAAGGATGCATAATGGAATCAGGGATTCCTAAAATTCGCGCTTTTCATTATTCACAACGTAAAAAGAAGGTCAAAAAGTTGCAATCTTTCTTATTTACCCAATCGCTTACGCAAGGCTCGTTGTTTTCTCATACGCTTCTTATATTTGTGCTTGTTCATCTTCAGTTTTCTCTTCCGTTTAACACTTGTTAAGCTGATTGGAGTCGTGGATATTAAAGTATCACATAGTTGTTCCCATACTTGAGAGGATATACGGACAGGAAGAGATTCTGTAACTTTACCAGATGGAGAGAGAGCTTGGGCACGTAGCACTCCGTTCTCCAAAGATAAAACATATTCATCAGATCCTTCAGGATTAAAGTCTACTTGTTTTTGAGTGAAATTACTTGGTGCTGGGTCTGACTCGGGTTTCGAAACGTCGCAAGGAGCTAAAGGTCTGTACCCAGCGAAAAAGTTGGCACGAGCAATCTCTACATTGAATGTTAGTATGTTCTTATGAGCCGTTAATGAAACATACGCCTGTGAGAAACATGGGAAGTTGTCGGAACTGTAGGCAAATTATATTTGGGAGCAATGACCGGAGAAGCAGATACATGCCAAATCGGAATCGGGCTTCTCATGGAAAGACTACTTATTCCTTTTATAAGTGTTGAAAATGGGCTTCGTTTCAGCATATTGATTTATTTACAATTTTGAGGATATAACCTCAAGTTGGGAAGTTAAAACTAAAGGCCTACCACATACAATACAAGTGGGAAGGGTAGTGCACGAAACTTGGAAAGCGTAAACAAAAGCCATAAAAAGGGTCATATTATACAGGTATATAGATATTAAATCTGTTTGTTTCTGGTTATAAATGCTAAATTTTTTTCCTCTTTTTCGGTAATTCATCAGGATGTAGTCCACCTAAGCGTTGTAAGTTTTGTCGAACCAAAGGATTCTTTGGGTTACTCCAAGCAGATCCGGTTTTACTAGTATCTTCGTTGGCCAAGTGAGTCCATCTTGTTTGTCCAGCCAATCCAAAAGTATTACCACGAACTTGCATGGCTTTTGGTAAAAGTTCCTTATGCTGGATTTCACCTTCGGCAGCCTCAGAGTAATCTCGATTCCGAACAATATCTTGGTCCTGATAAAAGGCACCTTTGTGGTAGAATTTTTGTAGGAATTGTACAGGTTTCTTTTTCTTTTCTTGGCGGCTTTCTTCAGCTTCTCGTCTATCCAATTTTTCTCTTTCTTCAGGGTCCATTAAGCGTCTTTCCTCCACCGACATTCTTTCTTTTTCAAGAGACAAAAGTTTTTCCTTATCACGTTTCTTCCTTCGTAAACTTCTTACTTGCCAAGCTTCGTATTCACCCTGTGGATTTAGTCCATCTGTATCATCCACGTCTTTTAATAACTCGTTCGTGTTTTCCATTTCTCTCTGTTTCATTTCTCTCTGTATAGTTTCTTCTAATATTTTTTGGGATAATTGCTTGCGATCTATTTCAGCAGCCTCTGAGGAATCGCCGGTGGTCGTTTGGCTTTTCGCGCCTTTTCCGACAAACTTTGGTGCAGTAAGCAAAAGCTGCCTTCTACGATCCGATTCATCTTCTTCAGATTCATCAGAGCCAGAGGTTGATTCCGATTCGCTTTCTTCTTCTTCGTCACTACCGTTAGGCTTTGTTACTAATTGCTCTTCATCCGTTTCGTATTCAGATGCTGACTCGTTATCATTATTAAGCTTTTCACGACTAGAAAAATATGGTGGATTCTGGGATAAGCTCACAGGTTTTGCAAACGACGTTTCGATATCCTCAGACTTGTTGGATGCAACAGATTCAGCAGGAGGGACCGAAGGTGCAGAAGAGGAAAGAGGTTCTTCTTCATATTCACTGGAAGAGGATTCACTTTCACTTTTTTCTAGATAATCTTGTCTAGGCCGATACCTTCCGATAGGTTTTTTAGGGACCAGTGGAACAGGAGGTGCCATATCAATGACGACAATGAATCTCAATGCAATTCTAAAAATATATCTATAAATTATATTTAATATGTAAAAAAATAAATAGTTCTAAGATAAATAAAAGATATTGGAAGTAAATGACTGAACATTCTCTTAAGGCATTTTCCATATATCTTGGTGGTGAACTCCTCGCAACTCTATTCCCAATAAGCATCGCTTCTCTTTCGTACTCGCACAAAGGAAATAAGAATAGGAAAAAGTAAAATGAAGTTACATATAAATAAATGTATAAAAAACAACTCTATCAAACTTCTAATTACAATTACAGAACCAGTAGTATCTATAAGCTGTCCTCTCGTTAATAGTTCCTTTATGTAAACTATGCAAACCTTGGATGTCATATCCTCATAGAATACATTTTTTAATGGTTTCTTCTTTTTCTAGAATTGATTTTAAAGTTATAGAATTACAGTAATCCCAAGCAATTCAAATTATCTATTTGTCCTGCTACTTTCATTTTGTTTAAACGACACGAGATCGTACCAAATCTTTTAAATTGCTATATCTAATTCATAAAATCTCTACTCCCATACAATTGGGGATGTGGTTTAGGGGTATAACGTTTCATTCGCATATTTCGCAACTTGAAAAGGTCCCGGGTTCGATTCCCGGCGTCTCCAATTTTTTCTTTTGTTTTATTTTTGATTTTGTTCATGATTAAATAAAGGATAGACTTTTTTTTATTGATTTTATAATAATAGCAAAACTGTTCAAAAACATCTATCTTCTATTTCTTTTTTCGTTCTCTGATCATTCTGAAGCAAGCGAACAGATTATAATTGCCAAGGAACATGGGCCCAGTCTTAAGCATTAGATGATCCAGTAAAAGGAGGATCCTGATTCATGTATAGACTAGACTGTAAGTTCTCAGACCCAACGCAATGAAACACATCAAACAATTTCTGAATCAAAACTGAATTATCGTTAGATTAAGGCAATTTTAAAGAATCAAATCCACTTACCAGGAAAAGTACTCTCATCATTCACCATTAAGCTTTTTTTTATTTTTTCAAATTGCTTTTCACAAGCTTTAGAAGTCCAAAACCGGCCTGCTAGATCTGATATTTGAATCCAGTCTATCATTTCTTCTTTTTCAATGCTCATCTCTTTGATCCTTAAATCGTTAGTACATCACGAGTGCTTTGTGAATCAATTTTCGTTACCTTTGTATCATCCATAAATTATCACCTGGATAAAACAAGAGCTCTTTATTGGAAGTACTGTTGAGAAGGGAATAAAATCTTAACTTGCAATGATGCCTATGTCGATTTTTGAGCTTCTTGGCGATGGTTTCCCACTGAACTGGTAAAAGGGGAAACTGGTGTTTGAATTCACATACTAAAGATAAGAGTTTTTTCGACTCATCCTCCGTCCAAGGGGAACGAAGAATGACTCCACATTGAATATAATCTCGCCAGTGATCTCGGCATTGCATAGGAAGTCGATTTAAGATTTGACCAATTTTAGACCAAGAAGTTCCATAGGTATCAACAAGACTAATCCTATTAGTATATAGATCATGACCCATTTAATAATATTGTGAGTACCTTTGCAATTGGTCTTCTTCTTCTATAGTCCATGAGTTTCTATGCAAAAATGGGTAATATTTCCTGCGAACAAAGCTTTGAACACTCTTTTTATCTCTTTCAAGTTCATTAACTAAGAAATGAGTATCAGGGAACCCTCATTCAACTTACCTATCGAATTATAAAGCTGATCGATTTCCATTGAATAATCGGTAGCCCATATCAGTTCACAAAACTCTTGCTGTGAAATATTTTTCTCCTTTTAAAAATTAGAAAAAGCACAAAAAATAAAAGTAGAGATGGTGTTTTACCTCTTGGAAATAGTTTATTTTAGCTTCAATCAATTCTGCCTCTTTGACACCCCAAGCTCCAGATCTATTTGAATCAACATAGCCAAATTGAAAAAACCCAGGTACTCGAAAGTATCCCCGAAGATGGCGATGTAGAGTCCTCCTTGTTATTCCTGGTATTTCAACACCTGGTGATGAATGTATTAGTCAACTCAATACTGGTAGATTGAAAAACGTACGAAATCGAACAATTATATTCTCAAATATTCTTGGCACACGCCGTGATTTCTCAAGGATTACTTTTGCATCTTCAAAACTTAAGCCTGATTTTTCCATTGTTTCCTGAATCAATCCAATAAGCAATTTCCAACATCTTGGAGAAAACTGAGAATTCCGACGACTATAGCTGGGTCGATAATATTGATTGGAGTTAAAGCTATTTGTTGGTGATAACGATTGTTCTGGAGATGTCGTATTGCTGCTTTCCAAAGAAGGTTCTCTTTCAAAATTTAATACACAAGACTCAAGATCTTCGAGTTCTGGGGAGAATAGTTCAGGATAAGAATAAGAATCATTAAGGGAATTGAATTCTTCGTCCTCCATGTTCGTCTCTTTTGCTTCTAATAAATTGGCTGCAATTGTTTGCTCGTAGTAGCTTTGGCTCTAGCTCTAAGAAGAAATACTTGTATAAAGAAAGAGTAAGGTTGGCTAATTGTCAGAGGGTATCACATCAAACAAATGAATTAGGACCAGCTTATTTTAAGAACTATGAATCTTCGAGCTAGCTCCAAGCAGCCGCGGGTTTCAGGTAAATTCCATATAAAAACTTTACTAAATTCGTCTATCCGATTCAAAAAGGCCTTACTATTAATCAATTTCTTCCAATACTTATAATTCCTCTTCCTAGAGTGGTATTATTATTCTAGTACTGGCTCACAGAATAAACGGTCAGTTAAACGATTTATAGATATTTGATAATATTTACATATATTTGGTTTCTGAAATAATCTCAATGAAAAAAGCAACCAAAATGGAAACCATCGTTTTTTTTTTTTTACAAATTCAATCCAATGTTTATTTACATTTCTATATACGTTAACGTGCGCTAAGTAGCCTTATACAACAGAACGAAAAGTAAATGTCGTTTGATAAACTTGGTTAAGAGTCGCAACAAGCATCCTTATTCAGTCAGACAAGCTTTCTCCGTCGGTTTAGGCATTTACCATTCACCCACTATCATATTGACCACTGGTGGTAACCACTGCAGCTATACAGCTCATATTACTAAATTAGAGGAATTTTTAAGAAGAAATTTACTGTCAATAGAAAGAAGAACACGGTTTCCTCTAGAAAGTGTGATCGCTCAAAGTATCAGATTCACGAAAGTAAATAAAAGGAAATTATTAAGACATTATGAATCCTGGCGATGCTTATGATGAGAGATACACCTACGGAGCGTATAGTGGATATCCAGCAACTGGGCCTGCTGTCCCACGGCCTGCTGTCCCACAGCCTCCATATGCTGCAGGTATGACTCAATTACCAACGGAAGGAATGAACGGAATGCCAGCAATGCCTGCTGATGGCGCTGCTATAGGAATTCCACCAATGCCTACTGATGGCGCTGCTATAGGAATGGGAGGAATGCCTGCAGCTGGCGGTGCAGCTCAAACTGTACCCACAATGGGAAGTTCTCACCGCTCTCGACGACAATATCCTGCAGAAATTTTTGAACTTACGAATTCTCAAACTGTCCCCATGACCCCTCCACCCGTCTCTGAGCCCTCATATTTGATGGCTCGTACTCCTACATTATCTCCTTATCCTGAAGCAGCACCAAATGCATTGGCTACTCAGATGGGTAATGTTAACTTGGGTCCCGATCCAAATGCTGCCATGATGCCCACCACCGAACTTGTGTCTATTGATTTATATAATCAAACACCGGAAATTTCAGACCTATACGCTCCACCACTTCCCATTAACTTGCCGTTGACTTATTCTGCTACGCAGGCTGAAACTTCCAACTGCCCTCCTAAATACATGCGTACAACTTTAAAGGCTATTCCCAACACGAATAGTCTTCTCAAGAAATCCAAGCTTCCGTTTGCCATTGTGTTACGTCCTTATACCTCATTGCTTGAAGAAGACGATCCTGTTCCTGTAGTCAGTGATACTATTATTTCTAGGTGTCGTAGATGCCGCATGTATATCAACCCTTTTAGTATTTTTGTCGACAATGGACATCGCTATAGATGTAACTCGTGTGGTATTGTGAATGAGGTACCCCAGTCTTATGATTGGGATAGCTTTAGAAATGTCCAAAGAGACAGATGGCAGCGTCCTGAACTAAACTATGCCGTTGTTGACTTCTTAGCCCCACAAGAGTATATGGTCCGCCCTCCTCAACCTCTCATATATGTCTTTTTAATTGATGTTTCTTTCATCTCTATATCTTCTGGTATGGTAGCTACAGCCACTCGTACAATCCTTGAATCTTTGGATCGAATCCCCAATAAGGAAGGTCGTACACAGGTTGCATTTATCGGTGTTGATAGTTCTCTTCATTTCTTTTCTATTGCTCCTGGGGCTGAAGAAGCATCCCAGATGGTTGTTTCCGATCTCGATGATCCTCCCTTCTTGCCTCGTAATCAAGATTTGCTTCTCAACTTACGTGAGTGTCGACAAGGAATTGAAAATTTGCTTACCAAATTCAATTCCATGTTTGCTTCCACTCGTGATTCTAGTAATGCTCTTGGTCCTGCCCTTAAAGCTGCGCAACATCTTATCGAGAATATTGGTGGTAAAATTTGTTGCTTTGTTTCGAGCCTTCCAAACGTTGGTTCTGGTAAACTTAGTTTACGTGAGGATCCAAAATTATTGGGAACCAATCGCGAGTCCAATTTACTACATCACCAAGACGCATTCTATAAATCTTTTGCTGTCGAATGTTCTACGAATCAGGTCTCTGTTGATATGTTCCTCTTTTCTTCACAATACCAGGATGTTGCTACTCTTAGCTGTTTGCCTCGTTACACGGCTGGTAAGACTCAATTCTATTACCGTTGGAATGCCTCTCGCAGTGAAGATGCTTTAAAATTTGCATCCGAGTTGAGTGATTATCTCAGCTCAGAAGTAGCCTTGGAAGCTGTTATGCGTGTCCGTGGTTCTAGTGGCATTCGAATGTCTTCTTTCTATGGTAATTTCTTTAATCGTTCTAGCGACCTCTGCGCATTTCCCAGTTTCCCTCGTGATCAATGTTATGTGATTGAAGCTGTCATAGAAGATACAATTACAAAGCCTTTTGCTTCTTTTCAAGCTGCAATCTTGCATACTACTTCAAGCGGCGAGAGAAGAATTCGTGTTGTCACCTTGTCGTTACCAGTAACCAACAGTTTGACTGAATTGTATGCGTCCGCTGATCAATTAGCAATGATGCATGTCCTTACAATGAGAGCAACCGAAAAAGCACTTTCTTCTAACTTAAGTGATGCTCGTGACGGAATTACTAACAAATTAATTGAAATACTTGAGGTGTATAAAAAGAATTTGGCCGGTCAAAACACTGGTGCAGCTCTTCCTCTGCAAATCTGTACGAACTTAAAATTGTTACCATTACTTTGCTTGAGTTTAATGAAACATACTGGTTTCCGAAAATCTAGTCATATACCTTCTGATTTGCGATCGATTGCTTTATGCAACCTGAGCACTTTGCCTACATCTTTACTAACACGCTATGTGTATCCCACGCTGTATAGTCTTCATGACATGCCGCTAGAAGCAGGAACTGTAGCTGAGGATGGCGTCATTCTACCTCCTGCTTTAAATCTTACTTCGGCCATCATGCAAACCTTTGGACTTTATTTGTTGGATACTCACTTCCAGCAATTCTTGTACATTGGTAAAGATGCTGTACCCCAGTTAGCTATGGACGCTTTTGGCGTATCTTCTATTGCAGAACTGAAGGCTGGAAGATTTACCTTACCAATTTTGGACAATCCTCTTAACACTAGGATGCATGCTATTCTTGGTAAACTACGCTCTTTAGACAAGGGTACGATTGTTCAACCTAGTTTATATCTTGTGCGCGGCGATGGTGATCCTCAACTCCGTTCATGGTTCTTCTCTCATTTCGTGGAAGATAGAAGCGACACTGCTCCTAGCTACTTACAATTTTTACAACTTTTAAAAGAAAAGGTTCGTGATTAAATGTAACCTTTGATATTTTAATCTAGTTTACGTACCTAATCTTCTGGTCACAAACTTTTTTGACATGAAGGATATTTGGTTAAAGCGTCCTTAAATTCTTTCATTGTTTTTTTTATTAGTGTAATTATACATTACAACTTAGAATCCACTCATGGTCGAAGCTGGTTCTGTTTATGAGAGATTACTTTGGGGGTTTACTAAGCGAGTTTCTGGCAGGAAAAGGTAAATTTTTTAGTGATCAACCCTTTTGACATACTTTTTTAATTTTGTTTGTTGAATTGCTAAACAACCCATATATTTGCATCGGTTGGTGAGTACCATGCAAAAGCGACGGTCTATCTTTTAATGAATGTTTATTAAATTGATTCATCAAGCTATAATAGTAGACTAGTAATGATTCATTTCTTTCACTTTTTTTTCTTTTTTTTGCGTTGAGGGAGGATATATGCAAAATGCTTCAACCGAGAAGAATATATACAGTCTATTTCAAGCACTTATTCAGTAATGTATTAGAAATAATTAGAGCAACCTAAGAACGCTAAGAACGAAATTTGTTCGATGTAATCGCTAGTTTTCATAAATTCCATACGATGCATGTAGCGAGTTTATAAGCAGAACACTCCGTGATAACCTTTTTTCAAACGTTCTAATCATAAAGAAACTATTTATTGAAATATAAAAATTTTTGGTGTGTGAAGGACTTGCGCGTCCCTAGAGTCAACGCAGCTAACACAACTTGACCTTAGCAAACCTCAGTCTCTAACATTGACTTTTCGTACAGGTGGAATTCCCAAGAAAAACAGTTAAAAATGGGAATCCAGGGAAACGCTGCACCATCTCAATATAATCAAAGATCTAGAAAGAACAAGAAATCATGGAGAAAGCATATCGATTTGGAAGATGTCGAGGGTGGCCTTCAGGCTGCTGGGGAAGAGGAAATACGAGGGTAAGCCTATTGAAACGAATTTATAAACAAAGGCTAACAATATTAAGTGATAATTTGGCTAAAAAGTCTAATGACGCTTTATTCGTAGTCGATACTTTGGGTGATGATCGTGTGGCCAAGAGAAGCAGGAAAAAGATAAAACCCTTGAAGGTAGATGAAATTTTGCAAAACAAATCTGCCATTGGAGAGTTGTCTTCAAAGCCTAAGTCTAATGGTTTTGGCTTAAGCATGGACAACAAGGGCAAAGTAATGTCAAAGAACGAGTTGAACCGTTTAAAGTCTTTGGTACACAGAAACCCCTTGGGACCTACGGCATCAGCAGCAGCAGCTAGTCTGAAATCTCAAGAAAAAGAACCAATTGAATATGATGTTTGGGAAAGCACGGCAGAATCTACGATTCCCGTAAAACGACCTTCTTCACTTTCTAAGGCGCCTGAAAATCTTGCTGATAATGCCGAACTTGTTCCTAATGTGGAAGTCGCTGATCCAGGCATGTCGTATAATCCTGATGCTAATGCATGGATGGGCCTTATTGATCGAAAGGGTTCAGGCGAGATCAAAAAAGAAAAAGAACGTCTTCATGAAATTGAAGTTCAGAAGATGATTAGTTTAAAAATGAACGAAGACAAAGGTCTAATTTCAGACGAAAACGAGCGCTCTGGGGATGAAGAAAATACAACGGAAGCTGAAAAGCAGATTGAGACTCACGGCAAGGTTGAACCTAAGCGTAAGACGAAATCTCAGCGAAATAAAGAGCGTAAAAGGAAGGAAGAACTTGCAAAGTTAGAAGCTGCGAAGAAGCAAGAGCAATTGCTAAAGATGGTTGATAAAGCTCCTTCTATTTCGAAGACTTTGAACAATAAAGAAGAAAACGAGGAGAAATCACTAGTGGACTCAAATAATTCGGGCACTACAGAAATTCGTTTGAAGAAGAGAAAATTTGGCAAACACAAATTACCTGAGAATCCATTGGAATTGAAGTTGGGTGATGAGTTAACTAGCTCTCTAAGAGAACTGAAGCCTGAGGGTAATTTGTTTAAAGATCGATTTATCAGCCTTCAGCGTAGAGCCATTATTCCACCATCAGTGCCTGCAAGCAAGCGTGCACGATACGGTACTAAATTGAAGGAAAAGTACAGCCACAAAGACTTCCATCTACAAAAGACTGGTATTTAATTTTTTTTAAGTTTGGATTTCGGGATCTATTTTTTGGGTTGGTAGCATAGCTATTTAATTATACGTTGGTTTAATACTATTTGGAAAAAAAAAATTAGTGAATACATAACCTGGAGATAGAGAAAGGGAGCGCAACAAAATAAAGTAAAACTAACCTAATTAACATTACATACATTAAAAATCCATCTAAATAAATTACAAACGAAACTTTTCCTTTTTTGGTTGAGTTTTTTGACGCTTAGCAGCGATAATAGACGCCTGCTCTGAAACCATTTCAGACAAATCGTTTTGCCACTGGTCATTTTGTCGGTTATCAGGTGCTTCTGCCTCTTCTGCTGATCGTTTGGAAGAACGCACTCTTTCATTAGTAGGAATTTGATAACGATGGTCGGGTCCCATGAATCCTTCCACGTTTGTATGTTGTTCCGGAAGGACTTGATAAAGAGGCCTAGAAGAATCATCTTCCCGTTTATTAAATTGCTTTCGCAATTCGAAATTCTCAGCTTCAATAGGCCTTTGATCAAAGTAGGAAATAGATTCAACACCTTCATCTTCTTGTTGAGCGCTTGTAGTACGCGTATTATATCCAGCTTCATTCGCATTTACAGATTCTTCACCAGCTTCTTCTCCTTCTTCTTCTTCTTCCTCCTCCTCTTCTTCTTCACTAGATTCTTCCTCCTCAAATTCCTCTAATTCACCCCAATGCTGAACCTCTTCTGGAGGACCAGCACCTGCGGGAATGCGTGGTTTTGTACTACCAAACACATCTCCATATAATGGACGATTGTACTGGTCAACAGGAGGTTTGCCCCATCCCCCAGGATGATAACCCCATTGTGCTCCGACGGGGATAGGGAAATTAACACCGGGAATTTTCAAGTCAGGATAGCTTGGAGGAGGGCCAAATTTTTGCATGGCATAAAGCCAAGGAGGAGGAGCACCCGATGGAATACCTAATGCTTCCCGCAGTTCCTCGGATATATCACCAGGCCTCTTTTCTTTTACATTGGCTTCCAATTCTTTTCCTTCATAATAACACTCACCGAAGCCGGTTAAGACTGGTTTCGTTTGATAACGAAAGAAAGCGTCGTGAAGTTTTTGATAATCAATATCAAGTTTTCCCATTTTTGGCTGAACGCGCTCCCTCATTTTTTGACGAAGGGGCAAATCAGCTTCATTTTCATGGACCGCGTTTCGCATTTGAACAATACCGGTAGCACGAATATACGAAGGTAGCTCAAATAGTTGTCGCTCAATGCCTCGTTGTCCACTGAGATAATCACGCTTTTGGTTCCAATGACGAGGAACAGGTACAGTATTTGGGTAAGCTTTAAGATGAGTAAGGAGCAAAGGATCAGGAGAAGAAACATCCCACCATTCAACCACATCAGGCTTTTCCGAGATCATTTTTAGATGTGCAACCGTCATTCGCCTCATCTTTCGTAGCTTCTTACGGCTTAGTTTTTCTTCTTCGCGTTTCTGTAGCGCGTCCTCTTCGCCTTCGCTAAGGACCTCATCATCTGAGTACATTACTTGGCCTTTGTCTACGGCTCCCGCGTCTGCCTCAGGTTCAGGAGCAACGAATTGATTGATAATGTCTCTATACTGAGAAAACAACGGATCTGAGCTGTCCATGTTAAGATAGTCCACTACGAGTAAAGGATCTGCCTCGTTCGAAACACCACTCTTTCTCGTCGTTTCATAATCTTTTTCTGCTTCATTCGAAGCTCCTCTTCCTTCAGTTCTATAAATTCTCTCCCAATCATTTCCATCACCATCCTTGCCTTGACTTTGTGATTGTTGTTGTTCACGTTGAAATTTCTTTTTCTGTCGCCTTACTTGATTACGACTTTTTCTTTGCTTTTCCTGTGCTGATTCTTTTAAAACTCCATTTTCTTTTTCTATTGCTGGCTGAACACTCGCTGTTTCCCCCATTGAGGTCGTTTTATGTGATTTTTACTGTCTTGCAAGTTTCTAGGGTATGTACTCTTGGAAAATTCAATTAGGCCCATTTGTGCATTACCCTTACTCAGTGGGGAGTCAGGTTGGCCTTGACCTGTACGCGAACTTAGCTATAGCAAAATAAGAATAAACAAAGAGAGCAATAAAAAAAGTGAAATAACAGAGGATGTGAAACATTGACCACGAAAAAATATCGTACGTATAGAGAAGAAAGGCTTTGTTCCTCTGAAAACCTCTTATTTGACAAATTTCATAAAAAAAGCTCTTAATTGAAAGGATTCATCGGATACGTTAGTGAGATTCATACTTTCTGCAGGAGTTGTTTCTAAATTGGCCGATTGACGCGTGAATTGATGAAAAAATAGTCGCGTATTTAAAATATACAATTTTGTTTACTACTGCAGCAGAGTGATGGTTTGCTAAAGTACAGTCGAGCACAATAAAGCAATAGATAGGATTTGTTTGAGATTCAACTAAACAGATTCAGCTGTGTTTTTTCTTAAGTCAAGTTCAGAGTTCTTGTATAAACTTCAATGAGCTGTTTGAAATTCAACTGAAAGGCTGTTTACAGATATTTCCTCATTTTTCAGTTCAGGCGAAAAAAGAAAGCCGTCTCTCTAAAGGAAAAAGGCCAAGTCAACTGTGAATGAATTTGGAGACCAACAACGGTTTTAGAAAATGAAGGACAGATATTTTGGCTATAACATTTAAGCGGTTGTATAATCTATGCTATTCAATCAAAAGATAATGGATCAACAGGAAATCGAGATAGTTAGGGAAAGCCCTGTTCCTTTAGAGAGGACATCAAGTTCGTTTCAATTAAATGAACAATTTGTGCCCTCTGCTACCACTCCAAACCGGAGTCATTCTGTGAACAATCCACTTTCGGCTTCAAATGATGGACTAGAACATACTACATGTGATAAAGAGGCCTCTTCTTCAGGTACATTAAAAAAGCGATCCAATTCTTTTTCTTCTTTTCTTGACGCTCACTCCAAAACGACCGTTCCGTATAGTGAAACTGATCGAAGTCCTGGGTTAAACTGGCTATCTGTAAAGTTGAATATTTTATTTCGATCGCAAAGAGCCCCGCTTCGATCTTTACGAAAATCTTCTACATCATCAAATAACTCAAGATCAGAGGGCAGCAGTACTCAGACATTTCCTTCTACCTCTGATATATTCGACACAAAGCACTTGCTTGCGACTATTGTCCCAGAATCCATCCAAAATGGCTGCTTTCTTTTTCGAGTGACTAAAAAGAAGGTACGACAGCGAAAAGTGTCACTGGATCCGTTTACAGGCTATATGATCTTAGATAAAAACACTGGCAAACCTTACCGTAAACTATGTGTCGATGACATAAAAGAAATTCGTCAAGGAAGCGAATCTAGAAATTATAGAGAACAATTTAAAATTTCTTACGAAAATGAAAAGCGATGGTTCACGATTGTTTACACAGCTGAAGATAAAATGAAAGCTTTGCATTTCATTTCTCCGACTATGGACGGTCTTAATCAGTGGGTAATGGCTTTAGAAGGCTTAAAGACATACCGTTTAAATGAGTTTATTACAGGGTCTCGTTTTGTAACAAATCACAATGTTCAAACGATCAAGGGAGATGAACAATTAGACCATCCTTGGGAAAAATTAGAAAAAGATGAAACAGCGGAATTAACCTTTGTGGATGTACAATGTATGTGTCAAAAGCTACATCTCAATGCCTCCTTTGAATATCTGGAGCAGATGTTTCGTAAAGCTGACACTCTGAGAACCGGAAAACTAAATTTTGAAGGTTTCCAACACTTCGTTAGTATTCTGAAAACAAGGCCAGAAGTAAAACAGATCTTTTATAAATACACGGATAATTCGAAGGAAATGAGTCTGGATCAATTTATTTTTTTTTTACGAGATTCCCAAAAATCGACTATTAATGATGATCAAATTGAGCTTGTATATAGCTCGTTTTGCAAATCTCATGACTCTCCAATGGATTTAATTGAATTTACCTCTTATTTATCGTCTCCGGCTAACGCCCCGTTAACTTCAATCAATCAAAATATGAATCGCCCTTTAAATGAATATATTATCTCTTCTTCGCATAATACATATTTACTTGGTAAACAGTTTGCTGGGGAAAGTTCAATCGAGGGTTATATTCGGTCTTTACAAAGAGGTTGTAAATGTATTGAAATAGACTGTTGGGATGGCCCTGATGGACCGGTGGTTTGTCATGGTAGAACGTTTACATCAATCATCCGGTTTAATGATGTTATAGACGTTATTAAAAAATATGCATTTGTCGTTTCTGCTTATCCTGTGATTATATCCTTAGAAATTCATTGTTGTCCAGAACAGCAGCAGCAAATGGCCTGTTACATGAGAGAAGCTTTTGGAAATTATTTATTAACTGAGCCATTAGGAATACATGAAAAAGTGCTACCATCTCCAGAACAACTACTGTACAAGATTTTAATTAAAGTGAAATGCCAAGCAACTATTTCAGCCTCCAACACGATAGATGTTTTCCAAGGCGGCGTTGTCGATTCGTCTACGGATACTACAGAATCTTCTGAATTAGAAAGCGGAGAGCGGAATTTATCAAATGAGCCAAAGAAAAGGAAAAGAAAAGTAATTATATCTGAACTGCAGCAAATAGCACCATATGTTCGTTCACTCAGGTTTCGCAATTTTTCTTTACCCGAATCAAAAACGTATAATCATATATTCTCATTTTCTGAAAGGACTATCAAAAGACATGGAAAGACGATGTTTCCGCGACTGAGCAAACATAATACAAAGTATTTATGCCGGGTTTACCCAGGTCCTTTACGGCTTGGCAGTACCAATTTGAATCCTCAATTTTACTGGCGTATGGGTGTGCAGATGGTAGCTTTGAATTGGCAAACTTATGATGTTGGCCTTCAAATAAACGATGCTCTTTTTCAGGCGGATCCTCCTAGTGGTTATTTACTAAAACCAGAGTATCAGCGAACCATGGAAGAAAAAGTAAAGCAAAGTAAGCAATTAGACAATTCACCCAGGAAAATGTTGTTAAACATTGAAATATTATCAGGGCAGCAATTACGCCGTGCCAAAGAGCTGTTTAATTCGGAGACGCTTTGTCCTTTTGTGCAAGTGCAAATACATTCTATGGAGGAGACACCCTTTCGGTGGACTTCAAGTGTTGTACATCGCAATGGATTCCGTCCCATATGGCAAGAGAGTTTCCGCTATGAAAGCGTAACGAAAGATGATGTCTACTCTGTCATTCGTTTTTTGGTTCATCATCGAGGAAGCTCTGGTAATGATTCAGTAATTGCAGTTTTTGCATGTCCATTGTATAGACTTCAAACTGGTTATCGACATATTCCACTTTACGACATGCAAGGTGAAAGTTTGCTTTTTTCAACTTTGTTTGTACGCATTGAGAAGACTGAATTTTAACAAGAATCTGTTTAATGGGTATTCACCAGAAATTATTTATAATCAAAGTCTATTGCCTAGGGACACAACAACGGATAAGATAAATATTAGACTAAAGTACTATATAAACAAAAGTTATGGAAATAAAATCATAGACTGCATAGATAATCTATTTTTACAGAGAAGAAAAAGAATTCTAGATGTTTACACTATTGACAAAGTCGTCTAAGCTTTTCTCGGCAGTATTACTTCTTAGTTGTTCACGAAAAACGTCTGGACGAACTTTTTCCCAAAAATATTTCTGCTGCAAATACTCGTGTTCAAAATTAGAAACGTTTTTAGAGGTATCTTGCCAAGCTTTTTTCGTGGATTTTAGTTGATTCGCTAAACCAGCATCAGGAAGCTTTATTAAAGGCGTCTGTTGTTCATCACTCGCTCTGGTATGAACGTCAGGGTCATTGAATCGATTTCCAGAACTAAATTTTGAAGGATAATAATGATAATGATGGTTAGAGTCTCGAGAATTAGAAGAAGGAAAGCGTGATTCATAACTAGGGCGTGACCTTGGGTTGTTGGGATGATATGTCCGGGAACCACTTTCGTGAATTGAACCACTTTTTTCATTAACTAATCGATGATGGTAATGATCATTTTTTTCATAACGGTAGTCGTCTCGTCTGCTCATTCTTGGAAATTTGAATTTCACCAGTGGCACATAAATTAAGATCTGAAATCCTCCTTTATATATAAGAATTTTTACCTCATTAATTTAATAATTGAAACAATTAAACGATATAACATACACAAACTTAAATAGAAATTAATATAAGATTGGTGGTGAAAGGTGGTTTTTACTTCTTTTATAAAAAGAACGCTACACAACGTTAATAAACAAAAGCTTGAAGGCAAAGACTTGGTTATCCATCTGTGCAATGTCAAATTGGACTCTTTTTAGCTATTCCATTTTGTTCAGGTTTGTTTAAAGGAATTCCTTACTTTTCTTCCTCTTATAAATTGTTGTCTGTTTATTATTCCAGAGTAGATTATTTGCAAAATAGTAAAACCAATATGGCATGGAGCTAATTTACCTTTGCTAATAAACGAACAAAGTAATGAAAGGACCGATATGGCTTTCCTTTCGCAAGGAACTTTTGTATTATAAGTTTGTACAACATTTTAGAAGGAACCCAAAGCTTTTGCCAAACCAAGAGGATTTCAGTATAAGATACTCATCTAAGGCTACTTCAAATATCCAATACTACATTGGAGGGAGCGAATATGATTGTGCTTTTATAACTTATGACTATGCTTGTTTGTTATTCACCCAGGGAACGTGAACACTGCAGTAAAGGTACCAAAAAGGTTATTTTCGATTTATATATCCGTCAAACAATGAATATATATATCCCACCCAGGAAACATAATGCAAGACGCATCGCTGAAAAGTTGTAAAACCATCACCATAATCCTTTCTCTTCTCGTCTCTTTTCTTTTCATTTCTTTTTTATAAAAGAAATCAAAGTAGGAAAGCATGTTTGCATATTTTACAATTTTCCTAGAGAATGAGACAATCAAAGATTATGTTACATGAAAAATGTTACCTGGAAGGTCACATTTGTGAAGAAAAAATGAACAGAAATACCAAAAGGACGATAAAACAACAAAATAACCGATAAAGTATAAGTTCTCATAGTACATAAAGTATTTATGGTCAATGCGTCTCAAGAAATCAGTCAAAGTTGTGGAAATATGATTGCGTCGTCGTTCATGTTCCAGTGACCGCTACTGCCGTCTTCATTCTGTGAGCACTAATCCCCATGGCTTTTGTAAATTGTCTTATCCATACTTCATTTTTCAATACCGAATTAGTGAATGAATGTGAAACGAAGGTTGGTACAAATGTAAGTGACATTTTGCTTGTCAATATCATACCAACGATTCTGCGACCTAAATTGTAGCCTAAAAAATAGTAGCGACATTATATCGGTAAAAAAAATTTGATATAAGTGGGATAGAATAGGTTAATTGCTTCGGTGTTGAATTTGATTAACAACTTATTACTAAACGTCTGGAGAGATATACCTAAAACGTTTCTGGCAAAACCAATGAAGTAAAGCAAATCTATTAGCTCTGCCAGCAAATTCTTCCTAACTGAAGTTTTAGGAACAGTTAGGGTATGTAGCCTTTATTTAGGCTCACTGTAATTCATGAATGTATGTATTTTACCAATCGTCAGAATTTAATTTCTCCGTTTATTCCTTCCTTCTTTGTTTGCGTTAGTCCATAAAGCAATATACTCTTTAGGGTCGTATATACTTTATAAAAGATTAAGTTTATAATTATAGAAACTCGACTGGGTCTATAGGAGGGGGACAATCCAAGAATCCTTAAGCGCATGGAATTGAATCGTTGAAGACAAATGTCGTGGAAGGTGTATATACGCGAGCTCATTATCCTAGATGATTTCGTGACAAACTGATGGGAAAGCTCCTTGATTGATAAAATAAACGCCCCAAATTCGATATATATGTACTATATGGGAAAACCAGATTGCATGCAGTAGAAAACTCTAGCGACGACTTTTTTGTTTTTGATGCTTTTAGTTATTAAATTATGTATGCTACTTTTAGGGCGGTTTTCATGTAGCTGTGGACTGTATTTGAGAACAAAAAGAAGACTCGGTTGGTAACCTCACGAGTAGACGCGAAAACGATCATTTTTGAGTCGCTTTTTCCTATCGTCCTAGGATATTCAGGTAAAGATTGACTTTCCTGAGGGTGAGACTTAGGACGAACGTTTACTATTATTTGACAGATACTGCTGCCATTCAAATCTTTGTTTTTCTCATCAGTCCCGTCCTCTTCTTTGTTCTTCTTGCTTTTCCCGTGGTAGAAACTTTGAAGAAACGTCTTGGATTTGCAAATTAATAAAAGACATGAGCCACAAAATATAGCAAATAGAATGAAACCATACGACTAGATCTGGTTTGCTATGGCATTTCAAGATTGACAGTACTCCGCTAACAAAGCATATGGATAAAAGACAGCAAATATGCAGAAACAGTCTAAAATTCCAGCGTGTTATTTCTTGGTTGACACCCTCGTATGAATTGTCTTCAGGTTGCCGATAATCGTACACAACTCGTGGCTGAAACATGTTGAGTCCGCTGCTTTATAATTGAAGTGGTTCTTTGATGGAGGATTCACTTTGGTGTTGAAAGTCAGAAGGGGAGGGAAAAAACGATACTCAAAGCAACCACCGCCAGTTCATTGAATCTTAAATATGAGTCAACCTGAAGAGACTTTTGAGAAAACTGCTCCTATAGCATCTGAGATCCCTCTTAATCCTGAACTAACTTCTAGCAGCAGCCTTTGGCAACAACTTCAAAGCAAAAAAAGTACTTTGAAAATTCTGTCATGGATTTTTGTTATATTGTATTCTATATATTTCTTCATTTTGTTTTTTATTTATCTCTGTAACTATTTGTCTAGTGCATATGCCAAATATGGCGAAACAGCCAGTGATAAATTTTTACATCCTGCGATGAACATGATAGCTAAAAGGAAAACCATTGAAAGAATTGCATCTTATTTTACATTTATTCCTTGCTTGATACTCGGTCTTTTCTGCTTGATTTTGCTTTCAATTTACTTTCGTTCTCTTGTTGTTAAGGTTGAGGGTAATTTAATCCCTTTGGAAGATTTTTCAAGGAAAGGCGATGATAAAAAGGAAAACTAGATTTACCAACATCTAGACTATGGTCTTAGTCCAAGCCCTGTTTTTCCTGAGAATCTGGGATATTTTAAGAATGCTTGCTCGTGTTTCCTTCAAGGAATCGAAACCATTCCTAAATGATTTGAACGTTTACGAAAACTATATGAAAAACGGTGCAAATTCTGTATGATAAGCGACATACTTGAACACTACTAGTTATGAATAACATGGAGTCTCCTAATCATTACCTTGACAACAAATGGATGATTGAAGAAGGCCTGAAATTTAATGAGTATTGCAAACTTGGAATAACGAATATCATATCAACTCTGATTAATCTTGACGAAACCTTCAATAAACGCTCCTTTTCAACTACAGCGGAATCCATACTTGCCAAATCACATTCATTCTATAGATTATGGAAAGAAAAGTGCTTCAAATTAGGTCAAGGTGACTATACATAATTCGTTCGTTGACTTCTCTTCATTCGCCATCTCTACAGCTTCCTGAAAAAGCCACGGTGTTTACCCAAAAATATTGTGTTTCTTATGCTTTATGAAAAGTCAATCTTGATGAAAATTCTATACAAAGCTCTTTCTTTCATACTAATCGATAGAACTCTTAAAAAGCTCAATTTCTTGTTTTGTTTATGTCACAGCAGGATCCTTACGCCGTATAATAATGTTTTTCGAATAAAATAAACAGCTAAAGCAGTATGGATGTATGCTGAATTGGACGTTGCTCTATACGTATATAAAAGCTATAATGTCTAGGGACCTAGGTAGCTTAATGATTTTGCAGGAAAACCATCTCATTTAGCCAGATCAGTCAAATCTTCCAATCTGAAGAATTCGCTTGTAGACACAGAGATATATATATTTAGTTTTGCTAATCAAATCAATCAAAAGACTTGTTATTGCATCATCAATTATATAAGGGTCTTTACTTTCCGATCGCATAATTCTTGATTTCTGTATCACGGTTTTAATTGTTTGTTTACAAGCTGTAATACATCATCCTTTCGTCTTATGGTTTTTTCTTAAATTGTACAATATCCTTATAGCATAGTGTACTGTAATACATTATAATATTAACAAAACACCTATAATGACATTTGGTCCTTGCTATATCGGATCTGATTGTTTAATCGTTTCGAATGTCAAAAAAATAGAATTCATTATTTTAACATGTTAAGTATATTATAACAACCTCATTTAATATTAAAAATAAATGGGTTACATGATATTCATGATTAGAACAGTTGTGAAGTTGTTTTGAAATGCAATTCCAGACTTTATTAAGGTAGTCAAGTGAATGACGAAGTATCAAATCATTTTTCTTAAATTATAGTGTTAGAATCTGGGGGAAGAATAAAGATAACATTTTGGTCGTAAACATTCATCAATGATGACGAGGTGTGAGTCTTCCTGCATGTCGATCTGGTGTAGTAAGTTTGATTCCTTATATCTTGAAGGGTTTCGTGCTGTCGGAAAACTCATATAATGTATTTTGCGGAGAAATTAAACCGACAGAATTTGAAATCTTTCTTTTTAAAAAAGGTTTAGGCTCATTCCGATCATACTTGTAGCCATAACCTTCCACGTACGTTTTCAATTGGGTTAGACTCAAACTGTCAATGTCGGAAATGGTTTTTAACTCAGGTAGGTCAGTAGTAGCATTTTCTCCATTTATAAACGGAATCGGTTTTGTATCCTTGCCAGCTTTTCTATTAATAATGTTTTTCAGATCTCTGTGCTGAGGTCCTTGTCTTGTTCATTTTGGAATTTGTTTGGCTGATGCTTGAGACAATATCACTCATATTGACTCGAAAAGATCTTTCAATAAGTCCAAGTTGTCTTTCTATTTCTTCTCTGATGATATTTTGTCCTAGAATCATATCTTCTCTGAGGCTATTCTGTCCTTCTTGGAGGCCATTCTTCCTTGAATCATATCTTCTCTGAGCTCTTCTCTAAGCTCTTGAAACATCCCACGAATTTCAGACAAGTTATCTTGTGTAAGAGTCTCTCCTCGAAGTTTGGATATAACTGCTTCATTAAGGCTCACCAATTTGCTTCTAAACGAGTCAAACTGATCCTGGGGAATCGCCTGTGAGAATTCACTTATGTAACGGCTTAAGGAAGCATAAGAATCATCAGACGGCGGAGGAATTCCAAATGGGTTCGTAAATAAATCTTGACTCATTCTTGAAATTCTTGAAAAAGGGTCAGCGAAAGCGAAGTGTGTAGCAACTATTAGTCACAATGAAAAGGTGTTGGTAGTTGTTTTGTTTGTTTTTTAAGTTGCGACACTTGCTTGGGAGGTCCCCCTGTTGTCAAAACAACGGTGCGAAAAGACAAGTGGATTTAGGGCTGCCCCGGACTTCATTAAGCATTTAGCGATTCCTAAAGCCTCATAAGTCGGCCGACGGTATGCTGGTGTCGGTATTACAAAAGGTAATTTACTACGATTATAAGTATTACAATATACTATCATAAGAGCATATTTTGAGTATTAACAAATAACATAAGACTAAAGGACAATAATATTACAAATAGTAAACAAAGCATAGAAAATACGATTTGAACAAATTAGACAGCTTTCGAAACGGAAGTTCTTTAGAAAAAGAAACTTTGTCTTATAAAGAAATAGATTACATTAGTTTTCTCAGCGAAGATATATAAAATAAGAATCCACAGTCGAATTCTCCAGATTGGAAGATAGATTCGACTGATCAGGCTAAATAAGGTCATCGAAACACTTTCTAGTTAATCAGATCCCTGGACATATTACTATTACTCTACGTAGTACTAACACGTCCAATTCCAATAGAAAATTCTGTAATTGTACTTATTATTTCCACTCGATTTACATTCTCATAACGTGTGAGATTTCTCCCGTGACACTGTGACACCCGTGACGTCGTGACAGTTAGCGATATTTGTACCCCAGCAATGTTACTTCTGGTCTTATAAATAAATAAATGAAATTGATACAAAATACCTGTACAGGAAGAAAAAGGAATTTGAAGACAAATCTACGTTAAGCATAATTTTGACATATGAATTTCTTTACTTCTCTTCTTGTCTGATCCTTTTTCACATATACTCAGAGCAAAAATTATGAAAAACTCACAGCCGATTCATACATCAAATGTTATAGATTCAAATTATTTACAACAACAGGATCCATAACTAAACATTGGTAGGTAGGTTCATTCAAGTATTTGTATAAACTACTCTGATTCAAAAGCTTGCACCATGAATTAACTTTTGGATCGTCACATAAAAATAATTCAGTACTAAATGAAAATGCAAATTTCGTTAACTTGTAAAAACGAAAATCTCGTTTTGGACGTAGATTGAATGATAGTGTTTTCCATACTTCTGTTTCACACTTCTTAAAGACCCTCTATATCCCTCCCATAATTTTACTTTACATTGAACACTTTGATCCTTTTACCTCATATTTTTTTTTAGTATATATTCATTATTTCGATCATAGAAGGGTCATTTTCTTGTAAATAACCCAAAGAATAGATTTGGCGGTGTCTGCCCAAAAACAGCGTATAACTTGTTAAATTCAATATGGATCTCATTGAAGCTTCAAATCTGTCGTATACATTCTCACCAGAATTCCCACTGAGCCTTGATCATGTTTCATTAAGCCTCCCTCGAGGATCCAGGACATTGCTCGTTGGCGCAAACGGTGCTGGTAAGTTTTTTATTTTATTTTATTTTATTCTATGTTTCTTATTCATCTCGTATACTAATACATTGCTTGTTTTGCTGGATAGGTAAATCAACTTTATTGCGTCTGTTGGCCGGAAAGTCTCTAGCTAAGGCTGGAAAGGTGTCAGTATTTGGTAAAGATCCTTTTCGTGAATCCCAAAGTACTGTTGTGTATCTTGGAACAGGTATGACTGATATTTCGTGTCGATCAATGTGTCGACGAAATAGGCTCAAGTATTCCTTAAACCCAAACAAAAAGCTAATCTTGCGTAGAATGGGTCAATAATCCAGTCGTTCATCGAGATATGAACGTTGCTCGACTAATTGCATCTGTCGGAGGTGATTTATTTCCAGAACGCCGTGATATGCTACTTTCCATTCTAGACATTGATCTTCGATGGAGAATGCATGCCGTTTCTGATGGTGAAAGACGTCGTGTTCAGCTTTGCATGGGACTTTTACGACCATTTGACGTCCTTTTGTTGGATGAAGTTACTGTTGATCTGGACGTACTTGCTCGTTCTGATCTTTTAGCATTTCTCCTTTCAGAAACCGAAAAAAGAAAGGCGACAATTGTCTATGCTACTCATATCTTTGATGGTTTAGCAAGATGGCCTACACACTTGGTACATCTTTCTTTAGGGAAGGTCATTGATTCAGGTCCTGTTTCAAAGTTTCCAGAAATCCACTCTGTTACCAATACCGGAAACAGCGCCTTATTAGAGACCTGTTTGACTTGGATAAAGGAAGACAAACGGGTCCGCGGATCTCGTGAAAATGAAAAGCGTAACACTTGGCAAGACGTACAGGATACTTTCAAAGTAGGTACAGATGTTTTTACTGATTACTTTAAAATTTCTCGTGCGAGATAAATATTACTATTTTCTTTTACGGACTCAAATTTTCGTCTACTCTGATTATACAGTTACAGTCGTAAACTGGAGATCAATCTTACCTCTAATGAACCATAATTAATTACCAAGTATATTCCATATCCATGTCACAAGCGTCTATATTATTAGTCTAGTTCAGTCTATATATCCTTTTTGGGACCATATCATCCATAATTATTATTCGTATTCAATCGTTTAGTCATTAGGTGTCATCAGATTATTTTAATTGTTTCAGCATGTTTTGAGCTTTCAAAACAACCGTCTTCGGGCGTTTAATATGCGAATTCATTGATTCATTTGAATCGGAGTTAGCTTCATTTCCATCTTTAGGAAAATCTAAAGCTAAAAGCTCTTCCTCATAGTCAACAAGACGTGATACATCACACTTTCCCTGTTTCAACTTTTTCAAGAGATTATCCATGACAGCATTCTCATCTTTAATAGTTTCTTGTAAAGTACTTTGCATCAAGTCTTTTTTACCTGTTGCTTCCAAAGCTTTTAATCGTACATGAGCAATTCGTTCCTCTTCTTCAAACTTCAGATTGGCTTGTTTAACTTTATTGTATTCCTTCAAAAATTCATGAAGACTTTCAAAGAAGTAGCTTCCGGAAGCAAGGCTATCAGAGTTTTCACCAAACATTGTCAAAGTACACTCAAAAGTCTCTTTCATTGACATGAGATCTGACTTTAATTTTTCCGTTATACCTTTCGCTGATGGTATCCATGGAGTAATTATCTCACGTATGCGATCATCGGGATGCAGTGCTTTCGTTCCTGACAATTCGCCTTTTTCAGAAAAATCTTCCTCTGTTTCTTTAACTAATTGGCCAAGGCTTAAACAGTCTTGTTCTAGTTGATCGAAATTGACTTTCACAACTTCCGGAACATTTGCCAAATCATGAAGAAATTCTTCTAGCTCAGGAAAACATTTGCGAATGATACCTTCGACGGTATGTAGTAATGTCAAGCCGTTTTCTTCATTCTTTATCATGCTTAACCGCTGCAGACTATCGATTTTGAATCCTTGTCTCTGCCTGGGAGTGTCATTCATATAGTTTCCAAGAAGCAAAATCAGGTTTAGTAGATACTTGAAATTCGTACTCGTCTTAATATCAAGTAAAGTGCAATGAATTTTCCTTATTTGCCTTTGTAAGTCGCGATGATTTTGATCAAGTAGAGACATGACTTTCAAAGATTTCATCCTCTTTTCATAATAACTCTCAGTGTCAATAATCAAAAGCACGTATACTTGCTCCCATTTTGTGAGCTCAAGCAAACCCCTATTATAATTAGGCACTCCATTGTTCCAAGTTGTACGGAAAGTAGAGAGATTTTTCTTCAATGAATCTTGGAAGAACAATTTTCTATCCACAAAGAAATCAATCAATTCCAATATGTCAGAATCGCAGTAATAAAACTTGGAAGCAATCTCAAATGAAGACAAGCAAACAAATCTATGCAATCGAATGCCAAAATACTGCTGTAAATCAGGAGGCATAAATCCATTACTAGTGGAATCTTTTTTCTTAAACTTTTTGGCTTCTCTCATGGCAAAGCAAGTTTCAAGGTTATTCAAAATACCATCACAATTCAGCTTGATACTTAAAACGAAAGGATCAGCTAAAGGTCTATTCCATAGAGTACGCTCGACCGGTACCTCTAAATTTTTCCAGTGCAATTGTTTAAGTCGTTTCGAGGGGGAATAATATAACTTCCAGTGTGGCATTTCTTTTCCTGCTAGACTGTTATTCTCAACTGCACCATTAAATATATCTTTCGTAGTAATCTCTTTAGAATTAAAATCGTCAGGAATCTTCAAGGTATTAGTCATAGAAGGTTTAGTATCACCATTTACTTGAGGGATCTGCGCCGGAGGTAAAGGAGGAGCTGGTGGAGCGATAGGCGGAGCAGAAATTGCTTCATTTTGACTTTGCTCTAGCTGGTTTGATGAAGCATTCAAAGTACTCATGTCCTTTGGCTCTTCGGATAATTCTTCAATCTCACTTGAACAGAGTTTGCCAACATCTGGACTTCGGCGGAAATAAACTATAGGACTTAGGCTTTCCGCTTTATCACTGACGCCACTACAACCCTCGTTTATATTCATGTGAACGTCAAACGATTGAATAGACACAGCGGATACAGGCTCGGCTTTAAAGGCAATAGAATTTGCCTTTGATAAATCAATACCTTTACCTGAGCCCATACATTTGCTAGATCGATTGCCTTGCAGTGACCTTGTCTGTTTAGAAGTTGCACGCAAAATGGGGTTCAAGATGCCTGAATGATTGGTAGATTCTTTTCTCTGCTTTATTAAGTCATCATTTGGTCCAAGCTCTTTCTTCTTCGAATAATCTATTCCTGTCAGGTCGCCGACGGTTTCTTGTCCTTCTATCCGTTCTGATGAATTCATGGAATTTTCATTCAAAGTAGTAGATTTTCCTATGTTTTCATCTTCGGCCATCTTTTTTAATATCGAAACGACGTTGTTCTCATTGCCATGAAGACATGAGAATTTGTCAGGAAATAATGTACTTAAAGAATCCGCTATCGAAGTTAAGTCTGCTTCATAACCTTTTTTCAGATTATCATAACTTCTTTCCATTTCCTTGAAACTCTTTCCTATGGCCGACGAAATTGCACCATAACCAGGAGCATCCACAGCATCTGGCGTTGCAATTTCACTTTCGCTAGCTCGATGATGTTTCGAAGTTCGATTAGTTGTAGAAAAATTAGCATGATTCCTATGAGAAAAGCTATCAGAAGTCATTTCTTCATGTAGTTTATCAACTTCAGAAGCAAAGGTGCTTTCAAAAATTGGTTGAAGACTTAAAATATAGCAGTCCAGAAGTTTAATTATTCGAGAAGGAGCTTTGTTAGTTTTCACTAGTTTGAAAAAATGTTTAAGGAACTGTTTGAGAAGACCATTCAGGTCTTCATTGTCAAATATTTTAAGCACAGAAGAGCCTAAATCACGCTCATTTGATGGAGGTTTCAAATCAGAAAAAGCATTTTCAATAACATAGTAATACTTTCGTACCTGTCTCTCTATATCCTGATTCCTTATGGTACTCATCTTTTCAAGGATAGGTTGAAACCGAGAATCTTTAATCGTTTGATTGAATCGGCACAGCATTTCCCTCGTAGTAAAGTTTTCCAAGAGCGCATTAATGAGCAACATTTGAGAAACACAATACTCAAGGACCATCTGGTTATACCGGATCCCTTCTTCACGGGCGTCTTTTCCAGCACCAACAAGACTTCCAAGCTTTCCTCTGTTATCAATTGCAACCTCCCAATGATGCAGCCAAAGGGGTATAATATTTAGGGAATTTTTACTTTTCAACGACAATAATTCAATACCTCGTAAGACTATGTTCACACCTGTCGGATTGTTCCAGTAACACAAAAAGGTCAATATTTCGGCGGATATTTTGCGGATGGATAACTTAGGTTTCAATAGACATAGTAGAATGGGCTCTATCATGTACTCTTTATCTATATAGAAAAGGACGCCTTCTTCATGATTCATCAAACAACGGAGACATTTTAAAACGGCTAACTCCAAATTAGCATCTGTTATTTTGGGGTATCTTGTATCCCGAAAGTCACCCAAAAGCTTAAGTAAAAGATCTTGGCCATCCATCATAAAAAAAGTACGAACCCAAGTAACAGATTCAGTGCGAAGAGCGACTACTAGGGACTCTACATGCTTGCACTTTGGCATTTTATCTAAGAGCTTCTCAATGTAAGATGCGACTGAACACTTCGTTGTAGTCTCAGACTCGTTTCGCTTAACAGCGAGTACTTTATCCTTTTTAATAAGGTAATTCGTGATAAATGCCCATTTATTTTCCATAGACAGGGTTATCTTCGGGTCCCAAAAGAAGGAAGAGTACGATTCCTGGTTCTCTTTCTTTAAAGTAGTAACCACTTCTAAAAATAGCTCATCAACCAAATTAGGATCATTTGGACACTTTTGGTGAATATCTACGGCATCAAGGATTCTTGAGTCGGTGACGTTGTTCTTTTGAGTCTTTTCTAAGCTACTCATTGAAGGAACAGAATTTCTGTCTTCAATGCTTAGAAACGATGAAGTAAGCGACCAATTTGAATGTAGATCATCATTTTTCAACTTCCATTGCCTTGATTTTTTTGAAGCTACCGATTTGGTACTACTCTCCTTTGGAGAAGTTGCAAATGTATCGTTTGGTGGACCATCCATAATTGAATGAATTGAATCTCCCTTAATAATGGGTTTGGATATTCGAATCTCATTATTCCCCATTATGTATTGTTTCACTCTTCAATTTTTGACTTCTTTTCTATGGTTTTAAGAAGTTTGACATAGAACACAAATGTATTGATCAAAGAATGAGTAGTAAAAGAGTTTGGTGAAAGGAAAGTTCTCAAACTGCCTGTTTCATTTTCTTTGTTCTCGGATTCCGTCAAGATAGATGTAATTTTTTCTACGTCAAGTACAAACAAAGAAGAACAAAGAAACTTTGATAATGAGGTTTATAAGTGGCTAATAAACGTTATTTTAATCAGCTAAATCTTTCGGACGTTGCTATAGAGATTTTAATAATCAAACTGCAGTTTCAAGCGATGACAAAACATGTGTATTCAAAAGTTTAAGTTCAATACTCACTATCAAAATTCAATACTTAAATATCGCCAGTAGCTAGCTGTTTGAACGAGTAGGACTCCTAGAGGTTTGTAGTATCCTACTAAACACTGATAAAAAAAAATTTAATAGTAAGTTTCAGTAGAGATTTCCCATCCTGTATATTGCTAATATAGACGTTTGGCATGCTTGCTTAGAGGAATATGACAGTAAAGGATAATCAACGAAGCAGAGAAAAATTCAAAAATATGTTCATATAATCTCGAAGCATAAATGAAAAAGGGATAAAGGTCATATAATCATAAACTAAAAGTTAAAACTAAATTCGTCACTTCAGATGGATCGTAAAATAAGCCATCATAAACGTAAGAAAGGGGACATAAAACGTAGAACATCAACTTGAAGAATTGACAAGCTTGGATTTTAGCGTTTCTAGCTCTGCCTTTAAAGAATTGTTTTGTTGTTGAACATCATCTAACAGAGCTTCATACAGGTGAAGTTCATTTACCGCCATATTGCTAAAAATAGGAGTTTTCAGTATTTGGGCAGCTGTAGGTCGCTTCGCTGGACTACTCAACATGGACAGTATGAGACTTGCCTCCCCGGGCATTTGTTCAAGAAAGTCTTCAGGAAGAAGACCTTTTTTCAAATTGTTAATCAAGGAAACTCTTTCCATGCGGGTCCCAAAAGGATACAAAAGCTCAAAGAACAAAATTCCAAGAGCATAAACGTCAATTGCGGTGCTATTCTTTATAGCTTGAGCTTTCATATGCCTTGATAGCATCTCTGGAGCAGCGTAAGTATGGGTGCCTGCAAAATAAAATCCACCATTCTCTTCAGACGAGTCACCATCATCTGACTGCGAAAGTACCAAACCAAAATCACCGATCTTTGGAACGAAAAATTTGCTTTCAATGGGTTCGTTTGAAAGATGAGGCTTTCCAGAAAAACAAGGTAGACGAACCGAACCTTGTTCCGATGATGTACTTGAGGATAGAAAAATGTTCCTTGGCTTTAAATCGTGATGAACCAAATTCATGACGTTATGAAGATACATAACACCCTCTAGTATTCTAGAAAACAGCAAAATGTATCGGTTACGAAGATTCTTTGGAAGCATACCATGAAAGTGTTTATTTCTTCTATTCAAGTGAATCTCGAGTGTTTCCTCACATAAAGCCATTTGAATGTAAAGACAAATAGGCCTTTGATCGAAACAAGGGACCTCATGTGTCATTGAATCTTCAAACCTCGACGAAAGAGAGCAATTATTGAGTCTTTTAGAACGATTCTCTTTTTCACAATATATAGAGTCATCTTTATCTGCGTATACTGGCTCGCAAGAATGCATTTTAGAGTATTCTTGTTCACTCTCTTTATAACCAGAAAATAAAGCTGCCAAACTGCAAGTAGATTGCTTCGTCGAATAAGATGGGTCGAAATGAGTCCCAAGAGAATCCTCTTCAAAGACAACCTGAAAGGAATTCGCACTTGAGAAGTCACGGTCTAAAGAATCAGTTTCTATATCAAATAAAAGATTGTCACCGCCATTTGAATCAATGCTGCGTGAATCTAATAAGTCCTCGGTGCAAGTAGAATCGAACTCAGCAGGGTCGTTATGAGGATAAGGCTCAATCTCAATCCAACTAGAATAGAATCGAATAATGTTGGGGTGATTAAGGCGAGCTAAAATTCGGGACTCACGAAACATGTTTGAAGAAGAAAGAGATCGTAACGTGAGTGGAATCTTTTTCAAGGCATATTCAACACCATCAAACTTGTTACGTGCCTATCAATGTTAGCATCATATAATTCCTACGCTTCATACCTTGTACACATAACCGTAACCACCTTTTCCAAGCATCTCAAGTTCCTCGAAATCAGAAGAATAGCGAGACTTTTGGACGTTGTAAAAGTTTTCAAAGTTGGTATTATTTGGTGAAAAATAATCTTCCAAGCCAGACATATTGAGAGGAGAATTCTTTAAAAATGTACTGTCAGAAATGTCAGAATGGGAAGATACGTGATTAACAATATTCGTGAATGCATCAACGGAATCAGGAAGAGTTGGAGATTCAGATGGCTCATTACAAGTGGAATAAAGAGATTCATCTGACAAGACGCTCATGAATGAAGTAGTTTTATTCAGAGAAAAAAGATGCTCATCGGAAACATGGCCAATGTTAGCATTGTGGGCTTGAGCGAGGAGTTCATGAATAGCACCCGAATATGCTACTCGAATTGCTTCATAGTCCTCGGAAAATTCATTCTCAATTAAACCCGAGTTGCGCAAAGAATATGCGATATACAAGAACATGTTTTTTGAGCTCTCTGGGGTTTTCTGAGATAATTCTAATAGAAAAAATTAGCAATTGTTTTAATATAGAAAAAGAAGACGTACTGCAAACACTCTCAAGAAGAGAGAGGAGGAGCAATTTGCCTATAGATACGTGTTAGTACAAAGTCCGATGATTCTGCATTTTTAAAACTGCCATAATTGCCCTAGCATACAAGTTATTCTTGGAGGCTCTTGCTTCTTTAACTGAAAAGCCCCATTTCTTCCATATGCTGATAATGCTTGCCGGTTTTTATTCTTTCCGTAGGAAGAATTTTCATCATGTGCATTTCTTGAGGGATTAAGCATTGTTATATTTACTTCAGAATGATAGAGTTTATTCCGATGAAGAAAATTAAGAGATGGATCGACTCATCAATGAAAACTAAGAAGAACGAAAAGCAATGCACATATCTCTTTCCCGGTCTATTATTTCACAATAGTAGTATCAATTCCTAAATTATTACCCTTATTCTTAATGAAAGTTGTTCAATTCTAAAAGCAAAACGGTACTACTTCAAACCTTTGAATGTTGTACCAGTGAATGTAGAAGATTACTTTGGAAAATTCTCCGCTTATAAGTGAGAAATGAATTCCAAAGAAATGAAACGAACGAGAGAAGAATGAAATGAAACAGAACGAAAAAGAAAGATAAATTGAGTAGTTTTAAATTTGGTGTTGAGTGCACAATACGTCGACTATTACCACCTTTATATTATCTTAAGACAGTAGCGTTTTGTGATATTCTAGTAAGAATTCGGTTAAAATATTAAACAAGAAAAACACCTATAAAAACGATAAATTGGTAGAAAGAAAAGCGTATAAATATTCAGTTTAACTATGATTCAATCAAATTTACCATAGTCTGATTAGTGGGATTGTTTTCTGTTGTTTCATCGAATTGTAAAGAACGTGCTTTGAAATTGGTTTTGGGATGCCATCGTAAGCAGATCCGAGCCCGTCTTCTTGTAGAAAATTTCTCTTTTGGTATGATTCTTTGAATCAGACGATTCTTAGAAAGATCCATTCAACTTCTTAAAGACCTCACGATAGTAACATGGTCTTATTTTACCCAACGAAATGATTCAAACATTTTATTCCTAGTATATCTTCAAAAAATAAATACACTTCATGATTTCATAAAGCTAGTCAACATAAGTACTAATATAGTAAGTAAGCACAGCGGTGTGCTCATCTTCAGGATCCGTAATGTACACATATAATACAAGTGCATGCCCTTCGCAGAAACCTAATTTATTAGTTATAAACGCCTTAGTGAATGAGTAAATTCTCATCGAACGAAGCGCACTTACATGCTATAACTCTTCTAGCTACACTAGAAATACGAAGCATATTCACTAAATCTTTCGCATCAAGCCGCATATGTACAAATTCTTTAGGGTTTCGAGTTTGAGAGGGATGCCTACTTACATCCTCCACTTGTGAAGGATCCAGCTCTGGGTTTTCAAGGTCTTTCCATCTAGTAGTTACTTTCGCTGCTGGGGTCGACACAGAAAGCTGTAGTTCTCCAGACATGTTGGCCGAAATAATCACTCGATCCGACATATTTTTGTATTTATCGGCCACTTGTCGTAATATATTTAGGCTTGGAAAGAATATATGACAATCTGGTTCAGGAGCCGTAGGCTCTTTAATTACAGAGACATATGAATGAGATAAAACTCGAATCGGGATGTTATGTGTCACGACATTAGACCCAAATGCACGTCCGCTCCAAGTTGTAGACAATGATAACAAGGGTTGATTATTTTTCTTGGAAAGGCGTATTGTAGAATCGCTCGCATTTGCCGCAGAACGTAGTGCTCTATAAAAGTTGTCGACAGGTATCTCTAAATTGATTACATTTTCCGCATTACTTTGAACAACATAATCTTCAAATATAGTTTCCTGAATCAATAAGCAAACCCATTTCACTTAATTGAAAACTTACCACTTCCAAAACTCTGTTTTTGTTAGCAGACAAGCTCATACTGCAAATAAACATACGCCCACACCTGTGTCATTCGAAAATCCGGTATAATAATAAAATTTACTGTTTCTGGCATCAGTCGTAGCCAACAAAATTTCCCAATTTTGTCCAGCGACTGTACCAACCCTAGCAAATTTGAGTATTTAGCATTTGAAGATCCAATTTACTGCGTTTGCTTACGAGTAAGGGTATATAGATTGCTAATTCTTGTTTTGAACCTCATTGCTCAAAGAAAAGAGCCTTGTATTATGTTTAGTTTAGCATTTGCAATGGTAACAATAGTCTCTGTGCTATCCCAATTATTTCTGGATTACTAGTGGTCGGATTTAGCATGCACAAAGCAGAGGTTTGAGTGTACTAAAAGGTTTATCTTTTCAATATTGAAGCAAATTTATACTTATGAATAAATTTTTATTAATAATAATGTTTTTGATGAACCTCAATGTTTTGTTTAAGTTACTCATAAGCGTGTATAATCCAGGAAGCGTAAAGCTAATAAAAGGAGAATAATAGTTAAGGTACGGCGAAACTAAAAAGAAATTATATATTTCATTATATTTTCATGTAAAACTCAAACGTACAACTCAATGGCTTAACTGGAGCAAGAGCATTGAATTTGACTCTTCGTAGGGCCTGTACCGTAACAATAAGAATCCTCAAAGTCTTTTGGAAATCCCCATGAATCCTCAAAAGGAGAAGCGGTCATCTTGGCGACTTTATGAAACAGGTCATAATCACCCTCGTAGGCTTTTTTGTTAACTTCTTCGAGGACCCAGTTTCTCAAGGTGAAATGAGGGTTTACAGATTTCATATTATTTAACCTTGTAGCCTCAGGGACCTCAGTAGATAATTGATGGTACGCGTCCAGCCATCCTTGAAACTTCTGAACAGCTTCGTTACGAAATCGGGGATTGTTTTTATTAAAGCTACCGGCGCAGAAATCAAACAATTGTTCCGCAGATGATTGACTATCAGTCTTCTCCACTTTCATTCTTGTCAAGAATGAAAAGAAGTTTGGATAATCTAAATCGTGGTTTTCTAAAATGTCAAGAGCATCAATGACATGTTTTCGACTAGTAGGACCATCAGGTAGCCCTAAGCGAGCTGTCATTAACTGAAAATAGTCTTCCCGAACGATTGATAAAAACTCTTTAGCGATATTTTCAAACGCTTGCAGTGTATATTCATGGGCCTCCGCGAGCAATTCTGAAGAAGAATGTAGATTTTCCATATACTGTGGATCATCTACTCGGTCTCTTGCACCTATGAGCTCTAGCAAAGCTGAAGCTAGCTTTGCCAAGTTCCAAATAATGATAGATGGTTGTCGCTGATATGAATAACGCAAAAAGATATCATCGTGGTTGGGTGTAAATGAGGGATTATAAGTATCCATAAAACTGAAAGGACCAAAATCGATAGATAACCCCAAAATACTGGTATTGTCTGTATTCAAAACACCATTCATGAATCCATATACTTGCCATTTAGCAACACACTTGGCGTTTCGGATAGCAACATCACGCAAAAGCTGCTCATAGCGATTTCCAATCCCTCGCCCTTGAAAGTCTTCTGTGAGTACATGGTCCAAACAATAATCAGCCAATTTGCGCGTTGTATCCAAGCGTCCCTCAACTCCTGGAAGATCAAATGTCCCAATCCGTATCCAGGAAGGTGCCATGCGACAGACAATCGCACATGGTTCAACCGTTTCACGCATTGCGGTGACACCATCAAGGGTGGATATAGCCAATGCTCTTGTAGTCGGTATATTGAGAGCATATAAAGCTGTTTTGAATTATCAGTTAGCTCCAGACAAAAGGGAAATTCGGTTCACCCACGTACCTTCACAGCACAAATATTCGCGAATACTAGAGCGTACTACCGCCTTTCCATCAGCAAATCGAGAGTAAGGGGTACGGCCAACTCCCTTTACTTGTATCTCATAACGCTCTTTGGTTTCCGGGTTGGTTAATTCACATAAGGACACAACTCGTCCATCACCCAACTGGCCGGCCCAGTCACCACTAAACAAAGGTAAGCATTTGAACATGAATTTTTTCTAAAGCCTAAAAAACATACAATTGATATCCTCCGTAGCATTGTGACCAAGGACAACATTTGTCAACATCAATATTCGTTCCCACAACTAGCTTCTGAAAAGCTTCCGTTTCTGCTTCACTTTCATCTAACCCAAGAGAACGCATACAAGAAGGGCTATAAGCTAGTAATCTTGATTTCGCTCTCATAGATGGGATCACATATGTGAACAGAGCACCATTCTTAACTTTGCGCGGTATGTGTAACATGTCATCACTCGCATCTTTCAATGCATCAACAGTTGGAACGACTGGATCAGGCGTTAAGTTCGCCGTAAAGGTTGAGCTTACTGGAAGGTCAGATAATTTTCGAGACATCGTTTGAATGGACCTTGTTAAGAACCTTCGCATGCCAATACAATCTCTCAACAATCAGAGTGCTATGTTTGTTATTTTCTTCCTTCTTGGATTGCTTAGTACTTGTTAATCGCTTACAAATTCCACAATCCTTTAGGAAAAATTTAGTAGCCTCCTGCTATGCAAGTTATAAGAGATAATAAATCAATTCAAGATATTAAAATTGGTTTGGAATCAACTTCTTACGGTAAACCGTTATAAAGGAAATTTAAGAAGGGAGTTAGTTGATGGAAAACGTAATGAGGCACCGAAAACAACTACAGAATAACTTCATCATGAACCAATGACAAAATACGAAAATGCTTATTAAGATATAAATCTAACGTTAAAAACCGAGCACAGAAAAGGAATTTGGGTCTAAAAAACTGAAATAACAAACTTTCAGTTTATTCACAAAAAATGAAAAGAATTTTCGTAAACAAATGACACGTAACATTCATTTTTTGCCATTTCTAACATCTTTGTTTTTCTTCCTGGATGGTGTAAGTATTATGCATGCTTAAAGATCTACAGTGTGCTCTCGTTGGGTCAACATTATAGTGGTTTCATGTAGTTCGTTAACAAACATATATTCCTTTTAAACAGACTATAAAAGCAGCCTTGAAGAAAGGAATTTACCTTTTCCTCAGTTTATGTGCTTGCTACTAGCTAATGGTGTTCAGAAACATTACTTTAAGTGAGTAAAATAACATAAAATCATAAAACGTGTGAGGAGAAAAGAAATAACTTCCACAGCAAATGCATAGGAGACTAGAAACAACTTTGGAAGAGTTCCACTAAATGGCTAAACTTTCTTTTCATTACATTCATCGAGTAACTAGTTGCATAAGTATCGGCTACTTTCTTTCAAAACCCAAACGTGGAAGTTAAATAGCTTTATGTCTTCGACATCAATAGCATAATCTTAAAAGAAAATAAAAGACAAGATCATTACCCATGGTGATCAGTAAGACTCGTAATTTACGATATCATTGAAAGAAGAAGCCGCAGTATAGACTTTTTCACAAAAAGGAGGAAACGACAAGAAAGCAAGACGAAAGAAGCAAGCTTGCAACGTCAATTCGTGACATGATAACGATTTCTACAGCGTAAAAGTCATTCAAGGAGCGTCAAAAATTTAGGAGGCATATATAAACAAAACGGACAGACTCTCATGCAACTGAGGGCACTGAGGAAGCAAAAAAAAGCAAGCCAAAAAGTAGGAAAGAAAGTCATATGATTAGCTTACTTACGAGTAACCTTTTCCAACACAGTTTCATGGGAAACCTCGGAAAAATCAGTGCCTTGAATGTCAGTAGTAATACCAGTGAAGGCACGGCGGAGAGTATCCTTGGAAGAAGAGTAAACCATCTTGGATTTGATGGGAGAGACATCAGGAGACCAACTGATGAAAACAATCTTGTTGCGAAGACCTTCGCCCAAGTTATACTCAAAGTCATAGACGGCATAACGGCAGTCTTGCTCGGGCAATTCACCAAGGAAAGTGTCATAGTCCTTTTCGGTGCTCTTTTTATCAACAACAATCTCAGCTTAAATTAGGTTAGCTTCTGCAATATTCATACTTATATCAAACTGCTGCGATGCCTGCTAACCTGCTATGGAATGACCTCAAACAAGAGACAAACAATACCGTTTGCCTCCCGCAGGAGCATATACGTTCAAATGCATCGGTTTACTTATGATAACTTACTCTTTGCATCATTCATTTTGAAGACAATGTAACGAAGGTTCTTGCCTAACTTGAGTTCTTGGAAGGCTTCCAAGCATTCAGGAGCAACTTTAACACCCGAGAAAGACTATTCGTAGGTTAATATACAAATACGCTCATTTTTCATCGGTCATACCATATTGTTTTATAAATATATTTTTATTTCGTTGTTTAATGTGGTTGGCACTGGTTTGAAGATGACTGCACCCTTCAATCTTTAGATACTTATTCCGGGTAAGGGTGGTACATTTGGTGAAACATCGAGTAAGCCACCCCTCAAATGGTTGGATTATTAATTGTGCTGCATATAATATTACGTTAAAGAGTATGTAGTTATGTCAAAAAGAATGAAAGATGAAAATGAATGTTGGGGTAAAAGAGAGTTTGATGGATTGCGATAGCTTGTTTACAGGCCCGGTTAGGCAGGTTTTCATACTCAACGACCTAGCAATCTTCCGCAAACTAGTCAGTCACAGAAAAACGTAAAGATACAACTAGCTGTCTTTTGCTACATTAAAAGATACAGTAGATTTTCAATGTAAACCGTTCATAACCAACTGTCGTAAAACTCTTATAAAGATTCATGATTTTTACAGACAAACACGACGCTTAGTCTTACGTATGATAGAATGAGCTTAGCAATTTTAAGAGCACAAAAACGAAATCAATTGGCCTTTATAAACAGCAGAATACTAAAGCATGTAAACAAAAAACATGTGCAACAGTTTTTTTTTCTTAAAAGACGTACTAGACAAGGGTTAGTAAAGGATTGATCAAACCAAGGGTATCAAAGCTACATACAGGAATGAAAAGATAAGGGCAAATACGGCAGTATTCATCAAAGTCAGTACCATACTTCGCTTTGCACTTTTGGATATCGCGGCTAACACGGTGCACCAAAACGATTAGAAAGAAACAAGGGTAAAAGTAAGGAAGAGGTGAGGAGAAGCCGGTAATCATAGCCCAAGAAAGAGACTGGAAAAAGTCGACGGTGTAATGGATTTTACGAGCATAACGGTACCAACCGGAGGTCAACAAGGTACCACCATTGGCACAGCGAATAAAGGTGGGATTCTTAATGGTTTGCCAAGGGAGTTGGGGAAATGATTTACGGGTAGTAGTCAAACCATGAATTTGATTACGGAAACGGTTCTTTTGACTGTTACAAGTATCAAAGACATAATAGCAACAAATCAATAATGCATAGATAGCAATATTGTAAGAGCTAGACCATTCGTATTGTTTGGGATTACGTGCAGCCAAAAAGAGAGTGCAATGGCTATAAGTAAAAGGAACACCTACGAAAATGAGCATTAGTAAGAAACAAAACAAAAAGAAAAAGAAACTGGATAAAATGGGATAAAACAGAAAAACTTACCAGCCATATTCCAGAAAATAAGCATAAAACCGAATTTCTCATAGGCCATATCCCAGGTAGGAACAATGAGTTCCTCACCCTTGGCGCAAGCATTGGCATACAAATAATGGGCAAAACAAACGAAGAGGATTTGGGGACTAACATAGCCATAGTTCTCAAATTGGCGAACGGCCGCAGCGACGGAAAGGAAGAAAAGGATGAACCAAGGAATGCGGACCTCAAAGAACATCTTCAAGTCCAAGAGCTTGCCGATACGGGGGTTAAGACTAGCACCCATAAAGTAATCATAAATGGGATTACCAGACAAGTCATGTGGTTTGTCGAAGAGCCTCTCACCAAAAAGAAGAGAGCCCAAATACAAGGTCAAGGTAATGATGAAGGAACTAATAATAGCAACACTCATGAGGGGTCCAAATTGGTCCAAGATGGTGGTGATGCGAAAAACATTAGTAAGATGAAGAGCAGCGAGGATGACAATGGTAGTATAAAAAGACCAAACAGCATTACACAGATAAGGGAGAGAGGCATTATTTCGATGTTTCAAAGGAAGACCACGGGTGCGTACTCCAGGGAGAGTCACGTAAAAGATGCCTTGGGTAATGACAAATGTCCAAAAAATAGTGATGGCGTATCTGCTAGGATAAGCGCCAATAGCAATATAGTTTCCGATGGTTCGAAAGAACTCACATAATCCGCTAAGTGTATAGGAAGAGGGTTGAAGAAATTGACCATTGTTGTACTTTGCACTTGCCCATAAATAATACATAATAGAGGGAAAGCCAGCCATCATAGCCAAGACACCTTTGGCGCCTCCAAACTCGCGAGGAGCACGTTCAGCAGAAGCAGCGTTCCGTTTCATACTCAAAAGATGATGGAATTCAAAGACAGCAGATCAAATTGTAACAAATGAGACTACAGCTACGTCAAAATGGAAACAAACAACGGAAGTCGCAACGATTCTTTCACGAACACTAGACCAGTATGGCTATAGAGGTTGGCGAGACTTGAATTAGATTCTTGTTAGCTCATCATACGGTGTATGACATTCTAAAATAGGGAGGTGCACAGAGATTTTTTAGTTTGTTTAAGGAACCGTTAAACATTTTGCATAGTTATGCAAAACAACTTTAAAGCATCCACTATCTTTACCTAAACAAACAAACGAACAAAACAAATGAATTCAACATCTTTTGGTTATAGCAAGTGAGGTACAGTAGAATGGAATGGTGTTGATAAACATTAGAGTGATGATGAACGAGAGACAAACAATAAAGAATGAAAAACAAATGTCTATTATCCAGCATCATAAGAAAAATCGTTTCTTTGAAGAATCCTCCATGAAACATTTCATCTTTATGATTTTTTTTATTGCCATTGATGTTACTGTTCGTTTTTTCTTTTTTCTTAGGAATAGAGTTTTCCTTTTTATTTTTTTTGTAATCCCAATAACTTCGAATTTGCAAAATGAATTTGCAGAAGCTGGAAGCAATTCAACCATTCGTTTATTTTTCCATCAGAACAAGCACAAGATATAAGAATTCTCTAGAAGTCTATTGAATCAAGTCCTAATATGCATGTTACTTAGAAATTTGTCCATTGTAAACAGACAGTGGGGATAATTGTGGAAAATGGTTTGGATTTGGATTGCTAAAGCTTCAAAAGCTGTTTCCTGAAGAAGCAAAGGATTCAGAAAGCAGTAATATTGTGGACTCCCTTGATAAACCAACAGCTCACAGATGAAATTGGTATAGAATATCAACTTCCATATCAGATGAAAACGAATGACATGGCACAAATTCACAAGCAATGACAAGGTCACGAATTGCTTTCTCGAACAGGACTCTTTCCAGCGAATCAATCTATGGTTTTGATAGTTTCATAGAAATCCATAAAGGAAATTAACTTTTGCTGTCTTCCTTTGCCTTCTCTCAAAATTGCTTGTTGGGTATGGATGGAAGCAGCATTATAAAACCAATTGAAGAATAATCAATGTCTAATCTTCAATTCCCATCGAATGGAGATGGTTTGTGATTTGTCTGTAATTTTTACTTTTCAATTCAGGCTACGGGGTTTTCCATCATACCTTCGTAGATCTCTCTTAAAACTACAGAAAGGTACTGATTTTGTTTCATACAAAATTTTTTAATCCATTCTTGATACTTGAATATACAAATTTTGGTAGCGAGACGCATCAAATCAAAGGGAAGTGTGACATTTTCTACTTCTGTACGGAATTTTTTTCATTGTTTATGTTCCCTTTTTCTTGTTACTACAAGAAGTGGTGTTGTGAAGTGACGATCTACCCAAATTTGCGAGGGATTGTGCAGAGCACTTCTACCTTCTACGATATCCTTTTTGTTGGAAGCATTGGGCAGAGAGTCAGTTGCTTTTGTACAAGATTCGATATTTACCTTAGCACTTTTTATTTTTTTATCTTTCTTACTTATTTACAAAAATAAGTAGCTCTTTTTCCTTAGGAAAGACGAAAGCTGCACTCTGTGCTCTTTCATCATGAACGATCAGGACGTATTTAAAATTCTACAGAAAAACTTAAATTTGGGAAACTCAAACATTTCATCGTCATCCTCCAGAAATGAATCTCCTGCCGCTACCAATGCTCGTTCTCCTCCTCCCTATGGAGTAACTTCTACCTCTGGCGACTATTCAAACCCGCTGACCGGCAACAGACAACAGGAGCAAGAAGACCAGCGGCCTAAATTACTGAATCTTTTTAACTTTGGCGCTGATAGCTTCCAACATCAACCTTCACCTCCACCTTCAACTTCGTTTCAAAATGCCTCTACCTCACACAATGCTGACGCCCTTCTTCAGGCTCTACGTGAAGGCAACAACAATAAGCCTGATGGTAGTCAGCAAGCCCAATCTGCTCCATCGTCTAATAATCCTAGCGACACAACTTTTGATATTCAACGCTCGTTTTTTGGCAAGCCCTCAAGCCCTTCTCACAATCCGGAAAGCGCCATGTCTGCTTCTGACCTAGAACGCATGCTCCTGTCTTCTGGCGATCGTGACAACTCTAATAAGGGTGCTTCCTCTCTCCCCTTTCTTCCACCCAGAGACACCTATGAATCCCAGTCTAGCATGACGACCGCCAGTACCAGCATGACGGTCCCTTCCGAATCCTCGGATCCCAAGCATCTCAGTAACTCATCATCCTCCTTTTCTTCTGATGTCCCATCCTCTTCCAAATTAGAAAAAGATTCTAGCACTTCTAGACCGTCCTCCCAAGTGTCGAATGACGAAAGTAGCGGTCTCTTTCGCATCGATAACCCTGATTCTGGTGACTTTGTTTGGGAAACTACCATTACTCCTGATTCTTTTCGGACCACTCCTTTCCCTTCTAATGGTCGGTTTGACATCGCCATGGTCGAGCGTGATTTGGATGCCCAAGATAATCAGTTAATTCATACTAACAAGGACTATATTGCTTACTCCTTAACTAACGAACCTATGGTTCGTGTCATCGAAATTTCTACTGGAAAATCTTTCTTATTACACAATACGTCTCCCTATAAATTTGTGTCAGTCGTTTGGGGCGATGATCCAAACATTACCAATCGCTTGATGGTCATTGATACCACTGGACAAGTCATCATCTACTCTATTGACATGGCCACTGCTTCTTCCAATATTATCTTTCAACTTTCTGGTGCTCAGTCATTATCGGACCCTATTAAGTCTCGATTCCACTGGTATCCCAATTCTTCTCGGTTTTTTGCCGTCGCTTTAAGCAAACATATTATTTTCTTTGACTTAGATCTTTGTCAAAACGTTCCTTTCCCAATTTCTAGATCCATCAGTGTTATTCAGCAGTTGCCTTGCTTTCTCATCGATACCGGAATTAGCGCCAAAGAATATGACTTTTCTGCTGATGGTACTGTATTCGCTACCGTTGATAAAGACGCACTTATAAAGGTGTATCCAGTTCCTTATTCGTTTCCTACCTCTATGGAAGATCGACCGAAGCCATCAGATGTTACGCCTGTTGCTACCTTTACAACACGAACGGAACGTGGTAACTCGAAGGTGTTAGAGAAGCCAATTAATTTAAGATTCATTTCTACTCCCGGCACTAATAATAGTCGTTATTTAATCGTGGTCTATGTTTTGAACCAACTTATTACAGTTTTTGATATCTATGCGAAGAAAGTTATCCAAAAATTCCGATTTAGCAGTCCTTCAAATCCAGTGACCACTACTTCCTTTTCACAATTGTCAGTTGATCATGATCGTAAAACATTACTGGTTGGTAATCCCCCTTCAAACACAATCTTCTTCTTCCTTTTCTCTAAAGAGGAGACCGATTCTGAAGTCAAAGACTTTCCTTCAACTTACGACTTGATTTCATCATCTGTTAGCGGCAGCCAGCCAGTCAAATCCGATGCAAAATTTTCGTACGTAGCTGCCAAGAAGTTTGATGATGCTGCTTGTGTTAGCTTTACTTCTTGTAAGTTACTCAGTGATCCTGAAAAGTATTGCATTGTTGTTAGTACCACCAAGGGATACGAATATTATTGTATACCAATATTCCAGGTTGAAAAAAAAACTGATGAATTGCCCTCACTCGAAAGTAAAAAGAACTGGGAAGCTGACGTCGGCGGTGTGGTTTCTGGTGAACGTCCAACAACGTCCCCCTCTCAGTCAGCATCCGGCGTAAGTACTCCCAGATCTCAAACTTCTGTTTTCTCTAAAAGAAGAAAAGACAAGGGTGATAGACATGAGGCGAAACATAAAACATATCCCTCTCAATCAGGACCTTCATCATTGACACCTGGACCTATTGATATTTCCATGGTTGAGAATATCATTTCAGGCGCTCTTGGCTCTTTAGACAAAAATGTTCAAAAGAACTGTAAGTTTCCGAAAGTTTTATATTATTATTCTTTTACTAACTTTTGTGTAGACGAAGGATTAAAACAGTTGATTGTAAATTACAAAGCAACCCAAGAAAATCATTTCAATGCTGTATTATCTGCTGTTTCTAGTACTCTTACTGAAAATACTGGAAAGATCCTAGAATCCGTTGTTGACCAAGCAATCAAGAATGCAGTTACAGGGGAAATTCATGAATTTGTTGAAAGGGCCATGAAAGATCATTTTGGTACTTTGCGAGATGCACTGGAAATAAGAATGAAAAGTTATGATGAGAGTATGCGTTCTGATTTCGGACAACACAAAAATGCTCTTTTGGATATTCAAAGTCTCACGAATAGCGTGATTGAGTCACAAACTGAATCTGATAAGCAATTTAACGAGCTAAACAGCCATGTAAAAAATTTGGAAGGTTGCATAAACTCATTAATAGCTAAGGTTGAGTCTTTGGAAATGAAAGACTTGAAAGAAGAAAGAAAGCAAGAATTCAATGAAGAACTAAAACCTGATATAAATGAAGAAATCCCTCTCCCAGCTGATGTAGCTGAAGAATCAACTCAACCGGAACCATCAAACGCTGAAGTTGCCGAAGAAGCCGATGACAACAAACAGGAAACTGAAGATGAAAAAATTTCACAATTAATTGAACAAGGTTCAATTCGTGAAGCGTTATCAGAGGTATGATTCCAGAAATTGAAATAATTTAATCCTTCTAACATGAAATTTAGTGGTGTACATCTCCCTCTATTGAAGGTTTCAAGGTGATTTGTACCTTGCCAACTGCGTCAATACTAGAACAATGCAGTAGTCTTCTTCTACTTACATTTGCTTATCATACTGCTTTATGTGACATCGTTGACGACGAGCTTCTTTCCAAGCGTTTGGAGTACATCGCCAAAATTTGTTTGAGCATTAATGTGCTTGATCCCAAGATTGAGACTGTTATTCATCCTGTTCTTACACTTGCAAAGGAGTCTTTGATTAAACAGTCTAGTAATTTCTCACCTGTCTTTCAAAGACGCCTTGGTATTGTTTTGCGTGCTCTTGATGGAAAAATTTCGGAGATCAGCCCTTCTGTTTAAAAGGGAAGCTAGAGGTTTAAATTCATAATATCTTATTAATTACTGAATTTGTTGGAAAGTGACCAAAAAAGTTGCTGAATAGTAGTAGTTTTGAAGATGTTAAGAGACAACTACAATTGCCTAGGTTTATGATTACCATGTGATGACTATCTTCTACGTTTTCTTTGAATTTATTGTTTAACTTTTTGTATGTCTTCAAGCTATGTGATTTGAAGGAAATTTGGTAAATGATGATCGTGTTTCAGTATTTATGTTGTTATAGTATTATCTCTGCAGAGAAAATTAGAATAAATACCTTTTGGATTGATCATTTTTTAATATCTATTATTTATTTCTCTGAACACTATGTTACTAAATCTATAGCTTCTGAAACTTTCCTCTTGCTAGAAGCACTAAGATATACAAAAGGCATTGAAATTCTATATACATATTTTCATAAAGATAAAAGCCATAATGAATTCGCTATTATATGGCTATCTGAAACTTAGATTAAGCTAGGTATTTTCGATGCTAATTACTTAACCTCTTCCAAGCTGAGCATCACTGAAGCTAATGCAATTATACGGAAAAATGACCGCAACAGCTAAAAATCGAGCACTGGAGTTTTTAAAATTTGTTAATGCAAGCCCTACTCCTTATCATGTTGTAAAAAACTTGGCAGAGTACTATAAGTCGCATGGCTTCCAATACCTCAGTGAGAAGCAAGACTTTGGCTCTTTGTTGGAAGCAGGAAAGTCTTATTATGTTGTTCGTAATCAATCTAGTATTGTTGCTTTCAGTGTTGGTGGAAAATGGAAACCAGGTACAATTTCATATGACAATATGTGATGAATGGTTATTAACAATATCTGTTAGGTAATGGTTTTTCCATTGTTGCTACTCACACGGATTCACCTACTTTGCGCTTGAAACCCAAGTCTCGAAAATCTGCGAATGGATATATGCAAGTGGGAGTGGAACAGTATGGTGGTGGAATCTGGCATAGCTGGTTCGATCGAGATCTTTCTTTGGCTGGTCGTGTAATGGTAGAAGAAAAAGACGGCCGTATTGTACAACACAATGTGCATATCGATCGACCCCTTCTCCGTATCCCGACATTGGCTATTCATTTGGACCGTACTGCTAATGCATCCTTTTCTTTTAACTTGGAGACAGAATTTACGCCCTTAATTGGTCTTGAAAATGAGTTGTCGAAAGAGGAAACATTCGAAAACGGAGAGAAAGCTCATCATCCAGCTTTGCTCTCACTCATATCTCGTGAAATCGGCACGGAAGTATCACCGGAAAGTATTGTTGACTTTGAGCTGATTTTGGGCGATTATGAGAAAGCTCGCCTTGGAGGTATTCATGAAGAGTTTGTTTTCTCTCCACGCCTGGACAACCAGGGTATGACATTTAGTGCTTCTCGTTCATTGATTAGCTCTCTGTCAGACAAATCTTTAGAAAACGATGACTGCATTCGTGTTGTTGCTTCTTTTGATCACGAGGAAATTGGTTCTGTTTCCGCTCAAGGTGCTGAAAGCAACCTTCTTCTTTCAGTACTAGAACGTTTGTCGGGAAGCACTGAAAATTTCTACCGATGTATGAGAACCAGCTTTCTTGTTTCTGCTGATATGGCACACGCCGTGCACCCCAATTATGCTTCCAAGTACGAGTCCATAAATTCTCCCGAGCTTAATAAAGGAACCGTGCTCAAGGTCAATGCTAATCAAAGGTATATGACTAACTCTCATGGTATAACAATTCTAAAGCGAGCTGCTCAGTTATCCAAAGCTCCTGTCCAAGTTTTTGTGGCTCGAAATGATTCGCCATGTGGTAGTACAATTGGTCCCAAACTGGCTGCAATGACTGGTATTCCTACGCTTGATCTTGGTAATCCGATGCTCTCTATGCATTCATGCAGAGAGATGTGTGGAACGAAGGACTTTGAATACTCTGTTCAGCTGCTATCTGCTTTCTTCCAAAATTTCTCAGACATGGAGAAAAAAATCATTGTTGACGAGTAGAAATGAAAACAATAAAAATTGTGTATATATGCCCTATTTGCGAACTATATATCGATGATTTCAGCTTTCTTCATGATTTATTTTGCCAATTATGCATACCAAATGATAGTTGTGAAATAAGAATCACGGAAAAGTTACGAGCGCTTTATACCCAAAAAGAAATTGAATTAAGCCTTACTAATAAATCGAAAGTAATCTAAGCTTATGTTAGTCTAAAATGATCGAAAGATGCTAGGAAGCTTATCCTTTGTTTCTTACACGATTCATAATTTGAGTAATTTAAAAGAAAAAACTTTATCCATTTAGTCATGTATAAAAGTTTTCCTTGTAATCCTTTTATAATTCATTTAGCTTAATGTGCCACTGCTACATCTACTGCACCTCTCAGACACCATTTCTGAACTCGAGAAACTCATATCTCTATGATTGTAAACGAATTACAACGTTATATTATAAGAATTTTTAATTGAATATAAAACAGATTGTTCCTTGGAACTGAAATGTCTGAATTAGAGCAATTCGACATTCCAGAAATGGCAGAAGTTGAAGACGACACGGTGGACATTCGAATTGATAAATCAAAAGTCGCATTGCTATTTTCCAAAAGCAAAGTTTGCATTCATCCTACCTCAAAAATTAAAGATAACATATCGGGATACTTGTCTCTCTCAAAAACAAGAACCAACCATGGGACTCCATTGACTGGCAACGACATACTTCTGTCGTGGGTCCCGGATTCATTTTTAAGATCACGTCCAAGAGATTTAAATATATTCCGAACGGCTGAAACGTCATTGGAAAGCAATATCAAACAACTAGTGGAAATTCCTGAACATCTAGATTACTCGTTCTCAGTCCGTTTAAATAGTATATACTCTATAATATTTCGTCCCCCTAAATACGGCTGGAATTATGGCAGCATTGTCATTAATCTACGAAACAGCGGCGAAAGTTTACCACCTTTATTCTTTCATGATGATGAATGTTCCAGCACTATTGAATGTAGTCGACGCATAACAAAAGATCAATTTGATCCCTTTGATGAAGCTGGCGACATCTTTTGGGGAGGCACACATCTTATTATGCACTTGAAAAAGTACGTTAACCTGGAAAATTCGACACATGAACCACAATTGTATCTAGTCAATCCAAGCCCTGAAGACACGCTTGCTTTTCAATCCAATGACTTTGCGCATTCTGGCACGTCGTCTAAGCAACGATCTAATGAATCTTCTCCTTCTCCAAAAAAATCTCAATCCTTTCTAAATCCCTTCCGCCGTGCTTTGCAAGATTTATCGTTTACCGTTCTAGAGCGATTTAGTCGAGTTACAAATTATGGAAAATCTGAAGTGGACAAACTAATGGATCACAAAGTAACGAAATCGTTGCTTCCGCATTTCCCACGAGAAGTTCAGGTTTTATTTGAATCGAAGCGGCTTCAAAAGCTTACTGAAGAATATGATCCCGCTCGCATCTTCCTTGCTAAATGGGCAGCTGGTGTTGTAGAAAATTCTGAAATAAGCAGCACAAATGCTTCGTCTGAGGCCGCCGGTTTGTGGTCTGAGCAACAGCAGGAAGAGGATTCATCCTTGGGTCCTTTTGAGTTGGTTTATTTCGATGAGCGCGTGAAACGAGGTGAGCCACTCACTGTAGAACAATGGAAGTCTTCATTTAATAGTGAGGGAAAACTAATAGTGAATGTCGAGCATTTACTTGGAATGATTTTTCACGGAGGCGTTGTTCCTTCACTTAGGAAAGAAGTATGGCCTTTCTTACTTTCTATTTACCCTTGGGATTCCACTGAAAATGAACGCAAGGCTATTTATCTTAGTCTTCAAGATGAATATATTAGATTGAAGCGAAGATGGTACGAAGATATAACCCGACAATTTAATGATCGATCATTCATAGAACAGAGGAACAGGATTGAAAAAGATGTTCACCGAACTGATAGACAGCATGAGTATTTCCAAGAAGAAGACTTACCTCATCCTGATCCTCAGTCAACTTTTACAGGTACTAATTTACATATGGAAATGATGAAAGACATGCTCCTAACTTATAATGAATATGACACAGAATTGGGCTATGTACAAGGGATGTCGGATCTTTTGGCACCAATTTACGTTACTTTTGGTGACAATGCTCTGGCCTTCTGGGGAATGGTAGGATTAATGAAACGCCTTCATTACAATTTTCTGCGAGATCAATCTGGTATGCAACGCCAGCTGGAAACGTTACGACAACTAATCCAGTTGATGGATAAAGAACTCTACATCCACTTAGAAAAAACTGATTCATCAAATTTGTTTTGCTTTTTCCGTATGTTACTAATATATTTCAAACGCGAATTTGACTGGGAAATACTTTTGAAGCTTTGGGACGTGCTTTTCACAAATTACCTTTCTTATGATTATCATATTTTTTTTGCTTATGCTATTGCTGAAAGACACCGTGAAGTCTTGCTAAATCAGACGCATGCATTCGACGAGGTATTGAAGTACTTTAATGAACTCTCAGGAAAAATTGCCTTGGAGCCAACATTGGTTTGCGCTGAACAGTGTTTCTATCGGTTCAACCAAACGGTTTCATTGATAGACCGCAAAAGGCACGAAGAGAGAGAAAACAATCAAGAGCCTTCGAAGACCCTTCCCTTTGTAACGCCTTTATTACGAAACCTTCTGAGCAAAAAGCCCCTTAATTATGGAAACACAAGCAATTAATGAGTGATTCTTTTATTTTGTAATTATGTCCTTTTTATGATGAGCATTAGCGTATGCCTAATTATATTTAACTACCAAGTCCAGCTATCAAATGGTAATAATTTAAAACTTGCGTTTCCGTTGCCAATTAGGATTTGGTCGAGAATTGAATTTTTTCGTCGAAAACCCTTTCTTTTGAAATGCCGTTTTCCTCAATTTGTCCTGCTTTTCTTTCTCTTTTAAAATTTTCATTCGTATTCTCCTTTTCTTACTCGGTCTCCACCGACGGTTCTTTTTTTCATCATCGATCTTAATATTTACAACCTTATGAGGCTTTTGGCATCCAGGCTATCATAAGTGCTGATTAGTATCAAATTGAAGTAGCATAATATTTTTTTTATAACTCCCTTCCTTTATAATCGTATACGAACTATTTACTTACCCATGACTCGTCTTTAGCCTTCATAAGTTGCTCAAATGTAAAAACACTAGCATGTAGGCGAGCTTGTCGCTCAGATGAGTCTCTAATCGGTACTATTAGTACAAAAAAAGTATACAAATGACCACGTACTGCAATATATAATATTCAACCGGTCTACCCTGGTTGACAATAACTTCCTTATCGTTCAAGGATATGGTATTAATATCGGAAAACAGATTAAAAGCAACGTTCTCGTCCTCGTTTTCTGACTTTGCTTCAGATAAATTGCTTTCTACATTTTCCAGAGTATTGGCAGAAGGACTCTCTTCTACAGCTCGAGGCTCGACCGCAAAATCAAAAACACTTGAAAGCCTTTGCGATAGTAATTTGCTAGCAGCCTCTGATGATTCCTCTACTTCTGGCTCTTCTTTTTGCTGTTGTAAGTCTTTCCGTGAAATTCTAATCGAAGGTTAGAGCGCTCATTTTCAACAAAAGGTCAGGCTTCATACTTTACTTGCTCCATTATAAGAATTATCACAATCGAAAAATTCAAGTATTGACGAAATTACGTCGAGACATTTACCAAGGATAAGCTAAAACCGAAAAAAGGATACTTTCTACCAAAATGAGAAAGTAGATTCAAGCACAAACAACAATGTAGAACGAACGAATTTCGTTTTTCATGAATTTGACAAAAGAAAGAAAAGTTGGTGGTAGCTTATTTCCATAGTCGCTAAAATAAGCTTATATTAAACGAAAGCTACTCCAAATTCTGACTAGAAAAATATAGTGTGATGAAAAAATAGGACAGCAAATTAAGAAAATTGATATTACATTTTATTAAGCCCTTTCATTTCTTTATCCTCTAGTACATGTAAAAGAGATTTTCTATACAAATAGGTAGGTATTATGAACTATCAAGTGTGATGTCTCAATAGAATGTCAAGGTACGAGTATCGTCGACAAGGTGCTGTTCATAGCATCTCTTCTAATTCGATTACCGATTGAAAACACTTCATAGTTCTTCACTGTTTAGCTTGCCAAAGATCCATTAAATTGACCATTAATATTCTATCATGAAGTAAACAAAAAAGTAGAGTGCTAGGTGTAAGCAACCTTTAAAAGAACGCAGGAGAACTGCCTAATTCAAGAAAAATCACCGCATCATGGTCAAAGCGACTTAGGCAATAGTAAAATCAATAGGATTCGTCCTCAGGATTAACTTTGGGAAGTACCAAATCAGAAGCAGACGATTTAGAAATATAGCGAAATTTCTGTAATACTCGTACTGCTTCCTGGTATACTGAAGTAGTGGAAAAGCCGGAAACGATGTTAAAGGTAGTCGACTCTTTAAGGTATTCAATCATTCTTGGCTGAACATGGACCTTATAGAATTGAAAAAAGATAGTGATAATCTGAGGACTCAGGTGACCGCCGGCTTTCACAAAGTAGTACATCCGTTCCATAGGAAGACTCACATCGGCAATACTTGCAATGATAAGCTTGGCCGCAGCTGGAACTTCCCATAATCCTTTTATGAACCATAGTGGTACAAACATTGTCATAAAAATGGTCTTACCAACTGTCATAATGATCTCTTCTGGGTTTGGCATCTGTAATAATATTTCTTTTGTTAATGAAGCAGACTCAGGGCAGATATCCCAGATTTGAATAATGTCTGCGCACAGTCGACTGATTGCTAGCTTTTCAATCGCAAGCGCTGAAAAGGGAATGGCTAACGGGTAACTAGCTGCGGAAGTAGCTATTTTTAGTTGTAAGATTCCTCTCAAAACTCCTGCATGAAATTTACAATGAGCGTCCTCTTGCTGAGCAGCCACGAACGTAAGATATGACTCGTCTTTGTCTAGGGCAAGGCATGTTGTGTACACCAATTCACTCTTGTACGATACAGTTGCAAGTTTGGATATAAGCAAGAGCTTCTTCTTCATTAGACAGAGCTGTTTATCACCCTCATTCACGTCAATGACGACTGTGTTCGCATTCAGCACATCTCTTTTGCGGTAACTGTTGTGGAGGTCTCCTACGAACCTTTTTAAGCCATAAAGGACGCTTATAATAGGTATCTGGCACCCCTGGAAATACCGGAGTAAATGGATCTCATCAACTGTGATAGCGTTCAAATCAACAACCCACCATATACAATGAACTTTATTGAGATTTGATCCTGCTTGTTGTTGTTTTATCCACGAAAGTATGGGCAAGCAGTTTGAAGGACTCAAATCCGCGCACGTCGCTTTAAAATGTGGGTTTTCCTCACTCGCAAAGCTTTTCCCAAAGTGAACCGTTTCAACTGTCTTTAAATGACTGATGGAAAACACGGACTTTAATATACGGCTGATTTTTCTATACTCTCCGAAAATGACTACATGAAACGATGAAATGGAAGCCGTAGACAACCTTTGTTCTTCTATTGAAACACTGTTTTCGCTTTTTTTTAGATTCTCTTCATTCCTTACGGGGTTTTCCATCTAGCTTCTTCAGCAGTACGAAACGACAGGTATGTTATGTTAATATTTCTGTTGAAACAGTAAAAAATTGTAAAAATAAGTTATGTTTAATTACCACACAGCTGATTTAGTTAATCTCCTTAGACTTTTCTATATTAAAGATCAATGGAAACTTATGATGGAAACAACAAAAAACAAATTTACAACCGGTTAGCCAAACGACTTTAGGAAACGTCTACACTTTCTGTAGCTGCATAGTACAATATACAATCGACACCTCTTACTACAATCTTTCTTACAGCCAAGATATAGGAAGTAGAGGAATCGAACGAATGTATTAAACTAAAGAAATCAAGGAAACTGAAATCCTACATCAGGCAAAAGTAAACATCCATAACCCGATTTGTGAAACTTGAAAATATGCAAAGAATTCATAGAAAAGCTATCATGGGCATTTGTACTTTCTAACGATAATAGATGTATGGAAAAAGTGCTTGGAAAAATTAAGAGAAAAACCAAATGAAACACACCAAGGAAAGAGAAATATAGACATGGCAAATGGTGACTGAAACGAAGACAGTAAGAGTGAGTCAAACAATTCAAATCAAATGGGCGGAAAAAGGAAAGAAATTGAGGATGTAAGACCAAAACCGAAAGAAACAATGGCCAAAAGAATAATAAGAGTGTTGCATTATGATAAACCAGATTCATTATAGAAACACAGATCCCAACAGCAAGGAAGCTGAAGGATACATTGCTTGATGACGATTTTAAGTGGATTTCTTGATGCGCTCACTCTCAACCTTGCGAGCCTTGTAGGTGTGAAAATTCTTGTCAGTGTGAAAGACAGAATCCCACCAGCGGAAAGAACTAGAATAATTGTCCTTGAAAGCCATATGATGGTAGTCGTGATGTTCAGCACCAGCCCATATGGGCAAAACTTTGTTCAAGGACCAGGGGAAGTCATAACCAGAGTGAGAGTCTACAGCTTGGAAAAGACGTAACATGATCCAAATATACATAGTGACCAAGTGTAAGTCATGAGTATAATAACACCACATTAAAGGAACAACGACGGTACCGGCACCAAGACCCACAATTTCCAGGGGGTGTGCATATTCAGCAGAGAGACCAAACGGGGCACTGTAGCGGTGGTGAACCTTGTGAATAATGCGATATAGAAAGCCATAATGGAAAAGGCGGTGAACCCAGTAATGCCAAGTGTCTTCTAGAAAGAAAAAGATGGCGAGCTGCCAAGCAATTTTAGTGATGGAAGGGAATGGGACTGCAGTGGATAGGCCAAACATAGCACACATAGGATCGAAAAGCCAAATTTGAGGAAGCTCAACGGTAAAGTGAGACAAAAGAACCAATCGAGTACACTCCCATTGTTCAGCAAGAGAGGGGACCTTTTTAGGTTGAATTTTCCAGCGACGGAAAAAAGGGAGAGCATCGATGATCATCCAAGGGATACAGCGACCAAAGTAGAGTACTTCATGAAGGATAAAAGACATCAAACCAGTTGCCACCACATCGTTGTCGAACCATTTGTAGTAACTCATCCATAATTGTTCGAAAAAGTTTAATTCGGGGTGCAGTTGTTGGATTTGTTGACGAACAGCTTGAAAGCCGCCGCCTATAATAGCATCCGTAGTAGCGTTCATTTTCGAATATAATTACCAGCACAAAAAACAAATCAACGGAGACGCAAGTTCAACAAGCACTCTCGTATTTCTGTCAACTTTATTGACTTTTTACGCCACTTTTTTTATCTACTTAAACGGATTCTAACGACCACAATCCCTTCTGTTAATGTTTGTTAACGGTAGGAATACGAACCAAGAGCCTTTGCAAAGGGTAGACTCTCTATGTATATATATAAGGTAGTAAACAGACCAACGTAAAAATGGTCTGAGACCTCACGCCATTTTAGAACATACAATAGAAATACTTAATTTATAGTATTAAGAAATAAAAAATATCATTTTGTGTATTTTTTGTCGCTGGATTTATGTATATGCCACCTGTAAAGTCGATCCATTTCTTTCGTTTGGTTGGAGTCGAGCATCTATGTCTCCAATAATAGCTGAACTTGATAGTGTCAGAAATTTTAAGCGTAAGATCTTAGTTGCATAAAATATCGTTAAATCTATTTTAAAAACTCAACCCTTAAATATTCCTATCCTAAAATAAGGCTTCTTTACGTATCTTAAGCAATTATGTTGCACTGCATACATGCTAACTTTTGCGAGGCATTCTACAAAGATATAAAAGAACACAAAACAACTTACCGAACTCTAGGAAAGACTTCGTTGTTGGGAAAAAGCCTACTAAAGACGAAAATGAAAATGCAAAATATGTAAATTCTGTAATTAGAAGCTATTTATTTTTTTAAAAAAAAATAAACAAAAAAAAACAAAAAAACCGAGAAAGAAAAAAAAAGAAAAAGCGTCGTTTTCACGTTTTAGGTAGATCAAACCCCCCTCCCTTTCATTCATGTTTAAATTGTAAGGCTAGGCGAAAGGTTGAAAGGAACCCCTGGGTGTGTGAGCGATATTCATCCTTTTTTTCTTATGTTCCCCTTACCGTTGAAGTAGATCATTATTTCATTAAATAAAAAAAAATATAAAAAAAAAACGAAAGAAAAAAGAAGCGAGATTTTTTTAGGTGCACAGCTTGTCGTTTAGTGAATTACGACCGGCCATCGATTTTCATCTAGGACAATTTCCAAACAACGATGGCTTAAATGGACCTTGTTGGACAATGTTCCCAGATACAGGATGTATTGTGGCATGTAGTTATTGACGAACATTTCGACTTCTTCATCCGACATACCTGTACGAATGAGTGTCTTGAGTGTATGTTCTTGTTGGAGACGCCATGCATATACATATTTGATTTCTTGAGCTTCCAATTGGACAAGAGAATCAATTTTTTCAAAAACCGGTTGGTAACGCGCTAGCTGTTCGTTCACCCACAGCAGACTGTCTTCCAAAGACTGCCATTTTGTTGATCGAGCCCGCACAGACAGCATACATGGATCCATGGGTTCAAAACCAACCATCCATCCTTCAAAAAGCACAAGATCCACCTCTTTCGGAGAAACCACTTGCCATCTTGACTTGTCCGCACGATCTCCATATCCGTTGTATTTGGATTTGTCGTAAAATGGAATTTCTATAGGAGTGTCGGTGGGATTTCTGAAGGAATCAATGACGGAATTCATTAGTTCCACATCATGCGTACCTGCAAGTCCTCGATGTTGGATCAATGGGTTGTCGGGATGCGATTTGCCTAAAGCCACCTGTTCTTCATGGGTCAAATAAAAATCGTCGAGTGAAATGTTCACAACAACTTTTCCTTTTTTCCGTTCCATTGCTTCTTTTAAAGTTAAAGCCAGAGTACTCTTTCCAGATCCCTGAGGTCCTGAGATTCCTAGAATGAAAGGCCTTCCCTCTGGCTTGGATTGCTTTTCATAAAACTGCACAACCTTTTGTATAACGACGTTTAATGAACTCATCTTTTATCAATCATCAACCTTTTGTTGGTTTAAGCTCGATTTTTGTGTTTGCAGGCCAATTCTTTAGCACTTTATGAAGGAAAAAGAAAAACTCAAGCCAGTAAGGGACAGTAAAAGTAGAAAAGAAAACAATTATTCAATTTACGATTATCTCGTTTTATCAACTTACTTAAAATAATAAATAAAATAAAAGAATGTAAAACGAAAACAAAGAAGAGAGCAAATGTTAAATTGGAAAATATAGAAAATTTATTATTTATATGGGACTGTATTGGAATGACGTTTTTACTGGCATCGTTGCGACTCTGTATCATGGTAAGCAAAGAAGAACGCTCTTTGTGTTCTCTGTAGTCAAATTAAACGAAATAAGAATTGCTTAGATAACGGAGAGAAATTATTGTATAAATCTCACGATAATCAAAGTTCAGTTAGGTAGAGGCCATAAGCTATCAGTACTTTTTATTATCCTCGCATTCTTCATACCAAATACTTCATGCATTATTACCCCTAGGAGACTAACTTACTAGCCATCTCGTTTACGTTTGGTGTACACCTCGTTTTAGCTACATAATATCTTTCTATTTCTACCATTTAACGACGGCTTCGTGGTGTAGTGGTAGCATACTTCGTTTGGGTCGAAGTGGTCAGGGGTTCGAGCCCCCTCGAAGCCCAATTTTTTTCGAAAACGGTACTTTCGCTGTGAAATTCGAATCATTGGCAAAATGATACTACACCATTGTTTAAACTTGTTTTTGAAAATAGAACTAAAACAAACTCTCCACCGTTTGCCAAGTGCTGCTTTTTCCAACTGACCAAAGGAACATCACTTACTTGATTGCTTGTTACATTCTCTACAAACCTCAAGGAAACCTTTCTTGACAAACTATAATAGTATGATAATTATTGAAATGATTAATTTAGAACGAAGGTGGCCTACTAGTTGAAAGCAGGTACAACGAATACAACTATCATAGAAAAGTCTCAAAAGCACATTACCAAAACAACTAACCAAAAGAGATACAACGAAATAAAAGAGAATTCAACCAAGAACTAAAGGGTAAAGTGCCTCGTCAACCTCGAGATGGAGCCATAGACACAAAGGTTGAATTTGTGCCTACCTGAATGTCATGCTGTGAATTAGATTCTTCAAATGTCAAACACGATCAGGATTTTGATAGAATACATGCCAATCACAAAAAAGGGTATTATTGTTAACTCGTTGTTCATAGATGCGACTTCCTGAGCCGACAAATATTTGTTCTAGGTTTTAAGGAATTAATGGGGTAAGATTAGGCAAACATAACAAAACGACAGATGTCTAGCTTAAAAATATGTTCAACAAATTCGTTTAGTAATTAAGTTTAAGGGGTTGTTCCCAAGGCTTAGATTGGTCGGTAAAATGACCATAAGAAGCTGTGGAAAGATAGAAGGGGGTTTGCAAGCGAAGACTCCTAACCAAAACACCAGGGCGGAGGTCAAAGTTTTTGCGGATAATTTCTACGAGTTCTGCAGAGGACTTGGAGGAGGTACCGTAAGTATTCACAAAAATGGAAAGGGGCTCAGCAACACCGATAGCATAGGACAATTGGACCAAGCAACGGCGGGCCAAACCAGCGGCAACCAAAGATTTAGCGATCCAGCGAGCAGCATAAGCAGCTGAGCGATCAACCTTAGAGTAGTCCTTACCGGAAAAGGCACCACCACCGTGGGCACCCCAGCCACCGTAGGTATCAACGATAATCTTTCTTCCGGTAAGACCAGCATCACCTTGAGGACCGCCGACAACGAAACGGCCAGAGGGCTGAATATGATAAACAGTTTGAGCATCCAACAAATGACTAGGGACAGTAGTCTTAACAATCTTGTTCAAAATCTCGGAACGCAAATCTTCGGTAGAAATCTCCTCAGCATGTTGAGCAGAAACAACAATGGTGTCAACACGCTTAGGAACAACAGCACCATTCTGTTCTTCGTATTCGATGGTGACTTGTGTCTTGGTGTCAGGGCGCAACCAAGGAAGGGTACCGTCACGACGAGCCTTGGACATAGCGGCGTTAAGGCGGTGAGCAAGAAGAATGGTCAAGGGGAGCAATTCAGAAGTCTCGTCGGAAGCATAACCAAACATAATACCTTGGTCACCAGCACCAAGTTCTTCTAATGCCTTTTCGTAGTGGAGACCTTGAGCAATATCAGGGGATTGTTGCTCAATGGCAACAAGAACATTGCAAGTTTTGTGATCGAAACCCTTCTCAGAGCTGTCATAACCAATAGTCTTGATAGTGTCACGAATGATTTTTTGATAGTCGACTTGGGAGCGGGTGGTAATTTCACCAAAAACCATAATCATACCAGTCTTAGCAGCAGTTTCACATGCAACTTTGGAAAGTGGATCGTCTTTCAAGCAAGCATCCAAGATGGCATCAGAAATTTGATCGCAGATCTTGTCAGGGTGACCTTCACCAACGGATTCAGAGGTAAACAAAAAGTTTTGAGGCATATTAATTAAGAAAAGATAGAGTTTTCAACGAATGAAGGTGTAATACTTTAACGGAGAAAATTAAGGATAAAGGCTTTTAAATTAAAAAATCCCTGTAAATATAGATTCTATTAAAAAAATAAAAAAAAGAGAATAAAAAGAGGGAATACCACCCAAAACGAGTTTCTTATTTTTTGATAGAGGCAACTTCAGTATATATATTTAAATCTAACGATGCCCTTGTGACTGCTACCAAATATTCGCCATTTTAGCCTTTGTTTTAGCAATTCAATTAACGAATAGGAAGTTGTCGTTAAGTACTGATAAGGAAAATGATAGCTCTCTTAAAAATGATTGTGTAGTACAACGTTGCAACAATGATAGAAAAATAAACAGTACCTTAGGTCAATGAAAATTGTCTTGTTTTTTTTTTTTGGTAGTTTTTTATTTTATAAAATTTTAATTTATTTATAGTATCTAGAAAAAAATTTGTACCTGAGATGCCGAATTGGAATTTATTAAACCCAAAAGCTATCTGTTATTACAGCATCTCGATTGGGAACCAAGTACTAATTAATTCATGGATAGATTTCTTTTGTTAAAAATGAATATCCATGTTCACAAACGAGAAAAAATATTGCTCCCTTGAAGGGCAAAGAATCTTTTACTTGTGTCAAGACCAATCAATTGGTACGAAATTGTCTGTGTATACAAAACTAATGGTCACTTCTTGTCATCTTTGACTGAATGTGTCTACCAAGTAATGGGATACGTACAAAATTTGTATTTTTACTTTTTGTTTTCTTCAAATAGTCACTTATGATCCATGATACTAAGGAATATATTATATTAATATGTCACCTAGAATGGATGAGGGTAAACAAGTTTGGATGAAAATTTCAAGAGAGGGATAAAAATACAATTGCCTAGACGGATTATTCTTTGGTAATTGTAATGCTAAAAATACTCATAATAGTTATCATGGAAGCCTTGTAGGAAGGTTAGGAATTATTCTCCGTTGGAGCTAATGAGCATGTTTCCTAGATACACTTCTAAACTACTCGATCATAGCATGGCATACTCAGAGTTTATTATGTATCTTTTAGTATTCAAACTGTTCAACTGTTTTACACAGGTAGAAACTTGTTCACTTTGCTTTTGACTAAAATACCCATGAAAGGAAAAAGAAAACAATACAAAGTATTAAAAGAGTACATGTTTTTAGTATTCCTTAAGAGAAAGGAACCACGACAGAGAAATTGAATCTGCATCGTTTAGAAACCTATACTTTTCATCTACTCTTCTACGGTGGTGAAAATTATCATTGGTCATGGTGACCAAATTAATATTGAATCCTATAAGAACTCTTTTGTTCAATTTGTATACCTATAAAAATGATTGCATTCTTACTTGTGAATAAGTACTGATCAGCATTGCTATAGAAGTAATTTACAAATGACGAAAATTGGAATCATTCATTCTGAAAAATTCAAAGTCTTAATTTTAATTATATTTAATAAATTTTTCTTTCGTTTTTTTGTTCACTTTCGCTCTCTTGTACGAGTTGCTGCTCTGTGCTCTTATTAGCCAATACCTATATTTTTCTTTTACCAACCACGCACTACTACTCAACACGATGAGCAGTAACAGCCTGACAAGAATCGCCATTGTCAGCGAAGACAAATGTAGACCAAAGGTATGTTTTTAATAAGAAATGAGGGAAATCTCAAAAGCTTTTGTCTTTGACTTTGATTCACGTTCGTTTGTTGCCTCAAACCAAAAGCCTTACAAATTGTAGCCTGAATACATTTTGACGCTTTGGAATCAAGAATTGAATTGCTTGTTCCATCTTATATTGAATTCATTTTCGCAAAACAAGCCTTCCCTGCATCTTTAATGAAATAGAGGCTTGAGGCTAAATTGTCTTCGAAGTTTATAATCAAGGGGAAAAAAGACAAATTTGCCTCTTTATTGCACCCTCATCTTTTTGCTTTTGGAAAGAATCCTACTAACTCTGTTGTTTGTTAGAAATGTCGTCAAGAGTGCCGTAGATCTTGCCCTGTAGTGCGTACCGGAAAACTGTGTATTGAAGTGGCACCCAACAGCCGTATCGCCTTTATTAGTGAGACTTTATGTATCGGTTGTGGTATTTGCGTCAAGAAATGTCCATTTGGCGCTATTAACATCATTAACTTGCCTACCAACTTGGAACAAGAAGTCACTCATCGTTATGCCGCAAACACTTTCAAACTCCATCGTTTACCTACTCCTCGACCCGGTCAAGTTTTGGGTTTGGTTGGTACTAATGGTATCGGTAAATCTACCGCTTTGAAGGTTATGTCTGGTAAGCTTAAACCCAACTTGGGCAGATACGACAATCCCCCTGATTGGGCTGAAATTGTCAAATACTTCCGTGGTAGTGAACTCCAAAACTTTTTTACCAAAGTTATTGAAGACAACATTAAGGCTTTGATTAAACCTCAATATGTTGACCACATTCCTCGTGCTATCAAGGCTGGCGATAAACGGGTCGGTGCACTTCTGAAAGCCCGTGCAACCAATGGCAACTATGAAGAAGTTATTGAGCACATGGATTTGAAGCATCTTGCAGATCGTGAAGTCCAATTTCTTTCTGGTGGTGAGCTTCAGCGTTTTGCTATTGCTGCAGTAGCCACTCAAAATGCGGACGTATACATGTTTGACGAACCCTCGTCTTATTTGGATATCAAACAGCGTCTTAAGGCTGGTCATGTCATCCGCAGTTTATTGGGCACTACTAACTATGTTATTGTTGTTGAACACGATTTATCCATTTTGGACTACCTTTCTGATTTTGTTTGTGTACTCTACGGTGTTCCCTCCGTTTATGGTGTTGTTACCTTGCCTTATTCAGTTCGTGAAGGTATAAACATTTTCTTGGATGGCAATATTCCTACAGAAAATTTGCGTTTCCGTAACGAAGCTTTAAGTTTCCGCTTGGCTGATGCTTCTGATGAGGTTGTTGGTGAAAGAACTGCTGAGTACAACTATCCTGATCATGTAATTCAACAGGGTGATTTCAAACTTAACATTGGTGCTGGTGGCTTCTCCGATGCTGAAATCGTTGTCTTGCTTGGTGAAAACGGTACTGGTAAGACCACATTTATTAAATGGATGGCCAAGACTTCTGACCTTAAGGTCAGTATGAAGCCCCAAACTATTGCACCCAAATTCCAGGGTACAGTTCGACAATTATTCTTCAAGAAGATCCGTTCAGCTTTCTTGAGTGCCAAATTCCAAACTGAAGTCTGTAAGCCTATGAACATTGACAGCATTATCGATCAAGAAGTCCTTAATCTGTCTGGTGGTGAATTGCAACGTGTGGCTATCTGCTTGGCTTTGGGTATGCCTGCGGATGTATATTTGATTGACGAACCCTCTGCCTATTTGGATTCTGAACAACGTATCATTGCTTCTAAGGTTATCAAGAGATTCATTGTTAACTCCCGTAAGACTGCCTTCGTTGTCGAACACGACTTTATCATGGCTACTTACTTGGCTGATCGTGTTGTTCTTTTCGAAGGTGAACCTTCTAAGATTGCTCACTGCAACTCTCCTCAATCTCTTCTTACTGGTATGAACTCCTTCTTGAGGAACTTGGACGTTACCTTCCGTCGTGATCCTAACACTCTTCGTCCTCGTATCAATAAGCTTGAAAGTCAAATGGATAAGGAACAAAAGGCTGGTGGTAACTACTTCTTCCTGGAAAATTAATGGGTTTTTGGAAAAAATAGGGAAAGAGTAATTGTTAGTCGTTAAAGTTTTTTAAATAAAAGTGAAGTTTTGAATTGATTGATTTCATATAAGGTAACTTATTGAACAGTGACCTGTTATTTTGGGAATATCTTGATGGCTATTGTACATGTTTTCTCTGAACAGTTCCAGCTTTAAATTCTCTTCTAGCATAGGCATCCTAAAGATAATTTTGCAAATCCACAAATCATAGTTTCTACTTTCCATGGAGTATTCAATATCCTGTGACTATAGCATTTCATTTACAAATCGCAACTTTCAATAGTAGACTAGACATTGTAGATTGAGAAATGAATTTACTACTTACGTTTTGTTTTATTTCTTACAATCTCTTCTATGCTTGAAAAGCTTTACCATCACTAAACTGAGTAATTAAAGCAATATGATTTTTTGTTTATTCTACCATTTGAGAATAAGGAGACTTCGTAAGGATTCGTTATCGTGAGCTGAAAAGAATGTATACTCAGACAAGTTTGCCTTCACCCAAACACAGTCGCCATAATTCGTCCCGCTATCTGTAGCGATTCTTGCTTATAAGGGTCATTTTAAGGCGTATTGTTGTCCATTGGACCCAAATACAAAAATGAACTTGGATGAAGAGATTTGTCGGGTTTGTCGGTGTGAAGGAACCGAAGATTCACCATTATTTCATCCTTGGTATGTAAGGGAAAACCGTTCAAGAGCCTTTAGGCTAATACGGCTAGTAAATGCACAGGAAGTATTCGTTATGTTCATCAAGAATGGTATGTTTGGGAATTTAGATAGTGAGTGGATTCGAGTTAACACATGTCAATTATAGTCTGGTGGAATGGTTAGCTCACAGTAAAAAGAAACATTGCGAGCTTTGTAAATCCCAATTTAGATTTACCAAAAGTATGTATCTATAATTGGTAGAGAAAACCTCTGTACAAGTTACTAATGCGATCAGTTTACTCGGATACAATGCCCCAATCCATTCCCTTTTTTGTGCTTTGTAAGAAGGTTGTTGTGACTATGAAAAGGAAGTTGCTTTTTATTTCTAGGGTTTTATTGGCATTGTTTTGTTGGACCATTTTACTTCCTTTAATATTACAATATGTTTGGAGTTTAAATTTGAAGCTAGGAGATGCTTATACCTTTGCATCCGCAAGTGGCACTGCAATCCATGGTCAAAGAACTCCTGGTTACTTTGAATCCATTTCTTCGATTACATCTATACCTCGATTGAATATGTTAATTGCAAGTACAGCTCAGGGACAGGTTCTAACATTCGCTGTGACATTTGTCTTAATTACTGCGTTTCTTGTTCGTGAATGGGTTTTGCAGAATGCAGTTCATGTGGTTGATGAGCTTCAAGGACAACAGTTTAATAACCTTGATGAGAACAACCAAGCTGCTGCGCAAAACATGCGTGAAGTTCAAGAAGCTCGCCAAAGGCTTGCTGTTGTAATGGATCATTTGCGTGAGCGTCAACTTCAACGTAATGAAGAGCTACAACGCAATGGTAGAATTGAAGAACTTGATCGTGCTCGTCGTCGCTTTGCTTTGCTTGAAAATAATATTCGCGATGCTGCTAATTCCATGGTTAATGTTCCTGCTAGGAATACCGATGACGATCTAATGGATAACGATCAGTTTCCAAGAGTGAACCCGTTTGCACCTCAAAGGCCTCTTGATGGAATCGATAATATGGGCTATAATCGTATTCAGCCCATTCCCGGATCTGGCCCTCATTCTCACGCATCCTCTACAAATTTAAATGAGTCAGATAACATCAATAATCTAAATCAACCTGCTGCTGATTCCTCAACGAACTCCCCAACTTCTTCAGATTCTGAAAACGAAGATAACCATGCACCTGAATCTCCTGAGAGAGTCGGCGAAGCTCGAGAAGAACCACAAGTTATTGGCAATATCCGTGACATTGAAAATCGTGCTGTGAGGAATGCTGTTATGGAAGCACAAAATGAAGTTGTAGCAGATGAGGACGTTAATGCTGCTGCACGTGCTGCTCAAATTGCACATGCTGATGATGCCGATGACTTTGATGGGATATTTGAGTTCCTTGGTCTCCGCGGTCCAATTTTAGGATTTTTGCAAAATTGCTTTGTGATCGCTTTCGTTGTATCCATGTTTTTGACCGTTGTTGTTGGCGTGCCTTATGTGACTGGAAGAATTTTCGTGGAATGGACAATTTTCTTCGTTCAACGTCCTACAGTTGTTTTAGCGTTTTGCTGGGTTATATTACGGACGGTTTCGGATTGGACGCTTGGAGGCCTCTTTAACCTGTCAAAGTTGCTTTTCAAACTTCCCGGGGTATCTACGTTTGGAAATTCTGTTGGTGTATCAAGTTTATTCAGTATGTCTTACGATCAAGTATTCCAAATTTGCACAGCCTTCTTTCAAGATAAAGTCTACCCTTCTTTAAGTGATGGCAATGGTATTCTTGCACAGCGGATAAGTATGTTGCAAAACCAATTTATAGAAACATTTTCCTTATTCCCTGTCTTTCGTGTTTCTCATATGTTTGCCAAATTATTGAAGGACTTCGTTCAAAACTACTCTACACGACCTGTTGATCGCATCTTCACATTGATGGTCGGATACAGTTTGTTTTCTTCCCTTGGAATATCGTACTTGAACAGGAAACAATTTCTATTTAAGGATCCTCAAATTCGAAACGTCGAGCTTGCATTTCGCGAAGGTCTACGTCAATGCGGTTCTATAGTAAAATTTAGCATCATATTTTCTATCGAATTAGTTACTTTTCCTATATTTTGTGGTATTTTGTTAAATCTTTGCTTGATTGGAACCTTTCAAAACATGACTTTAGAAACTCTCTTTTATGTTATGTCGGACCATCCATTCCCTGGAACCTTCTTTGCATGGTTTATTGGTATAACCTTTATGTTTGAGTTCGCCGTGTTTATATCAATGATTCGAAAAATTGTTCGCCCTGGAGTTCTCTTCTTCTTGAGAGACCCCAATGATCCACAATTTCACCCAATTCGAGAAATATTGGAGAAACCCATGCTTCTTCAGTTAAAGAAAATTGGATTTAGTGCAATCCTTTACTTCAGTTTCATACTGGGATGTGTCGGTAGCGTTATCCACATTCTGAAGATGACGGGTATGGTGTTTCCGTTAAAATTTACAACCAAACCCGTTGTTTTTGAGGCACCCATTGATTTGTTGGCTTTACAGGTTTTAATACATGTCAGTATTAAGCTTTTCAAGCCAATGGACTTAACGCGTTTTCTTTGGCGCTCACTGATAAGTATTCTGTGTAGAGGTTTACGATTATCGTCCTATGTAATGGGTAAACGATACAGGGATGAAGAGGGATATTATCCCGGGAAGAAACTATCAATATTAGGAAGATTGTTCAGTAAACCACAGGTAGTTGATGGTGAGTCCGATTCTGATGATCAGAAGAGCAAAGAGAAGGATATGAAAGACCAATTAATATTTGATGGATGTTTTCTAAGATGCCCATCGAAAGATGTCGTTCCCGTTCGTCCAGGTGCTATGTTAATCCCTATAACGGAGGATGGTTATCAACTTCCTGAGAAAAAGGAAAAGGTTGAAGAAAGCTCAGAATATACGACTGCGTATGCACCACCATACTTTTATAAACGATTAATTGCTTTGCTTTTTTTCTGTTGGTTAGTATCAATTATAACGACTGTATCCTTGGTATTTTTCCCCTTATCGCTCGGACGTGTCTTATATAAGACAATTTTTCCCGCTGCTTTCGAACATGACTTGTATACATACATCATTGGTTTTTGCTCTCTGGTTTTCCCTATCTATTCAATCTATTTCCTTACTAGTCACACGGACAGTATTAAACGATTCAGTCAAAACGCGAGAATAGAAAACGTAAAGCGTGGTTTGATCAGCTATGTTAAATTGGGAACACTGTATTTTTTCGCTATTATCGTTCTTCCTATCTTGACTGGTGCAGTTTGGGAATTGTATGTCTTTATACCATTTAGATCGCTGTTTAATAAAGGCTCTTTAACTGTGGATGCATTGCAAAGCTGGATTATAGGATTATTCGTGGTTCGTATCCTGTATTGCATAGCATCCTCTAATGAAGACCGGGCTTTAACTAGAGCTCTAAGAGAAGTCCGACGTGATGTAAACGGTGGTCCCCATATTCATGAACTGATGACTGCGTACATATTACCCTTTACTGGTGGATTAATGTTGGCGGTTACTTTCCCAAGTTTGCTTACTTACTTGACGTATCCTTTCTTGTCTTCAGTCCTTCCTATGTTTTCGAAGACGGACTTTTATCGTATGATGCATCCAATGTTTTTAGGATTTGCTGTTTTAGCAGTAATCTGCCGCCGTTTGGCAGAACTGAGCAGTAAATGGTCCCAGGGCATCCGTGATGATCTTTATATGGTAGGATCAAGGCTGCATAATTATGATGAACATGATCCTTCGAGAGAAGTTGTTTCAGAGGAATGAAAAATCAATAAAAAAATAAAAAATGGACGATTTTTAGTTCTTTGCTCTCTAAAATTAAGAGAGTGGAGTAGAGAATAAGGAAACAAGGAATCAGATGTTTGAAAATGTACATTAATATTTAGTATTATGATAGCTCTATAAAAACTCCCTTTGATAATTTATAGAAAGTGTGATAATTTTTTTCCTTTGTATCTAGATTAATTTGATTTTTTTTTTTTCACTTTTCATATGTTGATAAATTGGATCTATCCCTCTGGAAACTGGGAAGTTTCGTACGGATGTATTTCTTCGATCCTTTGATTTATAGTTTAAACATTGTTATCACTTATTGCCTTTATTTTTTACACAAGAATGGATTGAAACATCCTCAAAGACAAATCCATTTCCTTGCTTATTTGTATATGGACGTTCGCTAAAATCTTATTTTCAAGTATTTACCTTTTGCAATATCCAAAAAAATTAATCATTAAACATATAAATAATTAGTATTTTAACGGTAAAACAGAAAGAAAGGCCCAAGAACGTCTTTTCGCTTCTTTTTAATCCCATGCGAGAAAAAGGTAACAAGATAAATGTGAATCAGAGTTGAGCAATTGAAGATAGAAAAGAAGCTCTTTAAGATCCAGTTTTAAGCCCTTTTATTGAGTCTTTCCTGCACTCACTTGCTTGCTTTTTTTTTTTTTTTTTTTTGAAAGTAACAGTAAACAAACAGGAAACGTAGCAAATATCGGTATACTTTTCACGAACCAATCGTAATATGATTCAAACCTCGATAACTCCTCGATTCTATAATTTTTTACAAAGACTGAAAACGCCTAGCTCTGAAGATATTTCCTCTTCTAATATATATATATATATATATATTGTTTTTCTCTATTGAGTTTTTCAAGATAAATGAACCTTTGTATACGTCTTATGAAGAAGGCTTGAACGTTAAACATTACCTGTGCCTAATTTTTGTTTCCACACCTAGCATTGTTAGACTTTCAGTTAACGTGCGAGTAATGACATTGACTATTAATGCCCTTTAACAAATTCAATATATTTTAGCGAAAGGAATAGATATTTAAAGAAGCAGTTTTCGTAGAAGATGCAAGGACCAGAAGGTACACAATTGTTTTCAGCGTTTCCACCACCGCCGCTGTATTATAAGCTTTTCACAAAGGAAAACCTAGAGCGGGTAAAACAAAGGTTCATAAGAAAAGATGGAAATGAAGCTGCTGAAGGTGAGGATGGAACATTAGAAGAAGACAAAAAACTGGCAGAGGTTTTTAAGGTGCCTGCTTGTCCTACTTCTGGGACTTATATGATGTTTGGAGATACTTGGAGGGTAAGTGTATTTGTTCCCTATTTGCTTGTGGACGATTTCTAATTGTGGATGGATTAGCTCGAAAATGTAATACCTTCTTTGCAAGACTTTGGAATCACTCAATTGTATAAAGGGTTACAAGACGAAGAAGATAAAATAGAAACAGTGGAATATGATCCGAAGAGTGGGATTGTCTATGGTTATGGACATGCCGGCCTTCATCAATTCGATGATGGTACCTCTCAATTCAAGGATGTCGATACAAGTCAGCCAAACGAAGGTGAAAATTCTTTAGAAGGACAGGAAATGAATGAGGATCAAGGAACTGTAATAAAAACTGCTGATGGTTCGGAACCTTCTGCTGTTGAAAATAAGGATGAGTCTATAACCAAATCTATACCAAGCGCCAGGTCTGACGGTAATAGCATAATTCCTCGAAGAGCCTACGAACTTCAGCTTTTATCAACTTCACTTATGCTTAATTTCTTAGAACTATTGGGAATAATGGGCAAAGCTCCAGAGCAATTCCCTCAAAAAGTTGAAAATATACGAGTTATCTTACTCAACATGCATCATCTGATCAATGAGTATCGACCTCATCAAGCACGAGAATCTTTGCTTATGCTGTTAGAAAAACAACTGGCACATGAAGATTCTCAAACGCGATCGTTGAAAGAACATAACGATCAAATTGAGCAGGCTTTAAGAAAGCTCCAATCGTTGGATCTTGATGAAGAACGAAAAAAAGAGTTTATTGAGTCTGTGGTATCTTCGACCTGTCATAACAATCATGATTCTACCAACAAAGATACCTATGGTGTAAACACTTCCACAGAAGCTGCTGAGGTAAACACTACAAAAAACGCAAAAATAGAAGCGTCTCTACGTGATTTAGAAAGCATTCTTGAGTCTTGAAATCTCAAATTTAAATTTACAGAAAGCCGCTTTCATTTGTGAGAACAGATTGCATTACTTTAGGCTTTTATATGTAAATTCAAATTAAATTATATTAAGATGTGAATTATAACTATGTAGTCAAAAAAAGGAGAGAAAAATTAGAGAATATCAAAAATTCACTTATACAGCAAGGTCAACCTTTTCTTCAGTTATCATATGCTTGAAAGGTTCGATGGCTGCAGCGACATGCTTATTAACAAAAGACTCAGTTTGTTCAGGAGCACGTCCAACAAACGTGGAAGCATCCAACAAAGAATCCAATTCATTATGAATAGGTGTAAAGTAAGCGGTATTCTTGATTCGTTCAATCAAGTCATTCTCACCACCTTCTTCCTTTACAACACGGCCTGCTTGATGAGATAAAACACGAATTTGTTCATGGCATTCATGACGGCTAGCGCCATGCTTTGTCATAGCCATAATGATATTCTCAGTAGCCATGAAGGGAAGCTCGGCTCTGACATGCTTTTCAATAACCTTGGGGTAAATAACCATACCGGAAATAACATTTAGAAGAATCTTCATTACACTGTCAGTAAACAAGAAAGCTTCAGGGATAAGCGAACGACGGTTGGAGCTATCATCCAAAGTACGCTCGAACCATTGAACAGAAAAAGTATTAAGAGCATTAGGAATCAAGTTCATAATGTAACGAGCCTGGGAGCAAATACGCTCACAACGCATAGGGTTTCTCTTGTAGGCCATGGCAGAGCTACCAATTTGACCAGCTTCGAAGGGCTCCTCGACTTCCTTCAAATTGGCGAGAAGACGAATGTCAGTAGCAATTTTATGAGCAGTAGTAGCAAAAGAAGCCAAAGGTTGAAGAACATCAATGTCGATCTTGCGATCATAAGTTTGACCAGTTACAGGATAAACGTTGTCAAAGCCACTGAGCTTAGCAACAAGATCATCGAGTTCTTCAACCTTGTCATGGTCACCGTCAAAAAGAGCCAAGAAAGAAGCCTGAGTACCAGTTGTACCTTTAACTCCTCGGAAGCCAATGTCGTTTCTTGCGCGAACGAAGTTGCGCAAATCCCACAATAACTCCTGAATCCAAAGAGTAGCACGCTTACCGACTGTTGTAAGTTGAGCAGGTTGGTAATGGGTAAAGCCAAGTGTAGGAATATCTCTATAGCGCATGCTCCATTGGCTTAAGCGGTGGATGACATTAACCAATTTGGGAATCAAAATGTCCATACCATCACGCAAGAAAATTAAATCGGCGTTGTCTGTAACAAAGCAACTCGTAGCACCCAAATGAATGATACCGGCTGCGGCTGGTGCAGCCAAACCATAAGTGTAAATGTGGGCCATAACATCGTGTCTTTGACGCTTTTCTTCTTGAGCTGCAGTTTCGAACTCTGGAGCTGTGATTTTAACATGATCCTTCAATTGTTGAATAGCTTCATCAGTTATTTGCGTCAAACCAAGTCGTTGCTCAGCCGTAGCAAGATTCAACCAAAGTTGTCTCCATGTATTGATACGCTTCTCCCGAGAAAACAAGTGAGACATCTCACGAGAAGCATATCTAGCAGTTAAAGGAGTTGTGTAAGTACTGTATCCCTCCATGGCTTTTCTTGAAAGGCTCCAAAAAGTTTAGTAATGGCTGAAGCGAGAGTGTGAAAAGCTGCCTTATAAGAGAATGAAAATTTTGTTAGTTTGCTGATTCTTTCATGATAACGATCGTTTTAAGTTTTTAACATAAACGTCTTACAGATTAAAAGAACTAAAAATTCTAGTAATAAAATAGCTACTTGATTTAGTCAAAAAACCGTATGCTGTAAACTATCATTTAAAGGTAGCTAGAACAAAATATTATAAAACTATGAAACCTTTTCCCTCTTATTTAAGGAATATACAGAATGCTTTTGCCAAAAGTTGGCCTAAGTGCTATCCGAGAATTTACCATCTATCATTCTGTAGACACAAACATCATAATGAGTGTGGTTCATAACTCATTCAATATTAAGACAGCATTATTTCATGCTCATCGACATAGCAGTAAGATGTACGGCCACATGGACGGTATAATGAGTAAGGAATTTTGTAACAACATGTCGATTCCTTAGGAAATCTTCTAACAATCAAGAAAAAGCAAAATAGCGATGTAGTCGCAAGTGGGAAAAATTTAAATTAAAGTCGTAGGAATAATAAATAGCATAGGAGATAAATCCATTATTTCAAATACAGAATAAGTGTTCATACCAAACAGCGGCAACCACGTCGTCATATCATAAAAAGAAAAGAACAAAAGACTGATCCATGAACATTGCGTTTCTAATTAAAACTTGTAGGACGAGGTAAAGGTGTTGGATAAGCCAGTTCTACAAGCATAAGGCGAATCCCCAAAAATTAAAGATCAAAATTAGATTTGATATTGCTATGCAATTGTACAGGCACTTCCGATTCGGTACCACCAGCTATTTTGAAGTTGTGTAAGCCAAATCAACACAAGAACCAGCCGATCGGTTGGATTGTCAACCTGAAGGATCCTTGTCTTCTCTAGCTCGGAAATAGGAAGGAGATTTGTAATTTTGTAAGAAAGATCGGAAATTGAGTTACGCGCTTCTGCTTTAATATCAATCAAGGGAACTACCCAATGAACATAGGTACGTCTCGCATTCATATAAAAATCATCGACCCTATTGACGAGCTCTTCATTGCTTAAATGCCCATACATCATTAAATACTCTGGTTCCGGAAATTGTAAAGGGGTAGCTCGGAGGGGTGTGTCAAAATGCTTCTCAATTTTCACTCTAGGAAATAATCCATCAGCTCGAAAATCGATAATACGGACAGAATACGAGCCTCGAGCCTCCACTAAGTTACGGCCGTCAATTAATGGTTCTACTTGCATAATCTCGAGAATTGTTCCATACTCTGAACAAAAGAGTCGCTGACCTCGAGCGTTCCTTAATTCACGATGCTCGTTGCGACCATCATTGTGAGGCCGCAACGGCATTGCCATACAAAAACGTTTTGATGATTCTAAACATTTCTTTATCATGATGTGATATCGAAGCTCAAAAATATGGAGAAATGTAGGCATACGTGGATATGCCACCATACATATGAATAAAGGAAGCCAGCTCTCTTGCTCCTTCTCCTCTTCCCAGCTCTTTTGCCGCTCCAACCAATGAACCGGGTAGTAGTCTTGAAGGAAGGCACTTATACAACGACTTTTCGCATGCTCCAAAACTACGGGAGAGGGAAGTAGCGATCGACAAGTAGGGCATTGGGGCGATTGAGTCAGTGCTTGCATGATACAAGGACCACAAAAAGTATGTCCACATGGTGTCACGACTGGATCGTACAGCATACCAAAACAAATCTGACACTCCAACTCTATTGACAAGGCCTCTTGTATGTTAAGTTTTGGATCAACTTTTCGAATATCTGGTAGACTTAGATCTGACCGATTCGTTGGAGAGTCTTGGATCGCTTCTTCTTTCATATTTACTCCAGACCATAGCGTTTTTGAGGAGGTATTCTTGGATGTATAAAACTCTACTACCTCTTTGCTATTTTCCGAGTATATTGAATCATTCAATGGCGATGTCTGCATCTGCTCAAGCTTCTCTTGAGTGGATTGAATCCAATCGATCACTTTGGCTAACGTGACATCTTTTGTCTCCGTCTCAACAGAATAATGAGGTCGTAGATGTTTATAGAGACATGTCTTTGAAGGTACAAGTGTAATATGATCGTTCGCACCACTATATGTATAGGAATCTCGAAAACAATCCCGACAAACTGTTCCTCCACAAGGAAGAGTAATAGGCCAATTCGGCAAGGAATTGCAACCTGGACAGTGAAAGTACAGAGAGATTTTATTTAATACTGCCTTGGAATCCTCTTTCCTCATTGCTTTTGTAGGTAATGATTGTAATTCACTGCCAATGTATTATAAATCCCAAAAAGTGCATTCGATCCATAGAGTGTACTAAATTGTCAATAAAGTTATATATTTCTAGTAAAATACAACTGTAAAAACAAAAAAATTCTATTTCCCAAATAGGCCAAGTTTCATGGAGTCACTAAAATCGTTGATGACATATATATCTATCACAAGAAGTGAATATTTTCATGATTGAAAGTAAGAGTCTTCAGCTCAACAGCTTTCAAATGATTTTCTTTTCTTTCTTTATAATAACTTAGTTTCAAAAAAAAAAAAGCGACATCGTACCCGCAAACCATTGTGCACATGCAGTAATCATAAGATGAGATTGAAACTACTATTGTATCTCGTGTCTCATGGAAATAACTCCTATACATGCATATACTCTTAATTGCTGTGTCATGATGCTTTCTATACCGTCAGCTTTATGTATAGATACATTTGGGTATAGTTACATTTCCAGCAATGAATTCCAAGTGAGCGCTATTATGTACATTCTGCAATTAGAAATTATATAATATTCATTAAAAATTAGAGAAAACTTAATAAGAATCATGAAGATTGGATCGAAAAAATAGCCAAATGAGTGAACAAGCATGCACTAAACATAAACATTATAACCAGTCAACTAAAAGTGTAAAAATTCATAACATAACATGTACAGGTTAAGAAATGTGATAAACTTTATTAGAAAATCACTCACCGAAGCTTTCAGATATCAGGGAGGAATACTCAACTTTGTAGATTTAGAGGAGATTGGAAAACAGATCCTGCCGTATATTTTTCCATGCACGTATATTTCTTTCCGCCCATTCAATATGACGATCCGCAATCTTGTTGCAAACCCTTGACATATCCTCTTGGTGAATGATTTTATAGCGCTCGTACTCTGATCCAACAGAAGTAGTTACGAAATCGAGACCTTTACTGGTAAGCTCTGCCATCTTCTCTAAATGATGGACACTTTCCAATGTCCTCCCCATGGAATTGTGGCGCTTCGTTTCCACATTATTGTCGGTTAGCCCATTAAAGGCATACCGAATCTGATCAAACACATCACGAACTGTACGAGGGAGTAAAGCTGAAGAGACAGAAGTTTCTAGCGAGGTTGCATCATCTTGTTGATGATGCGTGTTTGCTAACTCTCGTGCATATTCTTGGATGCGTTCGGAATCTACTTGCTCGTCAACTTCATGTTCGTTTTCTAACGTTTGAGCAAAGCTTCCGTTGTTTTCTGACAGTAATGGCTGATCTCGATTGTTTATGAAATCTTGTTGCTGTCCCGAACTATATGCTAAATGCGGGTCAGCATTCGAAGGTTCCAAGAAATCGCGAGTCTCAGCATCTAAAACTTCGCTATTTTCATGAATCGCTTGTTGTAACCGACTTGCTTGTTGTTCTCGTCGTTCTAATAGTTTAAGTAGTCCTTTTTTCCGTCGTAATAAATCATTCACGAGCACGTTCTGAATAAATTTCATTCGACGAAATATAATAATATGTCGCATACTCTTCGCGGATTTGGAAATCTCAGAAAGTGGTTCTATGACATCCACTACCATTCCGTGTATGAAATCAATTCCTGACAAGCAAGTATGATCATTGGCTTGTCCAACACTTTCCAAAACGGTCATTAGTCCACCAGATTCTGATAACGAAAGGGCATTAAAGGTCGCCCCTAGATTAGAATAGGCTAGAGACATTTGAGAAATTGAAAAAACACCGCGGTTGAACCGAGAAAGGTGCTCCTGAAGGTTTATGGAATACCGTTTCAAAGAGTCTTCGAGTAACAAATAGTTTTGACTTTCTTCGTCATAAAATTCTACAGGAAGAGATGTTTTAGAAGGTACTGGAAGCTTCAAATAGGCATCAACATTCTCATTTGAAGCTGGATTTTCTGGGTTCACTTTTAATAAATCCTTGGGAAGCAAGCTTATGGGAGCTGATTGCAACACATCATTCCACGACACACGTCGGCTCAAAAACTTGTAAAATATCTCTGATTTTCCAAGTTTTGGATGTACTGCAACTCTTCTTAAAAAGGATTGGAGCAATCGTTTTCGCTCTTCGAGTAAACGAATTGTCCGCTGAGATTTTGTAATATTAAACACATAATCCATTACTTTATGCTTGTCCGGCAAAACAGGAACTAGACATGTAGGATATAATCTTTCGAATTGCACCCGTAAAGAAGCAAATTCAGAGTATCGTCTCTGTACTTCAGAATTCTAGTTCGTTAGTCTAGTTTCTACTTTTCAGCCAGTACTCCATTCCTGTACGAAAAAAGAAGGAAAACTTACATTTACTTTAATATTGTAGACAACATGAGCCCCTCGTTCTGCTTTTACGGCGCCTGTTATGAAAATAGCATTGGGAAGATCATCCTCTTCAATTTTGAAATCTTTCAAGAACGAGATTTTCCTTTCCTTCTCTTCTAAACTCACGTTTAGATTCCAATCCCTATTTCCATCATTTTCTTTTTGATTCCTTTCTGTTGCAAATGCTAATTGCCCTTCTGGATGTTTATTAGATTCCGACAAACGACTTGGGCTTTGGTCCCCGAACGGATTGTTATCCTCGAAAAAATCCATTCGAATTAAGTTCTATGAAATAAACTCAATGAATTCAGAACTTTTAAGTGTTCTATAAAGGCAGTTTTTTTTTTTTGGTTATGGTAAGAGGTATATGTTTTACGACTTACGTTAAGAGTAACGCACTAAATTTCTAAAATAGAAAAAGTGTAAGGGGATCATGTACGAAATTTCACATAAATAAATAAATACTTTGTCTAACTTGAATGATTAAACAAAATCTAAAATGGCAATCAACTAATTGCGAGTTATGGCTAAGTATGACCAGCATATTTAGTGAAGCTCAATTTCTGATTAATCGAATTTTTCTTGATTGAACACTATGAATGGAATAAATATTTATTTTTATAGCTTGTATACTCAGGAAGAGGTATCTTGCCAATAAAGGACGCTGATCAGCGTAATATTAAAGCAAGTAATAATAGAGCGAATAGTTAGAGTTCATTTCATGTAATATTAAGTTGTGGTCAGATAGAATAAATTATAGCCATGAATATAAATAGCAGATTGTAGTAAAAAGTCAATTATCAAACGCTGTCATGAGATGCCGAAACAAACGGATCTTGAAAGAGAATATTACTTAAAGCTCAGCATTAAGGTCGTTTTTGACTGATGATGTTAGGTAATCTTCAAAGTTACTAATATTCATCTCCGGATGTTTTTCCAAAACTTCATGTACAAAAGCATCTGCCTTAAATCCACGATCTGGTGAGCCATAGATAGGAGCATCAGTCAATTTTGAGGTGACCGTGTCTAAAGAAAGCCCTAAATATTTTTCCAAATATGCTCCAATCTCAATGTTTTCTAAATTTCCTTTTATGTTATGAACAGCGTCTCCGCTTCCATAGACGTTCACGTCTACCGCTGTATGACCATGAGTGGTATAACCAATTTGCGCTTGTTCACTAATGATGAGACTCATACGATTGATCAATTCAAAAACATTCGATCTCGCAGTATAAAGGCTGTTCACCCACTTATGACTGGGTTTTTTTATTCCTAAAGCTGGGAAAACGGCACTTTCTATAAAAGAACGAAGTTCTGATTCTTCATGGGTCATGATAGATCTCGCAAGGTATTCAAAAGAATGGGTCGCCCGTGCAAGGACTTCTGGCCTCCACAGATACTCAGGATACTCCGGAGTAATTTGTCGACCAACGGTTAATCCACCTGTTTCGTGGTCAGAAGTAGATATCAAGACTCCACCAGTCTTTTCTATAAAATCAGAAGCCTTTTGAAAAGCGCTATTATACTCTAACACGTCGTGAACATGAGCAACAGGATCATTGTTGTGAGAAGCCATGTCGATACGACTTCCTTCAATGAGCAAGAAAAAGCCTTTTCCAGTAGCTTTAGAAGATTCATAGAGAGTATCAAGAGCTGATTCAACCATTTCGGTAAGAGACGGTTGGCTCTTGGGATCCCTGTCGACATTGTAGTCCATGTGATGGTCTGCAAATAATCCTAACAAAGGGAGTTGATGTTTTTCTGAATCATCAAAATCAGTACGGTTCAAAAGTATGTTAAATTCTTGATTGTCTTTCGCATACTCCAAAAGGTCCAAGTCATCCGAACGACAGGATTGATAGCTTGAATTGGGAAGGAAAGAGCATAAGCCTCCTCCAAACATCAAATCCGTGCTGCGTCCCAATGGACCCATACCTACCTGATACTCGGCAATTAAGCTTTGCATAAAGCGATTCGCAGCGTGAGCAGAGAATGAAGCTGGTGTTGCGTCCGTAATTCTACTGGTAACAACCATACCAGTTAAATAGCCAGCTTCTTTTGCTGCCTCTAATATAGTTCCACACGCTCTGCCACCATCTAAAACTCCGACTGCTCCGTTATAGCTTTTGGCAGCGCAAGAAAAGGCGGTAGCACCAGCAGCGCTGTCCGTAATGAGACTTGAACTAGACTTTGTTCTAGAACTTCCAATTAAATGCTTGTCAAGGGGAAGAATGTAATTCTTTTCACCAGAAATGTACTCAGCAAATGAACGACTCATGGATAAAGAAGCGGGTCCCATTCCTAACCATTCAAGTGTCAGAAGAGGTTTTAACTTCGCAAGCATAAAAAATTGAGCCTACTTTTTGTTTCTTTTCTATAAACTTACCATCAGAGACCATCATCACCGCATATTTTGGTTTGGGTCCTACTTTCTTTGTCAAAAACGGCATTAAGAAAAAAAAACCAAGAGCCATTAAAGCAACAGAAAGAAGAATATAATGCACCTTTTTCAGTTTCCATGAGACGCGATTCGGATGATCGCCTACATCTTGCTCGTGCACTGGCAGCAAATAATCGTGCTCGTTCGCCATTGAGAGAAAATGTATACAAAGCTTTCAAAGTAAGCAAAAGAAAGCAAAGTTTTTGTTAAGCTGCGTATGGTTTTTTTCCAAGTTCCTAAGGGAAGATATGTTAAGAAGGATTCTTTGTTTTCAACCGCGAGGTCACTTTGAACGTCATCTTATTATAAACTATGATAAAGGCATATAAAATATCAAGGAAGCTGAAACCTGAAACAAAACAGACTGTACAAGTTTCCCTTATTATTCATAAAACATTGAGAAATGAATTTATTAATTTGAGTCTTTATTTACTCGGCCAGCAAACGCATTTTGTTTACTTGGGTTACTTTGGAAAGTAAGAAGCAATAAACAAAAATGAAGCTAATCAGTATTGCAGAGTAAGCGAATAAAAAAAAAAGTATTCTATTTAACCCAAGGTTCAATTACAAAAGGATGATCTTTGTTTCATAGACAGAGTAGCAGAGTAGCAAATGCCGTCTATTCCACAATGAAACTGAATAGTCTATAACGTATTATTTCTATTAGAATACACAAGCCGTCCCATTAGAATAAATAATCCAGTCTTCTAAAACAACTATCCTCTATACTTTACAGGCTCCGTATAAAATGATAATGATACTTAAATATGTTACCAAAATTACCAAAATACAGGATAAGAAGAACCAACAACAGTTGAAAAGCAAGGATGATTAAGGGGTGCACGGTTCACATCCCACTTAGTAGTCCATTCGCATAGGCCATCGGGCGAATATTAGGATGAGGAACAGCTTGAAATTGATGGAAATCAAGTTCCATATCCTTTTTAACTTTAATGACAGCTCCCTTATTTCCGGTAGTATCACAATAGTTGGGAGCACTGAAAACTGTGATGCAGTAACCATCGTGTTCAATTTCGTAGCCTTGATCCCGAACTTCATGAGAACGGATAATAGCACGCAACCCATTCGCTTCACAAAACTTCTTGGAGACATCAGGACCAAATTGCAAGCCAACACCACGCTTAGAAATTCCACGGCCTAGTTCAGGCTGGGGATCAGTCCATAGCATTTCCATCATAAGTCCTGTTTGTCCTGGTTGCTTTGTGCTGAAGCGATCGATTTTACGAAGCTGATCCAAAGTAACATTATCATTAGAAAACAAACCGCCATGCAATACCAAATAAGTATTCTCAATTAAAGTACCTAGAGGTAGCGCGGTGAATGTTTCTGAGAAAATGTTGAAGGTTCTCTCATTATATTTAGCCTTGCATTCTCCTTCAAAACCGTAGACCTTGTTCATATCATCAGTTTCATGGTTTCCTCTGTTCATGAAAACGGAATCAGGATACAACAGTTTGAAAGCATACAAAGTAAATGCGACTTCAGTAGACCAGGAACCTCTATCTACGAAATCACCATTAAAAAGGTACTTATTGGTAGGACTGGGATAACCGTATAATTTGAAAATATTTAAAACATCAAAAAATTGACCATGCGTGTCACCACAGATGACCAAGGTTTCATCATCCTTCAATTGAACATCAACCACGGAAGGGACTTGTTTATAATGTTCCTCAATGTCCCTTAAGATGGTATAGGCATACTTGAGGGGCAGCTTTTTACCGTTTTGGAAACGGTCCAACATGTTCAAGACAAACTCTTCTGTCATTTGGTCATCGAGTTTGACGCCATCGTAGTCGAGAGGAACATCCATATCAGAGATATTTATATTTGCTAAAGCAGATGGGGGATCACTTACTTCAATGGCCTCTTGGAATCGGATTTTTTTCAATAACGTTTCACATTCCCGAAGTTTGGAGCGAGCAATAGCATCGTTCGGGGCATTACTAACGGCCTTTTTATAGTCCTTGACTGCTTCTTTAGGTTGGAAAAGGGCTATATGAGCAGCAGCTCTTCGATAATATGCTTTAGCAAAATTTGGATCAATCTCAATGGCTTTTGTAGCATCATTGATAGCAAGACCAAAATCCTCCAATTTTAAATTAGCTAACGAACGATTTGAATAAAGGATGGCATTTTGGGGATCAAGTTTCAGTGCCTCAGAATAGAGTTCTACAGCTTTAGCAATATGTCCTTCTTTAAGAGCGCTATTGGCTTCATTTTTCAATGATAATGCATCTTTAGTCATTTTTCTTTCTAAAAACGGAACTCTGTTATTATCGCTTTCACTGAAGTTGTTTAAATTGAGACTGATGGGAGGAGGCAGAAAATATATGCAGTAGTCAACTATGAGGAGGATGGATTCCATGAATGAACGCTAACTCAATTCAATCCCTTACTTCAGTTTTTTTATTCCTAATAGTTTTTATTTATTTTTATATAATGTTGCATGAAAGTTCATACTGCTGATAGCTTTCCATTTTATTACGACTTCTAGGAGTTCTTTTTCGAATATAAATACAGCAAAAATTATCGTACTACTACGCTGTAGCCATGATGGAAAAGAATGCAAGCTATCAACGTTCCTTTTTATGGTTCTATATATAACTAACCCGAATGTAGGGTGCATCATATGATTATTGAGAAATTCTACAAGCAATCGACAGACAACACAATGCAATGATTAAGAATCATATGCTTTTTATTATAGCAGCACACGGTGGCATGAAAAAACAGTCATGAGACGAGAAAGTTGCGTTGGCAAAGGTTGAAACCCTCGGTTTAGAATTGCAGAGAAGAAAAGTGTTTTACGACGGGAAAACGAACATGCAAAAGAGATATTAAAGATTTTTTTCAGAATCCATCCATTGAAGAGTGCGCTTGATTCCTTCCTCTAAATCGTAAATAGGGCGGTAGTTTAAAATTTGATGAGCTTTTGTAATATCAAAATAACGATTTGCGCAACTAAACTGAACACGAAAACGAGTGAATCCTGGCTCTTTTCTAAGAAAGTAGCAAATCCATTCAGCAGCGGTGGCCATGGCCATACCTAGAGTACGGGGGAACTTGATAATAAACGGAGGGACATGACCAGCATGTGCCCAGATAGCACGAGCGAAATCCCAAAAGTAGATAACTTGTCCATTGGTAATAAAGAACACTTGGCCGGCAGCGGTAGGATCGTTGGAAAGAAGATTATCCATAGCCAACAAGTGAGCATGAGCAGCGTTTTCAATGTAGGTAAAGTCAAAAAGATTCAAATTCTCACCAAGCTGAAACTTTGTTTGACCATTTCTCAAAACGGAGAGCATGCCAGGAACGACCTGACGGTCGCCAGGACCAAACAAACCGGCAACACGCAAAGCGCAGGTTCGGAGAGAGGACGAGTTATTCTCGAGAACAATCGTCTCAGCAAGTGCTTTTGATTCATTGTAACCGTCCATGTGCACTTTCGGATAAGGGCATTCTTCGTTGACATTGATCAAGTCAGCGCCATTGAAGACGACCCCCGCAGAACTAGTGTACACAAGAGCATCCACGCTATGTTTCTTGCAAGCACGAATAATGTTTTCTGTACCGCTTACGTTGATTTGGAAGTAAATATCACGTGCCAAGTTGTGCACCGGGGAAGCAGTATGGATGACAGTTTGGGGATGGAAAGCAGAAAAGACACGATCCAAATCTTCATTTTTCGTCAAGTCCCCTGTGTACATGGTGAACTGATGGTTCACTTCTTGAAGCAGCTTTTCATTTTCAAATAGATCAAACGCAGCAATCCGAGTTTGTTCACGCTTGCACAATTGCCGAATGATGTGGCTTCCAAGGAACCCGCTTCCAATGACTAAAACAGAATGCATAAACCTTTGGTCGAGATGAAAAAACAAAGGATAGAAAAACAAGCCAAATCCTGGTGTAGGAGAACGAGCACCCTACAACAGAACATAGCTGGTATACCTCACGCTGGTCCTCTTTCGAGTGTGTTATAGGTAGATAGAGAGTCGCACGGGAAGTCTAGTCGAGAATATTCCCTTGTTCAACGATCTTTTGTTTTTCGTTCAATCTCTTATATGTATTCTTTTATATCATACCATACGTTGTTTTCCAAGCCTATTCCAAGATTCTTTTTCTCGTAGCCATTCTTACTTCTATACGCTATCTTTCTTTTCTACGCTGGATCTCCTCCTTTTTTCCTAGATGAATATTAGGGAAGACGCAATTTCTGATAGCAAACTCGACTTTAAGCGCTGATATATGTTTTTTGCAAACACGAACGTAAACTGTTAAAAGATTTAAAAGTCTCATCGTTGTAATTCCGTATTCTATGAAATGAGCCAGAGTTCGAATCGCAACTATTACTTTTTTTTTGAAAGAAAAAGAATAGAAAAGTGTTGCTTTCAAACCACTCTTTCGTTTTCTTTTTTCTTTTGTTTTTTATATTCTTTTTCTATTTTTTGTTACATCAAATACATAAGCTTCCAATTTGTAATTTCATTTCTTCCTCTTTAGTCAACGTTGCTCTTGGACTCTTCTCTACATACTCCTTCCCATTTTTGTTTTTCTCAGCAGCTCTTCCTTTTTTTTTTCTTCGGTTTTTGTCTTCTTTTATTTTATTTCATTTTTCGCCTCTCTTTCTCTTTTGTATGGGCTCGTTTCGCATTCAACTCCCTTTGTCAGCAAACATTGTCTCGCCTAATACTGGACTTTATCGACGACTTCGTCTTGGTAAAACCTTTGGTGTCTCGAACCCTACGTCTTATTCATCAAGACTAAGCGTCCCTTATCTTGGCAACTTATATATTGCTGCCAAATTCTCACATATTTCATTAAATAAACAGAGACCATACTCAACAAAGAATACCCTTTTTGGTAGCAACTCATACTGTGGTGCTGCTTTCAATAACTCTTCAAAACTTTTCTCACCACCAACACTTACTCAACAACACACTCGGTTCATTTCTACTGATTTTCTAAACAACACAGAAAGTAAGTAATTCTTGATTGAGAAAGAAATAAAAAAAAAAGAAAATTTTATTCTTGTGGAGGCTTTTTAGACGAAGAAAAAGAGGGTTTTTCACCAGCTCAAGGAATGACTTTTCATTTTTATTAATATATGAATATCTTGCTGTTTCTTTACTTTGAACTTCCTTTCTTTTTTTTTCTTTTTCTTTTTGCACCCTGTGTGATGGCTAGTTACTAACCCAGTCCCCAGTGTCTCATTCCAAGGTTGTCATTATTGGATCTGGCCCTGCCGGTCATACCGCCGCCATTTACTTGTCCCGTGGTGAATTAAGCCCTGTCATGTACGAAGGTATGCTTGCCAACGGAATCGCCGCCGGTGGCCAACTGACCACCACTACCGATGTCGAAAACTTTCCCGGATTCCCCGAGGGTGTTAATGGTACTGAATTGACTGAAAAATTCCGTGCCCAATCCGAACGCTTCGGTACTACCATCATTAGTGAAACTATTTCCAAGTTGGATCTTTCTTCTCGCCCCTTCAAGTTCTGGTTAGAAGGTGCTGAAGATGGTGCTCCCAACACCGCCGACTGTGTCATTTTGGCTACTGGTGCCTCTGCCCGTCGCCTTCATATTTCCGGTGAAGACAAATACTGGCAAGCCGGTATCTCCGCTTGTGCTGTCTGTGATGGTGCCGTCCCCATCTTCCGCAACAAGCCTCTTGCAGTTGTCGGTGGTGGTGACTCTGCCGCTGAAGAAGCCCAATTCTTAACAAAGTACGGCAGTAAGGTCTACGTTTTGGTCCGCCGTGATAAGCTCCGTGCTTCTCCCATCATGGCCAAGCGTTTGCTCTCTAATCCCAAGGTTGAGGTTCTTTGGAACACTGTTGCCGAGGAAGCTCAAGGTGATGGCAAACTCTTGAATAACCTTCGTTTAAAGAACACCATTACCGGTGATACCTCTGACCTCAATGTCAGCGGTCTCTTCTATGCTATCGGTCATATTCCCGCTACCGATCTTGTTAAAGGCCAAGTCGAATTGGATGCTGAGGGTTATGTCCAAACTATTAACGGAACCCCTCGTACCTCTATTCCAGGTTTCTTTGCTGCTGGCGATGTTCAAGACAAGGTTTATCGCCAAGCTATAACTTCCGCTGGAAGTGGATGCCAAGCTGCCCTTCTTGCTATGAATTACGTTGAAGATTTGGAAGAAGAAAAATCCAACTAAATGCTAAGCTCATGATTTTTCTAATTGCAATTGTCTATCATTCAAAACCAATACCCAATACCTTTTTGACTTTTGTTTCTTTCATACAAACAGTTCTTTGATTTAGTCGATGTCTAATATATGAAGTAACGGGATTCATCTATATAGAACACAAAAGTTGCTCGTACGTTTGAAATGCTTTTTTTTTTTGTTTAATATTGGTTAGACTTAGTAGTAATCCTAGATACTCAATTCATTTACGTTACCAAGTATTTTAACCTTTCCATTGACCGTACTGAAAGAAAAATGTTTACACATATTATTAATATCTAATCCATAAGTTATGTTTAACACCCTATGTTAACCAAAATCCCAAAACTTTATCTATGAAATAGCGGCCTTCCAAAATTTGCCTTTTTCGATTTTTATACAGCTGGATCAAAGTGCTGCAAACGATTGTGAAGTTTGCCCATTTTCTCGTTGTATGTTTTGTCTTTCGAACGTTGTTCTTTTTGTCTTTCACGTGCAATATATCTCGCATCCTTGCGAAGTGTACGAATAGCACCTTTCTTAGCATCCCGGTGTTGAGCACGAAGCTTATTACGTTCTGCTCTTTCAGGGTCAATGTCATAAGAAGTTCTGTCGACAGAGTAACCTTCTTCAAACTTAGGTAATTGACTAGCAATACCCACCGGTCTGTGCGCTTGTGAAGTCAAAGGTTTACGCACCCTCTTGGCAGACTCAAGCAGCGTAGCCAATTTTTCTACACCCTGTGTTACCTTTTCTGATAAAGTTTTATGAAGTAATTGTTTCTTAGATTGGTAATGCTGGAGTAAAGCAAAGATCGGTTCAAATATTTCCAAAAATGCGCTTTCCTTAGCATATAAATTCTGTGCTAAGTTAACAATATTTAGCGTAATCATAATCATCGATGATTGAAGATTTGAAAGAGGAACGGATGCTAAATCGGTAAGACGCAACTTGTGAGGTTCGTCTAAAGATATATCTTGAACACCGAAGGCTTTACGCTTCTCGGGGAAGCTATCAGGAACAGTAAAAGTTCCAGGAATGTTTTTTATTTTATCAGGGCAAAGGAGATACAAAACTTGGCCAAGAACGACTATGACTTCGGGTATATAGCGATGACTAAGACGCTGATACTTCAATAGAATATTCGCCAAGTATAGTTTCCTACAAAGATCAGGAAGTGTACTCCAAGGCGATTGACTCAATGATTCACACATCGTAAGAATCATTGGACTCAATACAATATGTTTTCTATCGGACGTAGGGAAAACCGAACCAGCTAAATTAAAGAACACGAGATCCTGTGTATCAGGGAATTTGAGATCAGAATCTGTGAAGCTTCGAAGTAAACGATTACGCATTCCTTCCAAGACAGATATAAAAGAAACGCTAACTGTTTCAGGGAATTGACGTCCCAAGGACACCATATGGTCAGCCAATATCTCTAAAATCTCCATAGGTGCTTCGGACTGCTTTGATAAATAAAGAATATGTTGCAGAAGTACGACGCTAAAGTTTTCCAGACGAGCTTTGTTTTCGGGATGTAGCTTAACATGATAAAGCGTACGAATACGCGTAACAACGGTCACTTGATCCTCCATACTTAAGCCTTGTATCATACCCAGAAATTCTTTATGTGAAGTAGGACAAGGATAGGTATAAGCAAGTGATGCTCTCTTCGTAGGCTTACCATCTGAAATCTTTCTTTGGTAAGGTTCTTTGACCTTTTTCTCGTCGTTTTTTGCGTTATCGGCCTCTTTTGGGCCTTCCTCAATACCTGTCCATTCTTCTTCACTATCAGATGATTCCATTGATTCTTCTTCATCTTCATCTTCACCTTCCAACATTAGACCCTTACCAAAACCAAAAACATTATCAGTAGCCCTAGAGCTTGTTTCCACAGCTTCCGCTTCAGGATAATCAATCTCATCATCCTGCATGCGCGTAAGACGTTGGTCTTCAAGCTCACGTAGGCGGTCAGCTTCAATTTGAGCAAGTTCTTCCTCTGTCTTTGTTCTTTCTGAAGGGCGTGCTCGTCGGTCGAATACCATTTCTCGGACGAACTCATCATACCGAGAATCCGCATCTGAAGGCCGTAAAGCTTGATTTTTCGCAGCTTGTTTACGTTTTGCTTCTTTCCTAAAGTTCGAAAGCTCGCTTTGCAAATCTTCCATTTCTTCATCCAATCTCTCCCGTTCTCCTTCGTACTCATCTTTGTCGGCTTGACGTTCAGCTTTGTGCGTCTTAGACTTTGCAATAATCTCTGACATAACTTCTTGCTTGGACTTCTTTTGCTTCGGTTCGCCTTCATCCTCTTGAGGCTCATCTTCTCCAAAGCCGCCAAAGTGCATGCGACGAACAACTTCGTTGTTTAAGCCTTCATCATCCTCGTCTCCCAAAGCTAGATCGGGTTCATCAAAATCATCCAAATCCGAAATGGGCCTCTTTCCATGAGTCAAGACATCGTTTTCTGAGTCTAAATTGTAGATGTCTTTTTTGCTACGGCGTTGTTGTTCACGGCTAAAACGCTCTAACATTTTCTCTTCAAGGGACAAATGAGGATTATTTTCACCAAAACGGCGATCAATGACTCCACCCACATGATTCTTTTTCTTAAGTTTTTCACCTATCGTCTTTTTTCGAATTTCTTCACCGACACTGCGGCTAACACCAGGAATTCCTTCAGTGCCTTTTACGCGTCTACCGCCTACATCGAATTTGCTTCTGGTGAATTGGCGATCAAACAAATTAAACTGCACATATGTTAGTACACGAATTCATATTTAACTAGTTCTTCAAAAAAAACATACATCTGACTGGATTTTATCTACTTTTGTCTGTCGGTCTTCTCGAGAATCTACTCCTTTCTTTTTTCCCTTTTTACGACCAGGTTTCGAGCTAAACAAATCCGCCTGTCGGATAGACGTTTTTAAATTCTTTAATTGTGATCCATTTTTCCCCATTACCGCAAAAATTGATGAATATTAAATATTGGTGGAGGGATTGAAGTTTGCTTAGGTATTTCCATAACTACCCATGGTACTTACTTCAATGGGCTTGTAACAATTATTGGAAAAGTAAGCTAAAAACAAATGGAAATGATTTAAATCCTCTTGAAATAATTGAAAGAATTTGTTTTTGTACAGCCGTCTGCAATGTATCGACTTGCAACAATAAACATGGTTTTCTGGCACTCTTGGAGATTCGTGCTAAGCTTTTTATTTTTTCTTTTGCGCTAATAATGGCCAACTTTTTAAAGAAAAAACGAAATGGTCGCTAACTAGGACTTGAAATGCGTTATACTTATTCCTTCATTGTACCATTGCCAAAGCAACTTAGCTGTCTAAAGCAAGCTCCTTACAGTATTCTGAATTACTCGAATCTTTGCAAGAGTTTTCTCCTCGTGGTTCTCATAAAAGAATTCAAGGACTTATTTACGTGTTTCAGACCCGCCAAAATACGTTGATTTGGAACGATATTATAAAAATCATTCTACAGTCTTTTTCTCTACAGTTTGGACTGTTACTAAGAAGTCATTACCAGCTACTCCTGTGCTTTCTGCTGCTGTTTGGAATCGTAAATCCTTTACAGAGAATAGATACCATAAACAGCGATATTGAGTTCTCATAGGTAATTCCTTTTACTATTGATTAGGAATATAGAGAAAAGGCTCTCTCATGTGTTGACTTGTATGATGAACCACTGGTTTCAATAAAGTTACTAAAAGATGCCCAATTACAGAGGTACGAGCCTCTTGAATACTTCTTCTTTTTCTTTAGACAAACAAATAAACAAGATCGATTTTAAATACCCTTTGTTCTTATCCTCTGATACGACATTAAAATTATTTTTTAACCACTATATATAAACAGTTTGTTGTGACGATACTTGTAAATTGTAAAAGATTCTAAACTAGTATCTTTTAAAAGAAATCAAATAACTACTTTTGAAACATTTATGTTGATGGTGTTTATGGAGGTCGGTCAGTAGCTTTTGTGTACCCCTGAAACATCCTCGACTTTCAGCATCCTACGACTACGAACATCCTGCAAGAAGTATCGACGAGTATTGAACGTTGTTCAACATTGAAAAAGAACTTTTATTTATTGGGCAACTTCTTCTTTTTTTTAATTCTTGTTGAAAGCAAAAGACGTACTATTGTAGTGAGATATCGAAGAAGTTGTAAAAACGAAATCGTTCCTAAATCGATCGATAGTCCTAAAGAAGCTGTAATAAATTTGGCGGTTTATTAATTAGGGTAAAAGATTTTGTTTAGGAACGTGAAGGACACTATGTCCCAAAGGGATGCCGATAAATTTGAGATACTAATTTCCAAGAGTGGAACGGTATCAACAAAACCAAGAAGAGTTCCTACAAAACAAAGTCATGATCGTAGTGCGGTGTTTTCAAGAAGCTCTTCTAGAGTTCGAAATAGTATAATACCTGAGCAAAATCCATTTACTCCTGGTTTGTCTAGACGACACACCTCTGCCGAATCTCGAAAGCCGTTAGCGAAACCAGCAAGTTTACAGACAAAAATTCCATCAGGATCAAGTGAACAATTGAATCTTAAGCGTTCGGAAACGCTGAGTCCTCCGCGTTTCGCAAGGAAGCCTTCAGCAAGAACATGTGGAGCGTGCAACCAAACGATTGCTAGTCAGTATGTTCGCGCTCTTGGAAATGTCTATCATTTGGAGTGTTTTAAGTGTTATGACTGCGGTACTTTGGTTGCTAGTAAGTTTTTCCCAATCAATGCCCCAAGTCCTTCTGGTCAAGTCCCTTTGTGCGAAACGGATTACTTTCGCCGGTTAGACCTTTTATGTGCAAATTGTGACATGGCTCTTCGCGGTTATTATATTACAGCACTCAACAAAAAGTATCATATTGAACATTTCACTTGTACTTTGTGTAACACTATATTTGGACCTAATGACTCATACTATGAGCACGAAGGTGAAGTATACTGTCATTATCATTATTCTACTCTGTTTGCGGCACACTGTTATGGTTGCGATGGGCCTATTTTAAAACAGTTTGTTGAAATCTATAGAAATGGCGCTTTTCAAAATTGGCATGTTCCCTGCCACATGATTTATAAATTTTGGAACGTCAAACTTTCTCCAAAGTCCTATGAAACAAAAATTCCTGATATCCATTTATCTCATTCACAGCTACGGAAGCGTGAAAAGAATTTAGAACAAAAAATATTCCACATTTGGCATGCTCTCTCCTGCTTCGAAGAGTATACAGCTTCATGCATTAGTGACATGTTGCTTAATGTATCAAATGGAGCTTTCAAGCAAAGTGTTTTATGCGCTCAAAAATTCATTCGTTACATAGAAATCCTTTTCAAAGGGATTGATTCATTAGAAACTGCCCTTGCTAGTTTTCGTGCTAAAAGTATGCCCTATATTCGAGAAGCCAAGCTACTTTGTAAAAAATTAGTCTCTATATTCGCTCTATTAGCTAAATGTCATAATTCTGATATCCGGGATGTTTCCGTGGTGCAGGACTTCCTTTCTCTCTTTACTGGTCTTGCTCACTATTTGAAATTACTAATAAGGATATCTTTGACTGGTGGATTACGTCTAGAACAAGAACATTCTTGTAAGCATGCACTACCACAATTTTTGCTTATTATGGAAGAGTCAAAGTTCGTTGACCAAGGAAATTACGACGAATCCACCCTTGATATTTTTCTTCACCTTGCTCATGCGAATTCTGATCTTTGTTTCGTTTGTCATACTGCTCTTGAGGAAGATTGCATACTTGTTGGAGAGAAACATTACCATATCGGCTGTTTATCATGTGCAAAATGCGGATATACAAATCGTGAAAATTATGATTGGGCACGATGGAATTATGCATTAAATCAGATTGAATGCTATCTTTGCTATACCGACTCCAGCGCTCCAAATACTTCTGACAAGCAGCCTATATTTCAATATGTCAGTCGCCTGTCCCAGTATACTTACTTGCTTCAAATTGCTCTGATTCGCTTATACGCAATACTCAAAGTTCATGCTACTCAAGTAGCCAATACTCCTCCTATCATAAATGATAGACCACCGTCTTCATATCGTCTAGCCACCGAGAAAAAACTCACAAATACGGAAGCAGATAGTTTTAAAAAATATGCTAATACTTTAAATGATCTGCGTCGGCTTAAGTCTTCTCGTAGTCTGAAAGGCACATCTGAGGAATCTAAAGTCATATATAATCCAGATGAATCTGACTTTCAGGCTAGCAATGAAGATCCCCTTGTTTATCATAATCACATATCAAAGCCGGTTGATGAATCTGATAAAGCTACGAATGGAGGAGTTCGCGATGGAATTCACACTAATTTAGAGAGACGGATGGATGCGTTTGATGAGAATCGGGCATTCACTCTGGATGATATCCCTAAGGTCATTGCGGAGCAAAGAAATCGCGAGCATCGACCAAATGCGTTTAGGCATATGCCAAGTTACACTGATTCTTCCGTAAGAAAAGGCAATCGCTACAATACTGGTAGCAGTGGTCAGCAAACTATCAAAACGCCGTCTACAGAAACCGCCGCTCGGTATTTGTCGGAACTCAACAACCTGGAACAACTATTTGTTCGTCATGTTGCTGTATTGATTCTATATCCACTCGTCCGAGACTAGGAATTAATGGAAATGAGTGATTTACGAAAGGGCGGTTTTTGGGAAAAGTTTGGTAAAGCATTTAAAGGAAAAGATAATGATAAAAAGAGCATAAAAAAGAAAGGAACATTCGGTGTTCCGTTAGAAGTGTTGGTTGAAAGAAGGAATGCTTATTCTGGAGATCTTGTTAATAAACAAATTCCAACATTCATTGATAATACGATTGCGGCTATGAAGAAGAAAGATATGTCTGTTGTAGGTGTTTTTAGAAAGAATGGTAATATTCGGCGATTAAAAGAGCTTTCAGATTTGTTGGATACATCACCGGAAAGTATCAAGTACGAGGAGGAATCACCTATTCAACTTGCAGCATTATTAAAGAAATTTTTAAGAGAACTTCCTGATCCGTTGCTTACTTTCAAGTTATTTGGGTTATTCATCACGTCTTCGAAGCTGGAATCCGAAGAAGAGCGTCTCCGAGTTTTGCACCTGACGATATGTTTGTTACCAAAAAGTCATCGTGATACAATGGAAAATATCTTTGGATTCTTGTTTTGGGTCGCATCTTTTTCCCATATTGATGACGAAGTGGGAAGTAAGATGGACATACACAATCTTGCTACAGTCATTACTCCGAATATACTCTATTCCAAAAGCAATGATCCAGTGGATGAAAGTTTTCTTGCTATTGAAGCTGTTCATTCACTGATTGAGAATTTTGAAAAATTCTGTGAGGTTCCTACAGAGATTAGTATGTTGTTGGATGATCCAGCCCTATTCTATAACAATGCTGCATGGACTTCCAAAGAGTTAGCCAAACGCTGTGAAGATATACTTACACAAATGAGCGTGAGCGACCAAATATCTTCAAAGCAAGTCTCATCTACGAAGCGCAGGAAGCAACCTATACGTAAAGTTACTACTACTTTAACATCTGAGTTTCCTCCAGGATCTGAAGTAGCTGAATCGACTGCTTCGTCTTCTGCCACTGATAGGAATGATTTACTTGAGCGTAGTGTTGTTCAGAATCCAGGTTTGAAACCTCAGCAGGCCATAATTAAAGAAACCTGAATGTTTCCGGTTTCTCATGTAAATTTCATTCTCGTTCTTTTGTTATTTTATTATTTAAATTTCTTCGATCTGCATATATCAGCTTACAGTCATTATAATCAATCTGGTATTGATTAATGGTGTTGGCTGAAATATTATAATGGGATGACGGTATTTGGTTCTATAATCGTTCTTTTTCTAATGAAGGGAATCTTAGCTTAAATTATTGTTTAGGTTAAAAGTAACTTTCGTTTAGTGTTTTGCGTAATGAATGAACATTCTTTATTTTCAATTTAACTATGTAAATGTTAAACTAACGGTAGTCAAATAAGTGAATTGAAGGAGAGAAATCAAAAACTAAGCATGCTTTTTCGTTCGTAAATCTGTTGATAACCTGCTAGAAATGTAAAGTAACCTAGACAGTGTCCATAAATATATAACGAGAAATCCAGCAAAAGAGAGAGTAACGTTTAGAACTATCCATAGATCCGGATATCGAGAAGGAGGTGTTATAAACAGATCAAGAACGAAAATTATAATCATCGCGAGATAAAATGCCTGACCATGTTAGTATTAATGGGAAAATATATGTAAGGAGAGAAGTTTTTCATACCATTTGCAAATAACGGAAAAGAATGTTTTTGGAAAAGACGACCATTTTACCAATCCAGTTCCACATAAGTAAGACGGTAAAATACTGTAATCCGAGGTTGTCCTTTTTCAAAAGAGGCCATAAACTAAAAAACAATTAGTTAATTAATAAAATAAATAATAACTTTCTTCATACCTAAACATGCCAAGGTTATTCGCTAAAGCTATCCAAGACTTTGTAGTTGAATGTCCGTGACAAAGTATAACAGTAGTTAATAAAAGAGGAATTAGCACGGACTTCTCGTGAACTTGGAATGAAAACAAAAAGAATCCCCAGGCAGCATTCGCAAAGCCAAGGGCTAACAATCTTTTTCTCGGATACAAGAAAAGAACGCAGCAAGACGGAAGTATAGAGATCAGTGTAAACAATAAAGATAGACATTGTAAATGTTGAGTACTAAAATAATCTCTTACTTTAAAAACTGTATTGATAGCACACCAGAAATTTGCGACTTTGTCTTCAAATAACCCTCTAGCAAAAGGAAAGATACGGTGAATAACCTGTGGTAATTGAGTTTTATAGTCAATATAGATCCAAGGGAAAAACATTAAACCAAAAGTAAATATAACAGTGATTGCCAAGGCAAACAGTCTGGAAAACTGAAATTGGGGTTTGAAGCAACCACCAAGTAAATAAGCAAAGATGGAAGGTGCAAAGTATAAAGCCATCTGCTTAAAGGAAAGAGCTAAGCAGAACAGGAATGCTGCAGCAACATATTGATTTTTCAAAAGATTTGCGATAGAGTACATTACCAAGCCAAGCATAACACAGTTATATTGGAAATGACCATGGTCGACAAGTAGTAAAGCCGGTTGAAAAAGAACCATCACAAGCAATGCATTACGTTCGACGAAATCAGGAACACGTCTAGCCCACCACTTAGAGTAAAATATCAAAGGTGGTACTAAAATAAGAAGGTGAGAAAGAATAACTGTAGTTCTCATATACAGCTTCAAATCGAGATTCTCGAATCCTCGAGAAGAAAAATGAGCAAACCAGCTAGGATCAAAGAAATAGTGACCAATATATCCGAACAATAATGAAACATATGCCGTCAAAGGGGGATAATCCAATCCCCACCATTCCAGATCTTCAAAGTACCAATTTGAGATAGGAGAATGCAGAGTCAACTCCATCCAATGTCGTTGAGCTTCAAAATCCCCATACATAGGAGGAGAGTTTCGTCCAGAATAAGAACCGATGGAGATTAACCATTGCATGAAAATAATTGACATTAAAAGACAGGGGAAGAAGAGAAATTTTGAAGAGTACGCTCGAAAGCAAGAAACAAACTGCTGTACCGGGATTTCATTTTCAAATTCCGTAGTCATTTCTGCGCAGCTTATATGTCAAAAATTTACGAGTATTATCTCAATTCATGCAACAGTATAAAGATTTTACAACTCTAACAAATTATGGCTTACTTTGACTTTCAGTTGCTTTTCAAAAAGATGTGATTTTTCTATTTTTCAGAAATCTTAGGGTCGTTGTTGGTATTGGTTTACCTACGTATGCGAAAATCGTAAAAATTTAATGCATTAAATACGATTTGCAAATTTGTAGATGTTTAAGAGGAGAGGAATTAGTAAAGGAGATTGAATGTTGAAAATACCAGCTTTTGTTTATGAAAAAAACCAATGGATTTTTTCATTATTGGTAATCATCTAAGATGTCAAATTTTGATCGTTTTATTATTCTTCATTGAATTCTTTTTCCATTTTATGTTTACCAATCAATATTGCTTTTCATGAAATCGTCCTCTTGGGTGCCATTGCAAATAAAAGTAAAAGCTTGCTTTCAAACTGAAGTTTCCAAGTAAACAGTCCATTTAAACAATTCTTTCCGTAAGTTATGGATTCAATCTATTCTACTTATGTAGTGAAAGATCCATTTCTCATTAGACAGCTTCCAATCATTCTTCTGGCTCTAGGAATTTCAATACAGATGTAAATAAACAAATCGTCTTGTACTGTATGTGGGAGAAAATGCCTCATTTAAAGCAGTTATTCCATGAAAATATGAATATGAATTAAGAGAAACCTTTAAGCTTTTTACCATTTCATTTTGATCACACTAATATTTGCAAAATTTGACTCCCTAGCTAGCTTCCTACTTGAGTTTACAAAAGACTACTGAAAATATACAATCTTAATAAAGGCACTTATAAATTCTGACAATATATACAAACGATGCTTACTGCAAGGATCTAATATCATATTAGATTTCAGGTCATCAGTGAATCCCATGTTACAAATAAAATTACTCCATCAAAAAAATCAGCTTGTTATATTGATCATATATTCATCCGTGTTGTTGAGCGCTAGCTTCTTGTAACTGAAAAGGCAATAACAAAACAGAAAGGAACTTGGTTCTCTCTAGCAATTCGTTAGGAACTATATTCTCATATATAGTTCTTTTGGCGTTATTAAAATAAACGACGATTCATGTAGAGTACTTACGTATAGACGCAGCAAGTTTCCCTTTGGAGCTATATGTATTATGAAATCTGAAACCACATGCTGTAATCAAGAGTTTAATAGTATGTAGTAAGCCTATCCATATTCTTTGTTTTACTCAGCATCTATAATAACTTGCTTAACTCCTCACATAACAGTGCACACATTCATACATTAAAACATCCATGAACTTGTTTATTTGTAAACATTGTCTGTTTACATACTCAGACACTTTTGTCATTTCGTTAACTTTCGGTAAGCATAAAGGTTAGTAGCTATTGAGCTCCTGAAGGTACACAAAGCCAAGCGAGTTGTTTGCCCTTCGCCTCTAAGGAGAAATGTTGGGGCGTAGTAACGTAACAACTATCCCCAAATTCTTTAAAAGGTTATTTCAATAATTGCACTTCAAAATCGTGGGAATTAGTGGGGAAAACCTTAAAACAGAGTATAGTTCTGTTTTTAAAAAGATAAATAAATAAAAGTTCTCAGCTAATTGGCTTCTTTTTCCGTTACGAACTCATTCTCTAATAAAAATATCGCCTTTTTGGTAAACAAACAAACAAATATATTTAGTGAAAAGGTGGGGTAATCAAAACCTTCCTACATATTTATTGGTCTTTTTTTATTTGAGTTTCTGTTTATTCTCCCCTTAATTTAGAAACGTGGAGAAATGTTGGCTAGACGAGCCGAATGCGTTCGCTTACGTCGTATTTTTAGAAAAATACCGCATTATCCTCTAATAATGGAAACTTAATATCAAGTAAACAAACAAACAATGGAATGTTTTTATGTCGTTTTGGATTACAAGATATTGATTCAATCTCTGATTTGAAAAGCATAAATACCCCCCTTTCTCCATCCTTTTCCCCAATCTTCAAGCAATCGATCTGTTGTTTACCAAGCTTTCTTTATTTTGCTACTCAGTTTACTCTTCCTCTCCACTTTTGTCTGTTTACATTTTGACTCCTGTTATATACATATAACGCAAGAATAACAATTCTCTTTTCTGATCTCTTCATCAAGCTTTCTATCCTTATTATTTTTTTATTATCTTCTCAAGCGCTATTTTACCTGTTCTCTTCAACATGCAACAATCTTCTCAGCCCATTTCTGTTCCCGCTAACATTCGCATTAACCGTCCCACGGATGGCCCTATCTTCTCTCCCATGACTTATTGCAATTCTTACATGCCTCCTGTACCTACAAGCATTCCTATGGGAATTATGCAATCGCATATGAAACCAATGAATGTAAGTTTTGCACAAATGCCTTATCCCATACCTTTTAATGTGCTCTGCCAAAACGGTTCTTGTGAACAAGCTAGTACTCTAGCCAACTTTCGCATGGATATCACTCAACGACCTCCTCATCCTCAACCCGCTACTGAAAATGATCGAAATAATGGAAATGACTTTACCAACTTTCAAGTTCTTCCTTATGGTTACTGGGATTATCGTGCTGTCCTTATTCACAATATGCCATCTCTCTACAATGTTTCCGAATTTCTACATCTTGCACGCTTTGGAACCCTAGAACGTGTTGTCCCCATTCATGAAAGAAATCAACTCTTCCTAGCTTTTCTTTCCGCTGCTGATGCTCTTGACTTCTATAACACTGTCCGTTACACCGATTTTACTTTTAAGAAACAGCGACTCATTGTCTCAACCATCGATCCTATGCCTTTGGAACCATCCATTATTGAAGCCTGTCATCGAGGATTTGTTAGTAGAAATGTTCAAATTTCCGGGTCTCCTTTTGATTTTGACGAAGCAGCTTTGATTCAACTTTTATGTTCTCTCGGTAAAGCCGAGCTTATTTCAGTTTGCACGAAAACCGGCTCTATTTACATCCACTACTTAAGTATTGCAGATGCTCTTTATTGTATCGATTTTCTTGCTTCCCACCCTTATTATAAAAATTTGAATTGCTGTTGTTTTTATGAAAGATGTGATCGCTACTACGCCACTGATTTCCAAGTCGAGAAAACTGTTGCTGGTTCTAATTTCACGAAACCTAAAGTTGAATCCATTATTCATAACTCAAATGACTCTTCTACTGAAACGCATGCAAATACTTTCCCTAAAAAGTCCCCAGTCAAGAAGTCTATTACCAAACTTGAGCAAAAGGAAATTCCAGCTAACCCTCCTTGTTTGTCTGAAAACGGTGTCCTAGACAAAGTACCTGCTAACGAAATAATTTATAAGGGAAAAAACAGGAAGTTTGTCGATACTACGAAAGAAAAGTCTGTTCGTATATCTGAGCCTGAAGTAATTCCCTTAGAGGACCATACCAGTCCAAATAAAAAGAGCGAACAATCTTCTCTTATTTCTATAAATTCTTTCCAAAAGAACCCTAATACTTCCTGTACAAAAACAAATGTATCCAATTCCGTTCTTGAATGTCATTCCAATATTCCTGCCTTACAAAACGTCACCAATACCTCCTCCTCTGCTTGTCATCCCCCCAAACCAAGACTGACTGAATCTTCTAATGAATGCGCTAGTCCGACGATTTCTCCTAATTCTGATGTAGATGCATCTTCTTCCCTTCGCCTACCTTCAGGAAGTGAATATCCGGAGGACGATACAGCCATCATTTATCCTAGCTCAAATGATTTGAATGTTATAAATTCTACTATTCATGATCAAGCATATGACAGCTTATCCCCGAATTCAAAATTAGATGCCGTTATTGACCATGAGGCTAAAGACAAAGCTATAAGCGATAAAGACAAAGATCTACCGCAAGGATCTAATGTAACATCAAATTACTTCTCTTCTTCTAAAGAAACCTTTTTTAATGCGAATGACTATTCTGATAATGATTCTACCCCAGTTACAAAGAAAGCTTTACCCTCTGTTTCTTCTACCTCAATTGACACAGATACACAAACGAAGACATGTCCGAAAACGGAAGTTACCGAAAAAACCCCTAGTACATGTGAATCCTTCTCCAATACCAGTTCCATTGGTTCTCTCCCCCCACAGCATACCGATGAAAATCCTATAAACGATTTCATGAATCTCCCAAAGTTAACAACCGAGCTGTCTTCTTCGAGAAGCTCCTCCGCGCTCACTTCTCCTACGCTTGTTGGCTCGCCTCTAGAAATTTCAGCAAAAGCTTTTACTGACCTCTCTGAACTTATTGAGATGGATATTATTTCCAAACCTTCTAATGATATTTGTCTTGTCTCTGATCTTGACCCTTGCTCCAAAAATCGAACTCTTTTCTTGAGCAACATTCATAAGGCAACAAAGCAATTTGAAATCAGCAAGTTGTTTAAAGGATTTCCTTTAGAAGAAATTCACTATATTTCAAAGAAAAAAATTTGCTTTGTCACTTTTCTTGAGTCTTATGATGCAAAGATTTTCTTGCAAGCTCGTCAAAAACAACCGCCTTACTTACATGGTCGCCCAGTAAAACTAGAATGGGCTAAATCTAACAATCCTTATACTGACCAACTATTATATGCAATTGCTAATGGAGTATCTCGAAGCATTTCCTTCGAAATGATCCACCCCTCTATCACTCGAAGTGAGCTTGCCTCTGTATTTAAAATATTCGGTGCTGTAGAAAGCTTCCATTTCTCAAAACCAAAAAGTGCTGGATCTATTATCTATAACAGCATTTACGCTGCAATGAAGGCAATGGAATACTTTCAATCTCATCCAACCTTTAAAAAAGCTATCTTTAATTATTCTTATGATGATCGTTACGATCTGCAAAACGTTGCTGATGAAAACCAATTTTGCCTTAAAGGGAACAAAAGTATTTGTTTATTTAAAGAGGCTTCCTTTCAAGAGTCTCCGAAACTTCCGTCACGCTTTCACAACCATGATTCTTATTCTCCTTTTCGATCAAAAAGTACCAATCTTCGTCCACCAGAGTGTGCCATTATTTCTGCCAACGCATAATTTTCATATACTATTTTTGAAGTTCACTTTCGTTTTTGTTTATCCTTTTTTTATGTTAATAAGGTTAATGTTTGTTGTTTCTGTTTGTTTATGCTTCCAAATAAATCTTCTAAAAAAAAGTCAATAAAGTTTTCATTCATTATATTCAAATCCTATGTAAAGTAAAGTAGAAATTTCTTATATTTATAGGACATTATTATGATTGTTTCATACAATCTTCCCTGATATGTTCGCTATCAACTTTTATGTTCAAAAAGTGGAAACGAAGGAACGTGCTACTTCAACTTGTTAGCTAAGGGTTGTGTTCTGCTACTCCAAAACCGTTCGTTACCTTGAAGAAAAGTATCATTTTGTTTGTTTACGGTGGAAGATGGGAAAAAAATCATAAATTATGAAGAATACACTCGTTCTAGATTATCTACAGATAATTGAAAGGTAAAGGAGGTCAATTCTGAAAAATTAATTACAATATTCGTACGGTTACGTGGTAAATCCCCAGGAAAATCTTTCTACTTAGATACCTTGGTCGAATCATTGTATCAGCCAGAGGTGTGGAAGCACTGTATATTGCGAATCCAACATCAACTTATTAATAAATGTAAAACCTAGATTTCAATACCAAATCAAAACAACTATTCTGTCTGTGATATTTTGTGACGTTTACTTACAATATCAATCAGACAGATTTTACGAACACAAATCCAACCAAAGACAATGCTAAAATGAAACCATTAGAACAATAGTATGAAAAGGTTTTACAAGGAGTAGCCAGATTGCTAAAAAAGTTATTAATGACCTATTTCTACCCATATGTTTCAAAGCACTTTTCTTTACATCCTTTCTGCACTAAATTAGTAGTGTTTTCTCCTTTTTGTTTACAGTTTACAGCTCAGAGCCATCTTTGTCATACACAACATCAGTTAGTGTAATTGAAGCATTTTTAACCATATGTTTGTTAGGTAATCTTTTTAAAGATTACCTTTTTAAAGATTACCTAAAAATCTCTATTATCATAAAAAGATTAGAGGCTTTTTTCGGGCATTAAGATATTTAAGAAAGTACTTTTGGCTACCACTGGCTACAGCATCAAAATACATGGATGCCGGCTACTACTCAAGATGAGCCATTGGTAAAATATGCTTTATATAAATTTAAAAAAGTAAGGATAATTATAAAAAAACTTTCTTTTTTTTTCTAACTGAAAGACATATATTATTGTTGGAGAAAATGCTACAGCATCGTCGTTTCGAGTACTAAAGATTATTCCTTCGGAGAATGAAACCAATATCTTTATTGAAAACATAAATGGAACATTTGATAAAAATGGACTTTCAGAATTCTTTCGAATAGAAGAAGGCAATAGCTCAGAGGGGAAAATTACCTTCATCCTCAATGCTTATGCAATTCTAGGCTTCACTCGTTTTACGTCGAGCTATTATTTATATTTGTGTACAGCTAGGAGAACAGTTGCCGTAGTTGGAGGACACAGCATATATCACGTGGATAATACTCGATTTATCGAGCTATATCCAAATAGACGAAAACAAAGCTATGCAGAAAAAAAGTATGATGACATCAAGTGGCCCGACTATTTCTAACGAAAATTCTATAGGTGTCTCTCAAGTATTGAGAAAGTGGATCTTGCGAGGACGTTTTACTATAGCTACAGCTATGATCTTTCTCAAACAGTGCAGTATAGTTTTACTCACCCTATCCCAAAGCACCAAGTTCGGGACATGTTCGTGTGGAATTGGTCGATGCTTCAGCCTATTTTGGAAACTGTAGGTATTGACTCTCCGTGGTGCATTCCCCTGATTCACGGTTTCGTCGATCAAGCTAGTAAGTTTGAGGTTACGTTTTTTAGTCTAATCATTGTTAGAGCTCTCAGTTTACGGGAAACCAATAATCGTTACTTTAATAGCCCGTAGATCCCGTCATTATGCAGGTGCTCGTTTTTTAAGACGAGGGATAAGAGACGATGGTTACGTCGCAAATGAAGTTGAAACTGAACAGATAGTATTTGATGGATCAGTATCTTCCTTCCCAGTATCATCTAATGCTCCTGGTATACCTTGCTACACAAGCTATGTTCAGCATAGAGGTAGCATTCCGCTTCGATGGTCGCAAGAGTTCAGCAATATCACTCCCAAACCACCAATCGGTATTACCGTAAATGATCCTTTTTATTCAGCAGCTGCTCTTCACTTTGATCGTCTTTTTGGTCATTATGGGGCCCCTTGTATTGTTCTCAACCTTATAAAATCCAACGAAAAGGTGAGACGCGAATCTCTTTTACTTAATGAATTTGAGTTGGCTATTAATTATCTTAACCAATTTCTTGATCCTTCGAAGAAAATACAGTACATTGGTTGGGATATGTCTGCAGCTTCTAAAAAGTAAGTACAAGCGTTTTTAGTCAAATTTAATGCTAACCCTTTTAGAAAAACTCCGGTAACGAAAACTTTGGAAACTATGGCTTATGATATTATTAGAAAAACAGGATTATTCTGCACTTCTAGTAGATTTTTCCAAGGAACATTTCAACAAGGCATATTGAGAACTAATTGTGTAGACTGTTTGGATCGTACTAATGCAGCGCAGTTTGTTTTCGGAAAATGTGCATTAGCTTATCAGTTGCAATACCTTGGAGTTTTAGACTCCCCAGAACTTGTTTACGAATCTGATGCTGTGCGTTTACTTGCAGAAATGTACCATGGACATGGGGATACGATTGCATTACAATATGGAGGATCGTTATTAGTAAACACCTTAGACACCTACCGAAGAAGCAATCAGTGGTCTAGCACATCAAGAGATCTTATTGAAAGTGTCAAACGTTTTTATAGCAATTCTTTCGTGGATTTTCAGAGACAAGATGCCATTGATCTATTCCTGGGAAACTTTACCGTTATAGACAAAAGCGTTATTGTGGGGAGAACAAGGATAAGTAACTTTACTGAAAAGTTTAAAAATGGGTTACTGGTGAGACGGGATTATCGATTTTGGTGGACACCATTGTATCTGAATTCTTCGTTAAGACTTAAAAGTTTTTACAGTGACAACATCCAGCGCAAACGTCCAGAGTTACCTGAATATTATTTTGAAGAGCTGTATACCTGTAATCGATTTTCCTCCCTCTCTAGTGTGTTACTTCCGAATATGATTTCTACTTTGAATTTTGCCCCTTTAAGTTTATTACCATTATTAAGAAAATCTTTATTACCTGTTTCGTATACTGGTATTGGAATTGAAACACCGTCATTTAATCCTTTTATTCCACGGACAGATCAAAAACTAGATTTTAAATATGAAAAGCCGTCTTCTGATTCGAATGAGGATGACGATGGTGAAAAGTTTAAGAGAGTTTCTTTATATAAATGGCTGTTTAATAGTGAAGATAAAATACAGGAGCAGAAGCATAAGCAACAAGCAGAACTTCCTCCCGTCAACAAGGATTCTAAAGTCCTGAATAAGGATGTGAAGCAGTTGGATTTCAAAATACCTAGTGCTGACATGAATGCTTACAAGAAACATTTTCAATTCGGAAATATAGTAACACAGCCTTTTGAAAAATATCAGACTATGAACAGTCAAGATCGAACTGCTTATATGACTTATGCTAATGTTTCAGATAATGTTAGAGAAGTAAGGGAAAAAGACTTAACGATTTATCATGATTTCACTAATACGGCCTGTTTGGAAGATAATGAAAGCACGCTTTCAAAAGGCGATTACACAGAAAAGATCGCGCTTTATAGTGCTTGGATTGCTGACTATAAAACTGCTTAAATATGAATAGGATGCCTGGATATACTTTATTTATAATATAATTTACTTCCTAATAATTTTAATTAATTTTTATTTCTGTCCGAATGAATCCGTTTTATACTTCTCTGTTACGAACTTAATATAATCTTCTTTTTTTCTGTCAGGAAATTGCAACTTCCATTCTACGGACTCTTCCAACATTTGTTTTAAATGTGGTCCTGGCTTCGTATTTAAAAGCGAACTTAGCTCTTTCCCCTAAAAGATATGATAGTTAGTAACTCAGTATTTCACTTCATTAGTACGTACGTTTAGGACGGGCTGAATGCTGTAAGCTTCAGTCAAATCATGATCCTCTATATTTTTTATAAGAGAATCAAAGTAAGGGAGAACTTTGTTAACCGCTTCGTCTACTTCTTCAGTAAAAGAGCCTTTCGTGAGTAGATTCATAAAGAAAGCCCAGTTGATAACATCTTTCCAATATTGTCCAAGTTCGCGTACGAGTTTACCATACTCCAACCTTGATAACTCGACATGAGAGGATAAGGTACTAATTCTTTTCATAACAGCAGGGTAATGAGTATATAAGCTCTCTACTTGCAATATGATGGGTTTGCTATATTTAAGACTGTCGCGTACGAGAATAGGAGCCAGTGATCGTTCCTTGGATTTCTCGACATACGTCCAGTTATGCCAAGGGAGCACGGCTACGGCGACCCAGAAGACATATCGTACTGAGCATGACAGATTTTTAAAGGAAGGCGCTTCCTCTCGCAATTGATCAAACAGATCAATCGCTTTTGGTATAAGACTAAGGGAGTCCAAGTTTTTTGAAACGATGTTTTTATAGTGCCCAAGAAGAGGCCCAAAAATAGGAGCAAACAAACCGGAATCGTGAATGATACGGAATGCTCGACTAGTGTCACAATCTAAAAGAATATCGTCAGTAAAAGCGAACTTGGCCATAAAACTTACGGGATAGAATTTTATCGATTTCCACACCGATACGTTCACGACTAATATTTGAGCGAAGTCGCTCATGTAAGCTATGGTTTTTTAAAGCAAGGAAAGTATCTGGATGGATTTCAAAGTTAAATTTCGAGGCAAATCGGATACAACGAACGGCTCGTAAAGGATCGTCAGAAAATGTTTCATCTGCAGGTAGCGGTGTACGAATAATTTTGTTTTCCAAGTCCGACAAACCCTTTTCTGTAAAGTCTTCTACTTGTTTTGTACGTAAATTATAAAACAATGCATTCACCGTAGCGTCACGTCGTAAAGCATCCTCCAAGGGTGTTCCGAATATCGATGTATTCAAGTGCAGATGAGAATTCGAAAAAGTATGAGGTCGTAAGTTGACAAAGTCAATGTCCTTGCCAAGAATTTTGGCTGTAGCAGTCTCCAGGTGCTTGGATTTTTCAGGGTTAGCGTCAATTTTGACAATGCGAGTTCTGCATTCTGGATGTTTCTCCTGTAAATACGTTTGCAGGCGTTTAGCAAAATCATATCCTGGCATACAATCAACTGCTACATCAATGTCATGGCTTTCGATTCCAAAGAGTTTATCGCGTACCCACCCTCCTGCGAATCGAAGTTCTGGTTCTTGTTCGGTCTCTTGACCTATAAGTTTTGACACTTCTAAAAAGATATTTGTAAGCTGTTCTTCACTTTTATTCAGTGATAACGTATTCATCTTGGCAGCCATGCTGAATATTCTTCTGCTTCCCAAAAATTGTTTGGTAGAAAAAAGTTGGATTTGATTGAAAAAGCAATTTGTTGTTCGACGTGATCGCAATCTTAAGATCATTCACTACTCTACAACTGCTGCTTTTAGACAAGGAAATAAAGACTCATAGACTAAGGCAAAAAGACTAAGACGAATGAGTTCCTTTAAGACGATAAACAAGAAAAGAAGAATAAAAAATAAAAAAAAATTCAGATTTAGATATTTTCACTTTACAAATGAAGTAGAAAACCCATGTAGCAAGCGACAGAGAATTTGAATTTTAAGAGGAAAATGTTGGAAATCGTTAATACCTGGATGGTTTGTTTTGTAAACAATAAACAAGTGATGATTCATTTTGATGTTTCTTGGTTATAATCATATAACAATAAGAATAGATTTTACTAGAAAAGAAGAAATAAAATAAAACATAAGTTGTTTCTTTCGTTTCCTCGTTCTTCACTTTTCACAGATAACCAATATGCATTCTTCTTATAATTTGGAAATACGAGATTGAATACACGCAAGAACAGATACCTGTGGTGCATAATAAAGAACGAATTGAGAAGAAAAGCAACCTTCAATGTTCAACTTATTGTCTAATGGACAATTCTCTTCCATCAACTAAAAAAGGTAAAAACCCGAAATGTATAACTGCATTTTCAAAACAAGAGAGAAACCAATCAAAATTTCGCGTACGTTGTTTAATTCTTTTCATCCACATTTGTACCAAGTTTCCTTTCTTATACTGATTTGTTTAATTGTTTACGAGTTTATTTATTTACTTTTTGTAAAATCTTTGTAAGTCGCTCATGATTGCTTTTACCCCCACTGTAATCCTTCCATCCCTGTTTGTCCTAAATGACTGGACCCCACCTAAAACCCCACAAAATGTTCCTACATCAATCTCTCCCACATAGCATCGGTTCTACTGTACGTTACAAAACGTTAAGTGAGGGTTAACGAATACGCAAAGAGCTTTACAAACACCAGAAAAAAGTGTCCTTTTACCATCATCTTACTTTAAGGGATCAATGCCTAGAAATCATAGTGGAAGGAGTAGAGAGGCTCGTCAGTTAAAACGACAAAAAGAAGAACAGGAAATTCAAGAGCTGAATGCTCAAGTAAGTGACTTTTCCGGGGATGCCACGCATTTCTTTGATTTACCCATTACACAACCCACAAAAAGCGCTCTGAAAAATGCTCATTTTACTACTTTAACAGATATCCAACGACAGGCAATTCCTGAAGTCTTAAAAGGCCGAGATGTTTTAGGCGCAGCCAGGACTGGTAGTGGTAAAACGCTGGCGTTCATTGTTCCTTTAATTGAAAACCTGTACCGTCGTAAGTGGACCCAATTTGACGGCCTAGGTGCGTTAATTATCTCCCCTACGCGTGAGTTGGCCATTCAAACTTTTGAAACTTTGGTCAAAGTAGGCCGTCTTCATTCCTTCTCCGCTGGTTTAATTATTGGCGGTAATAATTATAAAGAAGAACAGGAGCGTCTTTCGCGTATGAATATCCTTGTTTGTACCCCAGGAAGGCTTCTCCAGCACATGGACCAAGCAATTAACTTCGATACCTCAAACTTGCAAATGCTCATCCTGGACGAGGCAGACAGAATTCTGGATATGGGATTTAAGTCCACTTTGGATGCCATCGTTGCCAGCTTACCCAAGGAGCGTCAAACGCTTTTGTTTTCAGCTACTCAGACAAAGTCAGTTCGTGATTTAGCTCGTTTGTCTTTGCAGAATCCTGAATATATTGCTGTCCACGAAAACGAGGGTTCTTGTACTCCTGAAAACTTAAATCAGTTTTACCTGATCTCTCCTTTGACTGAAAAGCTTGACATTTTATTTGGTTTCATTCGCACTCATTTAAAGAACAAATCTATCGTCTTTCTTTCATCTTGTAAGCAAGTACGGTTTGTTTTTGAAGCCTTCCGCCGTTTACGTCCTGGTATTTCTTTGATGCACTTGCATGGCAAACAGAAGCAAGCTTCTCGTATCGACGTTACTGCAAAGTTTACGTCGTCTCAAAATGCTGTCTTGTTTTGTACTGATATTGTCGCAAGAGGGCTTGATTTTCCAGCTGTAGATTGGGTCGTACAATTGGACGCCCCAGAAGATGTTGATACCTACATTCACCGAGTGGGTCGTACAGCCCGTTTTAATAGGGGAGGTAATGCTTTACTTCTATTACTCCCTTCCGAGGAGGTTTTCCTTAAACGTTTGGAGTCTAAAAAGATTCCGGTAGAACGTATCAACATCAAAGAAGGAAAAAAGACCAGCATCCGTAATCAACTTCAAAATCTGTGTTTCAAGGAAAATGATATTAAATACCTTGGACAAAAGAGTTTCATTTCTTATTTGCGTTCTGTATATTTGCAGAAGGACAAGGAAGTCTTTCAGTTTAATAAGCTTCCTTTTGAGGCTTACGCAGAATCTCTTGGTCTTCCCGGTACTCCCAAAATTAAATTTGGTGCTTCTCGGAAAGGTGCTGCTGAGCCTGCAGAAGATCAAAAAGCAAAATTGGGTCCTGGCTCTCCCTCTGAGTCTTCGTCGGAAAGTGAATCCGAAGACGCTAATCAGCTCAAGGATGTTCGGACTAAATATGATCGCGTGTTCGAAAGAAAAAATCAAGACGTATTGGCTCCTCATAGACAAAAGCTTGTTGAACGTGATGAAGGCGACGATGAGGATGAAGACTTTTTACAAGTGAAGCGGGCTAATCATGAATTACCCGAAGACCATGCTGAAGCCGAAGAAAATAAGTTGATTATAAACTCTAAACGTAAAGAAAAATTGGCTGCGTCTAAAAAGGCTATGCTTAAACATAAAAAGGGACCAGACAAAGTTTTCTTTGATGAGGAAGGAAATGCTGTACCTTTTTATGCTGTCAATACAGAAGAAACTTTCCGTAAATCTGGTGATCCTTCACTTTTGATTCAAGCACACTTAGCCGCTGAAAGAGATGCGCTAGAAAAGGCGGATGCACAGGACAAAGAGACTGTAAGAGAAAAACGCCGTGAAAAGAAAAGAAGACGTCAAGAACTTGAGCGTCGTGCTGAAGAAACTGACTTCTCTTCAGCTGACGAAAATGAGGCCGTGGTCGAAACTGCTGACGAAGATGCTAGTAGAGTCGATGAAGCCGTCAGTGAAAAGCGTCCAAAGAAATGGTTTGAAGACAGCGATCATGATGAAGAGCCAACTAATGTCATCGAGGTTGAACAACCTACTTCTCTCGAAGATCAAGAAGCCTTGGCTCTTCGACTTATGGGATCTGCTTAAACTAATTGGGCTAAAAAAGGACTCTTAAATTTTAAATATTCTGTAAATTATTTTTTGGTTATTCTAGGCGCCTAACTTTAAAAAAACAGTAATCATGAAAACGAATCATATTTTTCCTATGGTTTACTTTAATTTTTGGACATACCGGTTTAGAGGGGTTTTAGATAAATTCATTTTAATGCAATATTTTTATGTCTAAATTAAATTATAAATAACTTGGGAGATTAAGTTGGTTAAATTGTCCGTTTTATCATCATATATTTTCAAGCGATATTAATGTTAACAGGTTTTGATCTCTGTAAGTAAGTTTGATAAATCTTTCACAACCCCTTTGGGATTTATACTGTCGGTATTTGATTGCAACGTACTTTCCATGCCAAGCCATACCGAAGGAATATTGTCAGGTAAGCCTTTAGTGAAGTTTTCACAGCCGACAAGAGTATATGTCAGAGGTGGGTTCAGCCTTTGATTTGAAGCTAGAGAAAGATTCTGTAATTTACCTTCTCTTAATTGTTTAACAAAATATTGGAGCATACTGCTTAAGATAGATAGATCGTTCTGGCTTGACACTTTAGGAGCGTATGCGATATTAATTACAAGTTCCTGGAACATGTCCCAAGGGAAATTTGGGAGGTCTTCGCTAGTCCTTTGGCTAGATGATAGCTTAACACATGCCGAGAGTGCATTCATCGCCGTGAATAAATCAACGTCGTTTATGTCAGTACGACTTTGCTCATTGCTTTCAATAATACACAATTTCTCAAAGAGAATTGTATGGATCCAGGCTATAAGGAAAGATAGGATACCGTATTGTTGAGGTATGCCCAATTCAGTCGTAAAGACAAACTTCAAATTTCTCATCAATACTTCTTTGAAGCTAAGTTTTAAATCGAAATATAGGTACCGAAAATTAGATGATAACCACGTAGGAAATTTAAATGAGATATCTGAAGTGCATACCATTCTAAATTTAGGATGCAAGCCTGCTTTCAGCTTGGATGACAGACTTTCCAACCATCTCTGAGAAAGGTGAATGTTTTCTAAGAAAACCCAACAAGGCTCCTGTTCTGCTTTACTTAAAGTCACATCGGCAAGTTCTTCTGAGTCTAATGAGCCCATTGGTATTGTAATACAATTGACTTCTCTTTCAGCTAAACACTGTTCCATATATTGCTTTATATCTATTCCATTCAACGGAATAACGATCAACGGCATATCGTTACTTATGCCTTCGGATATGATGGTATCTAGCTTAGTTGGTATATTCAAAACATTAATGCCTAGTACAGTTTCTGAGAACCACTTTATAAAGGAATAATAATCCACTTCTGAAATGTCCGACTTCTCCAATTTTTTATAGAATTCTTGCACGTTTCTCGATACTTGTGGTTCGCAAACAATTGACTTTCTAAAGTTAAATCTACCCATGATAGAACTAAGGTCCACACCAATTGACTTCCAGAGTATTTCGGATTCCCTATAAAAAAGGCAAGCCGAAATCAAAACAGCAAACAATGATCTATCTTTTGGCAGAATTGATAAACAGCAATTTTCAACCATTATCTTCATGATAAATTTAAATAAATCTTCAGGTTTCGCTGCAGTCTCACTTAATGATTTAATCTTTAGGAGCAGCTGATTATATAATGAAGCGAAGAACTTCATTGATGTATCGTATCGAGAATTTCTTACACTCATCACTTTGAAAACAAGAATCAAAAAGGTAAACAATTCAATACTCCTGGTAAAATGACAACTCATCTCGGAAATTTTTCTTTCGAGCATAATCCATTCCAAATCCAGATTTTCCTTTTCATCAATCGAAGAACGTATAGTGTTTAAAATAATTAAAACATCATCATTTGCTAGGATGTCAATGTTAAGAGTCGAAAGAATAGTCAGAAGATTCTTTTGCAGAGTCAATAACTCTGACTTTATTTGTACTAGTCGTTCTCTAGTATAATGTTTGCTTTTTAGTAAATCACTGTTTTCCATATCAATCAGCGAGTTTAACAATTCTTTACTCAAACCAGATGACGATGGTGTAAAATTGACGATGGTAGTAAAACTGCTTATCTTATAAGTAATAAAAGAATCATTAAATGTGTTAGAGTAGATGATCACTTTAAGAGGCACAGATATTTCAAATACTTCCTTCGAAACTTTAATAGATACATTTCCAGATCCCGAGTAAAGTTCTGGAGTTATAAGTAAATCTAATAGAGGACACCAATACTCCACATCCTTGATTATTATTGGTTTCCTAAGTTTTAAGGCTGCTTTCAATTGACTCTTAAACGTTTTACTTGATAAGCTTAAGCAAATCACGGAATCTCCAAAACATGCTTTCAATGATTCGAAAGCATAAAAAGAGGGATCAATTACTAAAGCTGGTCTCACACATTCACTTATTATCGCCATATTCGTAATAAAGTGATCGTCTTTAAAAGAAAGTTTTGCCTCACCCAACACATTATAAAAAAGTTCCTGTAAGAAGTACATTATATTCTTTTTGGAGTCGATATAATTCTCTTGGATTAAAACTGAAGAAACATGCTCAATAACGGTTTCTCGTTCGATAGGATCCAATAAACCTGTATAATTTACCAAAAAGGCAACCAAAATACTATGGCCATTCAATTCGGATAATCTCTCCTCAAATGCGTTCACAAAATTCTCCCAGTAACTTTTTTCCGTAGACATGTCATTCATAATTTTTAGACTCCTTTTGACTTTATCTTGAATACTTGTAAGTTCAAGCTTCAACGCGTGGACTTCAGTAATCAAAGTAGCATAATCTTCTTGCATTCCAACTAGTTCTTTATCGAGCCCCTCTGAAACCGATTTAACGTTAAGGAGTTTGTGCTGCATTTCTTCACCTTTCGCTTTTAAGTGCGAGACATTGTCATTTAACGGACTTACTCTTTGCAGAACTTTAGAATAGTTACAGTGCGATCTAATCCAAAGAAACAAAGGTCCACAAGCTTTACTAGCCCTATTGACGACTTCATATTTGAGGGATGCGTTGCAAAAGTATTCGCTTTCAATACGCTTTCTGAGGGACGGACTTAGTTGCTTCTCTGTATCAAAATTCAAAACGTTAGTAATAAAATCCTCTCGTTTCAATAAGGACTGTACAGATTTCCAAGATGTCACTTTATGCCCCAGTAACTTGCATACTGCCTCCATTGTTAGTTTGACAACGGTAGGAGGATGAGAAAGACTCCTCAGCTCTGAGAGATGACTCTTCTTAATATTGCTGACAGAGGCCTTGGCTTCCACAATAGCAGGTTTTACCATTGAGAGTTCTTTCAAAACCAATGAAGTTTTAGACTCAATTTCTTCATTTTGACTTCTCAAATTGTGCTCCAAGTCTAACGCTTCCTTTTGTCTTACTTCGACTTCCTGTTTGGCCTTCATTAAGTTATGTAACCTAGTGTTTGCATGATCCGTTTTCGTATTAAGCGCAGTTTCTTGCTCGTATAAAACAGTCTTTAAAAGCTGAATATTATCGGAAGTTTCCTTGAGTTTTTTTAATCCACTATCAACGTGGTCCTTCTCATCAAATAGACGATCGCGCAGATTTTTAAAAAGTTTTACAAATAAGATGATGAAATCAGTTAAAACATTCGGACTTAAATTCAAGTTACTCTGTTTTTTCTCGAAGTAAGCTTTCATATACACATGTAATCCAGACATTAGGCTCACTAACTTTAGACGCTGTTCTTCCGCCAGGAATTTTTCATTTAACTCGTTGGATAGCTCTGAAAAACCTAGAAGCTTATTACTAAATACTTCTTGAATAGTCGATTTATCAGGAGGCTGAAAATAAATGGTGGTGCATCTGTTTATTAGGGCAGGAGATAACACATTCAGGCCTTTATAACTTGATGTGTAGAATATAAAAAACACATGAAGGTTTTCAGAAATTAAGTCCTGTATTTTTTTGATAACTTCACTTTCAATTTTACACAAATAGCGGAGCATTACACTCTTCCTGAGATTTTCCCATTCTTCATCTGTAAACAGACAGCTTATATCAGATCCTGTAAGCAAATTGTTCATAACCTCAAATACGTCCGAATTAACGCACTGAAAGTGATCAATTACAAAGCAAAGCTTAATATCATCAGCAACCACAAGTTTAACTATTGTCTTTAACTCGTCCATTAAGTCAAAAAACTGTGGCTGTAAGCAAGGATTAAAAAAGAATAATTTATAGCCAAGCTTCCAGCTTACGAATTCTAAAACACTTTTCTGGTTCGATCCATATTCACCATAAATGATAGCATGGCTACCATTATGTACAAAAACACGGTTAATCCGAATAGCATCCAGACAGTTTTTATCTGTAGGGACAAAGAGTGAATTTGGATATGCAATGCTGAAATCCTCAATATATTTTTGTAGATAAAACTTCACGGTATTCAGAGTAACTATACTGTAATTTTCACAAAATAAATCACATATATAATAATTTTTAAATTTCTTGAAGTCAAATCCTTCATATTGTGAATATAATGAGCTTTGTAATTTGGATTCACCGAGTTCAAAGTCCGTTTTATTTAGCCTATCCAGGAAAACTCGACACGCTTCATGATACCATAATTGAAGTAACTGCTCGAAAGTAACGCGGCTGAGTGATTCAACCAATTTTTGCAAACAATAAAACCATTTTGTTAATTCTCTTGGAGTATATGTATGGATAATATCGTCTTTTGAAGAAAACGAAAGTTTAATTTCTTCATAAACCTTGACACTACATTCAAGAACCCTCTCATTTAATGACCAGGAATGGTTATAATCCGCAAAGCTCAAAATTCTGTCACATATAGGCTTATAAATCCTAATGAGTGAATCGAAGCTAGGATATCCATATTGTATAATTATTGATTTTCTGAGAATACGTGATGACAAGGAAGACCTTCCATAATCCGTAGGAGGGTTACATGCACCAAAAATAACAATCCTTTTCAAATTTATCCATTTCTTCAACTTAGGATGCCAAAACCCTTTGTAATGCAGTACACATCTCAGAAAACATAAAGCGTCGTTTCCTCCATCTTGATTTGACTTTGGTAAATTGATTTCATCAAAGAATATAGCTAATAACTTTTTGTTTTTCGGAGCAATGTAGGATGAATTGGCACGTAAACTATACATGGTATTTCTTTCCAAGAAGCGAATTATAGCATAAGCGGAAGTAGATGCCGAGAAGTTCATTACAGCAACATCAGTTGCTTCATTATCGTTCAAAAAATGAAGCATTGTCATACTCTTTCCTGAGCCAGGAGGTCCACAAAAAACCAAAAAATTATCCATGAATAAAAGGTCGTTAATCAATTTACCATAGCGAATTACTTCAGGTGTTTTTACTATTTCGCTTAAATTTGATGAACCATCATTAAAGTCATTCTCGGAGCTTTCCTTGGCACATATCCACTTTTGGGTTTGAGCATCAACATCTAAATCCAAAATTAATTTGCTAGTATCTGGTATAGCGGTCCCTAAATCATAATTCTTTTTTATCCAGTCTGTAAATCTAAGCTGAGATTCTAAATCAGAATCACCAATGCTTGCCCAAGCGACTGAAAGTAAGAATTTCTTCCTCATATAAGCCGTCAAGCTTGCTTCATCGTAGGAGTAATTAACCTCAAGCAATCTATAAGCATTTATAATTTCCTTTCTAAAATATAACAAAAGCGTATCTTTATACCTTGACTTTTCAAATTCCATAATATGGGATAAATTACTGGCAAATTCATAGGATTCGACTATTGGTAGTTCGGAAAGAATGCTGATCACAGTTTCATACATTAGCGTACTTGTTTTTGAGTTTTCTTTTTTTAGGGGGAATCCCGTCAATAATGGCTGGATAAAAGTGTTATTTGCCATAGGCTGGTCATCAACGTATACAATACCACATCTACTGATAGTAGCCATTGTTGCAGACTGAATATTGTCAACTTCAAAAAGAATCCTAACATTATCAGAAAGAGGAATTCTTTCGCCATCAGGTAATGTCAAAAAGCGGTTATCGTCCAGTAAACTGTTCATAGCTTCAACCCAATCAGGCGTAATATCATCATCAAAAATAATCCAATATTGAGTTTCAGAACCTATAGCTGAACGTAGTATTTTGGTAAATATACCATCTGTCCATTCATGAGTTGTCAAGTCTAAAGTTCCGAAAAGGGAATCTTTATCAATAGATTTTGGAGAAATCACGTAGTGCTCATTTTTAATCTGAAGTTTACTGAAAGCATCTAAAAGAGTCTTCCAAGTATTTGTTTTACCTGAGCCAGTACAACCATAAATGATAATCCCACTGTAAACTTCGGAAAGCTGATGAAGTTGAAGTATTTTTTGAGTGAGATATGTAAAGTTATATATTGATTTATAATCCTTTAGCACGGCTTCAATTGAGCCTTTAATGGTCGTTAACTCACTGTTTGGTATACTGATAACTTCAAAATACTTTCTTCTCAGATCTTCAAATACCTTTGCGTCTTCAACATTCAGTCTGGGTAAAGTCACACTCTGAATTGCTTGATAAATTAATTCAAGATCATCAAATTCGGCACATTTAAGTAAATTATTGCGGCGAAATTTACAAGATATTTTAATGATGGCACGTATAGTTCGAAGTCCAAAATCATAATATGACACTTGGGAAAATTGTTTGGCACAATTTTCAAAGAAAGAAGTCAAAACATTTGCAAGGCAAGACGAATTCTGAAAGCCATTACTATAAAGAAGTACCTGACAAATTTGAAATGAATTAGGGGTTTCCATCCAAACAGTACGAAATAGACGCTTCAAATTGCAAGGTAACTCCGAACGGCCGTGATAGTTAGGATTTAAAGTTACGAAAATAGAAAAGCTTTGGTCAGTTTCAATCATTTTACCGTCAATTGGCACTAAATTTTTGGAACCTCTCTTACTTTTAGTCTGTATTAGTTGAATATCTTGAGACACTGAACTCAAAGTTCCGGGATTCAGTCGATTGAATTCATCAAAGCAAGCATATACACCTAGTTGGCATAGTCCAGTTAATATTCGGCGTATTACTTTATAATTGAAAGAATCGTCACAGTTAAATACGAAAACATATCGGCCAAGATAAGCACCGAGTGCTTTTACTGTTTCGGTTTTTCCTGTTCCTGCAGGCCCAGATGGAGCCCCTCCAAAGCCTAAATGGATAGCATGTATCAATGTTGAAAAAGACTCTCTGGTCAGTTCAGTATAAACGAAAGGATTCTCAATCTCCACATAATGAAACGCATAGGGAAAGGTAACCGTAAACATTTCAACATTTATAGAATGCTTACCAGATTCATCTATCCCATAAGAACACTTAATTTCGCGAGACCAATAATAGTCATTATAGTTGTGTTCAACAAGGGTTTTTAGCAAAGACCTATAATGCAGTTTTTCGTTGATGAATAATAAAACCTTCTTTCGTAAAATCACATTATCGTCATCAATTGCGTAGTTACTTAACCAGTCAATTCCGCCTTCTAACATACTATCAAAGCGGGTAAGTTCCTTCGCATTGATTCCTTGCTTTATGGATTGACTAGCAAAACAACGAAAACAAAGTAGCAATATTTGACTTGGGAATGACTTCAACCAGTCAGGAAACCAAACATTCAAACCATTGATACCATAGTTTTGATTTAAATTAGAATATGCCACAGAAAAACTTCCCAAAAGCACATTCCTGATATCTTTTTCAATAAAATTGACCCAATCAAAGCAGCCAGACTTTTGTTTGATTTTTACCGGCGATGAAAGTGCAAGGTTTAGTTGCTCATCTGTAACAACTTTCTCAATTGTACCCTCCTCTTGATTGAGAACAAGTCCTTTTATTCCAGGAAACAAAGTTCCGATATGCTTATCCAAAGCAGCATTACTGTCTATATGACAAACCAGCTCTAGTAAGTCCTCATCACCAAGGAAAAATAGACGAGGAAATTTCAATCGTTCACTTTCGAAGTAATCAACCAATGACTTCTTGATATCAAACAACGACTGAAGCAAAGTACCAGCGAAGTCTTTTGGTAATTGCAGCTTTTGAAATCCTACAATTCCTTTTGAAGAAAGAAGTAGGTTAATTCCTTGAGTATAAGACTTGGTCGAATGATAATAAGCAACAGTAGTTTGAGGTAATAAAGATTGAAACACTTCGTTTTTTGAAAAAACGCCATCTAAATACGTCCAATATTGCTGAACTTCAATCCATATATTAAGAAAATCAAGTAACTGACTTATTTTTTCAGTTAAATCATCAGTTAAGCTTTTAACCTGATTATAGCTTTCAGATATTTTTATAGCATTTAACTGATCAATCCATTCTTCGCAATCGGATACTAGTCTATCACAATCTTTTAATATGTAAGTTCTGTTATCGTAAAGAAGGAATTGAAATTCATACTCTGCACAGCTTCGGCATATTGATTGCAAAGATTCCCGAATGGACGCTTCTTCAGCAGCTTCCTGAACAACTTCCTTAATTAAAGCAATATGTGAAGACAACTTTAAGCCTAATACATAACCTAAGGTCCAATTCTCGTACGGATCATAATGCACTATTCCGATAGCTGACAATAACTTTTGCCAATGTTCTTTTTGGACATTATTACGTTTTAAATCACGTAGCAAAGGCATAATGTCTAAAAGATCGGTAATCTTTGCATTCAGTTTAACATAAGGTTCCAAAGATTTAATATTAGGTGGACAATTATTCAGTTCTTTAATGTGATCAGTTAATTCGTTCTCGAATGCTTGACAGTCAAAAAATAACCAAGGAGTTTTCTCGTAATTCTGTAAAACCTTTAAATTTTCTGACACAAAAGTTATCAAATCTTTATATGAAGAGACCTCGCTAGAACACCTAGAAGTGTCACTGAATTCGGACGGAGGAATTCCTAAGGATATTTCTAATCGAGATTGTTCACCTAACAACTCAATTAAACAATTTAGATTTTCTGAATATTTTTCGATTAGGGTCGAAAAATTCTCAAGACCAATATCATGAAAACGAAGTTTTTCCAGATCCCAATTTGAAAAGAACAAAGCTAACTTGATCCTTAAATCTCCGCTTGAATTATTTGCAAATTTAATCAACTTACTTCTATTTTCAACATAATAATCATTTATTTCATCCAAAGCAATAAAAAAAGGAGTTAGTTCACGTACCATCTGGTCATAAGATATCCAATCATTACGAAGGCGATAGTTTACGTTCTTAAAAACGTCTTCTGCCGACTTCAGTAGTTCTAGTAAGGCTGAACTTGTCTCCTTATAGTTCAAAGAATTCCGCAAGTTTAAGACAGACTCATTTGCTTCTTTAAGTGATTGCCAATCAAGTCTGATATTATTCAGCGCGCTCTGAAAATAGGAAAGACTCAGTTGAGAATTCCGAGCAGAATCGGTTAACTCTTGTGAGAATAGCTCAAAGTAAAAATCTATCCATTTTGAAAGATTGTAAGTTGCCCGGCTTCTAAATGGCACAAGATCCACCTTAAAAGATCCCATCCTAAATTCATCATCAATTTCGTTGACAGACTTCTTTGAGTATGCAAGATGTTGAACGAGATGAAATAAATCACTTGGCTGCAAAGATGTACTCGAAGCTTTATCTAGGAGTCGTGTATCAAAAACTTGATATCTTTTGAAAGTAGCAATGTAACATTTAACTTCAGCTAACGCATTTGAGCATATATTAAATACACGCACCACTTCAACATCCAAAGCTCCTAAAGCGCCTACAAAAGTAGAAGATTTTGATTCAAGCACCCCTCCACTTATCGGATAACTTCGTAAATAGATAGCAGGGAGATTTTCAACTGAAGAGAAAAGGTAATTTATTAAGCCAAAAACTGACGTTAATATAACCTGAAGTGAAGGTTCAAGCAGTATAGCACCGTTTTTTAGTGACATAGATATTGGCTGTAAAATAACGCTTTTATCTAACAATCTTTTAAGAAAAAGATTTGAAGAAAATAAATCGGTAATGTAGTTATCATCAGTCCTTTCTAATAGCAAGGAAAAATCATCAAGATTCTTTTTTAGTTTTTTTATTAGAATATTCTGAATTCGATCGTTGATAATAACCACCACTTTATGAAGGTTAGAATATCCATCAACGTATAGACGATCAACAATTATTTGAATTTCCTTTAATATTCCAAGGAAATTTTCATAAATATATTCATCGTTTTCGAGTCGCATCAAATTGCTATCTATTTCAGAGCAAGTACGAACAACTGATTCATATTTAGAGCAGTATATGTTGATTAGAGAATTCAATTGATAAATAAATAAGTACGGACTAGAGATATCATTACAATTGTTTCCTAAATCTCTTTCGCTTTTGCTAGTCTTATCATCGTTTAAAAAATCTTCCCACGTTAATAATAAATTTTCAGATATGTGACATTGGATTTTGTACTCCAATTCCATAAGTAGATACTTCTGAACTGGCGAAGTTTCAACAATCTTAAGTGATTGATTATATAGTTTGGCGGAGCTGGAAAGATTAGCGGCAACGGACTGTAATTTTTGTGAATTAGAAATTACTTTTGAAAACCGCTCTGGCACTTCATACCCCATAGACGAAAGAGTCCTAAACTCCTTTATTAACATCATTAACTGAGAGTCGAGAGTAACTGAAAGTTCCAAACAATTCAGTTCCTTAACGGGAACAATTTTGAAGATAGGAGTAGTAAAATCAAATACATCCAAAGACAAAGTATTTAACCAAGTCTTATAAATAGTAAGGGGATCTAGATTTTTCTGAAGTGACTGAGCGTCTGATTTCAGCTTCGATCCTTCATTATAGGTTGCCCAATCATTACCTAAAATCACGTCTAGCTGAGTGAAATACTTTTGTAATCGACGAGTTACTTGACTAGACCACATTATAGCACCGGAAACAGGAGGAATGTCGCGAAGCTGGTGCATAGCAAAAAGCTCTAAATCGGATGTAACATCGGTAAAACGAGACTTTAAGCTCATCACATCTTGGCTTACTCCGTTTATAAGCTGTACTTGGTATTCGCGAACAGCATTTCGAACTTTCGGACGCGAAAGCAAAGTGTTATAATTTAAAAAAATTGAGATCATCTGGGTAGTATTTTCGCAAAGCCGAAATTTTTCCTTTATAAAAGAAACAAATTCATTGTCGAATTGACAAAGTATATCACCAAATTTTGACTCATGCAAAATCCACTTCCTTCTACCATCTTCAGTACAATCCAAAACATCAACGTTTTGGAATAGATCGAGAGACGCAGAAAACTCAGAGCCGGAAACTGCTTCAAAAAGACCCTCGCCATCCTGATCAGAAGATGAAAGGGATGAAATTGTCACGGTTAAATTTTCGTGAGTCTCTCTTATTAATAGTATAGACTGTAGTCTTTTCGATAACAGTTTTGGTCTTTCATTTAAGCCGGCAACTTCGTAGACTTCTTTTCTTTTAGAGAGGGTATGCTTTACTAAAAGTAAGAATTCCTTGATACTTGAGTCCCAAGTCGTTAAGGTATTTAAAGCAATTGAGAAGTTATGCTGAAGGTCTGCAAAAGGCATTGCCATTATTTGTTTAGAGCTTAATATTTCTATAAGTTTCGATGCAAAATCATCCGCAAGACAGTTCAAGAAAGTGATAGTACGCGACAAAGGATAACACGAACTTTTCCATCTCTTCATGAAGTACACATGTATGGACACGATGGATTCATGTAAGGAATCCAGAGATGATGCACCGTGAATAGAAGGTAAAGGAATATCAATTAAAAACCCGGCAATTCTGTTCGCTGTATCCGATTGCGTGCGTAAGTTTGTGTTATTTAAAAAAGAAGCAGTTGTATGAAAACGCTTAGCAAAATTCAACACCTCCAAAGTGAACTTCACTGGTAAGCTTGTTAATTGTTTGTAAACTTCATTATACGATAGGCACAATGTATGCCAAAACCTAATTTCCTGTGAAGTTGACCCCTGTTTTTCAGTTTGAGAAGTTTCTACAAGCTGGTTTATGCTTTTCATCCAAGAATGAACAGTTATATTTAACGAATTTAGAAATTTCGGGTTTGAAAGGGTATTATGAGGAATGCATTGGACAGAGATCTCTGTATTTTCAATCTTTGACCAATGTATAGCATCCTTTATAACAGGATGTATGTATAGTGTCACATTAGGAACTGAACGATCAGATTGAAGATTGGCAAGGGATAGCTCAAGCTCAGAAAAAACCTTCTTTGTGTTACTTAGCTGTAAATTATAGTTTGGTAAAGTACCAGATGTCTTTTCGGGAGTCTCTTTGGCACAATTCAGGAAAAAGGGCTCTAAAGCATATTTCACGTAGCTATGCACAGTGTTAATAGAGGAATCGAAAGGATTGTCATTTTGGCAGGCAGACAAAGGCAGGTGAGCAAAAACCAATTGCTTTTGTAAATGAGCCGTCAGATCTACAAATTTTGTTTGTTTCAAAAACACGAGCACAAAATCACAATCTGATGTTACTGTATAATTGTACTCAATACGAAACATCCACTTGTCTAATATAAGGTCTTTTGGATCAGATTGTGAAGTCGGTGAACGAATAACGCCAAATAAGTATAGATATAGCTGGTCTGAATCTTGCAAAAAGCAAGCGAAAGCATCTGTAAACTCCTCACATTTCGAAATTTCAGCAAGCGTTAATTCCTGATCTAAAGAACATGAAATACTAATAACTTGTTTCAAATAATCCAGAATATTAAGAGCACCAGCCTTTGTAGTTGATATGTCTAAGTTTGAGCTGACTATAGACGTTCGCTCTAAGGGAACTGTCATGACAAAAATGAAAAATGAAAAACAAAAAAGAGAACAACGAAAAATGAATGTAAATATCGCAGAATAGAACGTGAAACTCTTATATGGAAAGCAATGGCCTACATCACCAGAAAGGAAGAACAAAGAAACTGGAGACAAAGAAAGCGAGAACCAATCGAGAAGAAGAAGCGATTCGATTCGAACACAAAATATGTTTCTTACTGAATCTTCATTTCTCAAATACGCATACATAATGGAAGAGAAATCAGGTTTCAAGAACTCGGTTTTATAAGCTCTTTAAAAGGAAAGTTTCAAATCCAATGGTGACATCTATTTAATTTAAATCCATGAATCAACAGGTTTTCTTTAACAAGTCGTGAATGAAGCCTTTTGTTTCATTAAAATAACAGTTAAAATCCCTCCGCGTTTCGTTTGGCGTATACCTTTCTCATTTCTTTAAAATAAAGATGAAAAGAGAAAAACATAACTTTCATATATCCAAGAATTGAAACGAACACCCTCGACAGTCCATATTATACAGGAAAGAACAACAAATCATCAAAGTTTGGAATTCATTAGGATATTCCCGTTCCTAGCAAAAAAATAATAAATTTCTTTTCATTTTTCAGAAAAATGGCGTGGTTTTAATAATACTTTTGTTCATTGGAAGAATGAGGTTAGGTATGGGTATAAATTTCAAAATCACTGTTGGAAGACACTTGTCTCTTTCCAACGCGACCTAAAAGAAGTGCTTGGTTGGAAAATTGCTTCCAAAAATTCAAAAAAAAAGATTAAATATAAATTTGATATAATAGATTTCTTAAAAGAAAAACTCTTTGTAATTTATTGAACAAAGAGAAGAAACTTGAAAAATTTTTGGAAGAAGCGCTTCTTCAATCTTATTTATTCAGGGTTTTAGGTTGGTTATAGACTAGAATTGTGTATATTACGGAGATTTTTTAATTTTAGGAGTGAATTTTTTATACCATGTCGTCCGAAACAGCAGATCAAAAAGTGATTGATGAACTTGAACGTGTTCTCGTCAACAAGGATGGGAAAAGCGATTTACCTTTCCGCTATCGTGCCTTGTTCAGTTTGAATGCTTTGGCTCAAAAAGGAGACAAGCGCGCTATTGATGCGGTTTATAACGCTTTTGGAGATGAGTCTGAATTATTGAAGCACGAGATGGCTTATGTTTTAGGACAATCCGGTCAAGAATATGCGATAGAACCCTTGACTAAAATTGTCGAAGATGCAAACCAGCAAGTCATGGTTCGTCACGAAGCTGCTGAAGCATTGGGTGCTCTTGGCTTTACCAAGAGTTTGCCTGTATTGGAAAAGTACTACAAAAATGATCCTTTAGCGCCTATTCGTGAAACTTGTGAATTGTCCATTGCCCGTATTCAGTGGAAGAATGGTCTCGACAAGAATAACGAGAAGATTACCCCAAGCATGTACGACAACATCGTCGATCCTGCTCCTCCTATGCCTGATTCTTCAAACGATATTAATAAAGAAATAGAACAACTGAAATCTGAACTAGTTGACCAAAATCTTTCTCTGTTTTACCGTTACCGTGCCATGTTTCGATTGCGCAATATTGGTAACAAGGAAGCTATTACTGCTTTAGTCGAAGGATTTAATGATCCTTCTGATTTGTTCCGTCATGAAATTGCTTTCGTCTTCGGTCAAATGGTTGATCCCTATTCTGTTCCTGCTCTCATCAAGGTGTTGGAAAACACTGAAGAAGTGGATATGGTTCGACACGAGGCTGCAGAGGCATTGGGTGGAATTGCTACTGATGAATGTCTTCCTGTTTTGGAAAAGTTTTCAAAGGATAATGTTCGTGTTGTTGCCGAATCTTGCGCTGTTGCTCTTGATATGGTGAAGTATGAAAAATCTGGTGAAATGGAATACGCTTATATTCCTAAAGTCTCTTCATAAGCTGTTATTGTTACCAAGTTACAAAGTATGTACTTGAAAAGGAAACCCCGGAAACGGGTAATGCGTTTTTTTATTTTTTTTTCATTTTACCAAAGTAGTCTTTTCGGTTATTTTTCAAATGACAATTGAGTTTTAATTTTTTTTCTTTAGCAATGAACAAGAGTCTTGTTTTTTATTGATAGTCTTCCCTATTGTGTAGTTAAATTATTGTAAATCTCAGTAGTTGATCTTAACATAAAGTAGGTTTCTCATACCGTCGGCATAAAAAGAATAGAAAAAATGCAACAAGCGAATGCTATCAAAAATTATTCTGGTTTTCAAAGCAGCATTACGAATATTGAAATAGCTCCTTCTTGATGCATTCAGCTTACGTGCTGAAACACTTGGAAATTTTCTTTTCGTCAAGGATTCATACAAATAGAAGCTAGACAAGCCATTTCTCTACTTTGTAAGTTGAAAAATTTTTCTAAGATTCAAATTGTTTCAAAAAAACAAGGTATAGGGTAATTATAGGGCAAAAACAATTTTTGAATGGCTGTTCACGCATAACGAGTGTCCTTCATTCTTTCTTTCATGTCGAAGCAAGTTTTCAATCGGGTATTCAAACCTTTGGTTGAATATGTGCCTTCAAATCTAAGAAGTAAAAATGTAAACCCTTTGCCTATAGGAAACTTGGCTAAACTAAAGATCAGTCCTGAAGAAATGCAAATAATTCGGTCGACACGAAAGCTAGCAAGATCAAATTATATGAATATGTATTGTATTCCAAGGATTTGGTTATTTCCCTTTATAGAAAGCCTAAACACAAAACCGTTTCGATACCCAACCTTGCATTACACTGGTAACCCTGTCCGTTTATCTATAAGAGCTGGGAAAAAAGGAGTCCATAAGAGCTCTGTTATTCGCTCTCATAGCTCGCGGCGAGTAAGACAAGCATTTATTGATGTTTTGGAAGCTTTACATCAAAGTGGACATCGTTGTCTTCCAGATGAACCTGTGGACGTGATTGTCGATACATACAATGGTGGTACCACAAATATCTCATATGAAACTCTTTTTTATGACATACAGCGCTCTTGGCTAACTTGTCTCCATACCTACCATCGACAGAAGCCTCCTAATATCCAAGCTCTCTATCATAATCATACGAATGTGGTTACATTCGGTTCCGACAATATAATACTCTATAGAAAATGATTATAAGTACAGTATATAAAAAAAGATTATGTACATAGCATGCGATTCCTTGAGACAATTCGACAGTAAATTAAAATCCGTTTCACGCAAATCCTAATATTAATTCAACCACTATACTTTTCTTTTTCGTAAAAACCTATTATACAATAAGAACTTTTTCTTATAATTAGGGGGAAGCATATCAATTCAGCGCATATACTTGTTACCGGATATGCAATGCTTCAGAAAGAGAAAGCGCAAAACAAAAATTTGAAAACTCAAAAGAAAACTTGTTAATATTTCTTAAGAATTCCGCTCATGAATTGCTTCAGATCATTTAACAGAACCTTCCTTAGGTTTAGACCTACTAGGATACAGTCTTTTCTTCACCACCAGCATCACTTTTCTAGCAAAATGTCATCAGAGCTGAAATTTGTTTCCAAGTATTTAAATGCTTCTGTACAAGAGAGTGAACAAGCTCCTGTAAATGCTTTATTTAAAGCTGCATCTGAGAAAAAGCCAGAGTTGTTAGGATCTAACGATTTTGAAAAAGCACAAGTCTTCGAATGGACAACCAAGGCTTTTTCATCTGCAAACTCTCAAGAAATTTTGGAGTCACTCAATGAATCCTTAATGAATACCACTTTTATCGCTCAAGATGCTGGTATTACGCTCGCTGACCTTGCCATGTATGTTCATCTTCATCCTGTCGTTTCTGAACTATCCGCCAAAGAGGGCTACAAATTGAATAATGTTGCTCGTTGGTTTGATTTTATCCAACATCAGGAGGCTGTTATGGAAACTGCCAAAGGTCTCGGTTTGGAGTTGGTTGCTTTGGATTTGAACGCTCCTAAGATTCAACGCCCTACTATCGCTAAGAAGGACAAGAAGGAGAAGAAAGAGAGCAAGGGTGAAGAAAAGCAAAATGGAAAGGGAGAGAAGGCTACTCAGAAGCCTTCTACTGCCGAGATCGAGGCTGCTAAAAAGGAAAAGCAAAAGAAAAAAGAAAAGAGCGATAAAAAGGAAAAGAAAGATAAGCCTCCTAAAGAAGCTCCTAAGGTTGAGTTTCCTACTCCTTCTATGATTGATCTTCGTGTTGGTTTCATCGAAAAAGCCGTCAAGCACCCTAATGCTGATAGCTTGTATGTTTCTACTATTCACTGTGGTGATGCCGAAGGTCCTCGTACTGTTTGCAGTGGTTTGGTCAAGTATATTCCTTTGGAACAAATGCAACAGCGTAAGGTTGTTGTAGTTGCCAATTTAAAGCCTGCCAATATGCGTAGTGTCAAGTCTCAAGCCATGGTTCTTTGTGCTTCTTCTCCTGACAAATCTGTTGTTGAGTTTGTGCTTCCACCTGAAGGGGCTGAGGCCGGTGATCGTCTTGCCTTTGAGGGCTTTGACAATACTGAACCTGAATCCCAATTGAATCCCAAGCGTAAAATCTGGGAAACTATTCAACCTGGCTTCTCTAGTGGTGAAGATTTACTTTGCGGTTTCAAGGATGACCAAGGACTTCACAAGTTATTTGTCAAAGGTAAGAAGGAGCTTGGTTTCTGCAAGGCTCAAACAGTGGTCAATGGTAGTCTGAGTTAAAGAAACTATTTTTCTTTTAGATTATATTGAAAGGAACTAGATTATTTGGTTATAAATTTTGGCTTTCACCTTCTTGTTTATAATAAAAGAAAATATAGTCGCTGCAACGAACTGTAGCGTTTGCATAAGGTCTTTTCATTGTAAGCTATTTCATAGTCAATCGACTTGTATTTTTTCAAAGTCCTAATGGATTTTAAATTTATTACATTTTGAGTAAAATAGCTTCTGTTAGGATCTTTTTTTGTAGCTTTTAGTCTGTTTATGCTATGCACTTTCTATAAAGGTTCGTAAGCGACTTCATTTTTCATCCACAACTGTAACCAAAAGCTATAAAGCCTTTGTTCGTTCATTCCAAATAAAAGAGCAATATCAAAAAGAAATGATTTCGTTTGGTTCTTTCTCGTATATTGCAAGTTTATTGTGTGTACACTACTAATCTAAAATGCATTTTTCTAACATGGGCTAGGCTCAATGGTGCAAACATGTTGATGCAAATCTATTTTATAATTATGTTCAGTGTATGAATTTTGAATCTTTCAAGCATTGTTTAGGCGAGTTACTAATGTGTGTATAAGGATTTGGAAATGGACTACATAAATCCAATCGACCTATGTAACAAACTGAATTTATATATAGTTCCAGAGATCTTGACACATAGCGGCATGACTCTTCTTTTGTTGCTTGCAGGGAAATGGATCTTGGTGCTCATAAATTTACCACTTGTCGTTTTTCATGTGAATCAAATTATTCAGAAAACTCATGTTTTGGATGCCACGGAAATATTCCGTCAGTTAGGTCGCCATAAACGGGTCACTTTTATGAAGGCTCTCTTTGCCTTGGTCATGTTTTTTACCTTGCTTTATTGGTAAGTCTGGATACAGTGTTTTTGGGAAAACTACCATTGACTGATTCATCTTAAATTCCTAGATTATGCGCTGACAATATTATAGCATGGTTATGTCTCTTGTGCAAGAACAATAAAAGCTTTACAAGAATAAAAGTAGGTACGGAATGAACAGGTTTGATGCTTATTTAATACTATTGGGATTACTCGACAATTCTTGCATATCGAGCACTTGAAAAAACCGCTTCTTAGTAGACAAATAATACCTTTTATACTGATTTTTTCGACGAGACTTGTTTGAACCATTTATGAATAGTAAGATTGTAAGTTTTCCTGTAACTCTAATACATCATCCTGGTCTAATTCTCGAAATTGTCGAGTATTCATATACTTTCCAATCGATTGTACATGTGAGGTTGCCTTCTCTGTTGAAGAAGCAGTTACCATAACTGTATCAATATTTGATAAATCGTCAGGTGTAGTGTCTAGCATTGGGAATCCCATATCTTTTATATTGATTATATCTTGGTTTAGCTGTGAGGGAGGAAGATTGCTCAAAATAGCATCTTGGTTATTTGGGCCTCGTATTACTGTGGGTGCTCTGGAAAGATCTGAAAGAGAAAGAGGTGATTCAGTAGGGAATGAAACACTTCGATTTATATTCCAATCGCTCTTCTCGTGAAATTTTGCCTTTAGGTCGAGTGCAAAAATAGAACGACCGCTGCTTGATTTTAAATAGTATTCTAAATCACTCATGTGCAAATATGAAGTACCATGCAAACGCGTTGGTAGCGTCAAAGATTCAAACGCCATATTTGTGATAGAACTGGCAAACCAGTAATCATGTTCTGGCTTAAAAGGTAAAGGTGTATAAAGAGAAACTACATCTTTAAGGCTCCCTAGTACTAACGATTCATTCGCATACATCTGTTTTTGTTTTTGATTTGGTAATGAACTTACTGATGAGCCATCTGTATTTTTTACACCAAAAACCCACACTGGTAAACCGGCATCCTGTAGTTCATCTTCAATATATTGTAAATAATTGGTCATAAACCCAGACCAACCAGTATTTACATCAACTGCAAATTGAAATCCTTGCATTCCGTCACACTCCTCAATAAGAGGGCGTAATGTTTCATCCCAAACATTATGCTCGTTGTTATGCAAACGAAAAGCTTCCGCTCCAAGTTCAAATGATGAGCCTTCAGAATTCAAATCAGGGAAATTTATAGGAAATAAGTATTTAGGATCGAATAGCAATCTATTAAAATCTGACCAATGCTTTACAGTTCCAGTTTCAATATGTGGTAAAGAAGGAAACTGTTCAAGATCCTTCAATACATCAGGACTTTGAGAATGTAACCATTCATCCTGTTCCCACAAGGCACTCTGATAAGGATGAATGTCAAGAGGTGCTTTGTGGATTTTCTCAAGTGAACCAGCGATTGAAGAACCTACTACTTCTGAGTCACTCAGTTCAGCAAACCAAGGCCTTTTCACGAAGCCAAACTCATTAGGAGAGTCGTAAACGCATTCCCTTGGGACAGTTGCCAAATGCTCATAATTATGTTTCGTTAACTGGCGAAAATTTGTATTCACCGATACTTTTGAGACATCTCGTTCATCGTAAACAAAATATGCTTCTTGTGTGTTCCAAAAATGTGTAAGTAAGAAATTGCTCTTGCTTCCAAAACCTAAGCTCAATATCTCGTGCATGTCTTATGTCAAAAGTTCGTCAGCTTCTGTTATACAATTCAGAAAACAACTAAATTGACTATCAATCGCTCAAAGCATTAATTATTGTGTTTTATAAACCATACCAAAGCTTGGTTCTCTTAAAAGTCACATACAAATTTCTTCTACTGTGAACTGAATATGGGTTCACCACCACAAAAGAAACTACTAGTGAGGAATGAATAATTAAAATAATCTGGTATCTGAAAAAAAATTAAGTTTTTTTGGATAAAGTTTAAGATATATTACATTAATTTGTTTGAAAAAACTCTTAAGATTTCGTGGAGTATACCACTTCTACATTGACATATAATCTTAGTCGCGTAATGTGCATTTAATGCTTCATTTTCTATTTCATTCAGGCTCATCCTCTGGTACTAATTCCTCCTCAAAGGAGTCTTATGAGCTTCTCCATGGGTTAGAAAAACCCAGCCAGGAAATCAAAGATATATCGTTTCGTTTTGTGCTTGTACAAGATATTGGCGATCGCAAGAAAACAGTTTTATTTGATTCTAAACATTCTAATAATGAAGGCCAAGAAACGCAGCTTCGAGATTCATCTCATGCGCCTTTGACTGATTTGATGTTTGGTGCAATTCCAATGTCTCAAAAAAACACAGTTACAAAGCTGCATACCTTGCAGTCTCCTTCCCCTGCTACTCGGGAATATATGCTAACTCAGCTTTTTCAGATTAACATGTGTGGACCGGTTGAAACTCCAGGGAACGAAATGGCTATGGAGGACAACAGTTTCAGCGAGCAAAAAGTGAATAAGCAGAACGAAACTGATTCTGACGTATCAACCTCAAAGATCCAAGATTCGGCTCAAGGCGGTGCACAGACTGCGAAACCTAGTTTAGGTCACCGTATGGGTGAAAAGGGTTCCGTATCACCAGAAACAAACGAGAAGAGTTTTAGGAAGGAAACACAAAATTCTTTAAAAAAGAAATCTAATCTAACTGATGCTCCATCATCTTCCTTGTTGCATGAGCAAATGGAAAAGCTTTTAAGCATTCGACCTTCACATAGAGAGACACCGCGATCCTCGCGTTTGATTCCTTATAGCCCTAGATCTAGCTCACCTATAAGGGTTTCCCATTCAAGTGCTTCTGTACCAGACACAGTATTAAATTCTTTTTCAGGCACAAGGAAATTAAATGGTACTTCTTTTCCCATTAATAAAGAAACGGGTAATCTAATGGAGAGTATGCGCCGTCGCCGGAAAAATAGACCTCCCTCTATCAACCTTTCTACTTCTAGCTTTAATGGAACAAATGGCAAGTTATCACCATTTCTGTTTTCTGAAACCCGCACCAGGCCTTCAACCTATGCTTTAGCCCTAATCATAACTATCCCAATTACGTTTGAAAACTCAGTTCATCCTCTTACATTTTATTGGTCCTTATTCTCTAATGCTACGAAAACTCTAAAAACTGAAATAGATAATCATATCCGGGAGCTTTTATGCGTTTCCCTGTCCAATTCTTCGAATTCCAATGGAAACGCAATTCCTCTTATACAATCCACTTCTTCAAAAGTCGGCTTTGGGTCTTATTCACTTCAAAATGATGAAAATATCATTATGAAAATACAACAATGTCTAAGAATTTTAAAAGCTGGTATATTAGCTCCGTTAATACAACCTTCAGTATTTTCCAGCAATACGTGGATGGAGAATATCAAGATCTTAGAGGATTCATGCAGAAATGAGAAGCAAAATAAGTAAGTTTCACGGTTCATTTTACTTAATTTACTAACTTTTTCCTAGGTTCATTTCTTCACTACTCACCCTTGCTATGAAGATGAGCCGACAAAAAAAAATGGAGAAAACACCATTTAAGATTATGATCCAGTCTTCCCGTGCTCCTATTGCCAGACGCTTTTTGTACATCTTAGCTCCCCTCCTACGTCCTTCATTAGCTAGTTCGTCTGATGATATGTTAGAACCGAATCTACTTTTCCCTTCATCCGGGATGCTTTCATCTCAAAGCTTACCAACTACTCCAAATCATTCCTCAAAAAACTTTGAAGACGTTTATTCCTCATCAAATGTTTCGAATTCATCACAAGCAATTGATATCCGATCTACTAGGTCATCAAATCACGGCGTCAATCGCAAGCCATCGTTACGCAACTATCTAGGAAGTTCTTGGAGGCTTAAATTTATGAGGAGTAGTTATCAAAGCTCGCCAACTTGTCCGGATAGTTCGGGTGCTAGTCCAAGCTCTATTCCTAGAAATCAAAATCCTTTCGGAAGTTTTTCGCCAATTTCCACCGACTTCACTTTTGGATCTGATAGTTATGCAGGCCTGGAATATTTGGAAATTTTTAATGCAAATAAAGAAGCCTTGAAAGGTTTACCTAAGACCAGGCTTGTACCTAACGGAATGCTTCAGGTTGACCTACCTATGATTGACTTTCATCGTGATTCCACGAAAGCTCGTGTTCCTAAATTGGTGCCTTCAGTGTCTCAGGCTGGTTTTTTGGGTGCCTTACATCCTTGTTTTGATTTACAGGCGGCACCGTTGGATAGCTACATTATTCCAAACAGAGAAGAGTTTTTTGCAAGTACATTGACAAACATGTTAGAGACTAATTTAACACCTAAAAAGGAAGATGATACTACTCTATATTCGCGGATTGCAGTTGCAAACATCGACGAATGTAATATACAGTGTTATGAACTCTGTGAATTTCCTGTTATGGATGAATGTTCTACGGAAGGTAATGAAGATTTTGTTTCAGAATCAAACTTCAAAGTGTTCCGTGAATCAATAATGACTTCGTTCAACGTTGATCATGGATGTTTTTATTCCCTCAAACGTTCTTATCTTTTATACGACTATACTTATGTGGATGATGAATTTGTTAATGTAGCATTGACTGGCGACCTGAAAAGCATATTAGACTATATTAATAAGACCGACGTTCAATGTTAATGAAATGGTTTATGCTAAAACTGTTACTCCAGTCGAAACGTACTTAGATTTTGGATCATATTCATTCTTTTTATGCGACTGATTTTACTCATTACTTTTTTGCTTATGTTTAAATTTTCTATCAGATATATCAAAGGATCATAAGACCTCTCTTGTTTATAGTTTCACTTTTTCTTTTTACATAATCAATGAATACATATATTTTGTTTAGAGGCTTGGATGCTCTGATCTTTTAATGAGACAAATTTTCCTTGAAGAGACCGTTATTAAAATGTAAATATTAGCTACTTAATTTATACGAAGTTCGTAATTGTCTAAGATTCCTAACTCGATTTCGATAAGGGTTCAGGTAAGCGAAAGCTTACGACTTGCGAACATGTCCTTTACCAACGACTACGATTTGACCTCCCTGATTTCCAGAATACAACAAACTTTAAGGAATTTTTAACTGTTAATAGAAAAAGATTAGTATAACATGTCTTATAAACCAGCAGTTCCTGTTCCAGTGGAAGAGCAACCAATTTTGGAGAAGCTCATTGGAATTCGTCAGCGGTTAGCAGTGTTAAAGCGAGATCGTACCAAATACATTGACAAGAACGATGTTTTTAATCTATATAATCAATTAGTGGAACAATGTAAGTTTTACAAGGAGCTTAAAGGAATAAACAAGAATTGCTCCCAATGTCACTTAAACAGCTCATTAACGTCTTTAGTGGAATTAATTGACAAAAGAAGGTCATCTGATAATATTCGTAATATTGTGGATACTCAATTAGAGGATTGTCTACATTTGCTGTCACTCTTTTATCTGGCAATTGGTCGGAATAATGACCTTCCTGCATTCTTTGTGCAACTCGGCACAGTGAGACGATTATTGGAATACAGTTTGGAAGGAGCTTGTTATACTCAAAATGATTTAAAACCTCTGAAAGAGCGATTGGAGAGAATACGGGCTGCTGTATTAGAGGGTGCTCAGAAAGAAGACGCTTCTCCTGTCGTAATTAAATATATAAGGAACAAACTGGAACAGTGTGACAAAAACTATAGCGAAGCGCAAAGCAATATCTCGAAAATTGCACCAGAGCTTACTTCAATTCAAAGTCGGTTGGTGTCAATTCGTCGCCAAATTGACGGCTTTGCTGTTCGACCAACGTCGGATGGAGAGTTTATTGACCATTTGATGAAACAGCTGAAGGAGATTGAGGAAATGCGAGATCCCGATGGCAAGTTCGTTGACGACCAGAGCCGGCCTTTACAGGGACAAGAATTATGCAACGGTATTTTGGAAGAATGCTTTAGCTTTTTGGAAGATGCAAAATCAAAGCAAGGGCTGACGGATGAGATGAAAAGCAGCCCGAAATTTCAGCAAATCTACAGTCGTCTTGATGAGCTTTTAAGTAAACTAAAACACCTCACACTGACACATCGCTGGACGCTAAGAGAAACCGAGTAAGTAAAGTTACTATCATCTAAGAAGAAGTGTTTAACCGTATATACAGTTTGTATGTTTACAGAGCCTCATTGGCTGAAATTGACTCTATGCGAATCGATGGTCAATTCTTGGATGAAAATGGTAATGCACCTGCTGGTCAAAGAGTATGTTAAAACTTTTTACCAAGTTTGTGAGTTTCTAACAAAAACTTAGATTTTGCTTTATTTATTAAGACGTTGTTATGCATATATTTACCAACTGTTATCTGCCAGTGAACCCGTTTCTGAGGAGCTTATGGCTGTCCACAACCAGCTGCGTACTGTAAAACGTTGCTTACTGGAGGTACAAAGAAGTGGAGGAATTTACTCGGAAAGAGATTTGTACCCTTATCAGATGAAATTGGCTTCGCTTGAAAAACTACGGGTCAATGGATACTTTTTGGCATCAGATAATTCGGTTCCTGAGGGCCAGGAATTGGTCAATTCTTTACTCACTCAATGTCATCAACTTATTGAAGAACTTCGCGATGAAAGACACCAGCATGACATTGAAGAAGATGAAGCAATTACTAAAAGCAGTGAAAGCGGTTAAGGTGTATATTTATGATGACGATGAACCTGAGATGTTTCCTTTTAAATGATCATTTTCTGCATACATGATCTGGTTACAAAAAGTTATAAAGGCTTTAAATTAATATCCCATACATTATATTTTAACAAGTACTTTACACTTTATTTATTTGGGTGAGTGACGTTTTATAGAAGCTTTTAGTATTTATCGTTATTTAGAGGCTCAAATATTACTTTAGCTATAAAAGTCTATTACTATGCCTTGGATTGTCTATGAATTATCTGTGCTAGTAGAAATATGCAGCATCGTACATGTGCAATTATATGTTAAATACTAAACCATTACCTTTTGATTACTTTCATTCATTCTTCCTATATATGTTGGTTTTATGGAAGCTTTGCTTTTCAATGTTTTACGATTATCAGTCACCAGATATAACCAAAGCTACTGATGTTATGGTTGCTATTTGTTCTATAGGAATAGTTAATATTAGTCCTAGTTCTTTCTGCTGTAGCAATGGATGAACAACATAAGAAGCTCTATATGGACAATCTGGTGGGTAGAAAACAGCCAGCGGAAAGTACTCTTACTAAAGGTAAGCTTCTTGAGATGTTAGGTACCACAAACTATACTCGGAGAGTTGCAGATAAGTTTGATTTAGTAATGAACAATGAACTTGCTGGTGTCGTAAACGACGATGGAACTTCGCCTATTCATATTGACACGATAAACCAAACGTTAGACGAAATATGTGATAGACGGGCCAGAGATTCGCATGACTCTCTTTTGCCTAATCTGGTTAATTTGCTCATTACAGCCCTCAGAGCCCATTCCTTTATCAATAGACGGAAGAGGTTAACAATGAGATTGAGCCACGGCTCGAACAGTACCGAAAAATGTCACACGCATAGTGTCATGCGTTTTTTCCTACACACTTTTACTTAAAACTGGCTTGCAAATAACAACGTATTACCAAATTCGATCCTTCAAACTTACTCACATTAGCGAATTTGGCTTTGTATACATACATAATTGTAAAGCGTAGAATGTTTCAAGTCGTTACCTGAACCAAGAGGAGGTCACAATTGGATACCTCGTTAGCATTCATTATATAACAACCTGTTATAAGAATGGAATATTAGCGAATATCTTTAATATTCATAAGCTTAAAGGATTGTCTTCTTGTAATAAGTAAACAGAAAATTGAGATTATAAATTCTGGTTCTAATACAAAAACTCCTATTTAAATTTACTTTGCAATGATTATTCTTATTAATTAAAAAAAGCAAGTCATGATGGCTAATCTTTAGAATAATATACATATCTGTGTTTACAGTCTGAATTTTCAGATTGAAAGATTCAACTGTTCAGGATAAATAAAGTCGACTTTTAGACAGTTCATTTAGTTAGTCAAATTTCTGAACGTTATTACTATGCTTCTACGTATTACCATTTTGTCCAATTGAAACATACAATCCTATAATTGTAATTATTATTTCCACTCGCTAAACATCCTCATAGTATGAGGTTCCTACCGTGGCAGTAACAAGAAATCAAATATGATAGAGATATAATAGTAAACGAACTAAGTAAACGATGATAGTTCACTAACTCGTAACACAAGAACCCTATATAGCTCAGCCAAAAAAACTTGGCTTATTCATCCACCATGAGTTGACAACCAAACAAATGTGGATGGAATATTTGTACTTATTTATATATTGATGTATGGCATATTTACTTAATACAATTTTAATAAAACCCAACTTATAGCATCCTTTGTTATATTCATATTTTTTTTTATTATTCCTGCGGCTGAGACAAGAAGCACTCCGATTGGCATGAAATGAAATATCAAGAATTACGGATAGATACGTATCCGTTATAAAGCAGTTGCAAACGCGAATGCGGTTCCGTAACTGTTTATGAATGTGCAACGAAGGTGAGGATTACGAATATGAAAAGGTCCTACTGGGGGTTTCTAAACTTGCCCTTTACATCACACCAGAAACCACCAAAGGTTCCTTTTGTCTTTAAAAAGTAAGTATTGTAGTTGGAAGTAGACGAAGATGGATAAATATTGAATTTAGTTGGTTGTTGGTTAGTAAACAAAAAGTATTAACGCTGATTTAGTAACTGTTTAATTACCATGGCTCCTCCTGCTTACGCCTCTATCGACAAGTTCTGCAACGATTTATTGAATCGTGATTTTCCCATTGGAGCTACTCTTTTGAGTGTTCGTACCACCGCTCCTAATGGTGTTGTTTTCAACGTCTCCGGTAATCAAGATGCCAAGGGTATCATCGCCGGCAAATTGGAAACCAACTTCTCCGACAAGGCTAATGGTTTGACCATGTCTCAAGGTTGGACAACTGCCAACGTTTTGGAGTCCAAGATTGGCCTTACCAATCAATTTGCTCAAGGTCTTCATGCCAATGTTAACACCACTTTCAGCCCTGCTACTGCTGATAAGACTGCCATTCTCAATTTGGAGCATGAACATCCTTTGATCCACAGCCATGCCTCTGTTAATGCTTTGGAACGTAAGTTCCTTGGTGACTTCACCGTTGGCCACGAGGGTTTCCTTGCTGGTGCTGAATTCGGCTATGATGTCCAAAAGGGAAGTGTCTCTAAGTATGCCGCTACTATTGGTTACCAGGCTACCCCCTTCTCTTTAGCTTTGCAAGCTTCCAACAACCTTAGTGCTTTCCGCGCTAGCTACTATCACCGCGTTAGCTCTCAAGCCGAGGCTGGTGGTAATGTTACCTGGGATGCTTCTTCCACTGCCAACGCCATCACCTTAGAGCTCGCTTCCAAGTACCAATTGGATAAGGATACCTTTGTCAAGAGCAAGATTAACAACGCTGGTATTGCTACCATGTCTTACTTCCAGACCATTCGTCCTGGCGTTACTGTTGGTCTTGGTCTTCAACTCGATACCCAACGTTTAGGACAACCTGCTCACAAGGCTGGTCTTTCTCTTGCTTTCAATGCTTAAGTTCAACGTTCATGACAATTTCTCTGCTATGCTAGTCGTCATCTGAAACCTTAACGTTCCTTTATCACACTAAAAATAATTTGTTTGCAACGCAATTTGAAGAATGGTTTCACTGAACGATTGAATTCTCTTCTATCTCTACTCCCTTCTCTAATAACTAGTAGGTTACTTTGTATGAATTTCCAAATCTTCCAGAACATGTAAATAAACCAGTAGTGTTGAGTAAACCAACGATAAGGACAAGTAGATTTGTAACAATGAGCTACAGAAACAAGCTGGACTATATGTCTTTTACAGCTTTTCTTTGTTTTAATTTTTTGTTTTACATGTTCCTGGCTACTTACAGAACTGCTTTTTTACGGCATTACCAGAAAGACGTAGAAACATTTATGTAGAAATGATATTCCTAAATAACCCATTTACCTGATTATAAATAAAAAAAGAATTTGTATATAGAAAAGAAAAGAAAAGAAAATCAATATCAATATCAAGACGATCAAGAAAAGGTGCACTATAGAAGGCCGTCCTCTTCAAAAACACCATAATCGTCGTCATTCTTCTTCTTTTGTTTTCTTTTTCTCTTTTTATTCGACTCATTCTTTTTGGATATCTAAACGGAAAAATGTTGTTAGTCCTTCTGGTCTCTTTTCTTTTCAGTTGGAAAAAACGGACTTACCATATCATGAACGGCTTTTTCGGCATCCTCAACTCGCATAGTTCTCTTTAGATATTTAAGAATTTCTGATTGTTTTTGTTCTTGTTTCCATTTCTCTTCCAGAACGATTTTTTCAGGTTCAAAAGCACGTTCCTTTTTTGCAAGTCGTTTCTGTTTGAAATAGCCCTGTTCTTGCGATTGGGGATCTTTTTGGGACTGAATTAGCTTTTCTAATGCAGATTTAGCTCTCGTTTTTGACATATTGAGGCCGGTAGAAAAGAATTTAGAGGTACTGGTAGTCTACAGTTGAATATGGTAGGGAAAGGTATAAGCTTTCGAGAAGTCGAACACGAAATGTAGTGAAATTGGCAATCGGAAAGGAAAGGAAAGGAGTATATTGAAAGAAAAAAAAAGAAAGAAAAATATAGAGAATTATGCCTAAAAAAGAATAAGAGAGACAAACAATGAGAATAAATTAGAGAAAAGAGAGGAAATGAACTACACGATATGGTATATACAAGTGAACGAAGGAATTATGAAAAATAGAGTCTTCTTCCAAAAGGAATGGAGGTACAGTCATGATTATGGAGATTAGGGAGAAAGGATGATGATCAAGAGAGAGGACGGGAATGTAGGATTTGTTTACCATCTGAAGGGGACATTAGGCATTGCTCCTAAGAGATATTGACTGTTTGAAGAATAACAGACTTTATGTGCGGCGAGCTGGTTTCATATTTTGTTTTTTGATGTGTTGAACATGGGACTTTTTGATTCGAAAGCGACGTTTCAAGTATACTTCACAACGAGCAGGGTTTTTCTTCATGGAATGTTGATTGTAATAAATTTCAGATTGAATTTTCTTTTGTCTCCAGCAGGAAACTAATTTGACCATGGCTTGAACTGCTAAGCAATCTCTTTCGTCTAAATCAGGATGGAGTTGAAAAGCGAGTTTCATATACGTCTGAGGTACAAAACTATGCATGATAATTACAAATATTATTAAAGAAAGTGATGCTTTTGTTGAATTCCCCAAGAGTTTGGAAATGGGAGATGAATGGTATTGTTTACATTTGATATCTGATATAAACAAACCAAAGCAGAGTGCATATAGGAAACGAGCATACATTAAAAATTAGTTTATTAATTCATTTTTGAATAGAAAAGTTAACTTATGTATTAATTCCCTTCTTATAACTGTGTTTTTTTTCATTTTTTCTGTATTGTTTACTTGGTCCAAATGTAAACAAACCTGAAAGCGCGAAACCATTATCAATTCAGTTCGTTCTATCGTTTGAAGAAATAATGAGGACTTTTTACTACAATTTAGCTCATAAAATGAGCTTTCTCTGAGCCTTATAAGTTATGTTACCATGTCAAGTGTTATATTTACACATACTCTTTTCTAGTTAGTCGCGCAAGGGCTCTTAGGAAACACTGTGGAAGCTCTAACAAAAACAAACAAAAAAATAAAAAAGAAGAGGAAAAAGAAAACGAGATATCTGTCTCCTTTTTCTTATAGATACATTCACAAACCGATGCTTTCTTGGATCCATTGTTTACGAAATAAGGACGAACAGCAAGTTGCCAAATGTTTACTGATAAATAGCCCATTTCACTAGGCACTACGCTATGCTACTTACCACAATTCACGTCAACTCGGAATTACTGATGAACGAGGTTGTTGGTTTATCACTATTTGGAGGATCTCTAAGTGGAGTCCTTAAACTTCAAAAAAGGATACCGCGTTAACATATTAATTTAATGCATCGTTATAGTAATGAAGTATTAGTGAATATCAGCTAATAAGTATAATTCTAAAGGATCTTTGCATAATACCAAGTAAACAAACAATAAAAAACGAAATACAAAAATCAAGACCAAGCGATCGAAACATTAGTGAAAGGATCCACTAATCAAATATTATACACTGATCAGTCTACAGTCTGAATCTTCACACTGGAAAATTCGATTGTCTTTCAAGCATTCCATTTAGTTAATCAGATCCTTGGACATTACTAGTGTCTATAAACGTAGTGCAACAGCATCCAATTCATGTATACAACAATACAATCCTAGTTGTTTATTCCAGCCGATAAATATTCTCATAACGTGTGAGATTTCTACTGTTTTTTCTACTCCTTATGCCACTTTTACGCTATTTTTGATTTAAAAAAGACAATTGTTTTGTTTGCTCTTTCAATTATTTCTTTTTTTAAATTTATTTATTATTTCTTATTATAAACTGTAAGTTAGATGGTTAGCAAGCACAATCAGTTCGTTCACCACCACCTCCACCTACACCACCAAAAAGGCTAAGGTATTATAACCGAAATCGTTATTTGAACTTTCCAAAGGCTCACACCAGTAGACAAACAAGGATCTAAAAAAAAAAAAAAGGTTCCGGTTTTCCTTGAGCTTTAATTTTATCTATGTCTATTTCTTCTGATACTTCAGGGTCAGTTCCAGGTTCACCAATTGAGCTAGAGCCCGAGCCCGAAACGATTTGTCGGTGGCAAGGATGCAATCAAGACTTGTTCACGCTTGACAATTTAGTACATCATATTCATAATGGTAAGAAAGCTCAGAAATTGCGTTCATAGAATTTCAAGTATGGTACATGAAATTTCGTTCATGTGTTACTGGAATACTTTGATTATCCATTTGCTAACTTTTGGCTCAACTAGGTCATATTGGGAATCGTCGGCCTAAATACACTTGCGAATGGGATGATTGTCCTAGAAAAGGACTGGTGCAGACATCAAGATTTGCCCTCATAGCTCATTTACGATCGCATACCGGAGAAAAACCATTCATCTGCTCAATTCCAGAATGCGATCGCTCATTTACCCGTTCTGATGCTTTAGCAAAGCATATGCGGACGGTGCATGAGGCTGATACACTTCGCCCTTCTGACCCAATTCCAAAAGCGCATCCGATGCATCCTCAAAATGTCGCCAATGCCATGGTACAAAGTGCCAGAGAGGCTAGGGCGCAGCAGCAACAGCAGCAAAGTACTGGAATTCCAAACGAAAATATGGAAAACTGGCTTGATGCAGCTGCTATGCCAAAAACCCCTCACGACATGTATCATTTACAAAAGCTTAAACTTCGATGGGTGAAAGAGGAACGCGCTATGTTGATTAAGCATTTAGAAAATCTCAATATGAAGTCGGAACAAGCTCGTAATGAAAAAGAAAGAGCACTAGATAAACTCGTACAATTTGTGGATCCTTCTATACGCAGGTAGTAACAACCGCGTTCAGAAAAAAAAAAATTTATTTATAAATAAATAAATTGAGGGCCTCTCCCGTGGGACATAAAAGATATTTAGCATTTGACGTTTGTTCTACTTTTAAATTTTATGGTTGTTTTCCATATCTCATGTTAATAATATATTTTTTATTTTTTCTATTTATCTCTCTGAACTTTTGCTCTATATATGATCCATATGTACTGTATGCTTGCTATCCTTCCAATGTATTATTGGATTCCCTGTGGGTGCTAGGAAAAGACTGAAATTGACACAGACTGGTTTGTATCTTTACTTTTCCACACGAAGAACCCATTATTATTACTCGGTTACCTTCCATATCTGCTACAAATACAAAATCACTGTACTATTATCCTCGAATGCAAGACTATGGTATAGAAATAAGAATCTTCTATTTATTTTGCTTTCAAGCAATATAATAATATGAATCATTGAAACAAGGTTTCAAAAAAAAATAAAAATGCTATTGCTCTATCCTAAAGACAAATATGTACTATTTCGCTTTTTTCCTAACAAACAAAAAGAAGAAATATTCCCATTGGTTTCAAAGCTCATTTTCTTCCAACTCGTTTGTCTTGACAATTTCGCACACATAGTAGACGTAAACAAAAGAAGAAAATAGAAAAAAGCCGTTATCTTATCAATCTCGCAACTCCATGCTATCAGCAAACTTTCCCCTTCCGTCTTAACCCCTCAAATTCGTAACACGTAAAATGACGGATATATATTTCCCTGATCTCCCTAATAAGAAGTTACCGTTTTCCTACCACGAAACGGTCGCATAACTCAATAGACTTTTAGTTGTATTATAAGAAAATGGCATTAGTTACAGAAACGGGCGTTAATGTTTCAGATGAAGGGTAAGAGCATGCTTTGAAAAGATCGTACTGTTTACACAGAATTACTGTTGTTCTTGGAAGCCAATGGGGTGACGAAGGTAAAGGAAAGCTTGTTGATATTCTCTGCGACAGTGTAGATGTGTGTGCTCGCTGCCAGGTATGTTTCATCGAGAATAAGGAAGAACGAAAGAAAAAGGAAGAAACGCTGTCCAAAAAAATCAAAAGTCGAGAAGTGAGAAAAAGAAGTCTTTGTGATTTCCTTATGAGACTTATTAAAATCTGAAAGAACGAATATGAAAACAATGGTAAAATGTGATCATCTTTTATAATATAAATGGAAAGGTATACGCTATGTATGGATGAATGTCTTTTTGGATGAGTTGGAATTTTACATGCGTGTTTGTTCCTAATAAAACAAATCCTCTTTCTCTCTCTGTCTCTCTATTCGCGTGTGTATGAATTGAAAAGTCTTGCTTACTCTATGGGATCTTTACTATTGCTATTTCTTCCTTTTTTTTATTTGTTTTCTCCTTTTCACCTCGTGTTAGGGCCATCGTTCTAAACTAACTCTGTCTTACAGGGTGGTAACAATGCTGGACATACCATTAAAGTCAACGACCAAACCTATGACTTCCATATTCTTCCTTCCGGACTCGTAAACCCCAAATGTGTAAACTTAATAGGCACTGGTGTCGTCGTCTACCTGCCTGCCTTTTTCGATGAATTAGAAGATTTGGAAAAAAAGGGACTTGATAGCACAAATCGTATCTTTATGTCAGATCGCGCTCAGCTTGTCTTTGACTTCCACCAGCGTGCGGATGCTTTGAATGAAGCTGAGTTGGGCAAACAAAGTATTGGTACTACTGGAAAAGGTATTGGTCCCGCTTATTCCACAAAGGCAACTCGCAGCGGCATCCGTGTTCACCACTTATACCATTGGGACGAGTTTGAAGCTCGCTACCGTAAGAACGTCTCTGATTTAAAAAAACGTTATGGTGCTTTTGAGTATGACATTGAAGGCGAATTAGCCAGGTATAAGGAATTGGCTGAAAAGCTTAAGCCTTATGTTGTTGACTCTGTTACCTTTATGCACAATGCCTTAAAGCAAAGAAAGCGAATTTTAGTCGAAGGTGCCAATGCTTTGATGCTCGACCTGGATTTTGGTACTTATCCTTTCGTGACTAGCTCCAACACCACCGTTGGCGGTGTCTGCACTGGCCTTGGTGTCCCACCTCAACGTGTTGCTAGTTCCATCGGTGTAACGAAAGCTTATACCACTCGTGTTGGCGCTGGCCCTTTCCCCACTGAGCAACTAAACGAGATCGGCGAACATTTACAATCTGTTGGTCGTGAATATGGTGTCACTACAGGTCGTAAGCGTCGTTGCGGCTGGCTTGATTTGGTGGTTGTAAAATACTCCGCCATGATCAATGGCTATACATCTCTGAACTTAACAAAGCTTGATATTTTGGATGCTTTGCCTGAAGTCAAGATTGCTGTTGCATACGTAATCGATGGAAAGCGTTATGAGACTTTCCCTGCTGACTTGTCTTCTCTCGAAAACGCTGAGATTATATATGAGACTTTGCCTGGTTGGCAAACCTCTACTGTCGGTATTACCCGCTGGGACCAAATGCCTGAAAATGCAAAAAAATACATTCAATTTATAGAAGATTTCATCGGTGTTCCCATCGGCTTTATCGGCGTTGGCCCTGGTAGAAACGAAATGCTCATTAAAGAGTAAAGTTTTATTTAAGTCGCATCCGCTCTCTCATTTGAAGTCTTTTTATCTGTAATTGAGAAATCAATTATTTACGCTCATATAAGATGTTTGTCTATCACGGAAGTGAACAAGCGGTTTTATTTGCCGTATAAAAAAATTTATGAATTTCATCAAATTTTGGAAATTAGATACTACTAATGAAATGATAATAGTTCAATCCAAATCTTTCATTTGACTTTTGCATTTGTATATTGAGGTACTGTAAGCAGTTTAACTAACGAATTTTCAATCTACCTTTTTTTTTTTTTTTTTTTTTTTAACTCTCATATTACAAATTATAATGTAATTATGCTTCATTTCTTTGAGCCATGAGAGATCTATTGCAATTCATGGTGGGAGTTCTGAATCCTTGCTATGGTTTTCCATTTACAATGGAAAAGTCGGTCCCTGATATATATAGCAAAAGCAATATTCCTGATAGCTTTATAACAGCTTTAAAGAAAAGATTTTTAGTACTATTACTTGTTGTAATTACCAATAATTATACTGTGTTTATACTACTTACAAACTTAGAAACCCAGATGATCTTTCTCAAACAAACTATCAAAATTCAATTTTTTAACAACTAACAAATGTCTTAAATCACAATAGCAATAATATTCAAATTAGAAAAAAGTAAACTCCTCTTCATAAAACAAAATCCCCCACATTAAACATGAATAGTTGCGCTAAAAGAAAGAAAGAGAGGAGGTAAATGAACAATAATAATTATAGCACTCGACGCTCATAAACACCGATGCAAACTAAGAATACTTCAATCAAGGATATCGGTTTCGAGATATACTATACGGCTAGTCTTAAAACCGTTAAAACAACTGGCAGCAGCTACGGTGTAGGCACCAGCATCATCAAAATAAATCCAATCACCAACATTTAACTCATAGGGTAAGCATGCATCAGAGGCAATAGCATCCAATGAGTCGCAAGTAGGTCCCCATATGGAACAACGGTGATTACCAGTACTCAAATGAGTGTTATAGAGGAATTGACTTCCTTTCTTTAGAACGCGGGCAACAGGATGCTGGTGATCAAATAAGATGCAATTTAAGCTTCCATAAACACCATCATTCACATAATACATCACCTTTTCTTCGTCAGCGAGCTTACGCTTAGCTATCACATTCACAGCCAACGTAAAAGCACCTGCAACAAAGAAACGACCGGGCTCGGAGATGACGCGAACGGATGGGTCAAAGTAGGTATCTAAAGCAGGACGCACTAGATCGGCAACCGAGTCAAAGGAATCACTAGAAAAACCACCGCCAATATCAAGGAGATCAAAGTGAAAGCCTCGATCGAGACCTTGATCAAAGACGAACCGAGATCGACGAATAGCATCTAGGAACGCCGATGAGTCATAGCTACCGGAACCAACGTGAAAGCTGACACCTACTACATTCAAATTCAACGACTTGGCTAAATCGAGTAAAGAGCCAGTATCTTCTAGTGACGCACCAAATTTCAGGCTCAAACGGCAAAGACTGCCAGAATCGTCAGTAGATATGCGAAGCAATAAACGAGCGTTGGGATGGTGTTGCTTAACTTTGTAAAGTTCATCTGCATTGTCAAAAGTCATTAAATCAATTCCTTTTGAAGCCGAGTAACGTATATAAGTAATAGCTTTACAAGGGTTAGCATAGACAACTTTTTCCGGAGGAACGCCCATGTTTAATACTTGCTCAATTTCGCCTTTTGAAGCGCAGTCGAAGCCAGTACCAAACTTCTTCAACAAAGCTAAGACATGGGGATCAGGATTACACTTGACGGCGTAGAAAGGCTGAACTCTAGGGAGCTTTGTATGCCAGCGAACCAATTGGCGGTACACAGCATGCAAGTCGGCTACAAAGAAAGCATCAGCATCAAGAGGCTCTCCTTGAACATGAGAAGTATGCTCAAGTTCAGTAATCATACGTTTGAACGCCTCACCAACCGCCTGACGAGAATGGTCAGACGAAGACCACGTCGACACAGAATTGATTGCATTAACATGGCCAAGTAATTCCGTCGTACGCAACGACTCACTAGCGAAAAGGTTCTTTTCAGTAATAGCAGGCATACTGATCACTATTGTTATATCTTAAAGTAAGAACACTGATCCCTTCTTGTTTTGTACAAATAGCAATTGCTCTTAATTCCAATAGAAAAAACCTTTTATTCTCAGAAATGCGAAACTTTGTAAGTATTGAGTTTCGAAAAATCTGTGAATCAATCAAGCACAGTCAAAATCAAATTTTTTAGGTTACAAACTTCGTTTGGCCCTAAATCCCTTGATTTTTTATCAGATAACGCAGACGGATAAGAGAAATACTTTTGGTGAATGCGTATTCGAAAACTCTTGATTTATCCGCTTGTCTGGCCCCAATTCTCCTTTTATGACTTTTTTTTCAGCCTAGTATGGTTGGTAAAGGGTAACTTCTAATTCATATTTCCTCGCTCTTAAGGTTAGGGTTAAAACAAGGCATAATGAATGCTTTTGATAGTATTATGGGAATTTTTCTATTAGTAGTATTTATAATATCATAAAAAGAGGAGGTATACCTTCTTGTATAATTTCTTTTTTATATTGAAAAACCATACTGATGTACGATTTGCTCAATTGTTGCTCAGGCTTCTACTAATATAATGATACAGTGTTATTAAAGTATGAAACTATCGATCGTTTTATAGATGTGAAAACTGACTACCATTGCAGTTCCCTAGATGAAGGAACACGTTTTTAAAAATATGAAAGAGAATTCTCTATTTATTCATATGGGAAGAGTTTAAACAGGGAAACTATGGGGGTTTGAGAGCTGAATCCCATATGTAGCATATATCTCAATTCATGTTTGCAATTTTGCATTCCAGCATGTTTCATGGAAGTATTCACATTCAAATGGTTCAAAGGTAAACCCGTTATGTTTCTTGTAAGCATTTGTTGGTAATGTAAGATTATGCAGTTCGAATTCGAGAGTATTTTCTTTTATTCTCTAGCTCAATTTTGGTTTATTTTGTCTCATTCAAAAGTCTTATGCGAGGACAAAAATGAGGTCACTTGGTTGATATTTAAAGGCTATATGAATAGTTTGACCCAACTGTTCTGAGTAACTTTATAACATTCATTTAACATTTGGAATGATTTCCTTGTCAAGAGAATGGAATGAGCATGATTCATTTTAGCAACTTTTTATGTTGTTGGTTTATAAGTGTTTACTTTAAACTTGATACAGTAAAGCTTTCTACTATCTTTTCGAGAAAAAATGGACTTGAAACAAATTTGAAACCAAATGTGGAAGAGCCATTCCTAATTGGATGTTTTCCGATTACTAGCATTTTGGTTTTGAGTAATATTTATTGTTCCATAGGTCACGATACCTAGAATTGATTACTGTATACGTCTTCCGGCGTCTTTCTTAGACTTCTTGGTACGCCATCAGTGGATAAAACTTTTTATTTCTTCCTTGACTTAATATTTCTCGGAAATTACGGTTTACTTACGGATGAACAGAGGGACATGCAACTCAATCCATAATTTTATATGCAGTCTCTGAAAACGATTGTCTGAAGACTCCATGAATATACTTTTAGTAAGTAAAGAGGTTTCCAATGCCCATTTTTCCCTGTCACGGTTTTCTTCCTTAACGGAATAATAGATCCTCAATGACCCTTATATGTGCTCAACCTATATATCATGATATGGTCAATTTTGTTGATTTATACAGCTTTCAAATAACTGAAAGCTACTTCCTTTACCTTTCAATTCTCTATAGATAATCTATAACGAGTGTATTCTTCATAATTTATGATTTTTATCCCATCTTCCACCGTAAACAAACAAAATGATACTTCTCTTCAAGGTAACGGTTTTGGAGTAGCAGAACACAACCCTTAGCTAACAAGTCGAAGTAGCACGTTCCTTCGTTTCCACTTTATAAACACCAAGTCGCCGTTTTCTAAAGCTGCAATTGTAGATGCAACTGAGTATATTTTATTTGTAAGTTCAACAAAGTTATGTTTAAAAGATATGAAAAAATTTCAGTTAATTGAAAGTGCTTGAAGACTTTTTGGCGCTTTTCTTGTAGCTTTAGAAAACCAAGTGGGTTTTAAAAAAAAAAGAAAAAATGTTTGAAATTTGTTGGCCAAATTCTCTTGAGAAGTATACAAGAATAAAGAAAAAAGCTTTTTGAATATTAATATGACTTGTCATAATACCTAGTATTTTGTGATGGACTTAATTAGTAAAAGCCAAGCGTGGTTATCGTATTTTTGAAGGATTCATACACATTTCCACAGAAAGAAAAGAAATATTGTTTCTGCTGTAATTAGCTTTTTATAAAAACAACAAAGGCAAAGGCAAAGGCAAATGTAAAGGATAAAAATCAAGGGGCTAAACGAACCAACTGGTAGTTGCTTTCCAAATCATCTCGACGAAAGGAGAAGCGGTCGTGAAGACGGTACTGCCCACCTTGCCAAAATTCAATTTCTAAAGGTACGATGCGAATGCCACCCCAAAACTCAGGAGCAGGTATGAAACCAGGCTCATCTTCACCAAACTTTTCTTTGTATGATTGAACGCGTTCTTCCAATTCTTTACGGTTCTGAATGACAGTACTTTGAGGGGAAGCCCATGCACCTATACGAGATAGGCGAGGCCGAGTTTGGAAGTACTCTTCAGTTTCCTCGCGGCTGAGACGTTCGATCATCCCCTCAACTCTTACTTGGCGTTGTAAGGACTCCCACCAAAACGATAGAGAGGCATAAGGATTTGTTTTCCAGTCTTCTGCTTTTTTCGATGTTCCCAAGTTGGTAAATATAATAAAACCTCTACGGTCCAGTTCCTTCAGCAAGACCAAACGGGAAGAGACTCTTCCAGAAGGAAGACGAGCCGAAGACAAAGTACTACTTTCTGGAGATTGAATAGCCGGGTCTTCGGTAGCTTCATGGAACCAGTCATTAAACACGAGTAATGGGTCCTTACCCTCCAATTCCTCCTTATGAAGACTTGACTTTGAGTATTGATAGCGATTAGGTGCAAAAATAAGTTTATCTTTCGTAGAATCTGTTGATTTTGACATTCTTTTTATTTGGTTTGTTACGAAGCGCCTAGTGAAAAAACCAAGTTGCATCGTATGTAACCTGAAATTCCTTAGTAGTCCAGCGAAGATGGTATGACAGACAACCTTGTTCGAAGAATACAATTTAGTGAAATACCATTGAATAAAAAAGAAAAATTATCTTCTTTTCTTTATGAAGGGTATGAAATCTCGTTTCCTGTGTTCAAATTAAGAAAAAGAAATGGAATTGACATCATAAAGAGACTTGTTAACAGTGTTTCTTTATAGTTTCACAGTGATTTGTGATTTCCTTCTCATTAATTATTATTATTTTATTTCTTTATATATAAATTTCATTTTTCTTTGTCTAATTTTGCAAAAAAAAAAAAAACAACAAAAATGGCTGACTTAAGATGTTGTTCGAAAACTGACTATGAATAAGTAGAGAAACCAAAGGTAAGACGTCAAACCAACTCTTTTTTCTTTTTTAAAAAAAAAGCGTTATTTCCATCAATTAAGTTGTCTAAGAAACCTTTAATTATTGACTATGCATATCAGAATCGCTTGTATATGGCCATATTAATAGTATCCTTCCTTCGCTCTAGCTTTTGTCATGAGAATAATACTAACAAGTATGATTGTAATCAAAAGGAAATAGGAATAAGTCTTTACATTACAAGTCGGGAGTCAATTGGAGAAATTATCCACTATTTGTAGTTCAATACAAATGTCTCAATACGCCTGGTTGACAAACGGCGATGGATCAACCATTAAGTCATTAAACTCGACCATTTCTCGAAACAGTTGGATTATATATGCTAATCTACTCTGGTTAATAAAACAGCTTTTCTTACCTATTAATCATCGCCAATTCATTGTTAATTGGATTTGTATTTCTATATTTCTGTGTTTGTCTTAATTTAAGTAACGTAATAACATTGCACTCTTTAGTATTATGGTTATCATATAACATTTGAAAATGTTGGGATTTCTTCCTTTGACGTTCTGCATCGGATTTTCTCTGCGGACTTTCTCTTATCAAACGGCTTGATCTTTACGAGTAGTTCTTCCTTCCTATCACTTTTGTGGATCATCCTTAAGCAACTTGGGTGATTACCTGAAACTTGCATCCAGTTCTTGGCTGTCTGCAATGCATAATCATAAGCATCCCTAGAGATTGAGGGTTCATAGTATGTATATATGTAAAAATCCCAACCGTCCTGACGAGCGGGAATTCCCATTTCCCAATCATCCCAGTCAGTGTGGGTGTCACGGAACCAGCGGGTGAGAAGGTCTAGCGCCGTTACAAGAATATCAACCGTCTGAGCATTGCCTAAGGAATTGAGTACTACTGACTTGCTCAATTCATTTTCAGACTTCCCCCTAATCCATGGGTTAGAACACTCATATCCTAAATCTGGGCGCTGGAGATCAACAAATTGTGGCTGTTCCCCCTCGATAGAACACAATGGTCGGGTTGCATTCAATGCTTGAATTTCCGAGATAGCAATCGCAATTAAAAAGAAATAATGAATAACATTAACCATATTGGGAATAAAGAAAACTGAGACTATCCTTCATGAATGGCATAGTACAAAGTAGGGTCCACGTTAGTTTCACTTAACAATATAATAATAACAAGGGGTTCTTCAACGCTACGAAGCGTAAAAAGCACCTCGCCGTAACAATATCGAGTTGTTACAACCTGACTCTCTCAAAAGATACACCCAGGGGGGTCGCCTTCTTATTATAAAAAGCCTTAAATAAGACAATAGAAAATGCCGCCAGTGAGAAGGCAAGCGATTACCATTTCAGAAAAAAAGGCAATAAGGAATTTTTACAATGGATTTGAAAGTAAGCCTGGGCAAAAAGCAATAAAAGATTGGTTTGAAGACACGTTTCAAAAAAACATATCTCAAGCAACTATATCGACAGTATTATCTTCAAAATATGATTACTTGGATCATACTGACCTTGTGAATGAAGGTGCAGTAAAGTTGCGACCTGCGAAGTTTCCAGTCTTGGAGAATGCGTTGGCTGAATGGCGGCAACGAATGGAAAAACAAAATTTATCCGTGAGCAGTGAGTCTATTCGGCATGCTGCGATGGAATTATGGAAAAAATTACCGGTTTATCAGAATCAACCACCTCCTGCTTTTAGTAATGGCTGGCTAGAAAAGTTCAAAAAGCGACATCCCTTGCTATCCCAAAAAGAAACTTACACCACCACATCTACGCAATTATCGCCGCAAGAGTTGCCTTCTGTCAATCTTCAACAAGTATCACAGAATTCATTAGAGTCTGCCACATCTACTTCCCTTAATCAAAATTCCATTTCTCTGCCTAATACTCCCCCTATTCTCGGGGATGATGGAGCTCAACCGATCAGCGATGTAGTGCGCATTCACGAGCTAAAAAACAGTTATGCCATCAACGACATTTTTAACATGGATGAAATCTCTTTTTTCTGGAAACTCACTCCCAAACGCATTATCAGGAAAAATAATATCGGAGGCGTTGAACGCAACAAAGCATTTGTAACCGTTACCATTTGCTGCAACGCCAACGGAACTGAGCGGTTGCCTTTGTGGATTATTGGATACTCAAAAGAGCCAAGAGCTTTTCAGGCTGCCAAAATTCCTCCTCATAATTTAAACATAATCTGGAAGCATAATGGTGTAGCTACAATGAGTGATTCTATTATGGAAGAATGGCTTCGATGGTTTGATTCCCAAATGAAAGGTAGAAATGTTCTCTTGTTGTTGGATAGTTCCAGCATCCATCAGACAAGCATACAAAACATTCGAAATTCAAAATATCCTTTAAATAATGTATTGGTTGTCTTATTGCCTCCAAATATGACAAGCATATCCAATCCATGCGAGCAGGGCATCAGCAAAACCTTCAAGGCTCATTACCGTCGATCGTGGATTTATAATATTTTACTGAAAACTGAAAAAGATATAAATCCTTTACGCACTGTAAACATTTTGCAAGCTGTTCGCTGGATGGTGGACATTTGGGAATATCAAATTGAACCTGCTACCATTGCTGGTTATTTTCGTCGCTCTGGTGTATTGGGCCCGTTACTAGAGGCAGAACCAGAACCTTCTGAAACTTCACGGATAGTATCTCAATTACAACAGACAGTTTCAAGGTTTGATAGTCAGAAAACCGCCGATATTGAAAATTTCATCGATCCACCTGAGGAATTAAATCAAGACCAAGACGGTTTGTTGGTCAATCAAGTTGCGGCCCACTTCCTTCCTGATCGTGATTTTGAAACCGACGAGGATGAAATCATTGAACCATACGTCTCACTCAAAGACGCTTCAAAAGCTTTGGAAATAATTCTAAAATATGAGCAGCAGCAAGATTTTGGTGATCTTAATTTAATCAAGACACTAAATATTTACCAAAAAGCCCTCAATGTAAAAATAGAAAAGTCCTCCAAGATGGAATTTATTAACACGCTTTTTTAATGATAATTTTATTTTTAATCTTTCCTTTAATTCTTTGCTGTTCACATTATTCTGGTAATACAGAAAACTACCTTTTACTTTCGAACATATAATTCCTATACTCTGATCTTTCCAATATAATGAAATACGACTAAAAAGTTATTCATAAATAATATGTCTATATTGTCTATAAGTCTATAAGTCTATGAGGAGGTCTAAGTTTAAATAATTTACAACATATTAATGATGCTTTTATAAACTCTAGTTATCAGAAGAGAACATCAACAAAAAACTTCATGATAAATAGTAATTCCTGCGTATCAAAAATGTGTTAACTCTATGCCATCTGACTACAAGTTGTCAAATTCCTGTCACTTAAAGCCGGATACAAAGATGACTTGTAATGATTCGTTCTTTTCTTAGGCTTTTGCATCATATAATTGTTCACAAGTGAAGAAATTCTGTTCACAACCGGAGCTGGATAACGTTTGCGCTTTAGCTGTTCCACAATTTGGACAGCTTCTTCCGTGTTGTTGACGCTCAAATATGCACGAACCATATTTTCGTAGGTACTCGGTTCTTTGCCAGACATACCGTCATATTCCAAAAGATCAAAATAGTATCTGGCTTTACTAATCATTCCAATTTTTGTAAAACCCTTAATTAAAGCATTTACAATGTAAGCGTTTAAAGACACACCATACTTTTTCATATCACAAACGATCTGAACTCTCTCCATGATGCGATCGTTGGCAATTAAAGATTCTATTTGGGACTGAAAAAGATTTGCGTCTAGTCGGATCTCCCCGGCTTCGTGCTTGGCAAGTGCAACAAGATAGCACTGGTTAGCAGCTTGAACATCAGACATCACAATACCAAGAATATGAATATAGGCAGCATAATGCATCGGAAGAACCTTTACATTGGTTCGTTCCATTAGTTCAAGTATCGCCTCAACTGATGTAACGTCGACAGGTTCAAGCATACCATAAGCATCCATTAGCAATTTATATGTATGAGGGGAAGGTTGTATGTCTGTCGAACACAATCGATTATAATAGTATAATGCCTTCTCCCGATTATACATAGTTTGGACTTCAAACTGGATCATGGTATTATAAGGTGCCACCCGAGGCTGATAATTGGATTGATTTTCCATTTCACAAAATAATTTTTCAGCCAAAGCCTCATCACCAATTCGGCAAGCAGCATTTATGACTGTTCCATAGGTCACACTAGTAGGGAGCAAACCAAATTCTTTCATTTCCTGGAAAAGTTTCCAGCATTCGGTGGTACGACGAGCTCGACCTAGTTTAGAAAGAACTGCATTATAAAGAAAAACAGAAGGCTTAACGTTATGACGTTTAGTTTCCTCGAATATCTTCAACGCAGTGGTAGCATCGTCGGTGTCTCCACGTTTCGTTGAGTTGTTGATCAGATGTGCAAAAGTGGAAGCTCGAGGAATGTAGCCTATAGATTTCATTTGCTCACAGAACATAGTCGAGCCTCTAAAATCACGGGCAAAAGAGGAAGATAACACCATCGAGTCTAATACCAAGGCCATAAACCAGTTTGCCTTCTCAACAGACGAAGCACGTATTTTACGATAAAACAATTTCGCATGTTCAAATACGCGACGGACAGCGTCAAATTGTTTATGCTTACTCAAGGCTGACACCAACGAGGGATAAACTTCTGGATGTAAAAACTTATTGTTTTCAATTAACTTCCCAAATTGAAAAAATAACAGATTAGCATCAATTTGCTCAGCTGAAGTACTCGACACCATTTTTGATACACTAGAATTAACTTCATGATCGATTAACTGAAAATGATCAAAGAAATAGCAGACTTGCGAAATATCTGCCAACATTTTTTGACCTTTATTGTCAGTGGAAAACCCAATGACGGCTTCAGAAACAATATTATCTCGCACTAGTTCAACCAAATATTCATCTTCCCTCAAGTAAGAGAAGGAACGAAGTAAAATGTGAACATTCTTAAAGGATGCAGGGTATTCCTTACTAGAGAAAACTTGTAACAACTCCTTTAGGTCTCGCTTACTGGAAACTGATCCCTCAGTTTGAACGACATTAAAAGCTGCATATTCAAGCAGAAATCCAAATACTCTTGGTGAAAATGAGTTCAAATTTATTGTAGATTTCACTATGCTTTGCACAAGTGTGTGAAGCAATGGAGCAACAAAATCAACTTGAGGAAAATTAACTTGGCTTTCCAGGATAGATAGTAAATGAAACAAAACGTTGGAATCGTTATGAAGTGACTTTGGTAAAATATCCCAGAAACCATTCAATATCGACAATTGTAACGCTGCTGTGTTTATAGAAGGAATATTGCTGGAGGTCGAAACTCTGGGCTCCACGTGCTTTTTGAGTAAGCGCAAAGCGAGACCGACATAACCATTATCAACAAATGCTTTATAAACAGTAGAAAAGTTGCAATTTGTGTAAATAGAAACAGAATTGATTACCGGGTAGACGTGTAATCTTAAAATATCAATGTTATTGGTTTCCACCAATAACTGCAGATACTGTAAAAGTACCTTATGTTCTTCCATAAAACGAGCAAGTGTAAACTTCCGAACGAACCTTACAGCAAAGTTTACGTCCTTTACTTTGCAAGCCGCTTCCAAGATGGAAGATATAATTGCAGAATCTTCTTTATAGCTGTTAATCTTGTCCAAAGCTAAATCTAACCAGATAGCAGCCTCTTTGTAGCTTCCTAAAAGAGAAAGTCTGCGAAGAAAACAGTTAACGACAGAACAAGGAATAGTTTGTTCATGCTTTGTATTTTTGAAAAATGATTCCATGAGTTTAATAGCTTCCGCAGGATGATTCGTTTCAAAATAGGATTCCATGAGGGCTTCCCAAGACTCTACATTTGTGCTATCCAAGTTACTGGTGGGATCCGATAACATATAATTTTGTAAAAGCTGAAAGCAAACTTCCAGTCTTTTGGCTTTTCCATAAGCTCGGATAAGGGCAGGAAGTAAATTAGGATGGCTGTCTGCTTGGATAGACTGGAAAGGAATGCTTTCCAATAAAGACTTCAATTGACTAGAAGTTCCATAACGAGCGATAGAGTCGATGAAAGAAGCATAGAAAGAATTGGAATAGGGAATATTGTGGTTTATCAAGCTGGAAGTGTACATAAAAACAGCTGTTTGCAAGGGCATTTCAGAGCGTAAATCAGATAATTCAGTTTGCAAATCCTTAACGATATGAGGCTGAGCAAACGCGGTACGACTTACAAGAAAATTAACTCGATCATCAATGACCTTCGCACGTCGACACAAGGCGGTAATGACGGTTTCGAAGGTTTTTGCATCAGGAACAATAAAGTGATTTAACATGTCTACATAAACTTTGATAAGCTTCTGCATGTTCTTAGAAGAATTGATATAATAATCATTGTTCGTCATGCATTCAAGAAGAGTGTTAAAAGCGTCCAAGTTCAAGACTCCTGGAGAATCGCAAGCAATCTTGTATAACTCAAAAGTGTGAATGGACAAGTTACTATGAGAAAGACGCTGAAGAAAAGAAATAAAATTCGCTGGAGAAGAAAAGGAGCTGGGGGGTAAAGAAGCCAAGGAAGATTCCAGAGAAGGAGGATAAGACTGATCTATAGAAGGACTGGTCAGAGCAGATGGAGTCTCTAAAGAGAGAGGAGAGGTGGCAGAAGAAAGTTCTTGAGGATTGTTGGCTAATTCCTCAGGGGTCATAGGTTCGCATACAGTTGGAAGCGAAGAGGGAAGAAGAGAAGGGTGTGGAATGCCATTGATATCTAAATATTTAGAATGGTTCTGAGTAGATAGAGTCTGCTTTGGATCAGATAGAGGAGGGTCACGAACACTTATAGGAAATCCACGTTCAAGGGATAGATAGTCTTCCTCGGAAATATAATAGTGTTCAGGAAGGTTTTGCTTAGAAGAAGAGGTCGACAAATTTGATTGAGCTTGCTGCTGCTGAATCCAGTTTGTCATATTTGTAAGTTTTAGAGGAGGCCGATGGACAGCGACGTTTTTACCTAAGGTTTGTCTAGCAATATTTTGCAAAAACGAAGCTTTTGTATATACCATTATGAAAACCTGAAAGACGGTGGTATCTATTGTGTACAATCCAAACAAAAAATAAACAACAAAAAAAGAGGAAATCTAAACGGTTAAAAAACAAGATGAAAGAGAAAGTAATTCCGCGAACAAAAACAAGGTTAACGTCAAGAGATCGACCAAACAGAAAAAAAATGAAAGAAACAAAATAAATAAGCTGTAATCTAAAGAATTCCAGGGGAGTTTTTTAACCAAAGGAGGACGTAAAAGACACAAAAACGAAAACAAAAATTTTAGGCAAGACTACAAAAAAATGTATTCGTATGAAAAAGCGAACACTTAGCCACTAAACAAATCAGCGAGTTGATCCAATTGCACAATTGTTTTCAGTCAGAACTCCTAATCAAGGTAGATAGATAGAAAGGGCTTTCTTGAGCTATGATTAGCGCACCAACGCTTTTATAGCTTTATAAACAAAAGAAAGACAATCAGGAAGACTGCGCAGTAATTTTTTACACAAGGAAAGGAAAGGCAAAAAAAAAACTTAATAATTGTTGTTTCAGGAGAAGGGAGATATGAGAATGCGAACTAAAGAGAAAAAAAGAGGAGCGAAAACGAGAATAAAACGAAAATCAAACAAAGCAATGTATCACAAGTAAAAGACAGAATCGAACAAACCTACAGGAACAACTTGACTAAAGTTTGCCAAGCAACGAAGAAGAGCAATAAAGGCAATTCTTTAGGGTAATGAGCCAGACTGAAGAAAATGGGTTCGATCCCTTGTCCTTATAAAAAAGAATGGTAAAAAAAAAAACAAATGAAAAAACAAAGTGATGATAGACGACGAGATTAACAAATCCCGAAAAAAAAATTTCTTATTCCTTTCTACACAATGACAATCTTCGAAAACAAAAGTATAAGAAACCAGGTTTCTAACTTGTTTTCCTCTTTTGATTCTGTTTGTTGTGGTGTAGAATAAGAGCGATAATCGATGAAGAAAAAGGTCAAAATTTACGAGAACTGCTTCTCGAATCAAAACTAGCGCTGAACTCAAAGCTGACGGTGTGTGGCGGAAGGAGCGTTCGAATTGGTTGTTGATATAAATTAAAAACCCGAGTCCACACCAGGGGGCAATGAGCTTTTTTTACCGAACGTATGATGAAGCGATTACGAAATCATGCCACTTCGGTAAATAAAAAAGGGGATGATATTACTAACGATTAAATTATCTTGGAAACGGCTCAATACAATATGCCTAAATAATATTGTTATATTACTAAGGGAAATGGTCGATGGTCATAGGTAATATAGTCAGGCATTCGTAAATACACTCCTATACATTTGCTTGCTCAGTTTATTTATATGAGAAGGGTCAGTATATTTAAAAGACTACAAGGAGAATATCCAAAGAAATATTAGGGAAAAAGGCGAGAATATAACTCTAAATAAATTTATTCGGAATTCAAAGGATAAGAGAATGAATTGAATTGTGAGAACCAGTGGATTATTGACTATCAGAGAAGCTCTTTATTGATTTATTTGTTAGCCATTTTTTCCCTAAAATCAATTCAATTCTTATTTAATTACGCTGAAAAAATTCACCATACCAAAACCACAGTAAACTTTTATTTATTTATTTATACATTCCTTTATTTACATTGCCAGCTATGCATGCAGCATTGCTTTGTTGATATTTCGTCCCCCACATGGTACTTGCGTGGACGAGTATATAAATAACAAACGTAAATAATTTCATACACGAAATTGCTCTTTGCAGTTGGCAGATCTATTTGTCAATTCATTGCAAATGATCGCTTTTTGGAGCCTTTTTATTTTATTTTCGGTCTCCTTGGCCAATTCCTTTGAATTTGCTTGGAAGGTATGTTTGTTTTCTTCGTAACTCAAGTTTCTCTTTCACCTTGTCCAAAGATCGTTTAACTTTGTGCCTATATTATTTCTCTCAAAATCTTATTATTATTTTTTCGTTTATTGCTAACCTTTATTTCTTGTTTAGGCATGTCCCAATTTTAAAGACTTTTCCACTAGAAAGCACTTTCCCCTTGATGGTTCCCTGAAGCTTCCGTTCCAGCGTCCTGTACAAGCCTGTCGTACTTTTCATTCTCAGGCTGTAGAACAAACGATTGACGATGTAAAAAGCCAACTTGCTGACGAAGATCTCGCTCGTCTTTTCGAAAACTGTATGCCCAACACTCTGGACACCACCATTCGCTGGCATTCTGAGTATTCTGAGCATCCACAAACTTTGGTTATCACAGGAGACATTCCTGCTGAATGGATCCGTGACTCTGCCAATCAGCTTGCCCCTTACCTCCCTCTTGTTAAATCAGATCGTCCCCTGTCCAGCCTAATTTTAGGTGCCATCCAAACCCAAGCTGAAATGCTGATTCAATTTCCCTACTGCAATGCTTTTCAACCACCCAAACAAAGCCATATTGGTGGAAACGACAATGGCCAAAGTGACCGCGTAACTCCAGCATACGATCCCCAGGTTGTGTTCGAATGTAAGTACGAGCTTGACTCTCTTGCAGCCTTTCTTAAGCTTTCCCATAGTTATTGGCTTTATAGCAAAGACGAATCTATCTTTACCCCTAAATGGATCTCTACTGTGCAGGTTATTTTCCGAGTCTTGGAAGAACAATCTACTCCCACTTTTGACGAGAGAACTGGCCTTCCTAAGCATCCCGTTTATACCTTCCTTCGTCAGACGGATGCTGGAACTGAAACTCTTGGCCTTTCTGGTCGTGGCTTTCCTCTCAATAGAAATAGTTCGCTCGTTCGAACCGCTTTTCGTCCTTCCGATGACGCATCTATTCTCCAGTATCTCATTCCTGCCAATGCCATGATGGTAGTTGAGCTTTCCCACCTTTATGAGATGCTGGAAGCTGCTGGCCATGCTGATTTAGCAAAACTTGCCATGACCTGGGCTAACAAAATATCAGATGGTATTCGTGAAAATGGGATTGTAGAGCACCCTAAATTTGGAAAAGTTTACGCTTATGAAGTAGATGGATATGGAAGTGCCATTTTCATGGATGATGCAAACATTCCTTCTCTCCTTTCGTTGCCCTATCTCGGTTTTGTCGAACGCGATGATCCCGTGTACTTGAATACAAGGAAAATGGTTTTGAGTCCCGATGGAAATCCATATTTCTTAAAGGGAAGTGTCATTTCCGGTATTGGGGGTCCCCATATTGGTTTACGCAACGTTTGGCCCATGAGCCTTATTATTCAGGCTATCACTTCCGATGATGATGATGAAATTCGCTCTTTATTAAACACAATCAAGCGTTCTACTGCTGGTCTTGGTTTAATGCACGAGTCTGTCGATGTCACTTCTTTCGCACGTTACACAAGATCCTGGTTTTCTTGGGCGAATTCACTTTATGCTGAGCTAATTATAGATTTACTGGAGAGAAAACCTCATTTATTGAAGGAAGACCAGTCTACTTGATTACCGTAATCTATCTACGCGTTTTTTTCACGAAGCTTAATCCACAGATGATTTGCTTAGGACAGAAAGGATATATATTCTATCTTTTTTTTACAGAAAACAATAATGATCATGCCATGACTTAATTTCCATTGTTAATCATTGCTTTTAGGAGCTTTACCTGTAGTAGTTTAATCTACAAGAAACAGCAATTGAATCCTTTTCTTTTTTTACTTTGACAAAGGGAAAAAGCAGTGGGAATGTTTCTATGTAATCTTGTATTATATCGTATGTACAGGTTACTGAAGGCTACAGACTACCTTTGATTTTTTGAAACGACCATCACTAATTGTTATTTGTTTTTTATATTACATTCCAACTAAGGAGATTTCTGTGTAGAAACTAATCATATAAAAAAAAATTGTAATCTTCCTCTGCTATAAGTGACCTTTTGTTCGATTTACCATCGAATTGAGTGCCCCCTCAGAACCAAGATAAAATAGGATCAGAGACGGATACTCAAGAGATGAACAAGCCTATTATCCTATTTGAAAACGAAAACGAAGGAAAACCAGAAGAAAATGTGTCCTTAATGCCTTGTTTTATTGGTTTTGATGGACCAGCTCCAGTTTCTGAATTTTTTCATAACAAAATCTCAAATAAAGATGATTCTAATAAACTTTTGGCATATTTTCGAGGAAGAGAATTGAATGGAAGTATACTACAGCTGCCTGAAAACTATGTAGGTGAATGTGTTGAATTCCCATTACTAAAGAGTGAGGATCATTCCTTCACTGGAAATAAATCAGAAAGCGAGGATGAAGCAAATGTTTCTGATGAACACTGTCCGGCATCATCAACCTTTTCACAATTTAAAATCTGGGATCGAGACGTATCCACATCTATAGAGCAAAACAAATGGTACAAAGGTGTCATCGAGTGGACTCAGTTTGCATCCAGAGTAAGTTGTCTTTCACTTTTAATATAGCTAATAATCCTTCTTAGATTGCTAGCACCGAATAAAAGCGGGCAAAAGGTTTCGTTCTTCGAGAAATCTTGGGATATTCACTTTCTTTTGGCTCTACTTATTTTTTTTGCATTTTATTTTTTTCTATTTTAACTTAAAATCTTCATCCAAACGGTTTGCCGAATTTGTCTCCAGATGAACTTTCATTTATTCTCACTTTCTTTTTCGCTAATAGCATATGCTTAATACTTGATTATATCTTTATGCTTATATTTATTCCTTTCGTTGTAACCAAAGGCTGTTACTCTAAGCAGGTGACAGTCAATGTCAAATTCGTTCAACCAAAAGTTTTCAGTACTTCTATAGACAACAAGAAAATTCACGTAATACTGGTATTTCTCGCTTGATGTTTGATTAATATCCTCTTAATTTTGATTAGCTGTTTTGAAAACATTTCATCCTTCTTTTGTTTGTGTCGTTCTTTTCTCTACAAACCTTTCTTTTGGATTTACACATTTTGACATTCTTTTTCTTATTTTATTTTCATTCGTTTTTCTTTTGTTTTTTGAGCTTAAAACGGTTCGTTGTTGTTTATGATTTAGGTATTTCATCAATTTCTTTCTCACAAGAAAAATAATTTTGTTTTTTTGGATGTTTCCTGAAAATTCCCATGAGGATGGTGCGTCTTCAAATCATAGAAAAAGCGCTTTCTGGAAAAGGCTGAGTCAAGACTCGGCGTACGAAAAACCGAGGAGATCAAGACATGTGCAAAGCTACTCAATATCTGATTTTCCTAGCGAATTACAACCTACAAGAGCTGCTCCTGAACCTCCTAAAGGTAAATTTACTCAATATGCGCGTCGATTCAGCAGTCATATAAAAAGCCTTTTTTCCAAAAAGGCTTCTTCCCCTTCTGGAACTTCGAACCCATCTTATAATACTTTCTTCCATAACCATCATCATCATCATCGGCTTCCTGTACAGACAGACATTGTACCATCGCCAAGAGAAATGGATTGGAACTATGAAGTCAAAGTACCAAATAAAACGACTCTCAGCCCCAGGAGAACGTATGTAAGAGGTCACTCTAATGGAAAAAAGTCCTCTTATCTTGGCCGTTCTCGTTCCTTGAATTTGCGACCTGAATCTACTTCTATCTCTTTCCCGCTTCATCTGTACAAAAGCGACACAGCAGGAAGTAATCCAAGAACGGCTTTTCCTGCTCGTACTTCTTCAAGTTCTACTTACTCCTCATTGCCGAGAGTATCCGGTGATAACGAGTCGTTGAAGCTTGCTCCTATTGAATCTTTGAATGCAACGGCAAATCGAAAGACAGAGGGCTATGTATCTATTTTAAATCGAAGAAGCGTGCCTAATCCCCCATCGTCCTTGAACTTTGGAGAATGGGATACAACTCCCCTTACTAATATTCAGGAAAAATCTACTGATTAAAAGCTCTGCCTAAAGACAGCCTGGCTGCTTGATTGGAAATGGATAAGTACAATGGAACTGATCTTCATATTCATCCTTAGACGTGTTTTATAATGATTTGTTCATATAATCCAATACCGCTTATCGATTTGTAATAAAAGGAATTGGCAGGTAAGTGTTTACCGAAGAAAAACTATTAGTGACAGTTCTCCCTGTTTGATAGTTATCGGTTTCGGGCCTAATGCTAGCCTGGTATTCACATCGATCGAGTTTCTTGTGTACGAGCTAAACCCATGGAAAACTATTTGGTATCATTGACGATGTTTATATACTACAGGAAAAGGGTTTCCTATCATCAAAATTTAAAAGTAAGCAAGCTTTTAGGAACGAGATGATATATCTAAAAAACATAGGAAGAGCAAACGTTTAATTCTATTTTAAGAGTCTTCTTCATTAGAATTGTCTTTTTGCCCTTTTTTGGATACCTGGTAACCTCGTTGTGCGTTCACCGAGTCGATAATTGTTGCTATTTCATTACGAGATTAATAAGAAGTTGAGGCGTAATTATAACTTCATTCGAAACTGTATAATTACTTACAAAGGAGGGAGCATGAAAGCGGCTGATCGCGCATTCATGATCGGGAATGAGTTAAAGTGTGATTACTGATGAAGTCAGCAAAATGTTGATATAAGGCTATAAGTTTTTGGATGTGTTGCTATCGACGTGGATTTCAATTGTGATCTTATTGTCCAATTTAAAAACTGAATAACTAAAAATCGAATTCTTGATTTCTAAAAAAATGTCAATACTTCTTCTTCAAGACACCTGGTTTTTAATTCACAATTTCGAACTTGTCTTTTGTACTAGTTGGAAGCCATCCCTTTTTCAGATTGCTATTTTTTATTGTCATGTGGTGAGGGTGTGTCGACCTTGGAATGACTCTGATGAAACCATCGGAATGTACATAATGGTTTTTACAAACAGCCATTTTTTTATTTACCAACGAATCTTTCTTAATCTTCATTAATTTTCGGCGGTTTTGTTAATGGTTTATGCCTATTCATTGCAGCAAACAAAAGTAATTTTACACCTAATTTTGCAATGTGCAGCATCAATCATTTAATTTTCTTTTTATACCCTTTTCTAGATAGCCATTTTTGTTAACTATAATTCATTTATTAACGCTCATATACTAGATTGTAAATCCATTTAACATTCATAATAGCTTTGTAATTTTATATATTATAGTGATTATGCAGATACGATCATAAAAAAGGGTAATCATAAGGGATTTGTAGCAAAAGGAGGAACGTGAACAGACTGCTTTTCTGCTTGTTTCCTACACCAATTTTCAAAATTGACTAGGGCAAGTAACCGAGATTCATTCGGCAAACCTTGAGATTTGAGCATCGCCAAGTTTGCCAGATTTGCAACACGTTCGCGCTGGGAAGGATCCAACGCATTCTTTAGTGCCGGTGTATAAGAAGCGGGTGGAAAGCAAAGCAAAGACATTGTCAACTCAAGTGAAGTAAGAAAAGAAGGATTTAAAGGTGCAATTGGAGCCAAGTTTTCAGTAGCAAATGTCAGACATTTCTCGATCGTAGCGTCTGAAGCATCGTCTCGATTCATGGCTTCACGAATTAGCTCTATAAGCTTTAAGCGCAAAAGTTCAAATAGAAGCTCAGAATTTTTGTCAAGAATCTTTATAATGAAAAGTTAGAAGTAAAAGTTATCGTTAAGTAAGAGTGAGTTTGTGGCATACCTCAGGATCTAGTTCATTAAGCTGATAAATTGCCGAATTGATAGACCCTTCACGAATTAATTCACAAACTTCCATCCGCTCTCGGATACTTCCGGGAATAAAGTAGTCTTCAATTCCAGCCTCAGACGCAAAAGTACGAGCTCCTTGTTCATTTCCCTGAATGATCAAGTAATCTAATACCAACAAGTTGATGTCACTGAATACAAAAGAAAGTTATTATACTTCTAGCTCAATTCACTTACGCTGTGTTTAACCTGATTTTATGACAACGGGCTTCCCATGTCTCAGAATTCGGTGAAGACCTATCACTCATGAAAATATCAGCGGAAGATGACCCGGACCCTCCCATAGTTGAAGAATTCTTGAATATTCTCAATTTCTTCTCTTGATCAGAAATAAACAGCGTTCAGTCAGCCACCAGCAATAATTTAATGTCAAAATATTCGTGAATTCCAGATCAGTCACTTGGAGTATCGCCGCTCAACCTAGATAAATTATTATTCTTAGTTTTCTCTTTACAATTGAAATATCCAACAATTATTATGAATAATCAAGCAATTCGTTCTTTAGTGCTTTCTTCATACTTATTATCCTATGAAGCAGGCACGATTTAGCGATGTCATACGCTTCGTAAGAGGATTGTGTATTTCGTTAAACCAAGAATATTAGGTAAAAAAAGCAAGGGTAAATATACTTAAACTTGAAAAATACCACTATTCATGAATTGTTAACTTAACGTAAGAAATATATTTTACTCTAATGTTGAATTTGCGAGGACCGAAATGTCATTGAAATGAAGGAACTGTGTAGAGATTTGAGGTTCCATAAACAAACCACCATAAACAACGAAAACATCTAATATGAGCAGAATTGGCGAAAGTACCTAAGGATTTTGAAGCGTAAAGTTATTTTTAGTTGAAAATAATTGAATTTAGGAAAAGGAATCTGTTAGACTTAAAATTTTTGGTTTGATAAAATCGGGACGTTAGAAAACTTATGAGCGAAGGGATTAGACCTGTTTAATTTATTAATTAAAATGTCAAATGAAGAATCTGGTAGCGAAGATGAAAATGACTGGCTTGATTTAGACTTGGGTCAACCAGCTGCCATCGAAAGAAAGACCTTATTTGAAGAGCAACCACTCAACCTGGACACGGAAAAGAGTATACAAATAGACGAAAATGTGATTCGAGAGAAAAAGCCAGCGAAAAAAGCGAGTTTAAAGATTACTGCAGCTGACCGGAAAATCCGACTGCAAATTCATCAAATGCACCTACTCTGCCTTACCTATCATCTTTGTATCAGGAATTCATGGTGCAATGATAAAGTTCTCAAAAATCTTGCCAGGTTTGTTCCACCAGGTATAAAGGCATCTCTGCACTGTTCGCCGCAGAAGTCACAAATGATCCGAAATAAAAGCTTTCATCAAGCTTTAGTTGCATTAACTGAAATATGGAAGCGTCATTTCAAAATTATCAGAAACGGGTTACGAAGGCCTTGGTATGGGGCCTTACAAAATGACACTTTAGGATGTGAACCTGTTTCCAAAGAAGACTTTCTTAAGGCAGCAAAGTCTCTTGAAGGTGACCGAGACATGGGATGTCAGTTATTTGTTTCTCTACTTCGATCTTTGGATATTCCTGCGCGCCTGGTTTTTTCTTTGCAGACTTTGAGTTTCCGCTTTGTTGGTGCGTCTGCTGAAGGACAAAGTCCACAGACAAGTGCTAATTTTTCTCAAGATAGCTTGGAATATCTTTTTTCACCGAATCCTTCTGATGTCAGTCCAGCGGCGCCAAAACGTAGAAGGACGTTAAAGCCAACTTTTTCATCATCTTCTCCTATTCGAGCATCACCTGCTGTTTATGAACAGCAACTTATTGATTCTCCAAAGCCTGTTTTCTGGGCTGAAGCTTTCAATACATCAATGCAAAAATGGGTTTGCATCGATCCTTTCGGCGATGCCTCCTCTGTGGGTAAGCCTAGCCGTTTTGAGCCATCTTCTTCAGATCCATTAAACCAAATGGCTTACGTTTTTGCCGTCGATTCTCATAGATATTTAAAAGACGTTACAAGGCGATACACTTCACACTATTATCGTATCATGAGAAATCGCCTTGAAATTTTCCCTTTTGGAAGTGATTGGCTAAATTCATTTTTATCCAAATTAAAAAAACCACAGGAGATGTATAGAGATAGTGACGCTATAGAGGACGCCGAATTGTTGAGATTGGAACAAGCAGAAGGGATTCCAAAAAATATTCAAGACTTAAAAGATCATCCGGTGTTCGCAATTGAAAGACATTTGCGAAAAAACGAAGTCATTGACCCTAAGAAATCATGCGGAAGAATTTCCACTAAAAAGGGAGTGGAGTTTGTATACCCACGAAAATACGTTAGGCTTGTTTTTTCTGCTGATCGTTGGTATCGCAAAGGTCGTATTGTAAAACCTGGAGCCCAACCTTTGAAGCACGCTACAGATAAAACGAAAGGTAATATCCCATTGTATGCTGAAGATCAAACTGATATTTATACACCTAAACCAGTTGTGGCCGATATTGTCCCAAAGAATGCTTATGGAAACATTGATTTATATACTTCGAATATGCTACCCTATGGCGCTTATCATTGTACTCATGAGTTTGCTGAAAAAGCTGCTAAGTTATTAGAAATTGACTACGCTCGTGCTGTAACAAGCTTTGATTTTCATAAACGTATGTCTCGACCTCACTATACTGGTATCGTTACTTCGAAAAAGTTCAAAGAAGCCTTACTGCAGGTTGCGGAAGGTATAGAATGGATCCAAGAAGAAGAAAACTATAAGCAGAACGTTAAAATGGGAGTTCAGTTGTGGAAACGTATATTATCTGGGTTACAAATACGGCAGCGTATCATGGAAGAATATGGTTAATTCGGTCAGTTGTATTTATGTGCTCTTTATTCCCTAGAATTTTTCAGACATTATAAAAGGACCTTAAAAGGTAATAGCATTATTACTAATAATTAATTCTAACTATACATCATGTAATTTAAAAAGTATCTGTCAAAAGTTGTGTTTTTTTCGAAATACGCTTATCCAAAGAGATCAAGAAATATAACGAAAAGAAAAGCATTTAATCGGTCCAGACCATCCCATAGTTTTTAAAAAGTACTCAACATACTGCAATTGAATGTTCTTTCAGTTGAGTACGCCAACTTAGGCAATAATCCTTCCGCTCGAGACTTTTTATAACTCCATTGTGTAGCATTCTGCGTATCCCAATTCCAATAGAACCAACCCCACGTTCTGTCGAAAGTTTCAATTTGGGCAGTAGCGAAGTTATAAAGTAACTTACGATACTCTTTTTTATAATTAGCAGGATCATCGTTAGCAAAGGAACAAGTGCAATTTCTTTGAAGAGGACAGCATTGAGCATATCCATTTGGCGAAAATGTTCCATCCCATCTCGCGCCCTCTCCCACGTTGTTCAGAAACTCAGCACAATCAGTATCAGCCAAACTCCATTCGCCGACTATTGTTGGAAGCTTTGCTTTCTGTTCAACCTCCTCTCTCCATGAGTTACAAATAATGTCAAGCTTATCCTTATACGATAAGGCAATAAGGTAATCATTGAAAATTGTGTACCTATGTGCATCAATGAGCACATTCGGAAAATGGAAGGCATCAAACTCTTTTTCCCAATTACCTGGTCCCCGAAAGCCGTCACTTATAGATATCAAAGTGCTGGGATGAGTAGATCTAACAATTTTGTACGCTTTTTTATGCCAATCAGTTATTAACTTAGGATCCGTCACAAAAGAATTTGGCTCGTTCAGTAATCCGTAAATAGTGACGACATTCCTGTATCTATCCTGAGAAAAGAAGGCTGATAGTTGCTCATGTATCTTTAAAGTACGATTAGCATTTTGTTTTCCTTCGGGTCCAGAAAGCCAATTTAACTGACCCAGGTAACCACCATGATTCCAAGAATTCTGGTTTCCTGGAGCTGCATGAAGGTCCAAGTTAACACGTAAACCTTGAGAACGAGCCCATTCTATGGCTCTCAATAAATAACGCCAACCAATCCCAGAAGCACTTGTTACATTCATATCCTTTTCCAGAATCCAAAAAGGAAATGTGATACGTACATGATCTAGTCCAGCTTCGCGAACTTCCTCAAGTGTCCTTTTTGTTACAAACGTACTGTAATGCTCTTCTATAACTCTTGTTGCGTTTTCTCGAAGATATTGGTGTAAACTTAACTCATCGCGTAATATATAGTGCGTTCCATTTTTGACTTTAAAGAAAGAAGGAGTAATAAATGGCTCAATTGAAAGCCAACCACCCAGGTTAACGCCACGAATTGGTATTTGACCATACGGAAAAGGTTGGTTTAAAGGAGGAACTGTTGGATTTGCTTGAACCGAATCATCATAAGTATCATTAAGTCCCATGATACTAAGGTTTCCAACCGTTTCACTGGTAAACGTAGTATTGAAATCCGTTGTATCCAACCATGTGCCAGGATCTAACAATGATCGCTTTGCGTATTCCGGAATTTGATTAATTGTAATGTTGCTTTCATTGCTAGTCCTAGAAACGGGTAATGAAAAGTTTTCCCTTGTAGCCAAATGTTCACCTTGGCTTCTTGCGGTAGGAATGATAACGCAGAAAATTACAGGCAAAAAGACTGCTAGACAAACAGTGACGGATAAAAAGCAAACGATTATCGCTATTAAAGTGATCGCTTTCCTAGAATATGATTTAATTGATTGGGGTACGCTGAAGTCATCATCTAAATCCTTTTTATATTCAGCTGAGTCCGTATTCATTACATCTCCCATAGTAAACAAAAATAAAGTGAGAGAATCTGACAAAAGAAAGACCGTTAACAAACGATTGTTATTAATGCTTGGGTAAAGCAAAAAAATAAATTAAACAATACCATGTTAGTACTTATTTATTAACGACCTTTAGCATCCAGCAAATATTTTAGTCATAAGCAGTCCGGAAATTTCAGACTGTAAAACCATCAGAGTGACGTTACCAGAACTTTACAATTCTTTTCATATAACGAAAATCAGGAAGGATTATGCAAGGCTTATAGCCTTAACTTCTGTATCGAACTGTGCAATAGCAATCATGTAAGTACGTGTTCGGTAGCTGCTAAATGTTCGTTCCGATATGCCTTAATTTTTCGTTCAACGTTAACTTTTTCTTGTAAAATCTTCTCTTCTTGTAGTTTCTTTGAGTTTTCGAAAGAGTTTACTTCATCAGCGAAAGTTTCATACAGTGTTTCGATTTCCTCACGTACTTCCTGATAGCTATTTGAAACTTTTTTTAGTTGACTTGAAGCTCCAACAAATTTCTCGTATAGTTTTTCATAAATATTAATTGGCACCGTAAAAGCTGACGGATCATTTTTTCCCACTATTTCATTATTAAAATCCTTGGCTTGTTGGTCATAGTCAAACGGACCCATGTCTGAGGAAGACACTACGGGGAGTATGTGTTCTTTCTTATTAATAGATCTTTTTGTATTCACATTTCCATTCCTATGTGGGTTTGAGTTTTCAGTGCTCCAAGAAAATTCAGATCCTGCTTGCTTATTTATTTGTGAAACTGGATTTATATGATCGGTAGGCACAGTAGAAGCACTTTCCTGATTTTGGTTAGAATTAACACCTATCGTCTCAAAGTTTTCATCTTTCGGGGAAGTCGGTTGTTCATTACTATTTGGTTGGGGAAGGGGGTGAAGCACTCGAGGAGAAGGAGGTCGAATTTGGAATATTTTCTGAGCATTTAATGATATATACTCAACCAACTGATACATATCATTGATCTGCTCTTTTGGTAGGATCACTGCAGCGATAGAGGCAAAAAATTGGACACGTTCGTGAGATCCTCCACGAAGTTTGGACAAAACAATTTGTACGATAGAAAAAAAGACAGAAAGCATCTTTATTTTAATCTTGGGAAGAGAAAGAAAATTGCTTTTAACCTGTTGAAGGAAAAATTCATGGTTGAGATTAGAGTTATCAGAGACAAGCTTTCGAAGAGCGAAACAAAATGGCCGGTCCAATATGTGACCAGCCTTTTCATATATTTTATCTTTTACATAAAATAGGAAGGAACCAAATAGTATCTTGGAAGGCACACTTTCTAAAGATATCGGTCGGTATGGGCTGTCTGCGATCAAGAAGCTCAGCTTAATCATCTCTAGCTCTTCAGCTTTCGTAAAGCTATGCAGGACGCTTTCTACTCCAGACTTGATATAAAATGCTGCTTCATAACGCTTCAATCCAAATATAAGGTCGTCAAGAATAACATCTTCACCATCACGAATGCTAGCAAACTTGGGTGAACTAGAGGGGGGTTTTGGTAAAGGCTTCTCCATAAAATATGTTTTTACAAAAATGCTCAATTAAATGGTTAATTGACACACTTTTTGTAAAGTTTTGGTGTTAAGACGCTGATGACAATCTTGTATCACTTTTCGATGCAATGCTTATGAACTTAAAAGGTATTTTAAGTTCCTAAAATTATAATAGTAAATCTCAAGGTCTATTTTCGGACTAATTTAAATACCAATACATTGATTCAAATTTAGGTCAACTGGTGGAGTTGTCAAGGGAAATTGAAGAATACAGAAAGTGAGTTTCACACTTACATTATTATACAAAACATTTTTAAAATATGCTTTTCATTCGTACAGCTTTCTAATATTCTTGGGTAAAATTTTTGTCTTTTGGGTAAAAGCTTTCTATTAAATCTAAGTTATACGAAAATCAAGTGGAATCAACCAAAAATATATAATCAGGAAAATCTAACATCTATAGTAAATATGATTGAGCACTTTAGGCATGCTGATAGCAAGAAAGCCAAAGTACTAGAGTAAAGTATCTAGGGGATGTAAATGAGAAATGAAAGAGGCGTTGGAATGGATCAAAAAGATTGTTATGAATTCTTTTCATTATACCTTTATTGATCGTGAATAAAATTGAAGACAGTGTCATAAAATCCTAGGAAGATGGCACCTCCACCGCTAAGCCAGAGAACACGAGGAACGATACCTGAGAAAAGGGCACGTGTTCCCTCTAAATGAATAATATTTTTCACTGTAGACACATAAGATACTCTCTGCTCATGTTAGAAGGGATGTAATTTGCTATGAAGAGCTTTTCAAGTATATCATTACCTTTTGTGAGAGCATAATTCTCGTTTTGATAACATCAAGGGGAGTAGTAAGCGCAGCAGCAATTCCTCCTGCAATAGATCCTGACATGGCGGCCTCGTGAGCCAAATTTTTCTCTCGGTTGTTCGAAGTCCTCCATGTCTTCTTAAGATATTCCCATAATGGGAACTGTATTAGTGTGAACGGGATTTCTCTTGCAATAGTAATACCATAACCGGAATATAAGCTACGCCAAGATTGCTCAGAATTCCAAATTGTTTGAAGAACATTTCTTGATGAAAGAGTTCCACCAGAAGCTTGAGCTCTTTGCTTAATTACTTCCGTAGGAACTCGTACTAAACAAGCGGCAATTTCACCCATGGATCCAGAAGTCATATGAATTACTGGTTCAGACAATGGTAAGCCAGAACGGCTTAACTTGGATTTCATGGTCTCATAAGTCGTAAAAAACAAAGAAGCTAACAATCGCCGTTAGTTAAGGTTCCTTCATAGAAACTCTCTTTTTAGCTGTTTGATAAATTTAAATAATGAAAAGCTTATTGAGCTTCTGTATTTTCAATTACCTCCCGGAGCACTACCAACTAGGATGCTACCAAGGCCCCGATATACGCCTTGAAAACCACCATTTGCAAGAAATCCTCCCTTTGCTTGCAATCGAGTTTTTATGGTATCAACTGGAAACAGAGACAAATCCACAGCCAATCCTGCACATATTCCAGACTATTAGTTTGTAAATAACAAGAGCCACAATCCTAAAGAACCTTTATTTAGCCATTACTTACACCTAATGCTTCAAAAAATGACATGGTAGTTGTTTTTCCCTCTACTTTAAAATATAAATGCTTTGGTTGTAGGTAGAAAAGTTATAGATGAAAAAACCAAGGATGACATGTAATCGACTTGTTCATCTAGACAGTTCAGACTGAGGAATTCAGTTGAATGGAAAAATGAAATTTTCACTTGGTATTTGAATTTTAAAACTTTACATTTATAAGATATAGAAATGGCAGTTTTTTGATTGTATTCTGGATTGTCTTCAAACATGGTTATATGCTCATTGATAAGAATGACCTTGGTTAATGAATTTTTTTATTTTTAATGAAAATCTATCTAGTAAAATGGCAAACAATATGCTGAATTTCTATCTTCAAGACGAATGAATACCCTTGATTCTTCTTTGACGCGATACAATTCCGACTGGTTGTCTTTCTTTCAAGGTCGATAAATAAGTAAATCAAAAGAAAACAGAATTATTATGTTTATTATATATGCCTTATATCAAAAAGTTCTTGTCAATCGTTCCTATTTATCGTATAGTGTCCATATGAAACGGGTTTTTTAAACAGGCGATTATTATATGTAACAAAGACACATAATGAGAGTACAATTTCTTGAAAGCAGATATTTTCCTGTATCCGTGAATGTCACAGTGTAAATCCCTTTGTATTTCAAGGAAATGTGATACACATTTCACATTGAGTGATATAAGAAAATCAAGATTATAATTAATCTTGATCGAAACGGTGTCGATTCATTGTACGTTGTGTTTGCGATTGTGAGAATTTGCACAAAAGTAAGTTATTTATTATCAGAGTTCATGAGAATGAGAGAATTTTCATTGAAAAAAAAAAAAGAAAATGAATGTCTGGTTTCTATTGTCTGTTTAACAGGTCGGAAAAAAGAACATTCAACCAAGAAACTCACAGCCTATGGAAAAAAATCAGAAAGACATTGAATAGCATTGATAAATTCCGAATACCAACGCAATGCTTTTTTAAAGCACAGACCATGGATATTATAAAAGAAAGGAGAAAAAGTTGTTCATCTCTACTACAAGTCCAAAAGGGATAAGGTTTAAAAAGCAACAGACTAAGAATAGTAATACGTTTCATAAAGTTTCGAGAAGCAGTGCATGATCTGCTTATGCATTTCTCATGCGTATTCCCAAAACATTCTCCCAGTTGATTTTCTGCCGTGTAATAGGAAGTTGCCGGCGAAGTTCTTTGAACTTTTTATCATTCAATGAGGAAAGTTCCACATTAAAGGAACGTTGGTTTGCATTCTCTACTTCTGTTAGAGCATCTGAAAGCTTCCCAACATCATTGACGCTCACATCGATAGGACGCTCAGCATCTAACCAGACATTTCCGTCTTCATAATAATGAACCCTAATAAACGAAGTTCCAACTAACTTCTTTATCTCTGTGTCATACTTGCAGACACACCTCCAACGACCATTGTAGTAATTTTGAGGGTTATACTTCAAAGACACCAGTATAATGCTATACTCCTGAACATTCACGTCATTCTGTATGATTGCAATTGAAACATCAGACAAATAATGATCCAAGGTAACTTTTTGGATTTGTTTAACAATGTCCTCTGAGATAGTCGGCTTCTCTTTATAGTCTTCAACGTCAATTGCTTCCTAAAGTACAGTGTTAGCGATAACTCTCTTTACAAAATCCTTCTTATTATACCATTGTTTCATAATTCACTGCAAATGACTTTTGTAGTCGTTGATCATAATAGCGACCGTTGTCCAATTTACTTTGGGCAGAAAGGACGACCCTTTCATCTTTGGATAAAGTTACAGGGGAATTCGAATCTTCATGATGCAATTGAAGTTCTTTTTGGATACGTTCCTCATCAGTTAATCCAAGTTCTCGAAGATCTATAATTTCAGTGTGAGAAGTCGTTTTGATAGTAACAACTTATTACCTTGTACCACTTGATTTACTTCACCTGGTGGTGACTCTCTGATAAACCTATATATAGATTCTCCGTCCATTTAGTTTCGTCTGCACTTTTTGGGTGGTAGCAGGCACTTGGTAGAAGATGACATTCAACTCCTAAGGATGATATATGAACATCAAGTTGAAATATTTTTTTAAAAACAAAGATTACGAAAAGAATGAATGAAATGAAAAGATAGAAAGATTATTGAGTTATTAATTTGGGTATCGGTTTATAAGTTGTCTTTTCTTTAGTCGACGTATTCGCTCCGAAATTAGCTATGTTCATAACCAATATCAGCGAAAATGTTGAGAACGTCTTTTAATCAGATCAATAGTTCAGTTGTAAGGAATTCTTTACATTTAAAAGGATTTGTTGGCTTGCGCTTCATTACCACGAAGGGTGATTTAAATCGAGTTGATCGTGAAGGTGAAACAGAGGAATCACAACGGGCAAGACTAAAGTATCAATCGAGAAAAAGAGGAATTTTGGAGACGGATCTACTCTTGTCAAACTTTGCTAAAACGAAGCTGGATAAGTATTCTGTATCTGATCTCCAAGAATATGACCGTCTCCTTGATGAGCCTGATTGGGATATGTAAGTAGTATCAAGTGATTATTTGTTTTCTTGTTTCCTAACCTTTTTTTTTATTAGATTATATTGGTCATCTGGCGAACGTGAAATACCTGAGCGATGGAAAAATAGCAAAGTGCTAAAGGAATTAAGCGCCTACTGTCGAAGTCGGAGAAACCATACTTTACGGATGCCTAATCTTTTTTAATATTAGGTTTTTGAAATAACTTTTATTCGTTCAATAAAGAATACTTCTAGGGAAACAATTTAATACCAATATACCATTTTTTGATCTTTTCTGTTTCTTCAGTGTTCAAATAGTACCACAAAATCCAACTTGTTCCTTAATACCCAAAAAAATAAAAGTAGAAATATAAACGGAAACGCAAATGGAAACGGAACTTACAAAGTAATTTCTTCGCGTAGACTCTGGATTTCCTTAACTTCCTTTGGCGTATCTTTTGTTAAAACAAGAGATTCTTCTTCGCCCACAACAACACTATCTTCTATACGAATAGCAATCCCCTGTGCCCATTTTGGCCAACGGTTATTCATGGGAACGTAGATTCCGGGCTCTATAGTCACCTAAAGACGTTAATGGGGAAAAGCTCAATGAGATATCACATACGATTTGGTTTTTCTTTAACGGTGAAAAGCTATTGTTGGTAAAACAGTCGTGGATTTCTAGGCCAATCTCATGACCAATAGAGTGTGGATATAAAACATCCTCGATTTCCTGAAACACATTAGTTTTGTTGATTATTTATTCTTCAAGACTTATACCGATTTCGAGCCATATATGCCAATTTGCTTAAGCTCCTCTTTTAACAGAATAGCACTTTCATAATGAATTCGCGCCAAACTTAATCCTGTGCTAGTGGTGCATAACTCAATGCATTTCTTTTGTACATTCAAAACAGCTTGGTACAAATCTCGCTGAACTGGAGTAAATCCCCTTCCAGTCGGCCAAGTCCGGGATATATCTGTAACATATCCTCCATATTCCTATAATATTAGCATCCATATTCGTGTATAAAAAACATACACCTCCTGCGTCTACTAACACCATATCGTTCTGTTGGAATGTATCATCATTCGCAGTGTAATGGATTGTAAGTCCATTCTAAACTTGGTTAGAACTAAAGATGTTATAGTAAATAAAGAAACTATGATTTATGTTTCTAAATGTGAATAACTTTTTCACATAGAAAACTTACTCTTCCTCCGGCAACAACAGGTACATAAGCTGATCTTTGGCAGCCACCTATTTTAAATCTATACTCAAGCTCAGCAGCAAGCTGACTTTCTCCAGGAAATTCCTTTCTCATTACTTCCTTGTATGCATTTCCACTTACGGACGCTGCACGCTGTAGACATGAAATTTCACTTTCACTTTTTATTGTTCGCAAAGGATGAAGAAGCTCATTAGCGGATCTAAATGGCTTCTTGCTCTTCAGCTCCCTGATTTTATCTCGCACAACATCAGGGGAAGAAGCTACGGGATCATTGAAAGGGTAACCTCTCTGTGTATTATAGAATACCCGTTTGCATCTATTACCAAATTCTTCAATCACAAATGGTGCTTCCCAGTTTTCTTGAATCTTCATTTTAAGTCAATAAGTTTCAGGTGCAATTACTTACGTTCTCAATATGGAATAAAATTTTTCCATTTTCTACGCCTGTGCGGAAGCCTTCCCATTTTTCTTCATACGAATTTTTGGGTGGAAGGAAAAGAGCGATCTTATAATCTTCAAACGTGTCTTTCTCCTTTACTAATAAAGATTAGTCAATACAAAACTTCTTCCTAATTCGCATACGTAGAAGTAGGACTGATTCAGGTTCCAAGCATCCTTTGTCAATGTTAGCGAACAGCAAAGAATTGAGCAGCCGTTACCGGTTAAATAGTAACTGATTAAATGTTAAAATTTGTTATTTATAAGTATGACTTACAAATTTGGGTCTTGATGGTACTCATAACTAGATGATGTTCATTAGCTCATACAATCACGAACCATGATTAGAAGCCATACAAAGCTGCACCACACATATATCTGAAAGTTGTTAGCTTGAATTGTTCATATAATAACGTTTGTTATTACTTACTTCACAGCAGCAGAAGTGGTAATCAATAAATCACCTTCTTGCATGAGCTCTGCTACATTGTTCCTCCTAGCTCTATATTCATCTGCGTTTATTTTCGGTGTAACTAATGGGAGTTAGATTCTTGTAATCCTAATAAAACTCAAAAACATACGCTCTCCCGGCCGTAATATATGTGGCCGTGTAAATGAAGTTGGCTGACCAAAGGTTTTGCTACTTTTGGTGCGTACATTGGGTTGCAATGAATGTAATAATTCTTTATTTCTAAAAATTTTTTTAAAACCATGACTTAAAGAGCGTAATGAAAACATTTTTCTATGGCATTAAAAGATTCAACAAGTTGGAACTGTTGACGATAGTGAAGTATGTAAAAAGTAGTACAAGTACCGACTACTTATGTGAACTTTAAGTTTATTTTTTTACTTCTTTATACCTTATTTTTTAGTGACAAAACTCAAGACTAATAAAACCCTATAGCTGACTAAACTGTGACATCAAAGTAGCTCGGCGAAATGACTACTAAAAACCATAAATTTTAAGCTCGCGAGCTAAAACTAAATCAGGAGAAGGCTCGTGCTTCACCTTAGGATTAAAAAAAGGGACAATTGCAGTTTGAACTACAGACTTGAATAACTTTTCAACCAAACCAGACAGCTCATCACCCGTCTGTCTAAAATCTGGAAACTGTTATAAATTAGTATACTCATTGGTTCGATAAACGAATACCGGTTACTTACAGCATTCACTTCTAGTAAGTGTACTTGATCAGTTTCGTCGATCATGAAATCAACTCCAAAAATTTCAAAAGAGTTATTTAGAGGCTAATAAAATACTGTTAGTCAGTTGTTTATATATAAAATCATAGCTTGTAGAAATGAATACCTGAAAATGAATTCGTTGAGTAGTTGAAGCAGCCTCAAATACATCTCCCAAAGTTTGTACGATTGAGTCAAAAACTTTGTCCTTATTTTTAATAGAACTATTCCAAAATGCTTGCACAGATGATTCTCTTGGACTTCCGCCCTGGATGCATGTGTTGCTCAGATGACTATATAGGTTGATTTTAGTGTCGGCATGAGGAGATTCATATTCATCTCTGGCAAGCAAACATAGCATATCCTTAAATAAATACACAGATAGACCTCCAACGGCTAAAACATATGCACGGATATGAAACTTTCTATTGTTAAGTAATAAAGGGTTAGCTATGTAGCGTTGTACAAGGAAATGACGAATCTGATGTATAACGATTTTGTTTTCTGGATTCCGGTCATTTACTCTGGAGGAATCAGCATTTTCCACAACATTTTCGCTAGATGAATCATTGGACTCATCTTCGTCACTTAATGCTTCATCGAAGGAATCAAATATAGATTGGAGTTCCTCTATCGTAGAAAAAATCCGGATTCCTTGAGCACCATCGCACATGCTTGGTTTTAGTATATACCATTTTCTTTGCTGAGGTTCTAAGTCTTCATTTTTTTCGAGCTCTTGTCTAAGCTCATAAGACTCCATAAGTGAGTCATCTAAAAACTCAGCATAATCAAGTTCTAAAGAAAATGCTTCAGGAACAGCCTTTTTTAATATCGATCCTGGATTCTTTGCTAAATAGTATACCACCGTGTTCCATAAGTATTCTTTTCGAATAAGTGCTTTCCGAATAACATAAGAGCATGCTAATGTCTCAGGATCGTGGTAGAGCTTGTCAAAATCTATATCCTCATATTGCGCCCAAAATAAATTAGCGTCAGCTCGCGAGTCCACAAATTTCAATGAAAGGCCGCTTTCTAACAAAGCATTCTTAATTTTCGGCTCTACATAAGGATCTCCATAGTTTACATATACTGGAATGGTGTCTTTAAAACTAGACATCGAGTGGTACCTGTAACGGTGACTTGCGATTTCAATTTGGAAGGAGTAAAGGAAAGAATGTAAGCCAAAGGAAATCTAACTCACTTTATTTCTCATTTACGTCGATTCACCAAAAAATAAATAAAATAAAACTAAATACTTTTATTGAACGACAACCAATATTAGTATGAGACATTCTGAAAGTCGTCTAAAAAAGGTTGGAATTATTATTACAACCTCTGGTCGTCCAAGTAAATTTAGAAATTTATAAATAATTTCAGGTTGTTAGTTATATTCCAAACACTTATTTTGAGATTGGGAAATTTTCGAAGAACAATAACAATAAAAGCAATCAACTTTTCAAAATTAAGGAAACTAAAATCATACGTAATCACATTACTACCTATATGAATGAAAACAAACGTCCAACATCTCTATCCATCGAGAAAGTATCATAAAAACAAAAGATCGTTAAGGAAATTAAGCTTCTACAATAAGTATAGCTTTTAATCAGCATTAAGGTCTTTGCCAAACACGAATCCTTCCATTTAAGGAACAGGTAATCATGCAATCAGGTTGGAAAACAACAGACGTTGCGGGAGCATCGTCAACAGTATAAGAAGTGATCGGGGATATGATTGGAATTAACGATCGAGAAACTGTTGGATGAATCGTTATCTCGTTGCATACAAATCTGTTATAGCCGGATTGAATGTCTAAATCTCCTACATCATCAAGATCACTCATAGTTGGCTTTGATGGTTCTGCGTGATGATTTACATAATGAAGTGCAGATTTTGGGCGGTGAAGTGCAGTTACGAGAAAATCCCATAAAAGTAGTTGGCGATCAAGGCCAACACTGGCGATACGATAACTATCGTCGCTACAACGCCATTGATCAAAGGTAATACCCATTACCCAAGACTTGTGCCCTTGACAACGAGCAACAAGTTTTCTTTGAGGAAAAGAGTATACCGAAAGCATATCATCCTTCCCGCCAGTAACTACAAACTTTCCATCAGGTGACCAAGTTACACATGACAGACCGCCAAAATAGCTATGAAAAATGTCAAGCATCTTTAATTCCGTATGCATCAAAAACTTTAAAGTCCCTCGTTCAGATACGACTGCCAAATGCTGATGATCCGGAGAAATGGAAAAGGCATTGATAGGGGAATTTGAAAAAGCAATACAAGCAATTGGATTTTGAGGTTTTCTATCGTCGGGAGAAGGGAAGTCTTTAAGCACATTAAAAGTACCGCGTGAACTTACATACAGTGACTTCAAGTTCTTTTCCGGAATGGAGGAATACAGAGGTTGTTCTTGTTGATTTTTGTCGTAGAAAATAATCCATCCATTTTGAAAAGACACTAAAAACACGGACTCTTGATTAGGAAGCCATTGAACAGTGGTAACTGGGCTGTTATTAAAATGGCCGTTCTTATTATACCGTAAATATTTGTAATTAATGGGATCGTACCACATAACGTCGCCTGTATCAAAACCGATGACAATTTCTAAAGATTTGGGAGTTTTCGTATATTCATTTATGTGGTGACTAACGGGACGAGATCGGTGAAAGTCCATACGAAGCAGAGTAGAATGAGTACCAGAAGTGCTTAAATCTAGCCAGTAAAAAGACTCTTCATGATTGGCAAAAGCATATGTTTTATGTAAAGAGGAAGAATGGTAGAAAGAACGAATTATGTTTTCATGAAACGTGATAGAAGAAATAAAACATTTTGGATTGAAAGTAGAGCTTCCTGGACGTGAGGATGGTCTGTATAGCTTAAAGCTACTAGAGGAGTAAGTGTAAGATTTTCGTTTCGAGCTTTTGTAGTTTTCCAAAATACTAGGGGCTTCACGACCTTCTTCAGTATAATGTACTCCGGGAATTTTTCGAAGCTCTTCCAAATAATCTTTGCCTAATGCATGCTCTGAGAAAGGAAAGGATACGATTTGAAAATGAACTGGGATAGGAATTTTTATAGGAGTATTCGGGTCAAGCGGTGAGCCAGTAATATAATACTTCTGAGAAGGTGATATTAACTGAAGCTCTTCTTTAAGCACATATTCTCCTTCGCGAACAGCTATAAATAAGACCGGGCGAGTGACGCTAGATGACATGGTGAACTAAAAAAGGGGCGATAAGAAAAATTTTGGACTTTTTTGTCTATTCAAGCACTATAGATCGAGGGTTAAAAAATTATTACCAGCTTTAATATTCAGCCGATGGAGGGATGACTAGAAATTATATATGAAAAGACCAATTGGAAGCAGGAACAAAAAGAATGAACAAAAAACAAGCACCAAGAAGAATATTTAAAGTCTAGAAAAAAAAATATCAGAGCAACAGCTTATAAATACGAAAGATTAATGCAACGACCTAGTCGTCTAAACAGAAGATAAAGTCAGCAATCCTTCATAGACGCAACCTCCAAGATGGAATTGTTAACCTAGCTTGACGTTTAAATGGAAAAAGTACTCAATTTCTCTCTCTTTGTAATGTTTCCTTAGTAAAAGGGTATTGTACGTGTTAACCTGTAAATGCAGCAATGATGATGGTCAAGGAATAGCGTATTCTAATGATTTTGTATAATTCATGATAAAGATGAAGAACATAATACAGTAATAAACAAAGAGTCAAAAGACAAATGGTAGGCTCGTTTCTCCTTTTTTTATCTTTTTAGGTGGTATTTAGGTATATTTTATCTTCTTTATCCTGTCCGGTTTTTAAATATGGAGTATATGCTCGTAACCCGAAGGAATTTTGTCCGTCTTTTGTAGCATTAAAATGAACATACATATATCTAAAGGCTGGAAACTTTCTCGTGTCTTCTAAACAATTGGATTACTGATTCAAAAATAAGCTCGTATTTAAATTGTCCCTCGTTTTTTTTCGACTTTAATTTTCTGAGGAAAACGACCAGCTGTAAGAGAGCCAATTCAGTCAAAATTATTGGACCTTTTCTATATTTATCAAATTTGGTTATTCTCTTAATAGTATTGTTTCATGGAATCTGATTGAGGAATGAGAGCTCTTGCTCTTTTCGTTTCTGTGCTGCCCACCCTTCTCTCCTTCTCGTAATACTGCTTCCTATATTTCTGGCGTTAAAAGTGCTTGCCTTGTTATTACTAAAGAGTTAATTAAATTATTATATTTTTTATACATATTAAAGCAGATTATGTCGGAACCGTCGAAAGAAGTAGTCGAAATTCGTCCGGCAAGTACTGAAGAAGACTGGAAAGCTGTCAAAGCCATTGCGGTCAATGGTATTACCGGACAATCGAAGAATCTTTCTCAACAGGTCTTTTGGCATCCTATCTACTTGGCCGCGTGCGGATTCGTTTTTTTAGGCGTACATCGCCTGGCCAATATGACAGAAGGAAACACTTTTCTAAGGACAATCTTATTAGGAGTATTTGTGAGTGCTTCTTTTTTAACCGTCATGGAAATTCCTTGTCGCAAACTATTTTCTTCACTTGCTGATGAAATGGTCGAAGATACCGGTAATTTGCGCGATGAAAACCTAAAGCATTTCTATTTAGCATACCTCAACAAAGATCGATTGATTGGAATCATTGGTCTTCTTCCTCCAGATGCAGTTGGTGCTTATAACCATACTCCGACCATTGTTCATTGGAATGTGATTCCCAAGTTTTACAAATTTGCTTACGACTTGTTAGACGTGGCTTTAAACGATGCGAAAAAATTGAATCAAAATAAGGTTTCAGCAAAAGTATTTACCACCGATAAATGGATTCTACAAAGTCTCAAGTCCGATGGTTTTGAACCCGTTGTCGATGAGGCATTTGACTATTTATCGTTTTTTGGTTTGCGACATGTCATATTACAAACTTCATTAAAAGATCGTCTTAAAAGGAATCAAACATCGAGAAACTGAAAAAAAAGAGGGTGCTTGGTTTTTTCCGTTTGTTTCCTCTTGTGTTTATGAGCGACATACCTCTAATTATAAATTTGAAGAAAGTAAAAGTAAATAAGAAATTATATGAAATATTTTTTAGCAGTATAGCTTTTAAGAAGCTGTTCTTAGTCACTTTTACTGCGTTTAGCCTGATGGTTTGGAATTTCTATGTGACAGTTATAAACGGATATTCATTTGCATATCATACGAGATACTTCTACTTAGTTTAGCTTACATAGACAATTGTTCGTATTGATAGTCCAGCTTTGCGAAACTATAACTGCTTGCTTTTAGTTGAGGTATTATGACATTTCATTTTTCATTTTCTGAACTGCTAAGCTGCAAAGAAGTATGAGAAAATAATATTTAGTTTAGTTCTATTCAATCTACTACTTCACTCATACCAATGGATGGCAATAATGAGTTGCCATCTTCTTATGTAAGCTTTATTTATTTAAAACATTGACTAATTAGACATATCTTAAAAACTTACAGTCAACTATCTATTTACTTTCGATATTCGACTAATCCTTTTGTCATCATAGTGTGATATTCGCATCCATTTCTGAAGTAATTCTCATTACTCCCGCTACAAACACCTCGCAACAATATAAAAAAGGGTTTACTCGATTTTTTTAATTCCTTTATATTAGGTAAGCAACGTCGTTTATATTAGACAAGTACGGTACATGGTTACACAGCTTAATTGCCCTACGCAAGCCGACTCTCTTCCTCTTAGCAAACCTGCATTCTACCCTTTTTCATTCACCAACTTGAGTGGCTTTACCAAAAAGCATTATTTAAGTGAATTAGAGGATAATTTGAGAAAGAAAAAGCTTAGGAATTTAAGGAATGTCGAAAAAATGAGTATCTCTATATTGCCTTCACAATCAGTACCAACGAAAGATTCAGCGTACACTTCCTCTGGATCGAATTTCAAAGTTAGAATTGACTCAGCAAGTTTTGTAAACTATTCTTATCCACATAATCAACTAAACAGAATGAATCATTTGGGAACGCTATGCGAGAAAAACCTAGAATGTCAGAGATCCCAAGGTTTGCAAAACACCCAAGATACCTCTAAAGATCATTTCAAAGATAAATCTTTAGAATGCTCTTCAAAATGCCCACCTTTGGCAACTTTCAGTGAAAACAAGCCTTCTTCGCCATACTTACCGTATTCGACGGATAGCTCAAATACTTCTAATGGACAAGGGAAATCTAGTGAAATAGATTCTGGAAGAATTAGAAATCTGTCCAGGACAGCTCGCGACCATGACCAGAGAGAAAATCGTGATTATGAAGAAAGAGGGGGTACATATGAAAATGGCAGTGAAAACGATTATGATTATGATGAAAACAGTGATGCCAGCACTAACGAAAATAATAATAATGATGATAATTATGATGACCCAGAAAGTGATGATGCTAATGACGATGAAGAGCACAACGATAGCGAGGAAGATGAGGAGAATGATGAAGACAACGACGAAAAAGATGAAGAAGAAGAAGATGAAGAAGAAGATGAAGATGAAGAAGAAAAGGATGAGGATGAGGATGAATACAGCTACAGAAATGCTGCATCTCGGAGTCCAAACAATATATTTCGTCGTCACTCCAGAACAAACTTTCTTGAAGGCTCTGGAAATGACAATTTTGATGAGCAATCTCTATTTAGTGAACTTAGTCGGCTTCAAAGAAGTGGCCGCTTTCGTCGCTTGGCCTCAAGTGTACTTTCGTCTGGTAATTTGGATAACCCAGAAGATGAGCTTGGTGCCAGTGCATTTTCCTTCAGTCCCCTTCGTTCTTCCGTCTTTGCTCCTTCTGGTCAATTTTCACGTTTGCTGAGGGGAATTAAAGATTTTAGCGATCCTACTATTCAGTTACTTTCTCTTCAAGAATTGTCTGAAACGCTTGCAATGAGCACGGAGGATATGCTAATAGGAGTCTTCTCCCCTGATGCTTTTATTTCTGCTTTTTCAGATATTCTTTCCTCTGAAATTTTAGTTGGAGAAACTGCCATACAACTAATGTTATCCTGTGCCACTTGCATATCTAACATGATGGAGGCCCTTCCTATTTCAATGGCCAAAGTTGCCCACAGTCCCATCGTTCGCATTCTATGTGAAAGAATGTTTGACATGCAATATATAGATATAGCTGAACAAGCTCTTGGAATTTTTGAAAAATTATCTGCTGACTTTGGTAATTGTATCCTGGAACATCGCGGTATGTTAGCTGCTCTGCAGTATTTTGATTTCTTTTATACCAACGTCCAGAGAACAGCCATTTCACTTGCTGCCAACTGCTGTAAATATATTGACGAGTATAATGCCGATTTTGCTGAAGAAATAATCCCTTTATTATCCAATACGTTACAATCTTCTGATTCAGTTGTTGTAATGAAGGGCTTTGAGTGTTTAGAAAGTATCATCGATTCATTGAAACTTTCTCCGAATATCATTAAGTCACTTATAAGCGAAGACTTGATTATCACTGTCATAAAAGCTTTGACTACAAGCACTACGCAAAAGAAGGCTACTGATCTTCAAATTCAGCTCTTTCACATAATATCGTCACTATGTAAATCTTCTACCTCCTTTATATTACCGGTCTTAAATTACGGGCTTCCAGAAATAATGTATGAACTATTGTGTGGGCTTCCGCCTCCAGAGACCTCTCATCATTCTAGTATGGTAGCTATGCAGAGCCTCTATCACTGCCCTAACAACCTTATAACTGCTTTATTGCGAACGATAATATCTTTTTTACCTAAAACGCCGTTTGCTGGCCAAGAAGATCTAGTAGCACGACTTCATCGAATGGATTGTATACTACTACCAATTGTACTTGACATCTATTCCACCGTCCCTACTCACGAAGTGAAGTTGTTGGCTGTATCTACTGCGCTTATGATGTTAAGGTCAATTGATGGTGAAGATCTTAGGGACTTAGTTCGCAATCTACCTTTGTCATCCTTCATTGCATCCATATTAAGTGCTAGAAAGGCAGACAATTATTCGAAGCAAAATGCTCTGGAAATGGCGATTTACCTTCTTGAAGCTTTACCTGATGTTTATCACTCCTTATTTATAAGAGAAGGTGTCGTACAAGAAATCGGGTTCATTAGCCGTTCTATAAATTCGGAATTGAAGAAGTTAAAGCTCAGTATCTCATTCTCTCAATCTAAGTCAACTCACCGTCATGAAGAGCTAAAGAAGCTTTCTTCAATTAAGGCTTTAGCAAAAAGTTTCCTGGGAAATTATGAGGTCGAAAACTTAGAAAACCCAGTACTTCATGATTTGATTGGCCTTTCCAAACGACTAGCTAGTTATGTTCATGTTGAAAGCTCCTGTAAAGAACTTGCAGTAGTCTTCCAGAAAACGTCCAACATTACTAGCTTTGAGTTGTTACATTCGGGATTAATACATAATTTGCTATCGTCTATGCGAACACCTAATAGTAAAGCATTAAGGTACTTTTTGTTGTCAATGAATAAGAGCAAGGAAAATGAGGTTTTAGAATATGAAGAAAGTCCTCTTGTGTCCTTCATATTCTGTCTGCAAGAGCTTTTATCGAGAATTGAGAATTTTCAATTAACGATTTTACCTTCTCTTTCAGATAACTCTTTAGAATATATCTCGTCCAAGCAATTCAAAGTTCGATTAATCGCTCTGCCAGGATCTAATATACGACCTCCTTTTCGCTCATTGATTGTATCAATAAACGGATTAGCTACTATTCGAGTGCTAGACAATTATTTATATAATCGAGTAGTTCATCGAGGTGAAAATGAACGTCGATTTTTATCTTTTAGAGAAGGTGACTCATTTCAGGAGTCAGGGGACTCGACGAGACATGAGTCTCTTGAAAATCCAGTGGATATATCTCAGAATGAAGATACTCCTGCTGGTGAGGGTTCAGTGAATGAGGTTGAGTCTTCTGCACCCAACGAGCTGGACTTAAGACATTTTGCTTTTTGCCTTGGTAAAAAGCTTTTACCACCAGAAACTACTATTTTTAAGGCATTGTTTGATTTCATTGAAAGGTCTGATGAACATACCATTGATGATATCTGGAAAACAACAATTCCCTTGTATTATGGAGAACCTTCTTCTTATAACGAAGATAATGATACTCAGCTTTCCGCTGACGGGTCGGAAGATATTCCTGACAATATTAAAGAAATATTAGAAACGTTGCGTGTATTATATTATGGCGTTCGTGATTTACAAACTATATTTCCCGAAAAGCATATTCGAGGAAATCTCGAAAACGTACTTATGGACTTCAGTAATTGGAAGTTAAGTGCGAAGCTAAACCGTCAATTAGAGGAACAGTCTATAATTGTGCATGGCTGTACACCTTCATGGTGTATATCGTTAACTTCCGAATATCCATTTTTAATACCGTTTGAGTCACGCTATCAACTTCTTCAATCAACAGCGCTTGGCTTGCCAAGGTCGGTGTCGTTTATTTTATCAAGGAATTCCACTTTGCCCAAAAATGAAGGCTCTTCTATCCTTCAATATGTGAGTTTACGTCGTCAAAAAATAAGAATACCAAGGAAAAATTTATTTAATTATGCTTTGCAAGTTCTATCCAGCTATGGGTCTTCAGATAAGGTATTGGAAATAGAGTACGAAGACGAAGTTGGTTCTGGACTAGGTCCGACATTAGAATTTTATACAACTGTTTCTAAAGAGTTTACAAATACTTCGTTGGACATCTGGAGAAATGAACAAGCTGGTTCTCAATATGTTTTTCATGCATCTGGTTTATTCCCTTCACCGATATCGACGGCAGAAGAAAATGAAGAAAATAAAAGAAAGCTCTCACTGTTTTCTGCGTTGGGGAAATTTGTTGCGCGTTCAATTTATGATTCGAGAATTATCAGTTTGCAATTCAATCCTTTGTTATTTACTAGGACTATTCCATTAACTATTTCATCTGTTGCAAAGGTAGATAAGGGTTTGGCTAATTCACTCCGTTATTTACAATCGCTTAATTCCGAGGTTGGAAACCCTGGCTTTGACATTGATATAGAGAGCTTGGGCCTTGATTTTACACTCCCAGGGTATTCCTCCATAGAGCTAATTCCTAATGGAAGTAATATTTCGGTCAACAAAATCAACTTGGAAGATTACATCAAGTGCATTATTGACTTTACCGTTGGAAAGGGCATTAGAAGACAGCTAGAAAGCTTTCAAGAAGGATTTTCAAGCGTTTTTGCTTACTCTTCTCTTCAAGTTTTAACAGAGTATGAGCTTTCATCGCTTTTTGGAACAATTGATGAAGATTGGAGTTATGAAACGCTTATTAAATCCGTTGTTGCTGATCACGGATATACTATCGACAGTCCACCTATTCAGAGACTTTTACAATTGATGAGTAGTATGAACTTCCGGGAACAAAGGGATTTCCTTCAATTTATTACTGGCAGCCGAAAGTTACCAATAGGTGGTTTTGCTGGTATGAATCCACCATTTACGATAGTGAGACGTTTGAATGAACCACCCTATAGACCCGATGACTATTTACCAACTGTTATGACTTGTGTTAATTATTTGAAATTGCCTGAATACTCTTCCGTTGAAGTTTTGGCTAATCGTCTATCTAAAGCCATTCTGGAGGGTCAAGGTAGTTTTCATTTGTCTTAATGTTCTTATTGTGATGGACTAAATAAATGAATAATCGAAAAAAATGAATACATTTACTATAATAAATAAAAGGTTCATTGGTAATGTGATTTATAGCAATAAGAAACTTTTAAAAACTTTCCGACTGTTAAATATTCAGTATGTTAAATACGCATATCTTTGACATTAGTAATGGCAATTGCGAATACATTTCTGAAAACCATTAATTATATCAAATGTATTGATCATAGAATAAACAAACGAAACTCGGCAACGTAACAAAGTAGTTTTTTTGAATCATGCATATTGTACTTATAACAGATAGTACGAAAAAGAAGAAAAAGAGAAAAATTTAACGATTGGATGGATTATACAGAAAAAGAGCGTATACCTAAATGAGAACCAACAACACTGTTGCTCTTTCAAACTAACCAGATTTAAGACCTTTTTTCGAAACTTGTTGAATGGAGGGCTTTCTCCTATTCATAGATCGTCTTCTCTGGTCACCAAAATGGTAACTTAAGTTTTCCAACTCATTTTTCACGTTCTCGGCTGAAAATTCAGAACGTCGCGGACCTCCTGGTCTAGGAGTATTCTTAAGTCTGTCACGAGTTGCACTAATTCGAGAGATTAAATCCAAGTAAGAATACATAAAATTACTTAGTAGCACCTGTTGCATTAACGGTCGTTGAGCATTGGACAATTTAATATGTGACAGTCGGTAAATAGCTCGTTCTGTACATATAGGAAATCGAGACCAATAGTAATCCTTATCCGGTATGAGAGCCTTGGGTTTGTCAGCATTGGGAACATATGATACAGCGTTAGATGAAGCTTTACTTAGTGCTCGCTGATCATTAAAACCTTCTTCCTTTGGTATTGGTGGATGATGAGAAATGGATTGAACATTTGTAGCAACAGGTTTTTCGGTACTAGTTTCTGTTGACTTTTTCTTCGAACTGAAAAGTGAGCCAAATATGCTATCCTTAGACGGTGTAGACTGAGAAGCAAAGTGTTCATCACCTTTCTTTTTCAATTTATCTTTCTTAAGATCCTTTTCAGGGTCATTTGAAGTAAACAGCCGACCCCAAGATTTTTTTGATTTTTTGACTTCTGCTGAAGTTGGTGGCTTTGAAGGCAGCTTGGGAATAGGATCTCCCTTGTCGTTTGCTGCAAGTTCTGATGATTTTATAGCTTCATCTTTAACTTCTTCAAAATTATCCTTGGTGGGAGTAGCAATTGATTGCATAACTGAAGCATCCGGTTTAGATACAGGTGATGGCTGCAAGGATGAAGATGCAGAATCACTAGGTTTTTCCTGGTTGTCCTTTATACTTTCGCTTTGAAATGGAGCTTCATTTTCACTTGGCTTTATAGTATCAGAAGATTGTTCAGGTAAAGAGACAAAACGATCAGTAAAACCATTTTTTGTTTCCGTATTAGAGTCAGAGTCATTCGGATTTTCTTGAGACTTCGATTGTTTATCTGAAATCTGCGCAATTACATCAGATTCTGTTCCTAAGCGGGTATTTTCTGTATCATTGTTATTTTGTTCGTTTTGGGATTTATCTTGCAAAGATGTTGACGAAGACCATGCTGATGGAGCCTCTATGTTTTGTTCATGTCGGTGAGTCAAAGGAGACGAGGGTCTGAGAACACTAAGAGATCGAGTTTGTCCATCCTTATTAATAGAAAAGTGAGATCTATTACCCAATAAAGTGGAAGCTTTACCACGATTTATGGTTCTGATCGAGGCTCCAGAACGACGGATAGTGGTACGAGAAGAACGCTGCAAAAATTGATTTGGTGAGACCAAAATTGGACTATCTTCAGGAGGTTCCGTCCTCATACTGTCAACAAGACTTCCCATCTTCTTCGGATCTCGAGCTAAAGACTCTAAATGTTCCAAGTCTTGTAACCGAAGTGATCTACCCCTCTCAATGTTCTTCTTTTCAATTATTGGACTACCGTCTTGATAACTCTGAGCGGCATCATCAGCTTTAACCTGACGGGATAGCAACGATCTCCTTCTGTGCAATGAACGTATATGCTGGAGAGGACTGGCAGTAGTATCCATTTGCTTTGGGTGTTTTAAATTTTTGACTTGTAAATCTAGAAAGTCTTTCCAACCGTTGGGATTTACTTCCGGATGCAAATCTGCTGGAACCCAAAATAAAGTAGACGCATCCGACTCTGATTCTGGAGGAGACATCATAACAGACCAATCTGTATGAAGATCGGGATCATCCGTACCCTGCATGGATAGTCGACGAAGGTGTGTAAGGGCTTCTCGCTCTCTGTCTAAGTCTTCTTGAGACATGTCCTCTCCAAGAGCATCAGAATGAATGTCTTTATCTTCAAAAAAAGTTTCATTCTCATTAGCTGAAGGGTTTACACTGGAACCTTGAGCAAGTTCACCTGTGCCATTCTGGGAAACATCTTGAGAAGGTAAACCGTTGTTTACATCTTCTCTATTATCATCAATGGTAGTAGCTTTTTCAGCATGAGATTCGTCAGGTGTCGTATGTGAAGTATCCACTGCATCTCCATGAGATGTAATATTATTCCTACTTAAATAAGGTATTTGATTGGCATCCACAAACTCTTGATTTCTTGTATCAAATTCATCAACGTCAGCGTTAGAACCTTGGTAATCAAGTATTGGCATGTTTGTAACAAAAAGAGAATAAATAGGTTAATGCTGGAGAATATTAAAGAAAAAAAAAGAAAGAAAAATAGGAAAAGAAGAAAGAAAGCTAGCCAGTATCGTGGCTTATGTAAAATAAATAGGAAACTTGCGATTATGCAACAAGGTGGATCCAAACCAGAAGAAATGAAGAAGGGCTGGAAAATAATCAACCAAGTAGGATCAATGTGTAGAGAAAAGATTTGGATTTGCAGTTCAGCAAGCTCAAAAGAAGGATACTCTTTTTATCGGACGTAATATTTTTTTATGATCGAATGGCACAAAAGATCAATGCAAAATTTGAGCAACAGGCAAGTAGAAAGCGATCAACAAAACCCTACTCTAGTAAACAGGTAAGACTAGAAAGACGGAAATTTTTCCTACTATGAAAATTAAAGAGTCTTCGGCCACATGTATAGAAGACTCCAGAGGCGAGACCAAAGAAGATGCAAATAATTAAAACATATATATGCAAAGAACAATGCTTAATCAAGACCCAGAACACAAAGAGAATGAATTTGCTAGTTGATAAACGAACGCTTATAACGCAAATCGAACAAAAGCAGCCAGAGAATGATCCAGTACGAATATCAATCTATGTTTGTTTGGAAAAACAAGAAAGTACAAAAACAATGCTCTATCAAATCCCTATACCAAACAATGCTGTCAAGAATAAACAAAGACTTGTAAACAAATACCAAAGAAGTCAAAATTGCAAGGAAATCCGTATAATTCAAAAAAGAATCCCAAAAGTTTAATGGTAATCGAATCTTAAGGCTATTTTCCTTAAATAAAACACAAAAATTGATGCGTTAAAGGGAAAAGTCACTGATGAATCAAGAATCCTGAACTGAACTGGTGAGAGTCATAGCCTTCCGAAATCCTATGTCTTCCATGAAATAAGGATGCGTACAAGTGCGGAAAGTACGTTTACATAATGTACAGAGCTTCACTATAATGATATGCATGTAAACAAAGAATTTATACAAAATAGAACGCCAAAAGAAACTGTTTTATGTATGAAAGAAAGCAGAGGAAGGTTTGGCAGAACTTTTTTGGAAAAAAAGCATATCCTAAAAGCACTTTTAACAGCACTTCAGTAAATACTAATTGATATTGAAAGCATTCAGCAATCTATGTGGATTTCTCTGCTTTAATAAGTATCTTGGGTCATATAATATATACGGGCTTTAGAGCAAAAACAGCCATAATGAATAGCATTTGTTCCATATTTTGAAAAATCATTCCGTGGCTTCCATAATTTCAGAATATGCACGATGACCACATCAAAAGAAAGAGTGCTCTTGCCCTTCATATGGAAATATTATTATGAAAATGAGGAAGTTATACAGCTTTTGGGGCCTGTTTTACCCGTCTATAATGGGTTGATTCCCTTGTTTTTGATTCTCTATTCCAAATTATCAGTTTGTTTACATGCCATGACGTTGAAGAAATTCACTCTTCGCAAGTAACACCTGAAAGTAACATACCACTACAGTCGTAAGAATTTGCAGTAGGACGTTTTCTCTTGTACAGAGCCAAATCCATGGATCAAAAAACGGCTTCACCAAGTAAAGATGCAGTCCCTCAGACGGATGCCTACATGGGACTCTGCAACTCCCTCACATACCGGTTTGAAGGGTGGAGGCATCTAGTGGAAAACCTGATTTCATTCTTTAAGCAACTTGAGTCTCTGTCGAAAACAACGTCTAAAGAATACCTTAAATTAAGCAAAACAATCACTCACCCTTCGAAAGATGTGAACATTTTTGATGAACACGGAGTGCAAGATGTTTTTGCAGCTCTGCGAGACCAGACGGCTGCTATTTCCACTGATAATGAACAATTATCTATTCAGCTTCCTGGAGCTATTATAAAAATTCTAGAATTGCTTCGGGATGATTTGAAAGAGCACTGTAAAAAAATCAATGCTGACGGTACCAAGGGCGTAAAGGGTGTTGAAAAGCAGCGTTCGGAATCCCAGAAGTTTTTAGTGCTATTGGACCGTGTTTTGCTACCTTGGGGTGGTGAAAGCCCTCCTTCTGTAAATGTTAAAAATGATCCTTTTATCGTTGATCGCCTTGTTCTCAACTCTTTAGCACGTCAAGTAGCCGAAGAAAACAATCACGTTCATTCTGTAGCTCAAATCCAGGAGCTTTCGTTTCGTTTTGAGCAAAATACCATCTCGAAAATCAAGGATATCGTGCGTCAGTTCGAATTACTTATGAACCAAACCTTTACCAAATCAATTAATCACATACGCGAAATTTTGCAAGTCTCCGAAGCTCAGAGCTTAACCGGTGAGTGGTCTTCATATGCCAAACGCGAACCAGATTTTATTAAAGGTTCTGTGGCACCTCGAATCTATTCTGAATTGCCGTACCCTGGTAAAAACAAACCACCCACAGTTCCAATTATTGCCGGTTACCTGATCCGCAAAACTACAATTATGAAGAAAAAACAGAGAGGATTCTATGCTTTCACTCGTTCAGGTTACCTTTACGAATTTAAGTCCTCAGATCCTCAGGTGGATCCTGAACCCGAGTTTGCCTTGTATATACCCCATTCTTTAATTGGTCGTCCCTCAGACAAAAAGGCAAAATTTAAAATCACTGGAAAGGATGCTACAAACAAAGTGTTTGGATCGCGTTCAGACTACTCTTTCTGCGCTAGTAATCAAGTTGAATTAATGAAGTGGTGGGAAGCCTTAAATACCTATATATCCGGATACCATCAACCCGCCGTTAGACAAGAAAATATCCGCCAACCTGCTGAGGCTGTCCCTGAAAGCGATGATGATGACGATGATGATGATGATGACGAATTCCAACCCGCAGTTGAAGCGCAAAACAACGCCGCCCGTAGTAGGCCAGCTGCTGCAACCCAAGTCAGTCCTCAAGGAGCTCGAGCACAAACTCGTTCTTCGGAAGAAGTTCCTTCATACAACGATAGTCAAGCAGGTCCTCCGGCTAATGACTTTGTTTTTCATTCTGATTTGAGCGGACATAATGCATGGAATGTATAAATTACTGGAAATAATTCGATGTAAATACGTTTGTAATGTGAGTTCTTTCTCTTGTCTAAGTGTTTAAGGGATATGAATGATTATCTGTTGAAATCGTGGCTTTATCGTCGTTTATAATATTTAATACTTTTATTTTTGTTATGGATAATCCTTTAAGTAGACTCGTCACTTGGGTTTGCGTTTATTGATCTCCTAAAGTCAATGCTCTCTTTTTAGATACACTATGAACGATTCTATAGTTATTATTATTCTTCTAAGGCTTCCAAACTAGACCGTAGATATTCAGACTGAACTGCATGAGATTACGGCATAAACAATTCACCTGTAAATATGTTTGCTTTCCTTCGTTAGAACTCACAATAAAGATATAAAAGCAGTTAGGGTATAAAATTAACGTCATTATTGCTTTTAATGAACTACGTAAAAAACTCCCACCTTGTAAATTTTAATGGTGCTGTACTTTGAATGGAATTTGTATTCTATTGAGGTTTGGTATGCTATTTGAGGCAGCAAAATGGTAAAAGAGGAGAATAATGGATTGGTAAATGGAGAGAAAAAGCATGACCAACAAGATATAGTCTATAAATCGAAGGTTTATGCTTTCAAAGATGGGGAATATCGAAAGGCAGAAATTTTAATGATTCAGAAAAGAGCAAGTGGCACTTTCTATTATGTTCATTACGATGATTATAATAAACGACTGGATGAATGGATTACAATTGAAAATATTGACCTTAAAAGAGGAATCGAGTATCCGCCACCTGAGAAGCCGAAAAAAGCTCAAGGAAAAGGAAAGTCTGCAGACTCTAAATTTCCCAAAAATGACAGAAGAAGATCTGTAACCAAGCCGGCTAAAACTGAACCAGGTACACCTTTAGGGAAGGTGGAACCCTCTACCCCTTCTGCCGAGAGTGATCACGGCTCAAATGCTGGAAATGAAAGCCTCCCTTTGTTGGATGAAGAGGATAAGCATAAGGTACCGGTATCGAAAGAAGAGGAAGTAGAAAGACTTCGCTTTAGTGGGTCCATGGTTCAAAACCCTCACGAGATTGCCCGTATTCGAAATATAAACAAGATTCAACTTGGCGACCATGAAATCGAACCTTGGTATTTCTCTCCTTATCCAAAGGAGTTTTCTGACGTTGATGTGGTTTACATATGCTCTTTTTGTTTTTGCTATTATGGATCTCAACGTCAATTTGAACGCCATCGTCAAAAATGCAGCCTACAGCATCCCCCTGGTAATGAAATATACAGAGATGATTATATATCTTTTTTCGAAATTGATGGTCGTAAACAAAAAACTTGGTGCAGAAATGTCTGTCTTCTGTCGAAATTGTTTTTAGATCATAAAATGCTCTATTATGATGTTGACCCATTTTTATTTTATGCAATGTGCCAAAGAGATGAATATGGTTGCCATTTGGTTGGCTACTTTTCGAAGGAGAAAGAGTCAGCTGAAAATTACAATCTCGCTTGTATTTTAACTTTGCCCCAATATCAACGACATGGTTATGGTAAACTATTAATCCAATTTTCATATGAATTGTCCAAAAAAGAACACAAACATGGCTCTCCTGAAAAGCCTCTTTCCGATTTGGGTCTTATTAGTTATCGAGCTTATTGGGCAGAACAAATTATAACTCTTGTTTGCAGTATGCGGACTGAAACCACCATTGACGAACTTGCAAACAAGACTGCTATGACTACAAATGATGTTTTGCATACACTTCAGGCCCTTGATATGCTAAAATACTATAAAGGCCAATTTATAGTCTGTATAACTGAAGGTATCGAGCAACAGTACGAAAGGATAAAATCAAAGAAACGAAGAAGGATTGAGTCTAATTTACTTGAATGGCAACCTCCTGTATTTCATCCTTCTCAGTTACGCTTCCGCTGGTAATCAAATCTAAATTAATTGAAAGGGACTGCTGGACAATCCCATGTGATAATAAAATCTCTATTTATATAGTATTTGTACTTTGATCGCGAATTGATGTTTAGTAAAGCTTTTGTTTATGAATCATCATCGATTTTTTTTTCTGTTAGACATAGAAGAATTAGGTATTGGTTGTTAAGTCGTAATCTTACTGTCCTCTAAAATTAAATGAAATCAAAAAATTATACTAAACTTCTTTCCACTGGTATTATTCTTTTGCTAAACCCCAAGATCTCGCAGATTTTTGAAGATTTTTGAAAACTTCACAGAATGCACATAAAAAGCGTTACCTTACATTAAATCGCTTTCCTACTGACAATTGGAATGTCTCCGTTCATTTCCTTTAGGTTAAACAACGGGTTATCAGAAGAATCATTCCATATACGAAGCATCTGTCATAATCATCTCTACTTACTTGCGTTTTTACATCATTAGGAAGAGGCAGCACTTTTACATAAGAAGACTAGTTTTGATCCATAAAAATGTGTGCAAGCACTGGTTTTTTATGGCAATGTTGAATTTCTGGATATCATAAATTGACCCAACCATTTTATAGATTTGCTGTGTGGTATAACAATGAGCATTGGCTCTCTTACTTTTACTATTTCATCGCTTAGGCACTGATCTTTCAAACACGTTCGGAAATTATAATAAAACATTCTGACTATGATGAATGAATTTCTATATGAGGACATTCTGAATCCTTTGGAGGTGTGACTTACAGGAATGCTTCTACTTCGTTTTTCTCCTATTTTTATTAATAATTCCATTAATACTGTCTAGCTTTTGGCTCGATTGAAAGCTCTGTCGTATCCTTAAGCATATGGGTCATGTATTCCTCGAGTAAATATCAACTTGGCCTTCTTTGCTCTACTTTTATTAAACCCAAATGTGGTATCTTCTTTTTTTCTGGATTGTCCTAAAAGGTTTGTATATAAGTTAAAGCCATTCTTTTTCAACAAGTTCATGAAAACGTATTTCTACTATTGACGTTCATTATCTTAAAAACACATTTATACGATTTTATTCATTCAATTGTGTCTCTCGAAAGAGCAGTCCGCTATAATACAACGACGGTAATGACGATGAATTACTGTAAATAGTACTGATTCAATTTTTTGAATTTTTTACTTTGAAACTTTTAGCCGTTGTTACCAGCTACTACAATAGTCGCAGTCCACTTCTTGTTCTTGCAAACCACTTTTATGCAATTCATTGAAAAGTATGAGACTTACACAATTAGAACTTGGGAAGTATCCGAGTGATATCAAATATACCATGAAATAAAAACCCAAAGATGAACTGCGTTTAGTTTGGTACTGTAAGCCCTGGGAATGCCCAATTGAGGATCATGTAATTATTCAACACGACTGAATTTAGTAACTACAGCTAGCGTATTCGTGTTAGTCAGAAAAAGGATTTCATATTATGCTAATAAATTCTTATTTTTTTTTACTGTTCTAAACACCTAAAAATAATTTAGAAATATAAGATCAAACAAAAAAGAAAGCCAGCCCATTGTATTCATTTTCAAACTTTCAACCTTTTTATTTTCTCTTATATTAATTCGTAACCTTTTAAACGAACAAAAAAGACTAATAAGTTAAACTCTTTAACGTGCCCATATGACTCTTTCGTTCAGTCAAATGAACGACACCTAAATTAACGCGGATTTGACAATGCATTACATAAAAAAAGAGAAACCCGATCTCACACTTCTCCCTTAACAAAGGACTTTTTGCTTAACGTTCATAATTAGCAAAAGAACTCCAACGTTTTTTTGAAGACACCTTTTTCTTTCTTTGGCTCATTTTCTGATCCATCGAAACTGTTGTAAAACTCAGCAGAGTGAAAACCAGTATCCAGATCTAATTGAGAAAGATTTGGAATACAACGGCGATCATAAATTTTATATCCAACGAAGAAAACTATAGCAACAACAGCAGCCAAGTATCCTTGGAAAAAATCATTGGCATTAGGCTTACCCCCGAGAGGAAACAGTGATACATAAAATTGGGCCATAAGACACAAAATGTTGAAAATAAGTCCAATGCAAGAACCCCAAATGCCCATTGGGGAAACAAATGCTAATTCATTCAATGAGCGACCTTGTTTCTTAAAGGCAATGCGAAAAATAATATGTGAAAGGCAAATGCTACCCCAACAGAAAAAGTTAGATAAACCAGTAAGAGCAAGTAGCCAGTTAAACACGGTATCACTAATATCATTTCCATTCTTGTTTGCTTCGTTTATAAAGGCAAAAAACCCGAAAGCTAAGACTACCAACATAGCAATTAAGGGACGGCCTAGACGATCGGTGTAAACAAAAAGTTTTGGGGCATGCTTTAGAGTGGCCATACCATGGAGGGTACGTCCAGCCGTATATGTGCTAGTATTTGTTACAGAAATAACGGAAATAACAATTACGGCGTTAAAAACAGAGGGAAGGCCTTTAATCTTTGCTTCCTGTATAGCCAGAACAAATGGAGAAGTACTGGTACCGGATTGATTCCCCATAAGATTAGGATCCTCGGGATCAATCAAAAGGCCAATCATTAAAAGAGAAACAACGTAAAACAATGCAATTCTCCAAAAGATCTGGCGGACACTTTTGGGTAAGGTTTTCTTGGGATTATCAGTTTCAGCTGCAGCCAAACCAATAACTTCCGTACCAGAAAAGGAGAAAGCTGCAGCGACAAAAACTGAACAAAAACCCTTGAATCCATTGCGGAAGCTATTATGCTTGATAATACTACCACCAATATAACCACGATGATCAGTCGGTACACCTCCGCAATCAATGATAATAGCCAAAATAACAAAGCCAAGTGTAGCGATAACCTTTATAAAACTTAAGACAAATTCAACTTCACCATACGCACGAACACCAAGCAAATTAATTATAATGACTGTTACTAAAAAGATAGAAATCCAAGCGGCGCTGTTTATGTCCGTCCAAAATCTAAATGTAATGGCGCATGTCGTAAGCTCTAAAGGAAATGTCACAAAGTAGTTAATGAAGTAGTTCCAACTAAGGGAAAAACCCCAAGCAGGATCGATAAACCGAGATGCATATGTGTTGAAACCACCAGCTACGGGATATGCCACGGCCATTTCACCCAAAGCATAAATGGTAAAAAACATCATAATACCGGTTAACGAATAATTTATGATGACGGAAGCAGCACCGCCATCGGCAAGTGAATTTCCTGAGCTGACATACAAGCCACTACCAATGGCACCTCCAATAGAAATCATTTGCATGTGCCGATTCTTTAGCTTGCGTTTCAAGCCCACCCCATCAGGGCGACCAGTAGCAGGAGGTTTGAAGTCATTAACTATCTTTTCAAAAAAGCCCTCCTCCGCTTCAGGAGACTTATCATAGAATGTGTTGCGGCTTTCCGAAGGGTATATTTTAGCCTCTGTAGTCTGAAAGGTAGTGGTATTTGACTCGGCAGAGTCAAACACCTTCTTTTCTTCACTAGTCTTTCGATCAATCTCAGACATAATTGAATATGGAGTATTGGAGAATCAAGCCACCCTAAAAAGATAGATAGAGTGTATAAATATCGGACGAAACACTGCCCGCGTAGACGATTGAGAAATTAAAATAATGTCGTTCTTTCCAAGATGAACTAGAGCTTTCTTTACGACTCTGTTAATGACAATTCCGTCCAAAAAAAGTAACAAAAATATTAAAGAAAAAAGTAAACAAAAGACAAAGAGTATAGGGAGAGGGAAGGTCGCGTTCAGATGTCAAACATGTACTGTAGATGGATAGATAAGGTATAAGGACTGGACACGGAAATTTTTGCCCGATATAGAAGATGAATACCGAGGCTGGTTGTGGCAAAGGTGTCATAGATAATGAGCTGTAACCTGGGTTATTTTCGACAATTGCACTGTAGAGCGTTGTAAAAGAAGGTTAACACAGCTTAGCGTGCTCGTCATATACTTTAACGTAAGTTAGCAAAAGGGGGAATAAATAGTAGGTAAACAAAAGAAAGGTAAAAATTCAGTTCTAGTTAAGAAGACAACAAAGAAATATGATGAACTTGGCTGATTTATCTGAGTGTCCTTTTTTGTTTTTCTTTCTAGGAATATTATTTATATTTATATTTAACGTAGTATTCGAGAGCGCCTTTGAATGGTAGTAGTTTTGAGATTTTCTTTGCAAAAAGGCTTCGTTAGACTCTTACTTTATTTCTAATCGGCTCAATCCGTGTTATAAAATCTATGAGAAAGCACAATTTCATGAAAGGTCCTTTACAAGATTTTCATAACTTACATCTGCTTTTTTATAAAATTTTTGTCAAGTTCACAGGTCCAACGATCATGCTTAATTCTTCAATTTGGCGATTCATGCTCTGATCATTATTATTGCATGGCGGCGCAGAAATGGAAATCATATATTACGCCTTTTTTCGGCTTTGCAAAACGTTAAATGAAACGAGTCCCATATTTGACTGACAAAAAAAGAAATTTTTTCTTCTTGTCTTGTTTTGAATCCTCATGTATTGCCAACACGGATCTTGGTGTTTCCTACCGTCATTTACAGCCCCACTAACCCCAAGGAACCCACCCCACCCCCTTAGCAAAAGGATAAACTTTAATAATATCCATTCAGTTTCGCTGATAATATACCCCCCCCCCCCCCCAATTCCCAGTAATCAGATCTTATTTAATCTTCAGTTCCTGTCTTGTGTTCTATATCTTTCGTAAAAGCGACTGGTAAAATTATTCAAACTCCGTTATTCTTTTTCTTTATTTTTCTGTTTTGTTAATAAATGTTCCTCTGTACGACGGATTCTACTCAATATCTTTTTATATTGGTGAATAACTAATGGCACACGGCAGTGTTACACCGTACAATAATGTTTTAAAGTGGAAAATTGAGAGTGAAATAATAACTACAATTGTAGGATTGTATGCATCAATTGGACGCTGTTGTAGCAATGACCAGGGAATTTGGTCAACGAAATGGATAGCAAGAAAAGCAATCTTAATTAGCCGTACCGAACAAATCTTTCGGTATAAAGATTTCTACTTGAAACTTGGGGTATTTATAATCGCTTAAAAAAGAGCCATTCTAGTTTGTTTAAATTCTTTGTAAATAAAAGTATCTTTACTTCATAAACCAATCTTTTGCTTTCTCTTCTCCAGTTATGTATTGCACTTCCGATGCTTTGTTAACTTTATATAGTATGAGAGTCCTTTAGGCTTATGCTTTTTAGCTTATTTATAACCTTAAACTTAGCGATGTAACGAACTCTCTACACAGACAAGACGAAGCGAAAATTCAGCTTTTGAATAAAGACTCTCTATAGCAACCAGATTCTGCTAAGATGATTGTACAGATGACAATATAAAAGAAAAAGCTATTAGAATGCTGAGGAATATTAAACTCAGGATCCTTACTATCTAAAATGTACATTCGCTCTATAAGCAGTCTTGACGCAGGCGTTACATCATGTCATTATATAAACAAACTCGAAATTCTGATCTACAATCTACTATAGAATGTATTCTAGCAATATTCTCAGGAAAATTGCACAATTTACTCTCTTTTCTCACAAAGGCAGTCCAAACCCTTGGAAAGTAGCTCTTACTTTGAAAGAGTTAAATCTCTCTTATGAACCAGTGTATTACGATTTTGGAAAAAAGGAGCAAAAGTGCAAAGAACACCTTGCTTACAATCCTAATGGAAGAGTTCCTACATTAGTCGATCACAAAAATAACGACATTGCGATTTGGGAGTCCGATGCTATTTTGGCCTACTTGACAGACAGATACGACAAGGAAAGAAAGATTTCCTTGCCTCATGATCATCCAGAATACCATCATTTGCTTCAGTATCTGTTTTTCCAGTCTTCAGGTCAAGGTGTCATTTGGGGACAAGCATCCTGGTTTAACTTTTATCATCCAGAGCCTGTTACGTCGGCGATTACTAGATACAGGAATGAAACCAAGCGTGTTCTCGGTGTTTTAGAAACAATTCTTTTAGACAGAGACTATCTTGTTGCTAATAAGTGTACGATTGCTGATTTGTCTTTTGTAACCTGGAACGATTTACTACCAGCAATTTTTGGCCCAGGAAAGAACGAATTTAAGGAAGAGCTTCCTCAGCTGGATTTCGAAAAGGAGTTTCCCAAGACGCATGAGTGGCACAAGCGTCTTATTGAGCGTCCTGCTGTTTCTACTGCCTTGCGGGAACGAGAGGAACTTCTTAAGCAATAAATCGACCGAAAACCATGTTTCAAAAACGTAAATTTACAGTGGTTAATTGTGCTTTGTTATGACTATTACCACTTTCAAGCACTACTAAATGAGATAATTTCAATTATGTATTCAAATTTTTACAATCCAAACATCATAAGTAAATTATAACTGCTAAAATCACTCATATTCTGCGTTATCGAGGCTTACCCAATAGTTTTTGTTATGTGAGAGATGCATAGATTTCTGGAGACGCCATACTTGAGTGCCATGAGGTACAACGTTAGCTGTCAAATATCGAGCCGCAGTTGTCGTCTCTTTCGTCCATAGGTCTTTAGCAACCCATGTATACTTTTCGTTGTCATGGTTATCAGTAAAAATGTCAGAAAAGGCAATGTTCATTTCTAGCAGTGGTTCAGTAGCTTCATTGACAACAGCCACAACCCAGTCCCCATTCGAGAGGGATCCAGAGAAGAGATGCACAAAACCGTCGACGAAGTGCTTTTTCCACATTCTGTTGGCAGGAGCAGAACCAACGTCCTGGTTGACAGCGATCACATCTGGATTGCTCACAATTGCCAAATGCTCACGACTCATACTGCTAACATCATTACCAAGAATCATCGGAGATTTTAAAATGGCCCACATGGTGAAGTGAGTTATGTATTCATCAAAAGACATGCCCCCATTTCCAACTTCCAACATATCCATATCACCCCATCCGCTGTTGGGTCCAGCTTTTTGTACCAGAGGCGTTGCTTTGTTGACAATGTTCATAATAGAGCAGTGGTATCCCTGTAAGCTGGGGCAGTCATATGTTTCGCATGGGCAGCGAATGTCGTATCTATTGAAATTATCATAAATGTCTCCTGTCACTCTCCAAGAATTTGCAATTGTACTGGCCCAATTCCATACTTGATCTTCTCCCCATTGACAAAGAGCATAGAAGATGGGGTGACCCGTTTTGTTAAGAGCATCAGACATTGCTTCGTACCGCTGATAACTTATCAAAGGAGAGCCACTACGTCCTTGATTGAAACAATTATCGTATTTCAAGTAATCGATTTTCCATTCGGCAAACATCTTGGCATCAATCTCTTCATGGCCCAACGATCCAGGGTATCCAGCACATGTGTACTTACCAGCACTAGAGTACATACCGAAGTTGAACCCCATGTTGTGAATTTTTTCAATCATATTCTCAATCCCGTTAGGAAATTTCTCGGGATCAGGGACGATTCTTCCTGTCTTTGGATCTCGCTGTCGTTTCGACCAGCAATCATCCATGATAACATAGTTATAACCCAATTTCAACAAACCAAGCTCCTTCATAGCCTCCGCATTGTTTAGGATAACAGTTTCGTTAATATCACAGGTATAACGATTCCATGAGTTCCATCCCATAGGAGGTGTTTTCCCTAGGCCATTATCCAAGGCCCATATTACTGGAGCAATTGCTAATATCAGTATACTACAAGATAACATGTTTGGCAATTGTTAAAACGTTCATTTTGTTTCTTCCGATAATTTCATTCTTGAAAAGAAGGTTACGTAAAGTTGACAATACAAGCATGAACCTAACATTGACATCTTTCTTCCTCGTTTATGAAGTAATTATTCCCTTCATTTAAAGAAAGGCATCAATGGACACAGAGATTATTAAAAGATACCTCACCTCCTTCCTACCCTTCTTTTAATGTCCCTTCCCTCCTTACTTACTGCTATTTAAAAATACTTCATACCTGGATAATATAAATAAAACTTCAAAAATATAACTCCATTACTAAATTGAAACGCATATCAATAGCAATTAATCGTAAAAGTAAAAAAAAAGCAGAGTAAAAAAATAATAGGAAAAAAAGACTAGAGAGTGAAAGATTATATATAATACCTTGGACACAGTTTCTGGTCATCATCCGAAATAAAACTTAGAAAAGGTTATAACAAAGTATACAACCTCAAAGAGTGTTGTCTGCCGAAGATTCATCAGAGTTGGGAGGTAAACCCATCTTAATGATATATTCTCTGGCTTCCTCTCTCAACCTCTGAGCTGTGGCATTATCCCAACCAAATTCTTCTTTCATAATTGTAGTGACACCGTCAACAGCTCTCAAAGCTTCTCTAGCGTTCAAAAACGCAAGCCTTGATCTCCTAGCCAAGAAATCGAGTGGGGTTCTCGTAAACTCGTAAAGCAAACTATACTTCAATTCAGCGACAGTGAAAGGCTCGTCGAAAGCAGCATACGATAACTCATTATTCTTTGTAACGTCTGATTTGGAAGGAGTGAAACTTCTGTTACCAGCAAGAACAACGGGCAATTTGTTGATGTCGGATTGGATGTACAATTCCAAAATCAAAGGAGAGCGAGTACCATAGTTATGTGAAAGATGTTTAGCTAGGTTAAGTGGAATATGGTAGGTGTGCATCAATTTGGCAGAATAGTTCTTGGTGTAGTCTTCACCACCAACCAAAATTAGTTGCTTCGTCTGGCATGGTTTAACGGTCTTACCAAAATCGAAGTCCTTGACCAATCTGTCCACCGTCTCTTCGGCCATTTCTCGATACGTAGTCCATTTACCTCCGCTAATAGTAACAAGTCCAGTGCCCGTAACGTAAATTAAGTGAGAGCGAACCAAACCCTGTGTACTTGAAGTGCTTGGGTCAAGACCTTTGGGAACATTGCTTGGGTCACGAACCAAGGGTCGAATACCACTCCAAGCGGATAGCACGTCGCTTCTTTGTACTGGGAAAGTAATGTAGTTTTGCAATTCATTCAAGATATCTTGAATATCCTCTTCTGAAGGACTTGGATTGGAAACGGCTTCTTTAAGTGGGTTGTCAGTGGTGCCAGCCAAAACCTTACCTTGCCAAGGAAGGAAAAACATAACACGGCCGTCCTTCGTTGACGGATCGAGCAAACCCCAATCTCTAGGACAGTAGTACTCGGGTAAGACAACATGAACACCAGAAGATGGAACCACCATGCGAGGGAATTGAGCAGTTTTAGGGGGCTTTCCATTTGGATCTTCATCCATTTCTAAGATCTTATCTGCGTATGGTCCTGTTGCGTTCACAGTGGCTGTAGCTTTTACCTCGTATTCTATTCCAGTTTCTCGATCAACGGCAACGGCACCAAGGACTTTATTATCAGAAGACTTGATCAATTGCTTTACTTGCATGTAATTCAAGACTGTAGCACCATGATCTACTGCAGTAATGGCAAGAGTCGTGTTCATTCTTGAATCGTTGAAAGTACCATCGTGGTAAACGCAAGCAGCCTTCAGTTCAGAATCATTTAGCATAGGAGCAAGGGCAGTTGTCATTTCTCTGGAAAAAACCGTAGAAGCTCGCAAATTTTGGGAACCAGCAAACCAGTCATACAATTTACATCCAGCATAGTAATAAGGGATTCTCCACCATTCATAGACAGGGATCATAATCGGTAAAACAGAACAAAGGTGAGGAGCAGTACGAAGCATATTCGCCCGTTCGTTAAGGGCTTCGATGACTAAATCCAATTGAGCTTTCGAGAGTTTAAAGATAGCTTTTTCTAAGTAGCGAACACCACCATGCGCCATTTTAGTAGATTTCGATGAAGTTTCAGCAGCAAAGTCTGTTTTTTCAAGTAGACAAACGTTAAGACCACGTGTAGCAGCATCAACAGCAACACCTGTTCCCGTGGCACCACCTCCAATAACTAAAACATCGTACTTTGGAGTCGATTTTATTCGATCCAAAAGTGCTTCACGAGATGGAGGAGGATCTAATTGCCTCTGGAAAGGCTTGTAGAATGCTTTATTGTATTCAGCATTATTACTCGGCGATTTAGAAAATACGGCAACCGTGTAAGCACCACCGGCAAGTGCCGTAGCCCCTATTACCAACTGGGTTGATCTCTTTCGAAAGAACCCAAACATGATAAATTAAGCGAGAGGAGATGAAAAGCTTATTTTTTTATAAAAGAACTGGTAAGAGAGTATATCGGTGGAAAAAGGGATGGATGGCTTTTAAAGAAAGCAACAAATCAATAGAAAACAACGTAAAGCAATCGCAGGTATTATAGCGAAAATGTAAATAAACAACCCACAAAAGCAAGGACTCAAAAAGATCAAAAACAGCGTTGAATAAAACCAGACTTTTTTTTAACGACACAAGTATATATACAAAAAGATCTTGGCTTTTTCTTTCTTTTCTGATTTTTCTATTTCTTTTTTAAAAAAGGGGATAATAAATAATGAAGAAGAAGAAGAAGAAAGAAACAACGAATTGAAATATAATGCTTCTAAGGAAGGAAATAAGAAAGGATTAACTTTTTTTGAGCAGCTCTACAGAAAAAAACAAGTTTTTGGTTTGGAAATATATGGATGGGAAATCCAGGCTACTTATATAGTTTCTCCATATTACGTAGTACTCAACTTAAGCGGAACCAGGCGGGAGCTGATACCGCATAATTTGTCAAATCAAAAACTCAGTGGTAAAAGCGTGAAACTTTAATCATGAAGATGCACTGCCCCTTTGAGATTCTCCTACCTCCAGCGGCTAATAATAAACTTTGGACAAATTATTTACGTTTTGCTTTTGTTTACATCTTTTGCTAAGCCAATACTAGGCGTAATTTCCGTACGTCTTATTGTTTGTTTATGCTGGATTCTTGTTTTGTTTTTTCAAGCTTTGATACGTGCTTTAGTCAGATACATCCGTTCTTTCTGCTGAATTTTTCCGGTAACCGATGTCCACCCACATACATCATCAAAGAATCACTAAACCTTATTGCAAATTCCTCTTCTCCACTAGTAGAAAACAGATATATATCTTTCTTTAACTAGCATGTTTTTCTTGCTCTTCTTTGCAAAAGCAGATGTCGGCATTTGCCTTCATGTTGTAAACAATCATGGGCGATATCATATTAAGAATCTATGTTGTATGTTGTTCTCCGCATTTACTATGACAAAAATGACATAAGCGAACTTAAGTGCCATTCGTCTAGGCTCACATAATCATGATATCATTTGCGCTTTGCTACGGGCGTAAACATTGAAAACATCACAAGGATACACTTGAAGCCACAATGAAAAACAAAGCAGAGATTTAGCGGACATTAGCATTTACAATGAAATATATAAAAGCTGAAAGCATTGCTGTTGTTTACTACTTTTATTCGTTTACACTTTTCAAATTATCCCGACTGCCGTAACCTTTAGGAATTTCATTGATTATCCTAGTCATTTAAACCATAAACCAATGAACATGTAAATATTTCTTTATCCTTCTTGCTTACTTTTTTGTTTTTGTTATTATACAGTTTAAGCTTTTAAAGTTATGCTTCCATAACGGTGCATGTACAATTGTGACAAAATGCATCATGAATTAACTCTCTTTGGTTTCTGAAGGTTTTATTGACTTTTCGTCCACCTCTGTTGCGGGGTCATAGAACTTTTGTCGCGAAAACAGACTTTTCAGTTTTTCACCGTAAATAAGAACCGGAACACTGAACCCATGAACGATGATTGAAGATAAAATAACAAAACAAACGATTGGCCATAGTAACTCATGAAGAATGAAAAACTCGTCTGTAGATTTATAGACCAAACTTTCTATTTCATCTGGAGTAAGCATTGATGTCGCCACGAAAGCCATGTACACGGCGCATACACCTATAGGTCCAAAATGGCCGACGAACAGGGCTTCTTTCCAAGTTTGAATATCTTGGATAACTGGTTTGCATAAAAAGACAGCTGGAATGCGACGAAAGAAGAGTATTAGAATTGTGAATACAATCAAGCGCCAAACTGGAAGCTCCATCTGAGGCCAGTTAAATTTCTCCCAGGGGATGATGCTTCCGAAATAAGTAAAGAACAGCAAATTAAAAGTTTGGTCGATGAACGATGGTACATAGCACTCGGACATATTGTCGACAAACACATTATCCCATGCGAGCATTACACCCGTAAAGAAAGATAATAATAAATCGTCAATTCCAATGATTGTTCCGATTCCTGAACACATCAAAGGAATAGCAAATGATAACGAGTAATAACTATTCGCATCAATAAATTTTAGCTTTTCAAACCATTTCAGTAATTTTGCTAAGAAAATCCCCAATAAACAACCAAAAAAAATCCCAAAGGCACATTCGTAAAGGACAATCAAAAGCACCCAGTCTCGACCCGCATGATTGGATGGTTTCACTGTCAAGAGTTTCAAGGCAAAGTACAAAAAAGGAACAGCCATCCCATCATTACATCCGGATTCAGCAATCAGTAATGCACGAATTCTCTGAGGAATTCTTTTCGCAATGGCACCTTCTCCTACTATCAGCGAAGATAGAACAGGATCTGTTGAAGTTATACATCCTGCAACTAGCAGAGATCCTAAGAATGTGATGTTGGGAAATAACGCGTAAGCAAATCCAGCTGAAATCAACCATCCAAAAATCATAATCATACTCAGCATCATAAAAATGCTGCTAAAATGTTGTTGAAAGTACGCAGCTGGTAATTCAACCCCAGAAGCAAAAACTCGAACATTAATTACCATTCTACATAATTCAATCGTTACATATTCCACGTTCCCCCATGATTTTGGGTTAATTAGATTGGCAGCATGTGGTCCAAATATGAGACCGACAACACTACCCAAGGCTATTCCTTGTTAGACTTCTTTTCAGCTAAATTTTTTTTATATTTAACATATTAAAGATTAAATAAAAAAGAAAAAAAAATGAAAGCTATTTCCAGATATTGTCCGAAATAAACATTCTTTACGTACTTGCTTCGCCTACCAGTAGCCGCTCGCGAATAATTCTAGATGTATAGCAGAATATAGTAATAAATCCTCCTGTAACAATTAGAGCTAAATGAACTTTGTCAATCTCAAGTTGTTTCCATGCCATGTGGTTTTTGAAGACTCGTGGTGGTCAGAAAATTTAAGTGACGAGTTCAATTGACGTTTGTTGACCCGGGGGAAAAATAAAGATGAGGGATGTTAGTTTTCGCACATTATAGACAAATTTCATGTAATGAACTATTTAAACAATTTTTTAAAAATTAGCGACGCTAGGCATGGAACTTTTAACGCTCCTTTCCATCAAATCAAAGAGGTTGAGTGCTGGTTCTCCTTACGATTATTTCCATAGTATTGCTGTTCAGCTAAAGAATTGGTTGAGGAGCTAAGTCCCTTGTACGGTTGATTCGTATGGTTCAGCCTTACTGGCTTTTTAGAGATTGCCTCTGGGCAAAATATTTACAGTGTGAGACCTGAAGCTTGAAATGGCTTTGTTCATTCCTTTATATAAGAATTCATTGCTTTCTTTGACTCTCTGAAAAACACTGCTGATGGCGACCAAACTCAGTAGCTATAAATATGAAACCGGAAGACAATATCCTCACCTTTTGATATTAATATTTTCCGTGTTTTTTATGAATCTTCCGAACTGCTTGAATTGGCAGCAGCTCATTGCAGAAAACAACAGCTGAAGGGAAAGCGAGCAGGAATTATCGTTAGCGGCGAAAATGTGGATATATATTGGTACGCAAATTCTTTCACTAAGGGACTCATAAATAGCACAAACTTATACATTGGTATATAACTAGGACCACGTTTATGCTTTGTAAACGCACAGAATCCAGAAATTCTTCTAACTCTAGGGATAATGTCTCAATGTATGCAAACTTTACAAATAAAAAGGACAAAGTGAAAAACGTATAAATGTAAAAAATACATGAAAATCATCAACGACATATATTATTGAAGGACAAAGGACCGTTTATTAATCATAGAAAAATAAATTCTAGATACGTCTTTGGTTGACCTGTGCTCTAATTTTGGCCAAGAGGGTAATGGTCTTATTGACATTCGCTGGGTATCCTAGTTCGTTTGCTAGTTTGACAATCCAACCGTTAATAGAATCTATTTCCGTATCTCTCTTGAAAAGAGTGTCTTGTCTCATGGAAGAACTATTGTTTCCACAAACCACGAAACCCACATACATCACAAAGTCTAGAAGTCTATGAATATCCAGTGTCTGTCTAGCTTTTGGGTTTTCAGCCAAATTAGGCATACTTTTAAAAAAGACATCAACACATTCGGTAATAATGCACTTAAAAAGAACTTTCACTTCTTCAATGTTGGATAATTCTCGATTCATACAATCGAGGATGGCAGTATTCGGGTTCATGCATGCATTTATTACGAGTTTCTCACATTGAGAGATAAGCAAATCATCATAAGACAAGTAGCTTGTATTCAACGTTTTGGACTTCATCAGTAATTCTACTAATGCACAAGTACTGTCCATTGCAGAGGACCCAACTTTGGCAATTTTTAAATTTCCTAAACCAGCATGCACATAATGAAAGTCTTTCTTCTGAAAACATCCATGTGTAGTAATTCCTTGGTAAAGATTAGGACTCTTGCTTTCATCTGTCCATACCACTCTTTTCAGATGTTCAATCACACCTAGACCATTTTGCACAAACAGAATATTTGAGTCTTTTTTTATATAGGGAACATAATCTAATATTGCCCTTTCTGAATGTACAGTTTTAGTTGTGACAATTAAGTTGTCAATCGTATCAACATTCAACTCGGCAGGATATGTCGCTTTTAGTTTACACTGTATTTGTGGTGCATTTTCCTCAAACGTCCGTTCGATTGTAAGCAACGATTGCTGCGCTCTGAACTGTTCAGCTCTTGCTTGATTTCTTAACAACAAAACAACTTTATTTTGCAACGAAGGAAGACTTGCCAGTTCACAAGCAAGCAAACTTCCAATGCTTCCAGCACCCAAAACGTAAATAGGACTATTCATAGTTTACCTAAAGAATATAAATCTCAGGGATAAATGACAACCTACCAAGTCTATTCAAATGAACAAGTTAGTCCTTCTTGTCTTCGTTTCTGCTGAGAGAAATTTAAACGGTAAAAGGTCGTTGGTTATAAAAAAGAAAAGAAAAAGAAACAGTGAAAGATGGTAATGACAAAAATTAATTTATACGTAGTCTGAAAGCATGCATCTGTTGTGAAAGCTAAAACCAAGCTATTTGATTTTTTGAGTTTTCGGTAGAATAAGCTTATGTGTGCCGAGGCACGAGACTGAAAAAAATATGCGTTTATAACTTGAGACGAGGTACTTTTTTTAATGGTAATGTCTATTGTAGCAATAGATTATAGATTCAATCAGTCGATAAAAATTTGCACTTATTCATCAAACAATCTCTTTTTTAGGTGTAGAGATGAGAACTTCGTGATGGTAAACAAACCTACACTGAGATGCACAAACACTGTATCCGTAAAAAAAGGAAAGAAAGTAAAAAAAAAAAAAAGAATAAAAGCATAGCCAGTTATTACGGATTCGTTTCCTGGGCATGGGTTGCTTACCATCTTCACATAAAATGTTTACTAGCAAAACTGAGAAGACTTTAAAATATGTAGCGAATATTTGAATATTATAGATTGCAATTTTGGCTTAAAAAGTTCATTTATGATTCAAGTTTCATTCTTTGCTTTTCTAGAAACATAGACATTGACTAATTCAAATTGAGCTCATTCACAAATAAGTGAAATGTATCTTGTTCTGTTTTGTTTTAGCTACATCAGTTACTTCGAAACAAGCTCCTTGAATTTCATTGGAACCTTGTTTCCTTTCTTTGAATACTTATTTAACATCTTTCATTGAATTTGTTTACTAATATAACAGGCAATATAAATACAATCATAAGTATTATTGTAACAAGTAAATATTATAATATAAAACGTACGATAATGACCCTTTTATATTGCGATGCACTTCACTTTCGCAACCATCTCACTACATATTGTTTGTTTCGCAAATTTCTGTCGCCTGAGACAGTGAAATTGAAGTCGGTGAATATAGAAAGAAAGAACAAAGTGGTGAGTACGTATGGATTTAATTTTATTAGCAACTGGTAATAAGTTTGATCGGCATTACAAAAAGCTAGGAAAATGCCCATTTCTTGAAAGAAAGCATTCCCAAGCAAAAGACCTTTCTAACGGTGCTGATGCTGCTAATAAGGCTACAATTCACTCTAGTAATAGATCCGTGGTTTCATTAGGAGCATCATTGCCACTTAGACAGGATGATTTAGAGGAAGGGGGAAATGAATCACCAAAACAGGTGAAAGAGCTTGAAGAGGATCCTTACCTGGTAACTTGGGATGGTTCCGAGGATCCATTGAATCCGTCAAATTGGTCAATGGCTCAAAAATGGTGGATTATTATTCAAACTTCAATTATAACAATTGTCGTGACGTTTGGCTCTAGTATCTATTCGAGTGGTGTTGAACAAGCTGCTAACGAGCTCCATGCTTCTATACCTGTGTCTACTGTTGGCTCTTGCACATTTTTGGTTGGATTTGGTTTTGGCTCTCTCCCTTTTGCTCCTTTAAGTAGTATTTATGGTAGATTCATTGTTTACTTCCTTACTTTGCTCTTGTTCACAATCTTCCAAGTTGGCGGAGGCTGTGCTCAAAATATATGGACTATTATAATTCTTAGATTTTTCCAAGGTGTTTTTGGAAGTACCCCTCTTGCCAATGCCGGTGGCACAATCAGTGATATGTTTACTCCTATCCAGCGTACCTATGTCCTTCCTGGGTTTTGCACTTTTCCATATCTAGGTCCCATTATCGGTCCTATCATGGGTGACTTCATTGTTCAGAGCTACCTGGGTTGGCGCTGGCTCTTTTGGATCAATATGATTTGGGCAGCAGGTACCTTGCTACTCATTTTCTTTTTGTTTCCTGAAACTCATGGTGAAACGATCCTTGATTATAAGGCGAAATATATTCGCAAAATTACTGGTGATTCCGCTTATTATACAATCCATGAGCGTGAGCGTGACCCTAAAAACGCAATCTTTCAAGCAGCTACTCAGTCAGCCTCTCTCTTTTTGACTGAACCCATTGTCGTTTGCTTTACACTTTACCTCACTGTCGTTTACATAATTAACTATATAAATTTTGAGGGATACCCAATTATATATGCGAAATACGGGTTTAATTACGGTGAGTTAGGTTTGTCATTTATTGGAGTCGGTGTTGGCATCGTTATTGCTGGTCTTTTGACGCCATTAACTTATAAACAGTATCTCTGGGCCTACAAACGAAGAGGATCTGTTATGTGCCCTGAAGATCGGTTATATCCCCTTTTCATTGGTGCATTTGTCCTTCCTATGTCCATGTTTTGGTTGGCATGGACTTGCTATGCTGGCCATATCCATTGGATTGTACCTATGATAGCTAGTGCTTTCTTCGGGTTTGCTTTACTTATTGTCTTTTTTGTTTCCTACAATTATATTATTGACTCGTATCAACATATTGCTCCTAGTGCGCTTGCCGCAGCAACCGTGGTTCGCTATTGTGCTAGTGGAGGTGTAACACTCGCTGCTCGTCCAATGTATCTGAATTTGGGAGATCATTGGGCTACTAGTGTATTGGGATTTATTTCGGTAGCCATGGTGCCTATTCCGTTCGCCTTTTATAAATATGGAAAGCGTATTCGCGCTTGGAGCAAACATGCTTATAAACTGTAATTCTAGGGTATTGACTTATCGGTTTGATTTATTGGGAGTTCTTTTGGTTTCATAAAATTAAAGTTTTATTAATTTATAATGAATAACTTTTTGCACAGAAAACAGAATTGATTGCTTGCAGTGATATTATATAATATATATATATAGTTGAACGTGTTTATACAGCCAAATCAAAACTTGTACAGTTCATGGCTCTTAATTACTGTACAATTTTGCCTTCATACAACCAAAGATAATCTAAATTCTTTATGTATTTCCTATGGAACCGTATACTGGTTATTGATGCGAAGTATCATTCAAATTTTTATAATCAGCTTTTTTTTATTGATTCGATGCAAATCCATATTGCTTGCATCAACAAAGTTGAGTTATGATTTAAAACTAGAAAAGGAATAAATAAAACGTACTTAAAGGGACGAGGGAAGACTCGGTCAAACAAAGATGAACACTTCCAGAACCAAATAAGTATATTGCTCGTATGCTAGAAAACAAAACTTTATCCAAAAAGTTTATTAATCGTACAAATGTAATTAAATTAACCCCTTGCCAAGTTAATTTAAAGATATCGTGACTTTTGAAGTTATAAAAAGTAGGCACAGTGGCTTCCCTGGTGGACGCCATCATTATGTAGTTATTCAAATTTAGAAGGGAACGTTTGTATCCTTCCATAGATCATTATGAGATGCAGATGTCATAAAAACTGGAGGTCCTCCAAAAAAAGATCGGTATTCTTCAAAATTGTTAGCCGAACTTAACTGGCTATCAAAAAACTCATTCTTAATTGTCTCATCAAGGTAGTTGAATATGGGAATTTCTTCCGGAACAATTCTTGAGTTCAAATTGGTAAGTGCAAAACTCTGATTAGGCGTAGAGATTTCCTCGTCCTTTAAACTGGTTTCAATCAATGTAAGGGATTTGGCAGCTAATTTCCAAGACTTTGATGATTTGTTTAAAACCATCACGAAAAATTTCAATTTTTCTTCAATGTCTAAGCGTTCAGATATTACAGAAGTATGTCTCAACATAATAAGTACGCTACAGCTTACTATCGACGCATACACCATAAACAAAGAAGCCGACTCAAACCCGAAAGCATCTCGGTAAGCTTTAAGGAGCTGACTAATATCTTCAATAGAATCCATACAAATCACTTTCGAAGTCATATCGTTAGAGGTAACTTCTTTCCTTGCTAAAAATGGACGATTTAGGCAAATCCGAATAAGATAATAGTAAAGACATATTGCAAGCATATCCGGATTTTGCCCATGACTTTTCAGATCACTCTTTTTCCAGCGAACATCATCTGGAAGTTTTAGATACCATTTCATAAGTTCCAAATTATACTTTCCTAAATTTTGAAGTCTGGCATTGACGCCATAGGGTAAATTGCTCGGAGAGAAAACATCAAATAAGATAGCATCAGCGATATGGCTTAAATCCACCAACAAAAGAAGCATAACGAAAAGAGTTGCTGGTTTGGCAGCTGGTCCCAAGTCACACTTAAACTCATCAATACCATCAAAGTCGGGTAAATTAACAGACCCAGGAATACTCGTATCTGACTTCTTCAATGTAGTTGGTCTTCCCAAGATAAAACTAATAAAAACATCTGCGACATAGCTGCCCCAATAGATTCTGCTTCTTACAGCTGCGTCCTCAGCAGAGATAACAGGAATTTCATTCATAAACCATTTCCTTGGGTCTAATTGAAATCCTAAATCCTGTCCCATTCGAAAAGCTAAGCCTGACAACAACCACCCCAAAGAATTGTTTCCCATACCAATATCATAGAATCCTAGACATAGCAGACATTGGACTGAAGTAATATGAGGCCTTCCTAAACCATATTCCATCAAAGCATCCCAGGATAACTTGTAGTATTTATCAGACGAGTTAACGACTTCTGGTTCGGGCGCCATTCGACTTCCCAATGCACACATTGCATATAATAAATGTTCTGAACAGTATCTACCATCATGATAATGATGATAATAATCTAAGAGAAAAGCTTCTCTATTAATATACATGAACTGTGTATACTGCCATTTGAAGAATAGCTTTAAGCAATAGGTGATAGCGGGTGAAAACATAGGATGTTGTTTGACCTGGAAAGGTGTATCAACAGAAGATGGGCGTAATGAGGAGCCATACACATTCGTTGGTCCATAAAAGGTTATAGTATTTGGGCCTCGAATGTCCAATGAAATGGGGAAATCTATAGAATCATCCTTTTGCATATTAGAAGCATTACTACCGCACCCATTGAAACTGAGATGATCCGCAAACGTGACTGATTCCAACATCTTAAGTCTTTCATTCGTAGGAGAATCTTTAAGCTTCATAAGAAATGACTCTAATGTAGCTAGCTGACTTTCAAGGGCCTGAACATAGCTATGAGGGTGCCGTTTTTTCCTATTATCCAAATCTTTATGGATACACTGCTCACCTAAGTGAATGCAGTTTGTACAAGGTGATTTTCTGTCGCATTTAATCTAATTATTTGGTTAATACCCACCGCATTATCCTATAAGACTTTGTTGGAAATACCTTTCTACGCCGGCAAGACTGACATCTGCAAAACTGTAAGTACACTGTTTTGAAAAAACTAAAAAATACTTACGATAAAGTCCGCATTTCTAATGGCTTCAGGAGTTCCCACCGACGGTACTGTTCTTTCTTGATTCACAGTAAAAAATTTAACAGTGAGCGTTCAAAACTTTTAGGCCTTAATCAGCTTTCTAAACGAAAAAATTTTTCTTTTTCAATTAATATTCTTTTGAATATACCGAAAGTCCTCCAACCATGTGAAATTACAGCAATATATAGATATAATAAAAGGATATTGACCTGAGGGTGATGAGAGCTTTCATATTATAACGATATCATATTAAGGATGTAAACAAAGGCAGCTTATTAAAAATCTGGTTTTATCATGGGAATAGGGCAAAATTTTGCAATTATTTACATGAACTTCTTACAGAATGTTTACAAATGATGGCATCTACTACTGCTTGAACAATTCACAACGTCCTGCTTTACTATGAAACAATTCAAGTATACCTAAGAATACTTTACAATTAGGTATGCTGAATGCTGTATAATATGTACATGAAGGATGTATTCAGTATATAATGCAAGACAACAGAAACAGATGTAACTAAAGCCAATGGCGAAGTTGTGTCTTGTACTCAAAATTCTTGTATCATAAAAACCAAATTGGACATATAATACTTTATCAGGCCCAAGCATCCATAAGCAGAATAGTCAAATGAATGCAAAATGTCGAAAAAATTACCAATAATGACCTTATAAGCTGCGTCCATAGAGCAAATACTCATCCTTGGTTTCGACAAGAGTTCTACAATCAAAGAACCCTAGAATTTTATAATATCCATGGTTTTCTTACAGTAAACGTAATAAGCAGTAAACTATGCAAGGGAAATTTATTAGAGTGCTGAAATTATTAAATGATTATCATTTTGACACAATTATAAATAAATACTTGCTAGTCATCTTGTTTATCCCGATATACCCAACATGTCGTTTTGATCAAATTTGCATCATTAACCCTTTATTTTTGTTTAAGACCAGTTTTTTATTTGTAAACCCTTAAACATGAAATATAACCCTTTGTCACTTAATAATCGCGAGTAAGAGGTAGGCTAGCCCCTTGATCATAATTTTTAGGGCAGAAAGTAGAAAAAAACCTAATGACAATCATTGTGCGTATCCGTATTTCCCATGTACCGTGTTAACGCTGACAACTTTCTGCTATAAAAAATTAGACACTAACAGAAGCAACCAATACTTCAATTATACACCGATTTCTCAGAAACACTTTTCAATTGTCCCCACTATTATCGTCCTCATTAGGTGTAGGCAATTTCCGACCACAGTGAGAGCATATAAGCGAATATGTGAATGTGTTTAAATCTCGTAATTTCCTACAAGCATAAAATAAAAAATTTCCGCATTTAGAGCATTCCAAACGATCGTTTTCACGGATGAATCGAGTGCTCTCATCCTTTGGACGAGGTGCTAAAGATGAAGCAACCGTTACAGGATCCGCATGGTCGATATCTTCAGTATTAGTCCCCTTTTTCATTGCAATATTTAAGGCTCTAGAAACGTTCGTATTGTTGACATCCAAGTCATTCATTGAATAGTAAGCCATTGAAGAAGCCCCTTCTTGAAGCATCATCATATCAACACGTTTTAAAGTTTCATTTTCATCCATATCCAAATGGGTTTCCTTGGGATCTGCAGTTATTTCTTTCGGAACATCCACCTTTTCACGTTGTTCTCTTTTTACGGGATTTTGTTTCAATGAGACTGAAGGATGCCTTGACCGGTTTAAAGAGAATGACTTATTCCTGAGACTTCGGAGGGAACTACTATTAGTAGTATTTTTTACGAGTGAAGGTAAGCTAAAATTCTCATTGCTTGTTCTTTTTTGTGAATTTCTAGCTTCAAAAGAAGAATCCTGACGAAAAACTCGAATGCGACCATCCATGTCACCACATACAATGATATGACCACTACTCACTTCAGGTGGCAGTTGACTAATACGTGTACTATGCAAATGATTCATCAATCGTGAAGGATCGAACGACGTGTTCGAGCCCACTGACGACCGTCGAGCTGTGATTGCTGTAGTGTAAAGTGGATCGCCAGCCATTAACAGTATTTGCTTTGTGCGGCTTGGAGCAAAAATAGCGGTAGTAGTTGGTCTCATGGAAGCTTTAAAATGTTCATAGCATTTTTTCTTGCTTTTCTGCAAATGCGGTGGTGGAATATCCCAGATATAAACTTGATGATCCTCACTGCCGCAAATTATATGTTTCAGTTCATCATCAAAGGATGATTTATTTTGGCTTTGTTCATTTAAGTGACCTTTAAATTTGATTTCTAAACTCTTATCACGAAGGTTATATATTCGAATTCGAGAGTCATTTGTAGTCACAAGCATTTCCGTATCGCCAGCGATATTTTCGATTATTCGAGTACGAGTTTCAATACCTGTAATTTTGCTTCCTTTTGAATTTTTACCTCTGGAACTTCGAATATGTATTTGGGTACGAAATCGAAGTCCTCGAGTGTCATAAAATAAGCACAGGCCAACAAATGTGCCAGCAATCGCCAAACTACCATCTGGGCTAAAGGCAACTGCAGTGATCAATTCCGGAAGCTCATTCCAATAAGCTACATTCTTGTCTTTTATTGACCATAACCTTAGTTTGCAGTCTAAAGATCCGGAAAGAAAAAATCGATCATCTTTAGGGTGAAAAGCTATTGAGGTGACAAAGTCAGAATGTTCAAAACAGCATAAGCAATCTTTACGAAGAGGGTGCCATAAACGCACTGTTCGGTCCATGGACGAGCTTAGTAGGAAATTGTTTTTGCTCCAAGATATATCTAAAATATCTGCAGTGTGCCCGGCATATTCTTGAACAGGGGTAGAAGAGAAAACGGGAGCGCATAAATCAAGTTTATGAGTAGAATCTCTTGTCTCTGGTAGAGACGTATTTTTACGAGCCTGATCTCTGTCAAGGACCTGCCAAACTCGAAGGACATTATCTTGTCCACCAACAGCTAAATAGCGACCATCACGGCTGAATCTCATAGCCCATATTGCACAATTTACTGGGTTTTCATCAACCTTTACAGTTTGGGTTACCGAGTCTGAATATACAGATGGTGACTTGTTGCGACGATGATTATTAGAAGGACGGTAATCAGGTTGCATTTCATCAGTATATGGATTGTCATCAGAAATATGTACATTATTATGAGAATCATCGACAACAGGTACGGAGGATAAATCGGAAGAGGAAGACATACGAGGAATTTCAGAAGAAGACGGCATTGGATCAGGGGTCGCATTGTAATAATGGTTATAAGTATTCTGCATCGCTGGTTTGCAGTGAAGTTCTTGAGCTAGGAATAAATGGGCAAACGACTTTTGTTTTGTTTTATGGGAACGAACACGAATATACTTAGAAGGTACTTCCCAACGGTTCTTTCCTTTAGGAATCCAAGAGAAAGGATCTGCGGCATTTCCTTCTACCCTTGAAATTCCATCGAGAGCATCTCTATCGTCATCTTCAGCATAATCTTCAATAGTTTTATGAGTAAAAATATTTGACTTGTTTCCAAGGACCCGAGAAAAAATTGAAGATCTATGGCTATTGACAGGTCGTGGTTGATTTGGCTCAATGCTTGGTAAATTAACATTACCGGCTTCATTTTCATGCGCAGGAGAAATATCGTTTTTATTCCTTCTTTCTTTATTACTTATAGATGTCTGCCCGGATACAGGTGAGTGGTTATTTAAGCTTCCTTTAGATGGACTGTTGCTTGAGCGAGTACGATTCAGGATATGCTGCGACAGCGGATCCAAAAGCGTCAATGCATCTTTTGAGCTATTGTTTACACCATCTGAAGTGCTACTAGTAAAATGGCTCCGTGCACTTGAGCTACGTTCTTCTACTACATATGTGTTAGTAATTCATATTTAGAAAACTGAATCCAAGGTAGGACACCTACAACTGCGACCTTCTATTTGTCTTTTTGTACTATTGGCGTTTCCATTCGTATCAACAAGCTGACCATCCTGTCTACTTGTATCGCTATTCTCAAATGAGTTATCTGGTGAATGTATCTTTATATGTGGGAGATTATCATTCATTAAGGGTTTATTTTAAAAGGAAAAATAAAATTTGAAGAAAACTCCCCTGTTAATGTCGAACTTAGGCAATTGAAGTCTGTTCTTGATTCTTTCTTTTAAAAACGGTAGAAATAGATTCCAGGACCCGAATATAACAAGGTATTCTTTTTAGTAATATCTGGACTCGAGAGTAGCATAATATAAACTTCAAATGTAAACAAACAAAACCAAGGAAAAAAAGAAATGGTGAATTACTTGTTTAATTTCTCTCATAGAAAGAACTGACTTATTCTACAAAAAGAAGTAATGTTAAATTTTCGCAGTACGCGTCCTATTGAATGTCAGTGTTTTGTAAGCAAACCATAGGTAAAGAGGACTTGTTTATGGAAATATCGCTACTCGATTTTTACAATAAATAACCTTCAAGGATCAATTTAAGAGACATATTAATTCAATTTATTTATATCAATGAAAAGCTTTGATGGATTGCTCGTTATTTCAATTATACCAAGATTTTTCTATATATGAAGAGTATGCTTAAAGACTTTGGATCCCTTTAGAGTGACTTGAGACTTCTATTTTATTAGTGAATAGAATAAAAGTTACTAAAAATTCAATGGTAGCTTTTTTTAAAACTTGTCGTTGTTTATATTCCATTGTAAACGAACGAACCTATATAGAACATATCAGATCTAAAAAGTCATTTTGTTGATATAAAGTTGTAAAAAAGAACAAGAATAATCACTTCATTATCTATTCCATTTTCTATTATTGGTTTGTTATATGGTTTTCATTCTATAGTGCTTTCCTTGTATTATTGCTTGATTCTATGTTGACCCCCAAAAAATTAAACATATATAAAATCTACGCTGAAATTGAAACATATAAACGTTCATTTTAGCTTTGGCTTTAAAATACATATTTGGCACAATTGGTGTTTTATAATAAATGTTATTTACATTTACTATCGAAGGCAAATAGTTCATCCTTAATAGGTACAAAGACCTTGTTTCTTGATCGCAGGTTATGTCTATTGCTAAACATTATGACCACCAAGGATTAATTCTCGTTTCACGGGTTCATATCGTTCTTCATTAATGTAATCACCAGCATCAGATAGAGGATTTTTGTCATTTTCGTCAGAAGTCTTTCTACGAGAGTTTTTACCTTTTTTAGAATTCACTTGCGGAATATGTCTTTTGATGATACCTGCTAATTTCTTGCTTCGCGAACCATGATATGCCCAGAAACGGCTTTGCGATCCAATGGATGACCTCGTACTGCCAATGTTCCTACTAGTTGCCGAAGCAATCGATCTGTTTTCCTCTAACTGATCCAAAATCATAGGTTCTTGAAGACGTGCTGATTCCTCTGCGTTCATTGCCATGCTTTCCAGATTCACGGGATGGTGATGCTCAGCAGAGAATTGCTGGAGATTTAATAACTCCGTAGACATTTCTCGCTCATGCGCTTTAATATTATGACCACCCTTTACTTTATCCACGAGCAATTTGCCAGAATGTGAAAGCACCGCACGGATTAGGTCATGTTTAATCCACATAGCCAAATCCAAATATGAACAAACCTCATTTCGGTACTCTATTGTAGGAACTGTGAAAACAAACCCGGTAATGTTTTCTAAACCTAAAGCACTCATACCACGATAACTCAATCGTAACATAACACTAGGAATTTTGAAGTAAGCTATTAACATATTACTTCCAGCACGATTCAGCATTTCATGTAACTCACTTTTACCTTCCCTGGTCAAATCCAAGTATTTCTCTAATCCCAGCTCTTCCGAAGAGGTATTCTTTAAGGTATCATTTTCAGCTAGATGACCGGGTGTTTCTTCAGCTACCTTTTTATTAGCTGCTTCTGAAGATTCAGCCCGGTTAGAATACATGCTAAAGAGATTACCTTTATTCTCATTTCCAGGAAATGCAAAGTCAAACAATTTGCTTGCTAATTCATGCTCTATTTGCAAGCTTAAAGGAAACAAATTAATTTCGAAATGCTGAACCACCTGAATACCTGCAACGGCCTCCGATAATTCCCAGTGAATTCGAATAAATTTGTGTTGTAATAACTGCTCGTTGGAAAATTCAGTATTAAGATAAGGACATATGATGTTTTCAAACTGACAACCAGGAGCTAAATTAGAACCTTTCATGGATTCAATTTCCAGTGTATTTAAATTTGAAGAATCTGTATTTTCAATGCGTCTGAATGTGGCATTCTGTAAACTAACATCCAAAAACGGCCTTTTATTATCTTCCAGCAAATGCCAAACAACTTCTTTAGCCATTAAAAACCAGCTAAGGTTGGACCTAGCTTTATTCTGATTTATTCCTCGGCTTTGGACGGCTGCGATAGATTCAATCAAATAAAATAACTCCTCCCCACAGCGATGTAACTCATTCTGCAAGAATAGCTGTTGAGCGATATGAGCATGGACACCAAAAGTTACGTCATGTAATTGATGCTGCAACTTTGTCTCTTCCAAGTAATGTACTCTGTCTTGTAATATAGCAACCATCTCGGGTGCGCCAGTTAAATCGCTAAAATCGGCAGCTAGCATAATTTCTTCCAATCGTTGATTGCGTTGTTTTTGAGACGGTTCTTTGTAAACAAGTAGGTTAGTTACTATTGTAAATAAGTCGTAATACTGTGATGAATCTGTTGAAAATACCACGCGTGGAATATCAAAGGTCAAAGTATCTGTGTGAACATCCAAGTCCTCAAAAAATGTCCTGTTTGAATGAACAGTTTCTTTAAGTCTTAAATCATTGTGCTTCGTATAAATAGCAGAAAAAGAAACTCGATGTAAAAACCTTGAAAATGCGGCCGGCGTTAGCACAAAATCGAATGTAGTCTCTAAAGGGACCCAAGGAGGCCAGACCGAATTATCTTCACAACCGTATCTATTTAAGACCAGCGTCGTTGAGTCAGAAACTTTAAAATCGTTCGCATCTGCGATAAAAAATTGGGATTCGTTAACTTTGCATAAAAATCTTCGTTCAATGAGATGATTAATATCATTGACAGGAAAAACGGGATCAATGATACTCAATATCTTTATTTGAAGACTTTGGATAGAAATAATTACAGCCTTTTTAGGGTTCATATTGCACTGTAATTGTATCTGAGGAGCAATAAATCTAAAGACATAGCTTTGAATAATATCATAATGACCCTTGTTAATACCTCCGTCTCTTTTGTTATCATCAGATTTATTTTTTCCAGCAATATCATCGGTCTTCACTACGAACTTTCTCTTCGCATCGTCGAGTAAAAACTTAAGGAGGTACCTGGCATTTTCCCTTTCTTCGTTATTGTCAGAGCAATTTCCCACATTCTCATCACCAGACAATTCCGGCGTTTTTTGAAGATCTTGCAGGAAACGTATTGCCTTTTGGGACATGTAATATGCGAATCCTCTCACCCTTTCCATCTCATGGACATATGACAAAACGGCATTCCTAACAAAATTATTCCACTTAATTTGTACATTATGGGCAACAAACCGGTTATTGAAAGCATGGACACTTTCAGACAAGGATGCATATGACAAATCAACTTGACCGGGTGTATTCTGAGAGGTCTTGGAAGAGTTTCTTGGATTTTCTAACAAAAATCCTAACAATCGATAGTGATCATTCAAGGTAAGTATTCTCTTTCTGAGGGACTGAAACTCCTCTTTCAGATTCGGCGAGGACTCAGAACGAATTAGGTCCTCTAAAGTCTGAGCTCTTTCTTTCTCTGAGTTCATGAACTCATTAAGTTCCTCCCTTCGTTTTTTGAGAAGCTCATATTGAACAGTTTTAGGATTTTTCCTACTAGGCATCGTGCAACGGTGCGTTTTTTCATCTCCAAAACGGCAAGTATCAGCAATTATTTTCTTTTCATTTTTTTCGTTCTTGACGTGCGGTTTTGTATGACGATAATAAGTAAACCTTGGGGAAAAAGCGAGAGGGTAAATAGCGCATTTTTCATTTCGCTGAGGCAATAACCAGTCAGCTTCATGAAAATCATCGATATCGACCCAAGAAGATGGACCCTCAACTGTCCTAAAAGAAAATGACTCTTTATCTTTACTATCAAGAGCATTGACAGGTATAGATTCGGATGTCTCTAAGGCACCTTCATCAAAAGACGCAGTAATAGCTCTCAAGTCGATAGTCTTGAAGTCAATTTCGGCCAAATGAACACGCATGGAAGTGGTCTCTTGAGTTTTTCCAACGGCTTTATTTTTCATCTCATGTTTCTCCGAACGCTGATGTAAATCAATCGAGAAATGCTCCACTTTTGCTTTTAGCCCTGTTGCACTCGCTGTCTTATTCTGCCAATTTTTATTTGTTTTGTAATTATACATATGGCTAATTAGAAGCGGCGATAATTCTAAAGAATATTTAAAGGTAGCCAAGTGTCTGCCAAACCTTTTGGACGAAGAACTATCATAACTGGGGAAGAGAGGCTTTCTCCTCAAAGAATATGACATATTGTTCGAGAACAGATTCCACCATAAGGAAAAATGCGAAAACACCAATGGCGTCAGGTGTATCGTATTATACGCTTTAACATCTTCAAATGTGTCTTGAGAATCCAAATACCGTGGAGACTCCACAGCAAGGGAACAATGAATATAATGACTTCGGAATTCGCGGTAAGCATCATAAACACCAAACTTGCTGTCATGACAATATCTTGGTATCATTGTCTTTATTTCCCAATGTGGTTTAAAGTCCCATATACGACACTTGAATTGACCATTACATACCTTACAATCCGATTCACAGTGCCTTTCAGGTATAAACCCTGCTCGCCATCTCACTTTACCAACCAATTTGGCAATCACTTTACGGCATCGCATGTCTTTTAAGGTAATTTGGGTTTTATTCTTATGCTGAGACTGCCTTGGTGGTAATGGCTGCCCTTCAAGAATTCCATTTATTTGACGAGGAAAATCAGGTATTGTGAGATAAAACTCATCACTGTCCACAACCATAAAGTTTGCTGGGTTGTTATCACAAGCGATATCCCACTTGACATTCCCACTCCAGCAGAACTGGAAACCAGCACCAGCACCAAGTATCATATAAGGATCCCTGGAACCCTTAATGGAAAGAAATATATCTCCGTTTTCTTTCCAACGAAATCGAACATGCGAATGAGCAACTAACCTCATTTTGTCCCAAAAACCTAAACGATCCGATGGATCAATAGGTATTTTTGTGAACGTATCCAAGATACGTATTATGTCTGTAATAGCAGGCTGATAGGATGTTGACCATAACACGAACGTGGGAAGCGCGGTGTTAAAATCAATTTGAGTATCAGAAAACGTTTTTATGGGTGAAACCGTACGAGTAACATTCACTGCGTACGGTATGCCAGATAGAGACTCTTTTCCAGAAATCACAGGCACTGTAACATCACGGATTGCCTCAAGCGAGGCCTGCTGCTCGGTGATAATGAAGTTACTCTTAAAATGCCACGAGGGCATATTTCTATCTTGATTTTGACCCAATTTCGGAATATATATCAACGGTAAAGGATAGTCCCTAACCCGAAATTTGGCTTTACTCATTTTCCAATCAATATACATTGGAAAATAAATCGAGTATCCATAATCCAGCGGCTGACCACTTCCAACAAAATTCAAAAACTTCGGAAGATCATCAAGCGAAAACGAGGGCTTGTCCAAGGTAAAGTCAAAACCATTTAGCGCTATATCAGCAAGCGGCGGTCGAATCGGTATAGGTATCAATTTCTCATTAAAGTATATGCTTTTTTCGAGATTTTCTTCTGGCCAATCAATCAATCTACGCATATGTAAACGGTTATATCTAAATTCTCTAATCCGTCTTATATTTGAAATCCAAGACAAAGAATCATATTCTTTCAACAGTTGACAAGCTTCATCTTCGCTTATCTTCGCTTTTTCCAAGAATGAAGTACTGTCACCATCTTCATTACCTAGAATATCCTGGAAGGTTTTCCCTAAATCATGGAGGCGCCTTTTCGTGGCTCCTTCGTTAGGACCATCAGAACTACCGTTGGAACCAAACAACTTGGAGGTATCATACGAAGATTCGCTTGCATCATCAGGAGACTTAGCGGTACGAAGCAACCGCAACCTTTCTTCAAAGGCATTCCAACGGTCTATTCGCATCTTTTGCTCAGTCAAACCAATGCGATAAATCATTGCTAATCGTGTTTCAAAGGGATCATCATCAAGTTCAAACTTAAAATTAGTTGACTTAACATTAATATGGGGAACTACACGAGGCCTTTTTCGTTGCTGAGCTAATTCGTGTTGCTGGTCAATTGTAAGAGGATCATTAGAAACGCGTATTGCTGCCTTTACTGTATTGATGGCGTTTTCGATTACAAGATAAGGGACAAATTTGTGCGGAATACGAAGAGAAATATAATCACATGTTACTGAGTGTAGCTTCCTAGGGGTTTCATTTGTAATGTGATAACGAAAATCACCGAGAGCAAATACTTTATCCCATAATTCAGGAACATCGGGATTACGAGCATGGATTTGAATGAATTTAGCATGTAATTCTGGAAAAGGCATATCGTCACGTCTTAAGAAAGTCAATCTTCCAAGATCAAGCAAAAGATTAATATCGTCATCCAAATCAAACTTTAGACGAGTATTGGTTATTCTTAAGTCAAAAGTAAAGCCGCTATAGCTTGACTTAGTATGATCGACAGCTCTTCTTTCTTCACTATTTTCGCTTGTATCATCACTATATATAGAATGTGAAGTTTGGTATGCGTATAAAAGGCAACAGTTGTGTAACAATGACAAAAATCCACGGAGGAATCCAATTTCCATAGTCACCCGAGATGAGTTCTCTTGATTATTAAACAACGAAGAGTATGTAAAACTCGAGTTTGGAATTTGAAGTAGCAAATGCTCAAATGTTGTTTTCTTGTCCTTAATAATTATAGACCTAACTTGAGTCATTCTCACATCAACGTTAAATTTGCGAGTGTCGAGAGAATTGGAACCATTGCTTGGTTCACATGATCCATCAAACTGATCAATATGACAGCTTATGCCACGAGGATCATCTGATAGTTCACGACGAATTGCTGTAATTATAAAAAAAATTGAGTTTCCCTGTATTCTAAAGCTTTTCAGCCAAGAAGGAAACTTGAAAAGTAAAGGAACTGAGATATCAGCCCCATCTTTTGACACATTTTTACCGTTGGAAGGCTTTAGAGATCGCGAATTCCATAGGATCAAGAATTTTTTCAAAGACTTAACTACCTCCTCTTCTTCGATTCGTATTTTAAACTCATTCAAAGATAAATCCACAGCACCAAAATTGTCATTGTAATTGTACTTAAAAGTTAATGTAATCGTCTCAGAACTATTGATTAACCATTTCCTGTTTTCCGGACTATGATAAAGAACATGATTTGAAGCAAGCCGAAGAGAAGAGTTTATTACAAAAACGTGCTCCGACGAAAGCAGGTATTTAAATTCTAGAAACATTGAAGATAAATTTGCAACAATCATTCCTGGAAAGTGAGATTCTGATTCAGAAGATATCAGGAATCGCACCACCGGCTCATACAACGACATGGATATTTTCGTTTCAGGAAAATATAAGAAAGGAATTTCTGAACGCCTTGTAAATGAATTATGCTGGTTTTTTGGAAACATAGACATAACATCATCTAGTAACTCTAGGCGAATATCCAGAGAAGGAGAAGTAAGCGTACTGTTAATACGTAAACAACTTTTCTGTAACTTTTCCGGCTTGTTCGGATCAATGGCGAACTGTCCTAACGAAGATGTTAAGCAAGTGATGGTAACTAGGGGGATATTCAGCAGAATATGGGGAGGATGACCTGGAGTATAGTTTTCAACATTAAAGGACAATATCGACGCTAATATCTGATGCACAATAGTGTCAGCCGAAAAAAACATTCGATGAGAGGGGCTCTTCATGTTCAGCAAATCAAGCGTAAAACCAAGGTCATTGCCATTGAAAACATAGGTAGCTCCAAGACCTGTTACATTACGTTTCCATAATTTTATGGTACCGATTTGGATTTGAGCTTCTGAAAGTTTCAGTATGAATGCTTCAATGTTGTCCTTTATTATAGAAGTACTATTTTTAGGTGCACTTGTTTTAACTCGTCGTTGATTCATGAGACTGATTAAGGGACTATCCAAATCGAAGAACAAAACTCCAAACTTTACAGAGCAACGGAATTCGCTAAGGTTTACGGGAGAGTAAACTTCGTCAACCGAAAATTGACTTGTGATATTGATGTTTAAAAAATCCGTAATTTGATGACTTTTTTTCTGGATATCAATGTAGAGCAAATTCAAAATTCTCAGAGAAAAAGCAACACGAGAACCCTTCACATCTTGCTTCACATTATTCTCGATTTCCATCGTATTCATGCTAGTTAATACTTCACTAGAAAGATTTCCTACCTCGAGAGTACCAACAGTAGGTATAGCTATTTGTGACTCCTGTAAAGAAATGTGAATCCACTTTATCCAATTAGTGTGCAAGAATTGAAGCCATTTTTGTTCTAGCTCTCCAAGAACACAGGAGAGGTACTTGGAGGAATTAGAATCACTGCCCGAAGGCAACGTAGAACTCGATTCGCGAGCTTGGCTACGACCAATATCCAAAGGATCTAGAGTATAAGTTACGCCTTTAATTATAAAACTTAATAAGTGGGGATTAGAAGTAGACGGACGATGAAATCGAATGCCGAAATAAGAAATAAATATACTTTGACCATTAGAGAAAGTATGCCTTAGGCCGTATATTGAAAAGAATCCAAACCTTGTGAAGGGCCATTTTAGATAATATCCCAGGACCCAGAAGAAAAGATGGACCAAAAAAAATACTATTATAAATAGCCACAAAATCGAAGAACTTGATAATGGCAAAAACATTCGTAAGACATTAGCGTCTGTTAAGAAACTCATGAATCATAGGAATAGAATAAATACAACAGTGTTTTCATAAAAGTAAAGAAAAAGAGAAAACGATAAAGACAAGCATGTAACAAGAACAAAATATTTTAGTCTAAACAATATTCTTCTACGAAACAACTTAATCGTTGAAGGAGTTATCTCGGAACGGTATGGAAGTAGAAAGAAACAAAAACAGAAAATGTTCTGGTTAAGAAGGTGTTTTTACAGCGTTAAGGCCATCAAATTTTGAAATAATACTTACGTACTTTCGGACCGCTCAATCTTTATACCCAGTATAATTAATCTCTTTATACTAGTTTAAAGTAGAATAATTCTTTAAGAAAAGAATTAAGGTAATAAATAATAGAAAATATTTTTATTTTTTTAAATGATCCATCAAATGCTTGATTAACTGAATATGTAGTTGGTAAGAGGAGAGCTGGTGTTGTGGTGGAAAAACAGTCACACTCTCCCAAAACCAACATCAACACAGGTCAACAAAAGTTTCTTTACCACACACCAAAGAAATGGCTGCCCTTAAGATTGTCAAGAAGCACACCAAGCCTTTCAGACGCCACCAGTCTGATCGCTTCCACCGTGTTGGTGAGTCATGGAGAAAGCCCAGAGGTATTGACAACTGTGTCCGTCGCCGTTTCAAGGGTGTTATTCGCATGCCCAAGATTGGTTACGGTAACAACAAGAAGACCAGATACTGTATGCCCAATGGATTGAAGGCTTTCCTTGTTCGCAACGTCGCTGACGTCGAACTTTTATTGATGCACAACAAGACATACGCTGCCGAGATCGCTTCTAATGTCTCTGCTCGCAAGCGCGTTGAAATTGTCGAAAAGGCCCGTGCTCTTGGTGTTAAGGTCACTAATGCTGGTGCCAAGGTTCGCTCTCAGGAGTAAATAGATTCGATCCTAGTGCAGTGAATGAAAAAAGTACTTGGTATTGGATTTTCTATATGCTAGACTCGGTAAGGTGATCATGGGCAGCATACTTATATGAAGCAGTTGTTGAAGGAATTTGTCAAATGCTGTTTTTATGAAATCCCGTATGATTGTAAATCTGAAACCTGAAAGGCAGTTTGCTTCCAAAATTTGTGTTTCTTAATTCTCAGTCCGTATAAAACGTCTCAAACGTCTCAAACGTCTATTTTATCTATACAAAATGTTGTAAAAACAACTTTAACAAAAGTTGTTTCTGTCAGTAGCGGTTTCCTTACATCTTTTCGAAGACTTAAAACTCGATGAAAAGTCAAAAGTTGTCTGCATTCACCATTATCAATGAATATACCAACAAGTATTGATTGAATATCAGCATTTTGAAAACTTCCCTGATTTAAACTTCGTTTCCACAATATACTCTCAAGATTAAATGAATTTAACTCGCAATTAAGGATCGCTAGTGGTTTACGTGTCAGTTCTTTCTATCGTGCACTCCACACTCAATACCAACCCTTAGCAAATTTCCTCAATTTATCTGATTCCTGTAGTTTTTGCTCTTATTTATATTTTTCAAGTAAATAAACGTTTCATTCGTTTATTCAAATAATTGGGATTAATATTTTTCTTGATGGAACCGTACGATGACTCATGTCTGCCTACAAATCCCACTACTGAAAACGACTATCATGGGAGCTTTCCGTATTGTTCTGTTCATGCGCAAATATTTAGTTATGTATCAGACTGTATGATAATGCGAAAAAAAGCACCTGCAAACGAACAAGAGGCTTTGCGTGATGTGGTTTGGGAGACACGAACTATTAACAAAAAACTCCGTAAGTAATATGATCTGGCTTTTGTTAACTCGTCTCAGATATTACGCCCATTCATCCAAACATTACGTCTGTGCTGATCGTTTCGAAACCTGGAGATGAAGAAGTTGAGGAAAAAGTACGAGAAGTCATAGACTGGCTATTGTCTTTGGAAAATATAGTTATATTTATTCAGAAAAGTATGGAATCTGTGTTCCCAAAGCACGAAAGAATTCAGTATTGGACCACTTTATTATGTACCAAACATTCACAGCTCTTTGATTTGGTTTTGACAGTAAGTGTGACTTGTATAAGATTAGTGTTATGTTAACAAACATTTAGCTTGGCGGTGATGGAACTGTGCTCTACACGAGCCGTCTTTTTCAAAGAACTGTCCCTCCAATCATGCCTTTTGCCATGGGCACTCTGGGATTCTTAACGTACGTAAAGATTGTCTGGCTTTCTATACACAAACGAATACGTGCTAATAAGCGTGCTAGACATTTTGACATTAATAATTACAAAAGCACTATTCAAGAAATTTGCAAAGAAATGTACATCCATTTACGAACTCGCTTTGAATGCCGCGTTATGAAGAAAAAGGATAGGACCAAATTTATTAATTTAGATAATCATCTGTCACAATCCCTATGTGAATCCGATACAGATACACATGAGTTTACAGATTCCTTGGTAGTTTTGAACGAAGTCGTTATTGATAGAGGCCCCAATACAGCAATGAGTGATTTAATGTTATACGTCGATTCCAAGTACTTGACGACTGTAAAAGCTGATGGACTCTGTGTATCTACACCAACAGGATCGACTGCTTATTCGGTAAGTGCTATTTATGAGAATTGCTCTTGCTAACAATCAACAAGCTGGCGGCTGGCGGTTCGCTTTGTCATCCTGATATTTCCGTTATGATAGTTAGCCCGATTTGCGCACATTCGTTAAGTTTACGACCCATCCATGTTCCTGATTCAATGGCTCTCCATGTCGTTGTTCCTCAAGATGCTTCTCAAAGTAGCTGGTAAGTTTACAAAAAAAGAATAAAACTTTTGAAAAGGCTAACTTATTTACAAACAGGATTTCTTTCGACGGGAGAAATCGAACTGAATTACTACAAGGAGATTACTTGACCGTTCGTATTTCCCGATATCCTTTCCCAACTGTGCATTCCTCAGAAGAAGATGCTGATTGGTTTGAGAGTATTAAACGAACATTAATGTGGAACCAAAACTGATTCAAAATATATGAGAAAATGGGTCATAACTATATCTTATACATATTAACCGGTAATGAAATTTTTGTACATTCTTCACACATAACATAAATCTCTTGTTCTTTCTCCTTTATTTAGAGTTTCTTTGTAGTCTTTGTCTCAACTTCACGTATATCACTTTCACTCGATTCTTCTGGATTTTGCTCTAAATCAGCATGAGCAGCTTTGCTAAGTTTTTCGCCAAGGAAGTCCGTCAAGGTAGTGTCCGTTTCTGACGAACCTTGTATCTGTTGATGATAAATATCCAAGAGATGCTCTAACGGGTTTGCTTCTACTTCGCCATCTTGTTCTTCAGCACTTGAAGCACCTTCTTCGATATTCTGATGCTTTGCAGACTGCTCTTCCAAGACTCCTAGAGCCAAATCCTATGCATGTTAATGAAACCCTTTACGAAATCAACTTACCATTTCAATGTAGTTATTCTCATTTGAAAGCTCTTGAAGGTCATGTCTGCCGTCCAAATTATGCAACTCTTCATTAGCTTCTTTTATCTGAGGAAGAAAGGATTTGCATTGATCAAGGACTATAGTAAATGGTGAGTTATCAAAAAAGATGAAATTAACTACTTACGAGAAGATTGATTCGGGTCCATATAAGAAAAATCTTTTTTTGCTCCTACAATGAGATACAAATTAAACTTGAAAGTGGCTGACGACAGGAATACCCTCTTCGTTTTGTTTTTTAAGTAAATGCTTGAGATTGATTCCGATTATATAGATCCTTCTCGCTTGTTTTGCAAGATGGGATGGAACACAATGCGGGAATGATGGTTACTGTTGGCAAACCTGGACGCAGTAGACTACTAGTACTAACGAAAAGAAATTTTTAGTCTATTGATATGAGCACAGAAAAGACTATTTAAGTGCAAGTAATAGCCATAATGGACACAAGTACGAAGGATACATTCTTACAACCGTTCATTACACTTGCTAATCAATGGATAAAGCATTTTCAAGTACAAGCGCTTTTCCCTAGTTCGACATTTTACTTTCTGTAATAAATGCTACTTTACAAAGTACTCACACTTACTTACTTTTGATTAATAACGTAAAACAGAATCTGGTTAATGCCTCAAAAAACCATATATAGTATTGTAAAACAAGGAAATATTAACTTTTCTAAACACGACCAGCAGCAGCAACCTTGGCATTGAAACGCTCCTTGCGTTCGGCACCAGAAAGCTTTCTTTGCTTGTACTTGAGAGATTCGGCCTTCATAGCAGAAACGTCCTTGTTGCTCTTTTGGGCAGAGGGATCCTCACGGATCTTGGCGAAAGCCTCAGCATAGATGTCTTCAAGTTGGTCGCTCTCAATACCGTCAGCAATCAAGCTAGAGAATTGCTTTTGGAAACGCTCTTCATCATCATCAATAAGCATTTCCATGTATTCAGCAACGTGACCACCATAGATATACTTGCGAACAGTCTCGTCATCCAATTCCTTAGTCTCAACGTCGAAACCGGGGAAACGGTTAGGGGAGTGAGGAACGTATAAACCACCATCGGAAGCACCCTTCATAGCACCGAAGACACGGGAACCGGTAGAGGTACGCTTCAAACCGACATCCAAGAAAACCTTGAAGGGACGGGGGCCGTCTTCCATAGCTTCGGTGAGTTCAAATTGACCTTCGGGCTCAGTGATACCCTCATACTTGTCAGCAAGACCAATCTTGATGAGAGCACGACGAGCGACCAAAAGACCGGTAGCATAAGCAGCGGACCAGTTAGCCAAGCCCCACTTGATGCCGTAGCGAGGAAGCTCAGAAGAGTGAGCAGCAGCAAGAACATAGTCACCGTTGACTCTAGAAGAGATAACTTGGCAGGTTACGAAACGGTTAGAGAAACGGACCACCAAACGATACTTGGGGGCATTGTACTTGTTCTTGGCTTGAGAGATCATGCGCTTACGAGCATAATAATCAGTCTTACCCTCACGACGACGGCGGTACTTCGTTTGGAAACGTGAGAAGTAAGGGCTGCTCTTGACCTGCTTAACGAAAGCCATTTCTGTAGACGGAGAATTTGACACCTTCTGTCTCTTACACTTTTTGTTGACAGCATAAAACGCAGTCACAACACAAAACAACCCTACCCTACAGTGGACGACAAAAACGGTAATACGAGCCTGAGTGCAGCTCGTTAAATCAACGCTGCTGCGTTTTTGCGTTTATAAGAAAAACAAAAATCATTTCTCCCAGTGTAAGTCAGAGACATTGCTTTGCTTACAGTATGAAGGGAGGATTGGTTGCTATCAATAAACCATCTGGGAAATCCTCAGCTCAATGCTTAAATGGTAAGGAACACTCCTTGGTGATGTTGACCGTTGCACGAGGAGTGCAAAATTCCTGTCTATACTGGAATTCTGTAGCATTTATAACGAACTAGAATCATACTAAACATCTATCTTATAGAAATTAAGGCGATTATTTCCAGAAGTGAATTGGCAAAATTCTTCCAGCCAGACCCTCCTCACCCCAATGATAAAAATAGCAAACGCAAGAAATGGAAGCGCAATGATATCAAGATAGGACATGGAGGTACTCTTGATCCTCTGGCATCAGGCGTTTTAGTCGTTGGCTTGGGCATTGGAACAAAACAGTTACCGACACTATTGTCTTGTGTAAAAACGTATAAAGCCACCTGCTTATTTGGATGCTCCACAAATACTTACGATTCATCCGGGAAAATTATCCGCGTCGCTACTAAAATCCCTAGCAAAGAAGAAATTGCAGATGGTTTAGCAGCATTTCGTGGTGACATTCTTCAGTTACCTCCACTTTATTCTGCTTTACATATTCAAGGAAAACGTCTTTACGAATATGCCCGGGAAGGACTGCCCCTACCCGAGAATGTGAAACCTCGTCCCATGCGATGTGACCATCTTGAACTTATAGACTTTCACGAAAAGGGTCAACATAACTATAACGACCCTGATACATTTGCGAGCAAAGAAGAGATTGAATCAGAAGAACTCTTGCGCCCAGTCCCTGATTCCGAGAAGAAAAAGGCTGAAAATGATTCAGACGGTGCTGTAAATCATGACTCTGTTCAAGACAACAATGAAAATTCCCAGCAAAAATCCTCTAATGAAGAAGCTTCGGCTGTAAAATCTACTTCTGTCGAAAGTATTCGCACTACAGAGGAAAAGGAAGGACAGGAAAATAAAAATGAACCAAAAAATAGAAAAAGAAAATTAGAGGTAACTGATTTGGAACGGGGTTCTCGTCCTGCAATTGGTCCTTCTGCGGTTTTGGATATGAGCGTATCTTCAGGGTTTTATGTCAGATCTGTAATACACGACCTTGCCCATCATATCGGAAGTGAAGCTCATATGGTGGATTTGATTCGTACCCAACAGGGGGATTTCGTTTTGGGCAGTGATGCATGCTTCGAGTTTGAGGAATTTCATTCTGCTGGTTGGGAGCAAAAATTGGCATCTTTATTAAAACTCGATCTAGAAAACAAAGAAGGTTAAACTATAAATAGAAATAATGTCTGTATAATCGGTCATCCTAGTCATTTGTAAATAAATAATTATAAATCGCAAAGTCTTCTAATGAACTCAAAATAATAACTTGTTTATGATTTCCGAACATATGCCTTAAACTCTTTCAAGCGTCCAATCTGGCCTGGATTTGACAGATAGTTTTGCAACTGATCCTTCCGTTTCATAGTCTTCTTTCCATGAATTAGTCTAGTAATCATATCAGCAGCAGTACCAGCTTTCAAAGTTTCTTCGTCGAAAGGAACCTTCTTATTCCTTAATATTTCTTTCTGGGAATCATAAGCAGGCTTTTTCCTCCAAGAGGCATTTCTTAGAATAAAAGCGGACGGCAACTTGTATTTTTCAACATAGCTGTCAGCTCCTCGGATTGCCATCATAATGTTACTGATATTGGTTCCTACTACTTTTTTTCTGTTGTAGGTATGTTGACCTATTATTTGCTTCTCGTAAGCAATTATATTAAACTTTCCTGATTCAATGTCGGTATCAACGATAAGTGTTCCTGATTTTGTGGACAATGCATAGCGGTTCAATTTCAAAGGTACCCATGCATTCGGTGAAATAGCATATATATTGTTATCGTTTTTTTCCATATCCTTTAAAAGCTCGGAAAGTTGTCGAACCTTTCTATAATGAAGCGTGCTATGAAGACCAACTGTCCCAGGATCATAGTTGATATCTTCTGAGTTGGTCTCCTTTGTCTCCCTGGAGTAAGGAGATGTCTCAAATTCAATTATACCAGAAAGCGTGGGTTGCATATGAAGAGGGACTCGATGGAAAGAATCGCAAAAATCTATGATCAAGCAATCTTCTTTACCAGGCGATAGACGTAAACCTCTTCCAATCATCTGTGTCAATAAATTAGGAGAATTAGTTGGTCGAGCAATAATAAGACAATCAATATTAGGAATGTCAGCACCTTCGGTCAATACCATGCAATTTACAAGTACTGGAAACCTTTTCTCTCGGAACTCTTGTACCAATAATTTCCTTTCATCAGGATTGGTACGACCGGATAAAACCCTAGCATCAATCCCTAATTTTCGAAAAGCATTACAGACTTTGAGTGAGTGTTCTATTGTAGTACAAAAGACAAGTGTCGAAGAACGATTTTCTATTAAAGTTAGTGAGAGGCCAGGTGTTGCTAAGGGTTATTGACTTACTAGCATGTTCTATCCATGCCTGAGGGATTTGGAAAATGGCAGTTTTTGATTGAACTTCACGTTCAAACTTTTCTCGATCTTCACGATCTGTTGATTCTGCCAGATTTAAATTTGGTGACCATTCTACACCAATCACTTTTGGTTGAACTAGCCTTATCCATAGTTAATAAACGTCAATGACTAAAAAAAGTATATATACTTACCAGTTTTCACCTATCATATCAACAAAATGTCTATAAGCGTCAGCAAGCTTCACAGTAAATATCAATACCTATGATATACAATCTCGTCAACGCCTGGGCTAAGTGATTTTCCATCCGCACGATAAAATGTTGCAGTGAGACCAATTAAATAGACTTTTGAATTTGTTTCGTCCGCCCCGAAATGTTTCAAGACTCGAAGGTAGGTGGGAGCTGCCAAATGATGAACTTCATCAACAATAATTAGCTTGAAATTTTCAGGATTATATTTCTCTAGCCGATCTCCCTTTAGTGACATGGGGGATGCCACAGTAATGGGAGCATTGCCAGTAGCATGCTGTGTGCCCATGTCAATCTCGACGCTCTATTTATATTAGTATTAATGTTCAAAATAAGAGTCTGACTTACTTCCTTCCTAAAATTTTCTAAACAGATGGCATAGGCTTGCTGAGCAAGTTCTCGTCGATGTACAAGGATTAGACATTGATTTGCATTAGCTCTCAATTCCGGTGTATTTTGAATAAGATGAGGAAAAAGAGCCTTTGCATACTGTTAACGATGGTGCTTTTGAATATGAACTTACAGTTTTGCCGGATCCTGTAGCCAGAGATATGCCAACCCTTTTCTTCCCTGCTTGAAATGCCCTCATACATGAGTCAATGCATTCTTGTTGATACGGGCGAAGGACTCTTCCAAAGTAACGGATTGTATATGCTCGTGTAGGTTGGAACAGCTGAAAAGATCGTCGTACTAGGCTCTGTTGTATAAAAAACATAGTTTTCCCGTAAGCACTTTATTCCTACCAATATATAAATACGAATAAAGTCTTATGGGAATATGGTCTAATTGGGCAGTACCGTGTTAAACAAAGCAGCAGTGTTATTTTACATGGGAAGTCGTTCAATTCAGAAGAATACTTCAATACCACTCTCAGGTTGATAAATTAGGGGCTCACAACACCATCTAAAGTGATAATGTGATTTGATTTTTACGAAAAATGTGAATGTAGAAGCTTTATTTAGTGGGTGGACTAGCTTGTTGAATGATATAATTCATTCAACAAAAGCAGAAACAAAAAGAAAAAGTTAACTTCATCAAATAATAATAAAATTAAATCAACGTCTAATAATTGTTAAGATACCATAGCAAAATTTAGTATGCGTTTCAAGTGAGAACCATCATTTATTTTCATATAATTTAAGTTTTATGCCAGAACTAATATACAAGTCTTGAATGTTTGAGGTGACCAAAAAATTTAAAAACCACTTCTTTTCTTCTTCTTTTTTGGTCTTGCACCAAACTTACCCGTCACGACTTGAGACATAATCGGGGTAGCCTGACTTGAAGATTCAGGAAAGGATGACGATTGTGACGGTGGAATCACATCTTCGGAATGCACCGTGGCAATCTGACTAGACGGAAGAACGAATGATGACAATGAAGGTTCATTGAAGTCAAGAGTTTGACTGGTTAATGGCTCAGATATATCGACAGCTGAGTCACCAATGTTGTATGTGGTAGTGATTTTCCCTAAATTCCATCCTTTAAGCATTTGACTCGCATCCTCATGAAGTTTTACAGGCTGTTTCGTTTGAAAAGGTGAAATGAATGATAGCTCTGTACTTTCAGAAGACTCAAGGTCTGTATCTGCAACGGAAGAAGGAAGAAATTCAGTAAATCCGACTGAAGACATTAGAACACAATTAATGATGTGATATACAGCATTAAGCCGTAAATCCATCGTCGACTTAAAATTTGTATTTGACGATAATGGGCTAATCCAAATCTCGGATAAATCATTCGAAAGTGCTTTAACATGCAAATCATCACCAAGACGTAGCGGCAGTTCGAGCTTCGAAATGTTTGGTAAGTACTTAGGAATGACAGTACCTTTGATATAACTCACAACATCATTCAGACTTCCAAAGCGAGAAGAGAATTTATTGTCCCGCATTAAGTCGGCTAAAGTTAATATCATCTTGCTTGGAAAATGGTGGTTAACTTGCATATCTCCTTGTAATCGTGAGGATAAGTCATTAAAGGAAATTGACTTTCGACCGTATGCTTCAGAAGTTAGCCACTTTTGTAATTTTTTGACGGAAGGATGCACAATATAAGCTTTATAAAAATCAATTTCTTCTTCGCCGTTCTCAAAGTCTAATTTTTCCTCATCATTTAGGTTCAAATACTTCAGAGATGCCAAAAATCGAGTCGAGTCATTCTCCTCTTGTAATTCATAGATTTCCGAGGAGCTTTTTTCACAAAGCAAATTCATAGTCAAAGAACCATCGGATCGGTGTACAATTGCAGACCAAAACGGCGAGTCAAAGTACGACTCTTCGGGGGACTGATCATTTTCGACATCAATGAAATAGCATGGCTGTAGATGTAATGAATGGACAGGAATTTCAACATTATTTAAAAGTAAAAAAGGTGGTCCAGAAGAAACAGCAAGCGTTCTATCCTTGGAAAAGTGAAATTGCTGAATAATTCCATTTAATTGGGAAAATACAGAAACGTAAATATTTTCTATAAAAGTAGCACAAACTGTCATTCGAAGAGTAGGATCACGGTTACGATGATGTTTCCAAACCAATAGAGGCTGAAGGGGCTGCTGAAGATCCATCCATATGACAGAATCCGTTGTTAACAGAAAAAATTCAGATCTCACGGGCAGCAACTCCGATGAAACTTGCAAAATACGCGATCTTTCTTGGCATTTGTACAAGAGACGTGGAGTAGAAGGCTCCGATGGAAGCAAATGGACAACAGCCTCCTCATTTGCAAGTAGGACTCCAAAGGAGAAGCATTCCCAAATTATTCTATACATATATCCTGAAGGAATGGATGGTTCTTGTTGATGTTTCTCATCGTTTTTGCTAGCTTCCTCAGTACTTGATAAGGCAACTTCATAAGTGTCATGGAAAGTACCTGATAAATACTCACGGTACCCATCCTCTAGTATCTGCCAAATTTTCCAATCTCCAGATGTAGATATGGTACCAAAAAGGGAAGGATCAGAGGGATGCGAAGACATATGGGCAAATGCATCGGAGTCATAAACATCCTTTGCATAAAAAAACCGAAGAGGAATTGCGGAAATAAAAGTGGGAGAATCAACTTGTTCAAGAAAAAGAATGTGATAACTGATTTTGAAAAGAACAAGTTCAGTAGCTGTTCGAACATAAAGAAGCGCAGATGCTTCAGGACCAAACATAACCTGCAAAATTGGCTCCCGAAATTTCCATGAAGGATAAGGATGTAGATAAAATGTCGGAACTTGCAAAGAAAAGGGTTGTGACTCCATACCCATGGCAGACTGTAATTTCGAGGTCGCCTGGAACATCCAAGTAGAAGGTTTGCAAAGGTAGAGAAAATGGTTCCCTTCATCCTGTTGATTTTGAATAAAAGCAAAGCATCGTGTAGGAAGAAAGCGACTCTGAGGCGTAGAAGGAAGGACTCCAATGGCCGAGGTATTGATGACCCATGCGTCAAACACTTTGCTCGCTTCTGTTATGAGATGAGATTCACGGCTCAAAGGATAAAGAATTTCATGGGGAATAAAGTGGAAAATACCGTCCGCACGGATTGCATCGTTCGCACTTAACGCTAGCGACGTAGCTTCACTTGAAAGACTTTCGATTTTTGGAAAGCGGTAAGTAGAATCACCAGGTAATATTTTCCATATATATTTTGTTGGAACAAATCCAATTCCTGTAGGAGAGGGAAAACGCGTAAACGTCCATCTATTCTGATCGATAGTCTCAGAACGACGAGTTCCGTAAGGATCCAGTAATTGTGCAGCACCGACTAAACCATAGTCCATATGAACAGAAGAGGTGTTATGGATCGCGTCAATAGGCCATGTTGACATGGAGGTCAGTGTTCTTTCTGTATGAGCACTGCTCAAGTGCAAATAGGTGTTTGAATCCAGAAAAGCAAGAAATAAGTAACATAACAAAACAAGGTAACATAAACATATATGTAAACAAAGATGGTCGTGCTCCTTCTGCACTTTTGTACTTATTTTTTCTGCTCAAAAGAAGTACATTCCGTCAACTGGAAGTTCTCCCTTCTCCAACGCTTGTCATCTGCCGTATATTCCATCTCTCGTTTTCACTTTCAAATATCATATTACGATATTACGATATTTGTATATATCAAGAAGCACCGGTTCTGCAGCCCTTTTACATACTTCTTTCTGGTTTTATTTTATTCATTTGTGTTTCTCATCCGAAACGAAACGAAGCTGAGCGAATAGGATCGTTGTCTCTCCATTTCTCGCCAACTGTTACTTTCGCTCAGCCCTAGTTACATGGTCTTCTGCCCATCACCATATTAGTCGTACCACTGGTGAATGACGACCAGTTTCATGTTAACTCCTTCTCTAAGCCAAACCAAATCTTGGAGCGAATTATTTTAGTAATAAATTAGTTCTGGACTGAAAAAGTTCTTTGGAATTGATACTGAGATCTAATTCTGCATTTGCATGGTTGGAGTCCATTGGAATGAATTCGATTGCAAGAATATCAGATGAAATTAACAAAGCCATCCTTGCTACGCCTGTAGAAGGTCCGCCTAAAAACGAGAAAAAGGATGCATTGCAGATGCCAGGTCAAGAAGGTGAACACCGTGGACAGAAAGAGGAGGAAGTTCCCATTGAAAACGCTGCTAAGCATCCACCGCATTCCAAAACTCTTTTAGAAAAAGATTCCAATGGCGAGGAGACTTCTACACATGTTCGGCGTGCCAATATTATGCGAGTGATTGCATACTGGGTTCGAGTATATTTAAAACGGATCTATACGTTGTTTATCCAGACAATAAAGATAATCTCCAGGCAGTTTGTCAACGAAAATAAAAAAGTTACTTTTTAAGTTTTTTTTGGGGTCTATGTCGTATCATCTTCTTTCCTGCCTTTCATTCTATTAGACGTCGTCAAAGAGTCCTCAGTACTCGTCCTAAGCGTCCCAAGATGTTCTCTTCTTATTCAACTCCTTCTTTTCACCGAGACCCTTATACACACTTTCATGCCGACTCCAGCGTTCTTTCCCATAGCGCTTCCCTCACCCCTCATGCTCTTCCGGATTCCATAGCCGAAGAAGACATCATTACCGTTTCTGATCCCATAATCCCGCCTCCAGAAGAAATACCTTCCACAATTCGTAACACTCAGAGTCCTACTAAAAGCCAAAACTCTCTGTCTTGCTTTTCTTCGTCTTCCTCTTCACCACCATCTCATGGCCCCAATGTTTCCGCTTCTTTTACCATAATTAATGATCCATTCAAGTCACCTTCTGCATCTCATATGCGCATCCGCAATATCACTCTTTGCGCCGACAGAATCCCAAGGCCTTTGCTCTCAAATAAACTCCCCAAGAAGACCTTAGTGCTTGATTTAGACGAGACCCTAATCCATTCTGTTTCTCGAGGTAGTAGAACTACCTCTGGCCAGCCAATTGAAGTTCATGTTCCTGGTGAACATCCAATTCTCTACTATATACACAAACGGCCTCACCTTGATTACTTCCTTACTAATGTCAGTGAGTGGTTCCATCTAGTTTTGTTTACGGCTTCCGTACAGCCTTATGCCGATCCCATTATCGACTATTTGGAACGAGATAAAAAGCTTTTTGTGAAGCGTTATTATCGACAGCACTGTACGCTTGTGGATACTTCTTTTGTTAAAGACATAAGCATATGTAATATTCACTTATCACGTATCATGATAATTGACAACTCCCCTGCCAGTTATAACATTCATAAAGAGAATGCTATTCCGGTGGAGGGTTGGATTAGCGACCCTTCTGATGTAGATCTTTTAAATTTGTTATCTTTCTTGTATGCTTTACAGTATGTTCAGGACGTTCGTGCTCTTCTTAGGCTTCGACTTGCCAAATAATGGCTTCTGGTTTAATGATATCTGTATAATTCCTTGGTGTTTCTTTCCGTTTTGGTTATTCTAATTTCACTTTCTTTTTTCTTGTTAAATTATAATTTAAGCTCTAACTTCTTTTAAGAATGCTTAATTACCGTGCCTACTTCCATGTTTTGAACATATGATCGTTTACTACTTCTTGATAGTTTTTACTATCAGCATTTATTTATATAAATTGAAATAAATTCAAAGAAAATAATATATTTTTCTTTGTAAACTACTTTATATCTCTTTATTATTCAATTCGTATTGTTCTAAGAAAAGTAGATAATCATTGAAATAGGAGTTCATGAATTCTATACTCATTGAAGAACTTTACATGGTAGTAAAGGACTAGAAGAAGTAACTATTCAACTTTTTTAGACTTTTAATAACAGCTTAATGATTTACATCTTATTTGTTGGGTGCAAAAGATTATTATTAATTACCCAGACATGCAACATGTACCAAAAGTTACACCTTCCAATTTAAAGAATATTTTAATTAATTAAGTAGTATAACTCAGAATGTCCCAAAAAACCAACCTAAACCAAATTTTGAATTATTCCAAAAATCAAATCAAACCTATTGGAATTTAATACTTTTAACAAGGCCTGCCTTGATACCAGTTTCTTCACCACCATAGTTATGCTTGGGAGGACCTTTGTAAATGGCCTTTTTGCTACCAAGTTTCTTCTTCGCCTTCTCGTAACGCATACGTTTCTTAAGACGAGGATTTCTATTCTCTTTCGGCCTACGGGGGGTGAGACCTCTATTCGTAGCAATGTCTCTGGTAATTCCACGTTTATCTCCCTCACCAAGTTCAAATAATTCAGGATTTCTAGAGGCTCGTACCAAATCGCGTTCGTAGTCGTGATCTTCTTTTCTCTTGCGTTTTTCACCCTTAGACTGAGAAGATATCGAGTTATAATAGTCTAAAGCATCTTGATCAGTAGTATCATTTTCTCGATCCTTATTTGAAAGCAAACCTTCATTCTCGGGTTCTTCTTCGTCCAAGTCAGCACCTTGAGCCTTGTCTTGTCCACGAGCAGCAGCTTCTCGCAACAAACGTTGGCGACGTTCATAAAGACGTTCCTTATAAGGAATGTCGACATCACCAGAAAGGTCTGTTTGAGCTCTAGATCGCTTGGCTGCCTTCTGGTCAATCTGATTTGCGTAAAACCTAAGTGAGCGTCGTTTTGTAGCTTTCTCTTCAGCATCCATTGAGTCCAACATAAGACCTTCACCATAATCACCAACATTGTGAACAGATTTAGGAACGCCCTTGGCTTTAGCCTCTCGAAATTTGGATGTGATATCATCTTCCCTATCCTCGTTTTCTTCAGCGCCAGATGAAGCTTCTTCATTATCATCGGGTTCTTCACGATCAGACTCCTCAGCAGACTCATCCTCATCGAATAAATTCTGATCTCCCTCATGTGTTTCGGAGATTCCATCTACTAACTTATCATTTGCAGCTTGTTCCTCGGGAGACTCAGGGGTGGGTATTTGAATATCATCAAGGTCGCGGAAGGATTCCCAGGTTTGCTTACAGCGCACGAGATCAGTCATAATTGGATGATTTTTTATATCTTCTTCACCCCCACGTAAAAGAGCAAAATAAAATGCTAGAAAAGCTATATATGCTCCCAAAGCGTTCACTTGAGCTTGAAGAAGAGAAGTAGGCGCAGCGTCTAGTTTTCCTTTCAATTCTTCGTAAGAAGGTTTTAAATCCTTGTATTCTTCTAGGAAAAGCTCAAACTCTGGATTCTTGGTACGTAGAATCTTCAGAAGTTCTGACCGAGGCATTGTTGGCGAAATTTTTTGGTCTAGTTGTTCGACAGTAGCCAAACTGTCTTCGTATTGAGAAGAATCAACCTTTGCTTTGTCCGCCCACTGGCTGATATCGTCAACAGCATCTTCCTCAGTCATCTTTTCAAGACGCTTCCTCTGAAGGCGAAGTGCTTCCTGCTCTTCCATACGAGCATCAAACTCTTCATCATCTTCATCATAGTTCTCATTGTCATAATCGTCGCCTCCATAGTAAGATTTGGCGGAACGTCCCCAGCCCTTCTCATCAAAAACCTCTTCTTCATCAACTGGTCCTTTGTTTTGGCCTGTTAATTCATCTTCATCAGAAGTTGCCCCTTCCACAGCTTCCTCGCCATCTTCATCACTAGATCCTTCCAAGCCAAGCACTTCCTCGTCACTAAGACTCATTTTGTCTTCATCTGCGTTCTTCTTTGAGTCGCCATCAAAGAGAATTTTGTCCTGTGCCTTGTAAAACTCATCTTCAGAATCCGCAACATCGTCATAAGTGCGAATGGCATCAACTGTCTCTCGCTCATTTACGGGTTGTTCATTTTTCGCTTGATTTTTCACAGAATTGCTTCTGGATTTTTTTCTAGCCATTGTTGTAGGCAAAAGGATGGATTGAATTAGCTACTAATATCCCCACATAGCAATGGTACGGTGGAGTACGCAATATATTTACGAACAATGCGTTAATAAACAAAAAGGATAGGTAGAATTACAAAAAAGAAAACGAGTACAAAAGGGTAGAAAACAGTATGCCTATGGTTGCATTTCTTGGTTTAAATGTTTTTTTTTATTTAGAATATTACTGAAACTCTAAAACTAAGTGTCTGCAAATCTCACTAAGACAAATAGTTTTGGTGAGAAAATGATAAGGAAATTTGAACATTACTGAACCATTATCACATTTTTGGTTTAATTTTTTCCTTTCAAATCCTTTGCGAGTTCGATGAGCCGTAGAATCCGTTCGATTCGTTGAAAAGCAGCCTCGCGGCATTCACTGTGAGGAATCGGGAGGAAATCTTCCAACTGGGCTTCTAACTCATCGATAAGCTTCACATAGACAGATTCCTGCTCCTGCTGAGATGATCTATTCCTGCTGGTTTTGTGCGGTTCAGACTTTGTCTGAGAAGAAGGAGGTTGTTGTCGTACAGCGTCGCCTTTCTGACTAAAGGCTTCTGGAAGAGAGGGGGAAGAGGATAAACTGGTCGACACTTCAGCTTTTGGTAGCTCTTTCTTTGATTGTTCTAATTTTGGTTTTTCAATGCAAGCTACACAAAACATGGGTTGGTCTCGCAACCTCATCATGGGAACCTATTGCAGTTAGCAAAGGGAAATCAAGTCTTAAATTAACAAAAAAAAAGTAATTTTTCCTTTAGAAAGTCAACAAACCTTTTCACATTGAGGACAGACAGCATCGAGAAGCGTGTATCCTTGCAACATGTAAGTTCCTAATTTTTTCGAAACATCATCGTTAATCACGCTCATTTTTCTAATTTAAAGAAGATTTATTCTATATTCAAAATTTTGCACAAAGAAAACGGTAAAAGCGAGCGCAGCAACAAAACAAAGGAGTTTTATTTTTTTCAATGCTTTCCTTGAGGCAAGTCCAAAAAAAAAAAGGAAATAGGAATGCTATAAGATACTTTATGAAAATGAAGAAATAAAACAGGATCAATTAAGAGCCTTCTTTGGAAAAAATCGGTATTGTTAAAAGACAAATTCACAAAGCAAAGCAGCCTAGCAAGAAAGATCTTAGTGAATGTATAGATACTGCAATCGAAAGGAACTGAACACGATGTTTTATTTTCTTATAAAATTGTTAAGAAAAAGAAAAAGAAATGCGATTTCAGTTGGAAAGAAGGGACCGTCATAGAATGTGTTCGACGGCTTTTGCATTGACCATCGCAGTTCATGTTGGAACAAAAGAAGGTAGGATGAATCATAAGCATCATGCATCAGGCGAAACATTAACATAATTTACTCTTTTCCTGAAAACTGACTCACAATGAACGTGTGCGTTTTTGCTTGCTTGCTCAAGTCGATATGGGTCCATGCAGAGCGATATGAGAACGAAATCACAAGCATAAGAATTCAAACTCTTCCATTTCAACTCTTAGATATCCTATCGAGCCTTCTTTGCTTTTTTGAGGATTTTCGAAACCGAGTTCACTGACTTCAGATTTCGCAGTAACAGGAGTCCTTCCGAATCTATTTTACTGAATTTTTTCTATTTTATTTTATTTTATCCTTTCTTGGGAAGTTCCTACCACCCCGCTTGTGTAGCTATGGATCGTTCAACCAATTCCATTCCTGCTATTTGTTCCTATTTCCACGCCTTTTACAATACGGAGAATTTCTGAAAAAAAAAAGAAAAGAAACGTGAAGAAAAGCTGGAAACTGCCGCTCTATTTCTCTTCTACTTTGGATTTCATCATGCTATCCTTCCGTATATATTCCATCTTTACCCACTACAAGGGCCACTGTACGTACTTGACGTTAACCATTTTCCCTAAGGAAGCCAATTGAATGTAAAAGAAGTAGAATCGTTTCTTCTCTTTTAAAACATATTTGGTGAATTTTTGTATTTCTATCCTTTTTCGTCTGTCTTTTTTTAAAACCGCGGAATGACTGAGAAACTCTCAGGCATGAATGGAATGGTCCCTCCGAATCGCCACAAAGAAGGTGTTAGCAAGAATGCATCTAAAGATCATAAAATTTACTGGACATACACGGAGGAACCACACAAAAGTCGGCGAGCTGCCATTCTCAAGGCTCATCCAGAGGTATGAATTTGAATAAATCACGTCACTTGCTTTAGGAGCTAGCAGAAAAAGAGCCCTTAGTTATGGGACGTTCTGTCATTCTTGACGTTGTTGTTCTTCTCACTTGTTTTGTTGCTCTTGTCAATGCTTTTTTTTTGAAAAGTTACTAACCCAATATAGGTTGCTGCTTTAAACGGATATGAGCCAAAAACGAAATGGGTAGTTCTCTCTGTCGTTTTTATTCAGTTGACTTGCGCTACTTTGTTGGCAAATACAAACCCTTGGAATTGGAAGTTCTTTTTCACTGCGTACTTTATTGGTGCATTTTGCAATCAGAACATTTTTTTAGCCGTCCATGAACTTACTCACAATCTTGCATTTAAGCGCGCTATGCATAACCGCATGTTTTCTCTTGTTGCAAATCTTCCTGTAGGTGCTCCATTCTCTGCTAGTTTCCGTCCTTACCATATTGAGCATCACAGGTATCAAGGCGTCGAGGGCATGGACACAGATTTGCCGACTACTCTGGAACTCATCTTATTCGACAATGTTCTTGGAAAAGCATTTTTTTGTACTTTCCAACTCTTTTTTTATGCATTTCGTCCAATGTTTGTCCGCCAACTCCCTCTCACAACTTTGCATTTTTGGAACATTCTCGTCCAGCTTTCTTTTGATTTCTTGGTCATAAAATATCTAGGATGGAGATCCATGGCCTACTTTTTTTTAAGCTCGTTCATGGCTGGTAGCTTGCATCCCACTGCAGGCCATTTCCTTAGTGAACACTACAATGTAAACCATACTCGTCTTATTCAGGAAGGCCCAGGTAAGGATACTCCTTTGGAAACATTCAGCTACTATGGTCCACTTAATATCCTTGTTTATAATGCTGGCTATCACATCGAGCACCATGACTTTCCTTACGTTCCTTGGACCCGTATAGCCAAAGTGCGTGAATTGGCTCCAGAGTTTTATAATAATATACCGGAATGCAAAAGTTGGAGTGGTATCATTTACCAGTTTATCACTGATTCGAATGTCGGTATGTGGTGCCGAGTAAAGCGTAAGCAAAAATCCGAATTATCTAATTAATCCTTTATAATTTTGATCTGGGCGTCTTTATCTAATTGTTTTGTTTTTGTTTTGTTTTTTTGTGTTTTTTTTATGGAAAATGAAAACTATCAATTTAAAAATATCTGATGATTGTGATTATTCTTTTGAACAAAGAATGAAGGAAAAAATAGAAATGGTTTTGTTCTTCTAGAGTTTTTTTTCATTATTATCTAAAATTAGTTGGTTGGTTCTCAATTCATATTAATATCTTTCTTTGTACTTGTAAGATTCACTGCAGAACATGTTTCCGCAAATGAATAAAGTCTATATAGGACAGCAAAGGGTGCTTTATGACTCCCCTTTTTCATTATGTTATATATTAAATTAATTTTGTTTTGCATGAGCGTATCCTTTTAATCCTAAGTAGAATAATTCAAGACCCATTATGATACAAGTTAAAGCAACACACATATTCATGAGCAGCATAGCAGACAAGTCGTTCACCCGGATTTTATTTACAACATCGTAAGAAGATGCCATAAACATGATTCCTCCGCAGATTAAGCAAAAACTTGTAACAATCTCTGTTGGAGGACGAGTTGGCCATGGTGAACTTGGTCGTTTCACATATAGTAGAATATATGTGCACGCACGAGAAACAGCTGCGGCTGAAAGCAATCGGCCCCAAAGAACGTGAATAACTGTTGAAATTTGACTTTTCTGTTCGTGAGAGGACATCATGACGCCAGTGAAAAACACCGTTATCGCAGGAAAAAGATTCAACGAGACAGAGGAACTCTCATCAGAAGCAGGGCTTCCTTCTTCATGAGGAGATTGGTGTAATGCGTAGGACAAGCTAGTGTTCAAAAATCTGCGAACAACCTTCGATTCAACTAGCATACCACATAATCCTGCCCACCAAAGCATAAAAGCAATAGAGACATGCTGCATATCGTGATGATTCCATATTCCGTCAGTGTTACCAAGATGCTCCAACCATACGTTGCTGATCCCATAAGTAAACAGAATGGAAGATTCAACCATTTCCTTACTTGGTATGAATCTTGCAAGTCCACTTTGGCTTATTTTTGGACGAAGGTTCCACGCCCAGCCATACTCAGCAAAAGCACCAAGATATTCCCCGAAAGAAAGAATCCCGTACCAAAGGAAAAGGCCACCCTTAATCCAGTGGGCAAGGCCGTTGAAAACATGACTTCCCTTGAAGATTCCGGCAAGTAAAACAATTCCAGTACAAACTTCGAAAAAGCCCATGTACAACCATAAATGACCTAAAGTCTTGTGGGTATAACTTAATACTGTTAAGAAAACACCCTTTCCTTTTCCACCAATTAAATTTTTCATATTGGTAAAAAGAAAGGTCTGGTTTTTATTCCTACGGCTGGTACCTTCGTCAAGCGTCTCCAGATCTTCTTGAGTATCTTCATTTTCTAGAAGAGGAGCATCATAACTCATACTGTTTTTCATTGAATGCAATGTTCTCCCCCCATCAACTGGTGATGAATTAACTGGTTCTTTGGGAACATAACCCTTCAGAAGCTTACGTTTGAGAAAAGCCGTAACAATTCCAAAGACCGCGATTAGAAATGTCATCCACATAAATACCCTTCCTACAGGACGATGAATATTTCCCTTGTAATAATCAGTATGAGAGGCATGATGGTGAGAAAGATGAGCAAAAATGTATCCAACGAGGGTTAATAAGACATAGGTCACTTGAACCGGAATATGGGCCTTACTTTTTGCCATGGCCAAAACGATTCCGGTTGGCAGAATAAAGACATAAGCTATTATCATACAGATTATATGTGCCCAAAGATATTTGTTCATATGATTAGCATAGTTTTCAAAGTCATATTCGATAGGGATGTCCCCGGTGGAATTCATATGCATCCCTTCCATGATTTTTTACTTGTTTTATAAATAGGAAGAGTTCCTGAGAATTTAAGAATAATGATCGTTGTTCGTAATATTTTCAATAGGAATGACTGATATGACCGTTTATACGAACGAGAATGAGGTAAACAATAATTTTTGAAGAATGGAAGCCTTCAGCAAATAACGTTTCTCCTCTATATAAAATGCTAATAAAGTCGTTTATATTGGATCTTATTTAGCCGATAGCAAGTTATAAATTTTTCAATTTCGTTGCCAGAATTGAAAGTTCAAAACGCTGAATAAAGCAATGCTTGAAGCAGTTCAGCTCTTGTTTTCTTCAATAAATACCTACTTTATGAAAATATAAACAAACAAACAAAGAATTCAAGCAAGTTTTGGTTTGTTGCAGCTATTCAAATGAAGGAAGTGAACTTGGTGAAATATAAGTGATATGCCCTGCAAGGCCAGAACTTTGAGAATTTGTGGAAATGAAATATTCCATTACTCGGGACACTAATTGAGTAGTAATAAGTTACAAAATAAGACTTTCAATTTAGCTACTCTGAGAGTTCTAACCATTCATTTCTGAGCGACTCTTTAGCTGAGTAGCCAGTAAAGAATTATCCAATTAGTAAAAATAAACATCCCAAAAATTTATTAATAATTAACCATAACCTATATATCCTGTAATTTTCATTCAAACAACAACTTCATCCCGGTTTTTTTAAAATCTGAACTACTCTTGAAGGATCGAAATTCATCCATGTCGAGTTGATGTTTTTTTTAAAATTTAAAATTTTTTTTATGCAGAAGTTCGCTCTGGTTTTCTTCTTGTAGGCAACGGCCGGTTTTCAGGGTTGTTAGGAGTCCAGTTGCCTAATGAATTCGTCGCGTAAAAGTCCATAGGATAAACTTCAAGCCATGGTGCAGCTTGAAAAGCAACGGAAGCTTCGTAGGGAGTCAAAAGGGGTGCTGGGAAAGCATAACCCCAATCGATGGACAATCGCGGGCAAGCGACTTGAATCCAAGCATCCACATCCGTAAACTGGGCTAAACGATTTGGAAAAATCTCTGACATTAATACAGTAACAAAATCCTTGTTACTCTTGCGCAAGGTTTTTTTCAAGTTTTCTAATACTTTTGGTGATCCTTGCCTGCCAAGGGTGCCCTGAATCAAACCAACCTTCTTTGCATTTCTGGCTTTCCCAATCGCCGAATGTCGGATTTCTTTCATCTCTTCGTGGGCGTAAGACTCAATTGTTAAGGTATGCGAGTATGGATCGTAGCGATACGCCGGGAGTCCAGGGTTGGCAATCATGACAGACTCCAAGTGGAATCGACCATCACCAATGTAAACAACCGCATCAACTAAACTTCTATCAATGTATGGAGAAGTACATCCAAGAGCTTCACCAGGAGACAAAGGCTTGGCTTGGGGAATGACTGAATAAAAGCCTCCCTTACCATCTTCCTCTACTTTCTCTAGCTGTTCTCGAATCGTATTTAAGGAACCAACAAATTGAATTGTACCAACAAGAGCTAATCTTGATTTAGCAGGGAGATTTTGCTTCAAAGACGCAATGATGTGACCTAGGTCAATTTTAATGTCGACAAACACGTACAGCACCTTGATGGGTGTTTGGTCAACAGGAACAAGACAAGAGTGGCCATAATGAACCAAAAAATCACATCCCAAGGCTCTAGCGGTAAAGTCGTCAATACAGCAGGCGCCATAAGTCACGTCTCCCATGACAATCGTTTCTACTTGGCAAAACTGTTCAAATATATCAGACAAGATGCAGCCAAACATCAGTAATCCTTCTGGAAGTTGCAAAGCAACGCGTTTCGCTTTTCGCATACGGATATGCCATATGGTTTTATGAACCTCAAAGTTGTAATTCTGAGGAAGCTACAAATTCGTTAGTTTATGTCAATGTCAGTTTTTTTCAAAATTGCTAGTCCTTTTTCTATAAGTTTCTGATCAACCAACGAATTGTCAATTGCTTAAAATTATGGAATAGGAATACCAACATACCAATTTCACTGCTTCATTGATGCCTTTATCGTTCAGGATTTCCTCTGGAATCCGCGTTGCCATCCGTCCTGAAGACTTAACGCGTGCATTGACCACAGCTGTGTCCTCTACATCCTTAGAAGAGCTAGAAGGACCGTCTTTTCTAGAATTCTTTCCAACGAACCGCTTTCTTGGGGCTTTTTTCACTTCGGTCATTGCGTTTCCTATTCCGGTCGTTCTTCAAATATTTCCTCCCTACAAAAAGGAGAATTCCTTTTAACTAATCAAGTTTCTTATAAACGAGTATCTTTTTCCTTGGTTTCTTAACTCTCCTCAATACAATACAATTCAATCCAACAATGACTTGTTTTTGCCAAGTTCATAAATAAAGACCATGGTTGCTACTCTTGCAGAATTACGTATTGCATACGAGTGCACTATATGACAATCCTGTCATCCATAGAGGAAGAGCCAAATGTTACATTTTGACCATAAACAAGCGCATTCAGGAAAAATCCTTTAAATTACCATTGAAATTGGAATTTATGTTACATCTTCTCTAAGCATTTCAATTAACTTTCTTTTCCCGTGTTTGGAATGCAAGGCACTGTCTTTCAATGAAGTTTAGTCACAGGTATAGAAGCCAAAAGCGAAATTAGTTGACAATTGCTAATGTGTGTGTGTGTGTAGTCTTCAATTCAACGCCGTTCCGGAATGGTCGGAAAGCTATATAGCGTATGTTTTGAATATTGGAGTAGGAAAAGTCGAATTCGCGACAAATTTGCTAATGCAGCTATGAGGAAATAGTTACTCTAATCTAAAGAAACTGTATGTAACGAAGATGGATTTGAATTTAGAGTACTGGAGTTTGTGTTGAGACACTCCAATCGACAAGTTCAATTCTGTACTGTGCCGACAGACAAGAGTGTGTGTATGTGTAGTAAGCTAACTTTGTGGAAAGGATTTATGCTCTTGAACGTGAGCAAGTGAGTCTTCCATCCCAAAGGGTGGATGAGGAAACGGGACTCTTGGACCATCAACATCAATTATCTGCGGACGAACGATTTCGTTTGAGTCTCAACAAAGATCTTGATGGAATAGTAAGCTTCTATAGCCCAAAAGAACGAGAAATTGAAGAAACATTTAAGAAGCTGGGTTCTGAGTATGAAAACTATGTACTGGAGTATGACCTTGGAAAGCAAGGCGGCAATGGAGATGGTCTTCGTGATAGTGCGCAGTTCAAGAAAGGTAATAAGAATCAATTGAACTATCACTACTCTACCAACGGTCAAGATTTACCAACTTCTACCGCCTCTGATCACCACGTATATATGAACGATGCGGCCGACAGCGAAGGAAACCTCAGTAATCCGACTATATCGCGAGCTGAATCTACTGCTATATTTAAGTCTGAACATTCAGATTCAGCTTCTCAGAAGGATGTCTCTATTGGGGCTCCCCAAAATGAAGAGGACGATGACGACGATGATGATGATGAAGAGGAGGAAGATACAGACAACCATCACCATTTACTTGTGGAAAGATATCCATCTGATATTATGGCTTATGAGAACTTTGTTTCTTTGAAACGGAAAATCACACAGTTATACATCTCCATTCACGATCTCATGTCCTATGTACAGCTCAACTGGACGGGATTCTCAAAGATTCTCAAAAAGTATGACAAGACTCTAGGAAGCAGCATGCGTGAGCCTTATATGCGTTATGTAAACGAAGCATACCCTTTCCGCTCTGAAATTCGTGACTCGTTGACAAAGCGTTTAAATAAAGTGGCTGAATGGTACGCCAAGTTATGCTGTCAAGGTGATACATTTGTCGCTATTCGACGCCTTCGAGGTCATCTTCGTGAATATGTTGCTTGGGAACGAAACACTATTTGGCGGGAAATGATTGCAATAGAGCGTAGAACCGAGGCTGCACGCATTTCTGGTCTTCAATCGGTAGTCGCTGTCGTCAGCGACAAGGATGCTTATGCTTCCAAATACATAGTCATCCATACTAGATTCGGAGATATTAAATTACGAAGGTTTTTTTTGAACACTACATTTCTCACTCTCGCTGTTATAATTATGTTATTTATTGCTATTTTGAATTTTCCGATAATTGATAATAGAGAACAAAATAATTGTATGGCACTTCTTGTGCTGGTTTCCCTTCTGTGGGCCACAGAGGCTATTCCTCTTTTCGTTACCTCTTTCCTTGTCCCTTTCCTTACTTCTTTTTTAAGGATTTTACGTGCTGATGATGGATCCTCTTTACCAGGGAAGGAATCAACAAAGGTCATTTTCGGTTCTATGTGGAATCCAACGATTGTATTACTCTTAGGAGGTTTTACAATTGCTGGAGCGCTAAGTAAGTACCAAATCGCAAAACGACTGGCCACTTCTATTCTTGCCCATGCTGGCCAGAAACCAAGAAATGTGTTGCTGATGAATATGGTTGTTGCTATGTTTGCTAGCATGTGGATTAGCAATGTTGCAGCCCCCATTCTCTGTTTTTCCATTATACAGCCTCTTCTAAGGAATTTACCAGCTGAGTCTGATTTTGCGAAGATATTACTTATCGGCATTTCCCTCGCCTCCAATATTGGTGGTATGGCTTCTCCTATTGCCTCTCCGCAGAACATCATTGCTTTACAAAACATGGATCCTTCACCTGGATGGGGTGAATGGTTTGCGATTTCAATACCAGTTTGCACAGTTAGTATCTTCGGCGTTTGGTTTTTATTATTGTTTCTGTCTTCCTCATCAGAGCGTGTTGTCCTGGCCAAGATTCGCCCAAGCAGAGACAAGTTTACCAAAACACAGTGGTTCATCTCCTTTGTAACTATATCGACGATCATACTTTGGTGTCTTGAGCGAAGGTACGATGAAATCTTCGGGGATATGGGTGTGATTGCTCTTATACCCATTATTATCTTCTTTGGTACCGGTCTCTTGACGAAAGAGGATTTTAATAACTTTTTATGGACCGTTATCATATTAGCAATGGGAGGTGTTGCTTTGGGCAAAGCTGTTTCATCGTCGGGACTTTTAGAGTTGATTGCTATTAATATTGGAAATGCTGTGTCGTCCTTAGACACGTTCAGAGTATTGTTAGTCTTTTCATTATTGACTCTGGTTGTAGCTACCTTCGTCTCACATATGGTAGCTGCTATGATTGTTCTACCGGTCATCCATGAAGTCGGCAGTCGGTTAACTGACCCGCATCCTCGTATCTTTGTGATGGCTTGCGGCCTAATGTGCAGTATTGCAATGGCTTTACCGACTAGTGGGTTCCCAAATATGACTGCTATCATGATGGAAAATGAAATGGGAAAACGCTATCTAAAGGTTTCCGATTTTTTAAAGGCCGGAATACCAGCTACTCTTATATCGTTTGTTGCTTTGCTTATAGTTGGAACTCCTATTATGCGTATCTTGGGATTTTAGATCAGCCTTAAGTTTATAGTTTTATTCTAATTACTTTTTGAGTTAGAAATACATATTTGGAGCAGATATTATGAAGTTAATAGAATATTTGCATCTTTTGAAATCGCTCATTATTGTCGTATTCTATTGTTTTCTTCAACAGCGAATTTAGTAATCCAAAATATTAATAAATTATAACTTTAGAGAGTCGAGATTCAATTACCCAGTTTGACTGATTACTAACAGTATTTAACCTCTTTAGGTACCAACGTTTCTCCAAGTGAACACATAAGAAACCTTGGACAAAGCAATTAATTAACAGGAATGGCGTTCTTTAAAGGAGGATATCAGAGGCCTTTTCTGCCTCAGAGACGACTGTACAGTCAAAATCAACAGCCTTCTCCACATGTATGTATTTCTATGGTTCATTTCGTAGAGTGAATTCAAGGGAATGCATTTGAGTAGGTGCTGAAATTAACAATGTTTTAGGTTATGTTTTATAAGAACTATGCAAGGCCATTGGGAAAAGTTATGTTATACGCCCTGGCTACATATTACGGACTTGATCTTGCCTGGTGGAAACTAAATTCTAATGAGGAAGAAGCCGAAAAAAAAGGTACGTATATACAAAACATATTTATAATTAACAATATTTAGCTGAGCTGGAAGCATTAGCAGCCAGCCTGAAATAATGACATAGTCTCTTTTTACAGGTACAAAATAATGAAAAGTCTGACTGAATGCGTGTGTGCATCTTTGTCACAGCTTTTAGTAGTCGTTTAAATATTAACGTCGTCAGTACGTTTAAATTAGCTATTCAATTAAAATGATATGGGCAATATTATTTAACAAAGTCGAAACTATAAAAGATAAAGCAAGAGGTAATGGCACATTAAACAAACCAAAAGCTCATTTAGTCTTGATCGATGACTTCCTCGTGAACAACAATGCCTTCCTTGGCAAGTTCATCAATCAAAGGACTACAAAGTTTCATGTCATTAGGAGCCAAGACACCAGGGGTAATAATGACACCGTCAAGGATTTGTTGAGAAGCGACACCACAAGGAATACCGACAAGCTTCGCCATAGAAGTGTAGCCCCCAGGAACGCCATAATCAAGAAGAGTACAAGTACGAGTTTGTTGCTTACCTTCCTTGGTTTCAACTTCAAACTTATGTTGCAAAATAAGCATGTCACGTTCACCCTCTTCGTACTGCATAAGTTCCTCCAAAGTAGCGCACAAGGTATCCAAAGGATTTCCACGAGGAGTGACAGGCTTTTCGGAAAACATACCGAGCCATTTAAGACCATTAATGATACGCTTCTTGTCATCCAAATCCTTGAATTGGTGAATAGAGGAAATAGCTTTGACCAAATCGGCTTGGGAAGAGGAAGAAGCGTTCAAAACACGAGCGGTGACTTCTTTCCAAGGTAAAGCGGTACCCTTAGGATCCAGGTAATCACGGGCAGTGTCATCTAAAAAGCCCAAGTCAACCAAGCAATGAATGAATTCAGGGAAGCCTTGGTAACGCAAGGTACCACGGATAATGGTTTCGGCTTCGGGAATCTGGTAGCGCTCTTTAAAAACTGTAGAATCACGATTAGGATAGCAAACAAAAGCATAGCCGGGGTAGATGAAGTAGGGCTTGGCAGTTTCCATCAAATCCTTACCCTCAATTTCTACAATCTTGCCGCCTTCATAGAACTTGGCAGAGTTACGAAGAGCCAACAAGACACCGCGAGAAGACCAGGAGAACTTGTAGCCTAATGGATTATTAGAGTCTTCAGGGGCAGGAAGGCCACCGCAGTAAGACAAGAAAGATTTGATCTTGCCACCTTCGTTATGGACTTCTTCAATTGTTTTAATGGCATACAAATGATCAACGCCAGGATCAACACCAATTTCGTTCATGCAAATGGAGCCAGCCTTCTTAGCTGATTCTTCTAATTCAGCCATGTAGGGATTGACATAGCTGGTTGTGCAAACATGTTTGCCATGCTTGACAGCAGCTTTCATAACAGCAGCATGGTAAGTGTAGGGGATCAAGCTAATAGTGAGATCGTGCTCAGAAACAGCCTTTTCGAGTGCAGTCTCGTTACCAACGTCTAAAGAAATAGCTTTTGAGTTAGGGACACCCTTAATCAATGATTCAGCCTTAGATTGGGTTCTGCATGCAACAGTTATAGTATTTTCCTTGCGACGAGCCAAGTATTCCAATGTTGGCAATGCAACGAAACCAGAACCAAGGAGCAATATAGATGGCATTTTGAATTTCTCGCTGTTTTAAGACTAAAAAAGTAAATTAACGTTTGATTTATTCAATTGACAAATTGACAAATTGATGAATTACGAAGAATTCAATTTTTTCTCTATATGGATTATACAGAAAAGAAATTGTTCTGGGATAGTAAAAAGAAAGCCAATTTTAGATATTTAGTCTATTCTTCGATTATCCACAATCAAGATCTTTCTGATTGTATTTGTAAGAGATCCATAATAAAGAAAAACAGTCACGGCTCGTAAAAAAAAAGTATATAAGAATAGAACAAGCTGTAGTAACTTTGTATTCTTCATATAGGTAGTTTTCGGATGGTAACAGATTGTTGTTAGATGCAAAGAGAGTTTTCAAAAGCAGCAGTAATGTTGCAGCTTGCGGGTTCTTAAACAGAAGCCCCTTTTTTTGTCATTGTTAGAATGATAGAAGAAACCGAAAGATATTGTGCCTGTTACAATACTGTTTATAAATCTTCTAGGTGCAATTTGCTGTTACTTTGAATAACTGAAGACAGTTCGCAGATTTCAGCAAAACCAATCTCCTCTTTCTGCCTACCTGTTGCTACTTAATCAACTGTGTAGTTCTGGTGCAGGAGTATAACAATCTGCCATGCACCGCTGGTCTCTCTTACCTCTGAGGTCAGTGGCCATGGTTGGTGGCCTTTCAGGCAAGGTACAGAGATTCTTTTGTGAATTTCTTTGCTTGGGGGCCTATATGTAAATTAGACGTTAAGAGAAAACTAATAACAAATTTTGAAGTTTGCGCGGTATATTAGTGTTTGAAACCCTGTAAATGACTAGTGTATTTTCTGTATGCGAAACTGGTGCTTAGATGAAGGAGGTCTTTACAAGCGACGCAAAATGAAAGCATGGACGGCGGATTAACGGTTATAAGCGTAAAAACAGTAACAAGAAACGTAATAACATAAAGAAACAGGATAAATTAATGATTGATCAGTTAATTTGAGGTTTCAGTCTATACGGAAATGGGTTCAAAGAATGATAGATCGCGCCAAAATAGACAAAAAGATAATAATTAAAAGTGTCGTAGAATTTTCCATATCTCCCTAATAAAGAATCATCTACTTTATGTACAGAACAGACTCCGGACTAGGATTATTATAAGATATGAGAAAAAAAAAAAAAAGAAGTCGAAAACAAACTTTTGAAAGGTTTTCAGATAGCAAATTAATATGTTTGTTAAGGAAGGAAAGAAAAACAACTAAAAGAATCCCAAATCATTAAATAAAAAAATTTATAAGGCATTTTTTGTAGAAAAGTAATTACTGGTTTTGTTGTGAATAGCGTGACATGGGATGCGGCTGTGTTGGATAAGACGGCACAGCATTAGAGTTATGAAGGCCTTGAGGTTGATGTGGTTGATAAAACATAGGATTCGGTTGAGGATAGAACCTTTGTTGGGGCTGCTGGTGTTGCTGTGGTGGTTGTTGTGGTGGTTGTGATTCATATTGTTGTGGCGGAGAAGACTGATGAGAAGGGTGTGCATAGACAGGATGTTCATGTAGATGAGGAGGTCCCATATTCTCTCTTTGCATACTTTGTAAGGGAGGTCCCATTTGCTGATACCTCATACCCGAAGGGAACCGGAAAGCAGATGTGCCGGATTCTAAATGAGTCGGAGGGTATCGATACAAGTGTTCGGCCATGTAAGGAGCAACCATGACAGGACGAGGAGCATTCACAGAGGCCATATTCATAGAGGCATCGGGCATTTGCATTTGCTGATAATCAGGACCCATACCTGGCTGTTTGAACATGAGAGATTGTTCCATTTCTTGGATAGGTAGATATCCAGAGGCAGGATGAGATCCATACTGCATGGCTCGCTGGTTAGCAGCAGCTATTTGAGAAGGATATGCATGCTGAACGCCTCCAGATCCCATAGGGTAACCCATGGAATGGGCAGGCATTCCTGGTTGTCCGGGATAAGAGGGGATTCCAGGTACAGGAGCAGGAGCAGGCGCAGGAGGCATTGCGGCAGACTGATTGATAACATGAGGTTGAGACATAGAAGGAGCGGGGGATAAGTTATCTTTAGAAATAATGTCTATTAAAAAGTCATACATCTCGGATTTAGAGATGGCGTTAGCAATATCAGAGCGCTGAAGAGTTCGTCGCTGATTCTTCTTTGCATGCAACCAAGCACGCATTGTGAGTTCAGTAACGAAAATTTCGCTTCCCTTGGCAAAGAGGAAAGGAGCTTCGGCGGAAATCATTTTGTTACGTACCTCTTCATCCGTTTTCATTACCTTCTTGATACGAGCTAACGGAAGATGCAATGTTTTGATGGCCTGGTCGTTGTTTTCCAAGGTATCAATGGTTTTTTGCCAATACTCGGCAAGAGCTTCTGCATCACCACCCGTTAGCCCCTGGGTGACGTTGTCGAATGGGCTTGAAATATCCAAAGACGTACTTTGAATATATGGATTTACAGTGGATGGATCAACATCTGGAGCAGAACCAGTAGGAGCAGAAGGGGCAGCAGGGACCGAAGGCACAGAAGTCGCTGCTGAGGGGTGATTATAATTCATTCGCAGTTGAGGATGAGAAGAAGGGTCGACAAAATCACCCAAATTGTCGGGAAAATCTTGTTTTAATGAGTAAGAGTCTGGAATCGAATTCATGACAGATAGAACTATCAGTCAAAAGCACAAAGGATGTAAAACCAAGAACACACAAACGAAAAATAAAGGGGAGGGGGAATAGTAAATGATTCAACTAATTGCCGAAATCAATTCTAACAGATATGAAGGGGGTTTTTCAAGGAAAACCGCAATCAGAAAAAAAAAAAAAAGAAAAATAAAATACAATAAAAACCAAGAAACAAATCGTAGAGACAATCACAGAAGGAAACCTGTGTACGAACGCGAAAAAAGGATTGAATTTTTGAAGATCAACCAAACGGAAAAAAAGAAAAAAATAAACAAAGAAACAAATATACACAGGACGCTTAATAATCAACTTTTTTGTAAAATTTCCAAATCTAAATAGACAGTCAAGCGTACAACTCAATAATAGTTTCCCTAGGATATGAAAGGCTCGAAACGTCCTTACTGAGCGAATAATCGTATATAAAAAAGACGCTGACTGCAATACAAAGATGGATGGGAGTAGCAAACCAAAACAACTTGTTTGGAATCAAGTAATTCTGATCTTTTAAGATAGGATAGAAAAAAAGCAAGTGTTATTCACAAAAGGAAGCGTCCAGACACACACAAGAGTAATGAAGGCCAGAGACTTCTCGACTTGAAGGAACGGTTCAAACGGGGAGCCGGTTGGCTCGCTTTTTTTCCACGCACAAAGTGGATACGATTCGAAAGAAGTAAAACGGAAGGTTTCACAGGAAACAAGGTATTGAAAAAACGCTTGTTTGGAGGAGTCGTTTCGCTCAAGAATCAAACATTCACGAATCCAAACGTTTTCCTAGAATACGTACCTTTACCAGTCAAACAACCTTGAAAAATCAAATCAATCGAAATTTATGTTCTTAGAGACTTCCAAAATACTTGATTTTTTCCGTCTGACTCTATTTAACGATTTTCGTTAAGATGCTTATATTAGTGGCTAAGAGAAGGTGGTTGGCTGCCTTGGTAGTCGAACGTAGTAGGTGTGGAGGAAGCCTGTGTGATTTTAGCAACGTTGATAGTATAGTATGATTAATCGTATTATGGGGAAAGAGAAGGATCAGATATAAGTTTACTATACAGAGGTTGAGAGAGAGAGAGAGAGAGATCAAAAACAAAATTCAATAAAACGAAATTGTAAGGGCAAAGAAAGGCAAAGAAAAAAATAAATAAAGCCTTTTGCACTTTGAATCACAAATGATCTTCGTTTTCAATTTTCATTTTGCTTTTCTCTTCCATTGTATGTGTGGTAGAACACTGCTAAAATACAAGGGGACTAGTTTCCTTCCTTGGTGAATTAGAGAATCCTACTTTTATACAGAGGTTCTATCGCCAATGGTGCTTTCATCGCAAACATGTTAAAAGTATAGACTAGAAAAATGAAGTACTTTTTCAACCTGGCTATTAGACTTCCATAGGAAACCAAAGTTGCGGCTTTCTGTGTACTTTTGTTGGCGTGGTTCTTTAGTAAACAAATAGGAAAGAGGAATCCGTCGAGAAAGGAGTAGTCCGTCAAGACTTTGCAAACAGGATTTTTCTTCAAAGGTATTTTATCTATAGCTTTTGAAAAGAATATGGAATTGGTTTCGCTTTCCCTGCCATAAAAACGAAATTTGTAGTTTCACATTCTATCATGGCTTTCTACCTCGCTATATGAATACCAGTATGTAGGAAACGCACTTTTCAGTTTACTCATCCAAGCACAGTCTTAACGTTACAAAGAGGTTCCTAGGAACTGACTCTATGACTTGGATAGCAAAAGAGCAACAGACTAGTAGTAACATTCTTGATTTGTAGCCTATTTTTTAACAAAAGCTTCCTCTACTATTACGTTGGCTTCCATCCTGCTTTAATAACTTCGTTTCTTTTTCTTTTTGCGACGATAAAATTCCCTTGAATTGGAGTAGAAATATTCACGATTGGATTTGTCTTGTCGATTTTTGTCTTTCTTATCTTAGCTTCTTGGTTCATTGGTAATTACTTTTATTACAATTGTTGTCAAAGTATTGACCTGTGTTTCATCTGATCCGATTTTCGTGTGTTAATTCCTTACTACTCCTTTTGCCGTTGTTCACTGATACAGCATTGCTACCCTCTTTTCCCTTTTGTTTGTTCTTTCCGCTCCCCCATTTCCAAGATGTGGTTACCCTTGGTTCGTCGGTACTCCACTCGGTCTTCAGGCCCTGTCGTGGGCATTATAGGCTCTGGTCCGGCAGCTTTTTACACAGCTCATCGGCTCTTTCGAAATGACCCTTCCATCAAGGTTGACATGTACGAGGCAAATCCTGTCCCGTTTGGTTTGGTCCGGTATGGCGTTGCTCCAGACCATCCTGAAGTCAAGGTATGATGTTTCGCTTTTCTTTTTTAAATGATTCTTTTTCCTTCAATTTTAGAAATTCACATCATTCCTCTTTCCTTCTTCTTCATACTAACTCTTTTCATCTAGCAAGTGGACCACAAGTTTAGTGAGATTGCAAATTCCAGTCAATTTCGGTTTCTAGGAAATATTCGTGTTGGCAAAGATCTTCCTCTTTCCACTCTCTCTCGGCATTACGATGCTCTTGTGTACGCTTATGGCGCATCATCCGACAAGATCCTCAACATTCCCGGTGAACACTTACGCGGCGTCTACAGTGCTCGCCAAGTAGTTGGTTGGTACAATTGCGATCCTCAGCATCAAGATATTGGAATTTCTCTTCCTCATCTCAAAGACCTTGTCATAATCGGTCAGGGTAACGTTTCTCTCGATATCGCCAGAATTATGCTTAGCAGGCCCGAGCAGCTTTCTCCTACTGACATTAATCCCCTCTTTTTACAGCAGCTTTTCCAAAGTGCCCTTCAGCGGTTGCACATCGTTGGTCGGAGAGATCTGACTTCTGTCTCTTTCACTATAAAGGAGCTTCGAGAGCTGTTCTCTCTTTCTTCTGCTATGTTTTTAGCACCAGAATATACCTCATCACTCTCCTTTCTTTCAGAACAGGCCCTTGGCACTTTTGACCGTGCTCGTAAACGTCTGATAAAGCTTATACAATCCAACATCCAAGCCGCTCAGCAAAGAAACTCAACTACGTCTACTCAGCAAAAGCCTTCTAAATTTTGGGGACTTGAATTTGGACTTACTCCTATCGAAATCCTTGGTCGGAATGGCCAGGTTGATAAAGTTAGATTCCAAAAGACCGAAACCGTCCGCAACGAATCCACTTCTCCAAGTGATTTTGTCGAAATTCCTGCTCAAGCTGTTATTCGAAGTATTGGATACAAGAGTGTTCCCCTTCCCGGAATGCAAGAACTTGGAGTTCCTTTTGATATGACTCGAGGTGTTATACTCAACAATGAGGGACACATCGGCCCTGGCATGTATGCCAGTGGTTGGGTGAAAAATGGTCCGGTTGGTGTTATTTCTTCGACGATGATGGATTCATTTGCTACTGCTGATAAACTGTACAAAGACTGGCTTGCTCAAGAGCCTTTCTTAATAGGCACAAGAGCCGGTTGGGATGGTGTTCGACACACCGTAAATACACCTGTGGTTTCATGGGAAGATTGGGAAGTTATAAAAAAGCATGAAATTGAAAATGGTTTGCGACACGAGTCTGTAGGTGAGAAGTTTAGAACATGGGAGGATATTCTACGTGTTTTACACAAATAACGAACTCTTTCTATAGCTAATCTTGGTCTTATAATGTATTAGGTGAAATGAAATGAACGCATAATTTACTTTTCCTCTTTCCTCTCCTCTTCCCATTTTACTTCTCTTGACGTTTGGCCATTCATAACGTTGCACTTTATCATTATAAATTTTCTAGGTTTATGGATAAACGCAAAAAATTCATATTTTTCCATGAATTGGAAAAGTAATAAGCCTTAGTAATATTCCATGGAACCATCCCTCGTTACCGGTGATATCTGGGATTGCTTTGTAGTTCCAAAGAGGATCCCATTGGAGCAGAAGAAATGGATGAGTAATTAGCTAGTGTCCGATTACCAGAAGTCTGGCGTAGCTTTCCGTACCCTAAAAAACATATGAGTTAATACGTCGCCTTGAGCAAAAAGGAGAATAACATACCACCACGACCGGGGTCGTATTCTTCTCGCATTTCATCGCGCACTTGTCCACCAGAAGCACCACGCCCGTATTGTCGTCCTTCTTCGTAACCAGGATCCAAGTCTGCCCGAATAATACGCTCATCCAAGGATGTACCAGAAATATATTTCAAACAATCAAGGGCATCCTCATTTTTATAATATTCAACAAAACAAAAGCCACAAGGGGTCTATAGTAGATCATATTAGTTTAATGTGATTTCCAGTGAAGAACAGTAGATAGCTTTCCAGTGCCCCCCTTACAGTCATGTATCTTTATTCGTATAGTGTACTTACCTTTGCAAAACGATCTACACCCATGACAATTCGTCGAACTTCACCACATTTTGAGAAAAGTGTGTAGATTTGTTCTTCTGTAGTATAAAATGATAAATTTCCAACGTAAACACAGCAGCTCTTTTTGACTGTCTCTAATGCAGGAGTATTATTTCTTAAACGGCGTAAAAGATATGGCGAAAGAGCGTCTAAATGCGCGATAGATGCCATCTCACCGAATGCCTTGATGTAGGTGCTTTCTGAGGGCAGCTATATGCTTTTTGGGAAACCCACCAACGAAGGCACTATGCTGTTTGATTTCGATCTTTTAAATGAAATGTAAGTTTAACTAAAAGAATAATAATACAGCATGTTGTGAAAATCTGGTAAAGTGGGTAGACATTGTTCCCATAGTAGGGGTGAACCCATCAAAAAATCCCAACACATATTCGAGTTAAGCCGTTCCCCTCTTGACCTTATATTCATTAAATATGTCGAAACATTGCGTTTTTCTTCAAATTTTTGTTTCTATGTTTACTGTTTTCGGTACTGTGTTATGGTTCCGTAATCACGTAACGAAACGCAGTATGCTATGATATTTGAGATTTGTCAAAAGCAGGTCAAAGCAGAAACTGGACACCGAACATGTCTCAGCATCTTTCATGGACAGATCTTTTGGAGAAACATCCAGCTTTTAAAAGCATTCATGTAGCTGCAGATGATTGGGAACCGTTGCCGAAGCAAGTGTGTGCCTTTGACACAAAGTTGTACGTCGCAGTGGGTCATGAAGTACGACTAATAGACTGTGATCTGGTAAAACAGAACAAAGGAGGATCTGAAGCGACTTCTTTTACCAAATTAACACATCCTGAATTAAACTTTACAATATATCAGCTGGTCATCAGCCCTAATGGACGGTTTTTAGCTGTTATTGGAAAGTCCAAAATCGTAGTATTGGGATTGCGCTCAAAGGCCGAATCGAAGGCTTCTTCTTCTTTTAGTCGTCCACCTAGTAATGCTTCTGGAATTTTTGGTGGTGCTAGCACTTTTAGCTTTGGAGGTCTGCAAGGACAAATGATTAACTCGTCAGAAACACCTATTTATTATGCTGGGATCATCAACTTGGATTCCCCAATAATTTGCGTCAGATTCCACCCTTTAGGAAGATCGGGTCGATCTTTGGTTGTATTGAATGAAACACATTTGACTTTGTATGAACTTGAGAATGGTTATTTAAACCCCGACTACATAATTCCTCTTTCTTTCAGTGAAAAACCATTTAATTCTTTTGATGTTGATTCGGAAGAACATATTCCTGTTTCTTTTACATTTAATCATTCGTCACGTGGTTGGGGTGCTTTTCTTGTGTACATTTTGACGAATAGTGGAGATATTTACGCCCTTTGTCCTGTCATGCCAGCAAACACAATCATCTCGCGCGCAATGCTTCAGCAGTTGTCATCTGAAATCACTGAATATCATCGGAATCATGTTGAATCAGAAAATGCTCGACAACATGTACGTTGGATTACGAAGCTTATTGGAGACGCAGCTCTCTCTTCTGAGCTTCAATTTCCAAGTGGATGTTCATTAGAAGATAGCTATGAGTTTTCTAATTTTTCTAATGTTTATGCTCTTCAGCGTCCAGATGACTTTACCTTCTTGCCAGCATTACAAGGACCTTTTTTAATTCAGCCACTTGTCAGTGAAGATTTTTCTGATGACTGTTGTGATATTGTTTCGCTTGGGACGCCAATTATAGATGTGATAGTGGTTTCAAATTCCTATGGTCAAGTTGATCTTTTCCTGTCTCCTTCAAAAATATTTGGTAAATGGACTTTGCCCTCTCATAATAACGAACCCTATAAACCTCTTGTCCTCTCTCCTGTTCATACGCTCCAGCTTTCCACCAAAACAAGTTATACTATCCTTCACCGCGATAATTATTCGCCTTTTAATATCACAGTATATCATGCGAATGGCGCTCATGCAGTGAACGTGGAAACTTGGGTTAGAAATTTACGCTTACTATATGAAAACAAATTAGAATTGAAGAATGCTAGAGAGAAAAAAGAATTGCTGGATATCCTTTCATCCATTCCTGATTCTACCGAGGTTGTTGAACGGGTAAACACGAACCCTTTAAACACCTCGCCAGATCCAGTTGTCGGTTGTTTACAAGTAAAGCACCCTTCCTTGGGAAGCGCTTTTCTTTGCTTGACCAAACATCGCCAAGTAACTGTAATAGACGAATCCGAGTTCCTGGATGTGCCAACTATAGGCAATGTTTTGAAGAATGAAGACTTGGCAAGCTCGTTTGATGCCTCCCAAATTAGCATGAAGGGTAATGACAAATCTCGGAGCGGTATGTATCAGTCGCTCCTTCTGCAATCACCGTTTGCAAATCCCATTATCCAAACTTCACCAGAGCGGCTTATTGTACCACCTGAACTCGGTGGGAAGCTTTCGGTTTCACCGTATTCTCTTCGTTTTCTTGGTACTGTTGTAAGCCGTATGCGTGAACATTTAGATTTAATTTACCAAGGTAACTTGGCATTGCACTATCGTCTAACGTTACAAAAGGAAGAATTTATACGTCAGCACGATCATATATCGAAGCTTGAGAAACGAGCAACACTTGCGCTAGAGAAAGATTGGCTTGCTGAACGATTCGCTGAGCTTGAAAAGAATGCTATGGAATGCGAAGGACGTGTGGACGTAGTATTACAACGGTATATGAATATTCATTCACCAGACTTAAGTGATCAAGAGAAAGCGTTTATGAAGGAAATAGAGCGTTATCGTGAGCGTGTATTAGGTGAAAGGGGTATTGAAAGAAAGCTGCAAAATTTGAAACCGCTTCTACAACGTGGAAACATACCTTCAAAAACAATGTTTTCTAAATCAGTTGCGCGCTCACCTTCCTTGGATGCTCAACCAATTGCTCTCGATCAATTGAAGCAATTGTTAGCTCAGCAAAACAAGTCAATTCACATTATGAAGGCGAAAGTTGTTTCGCTGCAAAAGAAAATCTAAATCTGATTCAAGTTGATTTGTGAGGTGCTATGAAAATTACAGTTGGCCATGATCCTATTACTATTACCTTGTCTTCTCTTGTCATTCATCATTGCACTGGCTGGACGTCATGCAGGAAATGGAATTAAATCGTTGCAATGATTATAAGAGAAAAGGAAAGGAAGGAAAAAAGTGTGTTTGGTCTGAAAGGGTGTTTTAAATTTTGTTAGATTTGGTATTTTTCAAAAAAAGGAAATAATAAAGTATGAATCCATGGTGCTTCGAATGTGAAGTAATTGATCGTTAAACAAAGTATCGCAAAACGAAAGCCAGAAGTAAAAAGGAAGCATAAATTAGAAAGAAATAACTTTTGCAAAACCAAAAACACAAGAAAAAATTCTTTTAAGATCCGCTATTCTTTTTGTTTCTGCTATGTCGTAATACTTCTTTATCTAGTTTAAGCATCTACACCACTACACATAAAATTTCTTTGTGTGGTACAACGCACCTTCGCTTTCTGAATTGTTCTGGGGTCTGTAAAAGTTCAATACTCTGCCAATATCGCCTTAAAAAAGAAAAGGCTTGGAGACGCGTTTGGCTGGTCGAATTTTCACTGATATAGAATTAGACCATAAAGAAACAATGGCACGAAAAAGATTAGTGAAAAAGTCGCTTGCAGAGAAGGAAAATCAAGATGGATCTTCAACATTTGTACCTTTAACAAAGAGTCATGCTCAAGAAGGAATAAACGCAAAAGCAAAAAAATCATTGAATTCTAAAAAGCCTAGTCAAAACTTCATAACGCGTACGGTTTGGACTCTGATTATGATTGCACTGTTCTTCGCAGTGTTGGCAATGGGTCACTTTTGGGTTGTTATACTGGTCACTCTTATTCAAATTGGTGTTTATAAAGAAGTGATTGCAATCGCAAGTGTCCCGAGTCGTGAAAAGGATTTGCCTTGGACGAAGTTTGTTAGCTGGTAAGATTTGGACGGAAATTTGAATGCACTTTAGAGGTGAAGCGATGATGGGATATAATTCCAGCCTTCTAATTTTGTATTATATAGGAGGAACTCGTGGCTAATTGTTTTCAGGTACTTTTTAATGACGACTTTATACTATGCATATGGTGAAAGTATATTTACCTATTTCCACCATTTATTTGTCGATGATTCCTTTATGCTACCATTTGTGTCACATCATCGGTTTATTTCATTTATGCTGTATATTATGGGTAGGTTTTGTTTTGTAATTTAAAAAAGTTGGGAGACTAACGGTGTAAATAGGGTTTGTTCTATTCGTCGCTTCTCTCCAAAAGGGAAAATACAAGTTTCAATTTTCCCAGTTTTGTTGGACACATATGACACTGCTTTTGGTTGTCGGACAGGCCCATTTCATCATTAATAATATTTTCGAAGGCCTTTTCTGGTTCTTTGTGCCTGTTTGTTATGTCGTATGTAATGATGTTTTTGCTTATCTATGTGGAAAGATGTTTGGTAAACATCCTTTGATCGAAGTCTCACCTAAGAAAACAATTGAAGGTTTTCTCGGTGGTTGGTTGTGCACAGTCGTTGTTGGTTCTTTAATTACCTTTATTCTGATGCGATACGAATATTTTATTTGCCCTAGCAGAGATCTCTCAACGTCCATTTTTACTGGCTTAACTTGCACTCCTAACTCTGTGTTTCTTCCACATACGTACAATGTACCTTCATACTTGGTGCAATACTTGCATCTTCCCGATGTTGTAACTTTTGCCCCGATATATTTCCATTTAGCCATGTTTGCTACTTTCTCAAGCCTTGTTGCTCCTTTTGGTGGATTTTTTGCTAGTGGTTTGAAAAGAGCTTTTAAAATCAAAGACTTTGGCGATTCCATTCCTGGTCATGGTGGTTTGACGGATCGCGTCGACTGTCAATTTTTGAATGGTGTTTTTGTTTACATGTACTTTCAGTCTTTTATAGCAGAAAAGAATACTTCTACCTCAGATATTTTGGATGCTGCTATATCCACCTTAACGACACCTCAGCAATTGCAGCTTTTAGAAGATTTTCAAAATTATTTGGTTGGCCAGGGAAAAATAACTGCAGACGCCATTTGCAACAGAGTCGTTAAAGGTAGTCGTTAAAATTAACCTTGCAATTACTATTTTCGTTTTACGTGCTCTCTTCCTCTATGCCGTATTCATTTTGTGTATATATAACCTTCAGACATATACGCTACCTTTACTGAAGTAACTGTGGATGGAATATAACATAATGTATCGGAAAGACTTATATCTTTTCCCTTCGCGCGTTGTCTCACTGTCTTTCGTTTCATTGTCAATTGTTTTCTTCGCTTGTCTCTAACTGTCATCTATATTATGGTATTAGCAAATCCCTCTTGTCTGTACTTATTGAGGGAAGCCTTAAATGAGTTATTTTTACTTTAAGAATAATCTTATCCATGTTTCTTGTCCGTTCTTTTAGTTTCTTTCATCCACACTCTCGGCATTCTTTGCCTTTTTTAATCATGTGTCCTCATGTTCACTTATGTACTCCTCGTGGTTAAAGATCTATAAATTTTTATGCGCATTTTGAATTTGACTATATATACGCAGTATTTAATGCTTAACAATTAAGCCTTGCTCAGTAATTAATCTTAGTACATGCCAAATTCTCACTGTCTACCGTCGTTCTTTCTTTTTATCAATTTCATAGGAATAAAAATCCAACCTTACTTGTTACATGTGTAGTAATTTCTTTACAGCTTCGTTTTTTTTTTTTTCTTTTTGATTTCTTTCTTTCTAATAAACTCCATTCATGTTGTTAGGCTATCTAGGTAATCATAGACCTCTCGTAATATTAATCGACACCAACTATATAATAGGTAAGAAGAATTGGTATTAATTGCAAGTTACAAGATACTAATGCAACAGATTAATAATCAACAAAAATGCACAAAAAATATAAACTAAACAAAAACATAAGGAGATATCAAAATAAAAATACACAGTCTAATTAACCCGACTAAAACGGTTAAATTCAACCGGTGAAGGGCATAATGGACTAAAACAGCATAACAAGAACAAAACGGTCCTTACTTTTTAATTCAGGGTTTCCCTAAACGATATCTCAAGCCTTGAAGGCTTCTTCAGCAGCTGTAAATTTCTCGGCATTTTGAGAGTTGCTGTTCGTGCCCGCTTTATCGAGAGAATAGCTTTCTACAACCTCAGTAGCAACAGCATTCTTTTGCTCATCGCTTGCACGGATGTAGTCAAGTTTGTTTTCCTCCTCTTCCATGTTGTCATAATGATGGAAGCACAAATAAAAGGCAATACCGGCGATAAAAGCGGTAATAGCAATACCAGCATACATCCAGGTAATCTTGGGATTCACAGCAGTAGAGGAAATACAAATGGACAGAATAGCACCAAAAGCATTGGTTAATAAGAATAAAGAGGTAATGATGGATTTCATGGAAGCAGGGGCCTTAGTATAAGAATACTCATAACCAGTGACACTAGCAAAAATTTCGGAGAAAGCAATTAAGACATAAGCAGGGATTTGGATCCAAACATTGATGTAGTTATAAGAGCAATTATCGGTAAAGTTGCTGAAGCAGGGACCGGTCTGATATATCTTAGATTGCAAGACGGACGCATAAATCATGGAAGCTGAAGCGAACATGAAACCTACAGTGATACGGGTAATAGGACGGAAAGGTATGCGCAGGCGACGCAAAAGAACATACAATCCGTAATCGCAAACTGGGATGAAAATAATGAGAGCAATGGAGTCGAAGACTTGGAAAATATCGTTGGAAACACCACCAGTATCCATATTGGCAGCTTGAGAAATCAAGTTGTTTGTCATTTGATTATAGCAGACCCAGTAGATGGGGAAGAAGAGGAAAGTTTTACAGGCACGCAAAGCACGCAAGAATTCATCAATGAACAAATCATCCCAATTATTTTTGAGTTGCGTCTTACCCTTGGTATTGGGACAAGAAGGTTTAGTAGCTTGGAAATTGAACTTGTTCTGTACAGCCAAGTAAATGATTTGACTGACTTTTACAAAGACAGAGCCCGTAGGAGGAGTGTGTTTGTAAATACGCTTGGTGCCAAAGAGGATGCCTAAGGGAATAACGAAAATACAAAGCGGAAGCAAGTAGCAGTAGACAAACCCAGTTTTATGCTCTAAATTAGTTGTAGCAAGAACAGAAAGAGATCCAAGGTTAATAGCCCAGTAAAAAAGCATGTAGACACGAGAGGTAGTGACAGCAGGATCAATGATGACACGCCTTCCACTCTTTTCTGTTTTGACATAAGGTGGAACCTTTGGGAGTTGCTCGGCCATCAAAGGGGAAACGTTCGATTTAATACCGCCAGTACCCAAACCAATGATAATGAGAGAAACAACGAAACCACCCATACTTTTTCCAGCATCCACGACAGAGGGAATGGCAGTGCAGGTAAGAATGAGAATACCAAAGAAGTAAATTGAGGCACTGATCCAAATGGTGTTGTATCGACCCAAAAATTGATCGGCAATAAAAGCTGCAAAGACAGGAGTTACATAACACCAAAATTGGAAAAAGTTAGAAAGGCCGGTAGCACCGGATTGACCAAGGCCCAAAGCACCCTTGGGATTATCGTGAGGACCATATTGCATGTAGTTTTGAAAAGGGACAGTTAGACCATAGTAAGCGAATCGCTCGCAAAGTTCGACGATGACAATGACCCACGCAGAGTAGGGAATACGAGTGGGGATACGCACAAGCGTATTCAACTCCTCTTCAGTAGGAGGGAAATACGTTTCGCCATCGACGAGAATACCATTAGTGATGGTCTTCTCGGGAGAATCATGGCTGTACACTGATTGCTCATCGGTAAAAACAGTAGCTTCTCCCTGTTGTTTTTTCATATCATCTTTTTCATGGGAGTCATTAGTTAAGACAATATCGATGCCACCGTCAACGGCAGCAGTAGGAATTGAGCTCATATCGACGAACTAGTCAAATGGATGAGCAAGGCAAAAAATAAAATCAAAAAAGGTACCAAAAAAAAGCCAGGAATGACGGTAAAATTAAAGGAATAATCAAATATATCAAGGATTTTCAAAAAACAAGATTAAGTTGCTACGGATATGAGATCAGGTAAAATGTAACGGCAAAGTCTAAAACAAAAAGGAAAACACAATTTACAACTAAACCAACAAATTAAAGAGGAGTTGTTGGGTCTTTTTTCAGCACTGCTTTCTCCTAAGAGATACTATAACCGAAATAAAAAATTATAGCAGACTAACAGAAAAAAGTTTCTTTTCACCAATCTTTTCCAGACCAGTGGATTATTATTAGATTATTGTATCAAAGAAAGAATAAAAGAAAGAAAGAATGACAACGGAGAGGAAAATAATAGTCACTAATATTTTTGTCTGGTAGCGCGTTCCGAATAGGAGTGGAAAAACGTGCGGGAAGTGGCCTTATATAATCAGAGGAGGTACTGATTAAATTAGCGTATTATGCACGTGATAAAAACGCCTTTATCAGTGGAATCCGATTTGTCCAGATAAGGGGTTCGCAAAAAAAAGTAGTACCGCGGAATTACCTGGTAAAAAATGAACGAATCGAAAATCCAAAAAGTAGCAGTGAGGAAGCTAAGCGAGCTAAACGATCCAATAAAAGTTTCGTTTGACCAATCATTGGAGATTCCGGAGAAACCTTTTATTTAGCTTCTGATGATTAGATTCACATGAGATGAACTACTTTTTTATTGAACCAAGATAGTCGATAAGCTTCCTGAGTGACGGAAGAATTACTACTTTTAGGTAGTAGATGTAAATTAGGTTGACCAACGTGGTCACCTTATTCCATAGTATTCTTCGGGTATTACACCCATAAGCAATGGAATTGAAATGGCGGGTATTAGCGATGAAATTGAAATGGGTTTGATCGTCGATAAGTTTCGACCGGGTAGTAAGAAGGCCACAATGAAGGAAAAAACCTTGACATATAGCTAAAGAATGAAATCATATAATAAGAGAGGCATATCTCTAACAAAATAAATGATGATGATTCACATAACGAATTAGAAAAGTAAGTAAACAAAAGAATCGTAGGTCGAATAATACCATATCCACACAATATAGAAAGGTAGAGTTGTAGGACCCGAGAGACATGAATGAAGCATGGATTGGGTAGGAACGAGAGACGAAGAATAGGAAGGTAGAAAAGGAAAGTATAAAGAAAAGAGAAAAGAGGTTCTATTGGCGAATTGTTTCTCGTTGTTATAGATTTGTTTCCACGAGTATTACGAATCCAAGGAATTGCTTTCATCTATGCAAGACCATCCATTCATTTCCTAGGTTTAAGGCAAGGCAAGGCAAGGCAAGTCCCAAAAGACATAGGTGAGTTGGAAAGGTCGGCGAACGTTTGGTTTTAAATCATTTTGCAAAACATGGAACGGAGATAACACTATCGTTGAGAGAGGGAGTGAGAAAGAGAGGAAACTGGAGACTCATCAACAAACAAAAATGTAAACAAAAACATAAACAAGAAACGTAAAAATAAAATAAAAAAGCATTCTTTGATTGGCTCTATGCCCAAGCGAAGACTCTTCCGTCAAGTCATGGAAACTCAACGTATTATGATATCGTTTAACCGAGATGTTTGGGCAGACCTGGTATCGACTTTTAGAGGAGATTTCCTCGAAATTAGAATGTCTAATCAGTTTTGGATGGGATTCAAAAACAAGAGATGGATGAGCATTGGTTTCATGATGTTCCAAAATTGTCCTTCAAGACCTTCTTTGCCTTACGAAAGGGTTAAGAATATGTAAATGTCCTACACCAAACTTATTAGTATCGGGATCCTAGAATTGCTGTGGATGGAAATCTTATGTTATTCATCATGGAACCCGTCCAATATCATTATCATCAATATCATTATTATCGACAAAGCAATCCTATGAGAGCCTTTCTCTTGTTTTCTTGTACGACCATTCTATCCACTGCTGCATGATCTGGCATGTGCACGAAAAAATCAAGAAAAAAATGGAAAGGTAAAGTGATCTACAAAAGAAAGGAAAAATAGAAGAAAATTAGGAAATGGGAGGAACGGGAACATTACTTTCAGAAATAGCATATTTTAAAAAAGCTCCAAACACTCCCAAGTAGCCCTCGTGCCTTAAAAAGTAAGCGTTCATCGTCTGGTTGCTCCAAAACTTGATGGCGTACGTGAGCGTATGCATAGTTTGTACGTGGTTACGGATAAAGCTTCCTCCAAAGTAAATGTTTTTGACATTATGCTTTTGCGCATGCAGATATGCAATTTGACCAATGTTGTTACTGACCGCTAATAACAAAGACCGCGCAATGTCTTCCGGTAGAAACTCGTCCGACTTTTTATTTTCTCGAAATACTTTTCCAAATGAACTCGCGATCATGCTATCTTTCATGCCAAATCTCTCATAACCGACGTTTTTTCCATAAATGTCGCCTACCAACATATCTACCGCCGCATTATCTCCCTTCTTTGATAGTTCTAGCATTTCATCAAAAGATGATGCCTGGGTCAGCAATGACAGCAAACCCCAAAGTGTTCCGCCTCCCAGTGAAGAACCACCGATACGCTCAAATTGTGATGGTCCTGTCACTTTCAAAATACTGACACCAGAGCCAATATTCACAAGCATGTGCGGATACTTGCTGTCGTGTCTTGTCTCCTGGAATGCCATCTCATACGTCTCAGTGTTCAGCACGAATACCTCTTGAGGAATGCAAGAAACAAAGTAGTTTAATCCTACAATCAAACACTCCATCTCATCTTCTCGACTTACTTCTACATCCAGCTCTTTTGACATCCTATCGTAAAACTTGTACGCGCCTCCTCCCGTAGCCATTACCGTTATAGGCTTTCGTCTCGATTCTCGAGCGTGGTCCTGTATTAATTGCTTCATAAACTGGAGGCATTCGTCAATTTTTGAAGTCTCAAACTTTACAAACGACAATCTTCCTCCTCGATCTGATACTTCGTCACTGATCTCTGAACTTGACGAACTCGGTGATGATGTGTCTCGAACATAGTAAAGTAATTTTGCCAGAGATCCGCCAATCTAAATCATAGTCTATTAGTAATTTATTCTAAATTGTTCCATTGTTTAATCTCCTCGTCTTCCTCGCGAACTTCTCTGGTAAAGTACAACATACATCAACAGCAATATGCGTGACTTGAGAGCGATTATTTGGTAGGACAATATCTTTAGTATCTTGACCTTCATTTTCAAGGATTTTAGCCCCTAACTTTCGTCAGTTTCATACGCCCTTTTCCAAATCGATCGTTCATCATATCATACCCGTCAGATTCAACCATAGAGATGGAGGCTTTGCTAGTTGACGCTCTACCTGTTCTATGATCTCTTCACTAATCTGATTATGCCTTAATCCTGGTTTTTTCGCATCCATAATGTTTAGGTATCTATTGGGTATCACACAAATTCAATAGTTCTATTAGCGTTGCCGATTCTTGCTTCTAAATGAAATCAGTTTTTTAAATCAACTTGGTTGAATGTTTCTTTCCACAATCATCAAACAGAATTTACTTCTCTATGCTTTTACAAAGAAAAAGGAATCTGAGTGTGTCTCAAGTGTTACGCGTGGGAGTTGCGTTGGGATGTATTCTATATCAAACTTCATCTTTCGTTAAAACTATGAAACAAGTCAATTCAATTCATGCTTTGAACTAGTTACAAAAAATCATGGTTGTCTTAAGAATACGTATTGTCATGTTAAGCATAGTCAAGATTGTTTGTATCATCTTTACAGTGGAAACAAAGTGTCAACGGGCATAGCCTAATATTAAGAGATATGTATGAGAATAAAAATAGCGAATGAAATAAATATTAGCGGTTCATTGTATTTCATGCGTTCCTTGTGCATTTTGAATGGACTCATAAATCATTTGCAGGTACTTTTCGACTTTCAACTTACAAAAAGATGTCACTTGTGTTCAAATGGCATAAATGTTATAGCATAATAACCTTTATTCTTTCATAATATTAGAGAAATCTTGTAAGGGATAGAAGAGAAGAGATAGAGAACGAAAACATAAAGTTTATGAACCCAAGGCTTCTTCATAGAAGTCGTATATGAATGAATTCCATGAGAAACATAAAATTAAATGGTTGGATAAAATAATCTATAGATACGATCAATAGCACGGAGTTGGGAAGAAATACCATAGGCGTTCGTCTGAATGTCTTCCAAGTCTTGAATAAGATCTTCCCGTACTGGTTTGGAAATTGCCAAGTCTTTGGACAGCTCGGCCATGGAATTGACTTGAAATACAAGTAATCCATATTCCTGGTCTTCCAGAGTTTTTTTCTTCCCTGAACGTAGCAAAATTCTTTCCACATCTCGCATGGCTTGACGAAATCTTTGGCGACGCTCCGATAAAGATAAAACACTCTTGTTAAGGAAGTTTTTCTTGAATTGCATGGTTAAAGCATAACAAAAAACAATGCTAGGTGTAATTCCTACTGTTGCAAACACGAGCTGCTGACTCTTTAATAGTCGATCAATGCCGCTTAAAGTTACCTCAACATCCACCTTTGTTTTTTGCAATTGGATTAATAGAGTACGAATCAAATTTCCCGTAATGGCTGTTTTCAATGGTGTTTTCAAGTCATGTTCATATGCCTGTAGCACCGGAGTCAGGTCTCCATCATGTACTTGAGCCCTTACGAGATCCAGATCTATGGCAGATGTAGAAGTATCACGCACAAAATCTAGTACCATACGTTGAAGACTTTGCATATCACTCTCCAAACTCTTGGTCTGAATAACTGCAATTTGAGAGTCTGCACGATTGCTGCGTATGGTATCTAAAATACCCAAGATAGGCTTGTAGACCCAATTATTGACAAAATCTGCCATTGTTGAATATAAGTACTCCATCCATGCTAATAGATTATGTTGATTTTTTGTGATGAATCGAATCGTCATCCAACTCGCCAACAGAGTCATTAGCGCTTTCAACCAACCTCTTTCCAAAGCTGATGGACTAAAATATTCTTTTGCTTCTAAAAACTGCTCACTAGGTTCCAGAATACTTTCAAAAATTGCCATGAGATCTTCTGCATGATTTATTTTTGGGCTTGAGTTTAAAAGTTTTAGCAAGCGCTGGATCCATTCCGTTACGAGATCATCTAGTTTTGTATGTTTTGAGTCGACGGTAGAACCGGAAATGTCTAATGGAAATCTTGCGTCCATAATAGCCCTACTTAAGCAACCAATTTTTGATGCATGTTCGTCTCGTAAAATACGCAAATGTTTAGCATTGCTTTGGTATTCATGGCGTATGAGCGAAAGAACATTCGTATGGGAAATGAATACTTCACGAGCGTAGAAATGGATATCTGATGCACTAATTTTTGGGAAAAGGTTGCTCTTCCTAAACACTTGGGAAAAGTTAGGAGAGCGAAATGTTGAATGGATGGATTTGCTAAAGGCTTTCCATAAGCGAATAGGGAAGGATTGAATCAAATAAATTAAGCGTGAAATCCAATTTCTGTCCACAGTCTCCCAATAGTGCAAATTGTCAGTCAATTCAGTTGCTTCTTTCAGTAACCTTTGTAAAAGCATCACGTGCAACACAGCAGAGCATCGACCTAAAATAGACCAGTACAAGGAATCGTGCTTTTGTTTTTCCAAGTTTCGAGTTTCCTGGATGACGAGCCGTAATTGATACTTGGATATTGAGGATTCATTCAATTGCTGGAAAACCTGTAATGCTAATGAGCTCGGAGGAGAGCTAGATTTTGTATATATACTTTCGTCAAAGGTACTGTAAACATTTTTCAACCGTTTACGATAAATTTCCATAGTTCGTCCACAAGAATGCTATTTTAAGCTTCATAAAATTATTAAATAAGTCTATAATAAATAATTGAAAGGAGAGAAAATAAAAAACAAGACTTCTTTCTGGCTATTTTTGCGTTTTTGATTGCTAAAAGGTTTTGAGGTTATAGGAGTGATTCACAAGAACATGGGCATCATAAATTCAGATTCCTTTTTTTCAGCAAAGCAGATAAAAAGGAACAAGAAAGCATAAAACAGTTCCTTATCCTTTATGAAATGTGGAAATCGTGGATATTGCTGCTCAACTTTTCTTCGATATTATTCATGAGAAATAACAGTCGCATAGGAACGTCTCTCTTTTTTAATATTCAACATGCAATCAGAAAAAAGAAAGAATAAATAAAAAGACTTCTTACTTGGAAGGAATTCTCCATGTACAGAAATTGGATGCATGCCACCTTTATAAAGTTGTAAACAAAGACCAAATTCCTTTTAGCTGGAATAAGTTATCAATAACTTAAACGAAACGTGTATACAAAATTATTAAAACTTATTAGCAGGGAAAAGAAGGGTCTACTGAAATCTGTACAATGTTCCTTTTTCTTTTCTTTGTTTATTTATTTATCAATGAGTACAGTCGAGTTCGGTAAGTAAAACTACCATATTTTTAAACGTCAGTAACGGAAATAACACAATAAGAAACACCTCGGTAAGTAAAATAAATGTATGAAATTACGTTTCGGTAAAAATACTCAATGCATTATAAGGTATTCTTGTAAATGCTCCCATTTCCAATCCACACTCGAACGTGGCCGTATTCCACTATGTCTGGAAACGTTGGTTCCTCTACGTATGTAGCAATTCCACCATCATCGTATGAACTAACATTATATTAGAGAGGATGTAAAACACCAAAAAGTTCTTCTATACTTCTTGGACCGAATTCGAAGTTCCAAGGACAACGCGTAAGTTTGTTTGGTACCCAGGAGAGTATTCTTGAATGATCTAACGCGTACTTTGTATTAGTGGAAATTCTCTTTCTAAAATTGTTGAAACGAATCCACTTTCGGACAATCCAAATGATTTGTTTGCCAGCAATCGGCCAACTTGCTTGAAAGCAGTTCAACTTAAAATTGAAAGTTTCGCGTATCGAGACTTGTCGGAATTCGTTTTTGATATTGCCCAATTGATCGCTAATGTCAAGTTTTTGTATCACGGTTCTCAAAGTTATGCGCTAGTTTGCCTTTTGGAAGAGTTTTGTATTCTCCAGTTACAAATGCTGCACCGGCAAGGGTTCACAGCTATGACTCTTTGGCCTCAAGTTCAAGCATCACCTGCTATGATGAGCCAAAAAAGCGCTACCTCCAACACCTATCGACCTTCTTCTATTCACGACCAAAGCTTGCTTTCTGCGAATGCTCCAAACGCACCCAATGCATCGAAACAAGTAAAACATGAAGAACAGCCATCTGACTTGGACTCAGAGTTTTATGGAGAAGAGGCAGAAGCAGATACGGAATTAAAGAGAAAATTTGCCCGTGATGAATCTGTAGCTAGAGAAGATGACATCAAACATAGAAAGTTACAACAACACCCGACAAAATATGCTACACCGCTGGAAGCAAAAGCAAAAGTAATTATGCGTCAGGTTCGAAGGTATAGAGACGTTAATGGAAGGCAGTTATTTGCACCGTTTGAACGTCTACCAGATCCGAGAATGTTCCCTGAATATTACCAAGCAATCCGCTATCCTATGGCTCTTGACGTTATCCAAAAGAAACTAAACAAAAACCAATACACATCTCTTGATGAGTTCGTCTCGGATTTTAATTTGATGTTTAGTAATGCAAAGTCTTTCAACGACCCTTCTAGTCAGGTATACCGCGATGCTGATTTTCTGCAAAAGTATTTGGCCGACGTGATCCAAATGGAGTTAGGGAGAATGGATGTTGAAGGTGCTGCATACGACATAGATTCTCACACATTACAAAGACACGATAAACAATATCAAACATCCATAAATTATGAAGGTACTGCACTCAGCATAGGTGACTGGATATTTTTAAAAAACCAATCGGATCCTGGTAAACCGGTTGTTGCACAGATATTTAAAATTTGGAATTCATCTGATCAAACTCCCTGGGTTACTGTATGTTGGTATTTCCGCCCTGAGCAAACCGTGCACCGTGCTGATCGCATTTTCTATGAAAACGAGGTATTCAAAACATCTCTTTATAGGGACCATCCTGTTTCTGATATTGTTGGAAGATGCTTTGTCATGTACATTACTCGCTATGTGCGTGGAAGACCTAAGGGTATCCGCTCAACGCCGGTATTTGTGTGTGAGTCTCGCTACAATGATGATACGAAGCAATTTAGCAAAATAAAATCTTGGAAGGGATGCATGCCTGAAGAACTCCGGGGATTTGATTATGAAATGATATTGTTTGATCATACAATCCCTCCAAATAAAGTTCCTAGCCCTTTGCTTCACTTATTTTCCGGTAAAGCCCAGGTTTCTGACGACCAAACACAGATGGCCTTATTTGGTAATAATAGCATGAATGAGGCTCCTGCTCAGGGTGCTATATTGCCGGCTTCTACAAACCTCGAAGAGAATATCAATCCAAGCCGTGTTATTTCACCATCACCCTCCGAATCATTTTCTACAACACCTAAACCTTCTTATTTAAATCCCACTCCTTCCGCAATGCCAACTTATGCCAGAAAGACTAGTTCCCACTCTGATCGGTCACAATCCCATCTTTCAAGAATAGGTCTATCAGGCCCCGGGATGTATGGTTCTGCAGGTACATTTCCCATGATAAACCAAAGCAATATGGGCCCTTTACCAGCTCGTCCTTTTTATGGAGGCGCACAAGACGTTACTGCCGTGCAGCAGCCTCAACATTTATCTAATCTGTACGGTACCAAGATGAATTCTCCATATACAAAAATGAACGTAGTACCTCAGGCTGCACGACCTTCTGGGTCTGTTGGTAACCTATCGGGGCTAACAACACCTTTGGGTACTGCGTACAATCTTCATTCGATGCCACCTCTTCCTTCGTATACGGCTGCGTTCATAATTCCAGGAACTCATCAAAAGGAAGATGGAAGTGCCCCTGGTCAAGGAGTTGATGAAAAAACAACCATTAATGTCGATACAGCTCAAGTTCTCAATAAGGACGACTCCGGTAATATTTTATGGTACTCTGTTCCCCCTCAAGATCCCGTGCCTATACAAAATTATAATTCTATTTTAAGTCATTCGTTAGAATATTTGGAATTTAAAAGAAAAAAGAGTCAGGATCCATTAAAGGAAATGCAAACTTCCAGTGATAACGAAGAGAAGTTCAAGCATAATAAATCAATCGGTTCAGCTTTGGAAAAGTTGCAAAGTTTACAGATGCAGCACATTGCAATTTTAAAAAATGAATTGCTTAATATGAAGCAATAGATTAGCTGAATTTGGATGCACATATCCTGTACATTAGATTTCTTTTCATCAGTATGAACAAGTTTATGGTTAGAGACATCGGAAACGGAATATTCAATGCCAATATAAAAATAATATATTTATAATTTCTAATTATTATGAATAGACGGACTGAAGTTCTTGTATATTCTTCCTAATTAGAGTTATCATTCATCTTGTATTTTATTTTATTTTTCTTTTTGGAATCACAGTCCCGCGTTATCCATCGTTAAACGGTCCTGACTGACAGATTTAAAACTGACCGTAGTAATACAACTTCTTTTAATTTTATTAGGAGATATTCCTTTCAAAAAACATCTTCCAAGATGTCCCAAAAAAACCAATTTGCTTGTTCGTAACTATTAATTGAGGAAACGAAAAACTAACTGTGTAGATCGGTCTTCTAAGACCATTGGACTCGTGAATACCAACGAAAACTATACTAAGCCAGCAGAATTCGAGGAAGCTAATGAGCCGGCTCGTGTTTCTTGCTACAGTCCTAATGGAAAATTTTTCGCTTACGCTAGTGGAAGTGTTGTTGTTATTGTTGACGCTGAATCGGGAAAGACATTGAGAGTTTTACCAGCAGGAAACATATATGAACTTGGATTTTCTCCTCTAGGAAACTTCTTAGGTACATGGGAGCGTCCCGGTAAAGAAGCTGATGGAAATCCCAAGCAGAATATGAAGGTTTGGAACACTAACACTGGTGACTTGATCTTCAGCTTTGTTCAACGTAATCAGACTGGTTGGAACTTGCAATACACTGTCGATGAAAAGCTCGCAGCTCGTTTAGTAACCAATGAAATTCATTTCTATGAGACGGCCAATTTGGGAAAGCCTCCTGTTTTCAAACTACGAGTTGAAGGATTGAGTGACTTTGCCTTATCTCCTGGCCGGAATCACGTCGTTGCTGTATTTGTTCCAGAAAGAAAAGGGGCTCCAGCTTCCGTGCGTACGTACAGCATTCCTAACTTTACTAGACCTCTTTCCCAAAAGACATTCTTCAAGGCGGACAAGGTACAATTCAAATGGAATGCTTTGGGTACTTCCCTATTGGTTTTGACACAGACGGATGTTGATAAATCAAACAAAAACTACTACGGTGAAACAAACCTGTACCTGTTGGGAATTACTGGTCAATTTGACTGCCGTGTTGATTTGGATCGCGAAGGTCCTATTCACGATGTTGCTTGGAACTCAAACTCCAAGGAGTTCGGTATTGTTTATGGGTACATGCCTGCGAAAACTTCGATTTTTGACAGCCGTGCTAACGTTATCCACAACTTTCCCCTTGCTCCTCGAAATACCCTTTTATTTTCGCCAAATTCAAGGTATATCATGTTGGCCGGTTTTGGAAATCTCCAGGGAAGCATTGATGTTTTCGACCGCCTCAACCATATGAAGAAAATTGCGACCGTCGAAGCCTCTAATTGTACTTTCTGCGAATTTAGCCCCGACAGTCAATTCCTGTTGACGGCTGTCACTTCTCCTAGACTTCGAGTTGACAATAGCATTAAAATTTGGCACATTACAGGAGCACCCATGTTCTATGAGGAGTCTGTAGAACTTTATCAGGCATTTTGGCGGCCTAGTCTTTTGAACGTTGCTTTGATGGAGGAGGATTCCCAGAGTTTCTCTAGCTTACCTTCTGCTCCGAAGGCTCACGAGTCTGCTAGCAAGTTGGCTGCCAAACCTACCGTTAAGCCTACCGGTGCTTATCGCCCTCCAGGTGCTAGAGGTCAAGCTTCTACATTCTCTTATCGACGTGAGGAGCTCGACGTTTTGAGCAGCAACAGTACTTCCAAATCTCAAGCCACTCCTCGTCAGCGTGTCGTACCTGGTGCCGCTCCAGTCGTTGATAAAAATAACAAAAAGAACAAAACTAATGGTCAAAAAGTTGCTCCCGAACCTCCTACTGAAGTGAGCGATGAAAAGAAAATCCGTTCTCTCTGCAAAAAGTTGCGTGCTATCGATGATCTTAAAGCACGCCTGGAAAAGAATGAAAAGCTGGAGGCTACTCAGGTTAAGAAAGTAGAGTCTGAAGGAAAGGTCTTGGAAGAACTGAAGGCACTTGGTTGGAATTCTAATGCTTAAAGGGGTTGAAAACACTTTTGTTTTAAGCAATGTAGATCTTAAGTTTTTACCTTCTCAAAGAATTAGCTTTTTCTTGTCTTTCTTTTCGTTGTTAAAAAGTCAAAGTAAAAAATAAAAGATATAGACGACGAACCACTTGGTATTGAGGTCTATTCGGACGGATATGGGTTGGATTCCTTGCACGACCCTGTTATAATGTATGTTTACCCAAGTACCAACCTACGCTATAACTGTGATCACCTCGTTAGTTTTTTTCTAATGATTTTTTATTACTTGCTCTCTTAAAATCTTTTTTGGTTTCCACCTGATTTACGCTCAAATGTTATGATATTTTAGCGTTTACTAAAAGAAAATTGGAGCTGGCTTTCACTTTTTTCAGAGGAAGCTTTGAAACTTCTCTTTCCATGATGTTTTTTTATTGTTTTCGTTTCTTGTCTCCGTTTCCTGTTTTAAATGCAACTGTCCTTTAGCTTGAAGGCCGCTGAACTGGAAACCACTGACGAAACTAACTAATACCGATTAGCCATAACAAAAATAGGAATAAGCAAAGGATACCTCCTTTATCATCATTTAAAACTTCAGTTGTAGTACAAACTTTTAATAATTCATTTCTGTCTATATTTTAAGTCGAAACCATATTACAGTAGAAAACTTTGACATTCCGTTTCGAACAATCAAGTAACAACCGCAAGTGACAAGGTCAATATTTCATTTCGTCTAGGAACAAGTAGACCTTTACAAAATCGAAAAGATTCACCTAGATTAGACAGAAAATGTCAAGAGCAAGTGTTCCCGATTTGAAAAAGGTAAGCGTATAGCAAGGACTTTGAGTTGTTGCTAACAGCTATTGTAGTATCTGGACAAACAGGTTTTTGTTCAATTGAACGGTTCGCGCAAAGTATATGGTGTTTTACGTGGTTACGATGTAAGTAATTAGTTACAACATGCAAAGATACTAATAAGGAAAGATCTTTCTGAACATTGTGCTTGAAGACACGACCGAGGAAAAAGCAGATGGTGAAAAAGTCAAAATTGGGTCTGTTACGATTCGCGGAAATTCTGTTATTATGATAGAGGTAAGCTTTCTTCCTTAAAGAAATGAGTCTTATTTATGTGCTCTTGATTCTGACTACTGAATTTATTTTAGGCACTCGAAAAGATATCCTAAAAAATAGAGATAGAATGCCATCGTTCGTATTGAATGGTTTTCTGCATGATGCATAGAAGTCTTCCCTGCTAGAATTTAAGAAACGAAAAATTTATCAGGTTTCATTTAAAATACTCAACTCGTCATTCATATATAGGACAGCTGAGATTCGACCAAGTCAAGCGCAAGAAGGGCAAGTACTTTAGTTCAATCTTTTAGTCTCAGTGATATTGTATATTTTTTTGAGAATGGATATGTTTGCCATCCGTACATGTTGCAGTTTCTTAGATCCAGGACAGGATGAATGAAAATATGGTTCAGCATAAAGTTTCAATGAAATGTCATTGAAAGGAATACAAATGCAAAAAAAAAATCCTTTATATCATTGATGGAAACCATTGAACACAGACTCAAACATAAACCAAAGTAGTAAGCGTTTGCATTGGAGGAGCCTGTGACCAGATGGGACACGTTTCTACTCTGATCTGCATCTCTCTCACAAATATTTAATACACATAGTGTCTGTAGAAGAATGAAACAAGATGTTCGCTTGCATGCTTTCGAAATACTGCTGGCACTTCTTAAAAGACAACACAAACTATCGGTGTGATGTAGCTTAATTTTAGAAACTGAAAAAACGCAGGAGTAGTGCGCTTGAGTTCATTCCTCTCTCTTACAGATACATCTTTAGTACTACTGTCAATGAACGTTTGTTCTTTCAAGCAAACAAAAATTCACTTCCATTTCATTTCTTGACCATCCTGACTTTTTCAATTGGATCATTTCTTTCTATTTTCATTTGTTTCTAACATTGCCTATCCTTAGAAAACTCGCTTTCCATAATTAGTTCCTCAGACTCTTTCGTATACCTTTGTAGTTTACATGGAGGAAAGCAAACAATCCATAAAGGAACCTTTCTGCACCCAAAAGAAAGTTCAGCGTTTAAGAATATGAAAATCCCAGCTATATATAATTTTCCTCCATTTTTTACTCGCCAAGTGAATGAAAACGCCTGGCAATCTCAGAAAACCGCTTGGCAAAAATGGATCCTTATTTGGTGCCGGGAGCATAGAATTACTCAGCTGAGTATACATGCCGAGTTACTAGAAAGCCCATTGATTCATAATGAGGCCATTCACCGTAAGTTTCTACCCTACAATGTGCATATGACTGATGGTTCATTAAGGTACGTTGCCTTTACCAGTGTTTCGGGAAATCGTAGAAGACATGGTGAAGCAGAGTTATGCAGAATGGACTCAAAAGAAAGAACCAAGAGATACGTTTTGGGTATATTGGCGGTCAGTTGCTGAATGGGGAAATATTATCATAAAATGGGTATGTACGATGATACTACGAGTTTAACAACAGAATTCCATTTTCATTACCACAATTTTACTAACCATTAAAGTTGTTTGAAACCGGAAGAGACGGTGCTGTATGCACCTTTTATGAATTACAGGAACAATGCAAGGAAGTGGATTGCTTGGAGGAAGGTCTGCTACAGAAAGTTTTGGAGTCGTTAATGAAAAAAGGGAACGTAGAGTTGATGAAAGGTTCTTCTGGGAAATACACCGGCTTTAAAGTGTTGTCCACGTCTTAGATGATTCGAGACATTTAAGTTCGAACCAGAAACCTTTCCAACTATCATAATTTAAACGAAACGAAAGAAACGATCTCTGTTTTCATATTTTTTAGAATAAACCATAAGTCAAGTTCCATTTAGAGCCCAGCCTACTAAGATGCTTTTCTGGCAAAGGTGACTTTGACCTGATTTCCACTGAGCGCCATACCTGTCGTGCCGTTTTTTGCAATGCCAGCCTCTCTTTCTGTATCATATTCAACAAAGGCAATTCCCCTGCGTCCTGGAACCATACGAACCTCCTGGAAGCCCTGATATGCTTCAAAAATCTGTGTAAGGATTTCAGCAGTAACTTCTTGGGGAAGGTTTTGAAGTAGAAGAACTTTGTTGGGAGGAAGCAAATCTTCGTTGATATTCAATTTCCGTTCTCCTGGAGCAGTACGTTTTACGGGTTGTTTCTTATGAGCAGGTTTAGGCGCAGGCGGTTGTAGTGCACCTGTGCGTTTTAAATACTCTATCATTTGTTAATAAGCAGTCAATAAGACAAAAAATAAAAAATAACCCCGCTTTGGAATGCACACTCAAAGCCATTAATCATTCCTCCTTTTCCAATACTGTATAACTCTTTCTTTCTGTAGTTAAGTGTGCGACATAAAGCAGCAGGAGACAGTTCATACCTCTTCGTTCACGCCGTTGAACTTTCTTTGCTTCTAATTCTTGTGGATTTTGAAGACTGACTATGGCATCGCTTTTTGTTCGACTAAACTGGATCATCATAGGCTTTCCATACAAGGGATAGCCTTGGAGGTCTTGCAGAGCACGACTTGCATCTTGAATATTTTCAAAAACAACAAATGCTTGACCGCGCATGCGTAACGTCTTTCTAGCTTGAACACTGAGTACTTTGCCGTACGCTCCAAACAAGTGCTCCAGAATCTGTTTCAGCACTTTTACCAATACGTTAGCATCAGAAGCCAAAACCTTCTTTCAGACAGACGAAAGACTTTCATACTTACGGGTAAGCCGAATTTTTTCTTCAATATTTCGAATGTACAGAGTTTCAGACGGGTTTCCCAAAACCTCTTCGGAACGACCCTCTGGCTCTCGGTTTGCAACTATTGAAGAAGAATCCATGAAAGAGAAAGAAAAGAAAAAAAAGGAAACTTTTCTTACAATCTACTGTACAATTGTCCCTTGGAAGCGCGTGTTGGAAAAAAACCACTGGAGACAGAAAATAGTGAGTCACAAGGTAAGGTATTTGAGAGATTAATTTGCATGGTTGTGTGACTTGAGAAGACAATTTCAAGTCATGTTTTGTTCTTTTCTTTTCATTTTCGTTTTGTTTTGTTTTTCACTGTCTTCTCCCTCGTTTGGTTAGGCTGAATTCTGGGAAAAGTGTTGCAAACGAGCCGGATTTAGGTGCAAGAATGAAGGCCTAAATTTCGAATATAAAGTTACAAAGAGATCCCTTTTTCACTTCTTTCCATTCCTGTGGAAGATTTATCTCATTTTACCTGTTCAAAATCTTTAATTTCGAAACTTCTTTACACACATGCAAGGCATATTTATTTATCAGGGCATCGTAAGCCGTGTTGTTAAAAATAAATTGTGAAGACGTACCAATGCACAAACCGGAAGTATGAAAACTGTCGTTCTCTCAATAACGCATTCTACCACTACTCGTTGCTAGTCGTCCGAAGCTCTTTCGTTGATCCTTTCATTGCTTTGAATAAAAATAGAAATAATGCGGAATGTAAAATCACACTAAACTTAACCAATCAAAGTGTCCGGGAAAAACGCGGTTTCGTTCTTTATTATGTGGGGTAAATGGGGACGTTATGGCCAATCACGTTTGGTTATTCCGCTATCATGAATTTTTTACATCCGGGGTAACGGATTGCGGAGACAAAAGGAATCAAGGCTAGCATTGCCACCTTTCTTTTTTCTTCTCTGAAAAAAAAAAAAACAAAAGAAGGTCAGGGATGAGAAAGTTATTGATTTTGCTTTACCATGATGAATGAGCCAGTTTATTTTTTATTTAGTTTCAGATAGTTTTTGAATAAAGTTTGCTCAATCTATCAATCCAGAAACAAAGCATGCTTTCTGCAAATGATTCAAATGGTCAGATTTCCGTAGAGAAGCCATTCATGGATTCACCATTGGCCGTAACCTTAACTTACTTTTATCTGGTAACAATGAAATGGGGACTAGGAGCAATGTTACCTAATCTCCACAAAGGATAGCATCACCATTGGCTGCTTCTCCTCTAACAAGAGGGGTAGAACATTGAACCTTAACGATTATAAGCATGTGCTTCAGTATTTAAGGGAGATGAATCCCTTTCGGGATCCTCTTTGTGCTATTGTTTTCTTCTGTATGTAAATTTCCGCAGTACGTTGCTTTGTTAAACGCGTTTCTATTAGTATATGCTGTGTCGAAGGTGTATCCCTTGGCTGGTTGCTCAAAAAATTGAATGCGTAACCCCAAATTTATCCGATGGACAATTTGGAGATGAAAGAACAGTTAGCGAAACCTGGACGTCAGTAAACGTGGGATGGAAAATGGGGATAAAATCGGAATTTCAAAGATCATTTCATTTAGATTGCTAACGAACAGGAGACAGGAAGTAGAATCAATTGTTAGAAGTATTTTCACGATTCTCTTCTCTTCTATTACTTTATTCCTTGGTTTTAAGTTTTCTTCACAAGATTTAACTCAGTCTCATATTTCGATGTCCCTCGTATCGTTCGCTAAAATACCTCCTCCTTCGTTATAGAAGTTTAAGGACAATGAATACGTACGGAATTTTGTCTGAATACGCAAATCAGTACCTTATCGATACTCTGGAGACAGTAGTCTCGTACTTGGCCATGATTGGCTCTCCGCATTATTGTGACTGTTTGTACAATCGGACAGCCAATACATCTGTCACTATGACACATGATCTTCTTGTCGTATCCTTTTATGTGACGTAATTTAGTGAAATCCTTAACGTTGAGATGTCAAAATTTTCCTAAGAGAATTTACAAGAGCGCTGTTCCTTTTCGGGGGTAGAATTACCGAATATCTATATAAGTGTCACTACTCCCGTGCGGGTCTTTTCTTTCACCAATCTTCAAGCTTCAACCTTGACCGCTTTTTCCAAATTCTTTTGAGGTCTTGAAACAGTAGCGGACACACAAAAGAATAGATAATATTTTAATAATTCTTTTGGGTCATTTTTCCCACTGTTTTTTAGGCGGTTCCCTTATTCACTGAGCGACAGCCTTGCTGTGGTTGGAAAAGGCTGATAGAAACTCACTTCTACTAGCTGTACTTTGCAAGTTTCCTAAAGTGGTTACGAAAAAGTACCCAAAATATCTATACTCTCTTTTCGATAGAGATATCACATTCTTTTTCTTCCGTTGAAGATTGTGAATCGGTTTTTATCTTTATTACACACTTCTTTTATTAAGGTCGTGTAGTTCTCTGTAGGTAATCTTTCTGTTATTTTGCGTTCTATTCTTACGGGTTTGGCGTTATTTTTTTTCTCTTTTCAGTTATCTCGTTCTATCTATTGGTATAAAGATTTTAAATTCTGTTCAAGATGTCGCTACTAAACTTTAAACGTGGTAAGATTTTTACCATGATCATGTTGATCTTCGTCTCCATGGCCGGATGGATGTTTGGTGCTGATACCGGTTCCATTGGTGGTGTCACTAGTATGAGAGACTTTCAAACCCGTTTTGCGGATCGTTATAACCCCATTACGGATTCATATGCTTATTCATCTTGGCGTCAAGGTCTTTTGATTGGTATTGTCAATACAGGTGCTTTGACTGGTTGTATCATGTCTTCCCCTATTGCTGATCGTTGGGGTAAGCGGGCTTCTATTATCGGCTGGACTTGCGTCTACATCATTGGTATTATTATTCAAGTTACTACTACTCCTTCTTGGATTCAGATGATAGTAGCTAAAATCTGGACTGGTCTTGGTATTGGTGCCCTTTCAGTATTGGCTCCCGGTTACCAATCCGAAGTTGCTCCTCCGTCTATTCGTGGTACTGTTGTCGTCACATATCAACTATTCGTCACTGGTGGTATTTTCATTGCTGCTTGTATTAACATGGGTACCCACAAGCTTCAAAAGACTGCTCAGTGGAGAGTCTCCATTGGTATCAACTTACTTTGGGGTATCATTACATTTATTGGTATTATTTTCTTGCCTGAATCTCCTCGTTACCTTATTCAGGTTGGTAAAGATGATGAAGCTATTCGTGTCCTTTCCGAAAGTCAGGAAGTCCCTGCCGACAATGAAGAAATCCAAGAAGAGTATGGACGTCTTAAAAAGTCCATTGACGAGGAGTTTGCTGGTGGTCCTTGTTCTTGGGCCAGTATTTTCGGTAAGAACATTCGCTATCGTACATTTTTGGGTATTTTTGTCATGTCTCTCCAACAACTTAGTGGTAACAACTACTTCTTCTACTATGGTTTCCAAGTTGCTGAAGGAGCTGGTATCAACTCTCCTTATCTTTCTGCTTTGATTCTTGATGCCTGTAACTTTGGTTGTACATTTGGTGGTATGGTCGTTCTTGAGTACTTTGGTCGTCGTAACCCCCTGGTTATTGGTGGTTTGTGGCAGTCCATGTGGTTCTGGATCTATGGTGCCGTTGGTAGCCGTGCTCTTTACCACAAAGACGGAACTTCCAACACCCGTGCTGGTGCAGTTATGCTTGTTGCTGCTTGTCTTTTCATTTTCGGTTTCGCTCAAACTTGGGCCCCTGCTGCCTACGTCATTGTCGGTGAATCTTACCCTGTCCGTTATCGCTCCAAGTGTGCTGCTTTAGCTACCTCTTCTAACTGGCTTTGGAACTTTTTAATTTCTTTCTTTACTCCATTTATCCAGAACGCCATTGGTTTCAAGTACGGTTACTGCTTTGCTGCCTGCAACTTGACTGGAGCTATTGTTATTTTCCTATTCGCCAAGGAGACCAAGGGTCTTAGCTTGGAAGAAATCAACGAGTTGTATATGTCTGATATTAAGCCCTGGCAATCCACTAATTTCAAGCTTAATTATAAAGAACAAAAGAAGGCCGACCGCGAGAATCGCGAAAAGAGCCGTGGAACTCGTGGTGAGTCCGTTGAGTATGTTGAGCGTGCCTCAAATACCGGATCCTCTCCTCAATACTCTTCTCATGAAGAAGACTATGCATAAGCTATATCAATTTGAAAAAAGTGTGTACTTATTCCGCTGAAATTATACTATACATCGGTTTTGGAACTGATATGATTCAAAGCCTGTATTTTGAAGGATAGATCTGTTTGTAGGAAAAGGTTATCATGTTTAGGATCGTTTCTTCAATTTATAGACACAAACGATTCAGTTATTTGTTGCGTTTATTGGCGTGGTTTTATTTCTGTTAAGATGAGGTCTAATGCATTGGTGTTTAAATGTTGAATTAAAAAAATAATTTTATCCAGTTTTTTAATCATGTTTGCCAGATATAAGATTTGTTTGTATATAGATTTAGCATTCGTGTAATCATGTAAGGCCTGGCTGGCTGTGTGTAGTAGGTAATTTTTGGACTTTGGGAAGTGTGAAGTGAGAAACGGCCTTGACTGAAATCTTAATGCTGATGCCGTGTTGTCCTAAAAGGAAAGGAAGGGAAAGGTGTTGCTTTCATTTTACCCAAAAATACCTCGTTAATATAATGCAGATTTGGTGAGAAAGGAGGCCGCTTTATAAGTACCAAACCTGCGCGTCTTTCCATTTTACGAGAAGATGGATTACGGAGATATTTACATTGCAGAAGAGACAGAATGGGATAAATTAAATCGTCAAGTAACGAAAAATCCTGATGATTTTGACGTCTGGTATGCTTTTGCCGATTTACCAAAGGACATCATTGTTAACCAAGCTTTAGGGAAGCATTGATTCGTGCAACAGAGACAATAGAAGGAGGAATTGATAGGAATTCGTCGAAGCAGACTTTAAATACCCTTCGAAGCGTTTACGATAGGTTTTTAACAAAATTCCCTTTGCTATTTGGTTACTGGAAAAAATATGCAGACTTTGAGTTTTTTGTTGCTGGGCCAGAAGCTTCTGAAAAGGTATGCAGAGGATTATAAGTTTTATGGAGCTGTTTGAATGTTTGTTGACTGTTCAATAGGTGTATGAAAGAGGCATTGCTGGGATCCCTTATTCTGTAGACTTATGGGCAAATTACTGTGCATTTAAAATGGAAACCAATCATGATCCGAATGAAGTGAGAGAGTATGTGTCTATTCCTGTTATTTGTGCTTTACGGCAAAGGTTGAAGGATTTTTGCTAACAAAAATTGTAACAAGAGTATTTATCCAGGGATCAGAGATGATTGGGCTGGATTTTCTTTCACATCCATTTTGGGATAAATATATAGAATTCGAAGAGAGACAAGAAAGACCTGATCACGTTTACCAAATTTTGGAGCGACTTATTCATATTCCTTTGCATCAGTATGCACGTTACTTTGAAAGGTGAGTCGGATATTCGTAAAATATTGGAATCTGTAGTTAACAATGACAGGTTTGTTCAAGTCTCACAAACACAGCCATTACAACTCCTGCTGCCGCCTGACGTCCTGGCTTCTGTGCGGGCAGATGTTTTGCGTGAGCCCCCAGAAGTCGTCAGTGCAGGGTCGAAGCAGATCACTGTCGAAAGAGGCGAGTTGGAGATTGAGCGGGAAATGCGTGCTAGAATCTATAACATTCATTTGCAGATATTTCAAAAAACCCAGCTCGAAGTTGCTAAGCGTTGGACGTTTGAAGCTGAAATTAAACGTCCTTATTTTCATGTAAAAGAATTAGATGAACCACAACTGGTGAATTGGAGAAAATACCTTGATTTTGAAGAAGTAGAAGGCGATTTTTCTAGAATTTACTACCTCTACGAAAAGTGTTTAGTTACATGCGCTTTTTACGACGAATTTTGGTTCCGATTTGCTCGTTGGATGCTTTCTCAGCCTGAACATACAGAGGATGTTCGCATTATTTACGAGCGAGCCTCTTGTATATTCGCGTCTATCTCCCGTCCAGGAATTCGGATACAATATGCTCTATTTGAAGAATCTTTAGGAAATATTGCTTCTTCTAGGGCAATTTATCAATCCATTTTAACTCAGCGTATGTAGTTATTGGGTGACTAAGACACTGTTGTTTACTAACTGCATGTTTTTAGTTCCGGGAAACGTCGAAGCAGCCTTGGGATGGGCTAACCTTGAACGAAGAGCCTCCAGGGAAAATGGCCTAACGAATGCACATGCCGTTTTAAGGAGTATAATTAACGAGGGTGGTTGTGACCCTGGTACTGCTGCAATATTAATTACGGAGGATATTAAATTAATTTGGAAAATTGAAGGAAACGACGAATTAGCTAGAAATATGTTTTTACAAAATGCTCCGGCCATGTTGGATAGCCGATATTTTTGGATTTCATTTCTTCGTTTTGAACTTGAACAACCTTTAAGTAAGTAAAATGTAAGCCTTAACGCGACCGCCATATTAACAGTTTAGCAATTGAAAATGGAAACGAACATCACAGTAGAGTTTCTGCTGTCATGGAATACATTAAATCTCATACGAGATTAGCTCCTCGTGCTGTGATGGATATGACTAAGATTTACATGGAATATTTATGTTATCGCTCTACAGACCCAGATGCTGCACAAGAGTATCTTTCTTTAGACCGAGAAACTTTTGGACCTTTTTCCGTACGTGAAACTCATTGGAGAAAGCTTGTTGAAGGAGAAGATACAAAACAAGTAAGTGCCAAGCTTCTAAGCATGAATGGACATCCTGGTATTGATGTCAATGATGCGAAAGTTAAAGCAGGAGAATCTCCATATGAAAAGTACTATCGTATGCAAGGTGTTGCTGAGACTGTCCCGGCAAACTTTGTCCCAAATGGAACCATGGCTTCGACGACTATCCCTTACATGCAATAAGGTCTTATGGCATCACAGTGAAAAAAGAAAATGTGCTTTGGGTTTTTACATAATCAAACGTCTCCTTTTTGGGAATGATTGTTATATAGATAATATCCCAACCTAAAAAGTACGGTGATTTCAAATCTATCTTATTCATTTTATAAGAGCTCCTCTATAGAAATTATTGAATAATCGTAGTGTGAGATGTTTGTTATTGTTATATAAAGTTAATAAAACAATCTAAAATTGTATTCACCCTTGTAGAAGTAAATCACCCTTAATTAGAAACAGGTATTAGAACTATATGAAGAAAACCATCAGGGTAACAAAAATCACGATTCATTAAATCCGTGCTGATTGTTAGAGGAAGAACGATACCCTGTAAAACAGGTTTTAATAATGAACATGTTACATCAGAAGGGAAAAATTCGGGGATATGCTTTTGCAAAACTTGACCCAGCGTGTAGCCAAGAGATGCAGATGTTTGGACGATAGGAGCATCTTCACCAAGGTAGAATTTCAGAGGGATAATCCGAGATTTACTTACAAATAACTTTGTAGCAATTGGTCGATAGTCGTAAAAGTCATGATTTAGCAGTGAATTCCAGTATGAGTCTGTCTCTTGTTTGGAAAGAGCAATTACGAGGGATGAGCTTCCATTTCGAACATAATCAGACTTGATATGTTAGTAACGTTTGTCTTAAATTGGGGATTTCGCATACCTCTTTCAGCGCATTAAAAAAACAAGAGCGAAATGTATCCATGCTATCCATTGGGACAATCAAGGAGCTTGGAAAGGACCCAACGTGAAACTCAAGATGCCACAATACAGGAGCAGATGTAGTAGTATCTGGGTCTTCATGCGAAAGTAAGTCGTAAAGCACGCCTACAGGCCAGTGCCTGAGAAGCATTTGGTTAGAATCAAATTTGAGATATATAAGCTAATAATGAAGTGGAAAATTTACCATTTTATAGACGCTTTGCCTGAACTTAACCAACATTCTTCTAAAGAGACAGTAGGTGCGAAGAGCTGTTTCAAATCTTCGAGAATTTGGGCAAAGTAAGATTGCCGAGGAAGATTTGCCTATTTGAAGTTAGAATAAAAAGATTAAGAGAAAGGGTCTGTCTTATGTCTTGAGCGAGCATACTAAATAGCTTAAAGGATTCTCCTTTTGGTGTACCTCGACACTAAGGTTTCCTTTCCATATTAGTTCAGGAATTGAATTTTGTCGTAGGTTCATTTTTATCCATAATTATTTATAAACGAACAGGATTTGAAGCAATGGGCACTTTTGGGTGCGCAAGGTGAAGGAAAACGATGAGAATAGGAAAGCTTTAAGGTGAAAATAGGTTTAGTAGTTTGATCCCAAAATCAATTGAAGAAGGATGCTAAGACCATTCAAAGGCTGCTGAAGAGAGAGTAGAGTGTCTTGAAAGTTGAAAGCTGAAAGCGTGGATCATTCAAATTCTTTTTATATTCCTTATACAAACATTATTCTTTTTCTTTTATATAACAAACCTACTTATGAAAGCATTCCCTAGTCGTTCAGAATTGCTTGCTTTGTATTAGTAGAGTGAACATGAGTAAAACCATCATACTTCCCAAATTCCATCTGGCACCAACAAGATAGCCAAGAGTTTCTATACAAATTTACAAAGAGGTTTTGTTTTTTTAGGAATCATCTTAAAGGACTTAAGAAAGAAACCGCTCGTCAAAACTGTCCTTTTGATAGATTCGCTTTGCTTTGCTATAGCTCTTTTCCTAGTTGTCTGAACTCATAATCGTAAAGAAAGCAATGAATGTAGAACGTTCCTTTTTGAAATTATCAAACAGTTTTAACTGGTTAAGAGTTGCTTCCAGACAAGCATCTTCCATTCCTTCGACAAGAGATGGTATGCCATTGAGAAAGCTTTCATTACACTTCTGTGGATCTGACTAACACATATTTTAAAGGTATAACGGATGTTAAGAAATTTTTTCAAAGAATTGGACGCAACACTGAGCAAAAGGTTGACGGAAAAATAACAACCTGGGAAGAACTATTCACCAAAAACACAAGAGACATGAAAGAAGATGGACTGGATGTGCGTACACGAAAGTACATTGTGAATCAACGAAATCGGTATATCCAGGGCTACAATCTTACACCATACCCAACAATGAAAAAGAAGAAAGGAGGAGAGAGACGCTCTTAATGATTAAAAAACACTTGTCTATTTACCGACGTTTTTCTTAGGTGGAAAATAATATTGCTTGAGCAAAGAATTCTCGTTTTAGAATAAGCTTGAAAGCCGACTTTCAAGTTGGCCATGAAACCATCGCTGGAATGAAGGTGAGATCGTCAGCAATGCTGATTCGCAACTAGGAAATTTTTTTTTCGTACATCCATCTCCTTGTTTTTCTTCCCATTCCCATTCCCATTCTCCATTCACCCATGCCAAAGTTGCTTGTATCTGTTCGTGCGTAACCACCTTTAAATGGGTTTCTTGTTTGGAAAGCTCCTGCAGACCATCTCGAAATTCGCGTACAGCATTGTCAAGTTCTATATGAAGCTGTTGATTGTCCATAACTTAGTAGAGAATACTGAACAAAAAAAAGAAATGGTAAAAAACCGTTTTTGACTGATTCTTTTATTCTTTCTATAATGTTTGTATAATGCTTTGCCGGATTTTACTCGACAACGTTCAACTTGTTTACAAAACAAACAGTTCTACTCAGATTAACTTTACTAAGGTAGGAAGAGAGTTCTTCCTTACCATGATAGAATAGTACAGGAACGTGAAATGAGCTTCATAGTGCTACTAACAATCAGAAATAATATGAAAGCAATATTTTAATTGAAAAATATGTGTGTTTTAGATAGAAGAGAATTTATTATTTATACAACGAAAACGATTTGAATGATCTCTTATATTTCATCAGGCTTTAAAATTTTTTGGCGTGTAAGTACAATGTTAGGGGCTTTTAGAACGGAATCGTCTTCTGTAAAGGTTTTGCTGCCTTTGCTGGCTTCCAAACTGTCTATTTTGATTGCATTGTCCTCTGTCATGTCGACGGATGTTGAGCTCTGCTCTTCTTTAGCATCTTGTTGAACACGCTTTATACGCTTGTCTCTCATTTGCATGAAGCTTACTATACACGAGGAAAGCAATGTAAATCCACCAACGACTAGCAAGGCAATATAACCTTTTATAAACCTCGGGGCATCCGTATTGGGATACATGACTGGTGCCCACCATATATGCCAGACATTTTGCACCATATTCATAGTGAAAACAACGACTCCTCTTTCTTGATCATTATCACGGCAGACATCGTTGGCCCACGAAAACCAAACAGCTTGTCCAGCGTACGTACATCCCGAGAGAAAATAAGCAAAGAGCTTAAGTCCATAAGGTACGTTCCATGCTAACAATATAGAAGCAGAGATCAAAGTTACAATGAACAAAAATAAGCCGAATGGCCATCGAGTACGTCCACTGAGCTTATCTGACAATATACTGGCCCCCAAGGTAGAAACAACACCCACAGCAGTGATGACTGTAGGATAGTTGTTAATTTGAGCAACAGTAAACTCTTTGGAGGCTTTCATCCATTGGCCCATAAGTACATTGACGGCAATTGCTTGGGTTTCTCCACTAAAAAGCCAAAGAATCGATAAACCATAGATGCGCCAAGATCGTAAGATAGTTTTTAGTGAATTTATGGTTATTGGCTTTTTCTTTGGAATATCAGGAAGCCGCTTTATTGCAAGCTGCTTTTCTTCCTCTGTGAAGTAGGGTGCTTTCGTTGTCTGGGGGACGTCTGGAAACAAAAAGTATCCATAAAAAGCCAACGGTATCGTTAACAATCCATCAATTATGAAAAGCCATCGCCATCCTGCCATACCGCATATTCCATCCAATGATGAATGAACAGCGGTCTGCAAATATCCTGCAAACATAGTTCCAATCAAACCAGATATGGAGAATATAGCGGCTCGTTTGTAAATCTCACTTCCTTTGTACCAAGCGCCCAAGATGTAATGAGTACCCGCAAAAGTGGAAGCCTCTGCGATGGCCATGAAGAAGCGTAATGCCATCATTGAGGGAACGGAATGAACCGTGAAGGATAGTATGGTCATAATTCCCCAAATCAAGTTCATCACTGAAAACCATAATCTTGCTGGTACTTTCTGTAATGCATAAGATCCAGGTATTTGTCCTATAATATACCCACAGGTAAAGACGACATTGATGTCTTGTAATTCATTTCCGTACATCTTTAAATCTTCTTTCATTCCGCTCAAATAAGCATTGTTAATTGAAGAACGGTCAAGATAGTTGATAAAAAACGAAACACAGCAATATGACAATATAAACCAGTCAATTTTGAAAACCAAGGCCCGTTCTTTCCTTGATCGGTCATTACCATTACGGCTCTTGAAAATTCTCCTAAAAATCATCGTGGAATGTCTATTCATACGAGTCCGAAAGATCAAAATTTTTATACAAGATAAAAGCTACTTAGATGCTTCACTATTCACGATTTCAATAGGCTTTTTAGATGCAACGCCAGTGTTTTGTAAAAGATTGCCCAAATCCTTTACCTCTTATTGTTTTTGTTTTTGTTTTCTTCTTTTTCTCCTTCTAAAACATGCATATGGGTATGCGATGATTTTTATGATGGGAAGGTTCTCGCGGTTGGCACCTTTAACAGGAAAAGAGTCTTCTGTTTTCGACTTCTGTTTCATCTCAATATTTCTAAGAATAATGCATATGGAATCATATTTTTGTATCCCATGCTTAAACGGAGGGCCAAGAAGTAAGAAATAGGAAACTCAGAAAAGATGGTTTCCTTTCGTTCGCTAGCCTCAAGGAAGAAACGTAGAATGGTCTCATAAACTCTTAAGCGGAAATTATAAAAAGTCTCTGTTTACGAGAACCCTGGCGCTTTGAAGTTAATGCCGATGGATCTAGCGTTTAAAGCATTTCTTGCATAAATCCTTACGACTGACGATAGACAATAGCTGTATCGATACTATAGTAAATTGTTTACTATTCTAAGTCGTCATTTATATCATAATAATGGTACAGGAACTGCTACGGAAATTTTTCTATTATAATACTTACGAAGACTTTTCTAAGGATTTATAGCATATGCAACTTAGAGTCTTAATGTTCCTTATCTAGAATCATTACATAAATGGAAACTTATGTACGTTGATTACCTTCTTTCCAGCTGGCTGAATTTTTTTTGCTCTCCATACACATATTGCTGAAGTCTTTGCTAGAAGAAGTACTATGTCTTTTCAAATAAAACGACTAAAATGGGAAGAGAACTCTTCTGATCTTGAGCATACTACTGAGCATTGATTCTTATTGAGCACCTTAGTTACATTACTTAGCAAGCTGGCTCTTCACGAATTCACAGCGTTCCCTCTTTTTCATCTCGTACTGGTTTAAATATAGGTGAATTTAAAATTATATAATCATCTTACTTTATGACTAGGATTGAATAGAACTTTGTCAATTTCATCAACGTTTACAGGTATCATTAAAAGTGCTACCTAAGCTATTCTTGGTCAACACCAAAGACATTGTCTTTTTCTCTTTACTTAGACTGGAATTCGATTCACACTCAAATTGGGTATCATTGTTTTTGCATTCAATAATACTTTATAATACTTCGAAAGTAAACGATGCAATGTCTATTGCGAGAGCAGCCTCGATCGCTGGCACTCGCAAATAGAGACTATGCTTTGGTCTTTCATTCTGTCCCTCAAAACAAAAATTCATTATCCGTCTGTATAGCAGAGTTTGTATCTCTTAGTGAAAAGCCGCTAGATGGCTTCCGGAGAATTTCCAGTCGTCCTATATATGGTACGCTAGGTCTTATAGAACTTGAGAATTCAAACTTTTTATGCGTCATCACAGGAGCTAGCGAAGTTGCTCGTATACGTGACGGGGAACGCATTTTCCGTATCACAGAGGTTTGTTTTTACAGCGTAAATCGCCCTAATTGGGATCACATTCGTCAAGAAGGGGATTTTTTAGACAACACAGCTGATGGGTACGATTCGGACATTCCAGGGTATGATGCAACGAAGTATGCTTCAGAACCTTTCAGCAGCCTGCGAAAACTTTTGACAAATGGAACTTTTTATTTTTCCCTTGACTTTGATATTACTTCTCGTTTACAGCTGCGCACTTATCATGCTTATACGGATCCCCAATCAGACACGATGCATGAACAGTTTATGTGGAATGAATTCATGCTCCGTCAATTGTTTAAGTTTCGCTCTCACCTGAATTCCGACGAGAAAGAGGTGCTGGATTCATGCGGCTTTTATACATATGTAATTCGTGGCTTTTCTGGTACGGAACCTTTTAAACTAGGAATGCAAAATGTACGGCTTTCTCTCATATCAAGACTATCCTCTCTTCGTGCGGGTACGAGGTTTCTTGCCCGTGGTGTCGATGATGATGGCAACGTTGCCAACTATGTTGAAACGGAAACAATCCTCGATACTCCAAATTACTCTGTTAGCTTTATTCAAGTGCGAGGTAGTATTCCTATCTTTTGGGAACAGGAAGGTGTCCAAATGTTTGGGCAAAAGATTGACATTACCCGCTCTTTTGAAGCAACTCGAGCCGCGTTCGAGAAGCATTTTAGCGATATTATAAAAGAGTATGGTCCTGTACATATTGTTAATTTGCTGGGTACTGGTTCTGGAGAACGATCTCTTTCTGACAGACTGCGACAGCATATCCAGTACTCCCCTGAAAAAGAACAAATTCACCTTACCGAATTTGATTATCACTCCTTAATTCGTTCTTTTGAGGATGCAAATAAAATACGTCCTATGTTATACGGTAATGTAGAATCTTTTAGCTTTTATTCAGAAAAGCGAGACGGTGAGGCAATTACATCGCAGGACGGCATTTTCCGAACAAACTGTCTTGATTGTCTCGACAGAACGAACGTAATTCAAAATCTTATATCTAGGATGATTTTAGAAAACGTAATGTTACACACTCGACAGAATGCGGGTTATGATTTTTGGCAATTGCATTCTACGCTTTGGGCAAATAACGGTGACGCATTGTCTCATATTTACACTGGCACCGGTGCTCTAAAATCTAGTTTCACTAGAAAGGGAAAGTTGAGTTTAACAGGTGCCTTAAATGATCTTTCCAAAAGCGTGGGACGAATGTATATTAATAATTTTCAGGATAAAGGTAGACAGGAAACCATTGATTTATTACTTGGTCGTTTGATTGATCAACATCCTGTAATCTTATATGATCCTATCCATGAATATGTCAATCATGAACTAAAGAAGCGAGAAAATGAATTCTCGGAACAGAAGAATGCATCTATTTTTGTTGCAAGTTATAACTTAAATGGTTGCAATCCTACTTCTGAGTTGGAAAGTTGGCTTTTCCCTGATGATAATCCCATGGCGGATATTTATGTCGTCGGTTTTCAAGAGATTGTCCAGTTAACCCCTCAGCAAGTAATTAACGCTGATCCTGCAAAAAGGCGTGAATGGGAAACCTGCGTAAAGCGTCTACTAAATAATAGAACTAAGGATGGCTCAAAGTATGTCCAATTGCGGTCTGGCCAGTTAGTTGGTACCGCCATGATAGTCTTTGTGAAAGAGTCCTGCTTGCCGAGTATAAAGAATGTTGAGGGAACTGTTAAGAAAACTGGATTGGGAGGTGTTTCCGGCAACAAGGGTGCTGTTGCTATTCGATTTGATTTTGAAGATACAGGAATTTGCTTTATTACTTCACATCTTGCAGCAGGTTATACAAATTATGATGAAAGAAATCATGACTACCAGACCATTGCTAATGGTTTGAGATTTAAGCGAGGCCGCTCAATATTTAACCATGACTACGTTGTATGGTTTGGAGATTTCAACTATCGCATTTCTTTGACGTATGAAGACACAATTTACTGCATCGAGCAAGGAAAACTAGAAAACCTGTTTGAGAATGATCAACTAAATAATCAAATGCTGACAGGCGACGTATTTCCTTTCTTTTCTGAGCTTCCTATCACGTTTCCTCCGACTTATAAGTTTGATATAGGCACGGATACGTATGATACTTCGGATAAACATCGCGTTCCAGCTTGGACAGACCGGATATTGTATAGAGGAGAATTAAAACCGATTGCTTATAATTCTGCTCCTTTATATTTTTCTGATCACCGTCCTGTACTTGCTTCGTACGAGGCAAGTATCGTCAAAGTTGACAAAGCGAAGAAGAAAAGACTCTTTGAAGAGCTGTACTTACAAAGAAAAGTTGACGTACGAGATGCTAGTAATACCTCCTATACCTTAATAGACATTTCTGGTTCTGTTACTGGAAAACCCAACTTAATTCCTTATGTGCCGGCCAATGGTATGGATAAGATAAAAAAACCAAGTGTTGATAGCAGAAAATGGTGGTTTGAGGATGGATTACCTGCACGTTCCATTGCGGCACCACCCGGAATTGACTATCAACTAAACCCAGATCGACCTGTTAATCCTTTCACTCCTAGCAAGGAACCCGACTGGGTCAAACCTGAAAAAATCCTGAACTCGGAAAAGAAGCAAGAACAGCATCCAGCAATGAGTTCGCAAGTAACGAATCCTTTACAATCTCTGAATAGCAGTCATCCCTCGTTGATTCCTCAGCAGTCTTTGTCCAAACCAACGAAGCCCTCAAAGCCTGACCATTTAGCAGCACCTCGAATGAAGCCAGCACTACCTCCCAGGACAAACCCTTCTTCGTCAAATTCTACCTCTTTGCGCTCTTCACCCAGCAATATTCCGCCCACTCCACCCCCGAGGAAATCTACTAGTACACCTCAGCCAGATCTCTTAGCCTCTTCACCCGAGGATAGTAAACTGACCTGGAAACCGCTCGTTTAAAATGATCATGACAGCATTCGACGAATATCCATTAGATATTGAAATTACCTACAGTTTTGTATTTATTTATTAATTTTTTCTTATTCTTTTTGATCTATGAATAAGCCTGTCAAACTGTATGAGATGTTGATAGTTGAAAGGTTACAAAGTTGAAGGAAGTGCATTCTCTTTTTTCTTTTTCTTTTTTTTTTCTTTTTTTTTAAAAAAAAAAGGAAGAGAAGTATCGTAGGATCCATCTTACAGCTAAAATTTATCTACTCAACCACAATCTATCATAAACAGTTCAACTCTAACTGGAAACTACAAACAAGAGGTAGAATATCAATTCATGAAATATTCTTCATTGAAACGGACGATACGCTCAAACTATCTATGTGTAAGAGTAAATAGGAGAGAAAACGTTTTGTAATTCGTTTAAATAAGACCATGCTTCCATGCCCAAAGGAAAGATTAATAAGTGGATAAATTATCAAAAAACAAATTACTCAGAAGCAAAGTTTTTCAGAATTCTAGCGACGATATGGAGGGCAAAGACAGAAGCAATGAATCCAACACTAAGGACCATGACGACCACTGGATCACTATAGTTGTTTGTGTGAGTAAAAGACGTTGCTTGTTTTCTCACTTTCATTCGAGGTTTTCGCTCCAAGAGGAATCATAACAAGGAATGAAAGTGTTTCATTAAGATGAAAACTTACACTTTAAAGCCGGTAGCCTCGTCAGAGTACAACTTCAACAAGGTAGGAGTAGAACCTTCTGCACCAGCAGCGCGAGGGCCAGCAGGTCCGGTGTTGGCATCTTTAGCGGTTTTTTCAGCGGCAGCACGACGTCTAATGGAAATCATTGTTAGAACAGACAACGAACTCGAGGATCGAAATTCCTCGAACCTACCTAATTTGAGATTTTGGGCCACCGGGAGCTGAAGAACCAGCGTTTTTTACAGTACCAGATGCCTAAAGGTTAGATACCGGAAAAAGATCTTTTTATGTCAAACATACTTTGGAGGAAGACATGTCAAAAGTGGTATGCTATGGATTCGACTTTAATGATCTTAACAGAAGGAAACAAGATGAAAGAATAGTGTATCAGAACGTGTCTTGTATAAGATTAATGAGTGTTTTATTTTACGTTACTTTGGTTTATAATCCTCTAACGTGGTATAGCGAGGTATAATCATTAGGAAATGAGAAGAGTTGGATGAGGAAACGGCTGTATTAAAAGCATAAGCTTAAAGTAGTAGCCAAGGAGGGTGATGAGTATGTGTCTGTCGGCGAAGAAGGGACCTAGGGCTTTGATTCTGAATTCGCTCTTTCTACTGTTGTATGGTTTGGGCTGAAACGAACTTATGGAAGCTACTACAAAATAATACTTTTGGATGATAAAGAAGGATAAAAATCAAGAGAATTGAAATACGTATTATTTATTTCCTTGTTATTATAACAAGAGCAGAAAATCAAAAAAGCTATGCGTTGAGAATTCCGCCAAGACATACACAAAAAGAAGCGATGATCGGCAAGGAGAAAGTCAAAGTATGAGTAGCCATGTGAGTAGCAATTTACTCGGCAGCAATGCACTCAATTTCAATCTTGACACCTTGAGCTTCAAGAGGAAGAGTCTTGACAGCTACGCAAGAACGAGCAGGCTTAGGATCAGGAAGTACTTCAGCGTAAGCCTTGTTCACGGTAGCAAAGTCACCCATGTCAGCTAGGAAGATATTAATCTTGACAATCTTTTCCAAGCCGGAACCAGCTTCCTTCAAAACTTCTTCCAAGTTTGAAAGGCATTGACGAGTTTGAGTGCCGACACAACCCTCAACGACCTTTCCATCCTTTACGGGGATTTGGCCTGAGCAATAGATTGTTCCGTTGGCCTTAATAGCTTGATTGTAAGGGCCAGCGCTAGAAAGTTTGGGGCTATTAATGACTGTCTTGGTACTCATGTTGGATACAAAACTAGGGCGATATGTGGCACGAGTGGGAACAATAAAGGATCTAGTAAGAAGAGGACGACCAAGTGAAAGAGTACTTTTAGCAAGGTTTCTTAGCATGTTGCTGAGACCAAATCTTGGTTCTTTGCTGGGATTCCATATATACTACAAAATTAAGATACGGAATCGCAACGCACATTTGGTATCTAAACTGTTCTTCAGGTTTTGGTATTGCACACAGTACTTGAAGAAAAACCAGCAGAACGCATTAGCCTATGCGCACCTTTTTGGGTGTTTGATTTTGATAGATCTTCTGTTTCTTCATCCTGAAAGTTCCAATAAAAAAAGATAGGATCTTTAAGGAAACCGGAATACGCAAGTTTGTTTATTACGGAATCTCAGTTGCATTCGTTATTTCAAAATCGAGAAGTAATGCCCTTTTTTTTTAAAAAAAAAGTCTTCTACATTTACTTTTAATTGAATCATATTCTCCAACAAACGCTAAGAAAACCATCTCGTTTTCCTGCTTCCTTTTTCTTTCGTAAATCTTACGCTGACCCCCTTCTCGTTTATTTTGAAGCTTTAATTACGCGAAGGACAAACTTTGGGTCTCAGAAAACAGTCACGGGAAATCAAAACAAACCAACGCGTCTGCAATGTTGTCTGTAGGACACGACGAAACATGTCAGAGTTTCAAAAAGTAGTTGTCATTGATGCCAAGGGGTATGTTTGTTTATAATTTCTTTTTTTTTTTAGTTGAATGAAAGTCACTAATTGTTTCTTTATAGCCATCTCATGGGCCGTTTAGCTTCTGTTGTTGCTAAGCAACTTTTGTCGGGTCAAAAAGTCGTCGTTGTCCGTTGTGAAGAGTTAAACATCTCTGGCAGCTTCTTCCGTAACAAGCTCAAGTACCTCGCCTACTTGCGCAAGTCTTGCCGTTACAACCCTACTCGTGGTGCTTTCCACTTCCGTGCTCCCTCTCGCATTTTCCAAAAGGCTGTTCGCGGTATGCTTCCCCACAAGAGTCCCCGTGGTCAAGCTGCCTTGGAACACTTGCAAGCTGTTGAGGGTGTTCCTCCTCCCTTCGATAAGCAAAAGCGTGTTGTCGTCCCTGCTGCCCTTCGTGTCTTACGCCTTAAGCCTGGCCGTAAGTACTGCACTGTTGGTCGTCTCTCCTCTGAGGTTGGCTGGAAGTACTCTGACGTTGTCTCCAAATTGGAAGAACGCAGAAAGGTCAAGAGTGCTGCTTTCTATCAAGCTAAGTTAGCCAAGCAAAAGAAGGTTGCTGCTGCCAAGTCTGCTTCTTCTATTAACCAAAAACTGGCTTCCTACGGATACTAATTTTCTTGATTACTTTTTTTAAAATATAAAAAAAGATGTCATTGATTTTCTGATGTAGCTTGATTAAGCTTTGTAAATTCTTTCTTTACCATTCAGTAAGTTATGAATAATGTAGCTTCCATCTGCTGAACTTACCAAATATGTCATCCTTGTAGACTGTTGACTATGAAACATTATTGTTTTCTATTTTGTAATATTTGGCACAGTTTTAATGCGCATTATTAGTTCATTAATCTTTAGAAATCATAGGCTCATCTTGATTTTCCAATTCGGCCAAGAACTGTATATTGGATACATATTCAGTTTGTGGTGTGGGTCCATTTTCACTTAGAGGGGTTTGACTCCATAGTCCACCAGAATTAACATCGATTTCACTTTTCGTTGCGTAGTTTCCATCTATAGTGCTCGATGACTGTAAGTTGTATTCCATCTCCAGATCTCCTGTAGAATTTGCAGCTAAATTGGCTTGCTGCCGCAGAACAGGACTCTGTTCCAGATACTGAGGGAAAGAACCCCTTGCAAACCGATTAGGCGGTTTATGGTAAACAGATGAAAGAGTACCAACGTTTAACAAAAGCTGCTCCGTCGTGTCTGGATCATAAGTGCCGGCTTTCACATCAACAGAAGGTGCATTCGTTAAAATCACCTTCCTTGCAAGCTCCGGATTAGTTGATAACATACGAGAGTATATGATGCCTCGGTCGCGCAAATCCGGATCTTGAATCTCTTCAATACACAGCTGCAAAATTTTAGTAACCATTTCTGAACCTGCAGCAGGCAGCTTCAAAAATAGTTTGGTAACCGCCGTTAAGATCGTCAGCTGTAATTCCAAAGGTTCGTATAGAAATCCATCGACGTACTCCTCCATCAAAGAGCATGAGTTTTCAACTGACTCAGCATAGTGACCAAGTAGCCATATAAAAGCTGCTTTTGCTTCTGGCTCATCAAGGAACTCTATATTTTTCAGTAAAATAGAAAGTAGGTGCTTATAGCGATTAGGATACTTTCTCATTATATCCCTAATGATGATTGCAGCCTCTTGTACCACGTAGGTTATCTTAGTGTCAATTAATTCAACAAGACAATCAACACAGTCATCTGCACGGCTTTCAATCTGTACAGCCAAATGACCTATATATCTAACAGACTTTCTTGATAACTCCACGTCGACCTCCGAAGCGTATTCCATAAATTCTGGCAAAATATGGTCAAGATTTTCCTCATTTGCTAGTTTCGCCAATATACTGAATTTTTCAAGCTTAACGTACGCAGGGTCATCAAAATGACAGAAGAAAAAATGTAAATCAGTCTGAAAGATCTCTGGGTATGCGTCCAGTATTAATTCCACGTTACGTAAAAGAACATACTGAGTCGGTGAAGATTTTCTAGCTAGCATAGTTACCAAAGGTGGAACCACCTTTGTAAGATGATCTTTAACGAGTAAATCATCGCTCATATAATTAATAAAGTAAAGTACAGCTTTGATAGCCCCCATACACACTGCCGTGTTTCCATGCTGAAGCCAAGGTGATATCCGTTCAGCAAAGTTTTCGGCTTCTCCAGGCTTTTGTGGAACATAGCATATAAGAGAATCGAAAATAATAGTTTGCAGCCATCTATGTTTAACTGTTAATATATAAGGATTATAAGCAGACCTTACTCTGAGCAATTACTCAAACAATCAATTATTTTCGATGTAACATCTTTAGTAAGTGTAAGTTTGAAGACATCTGAGGATTGAACGATGGAAATAAGGACAGCTAAAGCATTGGCAACAACCTATTCATGTTAGCAAAAGGCGAAAGCGCCCCACTTACGATAGCAGACTCATCATTTAGCATCTCTTTTATATTTTTCATTAAGCCTGAAGACTCAACTATCTTTCGGTCATAAGAATAAATCCTCGCGACTCCCATAACGGCTGTTTTGCGCACATAAGGATCGATATCATCGAGTAATCGAATAATTGGATCAAGAGAAGCAACCCAGAAGTTTTTTATATGAATTGAAGTTAAAGTCTTTAAAGAAAGATCACGTAATACTGGATTTGAAGAGTAGACACCCTACGATTAGAGGTTAGTTTTCCGTTTTATGATACAATGAACAAAATAGCTTACCTTAAGCAAAACTGGAATTGCCTTTTTTGCTTCTGAAGGATCCAACCTGTTATTATAAGTAAAAAGAAATTGAATGAGTACAAACCTTGCAAAACTTTTCAAATAAAGATAACACAATTTCTTCAAATCGACATTGCTGGTCTCCATACAAGATATAACAGCAGCAAAAAGAGAAGTCATATCATATCCCATTGACATATTCGCTATTATTTTTTTCATTGCACCAATCCGTTTAGTGGCAGACTTGTCTTTGGAATCAGCTCGTAGAATGGCCTCTAGCTCAGAAAGCTCAGACTTTAAAAAATTTGTTATTTAAAAACAATCGTAAAAATTTTTTCCTTACAGAATCAGAATGGGAAGAATTCCCCGACGGAAGCACTATATTGACCATGGTCACTATATACGTACTCAGTAGGATTGTAGCGATTACAGTACGGCTTACAACTTCAGTGCCCTGATTTATTTATAGATGAAGAACAGAATGTTGCTAATATATTATACGAGTAAAAGTTCATACATATCTCGTAAATAGCTTTAGGATTTGGTTAAGTTATATTTTCATCAAGATGTAAATTAGGTTAATTAGCAGAAAGAGGCATTCGCATATTGCAAGCACATACATTTACAGAATTTTGAACTATTAATCAAACATGAATAGTGGGAAAATGACCCAGATCAGCAGATTACATTATTGAAATCAAAACAAAATTGATCCCTTTAGATATTCGATGTAAAGATGGGATTGTAAAGCATGAAATTAAAAAAGAAGGTTGACAGCATGCTGAATCAGCGTCCAATATGAAGCTCAAAACTCCAAGGTCAGGCGAAGACTTTGAAAGGGCATTGTAACAAGCCGGTATTGAAAGGAGCAATCAGGAAGTTCAAACCTCACAAGGAGACTATGAGAAAGAAGCATTCAAAGAAGGAAGGCGATTCATCAATGACGCTTAAGTGCAGCTTTTTTGACAAAAGAAATATATGGAATTCAAAACAAATCCGCTCGAAGTAACTTATTTTTCCTAATTAAATTTGGTATTATCCGACCATTTTTATCTGCACTTAGAGATTGAACATAAAAGGACATATCACTGGGATGAAGATCTTTCGTGGTACCAGAAGAAGTGATGATACCAGCTACTCCAAACATAAGTTCCTTTGAGGAGGCGGTGGACCTTCCATAAGAAAACGGTAATGGTACGTTCTTAGTAGATATAAATGTATTCTTCCTTGAACGCGTGGCTTCTTGTTTGGACGAAGAGTCCAATAATTGAATATTAGCATATAGAGCACCACGCTGAAGATTGGGTTTTTGAGCAAGATAAGCGTTGCTGTATGGAAAACTTTGAGGAACGAAAAATTGAGCAAATTTATCATAATCTTCAACCTTCCTTTTCGTAACTGGGAGGTTTAAATCATGTATGCGTTTCAACGTCCGCACAAAGCGGTCGCACGCGGAAAAAGAGCATTGATGTTCAGGAGTATCAAATTGATCAACGGATATATAACGGGTATTAAAAATTGGGAATTTCCGCTTCACGCCCCAATCACCTCGATTTCGCTGGGATTTTTTAGCGGTTAACGCCTGCAAAGATGGGAAACAGGCATTCTCGGGTTTTACAGATAACTCTTCTGGTAAAATGCGAGCCAGAGTTACAGCCCGAGAGTTTCGAAATAGGTCAATAAACTTCATTCTGACAATTATTTTTCAATTTGGAGCATTAATAGGGGTAGCAATAAAAGGTAAAAAAAGTTCTTTTTTCGTCTTTCTTTGGAAAGTAAAAAAGAAGGTTAACAAAAATAGAAGTAGTTGGGACAAATAAATATGTTAATATCTTAAGGATAGGTGCAAAACAATGCAAAGAACTAAAAATATGTGATCGACTACTCAAGTCGCGTTTCGAACCAGCGCTACATCTAAAACTAATTTACAAATCAATCAACCTGAAATAGTAAATGTTCAAGTGATTCTTTCTAGAAACACTCACCTTTTAAAAGCGATTTCTGATGATAGATGGTAAAGGAAGAGACGAGATTATGCTCTTCAATGGAAAGGACATTGTTACTTAATTTCAAACCAAAATAAACGATGCATGAGGCAACTTCTTCCTTTAACAATACCCTTTTAATAAAACAATCGCATATATAAACGCGTAATTTCGCGTAGAATGGTTGTTAGCTGTTATAGAGTGGTATAAGAAGTTAATTGATTGGATGAACGAGTGTAGAATTGATTATTTTTTCTCTCTTTTAGTATGTTTTACGCGTGGATACTGCAACTCTCGGCTTTACTAAGCTTTTTTTTGAAAAATTTAAATGAAACGGGACATTCTTTTGGGAGGAATTTAGGAGGATAGCCATAATAATTGGTACAGTACTTAAATTAGGACATGTACGCTTTTATGCCTACACCTGTAGCTATAAATTGACGGGAAAATATCTATGAAACAATGAATGATTGTTAAGTTCAATTGAAACACCACTCAAAAGAGTTGATTACTATAAAGTTAGAAGAAACCAAAAAGTCATGGTCATCACTTTCAAAATCTCTTTTTGTTTTGCTAATTTATTTCTTTAAGGTCTTTTATTATCTCCTTAACTCAATGAAATAGCATAATTAGTATGATGGTTAATTATATAATGCTTGTCACACCGTCATAGATGTATTTGGATCTATTTCAACCGGAGCACTTATTTTTGGTTGGTTGGCCTTTTTAAGGCAAAAATGATTTTTTCAAGGTTTTTTCGGAGTAGTGCTGCTCTGAAAGATGCAGTTCAAATCAAAGGAACAGCAAATGTACGGTTGTTTAACAATTCAGCGATTTTGACATCAGCAACAATCCTTGATGGAAAGTTTCTGTCCAGGTAAGTGTTTCAAACTTCATGAGAGAAAAGAAATTGAGTTGACTTGAAATGGGAACTTTTGAATTGGATGAATCGGACTTATCAATGATATTGGGATCATTGCAGTTAACGATTACCTTTATTGTTCCTATGATTGCGCCCGATATTCTGTACCTCCTTTTGTTATTACTTATATTGTTTTCGATGTAGTTAATCCTTTCTCGTAGAAAGATACAGAACTCTGTTGCTGAAGAGGTTGAACAATTAAAACGGAAGGATGAAAATTATCATCCTTCCCTCGTTATTGTTCAAGTAGGAAAGAGAGAAGATTCCAACGTATATGTTCGCATGAAAGAAAAGGCAGCTAAGAAAGTCGGTATTACATACAAGCATTATGCATTTCCTGACACTATAAGCCAATCTACTCTGTTGCGAGAAGTACGAAAGTTAAATGATGACCTGAGTGTCCATGGAATTCTCGTTCAATTACCACTTCCTCGTCATCTTAATGAAAAATCCATCACTGAATCCATTTTAGCTGAAAAAGACGTCGATGGTTTTGGTGCAGTAAACATAGGTATGCTTGCGAAAAACACATCTACACCCATTCATGTTCCTTGCACTCCCATGGGAGTTATGGAATTGCTCCATCATCACAACATTCCCATTGCTGGTAAAAATGCTGTTATCCTTGGGAGAAGCGACATCGTCGGGAACCCTGTCAGCTACTTACTTCGTCAAGAAAACGCTACCGTTACCGTCTGTCATTCTCATACGAAAAACTTACCAGAGCAAATTGCAAAAGCGGACATCTTGGTTGCTGCATTAGGCAAACCAGAGTTTGTTCGTGGAGAATGGGTTAAACCAGGCGCAGTTGTCGTGGATGTTGGAATAAATGCTATACAACGTAGTGGCAAGCGCGAATTGGTAGGTGATGTTCATTATCCTTCTGTGTCTCAAGTTGCTGGTCACATCACTCCTGTTCCCGGAGGTGTTGGCCCTATGACTGTTGCAATGTTAATGCGAAACACCGTCAGGGCAGCTGAGCTTTCGCGAAACAAAAGCATTTTGCGTAAGGTTTCCATCAATGAAGTCACTTTGAAAGAGCCCGTTCCTTCAGATATTGAAATAGCCAAGTCTCAAGAACTAAAGAAAATCACGACTGTGGCCGAAGAAATGGGGATCCATGAAACGGAAATTGAAACCTATGGTCACTACAAGGCAAAAGTTGACTTGAAATTATACGAGCGGTTGAAGCACCGAAAAGATGGTAACTATATTGTTGTTAGTGGTATCACTCCTACACCTTTTGGTGAGGGAAAGAGTACGGTAGTAGCAGGATTGGTTCAAGCTCTTGGTCATTTAGGTAAATTGGGTATCGCTTGTGTTCGTCAACCCTCCCAAGGTCCTACCTTTGGCGTTAAGGGTGGAGCAGCTGGCGGTGGATATGCTCAATTTGTTCCTATGGATGATTTTAACTTGCATATGACTGGTGATATTCATGCCGTTACAGCTGCCAATAATCTTTTAGTCGCTGCTCTTGAAACCAGAATGTTTCATGAAAGTACTCAAAGTGACGCAGCTCTAATTAAGAGAATGTTACCTTTTAAAAATGGTCATCGTGTTATTCCTAAAGGTTTGCTTCCAAGATGGAAAAGAATTTGTGATATTTTAAAGCATGATCCTACCGAAATCGATAATGCCAGCCAAGATGTTTTGAAGAAATTTGTTCGCTTAAATATCGACCTAGAAACTATTGCCTGCAATCGTGTTCTAGATGTTAATGATCGTTTCTTGAGAACCATTGAAGGAGGACTAGCCCCTACCGAAAAGGGACGCAGTCGAAAGACGTCCTTCGACATTTCCGTTGCCAGTGAGTGCATGTCAATTTTGGCTCTTTCAAATGATTTGAAGGATATGAGACATCGCTTGACAAATATGGTAATTGCTAATGACAAAAACGGCAATCCGATAACTGCTGGAGATCTTGGTGTAGCCGGTGCTATGGCTGTTTTGTTAAAGGATGCTATTAAACCTAACCTTATGCAAACACTTGAGGGTACACCTGCTTTGGTGCATGCAGGACCTTTTGCAAACATCAGTATTGGCGCTTCTTCTACTATCGCTGACAAAATTGCGCTTAAACTAGCTGGCACAGAGTCTTTTGAAAATGCTGATAAGGCTGGTTATGTTGTCACTGAGGCTGGTTTCGCTTCTGACATGGGTATGGAGAAATTTTTCAATATCAAGTGTAGAAGCTCAGGATTAAAGCCCAGTGCTGTGGTTTTAGTAACTACAGTCAAAGCTCTTAAGCTTCATGGCGGTGGACAAAAACTTAAGCCTGGTACCCCTTTGCCTGATGAATACCTTTTAGAGAATCTGGATCTTGTTAGCAAAGGCTGTGCGAATATGGTTAAACATATACAGAACTCTCAGAAATTTAACGTTCCAGTGGTGGTGGCAATCAATAGCTTTAAAACTGATACTGCTAAGGAATATCAGATCATTCGCGAACATGCTGTTAATGCTGGAGCCATTGATGCTATTCCTTCTTTCCAATTTAGCAAGGGCGGCCAGGGAGCCATTAGCTTGGCTGAAACCGTAATGAAAGCTTGCTCGACGTCCCAAAAAAGTGATTTTAAATTCCTTTATGATTCCAATGCTTCTATCGAAGATAAAATTACAACAATTGCGAAGGAGATGTACGGTGCTAAAGGAATTGAGTTTAGTCTGTTGGCGGAAAAACGTATGAAGGATTATAAACGCCAAGGATACGAGCATTTGCCCATCTGTATGGCTAAGACTCAGTACTCACTGTCACATGATCCTAAATTGCTGAACGTTCCAAAAGAGTTTACTGTACCCATTCGTGATATGCGTTTGAATGCAGGAGCTGGATTCATCTATCCCTTAACTGCTAAAATCCAAACCATTCCTGGTTTACCTACGGCTCCTGCTTATTTAAATATAGACTTAACTGATGACGGTGAAATTTTGGGGCTTTCTTAGATAAACAAATTGGACTGTAAAATAGTACAAAGTTAGGCTCAAATATGGGCTGAAACCAAAGACTGGTCTTGTTGGAATTAATATTATTTATTATTAGATTATAACGCTGATTAAGACGATGCAGAGGATTTTCATGACTGACAAATCCCCAAACAATAAGCAGGTGTAGATTAAGTTTAATAGGTGTGATTAATTTAACCTCAAGAGAGAGAGGGTAACTTTTTAAATATGAGTTCAATGCAGTCATTAAAACGTTTTAAGTATTTAAATTCATTTTCCTTGTCACCTTCAATGTCCATAGAAGTGCATAAATAAAAAAAAGGTGTAATAACAAATCGAGAAGGCCACATGGCATTAAGGAGTATCCACAGAGAGGCACAAATAATTTCACTCGGCCTAAAAGCAGTGAATCGACAATCTGTACATTGGTTAAATGAAGTTGTTATCGTATATAACACATACCCTTCATTATTTCAACCAGCATGTACTGCCACTCGCACATAAGCTGCTCAGAATCCTCTTCTGAAAGAGTTTTGAAAAACGAATGCTGGAAAATCAGAGGAGTAAGGTAGGATTCGACGGACGGGAGAGATAGGACATAAATGTCATAAGTCAGAAGCGACAGTACTATTTTTTCGTATTTCTTTTAACTAATTAGTCGGGATTGACCGAAAGCATAGACGTACCTCTAGCTCACGTATAGATAAACTTGGTGCGAGTTGTTTACAGAAACTTTTCTTTGCTGTTCACGAAACTCAATTAGTTTATAGAAAGGAGAAAAAGGATAATTTTGGATACACTTACCAACCGTAAAGTCACTTGTGAGTTTACAGGCGATAAATAAAGTCCCAATTGCATATATCTTGAAAGCTTTAGAAGGAATAGAGGGTTTGATAGAATAGCAGCGATCTAAAAGGACTATCGCAATGCATAGAGTGTCCATTGAAACATAGTCGATAGCCTCCTGTAACAGTAAGCCGATTATTCAAGCACGAACAAATACCTCATATAAAACGCTGAATAGCTGTCTACGCTTTTGAGAATATGATAAATTCTTCAATAGAGATTCAGGTACCACCTTCCTAATGCTATTCATTTCCTGTTCGATAATCCGATTCATGGTAGCATCGCGTCGAAGAGACTTAAAATGAGAGGTTAAAGAGTCAGAGAGTTCAACATCACTTGGTGATACTTTGTTTAAGCTATCTGTAAAACGAACGTCTTCAAAGGATATTTTCAACTTCTTTTGTTGAGCATTGAATAGTAGACATGTTTCATATTTAGATGCCAGCATTCTTGGTTTAATTCAACAATTGTTAGATATTATATATATTTGTTTTAAAGTAAATGGTTTAAATAAGATAATGATCAAATTTAAGTACAGGTAGATGTTGGTTTTATCCAGATGAGAAGGACGCGAGTACGCGACTTATATAAACAATGGAACTTGGGTGAGTAAAGTTTAAGGAAAGCGATGGAATAGGTAATTCAATTCGCAGGTGGATGAAAAGAAAAATAAATGAAAAGAATAGATATTATTAGTAGAACTCGTGGCATAAGTAATCGTAAGCCACAAAAAAAAGGGAACCATGAGCCCTGTAGATGAAAGAAAACGGCAAAACAGAAATGCTAAGTACTCACCAAGGTACTAGCATTCGAAAATACACTATACTCAAGCGGAGGTGTATTGATAGTGCCGTAACAGTAAGGAGGAGGAGAATGAGAATAAGGTGTAGGCGTAGATGCAGACGTATGGAAGGACTCTGAAAGAGTGGTATTTTGAGAAGAAGAAGATCTTCTATCAGAAAAATCGTTGGGATCGTTTGGAGAGACGTGAATACGGGCAGGTTCAGGATAGGATGGTAAAATACGACCGCCGTTACAACGTCCAACTCCAAGGTTGTGATAAGAAATTCGGGGTGACTGCAACTTCTCTATTTCCATTCTTTGGATGAAGCGAAGCCTGCTACTTGTATTGTACAGAAAGGGATATGGGTTAGGCTCTGTGTCAGGAAGCCGTGAAGGAGTTAAAACGACATCAATACCCTCGCGCTCTCCAGAAGTTCCCAGTAGCTCTTCGTTCTCTTGAAGAGTAGGAGAGTAGCGAGGAAGAGTAATCGTAGATTCAGTAGCAGGGATATTATAGAAGTCGGCTTCATTATCTTCTTCATCGTAGATGGACATGCAACACAATACTGCCCGGAAAAGTCGATATTTTTTATGTTTACAATCAATATATCTTCTAACGATAATCAAAAGCAAAATAAGCATGGGTACTGAAATTGAGAGTCCAATCATCTATAACCAAAGTCTCAAGTTAGTAACAAAAAGTGAGAACCCTTACTTACAAATCTAATAACATGCAGATCTTCTTGTTCGAAATCAGCTTCTCCAGAAAAATTGTCTGCTTGGCTCTCCATTTTGACTAATTTTCCAACCCGTTTTTACTTCGCTGAAACAATACTAGTTGAATAATAGATACAAAGTAGATATAGCTCTTTCCTCTTGCTTGCCTTAGCCTTTCTCCAACCTCTCCAAAAATAAAATGCTCTTGAAGGAAGAAAGAAGGGACGAACATTTTTGAGTATTTTCCAATGTAAACAAACACCAGATTCTAGCGAATACTTCCAGCTAAGCCATTTCTTTTAGCAAGAACCATTATCAATTAGACAAAATATAAACACATTTGCAATTCTATTCAATCCATCTCTTCGAGTAGCACTAGAAAATGGAAATCTCATCGAACATTGTTTTCACAAAAACATAGTGAGCACAGTCCTCATCCTAAGTAATCAAGGCTATAGCTTCGAGTAGGAACGGTAACCCTTTTAATGCTTATTTTCTGATAGATGAGCTGAGCAAATGGATGTAGAACGAAGAACGGACTCAGGCTTGTTTACCCATGCTTTTCCTTCGAAATTTCATTTAAAAGATTTCTCTAAAATAATAGAATTAAGAAGGAGTATAAAAAAAGGAAAAAATTTATCTGAAAAACGTCTTATCCACGTACTTTCTACATGCTGCTGGTTTGTCTACAGTGTGTTCATGGACACCCTACCAAACTAAAGCCAGAATATCGCAACTTTAGACAATTTCGGTCAAGATAGCAAAAAATGGATAATAGAAATAGTCAAGGGGAGAAAAAACCAGAAAGCAGTTACTCCGAGGGCGGAATTCGCGAACTTTTGGACCGTTTAGCACTTCGTTCTTTAGTAGAAGAAGAGACTGAAACTCCAGCTAAGACGTATGATGATTTTAAGTTTTGGAAGACTCAACCTGTTCCCAAATTTGGTATGATTCTACGATAAGTAAGAAAAGTGAAATCGAAGACTAATGCGAGCTCGAATAAACAGATGATGAATGCGAAGCTGAAGGCCCTATTGACCCAAATACGGACATTAATATGGTTCCAAAGGAGCCCTATCGCTTATTGAAAGAGTTTGAATGGACAACTATGAATTTGGAAGATGACAACGAGGTAGGGGTTTACCATCATACATAATACTTGCCTAGTAGAGAGTATTTACTAACGATGACACGTATATAGTTGCGCGAGGTTTATGAACTTTTAACGGAAAACTACGTGGAAGACTCTTCGGCGATGTTACGATTTGCTTATTCTGCAGAGTTCTTGAGGTGGGCTTTAATGTCACCAGGCTATGTCAAAGATTGGCACGTTGGTGTTCGAGTTAAAGCTTCAAACAAGTTAGTTGCATTCATCTCTGCAGTGCCTTTAGTGATCCGCGTGCGTGACAAACTCTTTGAGAAGTGCGCTGAAGTCAACTTTTTGTGTATTCACAAAAAGCTGCGTAGTAAACGTCTTACGCCTCTATTGATTAAAGAAGTTACCCGTAGATGCCATCTCACTGATGTTTGGCAAGCTGTTTATACTGCCGGTATCTTAATTCCCAGTCCAGTTAGTGTGTGCCGTTACATGCACCGCAGCTTGAACTGGAAGAAGTTGTATGAGATTGGCTTCGCTCCTCTTCCATTTGGAAGCTCGCCTACAAAGGAAATGGCTAAATATCATTTACCCTCTGAAACAGCTACTCCTGGATTGCGTCCTATGGAAAAGCGTGATGTTACCCAAGTTCAATCTTTATTGTCTCGCTATTTAGAAAGGTTTGAATTGGCTCACTACTTTAATGAAACCGAAGTACAACACTGGTTCCTCGGCAATGACGAAGTTTCTAAAGGTCCTGTCATTTGGAGTTATGTTGTGGAAGATCCTAAAACAAAAAGGATTACCGACTTTTTTTCCTTTTATTCGCTTCCTTCTAGCGTGCTTGGAAATCCAAAGTATAGTGATATTAAAGCAGCTTACTTATATTACTATGCTTCTGATTCTTATCCTAAAGACACTTCCAAGGCTTCTTCGGACAAGTTTGTTGAAAGATGCAAGCTTTTGATCAAAGATTCCCTAATCCTTGCTAATCGCGTATGTTTACGTTTTTCTCTAGTCAGATCAGACTAGACTATTTGAGTGTTTTTATTAACAAGTATCTAGCTTCGTTTTGATGTGTTCAACGCCGTGACCGTTTTGGATAATAACTTGTTTTTGAAAGACCTTCGATTCGGTGAAGGTGATGGTTACCTAAATTATTATATCTACAACTATCGCTGTCCCAAGGTACCTGGTGGAATTGACTCTGAGAAAAATATCGACAAGTCAAGACCAAGCGGTATGGGTTTTGTCATGATTTAACATTTAGACATTAGGTATATAATCTTCTGACATTGATTATGAAGATACTTTACTCATTGATTGATCCGAATTTTGAATCCAGTTACATATGCATGAAAAACCATAAAAGCCATAGAGGCCGATTATTATATTCAATAAGTACACTACAATGTAAACTATAGATATCTCTAACATTACCACTTTCAAGCTTTTTCATAAGTAATAGTGTTTCAGGCTGTGCTGCAAGGTCTGTGATTTCTCCTACTTTTTCTTAAACCAAGTCCTTTACCGGCAATTCTTAAAACCACGTCAAATACTTTAAAAAACTTATAAATGTTATCAGCTTTTTTATGGTAGTAGTTAAAAAATTCTTATTAGCAGAATAACTTCTCATCTATGCTCACCTTCAACAGACACTTGTTCACCACCAAACTACCAACATTCTGCCGGTCATTAAAAACTTGGAGCAGAAGGATGACAACTGTCGGTCAAGACATTAACGAAAGGGTTTCGGCTCAAGGAAATGTAGTTAGAACTCTAAAAAGCCAAGGAGCCCCTAAAAATGAAATTGACAAGGAGGTAGAAAAACTTTTAGCATTAAAAAACCTCAAGGTTGGCGAATCTGGTTCAGGAAAGAAGAAAGACAATTCTTTCACTTTAAAGACGCCTAAAGGAACGAAGGATTGGTACGACAAGGACGTTGTTTTGCGTGAGCATATCTTCAAAACCGTTACCGATATCTTTAAGCGCCATGGCGGTGTAACTTTAGACACACCAGTCTTTGAATTAAAGGAAATCCTTGCCGGAAAGTACGGAGAAGACAGCAAATTGATTTATGATCTTAAAGATCAAGGTGGTGAACTTTGCTCTTTGCGCTATGATTTGACTGTCCCTTTTGCTCGTTGGTTGGCTATGAATCCTAAGGTAACCAACATTAAGCGCTATCACATTGCAAAAGTTTATCGGAGAGATCAACCGGCTATGACCAAGGGCCGCATGCGTGAATTCTATCAATGTGATTTCGATATTGCTGGCTCTTTCGATCCCATGATTCCCGACTCTGAGGCTCTCAAAGTCTTAGTAGAAAGTTTAGATGCTTTGGAAGTTGGTAAATATACTATCAAAATTAATCATCGCCAAATTCTGGACGGCATCTTCGCCGTTTGTGGTGTTCCTTCTGACAAGGTCCGTACTATTTCCAGTGCTGTTGACAAGCTTGACAAGCTTCCTTGGGAAGAAGTTAAGCGTGAAATGGTCGTTGAAAAGGGACTTTCCGAAGAGGTCGCTGATAAAATTAGTGAATACGTTTTGCTTAAGGGTGATCGCTCTTTGCTGGAAAAATTAAGAAGCGATTCTCTCTTGTCTAGCAGTCCCTCCGCAAGTGCTGCATTTAAAGATATGGATTTACTTTTTGACTATCTTGAAAGCTTTGGTATTTTGGATAAGTTTTCCTTCGACATGTCTCTGGCTCGTGGTCTTGACTACTATACCGGCATTATTTACGAGGCTGTTACGGAAGCATCAGCTCCAAAGGTGAAGAGCTCAACTGAAAAGAAGTCCTCTGAAGATCCAGAAGCTGATCGTTCCAATGATGATAGCATCGGTGTCGGTTCTATTGCTGCTGGTGGTCGCTACGACAACCTTGTTGGTATGTTTGCTGCTAAGAAGAACAGCCAAGTTCCTTGTGTCGGTATTAGCTTAGGTTTGGAAAGAATTTTCTCTATTTTGAGATCCAGAATCCCTGACGAGGAAATTCGTGCCAACGAAGTCGATGTTTTCGCAATGGCTTTCGGTGGTGGTAAGGAATGGACTGGATTCTTAAAGGAGCGTATGCAGATTTGCAATGATCTTTGGAAGAATGGAATTAAAGCTGAATTTTTGTATAAAGCTAAGCCTAAACCCAGACAGCAATTTGATGCAGCTGACAGGTACGGTGTACCTTTCGCCATTATCCTAGGACAGGACGAAATTGACCAAAATGCTGTACGTATAAAAAGGATGGGTTTGAAAGAAAAGAGTGATGAGGGTCAATTGGTATCCCGTGCTGATATGGTTAAGGTTCTTCAAGATCTCCTTGCCTCATCAAATTAATGAAATACATAAACTACCATTGGTTACATATAGATTTAAAATGGAAACAGTTTATTTTTGGGGATATCTATTTTATTTAAAAAATTTGTAACGATTGAAAAAGCTTAAAGATTGATAGATCGTTGTGATACAGCAAGATGAATCTTGTAAATGGACTTAAGAAATATGACTCGACTAGCTCTTACAAGCAAAGCATCAAAAGACATTGTTCTCGGGCGGCACAAACTGTCGTAAACGGACACCACCTTTTTCAAGTATCGATGCGCTGTGGGTATCCATACTGTAAGACATGCTGTAAACAACTATGTGTATTCGAATTAGTATTTCATATCTTGCAGTCAACAAACCTTCGCTAATGCCAACTTGAGCAATTTTCACCGAGCAAGTTAGACAGGGACATCTTTAACTAGAGTTAGAAAATGGTACGTAGATTTCAATATACGTACGTGTCACAATACAGAATACCATTGGATCCAATACGTTCACGTCCAGCTTCTAATAGAGCATTTTCCTCTGCGTGAAGACACAAGCACGTATGTAAGTCAGTACCACAAGACTGAGCAGAGTTACAACGAGGGCAGCCGCCGTCATTACAGTTTTTAATCCCTCTAGGGGTTCCATTATAACCGGTAGCAATAATGCGATTATCACGAACAAGAACACAGCCAACACGCCGCTTCATGCAGTTGCTTCTCATAGCAGCTAAACCGGCCATCTGCATAAAGTAACTATCCCAAGAGGGTCGGAATCTGTCATTGTTCATTACATCTGCGCATCTTAATTTATCCCATAAGATGGGTTTGTCAAAAGCGTCGTTGTTGATATGGACATGAGCCAGAGACCGCTGACGATTGACGCTATTATCGCTCTTGAAGGCTGCTTCATCTTGAATGGCACAAAATTGCTCGAGAGTAGTATTTTTTAAATGAGGGTAACTAGACTATAGAAGTTATTTTCCAAGAACAAATCAGGTATGGAGGACGAGAATGGAAGCATACTCTTCCAAGCTTGTGGAGTATCGCTTCGCTTCTACCTGCAGATGGGAAGGTCGTTGTCAGTCTCCAAGAACCTGTTTGTTCGCGGGAAATAACTCACAATAAGACCTGTTAATAATACAGTACAAGATTACTTAGGGAAAAAGACACCCCACTTACCTTGTGTACCGACGAAAGCGAGTAAGAACAGGAGCATCAACGTAAACAAGAAGGAAAAAGGGTCGTTTTAAGATCCCATTAAGAAGTTGAGTAGAAGGAATTCCATTTATGACAAAACGGCTTCGCCAATGCTGGGTTACATAGTCTATTAGAGCATTGACTCCTACTAGTATTTTATTGTCGATTTGGTAAACAATGTCGGTTCGTTCATCCGCCTTGTATACTCGCTCAATAGGTTTGAAACCAAGTTCTGTAACTAAAAATTCTACTAAAGTGTCCTTACCACTGCATACAGGACCAGTAAGCCCTACAAGTGGCATTTTTTTTTTGGCAGGGAGATTACTGAGAGACAATTTATGTTCTTTCTTTGTAAATTATGTTTTTCTTGAATAAATAATATGGAAAAGCTTTTTGACAAAGAGGGATATCCTTTTGACAACAAAAGAAGTGTTGCAAGGGTTTTATGGATAGTTATAATTTAAAAAATCGGACTGTCAAATCAAATGAGAATGTATCCGTTCATGGAAGATTCTTTCTTGCTAGAAAAGAGTTTTTTTATTTTCCATTCCTTGTTGGTTTTGCAAAAGCTTTAGAAATGCTCGTTGAATAAGCATTTTGCAATCCCTGCATAGGAAAAAGGAAAAGATGCCTACACAATGTTTAAGATAACCTCATATTGATTCAAGAATTTGAAAGTGTAAAATACTTTTCTCTCGACTCTTCAGACCCATGCTGAGGCCTATTCCGGCACTAAGCTATACATGCCTTTTCCAACAAACGAACTTAGAAGAGCGAAACTGTTGGAAAAGTTCTCATCATTTGGTAGTTTTTGAAAAGAATTTTATTAATATAGGGTTTTTGTTTATTTGAACGTGCAGATATCAAGGAAACAGCAAATTGTAAGGATTGAGGTTGAAGACATACAATGAGATGAATCCAGGTAATCCGACTTCTGCTGGATTGTGGACCAAATTTAAGCAATTCTGGAAGAATGCTAAAAATGAATATTTGGAGTGGGAAAAACAACAGCTGAACGAGCCATCGGCTAGCTCGCTAGAAACACAAGATAGAAACTCAACGACGAAGAAGTCTGATATACAATTTATCCCTCCTCCTAATCATCCTTCTAGAAAGAGAAAGAGGCAATATGCGGGTGAAAAGTCTCCCAAGAAAACGGTCGCAAGTGGTCGAACCCCTAAACAGAAAACACTCCGAACGGATGAAGTCCAGTCAGAGTTGTCTTCACCAAACAAGCCTGTTCATCTTGATCTCAATAATGACGCTTCTTTCGATGCTCCCTTTTTAACCCCTATAAATGATCTATCACCTTCACGTTCTCGATTTCATTCACACCGACAACCCTTGCCATCTTCTTCTTTCCGTGCCTCCGAATCTTCCATTCGATCCAGGATTCCTTCCCGTTCTTCTCCATCTCCTTTTCATTTCCATGATCCTCCAACACAAACGGATCCTCCTTTCCCTACCTCCTCTCCGAAAACTGCTGCAGATACGAATTCCGACTCATTGGTTCTGTTTCAACGGCTTGAAAGTATTGAATCTATGCTGCACAACTTACAAGATAAATTGAGTCACTATGAACGAAATGCTAGCACGAGCCCTTTTTTGTTTGGACCTCCGAATGGCGCTTCTTCTCCTTCGTTACCGAATTTCCCTGTCCATTCGACTCCTCTTCAATCAAAATCCTCTCAACGAGAGAATTCGAATGCACAAGTTGATCACCAGAACCTATTGTCCAACAGGACGGGAATATCTGGTTCAGTTGAAGAAACCCATCAAATAAAGGAGAATGGTAAGGAGCTTTACGAACTTAGTGAAAGCTCAACTGAATCTGAAGATTCACTAATTTTGGAAGAATTCTCTGAATCTCGTGCTTTCAATTCACCGAGAGCCACTCAAGATAAGTATTTACAAACAATGGATGCTAAGAAAGGGAATGGCAATAAGGCATCATATAATACTTCTTCCTCTTTAACCCTTGGGAATCGCACTGAACCTGCAAATCAAAATGTATTCAATACTTCTACTCCAATTTCCAATCGGACTGCACTGTCTGCTGACGAACCTAAGGAAATAAAAATAGAGACTCCGGACTTCTCGAATAATAAAGACAACATCTTAGCAAACGGTAATAAGGAAGTGGTTTATCATGAAAATCATAAGGAGAAAGATGTCGGTTCGGGCTACACAAATAGTAAAGGTGCTTCTTCTGACCATATATCTACTAATGACAAGAGTATGCCGGTTACAGGTACATCTAGCGGTAGGCCGGACATTAGCACAACCATGTTTGAACAACTAACTCCCATCCCTAAAACAACATGGAGTCACTACAGCGATAAGCAAGAAAGTTCAAATCCTTCGATTGAACATTCTGTAAGAAGACCTTCAAGGAATAGCCAGAATCAATCTCCAAGGCGGGAGGAAGAAAGTACACGTAACGACATCGAGCATACAAAAGAGGCACTTGCAAGGCTTCGAGCGAAGATGCAAGAGCGTTTAAAAAGGCACAACGCAGAAAAAAGAAATCAAAGCTAAGAGCCTCATCGCGGGCGATGAGCTCTGGGTGATTGGACGTTTCCAGTGTATTTAAACAAAGGAGGTGTAGGTAATAATATCATGGTTTTTATGTTGTATAATTTGTAAATGCATATCATTGATATGTTTTGTTGGAAGTAACGAAAGCTATAGCTGGCGTATTAAGAATAAAAAGATGTACTCAAGAACGGTGCCTGTACTATTTCCGTCCCAAACATACAAAATATGCTTCTCTAGATTCTTTTATAGATGCTTTTGGCTTTTCTACGTGGACGCGTTTAAAAATCTTCATTAGAGACTTCTGAAACTCTTGCTCTTCAGATCCCATATAATATTTGCAAACAAAAAAACCCCCAGGACGAAGAAAGGTTTTGGCTAATTGAAATGCGGAGTTACATAAATCCTAAATTTGTTAATTGTAGATCTGGGAGCTGCTTTACTTGGATATTTTCGTACCATGGATACGGCATGATCTCGAATGCGTATGCCTGTAGTCGAATGAAGCCTAGCAAGAGTTAGGTAAGGAGCGACTAATCATTGGGCAATCCATACATATCACTCAAAACTGTATCTACAGTCAAATCATCAGCCTTTGATTGCTGTCGATGTTGATGGAAAGCATCTTGTATTTTGGCACGTGTTTGAGGTTCCAGCATGTCACCGTACACCGGAAGGACTCCTTGCGGCGGTGCTACATTTTGAATGTCTACTGCAACAACCAACCCTTCAGAACCTACAGCCCTCGAGGCTACTTGAGACCAGGAGCCTGGAGCGAACCCCTATACATAGTCAGTAACAAACCCAGAAAGTATCCTTCAAAACCGTTCCTACCAAATCAATGACACGAAATCCATTTTTTAAGAATCTGTGCTTTTGGTTTAGCTTCAAGAATTAGTAATTCTTGTTGCAACAGAATATTCATAATTCTCATACTTCGAGCAATTTGTAAGCAGCTCTAGATCGATAGTTATCAATTTTGGATTGTTTACGAAAAGCATCTCTTGAACGTTTAGCAGCCCATGACCAAAAGGGAAGCGTTTGCCTCATTTCATTCCGTGGATTTGGTGTTTACCTGGACCCAGTAAAGTCAGAAAAAAAACTTGAAGAAATAGAGAAATCGAACTTTTAGAATGAAGATAGCTCAGCTCCTTTAGTAACAATAGCAACAGCAGCTTTTTTATTTTGTTTTGTTTTTGCTTACATGTACCAGCAATGATATCCTTCAAAACAGATCTGACATTCTTCGTCTATTGAATGAAACATTCCATTTGACTGTGGAATGACATCGCTTAAGTTTCTTTCCATTTCTAAACCTATCAAATTGTTTCATTGCAATCCATATACATATAGTTTCTGTCTGCAACTTTCAAAATGTATGGATTTACAAGTCATAGAAAGTACCCGAAAAATTGGTCACAAGAATCATTTTCTAACATTTTTTATTTGTTTCTTAAAGAAATTCCATCCTATACAATGAAGCCCCATTCCAATGTTGATTTCTCGATTAATCAGCATTTCCTTTCCATTTGTTTACCCACTGTTTGTTTATCAACGAAGGTTATATACCTTTTGCTGTTATAGGAGTCTTACGTTCTTTTTTCATTCAACCCTCTGTTTCAATTGCGTAACTGAGTATACCACACTAATTTTAAACAACGATACACAAAACTTCATTATCCAAAATTTATGGCTAGACAAGACCTGTATGACACTTGAACATGTCCTACGAAACGAAACCCGAATAACAATACCCAAAGTAATACGTTATAGTTATATAATGAAGCTTAAGATACACCACTATCTCAGATGCATAAACAAGTCAAAGGACGCGTCTGCATTTATCCATAACCATGGTTGTCTCTATTCTCGATTATGGGAGCGGAAACGTACGCTCTTTAGTCAATGCTATTCAACACTTGGGATACGAAGTAGATTGGATTCGAAATCCCGACGAAATTGAGAAAGCTGAGGTATGGGAAAGGCTAATGAAGAATTGCTAGTTCGTCCATGAATGTTGGAAGAGATAAGTAAAGATTGATGCCGTTAAACGGGAATGAACCATCAGAAATGGATGAAAAGCTCGACTTCAGTATCACGGACGTGTTACTAACATTGTGTCAGTGCTTGATTTTCCCTGGCGTGGGTAATTTTGGCTTTGTTTGCGAATCTCTAGCAAAAGAAGGATATCTTGAACCGTTGCGCAAATATGCGCTCTCTGGAAAGTTGTTTATGGCTGTATGTGTCGGTATTCAAGCTTTATTCGAAGGTTCGGTAGAAGCACCTGAATACAAGGGTCTTGGTATTTTCCCTGGTATGGTGCAGAAGTTTAATAGCAAGGACAAGACTGTCCCTCACATTGGATGGAATTCCTGTGCTGTTCGTTCCAATACCCAAAAAGAATACTACGGCTTAAAACCCCATGACAAATTCTACTTTGTCCATTCCTACATGATTCCCGCTACGAATTTGCAGCTTCCTAGTGATTTTCATGTGGCTACAACTCGCTACGGTGATGAAATGTTTGTGGGTGCTATTATGAAGAAAAATTTCCTTGCTACACAATTTCACCCGGAAAAAAGTGGTGCTGCTGGTTTACGCTGTATACAAGCTTTCTTATCTGGAAATTATGAAAAGCCCATTAGTGGCATGGACACTCAATTGCTAGAAAACGCTGCCGGAGGTTTGACAAAGCGTGTCATTGCTTGTCTTGATGTCCGTTCGAACGATGCTGGCGATCTCGTTGTTACCAAAGGTGATCAATACGACGTTCGCGAGAAAGCTAATGCTGGTGGCGAAGTTCGAAACCTCGGAAAACCTGTTGAACTATGTCAACGCTATTTTGAAGAAGGTGCCGATGAAGTTGTTTTCTTAAATATCACCTCATTTCGCAATTGTCCGTTAGTAGATGCTCCTATGCTTCAAGTGCTCGCTAAAGCTGCTCAAACCGTTTTCGTTCCTTTGACTGTTGGTGGTGGTATCCGTGAAATCATTGATCCTGATGGTACAGTGCATTCCGCTGTTGAAGTAGCAGGCACTTATTTCCGTTCGGGTGCCGACAAGGTGTCCATCGGCAGTGATGCTGTATATGCTGCTGAGCAATATTATGCTAATGACCAAAAACTGACTCGAACCACCGCTATCGAGACCATTTCTGCTGCATACGGTTGTCAGGCTGTTGTTATTTCCATTGATCCTAAGCGCCAGTATGTCAAAAGCCCTGATGAGACCAAGCATCATGCCATCAAAACTCCCCATCTTGGTCCAAACGGAGAAGAATATGCTTGGTATCAATGTACCGTAAAGGGTGGAAGGGAATATCGTGATATGGATGTTGTTGAATTAGCTAGGGCATGCGAAGCTATGGGAGCTGGTGAAGTCCTTTTGAACTGCATGGATCAAGATGGTTCAAATGCTGGATATGACATAGAACTAGTCCGTCTCGTTAAGGGATCCGTCAACATTCCCGTTATTGCTTCTAGCGGTGCAGGCGTTTCTGAACATTTCGAGCAAGTATTTAAGGAAACCGATTGTGATGCGGCTCTTGCTGCTGGTATATTCCACCGCAAAACTTGCAGTATTGAACATGTAAAAGAACATCTTCAAAATTCAAACGTTCTTGTGCGATTTTAATGATGGCTACTGGTAACATTTTGAGACCTTTCTTTTCTTTTCCCTTTCTTTTTTTTGATTTAAGGCCCCATAGAAGTATGTACAATAGGAATTGTTTATTAGAATATTCTTTTAGTTATCGACAATAAGAAATTAATTAGTCTTTATGAGGTTTTTTTAGTCTTGACATAATAAGCATAGAAATATCTTTGTCTAGCGTAAGTATAGTGACGGCATAAATAATCGCCAATGTAGGTGCGGATGCTATAAACAAAAGCAATCTAATGTTATGTATTTCAAATTGATGAAGAAGGGTTCTGCTGATGGCTGAAAATAAACCAGCTAACAAGCTGATAAACAGCCCTGGCAACGACTCAGAGAATTTGAGGGAAGGAAAATTTTTATGAACAAAATGAATAACGAATAAGATACGGATTAAAAGATTTGAGATGTTGGCCAAAACAAGTCCACGAGCTCCTAAAGATAACCAATCCAAAAAGACTTTCCCACTGACAAAATACAAGATGGTAGAAAGCAAAAAGCATCTACCCTGACTTAATAACTGCAAAGAACTGGCTGTAGATACAAAAAAAGCCTCCAAAACACCGTTCGCAGCCATAAAGGGAATGTAAAATGCATACCAAGATAAAACACTAGCGCTTTCGTCTGAAGCCCATTTCTTACCAGCGCCGAATAATAAAACAATATTTGAATAATTATATCCGAATATGATGAACATAGTTAAATAGAAATATAACTTTAGAATCCAAAGAAGAAGAACAGTCGCTTTCTTGCGATCTTGTTTCTCAGGTGAATGCGTCAACTGTGCAAACACAATTCGAGAATGCTCCTCCAATGGACGAAAAACAATTCTGGCTATTAGAGATCCATAATTCGAGGCTAACGCATAAGGCCCTTGTACCGAAGGTGTAGCATACCATGCAATCATTATTTTGTCGCCTTTCGTCATTAGATGCTTAAGCAAGAGATGAAACATATGAGAAGAAATGACACGGAGAAAAGAATCCTCCCAATAAACCAATTTCCCTTCATGTAAAACTCTTCGAGGTATAATGAATAGTGACTTTTCATTAGCAACTGAGTATAAAGTGATAAAATTAACAATGGATTCCATAAGCGTTCCTACAGCAAACGGGAGAACGGAAAGATTTTCACTTTGAGAAAAAAAAGAAATTAAGAATGAGGTTACTGTATTGGAAATAATTCCTAGACCCTCGGCGGAGGCAGTAGGGGAGAATTGTCTTCTCCAATGCAAAATTTGATAATAAGGCTCTGAAAGAAGGTAAAGGAAGCCAGCAAAAGAATATAATAATATACAAATGGTTTTGTAAGGAAATATTGGCATAGCGTACATATAAAAAAAAGCGACAAGAATGGAAACGATGATGCCAGCATAAACCGTAATCACAGAAGCGTTCTTAACCAGCTGAAGTCTCCCAGAACGGTACTTGGAGTCTGGGACTGGTGCTTTAAACGTATCTTCAAGACAGTTCTCTTGAGAAGGCATACGTTGCATAGCAAGACGGACCGATTCCCTACTTATGAACAGGATCGTGCTCCTCAGAATTTCAAAATGAATCGATGAATATGCATATGCTTGAGGACTCGTGAAGCGAATCGTTAGCTGATTCAACACGAAAGTTAAACCTCGAGAAATACTTTGAAAAAAAATCGAAGATCCAAGACCCTTGGAAGAAGAACGTAATAATGAATCTGACGCAGACATCTTAGAAAAGCTGGAGGATCCACCTTCAACCTTTTCATCCATTTCAATTACAAGTACAAAGGCCAAAACAGAAAGAGCGGAGAGAAGCTATTGAATGTTAATAGACCACTAAAGAAGCATCTGTAACAAAAATCCAACTATTAATTGTACGATTCAATGGGGCTTAAGCTACCTTTCAGGTATACTGCTGCTTTCATTTCTTCACAGCATTCAAACCATGAATCACATATATGATTATATAAAAAATGCTTTTCTACTATAGGCATATTATATGCTTAGCTTTACATGTTCATTGTTATAAGTAATCATATTATACATAATACAACATAGATATGCTACTAATACCCTTCTTATATATATATGCTTGTATATATGTGAATGAAAATAAAGTGTATTTCATGGAGAATATGGGATCAAAAAGAAAATAATACGAAGAAAAGAAGACTTTAAAAGCTATTGAAATTCAATTTATTTATAGGAGGACCATTTTTCGATGCGAGCATTCCATGTCTTGCATCTCGTAAATTTAAAATGTTCTTCAAAATAAAAGAAATCGTTGTCCTGTGGAAAAGGTGCTGTTTACCGATAAACATAAAGTAATTATTGTTATTTTAGGCTTAAGAAAGAATTTCTACGTTGTTTAAACGAAAAACTATAGGAAGGATTTAGCCTGGGTTTGATTGAAAAGTTGTCTGGTTTGTTGGTCCTGTATTCACGATTCTTGAGGAAGATATAGTTTTTTTGAATGCAAAGAAAGCCATACTAAACGGAAAAACTACAGGCTGGTTTTTCTATTCTGTTTGTGGTGTATGAATCGCACCCTATTTGGTTCAGACCTTTTGTGAGTGGAAAACGAAGTGTATAGCTAGATATTAGAATCAGCAATTAGTTTTTGTTCCCTTTTGTTTTTATTTGTTTTTGCATTTCTACCGCCAGGATGGTAGAGACATCTGTTGAAAAAGTCGAAACGACTGTCCCAAAAGATCCGAATTCCAAAGGTGAATCCAATGTTTTAATAAAACTCGTCTCTGAGCTTCAAAGCTTACTGGGAAATGAATATGAGACGTATACGATGTGTATTACAGACTTCATCGTTGGCCAGTTGAGCCGCAAGGAATTAAATAACCTACTGTCCAAGTACTCTAATGATCCAAAATTTGGTAAGAAGAATTATGGATAATTCAACTACTAACGGTTAGTCAAATTACACAACCAATTTATTCTAAGCATAGTCAAAGACTTACAGAGATCAGGGAAGTCTGCTGTGAATAAATTGCCGTGGGTGAAGCGAAAGCGATCTGATGGAGCATTGTTTGTTCACAAAAAGTTTACTTCTCATAATGCACAAGCCAAAAAGTTGAAAAAAATCATCCTATCTCTAAGCTCCAAAGATCGGGAAAGGATTAAAGCGGTTTTGAAGGTAAGTAACGAACTGATCCTTGGAATCCTTGATTCTGAATCTCTATTTGCTTTTTGGAAAGCTAATTTAATATATGTTTAGGAAAAATCCAGCACTCCACCTCAACTTCCTGGTCTATTACTTGAAACGAGGATTGCAAAATTACCCAAAATTCCAGTTTCCCGTGATAAACTAAATTCTGGTACTTACTCAATTGTTATATATTCTCTAACACTTTTTAGTTTTTGTTAATGATATTAAAGCTGGTTATGTTGCTCCCCTTGCCTCAGAAACTTTGGAAGTCCCCGATGCCGATTCACTTAAAGAACGTATAACTGCTATTGCTTTAGAAAATGGGTTATTGGGCGGAATAGAAAAATCCGTGCCTGAAGTAATATTAGCAGGATTGGAAAACCATATAAAAAATATTTTTTCAAAGTGCTTTTCAATTATGGATAGACTACTGGATAAAAGACGGCACCATGAGTCTTCATTTACGATACAAGACTTAAACTTAACTTTGTCTATTGAACCACATATGCTTGTTGAAGAGTATCCTCATGATGCTAAAATTCCTTTTTTACTTCACGACGCCGCCATGGAGGATGAATTGAGTACAACAACAAGGGATTTCTCTGCTCCCGTGCCTGATTACATGAAGCCAATGGACGCATCTTTTGAAGAGCGCGAAGCGGTAGCTGCTTTGCTAGACGATGTGCTCCCTTCAGAGTAAACAATCAATGACTTTCAGTTGAGGATATTCTGAAAGCCTTAATCTGTTTTTTGTATGTTCATTTTCGTTTAATCTTTTTATTTCGTCTTGTATGCAAATAATGAATTACCTTTTTGAGATGAATAAGAACTTCCTATTTTTATTAACAAATACCACTATTAAAAATTTATTAGATATTAAAAAAAATTAGAGTACCAAAAAAGGAAATTAACAAGTTTTAGAAGATGATTGTATTTTCCGGGGAAGAAAACATAGTTGAAAAGATGATCGCACACACCAGTAAATTAGATACGCATATCGGTTACAGTGTCAATACCAGCGTAGGGAGTATCATGACGAGCTTCCCGGATAGTTTCGCTTTCACCGATTCCTTCATCTAGAGGAAGGACATCACGAGTTGCTTCCTTCATAGTAATAGTACCTTTCTCACTATTCTTTTCTGTGAAAGATGGTGTATTGCTCATTTCTAACTCCATATTCTCATTCAGTTTACGATCATTAGGGTCTTCCCAGAATCTCTTTTCACCATGAAGCAAACGTTTGACCCAAGGAGGCAACAAACCACCTTCGACACGCCAAGTCCAAGGTTCCTTCTGGTCGTAATCGCCAGGAGTAATTCTGCCTCTGGATGCTTTGTCGATGATGTAAATGATAGTATTCAAAACGATGTATGAAATGATACCAGCAATTAAACCATAAGCAATTGAATAAGTAAAAGGCATCAAAGCAATCGTAATAAAGGCAGGAATGGAATCACCGAGATAACTCCAGTTAATAAGCGCTGAACTTTTCATCATCAAACTACCAACAAGAACCAAGGTAGAGCCGGTGGCCCATACGGGAATACTGGAAAAGATAGGAGAAAAGAAAAGAGATATGAAGAAGCAGATACCAATGATTATACCGACAATTCCTGTTTTACCGCCGGCAGAAATACCGGAACCAGACTCGATAAAAGCGGTGACGGGTGAGACTCCGAAAAGAGACCCGATCGAGATACTCAAAGCATCGACGAGATAAGCAACGGCGGATCCTTCAAAATCTTGGGTTCGGGAATCGACGAGGCCAGCATAATGAGCCATGGAGTACAAAGTACCAGTCATATCCATAATATCGACATAGAGAAAAGTAATTAAAGCAATTGCAAATTGACCACCAGTAACTTTCCAGTTTTGAGCAACCAAAATGCTGTTAATTTTACGAAAGCTAACGACCTTTTTGAAAAAGTTAAAGTCGGAATCGCCGCTTTCAGTGTGGGGAAACATGGTAATTTTGGATCTACGAGGCCAACTGGCAATGGTGACAAGAGCAATACCAGCAAGGACTGCTCCTTTGAAACGGTACATCATGAGAACAGCGGTAAAGACACCACCGCAAAATATACCTACCCACATGCGAGCAGATTGCAATTCATGGCCATTACAAGTATAGTCAGACGAAAGATACTCTGGAGGACAACCACCAAGACCAACGATATCGGAAGTAGAATGGCCAACGACACCCAGACCAGCACTAGGAGTCAAGCCAATAATGGTTAAATATAGGCCGATACCAGCACCCGTTGCAAATTTAAGAGAAGTAGGAATGGCACGAGCTAACCATTGACGAAGACCGATGATAGTAAGACCGGTGAAGATGAAGCCTTCAACAAAAACGGCCAAAAGAGCTTCACGATAAGGCACACGACCAGTACCATTGAAACCAACGACCTGATAGGCAAAATAAGCATTTAAACCCATACCCGGAGCCATTCCAACAGGCATATTAGCAAATAAACCCATACATATAGAAGACAAACAAGAGATAGCCGCAGTAGCTGTGACGACGTCGCGGTGAAAGTTTTGTTTACAGCTTGCGAAGGTTTTATCGCTATCGCAGTCATTGGGGTCGGAGGCGGTACATTCGCAAGGACCACCAGTATCTATCATAATGGAAGCGTTAACGGCAAGGATATAAGCCATAGCACAGAAGGTGGTTAAACCAGCACGAATTTCAACACTAAAACGGCTACCTTTACGTTCGCGAGGATGCCCACATCCTTCGAGACGGAACCAGCGACCGACGGGACTGCGGGCAATTCTGAGGTCCATTTCTTCAACCCATTCGCCGATGCGTTGCATAACCTTCATATTTTAAATAAAACTGGATAAATTAATAAACCTACAAAAGACTGAGATGAAACGACCAATACAAATCAACAAAAGACTAAAATCAAGAATTGAAAGAGGAGGAAAAGAAACTAATTCTGTACCCAAAAAAAGTTTCAATTAAAAAAATGAATAGAAGCTATTACGCCAATGGAAAAAGAAGAAGAACAGAAAGACTTAGGCGAATCTAATACCAGCAAAACCCTTAACGCGCAGTACAATGCAAAATTATTTATGATTGAATGAACCAAACAGCAATTGACAGAGCCAAGAAAGAAAAATCAATTGTATAAGGAAGAGTCGATGTTTTTCTGTGGCTTTTCCAAAAGATTAGCAATGGAATTGCCGAACAACGTGGCAGGAAGCGAAGCGGTTATATAACCAAGACAGGGATAATTATGGATTAAATAGTTAACAAAAACTAGCGTTTTAAGAAAAAATTTTAAATGGGTTATTGGAAGATACAGCGCCGTTGCTACCTAAAAGTAACAAAAATTGGGTTGCGATAGAAAATGTGATAAACGTTAAAGTCAGAAGGGAAGAACAGCCAAACAGATCCCGAGCAGATAATAAGTGAGGGGCTAGATAATCAATGGAAAAAAATGCCCGATAGTTGATGAATAGGATTCAAGAGAGAAAGCAGATAAGGATTCGGATAAGTAACAGAGGCAATTTCGTGTGGAAATAGTCACTGTAAACAAACCAAAGAGAATGAATAGTAGGAAGGGAGAGAAGACGAGAGATGGAAAAGACAAGACTGATCTCAGTGTAAACAAATAATTTACAAAAGGACAAGAAAGGCACAGTCAACTTGTACCAAAATAGATAAATAAATAAATAGAGAAAACAAGAACAAACCCAAAAAAATGCAGAACGAGTTGGGAATGGAATGTTTTCCGCAGTCGTTGTGTAGTTGGATTGAGTTTGGAGACGAACGAAAGGGATATGTACCGACTTAAGTAGAAAACCCAATCCAAAGCTTGATAAGATTAGGATTGATTAAGGAGGAGCAAGCGACGAGGCTACGAAAAAAAAAAAAGGAATTTTATCCTCCATGTTATATCTATAGGCATAAATCAAGAAGTATAGGAGTTAATCAGCCGAAATATCGAAAATAACAAGAGCTTTTATCGCCTATGAGAGCTTACTCGGCATTACGACTCGCTTTCTCAAGTGGGGTTTCGTGTAGGGTCAGCATTTAGTAGGAAAGTAGAAAGCATGGCTCTTATAATAAACTTGGTAATCAGTTAGAAAAATGCCGAAACAGAAAGAAAATGAATTCCAATAGAATTAAAGAAGAAAGCAGAAAATACATTTCCTTGATCGCTTATATTTTTTATTAACGAGATTTCTCGAGCTTTTCTGTGATATTTTTTGTTTTATATTAGAATTCTTGTTTGTATATTTCTTTCCTTGCTAGATCATTGTTTCCCCACAAACAATAAACGAAATAATAGAGTCATAGCGGGTCATCGAATCAACCAACCAAATCCAACAAAAGCGTGCGATTAATCAGGGGAACGAGCTTAAAAACGTTACGACTTTACTACACCAAAAATAACACGAGATTTGTGAATTATCAGGTTGTCGAATTTGCTGTATACATAAATGCCTTACTTCCGTTGCAAAACAATACAGTCTTGTTGATTTATATCTTATTACAAAGGGTTCCTTTTCGAAAAGCTTACGTTTCTTCTTTTTATTTTTATTTTTATTCGTACTTTTCGCTTTTTTTTGTTTTGTCTCCCTGTGATTTTGATTTCGCGTATCTTTTTCTTTTTAAAAGTCAATAACTCTACATAACGTGCTAGTCATCAATCTACGCAAAGATTCATTATTTCGCTTCCAGAAGCTTTCCAGACTTTTTTATTATTTATAAAGTCATTCGATACCGGAAGCGTTTCTTCCGACGGTCCTTGATATACGTACGACCTGTCCCATCTGATAATATATATATATGGTAACGCTCCGACCTGCATTGTCTGTTGTTCCGAATCATTTACGAGTTACGCAAAAACACACTATAGGAGTTTGCAAAACCCTTAATTCTCGTTATATAGCTGTTTGTTGGTGATTTTGTCTCCTGCCTTTAACAATAACAGCTTTCTCAGAAGAACGTCTTGTGAATAAAAACACTCTTTATTAAAGGCAAAGCAGGGAAAAAAATTGCTTCCAGTTTCTTTTTTTCAGGTACACGACCTTAGAACAGGCAGGAAAAGTCTCTAGTTCGTTGATTGGTAACTGAGCGTGTGCTGTGGAATTTTCTCGCTCATCTTTTTGCTTTTCCGCGTGTGCTTGACTTTGTGCGAATCTGCTAGGAATTTCTGAGCTTCAGCTGGTTCTGTTATTGTTGCTCTTTCAAGATTTCGGGTGAAAGATTCATTTTGTGAAACTCAGGTATTTTTTAAAACACCTGTTTCCGTTCTTTCATTCCTCTATTATTCTTTTCGTTTTGGGTCCCTATTAGGTTCACACATATCGTCTGTTTTGCCATCATGGTCACGAAATGGGAAATGCTTACTACCTGGAATCCAGTTACGGCTTCCTTAATCTCGCCTATCCTGGTGTATTGGGTGGCCTCTGGATTCTTTGCTTTTCTTCATTGGTTGAAGTCACCTTTTTTTGAAAAGTATCGTATCCATTCTCCCGAGGAGTTTACTAAGCGTAATCGCGTTCCCCACTTGGCTGTTTTTGGCGCCGTCGTCTTTCAGCAGGTCTGTGAAATTGTCGTCGGAGTCGCCTTGGCTCTTTTCGAAGGCTACCCCGAACCTGTAAATCATCAATTGCAACTTTTGCGTTATCGTGCCTTTTTTGAAAAGAACTTTCCGGCCATTATCGATGCTCTCCCCTTTCTCCCCTCTCTCGCTTACAATTATTTCGTACCCCTATTCCAATACATCCTTGCCTTTTTCATTATCGATACCTGGCAATACTTTTGGCACAGATACTTGCACTACAACAAGAAACTCTACAACATGATCCATGCTCACCATCATCGTTTACAGGTCCCTTATGCCATGGGTGCTCTATACAACCATCCCTTTGAAGGTTTGATTTTAGACACTTTGGGTGCTGGCGTTGCCTATCTCATCGCTGGTTTAAGCGCTAACCAAGCAATTGTTTTCTTTACCTTATCCACTTTGAAAACTGTTGATGATCACTGTGGTTATCTTTTCCCTTACGATCCTCTTCAAATCTTCTTCGCTAACAATGCTCGCTATCACGATCTTCATCACCAACCTTACGGTTTCCAAAAGAACTTTTCTCAACCCTTCTTTACTTTCTGGGATCACGTACTGGGCACCTATATGGCTCCTAAGGCTGAGAGCATGATTGAGCGAAAGCTAAAGGGCACTAATACCAATGAAGTTAAGAAAGTTAACTAAACTTGTTATATGTCACATTTGCTCTTTTTCTTTTCCTAACTTAAACTCTACAATAATTGTTAGTACTATAATTCTGTACTTTGCATGTTTTAACTATACTTTATTGTTATTACATTTTTCCTCTTTTTTGTTTACTAACAGGAATCTCTTTGCTAAACCTCTCTCCTGTTCCGTTCTCTTCTCCACTCATTTTTTTCACTTTTAACATTTTAATTTAATGCTGACCAGTTCAACTTTTTGCAAGTGTCTGTGCGTGTTCTATCGAGTGTAAACTATTCGTTAATATACAATCCCTATTCTAAAGGATGCATTACTTATCTTAGATGGTTTTGTTTTAATTCCGGCTGGTACGACAATCAAAAAAAGGGTTTTTTCTAAAACGGTCCTTCCCATTATTGGACCTTTTCCTTTGAATTAGTAAAAAGGGCTGTTTCGTCGTATTGGTCTTTTATTTATATCGATAGTATTTTGCTTCTCATCATTTTTAAATTCTTTTTTCCATCATCAAATTTAAATACATTTGTTTGCTCGCGTTCATTTTCTACGTGAGTATTACTTTCAGTATTTCGTATAATGTTTGTAATTGTAGCAGCAATCATACCAAAGCAATCTCCTCTTTTCCTTCTGTTGATCCTTTATTCTTTACTTTTTTTGTTTGTTTATTTTTTCCTGTTCAATTTTTGAAACGCGACGCGAACGCGTGTGTCGTACTTGCTTTTACCCATACACTGCAAAAGAGCCAATGCTTGTTTTGTCGAATTCGTGTGAAAAGCTGGAAGAATTATTATTGATTTTGTAATTATAACAAAAAAATCTTCTCAAGTACGTGTTGAAGCTTCATTGAAGGAGTCGTCTTCGGCGAATGGAAGAAATAGCTTCTTGTCTTTAACGAGCAAATACGTCTTTACCTTTACGTTTCATTTAAAAATATATTATACAAGATTCTTTTATCCTTTCGCAAATACTATAGTTGGAAAAGTTTTGGACTCTTTACAAAATTGGTTTTCTATAATTTCGCGCTCTTTTATTGACTGATCCTCTTGCTGCTTCTTTGGACAAGGCAGTAGATATAACGGAAAGTCGATTTATCTTTAAACTTTAATGAATGTTCTCTTGTCTCTCTTTATTGAAATATAGTCGTTCTTTTCGGTGCTACTTTCCTAGGATGTTTCAGAGAGCTCAACAGAAAAACACTTTAGCTTATTCCCAAGCAAAAGGAAACGCAAATGTCAATAGGGATATACATAACTACTCTTCAGATACTTTCCAACCTGCTGTTCAGGCTTCAGAAGCAGTTAACCTCCCTTCCCCCCAAACAACTGCTCCTTTGAAGAGAGAATTTTCAAACACCATTCTTCAGAACCTAGATGAAAACGATGCCTTTGAGTCTTCAGATCCAGCGTTGCCAATTTTCAGTCCTACTGACGTGCAGGAAAGAAATACTCCTGATACTCTACATGGAGTTTACATAGATGAAAACGATATCGATGACGATTTTGCCGTTGAATCTGAAATTAACCAAAGAGCAATTCCTTGGTCATCATCGCCCGTCGAGCATACTAGGTTAACTGGATCCATGATTGCAAATGCTAACCGATCTACTTCTACACTTCCTCGTCTGGTTGAAGAGGCCTCTGGAAGTCCCACAACTCAAAGGCCTTTGGCTCGTTCGCAAAAGAATCCAATCAAGCGATCTCGCACTCTTCCATGGGCTTTAGATCCTTTTCGATATGGAGATCCAACTCCTCCCAAAGAAGAAAGTATCAAAATGGAACCCGAAAAAGGTTATGCAAAGAGTGAGTTTCAAAAATCTTCAACCGGAGTCAGAAGTATTTCACTTGATAGCATGCCCAAATCTAGCACGGTAGCCCGAAATGGACGTATCACAAAAAAGGCGTCTGTTTCTACTACCGCTTCCAAAATTCCTGTTGACTCTTCTTTGTTTAGGACTGCTTCAGATCCTAATCGGAAACGGTCTGTCCCCAGTATTTTCCTTTCTGACGAACAAAAACGAATTTTGGATATGGTCGTTGAGCAACAGCACAGCATTTTTTTCACTGGTTCTGCTGGTACTGGTAAATCTGTTCTTTTAAGGAAAATCATTGAAGCATTAAAAAACAAACACCGAAAGCAAACAGACCGTGTCGCTGTTACTGCGTCTACGGGATTAGCAGCATGTAACATTGGTGGTGTTACACTGCATTCATTTGCAGGTGCTGGGTTAGCAAGAGAATCTGTAGATTTTCTTGTATCGAAAATTAAGAAAAACAAAAAAAGCATGACTCGTTGGCTTCGAACAAAAGTTCTCATTATTGATGAAGGTATACTGAAAGCATCCTAATATATTTACTAACTCTGATAGTTTCTATGGTTGATGCAGATCTTATGGATAAGTTAGAAGAAGTAGCTCGTGTAATTCGCAAAGATGCTAGACCTTTTGGAGGCATACAGTTAGTTTTAACCGGAGATTTTTTCCAGCTTCCACCTGTTCCCGATTCAGGAAAAGAAGCAAAATTTTCTTTTGAATCTAATACATGGAAAACTGCTTTGGATTATACCATTGGTTTAACCCATGTTTTTCGACAAAAAGATGAAGAGTTTGTCGGCATGCTTAATGAGCTACGTCTGGGAAGATTATCAGAAAACTCAGTTAGAAAGTTTAGGTATTTAAGTAGAGAAATCAACTATGCAGATGGACTTCTGCCGACAGAGCTATTCCCAACTCGTCATGAAGTCGAGCGGTCCAATGGTATGCGTATGCAACAAATCCATCAAGACCCATTAACCTTCACTGCTATTGACAGCGGCACCGTTCGTGATAAAGAATTTCGAGACAAGTTGCTTCAGAATTGTATGGCACCTGCAAACCTTGTATTAAAGATAAATGCACAGGTAATGCTTATAAAAAATATTGATGACCAATTGGTTAATGGATCTTTGGGAAAAGTTATTGGGTTTATCGATGAAGAAACGTATCAAATGGAGAAGAAGGATGCTGAAATGCAAGGAAGAAATCCTTTTGAATACGATACCTTAGATGTACTTCCGTATGATCTGCCCGATGTAAAGCAAAAAAAACATAAGTTGCTGGCCATGAAAAAAGCATCATCTATATCGACGAAATGGCCTCTTGTACGCTTCAAACTTGCCAATGGCGGCGAGAGAACCATAGTGGTACAAAGAGAAACTTGGAACATAGAGTTACCCAACGGTGAAATTCAGGCATCTAGGAGTCAAATTCCTTTGATATTAGCATATGCCATATCTATACACAAAGCACAGGGTCAAACCCTTGATCGAGTTAAGGTAGACTTGGGTCGTGTATTTGAAAAAGGACAGGCATACGTTGCTCTTTCAAGAGCTACTTCTCAAAAAGGTCTGCAAATACTTAACTTTTCTCCTTCTAAAGTTATGGCTCATCCGAAAGTTGTTCAATTTTACAAGCAACTCGATTCCGTCAATGGTATTCCTATTCGGAATGAAAACAAAGTCAAAACTGGTCCTTTTAAATGATGAATTACTCTGTTGAGTGGTTTAATACAGATACGTTTCTTGTAAGACTGGCTATTTATATTTAGACTTCGTATCTTGTTCAAAGTACATGTTTTGTGTGGGACTAAGAAGGTTCTTGGTGCACTTATTTCACATACTCTGTTGTTAATTTTATCTTTTTCTAATTGTCGTTTTGCAATTGATCCTAATAATGCAAATCATTTATTATCTAAGTACGTTGTCATGTAATCTAAAGCAATAAGAGATAAATGTTATCTGACCCATAGTAAAATTTGCATTTATAAATAGAAAAGGAAAGCCTTACTTTTTTAAAAGCAGCGATTTTCGTTTACATCTTTGCTACAAGCACGTTTCAACAGTAATCCGTTTCGAAACGAACACCAATTTGATTCTAATTCATTTAACTTGTATTTATTCTAGTCATATAGAGATGTAATTTTTCGAAAATGCATTTCAAATTTGATCATTTATTATTGTAAGGTGAGATACTTACATCCATATTGAAGATCCCAAGTTCTTGCAATTCGGCGCATTAGCTTATCATGCCATATTTTTTTTAAAAATACATTGCATTCTGAACTAAATTGAAACGAGTTTTTAGTTTTTTAACATATAAAGGATGAGGAGAATCGTAATCACTGGACTGGGAGCTGTAACTCCTCTAGGTTGTGGAGTTAAAAGGACGTGGGAAAAATTGCTCCAGGGAAGATCTGGTATTGTTTCTTTAAAAAATAAACCCGGATTTGAGTCCCTGCCGAGTCAAGTAGCAGGCTTGGTTCCCAGAGGCACTAATGAAGGCGAATGGAATCCTCTCACTTGTATTGATCAAAGTAAACTACGTGAAACAGCAACGTTTACTCAATTTGCTTTAGCTGCTTCTGCTGAAGCTTTAGCTGATGCCAAATGGGTTAATGTAACTGACGAAGAAAGGGAAGCTACTGTATGTTTGTGATAATCAAAGGCCGTCTTCTGGGGTAGACGCAGGCTTTGTAATTTAGTCATAAGGGCTTAAAGATGTTTGCTAACAGTGCTTTTTCAGGGTGTATGTTATGCAACTGGTCTGGGTAATTTAGAAGACGCCATTCAACAAAACGATATATTTGTGAGAAACGGAATACGAAAAATTTCTCCCAGAATCATTACCAAAGTCTTAATGAATATGCCAGCAGGCTACATATCTCAACAGTATGGTTTTATCGCATGCAACCATACTGTAACCACCGCCTGCGCTGCTGGCTGTCATGCCATTGGTGATGCCTACAACTTGATCAAACTTGGCCAAGCTGATGTGATATTAGCAGGTGGTTCTGAGGCATGCATAAATCCTTTTGTTTTAGCTGGGTTTTCCAAAGCCAGAAGTTTATCCACAAACTTCAATGAAGATCCATCAAAAGCTTCTCGCCCATTTGATTCGGAAAGAGATGGGTTTGTTATCGGAGAAGGCGCCGGAGCTTTGGTCCTCGAGGAACTCGAGCATGCCAAGCATAGAAATGCACCTATATATGCTGAAATTCTTGGCTTTGGTCAATCTGCCGATAACTATAATATAACGGCCCCAAATCCAAATGGGTCATCTGCGTACTTGGCTATGAAAAAAGCTTTGAGAAATGCCAACGTTTCTCCCCAAGACTTGGATTATATAAACGCTCATGCTACCTCCACTAAGCTTGGTGATGTATCTGAGAGTAGGGCCATTGCTACTCTTTTGAAAGGTACTGGCAAAGACCCTCAATCGCTTCCTGTGTCGAGCTCTAAAGGCTCCATTGGGCACCTTTTAGGAGCTGCTGGGGCAGTAGAATCAATCTTTACTATTTTGGCTATTCATGAAGTATGCACTATATCTTTATCTCTTTTACTAACCACCGTAGAAAATTATTCCTCCTACTCTAAATTTACAAAAAACCGATATCCCAGAAGAAGATCGGTGCGATTACGTTCCTAATGAAACCAAAGTAAAAACCGTTAATTATGCACTGTCAAACAGTTTCGGTTTCGGAGGAACAAATGCGTCTCTTTGTATAGGTTCCTATCGTTAAAAAACAGTAATCTAAAAGTTAATACCGGCAGTTAATTTAACGAGTGATTTTTTTAGTTATACAGGAAAAACATTTAAGAAAACTCATTAAAACATTATTTAGAAAAATAAAAGGAAAGAAGGTGACACGACATGCACTTTTCGAATTCTGTCTGAAGATCCTAGCGCATTTCTCCATAAGCTCCACGAACGTGGGTTGTATCGTAAGCATCGAGGATTCTGGATTGATCTTCCTCTCCTTGTGAAAATGCATATCCTCTCTGTTTGCGCATTCTTTGCATCTGCCGAATTTTGCGAATAGCCTTATGAAACCCAATCATTCGCGGTCTATAGTCTGTAACATTATACTTTTGTATCTCTTGGACGTAATGATACTCTTCGGGGTAGTACATTCTTGATGAGTATTTCCAAACGAAATCACGCATTAAAGCAAATGTAGGAAATACAAGTATTGAAGCCCAAAATTTTAGATTTCCATGCAGGTAAGGTATAATTCCTTTAAATTCCTTTGAAAACCCAATGGCTGGCGCAACTATAGAATAGATCGGCATGAAAACCAACCAAAAGACAAAAGACCCTAGAGTAGCAATAATCATGTAATGCGTCCAGTGATTACTGATAAGAGCGGCTTTACCTAAAACAGTAGCTAAAATAGTTGCATAGAGGGTGGTTCCCCAAACCCAATGGCCAGAAGTGGGGCCGTTAGAATTAGGGCCATCAGAGTCAAACACTGCAATCGAACATAAGAACAAAAGTAATGAATGATAGAACCCATTTGCTATCCATGCCCAAAATCGTTTTATATTAAAAAACTCTCCACGCTGTCCTAGCTGATAGAGTTGAGGATATTGATATAGTTGGCTTGCACTTACGAATTGGTCAAAAATTCCAATAACAATAGGAGGCAGAACTGTAAACAGAACGTTGTATAAAGAAATTGACCAGGATTCGTAAGTAACTTGCCCAGAAAAAGCATTACAGAAGGCAAACCAAAATTGAGTCATATAGAGAGCGACATTTTTATAAAATGAGTACAATATCAATTTGCTAAGGCGCTGGTAGCACCATGATCCATGAACCAACAACAGCTTTCTTAAATAGCAGAACTGAGAAATAGAGAAATCCGAACTTCTGACGGCCTGTAAGCCTTCCATTCCACTTATTCCGACACCGATGTTAGCCTCTTGAATCATAGGAACATCGTTGGCGCCGTCACCAATCGCTAATAAAATGGAATCCGTGTTTCGCTTTACCATCTTAACTACCAAAGCTTTTTGTAATGGTGATACTCGACAGCATATAACAGCACGGCATAGGGAAGCAAGCTCAAAGAAGCGCCGTTCAAGCGAACGCTCTAAAGCGAAGGTAAGAGAAACACCATCAATGATTAAAGCCATCGACTCTATACTTCCAGTATTATGTTCATTTCTATAAATGGAAGATAATTTTGACATAATGCTTTCGGCAGTGGCTTCTTTTGTTTGCTCATTTACAATGACTAGGCCCATATCCTCATCAATAAGTTTACAGCTCATTCCAATATTGATTGCGGTCTCTTGTCTGTCACCTGTTAAGACCCATATTTTTATGCCTGCAGTCTGTAGTGTTGAGATTGTATCAGGCACTCCATCTTGTAACCTATCCTCAATAGCTGTAGCTCCAAGAAGTGTCAAGTCTTTTTCAATCATTTCTGCAGCATCCATTAATTTTTGGGCTCTATCTACCAAACTTGTTGATGCTGCTTCGTAAATAACTGACCATTTTTGGTAATCGGAATCGGATATTTCTCTCATAGCGATACACAACGTTCGCAAGCCAACAGTTGCATAATCCTCCAAATGATGAATTGTAGTTTGAAGATACGGACACCCGCTAACAAGCCTGTCAAGGATGACAGTATCAGCACCTTTTATATACAATCTGACTTTTCCATCTGGACAACGGAAAACAATAGACATTCTCTTTCTCGTGGAATTGAACTCACATATGTTGAGCAATTCGTAGGTCTCTTCCTTATCAAATAATTTAACCGTAACGTATCGTGGTTTTCTAGCCAAAAATTCGTAACCAATGCTTACGGCTCCCTTTACTAATGCACCTTCATCAGGGGAAGAAGCCTGATATTTCATTAAATTGGATGTTTCATCAAACTCCGGAATAACAGTATGACAAATTGAGAGGACCAACAGAAAGTGATGAATTAATTCACCATTGCTGGAATTAAGATTTTTTTTTAAAGTAGAGAAGTCGTATACCAACATGTCGGAATCCAATTCTTCTGAATACTGGCGGTCTTCAGGGATAACATCGGCATAAGCTAATCCAGCGATAGAGCATTGACGAAACTCCATTTGGTTACGTGTCAACGTACCTGTTTTATCACTAAAAATATAACCGACCTGACCCAACTCTTCAACTAAAGAAGATGTACGACAAGCAGCCGGTACATCTGTTTCTTCATGGTACATATCAAGGTCACTACTAATAAGTTGAGCTTGTATATAACGGACCAATTCAAATGTAACAAAGAGAGAGATAGGAACAAGATTGGAGTACAGAATCCAAAATGTCAGAAGCTGTTTAAAAAATTCACCACCCCGAGAAGCGGTAATAGACAAGTACGAAAAAGCAGAGCCATAAACAGATCGTTGAATAAGAGAACCAAGTGAAGAAGAAAAACAAAGGAAGACAAAAATAAAGAGAAGGTAAAGAATCTGTGTATTTACTTGCTTTTCAACAGCTGTACGTTTAACGGGAGTTTCCATTGTGTTCCTCATGAGTTTCGTCTCGTGCCCAGTGAAAACGACAAGTCCGTAAACCCAAGGTGTGTTACGAAGTTGAGCACCGCGAAGCAACAATTGTTCTGGACTCAAGGGTAACTCACGATCATTAGGAAGAAGTTTCAATGTTGCATCATATGTATACAGACTATTGTTTGGTTGTTCAGACTTTACTGTGCCTTCCAGCTGGCTTAATTCTATAGGCTTCAACAAACTAGACGTCTCCGGCAGCGCCTGTTTCACTTTGAGGTTTGTTTCGCCATCAAGATTAGCGGTCTCAATGTAACAAAGACCCTCTGGCTCAGAAGAAGACAACAAGACCAGATCAGCAGGAAAGAAAGTTTCAGACACGACTTTCACAATATCACCAACTTGGACATCTTTCCACTGCTTTTCGACAAACCCAGTACCTTGCAAAACATAGCAAACCGAATTATTCGTTTCCTCATCCTGCTTCTTTCGTTTTATGTCTTCCATGATTTCTTTTACCCCAGACACAGACAAGACAACGAGCATGGGGCCGATTGTTGTATAACGATTCATGGGAGTAATTCCTGGAATCTGTTGAATAACAGCTGTAAACAAGAAGAACAAATTTGAATACTTGGAAAATTGCTCTTTTAAAAACTTCGGAAGGAAACTGACTGCATTGTACTTGCAAGTGGAGACGACGTTATCTAAAAAATGGTTGGCAGCATAGTCATTTAAGGTAATCATTCTAGGACCCAGTTCTTTTGGATCAATATGTTTTTCTTTCCTTTTGAATACACGCTTCCAAGACTTTAATCGTTCAAAAAATCCTTGTCCTCCATCAGGTATGAAGTCTTCATTTTGAATGGGATCTGCAAAATTACGCAAAGGAATCTCGATTTTCCGTACATCTGCACCTGTGGCTCTGACATAAGGATTGTTAGGATCATTGATTCGACCCATGCGTCCTGACCCATCATAGCTCAGAAACGGATTTCTTGAATCCTGTCCAGAAGAAGAAACAAACTGACTTTCTGCGCCGAAGATATCCTCAAATTCGTCTCTTCCTAAAAACGGATTCTCTTGTGGGCCATCCGTTCTGTGAAATGTAATGTCTGAGGATAATGAGTCTTGAGAGTCCCTTGGAGCATTTTGCTTAATTTCTACATTTCTGGACATTGATTAAGAAGAAGTATTGTAAGAAATCCAAAGACTTGGTGGGATCCTCACAAAGCAACCTGTTGTTGAACAATTTCAATAATTGCTGAAATCGCCGTAGTCCTTCAGAAAAAAAAAATCTAACTTAGCCAACTTGAATTGAATACGGTAAAAAAGTTTGAAAAAAACAAGCAATCACCCCTTTTCTTGGCGTTAATTGCGATGGTGGGAAAGGACGAGCTATGAGTGTCAGTGTAAGTCCTTCAGTGCTAAGAAGCGCGTAAACAAAAAGTGTAGCTAGTTCTATTTTCAGTTAATTTTTAAATATTCTTAGCTGTTTTACACATTACTCTTAAAAGAAAAAGAATAAATAAAATGAGAGAAAACCGTTATAAATTTGCTATTCTGATTCTACCAACACTACTTGCGATTTACCAAAAATGTCTTAATTCATGAAAGCTACTAAAGCTCACATTTTTTATTTTACAACTCTTCATAGATAGGACAATGTAAACAGGCTTTTATTATAGCAATTCAGTATTTAATATCATGTATTGATGCTCGTAGGGATTTACTTGAATAGACGCCAAGCAATCCGATATATCATCAATTTTTTTCTTGCTAGGTATTAGCAACCTTTACAAGGTAATAAATAAGTCCTCGTAAAGGTGAATAGACTAGCGTTGGGTTCATTTGATCAATTCCAGCGACGAAATTGTTTCATCATACAATATCTTTTTTAGTCTATTTTCATTCTTTCTTCTTGTTTCAGACTTTTATGCTTACGATTTTCCTCAAAAAGGTCAAAAAAAAATCACTTATTGCATATCAATTTGCTTGTTCGATATCTATGTTTGGTAGTTGGTAAAAGGATGAAGCGAATCTCCCAATATATAATGGAAGGAATCATCGGCGTTTAGGGTAGGGTACATCTTAGGATGATTATATGATATAAACAAACAGAATGAACAAAAAATCAATAGGGTTTCCGTTTTAATTATTAATTTGTATCTTCAAATACATCAGGAACTGGATATTTTTTTTTATTCTAATACTAAATCCTCTCCATAGAAGGCCTACACTTAGAAAGATAAACAAAGTCTAGAGAATTTATGGTTGAAATAAATAGTCAAATTGATCCTTCGTGTGCTGATCAGCATAAGCTAAAAAGCTAAAGAACCTGCAAATGTTAGTAACGAATAAAGAAAACAACTTACATCTTTTCTTTCTGCTCCAATTGGATAATGTCAGGATAAATGACTTCCTTCTTAAGATTCTCCATTTGTTCTTTGTATTTGACAAGATCTATTTTGACATGATTTTCATCCTGCAATGACTTGTTATAAGTGGAAAAACTAATATCCTTCAAAACCAATACATGTCCGGGACTTTTGCTAATATTCATAGACACTTCGGGTGAAAGAGCTTTTGTTATGACACTCAAACTTGCGCAACTTCGTATCACCATTAGAGCATGAGCAATCATTTTACGAATTTGGTTCAGCATAAAGGAATTACCGCGAATTGTTACTGGAATCCATTCCCAATTCTCATAAATGAACGGCATACCACATTCAATGGATTCAATGGTTCGATAGTTGCTGGGTGCTCTTGGGTCTTGAGTGATCGTAAAGTTATGAAAATTGTGTCTTCCTATATACAATTGAAATACTTTTTGAAGTAATTCTAGACGTTCTTCAGGAACTCGATAGTTCATGTAATAGAAATGGTCCGCGTTTTTCAAAGCTTTTTTCAGCTTGGCTTCATGTGGTACCTTTATATGAGCAGGGATAGGTTTCTCAGGAAAGAAACCAGTAAATGGGTTGGTAAACGTTTCCGGATTCTCTTTAAATTCGTCTTGAAGTTTTTTGCATCTAATTTCCACTTGTTCCCAAAACTTCCTAGTATCAACTGTTGAAGAAAGTAGCAGACTATCCAGTTGATTTTTTGGCTCCCTCTCAAAATTTTTCTGTGATTTTTTGAACAATGGTGTCGAATCTTTTGGAGGTATCAAGGAAAACGATGGTATCAAATATTCGTAAGTACGCGATTCACAAGAGATTCTCGGATTGAAATACTTTTGTACTTGAAATACATCCCATACGCGTATTTGCCTGCTCAATTTAGCATTTAGCTTTTCGCGCAACTCTGATGGATTTAGCGAATTTTGTACATAGACATTTAAAGAAACAAGGTTTCCAAGAGTATGAACTCCTTTGTCTGTCCTCGCAGCTCTAGCGATCACAAGGTGCTTTTCATCTAATGTCGCTTTCTTTAGATATCCCAAATCCTTCAAGGCATGCACAATGTCCCCTTCAATCGTCTTTAAGGGCTCATTAATTTGAATTCCATGGTAGCCGAATCCTGAATAACCCAGTAATATTACGATTCTTTCTCTAACGACGTCCTCACTTACACTTTCATTAGTAGCAAGCTTCTTTACATGTTCACTTGTTGGAATAATAGATTCATCTTCATTTTTTCTTTTTTCAACCATACTACCACTTTAAGTGTTTTATCTTTTTTCTTTTTTTTGGTCAAAAAATGTTGGGATAAAACCTTGGAGAAAGTGAAGTCTTCGTAAGTTAAGTATGGAACAGAAAAAACTTTGAATTCAAATTAGAGAAACAAGTCTTCAGCTAGAAACTGTAATACACAAGATGAATAAATTGAGGTAGATTAGTACCGTTTATACTTGAATGTTGCTGAGCCGTATTAAAAGTAGATACAATTTACCACTAAAATTCATCAACAGAAGTATAACTATATAAAGAAAGTGGTTTCTCTTGAATGTAATTACAAATTCATCGCCTTTCAGGTACGAAAACCTGCCAATGTCACAGTCGGGGATTTTGTAAAAAAAATATTAACGAAAATTAACTGATGGCCTTAAGCTTAGAGAATTGTCGCATTATTGTCGCGGCTCCACGACAGGACCTTTACGCCGTAATATAGCTTTTTCGACTGATAATTTCTGTTTTTTCTAATTCTTGGCTCTGAATTTGTGTACAAGTATTCTGAAAGGCTTTTTCCATGCTTTGTTTACTATTTGTAATGTTTCATCCTTTAGTCTTATTGTCACAGATGGATAGCGCGCGTTAACGCGTTATAATAATCAAGTATTAGTGAATATCAGCTAATAAGTATAATCCTAAAGGATCTTTGCATAATACCAAGTAAACAAACAATAAAAAAACGAGATACAAAAATCAAGAATCAAGCGATCGAAACATTAATGAAATGATCCACTAATCAAATATTATACACTGATCAGTCTACAGTCTGAATCTTCACACTGGAAAATTCGATTGTCTTTCAAGCATTCCATTTAGTTATTCAAATCCTTGGACATTACTAGCGTCTTAAAACGTAGTGCAACAGCATCCAGTTAGCATATACAACAATACAATCGTACTTAATATTTTTACTCGAAATACAAGTATTACGCTGTGAGGTTTCTGCCGTGACAGAAAAAGTGAAAAAAAAAAAAAAAATACAAGACCCATACGATAAGAGAAATGGTATGTACGATTGAAAAGAAGACAAATCATAATAGTTATACATGGCTAAATATTACAGCTAAATCTTCAGTTAATAAGATTTTGCTGGTCGAACTAATCAACTAGTTTAGTTAGTTCATACAGAGAACATTATTAGTAGTTATCACTAGTAAATAATAGTTCACAATATAAATAATTTCGCGATAAGTATTAACTTAAGTATTTCGCTCGATTATACGAATACTCCAAGGTAGTACTCCCAAGACAAGACCACACAGTTCTTGTGGTACGCGTAAGCACAGTATTTTGTTTCATTAAATATGACAAAACGTGAACCGTTAAATAATTTCTAGTACACAAAAAAACCTATAAGCAAAATCAGTCAAGGTAAAGGTCTTTAAACCAGAGATTAGCAAAATATAATAAACAAGTAATAGAAAATGTATAAATATATATCACAAAGCTCAATGGATCCTACTCTTACGAGCAGTAAAGATGAAAAAAAAATTAAGGATATTAAAAAAAAAGCAAATTAATGACCACGAAAACGCCGCCATCTGTTCCAGTCAATAAGTGCTTGCATGCAACCCCATTCCGTAATTTTCTTTTCGAGCCATACCAGCGATACCGGCTTCGTTAAAAAATCATTACAACCTGCTGCTAAAGCTTCGTTTCGATCAGTCATTAAGCTGGAAGCTGTTAAGGCAACAATAATAACAGGCGACTGAAACTTATCAGGTGGCAGCAATTCTTGTTCAGGAATAGGTTCTGTAGGCTTTTGAGCGACGAGACCGATGGCATTAAGACGCTCTAGACGTCGAATTTCTTTTGTAACTTCTATGCCAGTTAGTGTTGGCAGTTGGATATCCATTAAGATTAAATGATAAGATTTCTTTTTCCACTTTTCTAAAGCCTCCAAACCATCTTTAGCAACTTCCGAGGAAATATTACGTTTCTTCATGAAGGCCACGAGAATTTTCTGATTAATTATGTTGTCTTCAACAATTAGAACCTCAATGGGAGGAATGACACCTTCAAGTAAACTAGCAAAAGGCGTTTTGGCAGAAATACCGGCTGTTCCAATAACATTTACAGGAGAATTGTTTCTACTACTGTCTCCGGTGTTTTCTGAATAACTAGCTTGAGGTGATATAGCAGGCTTATTTTTTGATTCTGAACCAGCCTTTACGGTAGACTCGGGCAGTATTTGTTGAGTGCTGGAAGAAGCAGGCTCATCAATCAAGGAACTCTGAATTGGAGACGAGTTGGGCCTAGTATATAAAGAATCAGCACTACTCTGGGGTATCTCTGGAGACTTCTTCTGTTCCGGTTTTACGGTATTACCAGAACTAGTAGAAGAACTGAACGCTTGTTTGGAATTGGCCGTGACAGCAGGGTAGGTTCTTTCACAGGAAGCATGATCCGAGACACCAGAACGACTAGAAGAGCTTTGTTGCCGAGAATAGCGGGGTAAAAGCAATACCCCGGGTTTATTAACGAGTGTGTTGGAGCGGCCTCTTCCTAAAGAACGATTAGAAGGGTTCGCGATACTGGGTACCTTGTATAAATAAGAGTTACTGGGTGCTCGATGGAGGGAATGATTAGAAGGAGAGTCGGGGATTTCGGAAACGGAGGGCTGCTTGGAACGAGGACCCGAGTCAGCGATGATATTGGAAATTTGAGATGTGGATGAAAATTCAGGAGTATTGTTGTTCGCAACCATTTCATAGCTATTTGACCTCGAAGATGGCAACGAGTTGTCTGATTGACTCTGTGCATAAGGAACGGAAGGCACACTCACCAAAAGCGCTTCGTCTATTGTTTGTCCATGAGGAAAGTAGTAATTCATGGTCAATAGTAAATTTTCATTTGGTTCCAGATCTCTAGATTGAGGCTCTGAAGAACAATTGCTCGGAGCAACAAGGCGAATGTTCAGTTCTGGCGCATCAAAATGTCGCGCGATCCGCACAGGGAATTTTTGACTAATTGCATCTTTCAAGTCATCCACTAGATATTCTTCTGTCACGAGAACAGAGCTTACAACTCCATCTGGAAGTTTTTTAAACCAAACTCGCATTAGTTTTCTCGATTTATGGACTTTGGCGTTCTCGGCTTCTATTAGGCAATAAACGAATTATCAAGAGCTTGCTATCATTTATTCTTGCTTATAAGTCTTTGCTTTTTTATTACGAGACTAAAAGACTCTTACTCTGAACAAAAAAAACAAAGAAAAAATGTAACAGAAAGACCATGAAAGGATCAGGTTAAATGGTTAAGAAGTCTTTTAAAGCTTCATTTAGCGCTACTGTCTTTCTCGGTAAGAAAGGTAACCGCACCGTTACTTTTTCACGGATATTCCAATCATAATTGAAATAGTGTTATATTAATATAAAGGGAATGAAGGGGCCGTAAAGACTAATCTAGAAAAGGTACGTTTTCGCTTTTGTTACCTGTAAATTATAATATTAAAGAGTATAGCTGCTGTATAGCAAATTTAGAAATATGCTAAAACAGAGGCAAAAGACTAGAAAGTAATGGACTGGAATGATAATAAAAGGTTTTTCAAAAAAAAAATAGATAAGCTTATCTTGCATTTCTTTTTTTCATAGAGAACTTTGAAATATGATTCTCAGGTAAAGCGATGGTACCGGTCCGGTGTCTTTGGACGTTCACGACATATCTTTGACAGAAGAGGGAACGAACTCTACGAGGAGGTACTTTTTACTTTTTTTTCTGTTGAATAGCATATAGTACTCTGTGGAGACAAAATCACCCGTCCATGTCCAGTGAATATTTTACTCGTTATTATCATGTAAACAAATCGGGTTGCTTTCAGTTAACTAGTCTATTATAAAGTGAGTAGATAGTACGTGTTCAATAAGATATTTTTCATTTCATTGCTTGACTACTCCGGTGGTACTTCTGGAATAGAGAAAAACGAAGGACCAGTCAGTGCAAACATATATTTGCTTAGGAAACATTTGAAGAATAACAAACAAGTCATCATTCAAAAAAAATTTTATTTTTAGCTATATAGTAAGTATATCGAGATGCATCCATTAGCTATTTGCTTGAGGAGCATATGTAAATGGTAAATGATAATTTTGATTTCAGAGTTGGTCAAGACAGTGTCATCATCAAAAATAAAAAAAAATAATAATGATGACAGAAAGAAAGTTTGATTGAGAAATACATTTGTTGTACGAGTTAAAATTCATAAAAACTCACAGAAAAAATTGTCCGCCATTACCAAGATGACAACACGAAGTAGAACAAGGTACGAAACCATCAAACTAGTTATTCTCATTGATTCGACAAAAATTTTGGTAATGATACCTTCTCGTTCTCTTACATTCTACTTTTTCTCCCATGCCAAGTCTACTACTCTCTACAAATTGCGGGACCATTCCCAACAAAATCTTCTCTTTGCACCCACAAAGCATCTTTTTTATTTAGTAAACTTTCTATTTTTCTCTAAGAGAGAACGTATCCCAAGATTCGTTTACTCTTCATCCTCTTCTAACAAGGAGTAAGCAATACGATCCAAGTCACGTTGACCTTGTTGAGAAATGCGACGACCACCGTTATCAGACTTTTCAAGGACGCCAATTTTTTCCAAGCTTTGGATGACCTTGCGTTGAACGCTACCAGATCCATCACGGTGGTGAGAAGGACGCATGCCACGGTTGACAGAGCCACCATAAACCTTGCAAAGACGGCCAACACCGACTTGCTTACGAAGGTAGATATGGCGAGCAATAGCAGCAGCACGAACAAAGTACCAGTCAGGGTCGTAAGGAGCCAACTCCTTATGGGTACCGGTCTTGACAATATCAATCCATTGAGGAGTGGCCATTTTGCCTAAATAGAAATATGTTAGCTTTCTTACTCCTTGTATTCATTTTCAGCAAAAAGGATAATGTACAAAAGAGCCGAAATTCACTTCGGCAAGGAAATTCGCATAACTTGCCCAAATGTCATCCTTTTTCGCTTGTTCTTTTTCCATACCTGATCTTTTTAAGAAAGCAGCATAAGCGGTAACAAACCGTTGAGCATCAACGTCCTTAACAGATACACCTGCCATTATTTGGATTTTTCGCGTGGGTGAAGATGATCAAGTTTCCCCCATCCCAAATTTCTGTTTCCCATAGCTAGCCTCGAAACATTAAGTGACTGCTAAATAATAATTTTCGGAATATGGATAAAATAAATATATAAAATAAATAAATACAATTTTATAAACAGTTATGTTTAAAAATGTATGTACCTATTAAATACTCGAAGCTTTGTTTACATTTCCATCTTCTCCTATACCAGATATAGCGATTGTCTTCCATCTACCAAAAATCCCTCTTTTAGGCAAATTATTCATGTTTTGCCATGAAAAACGATTCGTCGATATTCGTTGCAGGTAGGTTGTCCGTTCCTAGCAGAATTGCTAACGTTCAGTGCGAGTGAGGCCGTTTACCGAACAAGAGAAAGAATTGTTAGTTGAAACTCCTGATTCAGCAGAGTATCTTGGTGATGGTTCTCTTGCGGGATCAAGGTCTTCCACAGGTGTATCCGAACAGTCAAAAAAACGCGGGATTCGTCGCATACTACGCGTCTTAGATGATAACGTGCTAATATTTGATCCCCCAGAAGAAAATCCACTTGCTGGTGTACAAAAATCAATACTCTCTGCCGGCAAGCGATTTAAGGACCTTCGGTTTGCATTTGATAGACTGTTTCATGACGCTACTACGCAAGAAGAGGTATATCAAGGGACTAGTCAATCATTGTTGGACAGCGTACTTGATGGATACAATGCTACTGTGTTTGCATATGGAGCTACTGGATGTGGAAAAACGCATACAATCAGCGGTGAGCCCAATGACCCTGGTATTATATTTCTCACCATGCGCGAGTTGCTGACTCGAATTGAGAGTCTCAAGGCTACCATGGATGTCGAGCTTTCGGTTTCATATTTGGAAATTTACAACGAAAAAATTCGTGACCTGCTCTCCCAAGATCCGATGTCTTTGGAGACCCCCAAGTCACTGACTATACGAGAGGATGCCGATCAAAATATTTCCGTACCTGGTCTCACATATTATTCACCAAAGGATTTGCAAGAGGTAATGGATATTATTGTACGAGGTAATAATAATCGAACTATGTCTCCTACTGAGGCAAACGCTGTTTCTTCACGCTCCCATGCTGTTTTACAAATTTACGTTCATCAGACTCCCCGTTCAAATTCCGAAGGAAAAGAATTACGCTCAGTATTTTCCTTCATTGATTTGGCAGGATCTGAACGAGCTAGTGCGACAAAAAACCGAGGCGACCGCTTAGTGGAAGGTGCCAACATTAATCGTTCCTTATTAGCATTGGGGAATTGTATTAATTCTCTTTGCGATCAACGTCGTCGACCACATATTCCTTACCGGGACTCAAAACTCACGCGGTTGCTGAAGTTTAGTCTTGGTGGAAATTGTAAAACCGTAATGATTGTGTGCGTTTCACCTTCTTCCCAACATTACGATGAAACTCATAATACGCTTAAATATGGAAACCGAGCAAAAAATATTAAAACGAAAGTATCTCGAAATACCGTCAGCGTAGATCGACACGTTAGTGAATACGTTCGAGTCATCTATGAGCTTCGACAACGGGTATCTTTTTTACAAAAACGAATTTCAGAAGAATCCAATCAATTTCTTTCATCGAAAGAAGCTCGAAAAATTTCTTCTCGTGAAGTTCGAATGCTTGAAGCAAGGAACATTCTAAAAGCCTCTTTTGACGGATCTCGAGATTTGCAAAAAGACCTTATTCACAATGTACGTACCCTTAGAAAACTTGAAGATGAAATTCTTCTTTCCCAATTTTGGATTGCTCAAGCCGAAAACAATGAAACCATCACAAAAGAAGAGCTGGACTCGATGAAAACCCGGCTTGAAAACCTTTATTCTGAACGCACACTGATTTTCTCAAAAGTTAATCCTGATGAAATTTGTAAAATATTTGTGAATAGTATCTCTCACATCATATCTTCCTTTAAAGCCGAAGGAGACGATTTGTACGCTGATATGCTTCAGGACGAGGTAGATCTGTTAAAATCCATCGTTGAAAATCAAATTTTGGATGCTAGGTCGGAAGCAGAGTCTCTTTCTAACGTTACAAAGAAAATGCTTCAAAACATGTTTTCATTACTTCCTCTGCTACCTGAGGAGGCTATCGATACAAACGAATACCTTGCAAGTGCTTTTGATCAACTGGTCGGTATTTCACCTTCAAGAGTACAATTCAAAGTTACAAAATTTCCTCCCTATTCAAAACACTCTGGTCTAGCATCTATGAATGACTTTCCACATTCGCCTAGCAGGTTTAAAGCTCGTTCACCTTCAAAAGCAGCTCGTGTTTTAAAAAAGCCATTAAAGAAGCGTGTTCGTTTTAGTGAGATGCCCTTGGGAAGTCCTATACCAGCCTCGAATTCTAGAGTGAACACTAAGAGATGGTCTCTCGATCATTCCAAGAATAAAGTCCCTCGATTTCGGTTAGGATCCTCAATGAGTCGTGCTCGTAATCCAACTACCTCATCAACATCAAACGCTCCAACGCCCCAAAGCAGCTTAGATTCAAATTTAATGCCCCCTCCATCTACCATGCAGCTTCCTAAACGTGAGTCCTTTTTAAATCTCAATCCTGAAGCATTAGCAAGTCGTCGAACTTCACTTGTAATGCAACCTCTTATAAAAAATCCAGAGAAGAAAAGTTAGTTTGGTTTATGGAAAATTAACTTGAGTAATGCATTTCTCATAAATTTGCTTGATGTATCCCTGTTCACTCTTTTATAATCTTTTATTTTTTGCGTCGCTTTACTGGTTCACCGCTTTAATGATTCCCATATTTTTCACTTTTCTCGTTTTCTTTTCTTTTTTGATGAACTAATTTAATGCACTAATTCAGATAATACACATTTAGTTTTATGATTCTGTTCACTTAAACCTTTTCATGATGCGACTTACGAGAAGTAATTTACCATGATTTCATGAGTGTCATGAAATCCTTTAAGTAAAAGAATGTAGTACAGCTCTTCTCTTCTATTTAATCAGTGGCCATTAACACTTAATTCACATTCCATAATTTTGAATTCCCAAAATAAACAAAAGTAACATTGTTACCGGGGCAATGACTAAAGAGACCACACGTAGACGCATCCAAAGTGCCTGAATCTGTAAAAGAAAGAGAATTGGCTTTTTATGAGCTATTTTACTCTAAAATTTTGAAAATGTTTATGCTAAAATCCCTAGGGTACGTCAATGAACGCGAAAATATGATTTCGCTAACGAAATTTAGGAAATACATATGGGGAAATTCAACTTCAAGTGAAATTGTGCAAATTCCATATGGCCAATTGTATTCTGTTCATAATGATTTTAGAGAGTGCATGTACGTTTTCATGAAACACAAGGAATAACGAACACGTTGGTACTAACCAGCCGAAAACAGGTTTAAAGATGCTAGTGCTTCCATTCGAAGATCAACAGCAGAATACCAATATCAGCTGGTAATTCAGAGAGCATATGAAGAAGGTGAAGAAGTATTAGAAGGAGATGGATCTGATGAGGTTGAGGATGAGCAAGCCTTTTTATTAGATGAACGATTGAATTTACGATTTGAAGTCAAAAAGGATGGTATTTCGATGATGTGGGATAATCCAGAATTTCAAGATGGTACTTTGTATGAATTTACGTGCGAAGAAGGCTTGCAAGAAGGAGTGGCATATACATTTGAAATGGTTGCGTTGCAATGCATGTATGAACGAAAATACCGCCAACCTCACAGCAAAGCTACACTTGCAGACTTGGAACAATTCAGTGTTCCTATCAAACGTCCGCATTCATCCAATGATAGTTTGGAGAACATAATTACAAAGCTAGATCTGAAATCCGAAGACTTAGCTCGTCGTAAGTCTCGACAGCTTACTCAGGACGAATTAGATGAATTAGCAGCCCAGGAGTTTATAACTTCAAAGCCACAAGCTTCCGAAGTGCAACATTCCCGCGAAGCCAGTGAACGACTTGAAAACAAGCAACACACCCCAAAAGTCGTAGACTTGGAAAAAGAAATTTCAAAAGAAGGGAAAACGGAGCTGGGAACAGAAGAGATTGATGGAGAAGAAGAAACAGAAGATTCTTTTGAAGGAGAATTAATGGGTTTTGTACACGCCGAGCTTTATTTATTTGACTCTTTGGAAGAAATATTCGTTCTACAAAGTAAAGATGCAGAAGCCTGTATTTACGATCTTGGAGACTGGAATTACTGGTTTACGCTCACATCCAAAGAGCGGAAATGGCTGAAGCAATCGGTAGAATCAAAAATGAATCCAGTATTTTCCTTCGAACATCTTTCTTTTATCTGGAATTATTATGATGAAATTGGAACAGCATTTTCATGGTTATTACGGTTTTCAAATCAGGAAGAGATGGATAAATTCCAGAAGATTCTTATGCGAGCTTTATGGGAAAATTTGAATCAACAAAAATGGCTCAAAATAAAAGATGATGAGCGGGAGTATGTTCGGGATGCATTTTATGAGGACGATGAAATGCCCGATGCAGAATCTGAAGAAGATGAAGAAGCTATGCGGCGTCAGTTGCAATTGGGAGACTCAGAAGAGGAAAGCGAATATGAAACTCGCGATTCTTTTACCGAATTTAGTGAAAGTGAGGAAAGTGAAATTGATGAATCGAGGTGGAGAAAAGAGACCGAGAACGAGAAAAATAGTATACTGGCGGTCGGATACAAAAATGATCGTTCTTATGTCGCACGTAATAATAGGATTGGGGTATTTAAGCACGTGGATGATGGCTTAAAATTCGATACGTCTATAAATAATCTGTCTAAGCCGAACGGTAAACCTCTGCAACCTAGCAAGATTTTGTTGCACAATCAAGATTCCTCCATCGTATTTCAGACGGAAGATTCCCCTCACCATTTATACCATATGGACGTGGAATATGGTAAAGTGGTAGACGAATGGAAAATCCACGAAGATGTACCCTTAGTGGCCATGGCTCCTGACAACAAGTTTGCCCAGATGACTGCAGAAAAGACATTGGTGGGTTTGTCCAATAACTCCATTTTCCGTATTGATCCTCGAGTAGAAGGAAATAAGTTAGTGGCAGAGGAGTTTAAGCAGTATGCTACCCGCAATCACTTTAGTACAGCGGCTACTACCGAAAAAGGCTACATTGCCGTTGCCAGCGACAAGGGTGATATCCGATTGTTCGATAGGCTAGGTATTAATGCCAAAACAGCTTTGCCTGCCTTGGGTGAACCTATCATTGGTATTGATGTCACAGCTGACGGAAATTGGGTTCTCGCGACTTGCAAAACCTATCTGTTGTTAATTGATGCTCGAATCAAAGAAGGACGCAATGCAGGCAAACTAGGTTTTGAACGTAGCTTTAACAAAGACAGCAAGCCAAAACCGAAGCGTCTGCAACTAAGGTAAGTTCAAGATGATGCAATGCAAGACTTTATGAAAGAATCAATAGTCATGACTAACATGAGTATAGTCCACAACATGTCGCAATGATGCAAGGTGAGTTAGAAGGAGGTGTATCATTTACAACAGCAAAATTTAATACAGGAATTGATGCTCAAGAAACATCCATTATATCGAGCGTTGGTCCTTATTTAATCAGCTGGAACTTGGATTTTGTCAAGCGGGGCAAGACAGACAAATACAAAATTCGTCGCTACCAAGCCAACATTCAAGCAGAAGATTTTCGCTTCGGTACGGATAAAAATATGATTGTTGCTTTACCCAACGATGTTACCATGATTGACAAGTCTTCTTTGCGCAGGCCTACGCGAGCATCTATATGTACACCAGCATCCAAATTACCCTCCCGCAGCAACATTGTGAACGAGCCTTACTAAAGAAAATACGAAAGAAACGCAGACAAAAACTGTTTGATTATTGTTTGTTTCCTGATGAATTGCTTGTTTTTGATTTCTTAGATGAAAAATTTTGCACACAGAGAAGACCACGACTAATTAAGAATATCTTTGTTAATTTAATAGCATTTGTGAGATTTTAGATAGACAAATATAATATGTATATTTATATATTAGTACGCTATACTACTTCACTATTCATTTCTGTTCAATGTAACTTAATAGTCAGTTTCTTTGTTTTTTTATATATATCGTTTTGATTCTAAATACATAGCGACACACATATCATCAAAGGATTTGAAGATCCTAATCAATATTTTAACTGTTGTTTATATCTAAACTCAATCAAAGTTTATAGAAGAAAGAAACTATTTTTAAGTAGGTACCTATTTATATGTTCACTTATTGTACTTTCCTTTTAATATGTTAAAAGCAATCGACTCCAAACTATTTACCAACTACTCCCTACTAAGTTTATCAAAGCTTTTTCATGAAATATTATTTGGAACATATTATTGATTCACTTCACTTCAGGTTGGGCGAAACTCATTAAAACTGTAAAAATATTACGAAGTAAAACCAACAACCAATCCGTTTTTTATAGATATTAAATATATAATACGACAATACGAAAGAAACCGACAAATAATGATCGACAAAACTCCAAAGAAAATAGCCTTTCCTTGGGATTTGTTGGAGGAGGGAAGAAAAGTTAGTAGAAGCAACATCATTCAATTATGATTTAAAAATGCAAAGGATCGACCACTGCTGTTGCTTCTACTGGGAACTTTCCGCAGGTTGTGATCATCACAAACAACTCATCAAAACATAAATATTCTTTAAATAAAATCAAAAAAAAAGCACAACCAACTTCGGTGTCTTTCTTCACTCGCAACCAAGTTACGAAGCAAGACAACAGTCATTAGAGAAAGAAAAAAAGCGAAAATAAAGAAAACATCAGCCCATACAACCGATTTGTAACAAGAGTCGGATCAAAGATATAACTAACTAGGCGAACACTTTCTCAGTGGCAGGATTGAATCAAAAAAGGAAGCTGGGAATGGCAAATAAGAAAACGTCGCGAATAGAATACAAAGATTCCAAACTTCCTTAGCTTCATCATCATTAGCAACATCAACGACTTGGTTTCATTACCTATCTAAGATCATCAAATTAGAAGCATATCTCGTTACCAAACGGAGTAATTAGGATTAATTTCAGAATTTTCGGGGGAGTTTGTACACACATAACTCACGATCAGCTTCATTATAAAAAAGGTAATCATAATAATTAAATAATACCAAACATCATCCATGTTCCGACTCGGAACTTTAAATAATTTATGTGATTAAATTTTCTTGGGAAAACAAAAATACAAAAAGAACTCCAAGAAAAGGGTTTTTTTTAAAAAGATAGCCCCTGTTACAAGAGCAGACCCCATAAACACATTATGGGACCTACAGGGACCTAGGAAAAAGACACCTAGGTGCTTTTTAGACAGCCGACATAACAGGACGAGGGGCAACGGCAGGGCCGCTTCCCTTCTTGCGACCACCACCGCGGGAGGTGTAGGTATGAGAACCACCATCGTGCCTCAAGAAGAATTGCATGATGAAGGAAACAAGGTAGAGACCAAACAAGAACCAAAGGAAGAAACAAAGAGCGCGCAATTCTCGGCAACGCTTGCCACTGCCTTGAGTGAATTTGTTACTCTCTAAGAAGTTTCGGTTGGCGCAAGAATGCACACGAATAGCAACAGCAATACAGCAACCAGCAGTTATATCAAAAATTAAGTTTATTAAGTCGTAGGCCGCAACTAAATAAACGTTGCCGACAATGTTGGGCCAAAAAGCACCAAGGGCTGTAAGGAAGAAAGTCAAAATAGAAAAGCAACCAACGAAAACAGAAAAGTTAATTTTACCGGGGGAGCCGCCGTTATTTTGTTGATCAACGAGTGCAGCAGCCAAAGCTAAAACGATCGTAGCGATCATCAACTGGAAAATGCGCATAGGCCATTGATACCAACCGTATTGTCTGATAGGTGACATATTAAAGAGCAATTAAACAAATACCGAAGTAGCTGAATTTAACAAAAAATAAAAAAATAAAACAACAAATAAAACAATTTCGTTTACTGAAAATTGGGTTCCAAAAGTTTCTCGAGAGGCAGAAATTCAGTACGAAAGAAGTATTTCAAGTGACCAATATAAACTACTTCTTAGCTAGTCTAGTGTATGTAAACAAAGACGTCAGTGCCTGCAAGTTAGAGTTTAGTTAGATTACGTTTAGCCCAAGCAACAGCGAAGCAAGTAAACAAAGGATTAAATTTTTGGTCTCTTTAGGAGTCAAGGATAAGCGTAAAGAAGCAAAAGGGGGCTGGGAAGAGCAACGTTTTAATAACTTCACAAAGATAGAGTAAGTCATCGTGACGCAACTGCTTTACTGAACAAATCGTCATGAATCGCAGCTATGTGTTCCGGAAGCACCAAGCAACTTTGATATCATATGCCAAGTAAACCTAAATGCAGAGAAACAAAGTCGAGCATGATGTCAAAGGGACGCAGGTTTTGGTGGAACAGGACAAATTCTACGTCGAAATCGCGTGTTTAGATCGTTTTTGACGAATAACGAACGAACCAGACAAAACAGAAGCGAAACCAAATAAGGTGTGGTTCGCGTCAGCCATGCAAAAGTAGACATGTCCAGTTTTGCGCACTAAAGAGGACAGAATTATAATATGACAAAAATTGCTGACCTTGGCTCGACGTAAGAATAAAAGTAGAAGGGAACTCTTTGAAAAATTTCCTTTTAATTTGTTTCTCTGTTTTCCTACCCTTTTTCTTTCCTTTTCATCTTTTTTTATTGTCTTAACCCCTCCTTTTTACTCCTCCCACCTTTTTTGTTTGTGTTTTCCCTCTCGACTTCCTCAGTCATACGAACTCTTTCCCTATGACACCGCTTTTAACAAACCTCCGTGCCGACGTCCCTAAGTTCCCTTGATAGGTTTATGCGCGATGACACACAAACGACGTTATTATTGGCTTCTTCTTAGCGAGCTCTCCCTCGAAATAAGAATACCTTTCGTCTAGGATACCGACTCGTTGCCTCAATATAACAAAGTACATTCTTTGACGATAGAAGCAAGAAAAGGGAAATCCTTGAATAGAGACAGCAAGGGAAGGGGAAGGACAAGGAGAATAGGGTTAGAAAAGAAAAATAGACTGGGATAAACAATTCAAAAAAAAAAAATCAGGATTGTGATTGAGAATAGCTCCCTTCGCTTCCTTCTAACCTTGAGGGTAATTTCAATTCAATCATACTGATGCGATACATTCTTCATCATCCTCAAATCATTCCATTCCTGTTCAGGTATGTTGTTGCTGCTACATCTTCACATCATGATTATGAATCCAATTTGCTGTACCTTACCAAACATCGTTCCTCATTGTCGCTGTTCTTTTTGTGAATCCTCGTCCTCTTTGCGATACGTTAACCCTTTAGCGCCTGAGAAAAATAAACAGCCCAGTTTGGTGCGTCGATGCTCTAAATAAAATCGGCTGTGTGCTCGCCGCTCTGTTCGAAACGCTTCATAAGTGATTGGCAAATGGGCTTTTGCATTCAAACACCAATTTGTACATACCACTCGACAGCCCAGCATTTTCGATGCAGTCCTCAGTTTGCGATCTAGTTGGGCATATCGCTTGCCGTAGCTTCGTTCCAATCGTAGTTGCCAATAAAATGTCGACAACCCATCTATAAACACATACGCCAGGTGCATGTCGGCTAATTTATCTGGCAACGGAATTCTTCCTTGATCAGCCGCTTCTGGCTCGCTGTGGTCGGGAAGAATCTTTTCTTCTCGAAATTGCAGCGGCACATGCTCTTTCCGTTGATTCTGTAAACGCTTCCATATCGCTACAAGTTCTTCCGCGTTGCTTGGAACATTCTCTAAACACGCTTCAAATTCTGCAGGCCACACCATCACACTTTGATTTTGTAAAATCTCGCGTGCATGTTTCCATATTGCGCATTTTCCTTTTTCGGCCATCCTCGGCTCTATGGGTTCGTGCAAACCTTCCTTTAATTCTGGTTCGAGCACGGTTCCTTCAATCCCGTCGCTCGATGACGAGGACACCTGCGATGAAAAAGGGTCTACTATTTCTTGACCGCATCCACATATACCAGACTGCTTTCCTTTCCGCAACAGCTTTTCATGCACGACTTGAATCAACCGTTCTTGATCCCAGTCCCACTCGCTGTTAATGACCAAAATCAGTGTCTCCGGTGATTTTATCACGGCATTTCCTGCAAGGTGATACAATAACTCTGTCTTTCCTGAACAACTCATTCCTTCGATACCGTATACTTCGCCATGTCGAGCTTCCGAAAACATCAACGACTCAATAGCATCTTCTCTGTTTTCTTCATTGTCCGTAGCATACCGGCCTTGTTGTTCCTGCCGCCTTAGACGTTCTCGTTTTTCACGGAGCTTCATAACCCATTCTGTAGCTTTCATGGTAATTATTTTCAATACACCTCTAGCATCTGGTTTCTCCGTCTGTAGTTGCAGTTTTTCTTCCTTCTAATGAATAAGAAACTGTTGCCTTAAAAGTAACTTTCATGCAAAAGGCTTTGGTTTCGCTCAATTGCTTCGTAGATAAGTAGTCGTCTCAAAAAAGCCTTTTAAGTTTACCTGCAGGGAAAAATTTCCAACGCTTCTTGAAAAATGAAAGACACCCTTTCTTACTTTTCTACGCGCTTTTCTACATGGACACCCTTAGGATTCAGTACTTGTAAGGTTCTTATGTACTTTGAATTCCTAGGATCATCAGCCTTGAACTATCTCCGCCAGCCACCCTGAAAAAATTTACCATGAGGCTTTGATTCTCTTCAACACAGAAGCCCATTTGCTCTACTCTCAGGAGCATCGCAACTTTTACAAAGAAACACTGAACTTTATGTATCTTGATCAACGTTATACTTCTTATTCTTTACAATTACAGCTACTTTCATACGATAATAAACACAATAAAACAACCACATTTATTACCACATGCTCAAGACAAAATTTTATTTCGCATATTAACAATGCAGAAAAGCATCAAGAGCTTTAGTTCTTTCTCCTGAAAGAGCATCCTTCCATAAGGCGAGCCTTACCACCAGTGGGTTGGCAAAGAACGGAAGCACAAGAGCCGCAGATAACAACGGTTTGAGCGTGGGAGAAAACAGTGGTAATGTTGAAGCAACCAGGGCACTTGACATCCTATTCATATGTTAGCTACCTATTCCTGCCGTCTTTTTTAATTGTATGCAAAGAACGAAAACAATGAAAATTTCCCACCACTAATGCTTTACGAACGGTCCTCACATCGTACAAACTCAAATTATCCTCGTGGCGTTTTCCACTATTCTCTTCCTTTGCATTTCTAAACATACCATAAAGAAGCTGCGAGGGCCTTGGACAAGCTGCTTGAGCTTGTGCTTTCTCATCTCAGATTCATGAGTAGGGTTCAAGAGATCAACTGCCAACTACATATTGTTATTATTCATTCTATGCCTTTCATTTCGAGTTACATACCACCATCTTGTTAGTGAATTGCTTGAGGTAGATTCCAAACAGCCACTCGCTGCTTTCTTTGTGTCGTCCCAAAAAGCAGTCACTACTTTTTGCCCTCGCTACTTTTCCGTGTATGTTACGTTTCGTTGAGGTAACATTAAAAAAAGGAAACAATGCTTCCTGGAAACTGAACGTATCGAGGTTATAATAAAATTGGTTTTCAGTTAGTTAATTCTCTTCTATTTTCACACCAGTTCTTTAAGCTTTAGCTATTTTTATCTCCTTGAACTGACGAATACTTGCTAAAACAGTAATATACCCGAAAAAACAGAAACCATCCTTAATCAATAAAAGTAATCTCAACTGAACTGAATCTTCTACACTTGTAACTTGTAATTCTAAACGGTTGGCGGTCCCTACAGCCTTTCTCATTATCACTGACCTTAATCGGCCTCAATCTGTCTACATTAAAAAGAGATGACACCAAATTTACTATACTCAGATTACAAAATATGGAATTTATGATCCGTATTGCACGCGATTTTATTTAGACAATATGACTACCGTCATTAAATTTTAACGGTACTAAGACAACGTTAGTAGCTGCTTTTTTATTTTTTATTCTTTTGTCTTTCGTAAGAGATAATTACATACCTTGTAAAAGCCAATGTCGTTGGCGAACTCACGGAAACTTTGACGAGAGATGTTCAAACCGTACTTGCGGATCAAACCAAGACGGCGACCAGTGTGAGCACTGAAGAAATGGTTAATATAATTTCATGTGGAACTTTTTCTTAGCAACTTACCATTGTCTGCTGCCCTTACCAAATCTACGAGGGTGAGAGTTCCAAACGTTTTCGTGAGCCATTTTGCGTGTGAAGGAAAGATTCATTGTAACAATTCTTCTAAAAGACACAACATGTGACTGCTAAGTCACCTAGGGTAGGGCTTCGCGTTTCACGAAATTTACGTTTCAGCTCGCTAATAAATATACTTATTTTGGTACAAAAATGAGATCGCCCTACATTTTCTCTCTTCTCTGTAGCGTTTTTAATAGAAAAAAGTCTGAAAACATTGCCAATATATAAGAATTTTCGTTCTGAAAATAACTCTAGCAAATTATTAAATAAATCAATCAATCTAAAACCATTGCTGTTGCAATTAAAATTCCGATGGGTATTAATTAAAACCAAATTACCAAAAACCCCGAAATCCGTCGTAAAATACAGAATGTTAAAACAAAATCAAGACATAAAAGTACGAGCCAAAGAGGCTCCGGTTGAAATTAGGTTTTACCAAACCTTTGTTCCCAATGCAACAATTCCCTTGTCAAGTTATCAACCTGACGAAGAGTTTCCTTCTCGTCCTCTGGGATTTCTTTCGTCACTTGCGATCCAGAAACCGAATTCGCCGATTGAGATGCCATTTCTACCTGGATATGACCGATATATTCTAACATTGTCGCAACGCGCCTCCTCATTTCAGTGATAGTAATCCTTGGATGCAATCCTTTATGTTTTGTATTTGTCTCTGTTGTGTGTTCTCCTTCCACATGGTTGGAACCGGAGCGATGGGTATTTGCAGAAAGCGCAGAAGATTTTCCCCTTCGGGAACTAGTTTTTCTACTTTTTGAACCCCGTTGACCTGCTGTGGATGGCGAAAGACTTCCTTTTTCATTATCAACTGGTGCTTCTCGTTTGGATCTCCGACCACCGCCCCTTCCTGTGGAGGAGGATACCGGGGTAGATTGAACACTGCTAGGTGAAGGAAGAGCTGACTCCGCTTCTTCCTTGACTTGGTGGGCTTCCGGATTCTCTTCTTCGTCAACTCTTTCTTCGTTTGAAACGGTATCAATAGGAATTGATTCTTCTTTGGAATTTTTCTCAGGCTCCAGCTCTTGTCTTGCTTCGTGTGCTTTTTCCTCTTCTTTTTTCGTTTCTTCTTGCTCTTGTTCTTGTTCTCGTTCTCGTCCTCGTTCTTGCTCTTGCTCTCGTTCCCGTTCCCGTTCCTGTTGTCGTTCTCGTTCTTGCTCTTGTTCTTGTTCTTGTTCTTGTTTTTGTTCTTCCTCTTGCTCTTCTGGAGACATTGTCGTTGGTAATGCTTCTCCAGATACTGAAGCCTGGACGGGTGGAGAAGCCGATTTGGAAAGAGTGGGCCTATTACATATTAGCGATCATAATAATATTTTACAAGATTATCATACCCTCTAGATCTTCTCGTGAGGAGAGATTGTTCTTTTGCAATAGCAAGATATTCTTCGTAATCCAAGGCGGCATCTCGAGAGTTCATGGTAAGACGCTGTTTTGGCACTTGCTTTTTCACAACTGGTGATGGAGGAGAAGCAGGTGGAGATTCTGACTGCGGAGGTTTCTGCTCAGCAATAAGACCTAAGTATTTAGATTGTTTGGGTCTACCTTGGTTAGCATAATATCCTTCACATAATATGTGTATGCAATGCAAAGTCCTGTAGAAATCAAAAATGTCTCCCAGGTAATGAATTGGTTCTATACTCCATACCCTCTTCCTCGTTGATATATTTTATGAAGTTCTGGTCTACATATTTCGCAATAATAGACGTCAGGAACATCAGATTCTTTTTGAAAACCAACGCAGTGACCATGCTGCCAGACAGAACACTGATCACATTGAATATATAACCCTCCGTCACTTGAATCATCGTCATTATCCTCGATACCGCAGACACAACGAGTAATTTCTGACCCCTTGGAAGATTCATTTTCCTCTTCTGAAATCGAACCATTGGTCGCGTTGACAGAATTTCTTTCCTCATTTTTTGAATTAGTTTTCTTTTCTTTATTTTCCTCTGCTTTTTTTGAGGATGTTCGAGGCATTCTTAAGCAAAATAAATTGTTGATTCACCAGGTGTCGTATAAGCAGTAGCCAAGTTTATGATGCATAGGCGAATAACAATACCCTGTGTCAGAGAACAGAATAAAACTCAATGAATCAATCCATAGAAAAATGGATGAAGAGTTTTTAAGCTTTTTAATGTAAAAAGTTGCATTTTCGCAGGACTGAAACCATGTCCCTCATGGTTAACTCAGTATCCTATAAAGCATTCAGCGGTTGTCGAACGATTTAGATTCTTCTTTCGTACACGACTGGATCTTTTAAGTTGATTTTCCCCTACTTATGTCAAAAAGAGGACCATATTCGCTGCAACGATCTATGTAAACAAACGACAATTGTCGGCTTACGCTGCTGAAGGACTGGTTTTAAACATTTTCGCTTTCACAAGAATCATCTTCTTTTATAAAAAATTAAAATCTTGTCTTGAACGGATCCAAGTGCAGGACATTCTGAAAAAACTCCGTATGTGTACCCTCAAGTCTGTGTAACATAGCTATGCAGAATTTTCAAAAAAAATAAGAGGGTAGATTTCAATGTTTTTTCATGTCTAAGACCTAGCCAGCCTACAATGATTTGCATACGTTTCGTATTGATTGCTTTGATTTCTAGTCAATGGGGGATATTCTTCGTTCCCGCCGCTGGAACTTGTAGCCCTTCCTCTTCTTAAAACAAATAATTTTTTTGCCTTGGTTCCTGCTTTCTCGTGTGATACTTTGAAAACAAAATTCGGGCTATCGAGTTTCTACCCTCAATACTATGCTTTAATGGAACCATCCATCACAAAAAAATCTGGAAGACCGTTCGTCTTTCTATGTAATATGTTTGAAAAGCAATAAAAGGTCCAATTTCTCATAGCTGCAGCGCAATCTTTAGCAGTCCTAAACTTACATTCTCGTAAATTACTCTCCAAAGGTTGTAACATATTTTTTCAATGTTTGATGACTGATTCCTTTCTTAATTGATCCTGTTTTCAAGTGAAATTCACCAGTCTTAATAACAGACAACGGTTTGAGGCCCATCCTCCTTTACTCTTTTGGATACATACTTCAGATACAATCAAACTTTATAGGACTTATTTAGTACAAGTTTTGTTCATGTTCTACATTCTGCTATTCTCCGTCACACTCTATGTTGTTGTCTTTGAAGAATGCATCATCAATGGTAGCATCTTCACTTACACCGTACACAGTTTCCTTGTACATTTACTTCTGAAGTAGTATGGAAATTTAATTCCATCTTCTTTTAATTAGTTATTGGTTTGTTCTTTTAATAAAGTAGACATTGATTTCATTACGTTTTCGCAGGTTTGCGTATAGCTTTTGTTTTTGTGTGAAGATTGCTAGCTGGACATTGTCATTGTTTTTGCAATATTTCTTTTATTTATATATCACCTACGGTTTATTCTCCTTGGCTCTTGCTTTAAGTCTAAGAAAGCGTTTTCTGACACTATACCAAGCCATTCATTCCTTACCCCATTTCCATTAAGTTCATACTCAACTATGTCAGATTATGTACGCTTGCAGTCTCCACCGGACTCTGTACATTATGGCAGTGCTGGCTTCTTTTCCTCCGTAATTAATCTCGCCAACACCATCTTAGGCGCTGGCATCTTGTCTATGCCTCATGCATTCACAAAAACTAGCTTGTTTTTTGGCTGTCTCACCATCTTTTTTAGCGCATTTGCTTCGTTTTTGGGTTTATATTTTGTGTCATTATGCGCCGCTCGTCTTCCTCGTGGAAAGGCCTCTTTTGCTGCCGTTGCAAAGCATACATTCCCTTCCTTGGCAATCGTTTTTGATGCTGCTATTGCTATAAAATGTTTTGGTGTTTCTATCAGCTATCTCGTTATTGTGGGTGACTTGATGCCGCAAATTGCACCTTTGCTTGGTTTCACCGCTCCAATTTTTGAATCTCGTGAAACGTGGATCTTCTTTTCTATTTTGATTTTGACTCCATTGACTTTTTTGCGCCGTTTAGATTCTCTTCGTCATACGTCTCTTATAAGTTTAATCTCTCTCAGTTACTTGGTCATTATTGTCATTTATCACTTCTTTAGAGGAGATATGGAACGCGGAGAAGTTCGCTACTTTCGTCCTGAATCTCTTTCTGGGTATCTTTCTGTTCTTCCAGTGTTTGTCTTTGGATTTACCTGCCATCAAAATGCTTTCAGTGTAATCAATGAAGTGAAAATCCCTTCTCATAGATATATTAACTTCACTTTGTTTATTGCAATCTGTTCTTCGACGTTTCTTTATCTCATTGTTTCAATTGCTGGCTACCTTTCCTTTGGTTCTTTAACTTCGGGAAATATTATTGCAATGTATGATGACGGAAGTTTTTTGATTGCTTTTGGGAAATTGGCTATCGTGATGTTGGTACTGTTTAGCTATCCTCTACAATGCCATCCATGCCGAAACTCGTTGTATCAAGCTATTCGTCGTTCTTATTCTGCTCACGATATGTCCAATGCCTACCATATTGGATTGACGATATGTATTCTTGTTACCTCTTTACTAATTGCCCTTTCATTATCGTCCCTTGAGTTGGTACTCGCTTTTGTTGGTAGTACTGGTAGTACTTTCATTTCTTTCATCCTTCCTGGTCTGCTATATTACTTCTTTTCACACAGTGTTGCTTCTCCCGATAGTACTTCAGAGAAAGAACTGAAGATTACTAGAATTATTGCTGTATGTCTCGCTATTTACGGAGTCTTCGTGATGGTCTTGTGTTTGAATATCAACCTGGCGAAGCTTAAATAATGATTTCATTTAGTAAATTTTATGGATATTCTTGTTTACGTTTCCTTTAACCATTTTATTAATGACTAACAAACTTAGCCGGTTTCCTTTTTTACAGATTAACCAGCAATATAATTATTTCTTCTTATCCTTTCAACTTGGACCCTTATTGAAACATGTTTACAGGCCGAAAGTCATCCTGAACAGGATACCAAACTAACCACGATTTGCATGGCATATAATGCCACGGTGGTTTTTTTCCGTAATATAAGTCTCCTGTTTGCGAGTACTGGTAGCTTGGTTGCCTGCTTCTTGACTCTTGTGAAGTTACTTCATCCGGAATATAGTAAACAAAGTTAGAATTACGGTCATTAATTGGCATTGTCTGAGGTGGGTAGTAAGGACCTGGAAAGCTTTCAGCTTCTGCCTGCCAAGGGTTTACATCGCTATCAATGAATAAAGGCGTATCTGGACTGGGGTACAAACTATCGGAAACATGGATTTCAGAAGGAAATTGAAATGCCTCATTTAGTATTGAGAGAGCCTGGAGGGCTGGGTATTCACTGAGCAAACGAAAGGCTCGTTGAAATTCACTTTGTAATCCTTTTACGCTTGTGTCGTCCGCCGTGTTAGCGAGGTTGCGCGATGTGTTGAATGGTTCTTCGACGCATAAAGAATTGTTCATGTCCATATTCCATCCTTTGGAGCGTTTATCTAAAAGGGTTCCACTCCGAACGGAGACGACGCTCTCTTTATAATCATAAACGAATCCATAATATCGGAAAAAATCTAGCAAGAGTTCTCCCAAGGAGGATTTGTTTTGAAAAGAGTTTTTCTGAAAATTTCCGAGATCTGTTAAAAAATGAATATTGTTTGTTCGTCTGTCATTTAGTTCCATCATGGAAGGAAGTAAGCAAGGTTTCCGAGTTTGCAAAAAATTAACAATCATACAAGAAAGCGTATAAGAAGTGATTGTCCCACACCCGACGGCATCATTAAGGCTTCGTTGCTTTGCCCAGTATTTAATAATTAGTCCGAGTGCTCGTACACGTGGGTCAATCTTTACGAAAAGATGCAGCATCTCCGTGTTTAGTTTTGCAACATCATTATTTATGTTGATATCACCGCTAATATTTAGCTGTGGATCCCACATTTTCACAATGGGAACTCTCGCTCTTGGTACACATGTGATTCTCTTCATTCCATCTAGACATTGGTCAATATTTTAACTTCTCAGTTCTTGCATACAGGAGTGTAAGATATAAGCCAGCTGACAGGTAGATCGCAGTTTTCCGTTCCCTCTTGTTACAATACACACGTCTATATCAGACTGATGAATGGCTAAACGGCTTTCGGTGGAGCCGAACACAAAAAGATCTAAATTTTTATCTTGTATAGAGTTTTTCAAAATTGTTTTTAGTTTGATGATGAATTGTTCACGACGAAAGTTTTCTTCAGGGGAAGGCTTCAAATCCTTGAACAGTTTCCAGCATTCTTTAGTTAGTTCTTCAGATCCTCTTATTTTGGCTATATTCTCAAGATTGACATTGCTTTGTAAATGGATGGACTTAGTTAGAAAACGCTTTCGTTTTGGTGATACAAAGCTCTCGAATGGACAATAATCAAATCCTAACAATTCCATTTTCCAAAAATCGTATATTACCTAGTAATGTCAATCTTTGCAAAAGTGCCGTTAAAGAAAGTCATTCATGTGTATGTGAAAGCTGCATTGTTTTGTTTGGCTATAAATATGTTTTTCTCGATGTAAACAATAAAATCCTGTGAATTAAGTCAATATATAAACAAACAAATCCTCAGCAGGGAAACAAGCTCAGCAAATTCATTGAATTCGTTTTTTTTTATTATTTAAGTTACTATGCAACAAAAAAATATAAACAAAGCTGAAAGTGTGATTTACTGGGCTAAATAATGACTTTGATACTAAACGAATTTAGAATCAGTAAAGGAAGTAAATATATTCTCAACGTCTGTTAAATTTCGTTACTAAATTTTATTGTTTTCATAAGCAGTGAATCATAATATTATAAATGTTGACATAAGTATCCTCATTTAACCGTAGCATAAATGATAATTATGCTGTGATGATAAATTTCATCTTACAGATATCTCGTGTTCCAATCGCCATCAGGATTTCGCTCAATAACATATGTAGGCCAAAAACGAGTATCAGGGCGAATGCTAACTAACAGTGTTGCACCTCGACGATTCATTTGTTTTACCTGGATGTAAGGCTCAGGAGGTATCTCGCTGATAATCTTCTCAAAATCGGAGAAATTGTTAATTGGCTTGCCATCAATAGCCACAATCCAATGTGCGGCTCGAAGCATATTCAATGCTGGAGATCCATATAAAATACTTCCGACATAAACACCATCTGGACCAGGGAGATCAACACCAGGCTCCACTTGTTCGTAAACACTTCTGTGTGTTGAATGTACGACGGCTCCCATCCAAGAGACAACACGAGAACTATACGTAGAAAAGTCTGGATACAAAGGGACCTTTAAATCTACTTCGTCTCCATCACGAAGTATTACTGCGTCTAGTTCTGAGCATCCTTCAAATTCATAAAGATCTGAAACTCTAGTTATCATTTTTCCATTTACGCTTATTAACACATCTCCGACTCGTAAAGACGAATCTGCAGGCAGAGGCCTCAGATGAGAAACGACATACAGGGGACGGGGTATTGTACCGTTCTCTTTTGATTTTACATAGAATTCAGACGAGCGATTTTGAGACATTCCCAATGTAGTTGCACCAGCCAAGCTAATGTGGGACAACTCTACTCCAATAGTTTTATTTGTCTGCTGAGGTCGAAGAGATGGAGGTAGTCGTAGACGCTCAAGCACAGGAAGTACGTAAGCCAGTGACAACCCGTACTTGTTAGTGTATTCTTTTCCACTCACTTCTTGATGGACCACAGAAATCCATAAAGCCACAACTTCGCGTTTGTCCTCTCTGTCGCGGAAGATTAAACCGCCTGTCGAGGCTGAAGAGTCCATCAAAGAAATGACCTCGCAATTGACATAACGGAATTTAGGAGGAGAAGACCTTTCGGTTTCTACAACAGAAACACTTCGCACGGTCGTGTTCTTTGTAAGTAATTGCAAGTCCTCATCAAGTGCTGCTAAAGTACATTCATCACCGGTACGCATAAAATCAGCCGCAAAGTCAAGTTGTACTGTGTTACTCGGCAGATAATCGCAGGACAAGATTGCAATTCGATCATCTAGATATATGATACGTCCCATAGCACTTAGTGATTGGAAAGTCAATCGAATATCGCAAACATCAACTGGAATAACAGTACGGTCAACTACGATAAGAGGAGGCACAACAGATACAACAACACCAGTACCACGGTAGGATTTTGCGGAGTTGAAACCATTAATACTCAGAGGCATGCGGCAATGGATCAAAACCAGAGAGTTTTGAATTGCCTCCAAGCTTTTAGAGCCTTCAGCTGGTCTTGGAATGATACTTGGTCTCCGGGACTTAGCAATTAAAGGAGGTGGTAGTCCCTCACGATCCCAGGTTCCTTCTTTGTCATTTCTTCGAAAAATGCTAGCCATGAAAAAATGTCTGTCAATCGTAATAATTGTGAACTCTTCTTCGTATTTTCCAAGGACTCGAAAATGCATTGGAACACGAGCATTGTCTGGAAGGTGAGTTACAACTTGTATAAATGCGTCCAAATTGGGAGTCGGTTTATTTGCAAGGCGTGTTACTAAAAAATCTCGACTTCCTGATGACCAATTTAACATTCCTGAAGCAGCTACATATGTTCCAGAATTGAGAGGAAACTGGTAGGAGCGTGCAAGTTGATATGAGAGATCATGGAGAATGGCGCCTCCTATTTCCAAGAAACGTGAAGGAGTAACACCATGCAAGTCTTGAACGTGCAATTCCACTACCATGTAACCAACCTTGGGGCGGAAAAGTCGCCAGCGGGTAGGCTCCCCAACCTTTTCATCAATAATTTCAAAAAAAGAGACGAAATCTACAATATAGATGGGATCCTGATTATCGGCTTCATAGGCAATCAGGACGTCTCCGGGTTCTAAAGCACCAGCAGCTTCACTTCCCCGTAAAACTTTTGAAACTACTAGCAACCCATTACTTTCAGGAATACGACTACGACAATTACTTTCGAATTCACTAGGGAGGCCAATACGAGATAATTCATCGTAGGACCAATGAAGGAACTCAGTCAGCAAAGTACCACGAGTGATAGGACGATCATTTTCCAGGCAGTGTAAGGCGCGAACAATACGATTGAGCGGGAGGTAAAAAGAAGACGCACTACTATTGGATCCGCCCGAATTCAAAGCAACCGCAGCGCCAGATATATCGAGGACAGGGCTTCCTGAGCTTCCACCACTAGTTCCACTTGCGGCTTGGTAATAAAAAGTATTAAAATCATTGTAATTATCAATTCCATAGTTAGGAGCAGGACGATCCAAGCGTGCTAATGTCGAACTCAGAATGGATAGCTTTTCTCCCGCATCGTTACCAATGATGCGAATGTCCAAACCGACCTTTGCAAGTTCAGGAGCTAAGGGAATTTCATCAACCACATGGAAGCGGATGGAAGAAGGGTCGTAGCGAAAGAACCCAAAATCATGAACTGGGTCCCTGTAAAGAGGATATATGTCAATTTCTTCATAGTTAATAAAGGAAGCACGGGCAGTAATGGGTCCAGGGGAGACAACGTGACGATTTGAAAGAATCAATCCCTTTTTTTTGTTTACGACAAACCCGGTAGCACAGAAGCCACCTGCGCTTTCCGTATCAAAGGACCGCAAAGCAGAGCCCTTAATGGATACAATACTCTGTACGACCCGCTTGGTTGTTTCGTCCCAAGTATGATGATTTCTCTTTTCATCAATAGTCCTTTCTGCATCCGTGCTACGAATAGGAAAAGGTTCATTTATGTCGAAAATATCCCTTCCCATCAGCTCAGGCTGCTGCGGAGTGTTGTAAGTGGAGGTAATTTGGTCAGAATTAAACTTGGGAAGGGGAATATGATTCGGTCGATAATCTGCCGAAATCGGTGGAGGCATGTTGTTGATAAAAATGCTTTTTTCTATGCGTGTGGTGTTCAAAATAGGATCGAAATAAAGTCACTGTCAAGAGAGACAATGTTAAAACAAGGTATCGTGAGCGCGAATGGAAATGAAACACACAATTCTTGCTGGGTTCTCAGTATGGGTTGTTCAATTGAAAAGCACTACTACTTAAATAAAAAACACAACCAAAAAGCAGAAAAATGCTGAGATGTATCAAGTAAGTGTTATATGAATGTTCTTTTGTCCTTGTAAATAATAGGATCAGAGAAGCAAATCAATCAAGCGCAAAACGGCAGAAAAAGTCGGGAGTAAAAGACAGTTATTAAATATATGGAAATAGGTATATATACGAAGCTTAAAGACGCAACACAGATACTCTACTTCAAATTCAATCAAATAACCGAGAGTGAGAATTTCTTGGCTGAACTGAGAAGGAATAATAAGAATAAAAAGATGCTTCACAATTTAGAAAAGCCTCCAATAATAAGAAATTATCGGTTCAACATGAAGGAATAGATGACTAGCGAGTGATGTGATATATGACTCACCTGCAGGAAATTCGTCGAACCACAGCAACGAATTATGCTAAAAAAGCTACCGTGTGATCTATACGATGCATTTCTATATGCAACATCGTCGTGGCGAAAGCAATTTGAAAATCCTTCACCAGGAGATGTTCTTCATAATGATGTCAAGGAATGGGCAAATGACGGTAGTTGTCCTACGGTCATTTCAAACGGTATAGTGTAGTTTCGGTTTCTAATTATCCTAGTAATGACTGGTAGAAATGTAATAGAATTGAATATCGAAGTTGTTCATCAACCGTAGAAACGAACGTGAATAGAGCATTCGAACAGGTAACACTTGGTAGCTAAGAAGAGGTTGTAAACAAAAAATAAGATATGTGGATGAGTAAACATTAGCAAATCAGATCATCTGTAGTGTTTGTCTTTGAGAAAATGAAAGAATAAAACAGAAGAGCCGGTTTTCACTTGGGAGAAGCCGTTGCAAAAGATGTGTTGGATGGGGTCACAGATGAAAGATTGTTCATTTTTTCTTCATATAAAACAATATCTTGTTCCAAAAGTACAATGATGGGTTTCCAGTTGTTGGAAATTGCTACTTCAAGAGCAGACTTAAAGGAGTGTAAGATGGAAGCAAGTAGACTCAAGACTTCCGCATGTCTGGTTTCAGAGATTGGCGGATCAGCTTTATTTGTTCCTGCATAAGGGGAAAGGGACTGTAGTTTTAACTCGGAGGTATGGACTTCTTCTATAAAATGCTGGAAAAACCGAATACCTGAATACGCCTGAATCACCATGAATCTCAAGGAAGATTCTTTCTCGCGTAAAGCGTGAATCGTTTTTGTAAGCTTGTTAACATGAGGCCGAGTATCGTACTCTTCTTGAAGTCGCAAAAGTCGGTCTTCCAAGTCGTGGATCTCTGTTTGTTCGAGCGAGTCGCACGTCTGTAGACGGTTAACAAGATGAGAGCGATGATCATATAAAATTGAGAGTTTTCTTTCCAAATCTGAGATTTCTTTGTCGACTTCTGCTATAGAAGTTTTTAAATACGCAATCTCCTGTGCATGCTCTTTCTCCTTGATTGACGACTTTGTTGCTTCAACTTGTTCTAATATCTCTTTTTGGAATCCATATTCTTCCTGAAGTTTTTTTGACTTGCTTTTGTATGCATTAGCACGTTCCTCGCATTCTTCGCACCAGATACGAAGCTGCTCCCCAAGGGCTTTGCGGATCCTGTGAACATGGTCCCCTCCCTTTGGTAGTAAAAGAATCTCAGCATGCTCGTCCAATATTGCCTGAATCTTTCTTTCTGCTTTCGAAATGGGCCCCAGGTGCTCTTGTGAAGAGCCAGAAGTAGGCTTCTCTTGCATGTCCATCACCTTTTGAGGTTTCTTAGAAGAAAGCATATTCAATTGATTTTTCTTGTAGTTCATAATTGATGCGCTCTATTATGAACAGGAAATAAAGCCAGTATGATCTGGCACGTAGATTCAATAAAAGAAAGCCTCTATAAGCAGAAAGTTTATTCAATTAGTGAAAATGAATACTTCTAAATAATTGAGTAAAGAATATGTCAGCCTTTTAAAGATTAGAAAGACTTAAACGCGTGCCTGCATTTTCTTGTAGTTGTCGCCTAAATTTGAAGAATTCCTTTTTTCATTTCAAAAATCAATTGAGTAAAAAAAAGTAATAGAAATTCTTTTTTTAAAACAAAAGAGTTTCTTTGTTGCTTCTACTTCGGACAGGATCTTTTCAATTTAGTCCACGATTTTGAGAATCATGATGGTGGCCTCGTACCGTTTCTAGTGATACAAAAATTGACAAGAAACATTGATTTTCTTTTATCGTATCTTTCACCTATTTGTTCCACGAAATACAATATTTCTGGTTCTATAAACAAACATGCTTTTGTTTATTGTTTAGGACATTCCATCGTGTTCGTTCTTATATATAGTGAGAGTGGCTGCATTACTTTAATAAATAAATAATTACAACAAGAAAACAGGTGCCTATTTCTTCAGTAAATGTACTATTTAAAGTTTCAAAACATATACTGAAAAAGTTAGAAAAAACGATTTGAATTTACGAGCTTTTTATCCTGTCATCGATGATCTATTCCAGGCCTTTTCAAACTCAATATGTACATCTTCATCGAAACACAAGACTTTCGAGATTTATATGGAGAATATCTCATATTTTCTTTTTGGTTTTAGATACCATTATTGTAATGAATAGTTACCAAACATGGATCCGTCACTTTGAGGAATTGGTCAAATATCGACATACAGAAATCTACATCATGACAATTCGTAACGTCTTTTCATTATTTGTTTCAACGTTATAGAGTAAAACTAAGTTTTTTTCGAAAGACTGTCAGTAGAAAAATGCATTACAGACAACCTTGATGAACGGGGCATCTATAGAAAACAGGTAGAACTGCACATCTAGAAGCCTTGGAATTAAAGTGATAAAAGAATTCATGGAAAGAAAGGACAAGAATGTTTTCAATCCCTATTGCCTCAAGGTTATACATTTATAATGAATGACAATGGTGATCCTCTACCCTTTTCCAAGGATCTAAACTATTCCAAGACGCGAGTAGGCGATTCCAGAGGATGCAACTGTGCCAAGTAAGTAATGGCCCTTAGTTTTCGGTTCGTTAGCTATTTCGTCAAGCAGATATACAATCGTTTCTTACCATAATATATAGCAGCAAGAAAAAGTTAAAATCAAAGTCATTTGCCATGTACTAAGTAAGAAATAAGTTAGTAACGAATGCTTGAAAAAGAAAGCACATTGAAAGAGACTGAGGTTGATTTTCCACATTTAGAAATTTACCAAAAAGGCATGTGTCAATGATTAAAAGCGTTCAAACCAGGAGCAATGGAAAACGTATAAACAGCCACGAGAGCCAAAAAAATCCTCATCGTATCCTCTTCCTTCCATTTCCCAACTTACTTTGTATTACTTCCTTTTGGCGCAAAATAATAGGAAATCACACATAGCAAAGCAGTGAGCAAACCAACTAAAAGAACAGAATAACCGCCCATGAATAAATCAATAATTTGTAAAATAAATATAAAACAGCTTTCCTACTGTTCAAGTTGCATTCAACTCTTCGCTGTCGTACGCTCCACGTCAAGTTACAGTCGTTACTTTATCGAAGTGTAGAATAATCAGTTAGTGATATGGATTGGAATTCAATCTATAGAGACGGGCGTGTATAGTGTTTTACAGTAAATTCTAATAAGAAAATTTAAAATTATAGTACAATTCCACATTGAAAAAGCGTTGGCAAGATAATTCAGTTGTGATTATTCGTGAATGAACGTCGCAAAAAGATTGAACAGAATAATAGATCGTTGATCCCAGGTTACTGTTTGCGATTTAGACCTTATTTTCCTATGGAGAATTCTTTTTTGTTTTTCATAGATTTGTTTTTTCATAGAAGAATGTGGTTATAAAATTGGGAAATGTTTGTGTACGCAGGCCAATGATACGTATCTATAGACGGTTCTTGGGTAAAAGTATGCAAAAGAGAGACAAGGAAGATGGGAAAGCAGGCTCAAGATTTAGCTCAAGCTTTAAAAGGATTCTTCTTTCTGAAAGAGCGTTAAAAGGCCAAGTGCCCCTAACATAACATATTTTAAAGTGGGATAGTCTGTCAACCAAATTGTAATCATTCCCAAGTAAGGAAAATATCCTCTGACAACACCGATTACATGCTTTTCTCGATCCAAATAAGTCATAGATCGTGGAAACAACCCAACATCATCGATTCGGTTGTTATCACCTTTCGTTATAAACTTCGTTTCATTCCTATTCATCCTTCGTTAAAACCAAGCTCAGCACTAGATAGTGGAAATTTCTCAAATACTTACCCTGAGTCGTACAATTTGACAACTCGATGAACAATAGGAATTGGACGGTGCGGCAAAGAGTAAACGACAATGTCTCCAATTCCCAATGAAGAGCCATACCGAACTTTCTTCCACAGCGAAGGAGTCGAATCTTCCCATTGGCTCTCCAACGGCGGTTTTCGATTATCCAAAAACAGTAAATCGCCTCTACGAAATGATGGCTCCATCGATTCAGATAATACCACAACAACAGGGCTTTCGCAGTCTGTCATAAAGGACAACGCTTTATAGCCCATATAAGCACTTGAAAGCACAAGAAATAGGTTTAGAACCTGGGAAAGCATCTATCAATGAGTTAGTCCATCCATCACCGTTCTATTAAATACTCGTCATATTTCCAAGTCTAACGGTTCTAAAACTCGCGAGAAACAATAGGAATCAAAGATAAAGGATTAAATAGACATCAATTCTACTCCAACGCTTGCTCTTACCTGCCGAAAATTCATTTTGGTCTTCATATTGCAAGCTACGTCGTCTATGGTAAAGGACAAACGGTTAACAAGCAGCCTTTCTCATGTATTCTACCGAGGGAACTTGTTCTTGCGAAAAATATATATGATGACTTCAATTAATTTTAAAAATATATATATGTATATATCCTCGAAGGTGAAGAATCGACTTTTGACGACATTCGCGTTTGTTTTTACTATAGCGAGCATCTAAAGCTTATCGCTACTCGTTCCTATTTTTACATTATGATGCACTGAAGAACTCACAATTGAATTCACGGTGCAAGCTACTAAATTGGCATGCCTTAGGGTAGGGCTAAGACTGTTTTTTTCGTCAACAACAATAAAAGTATTGGAGTAAATTACTGTTTGAACCCGGAGCATATAATCGAGGACGTCTTGATTTAACGCTACACACTCTTACTACAATGTCAACAGAAGGAGATTTTGTGCCCCAGGCTGAAGAAGTCGTCGAAAATGTTGAGGCTGTTGAGCAGGAAACTGCTCCTTCCACCCAATTGTCTGTCGAAGATGCTTTGAAGGAGGTTTTGAAGCGTGCCCTTGTTCACGATGGTCTTGCTCGTGGTATTCGTGAAGCTTCCAAGGCTCTTGATCGTCGTCAAGCTCACCTTTGCGTTCTTTGCGAAAGCTGTGACCAAGAAGCTTACGTTAAGCTTGTTGAAGCTCTCTGCGCTGAATCCCAAACTCCTCTGGTTAAGGTTGCTGATCCCAAGGTTTTGGGTGAATGGGCTGGCCTTTGCGTCCTTGACCGTGATGGCAATGCTCGTAAGGTCGTTGGTTGCTCTTGCATTGCTGTCACCGACTACGGTGAAGACTCTGTTGCTTTGCAAACTTTGCTTTCTAGTTTTGCCGCTTAAAGCTAGGCGTGAATTTCTCGATAGCAATACATCACATTCTTCAGCATACAAAATTGTAATCGTAGTACTACAGTAGAATTGGAACTTTGAGGGATCAAAGCGAAACTTTCAACTTAAGCTCGCTATATGAATAAAAGCGATGTTCATATTAGGAACACTCAAAGGTAGTCCGCGTGGAGAATGTTAATCTGGAAAATTGATTCTATAGGAAAGAAAGGTCTTTTCATTCTATCAAAATTTCCAAAGAAAACTCAGCCTCCTGCTCCGTTCTTTTCATATTTCTACGGTTTACTCATTCAAAGCTAGTAATTATCTGTAATTAGCTACCTTAAAGACTTAGTTCATATTAGCTAGCAGCAAAAAGTTTCTAGGACGGAATGATGTTTTTATCCGTAACTAACAAAAGAACGTAGATAAGAGTATTAAATCATAATTATGGGATCTAGTTAGAATACAGTGAACAACTTCTTTAGAAGGAACAAGCTTAAATGACAAAGGCACACATATCATGGTGCTAGTCATATTGTCATTTGACTCGAGAGCCAACTTTTTAGAACGAGTGTAGATATTAAATAAATTACAAAACACTTGAAGGAAGAAATTAGGGGCGCGTTTAAAAAGTAGAGCGACAGTCAATGCGAACGCTATTGAAAGGTACAAGGAAGTGTGAGAACGTTTATCAAAAACAAAAAAAATTAAAACATAAAAATGGAGGCGGGACGAAACGAGGCAGTCTCAAGAGGATTCATTGTTAACACTGCCACTGCTCCTGGTTTTTCGTAAAGCCGGATATGTAAGAGAATCGGTTGAAGATGCAGAGGAAAGAGGAAGTTGTGCTGTATACGGTTTTTCAGGAAAAAAGAACGGGTTTGTAGGTCGAGATGTCGAATCCGGATCTTTACGAATCATTTGTTGATACTCTGAAAGCTGAAAGATTAACGACATATTAGGACCAATCCAAGGAGATCGTTTCTTGACATATTCATACGCATCGGACACATTTAAATTTAGAGTTTTCATGATAAATGCAATGACAAGACACGCAGATCTCGAAATTCCCATTTGACAGTTAATCAAAACACGCTTGTTTAAACAAATTGCTTGATAAGTAACGAACGATACCAACTGATCCAGTTCAACTACAAACTGCGAGTCGTGCTCCCAAGGTATGTGAATATATTCAAGGCAATCAAATACATGGACATCCAAGTTGTGTTTGGAGTCCCTGTAGTAACGACCCTCGGTCGTAAATGGTTGTACTACTTCTTTGGCGACGTTGACGACGACGTCGAAGGACTGCAAAATCGGCATAGAAGGCTTTGCATATAGATATATGTTTGGAGGATATATGCATACTGGACCGTTTGGATAGGGTTGATTGGAGGTAACATTAGAAGACGAAGCCAAAGTAGAACGATAAGGAGACAAGGATTGATCAGTGGCATTGGATTCGGTATTTTTTACTGTATTAGGAAGGGACGACGTAGATATTTTTAAAGTGGGTAACTTCTGTGAAAGTCGATTTTGAGGGAATCTTCGTGAAAACTGCGTTGTAGGAGCTGCTTGTTCAGGGTTTCCCGAAACCGACCATGGCTTATTCTTCATATCATGGCAACTACGAGTTTTTTCTTCTGGTTCCTTTGCAACTCGACTCTCCATTGTTTTGATAAATAATACTCTGTACTTGGTAAAACTTCAAGACCATGCCACAATGCTTTGTTCCTTTCAATCTACACAATGTTAACATCCAATATGAACGCAAAAACCAGCTTTTTTTAATCTTTTTTCTTTTCAAAATATTTGTTTTTTTTGTTTTTTCAATCCCTTTAAAGATTGGAAGAGGAAAATTGCGAGGTGTGCGTTCTAAAAGGTCCTTTTACGGATAAGTCACAGAGGTAACACGATGATGGCTTTGTTTACAGAATATAGGAAAAGAAGGCTACATTGAAGAATTCGTTGCAAAGGAAAGAAACAAGAAGAAGTTACTTTGAATGCTCTCTATTTTATTTTATTTTTCAGATAAAAGTTTCCGATGAAGGAATAAAAGGTAGACATCTAGCAAAAGGATTCCTTACGACCAAAAAGAATATTATTATTATATGTTTCATTTATAAACAGTAGATGAAATCGGCTTCGAAGAAGGGAAGGAAAAAAAAAAAAAGAAAGACAACGTGTGGACAGTACAGTCCAGAAAAGTCGTAAGGAGGACACAGATAGCAACCTTGGAAAATCATGCAAGTAAATTAACTGAAAACCGTGGGAATGGAAAAAGGTACCTTATCATTTATCGATTCGCTCATGGCAGGAGTTGAAGTAACGAATGATCATGGAAATAGAGCTTACAGAGGCGATTCGGGTTCTGGAGAAAAATTCAAAGAGGAGCCTTTTGTTGGAGTAGATTGATGAAAAGAGTTATCAAGAAACGAAGGACCAAAGGAAAGACCTTGAGAGTTCTCTAAATGCTTGGGGGATGTTTGGTGCACAGTAGAGCTAGTAGACATGGACGAAGAGGGAGGTCTGGGTCGAAGAGGAGAGTGCGGAAATTTTTGCAACTTGGATTGGAAGCGAGAACCATCAGAAAACACTGAATGCCGGGAAGAAAGACGAGAAGGAGGAGGTGGTGAATTTTTGGAATAAGAACTGAAACTTTGCGTAGAAGGAGGTGGACGGAATAAAGAACGATCTGGTGAATTGTAGGCAAAGGAACTAGCAGACCGAGATGGGGAAGAATTTGTAGAAGTTGCTAAATCAAGAGGAGTGGAATGAGGTATCAAGTCCATGGAAGTTTGGCCCGCTTGTTGATTCGATAAAGAGGCATCAATGGCTTGCTGGACCAAACCAAGACACAATTCAGCCAAGCTACGACACAGACCGTCCACAACTGCCGACGGAGATGTTTGAGTAAGTGTGATGGCATGCTGGACAGCCTGTTGTACAGGCTCTAGAACAACCGGGGAGGGATGATATGTTTGTAGGCGGGACAATGCGGTTTGCATGGTATTTAAGGGAGCAGGGGAATACGATGTATTATTCGCATACGATGAAGTACTACCCAAATGTCCATAAGGACTGTAAGGTTGTGAAGTAGTAGAAAGAGTTGGTGAAGTATGACTCAAATGAAGTTCAATGTTGCTCAATCTGAACTTGAGTTCGTCCAACTCGCGTAAGACCGTCGAGTTGTCAGACGGAGAAGCTCGTTCAAGAGACGTTTCCGCCAAAGTTCCAATTGCATTGCGCATGGACGGGTGATTCAATTCCGGTCGATCGAGTCCAAACGGATCCAGAGACCTGCTATTGGTATCCAATGAAGAAAATCCACTCCAATTACCGTCCTGCATGTTGGCGTAATTGTCCCTAGAATCCAAGTCCGTTCCAGCTTTCATGGAAGGTAAAGCATGTTGGTGTTTTGCATTTTGGGCATAGGATTCACGTGTTTTTGGTGAAACGTTGGAACGCGACTTCACAGAGGCTTCGTAGGATAAAAAAGGATCCTCTGCAACTCCTTTGTCAAAAGATAAATCGTTTCTCGACATACAAACCACCAGCAAAAGATGCTGGAGGGTTTCAATGGACTATCGGCAGAAATCACAATTCATGGACGATCTCCACGACCATGAATTGTGAATAGCAGCGTCTGCGTTATGTTTGATACCACATTGCGTTACCTTACGTTGGTTTTGGGAGTAAATAAACAATAGCGAATAAATAAATCATAATTTTGAACTAAAAGTGAGTTCTGGCGTTTCAGCTTGATACTTGCTTAGAGTTTATTGTTTCTTTATTCTTATATCAATACTCATTCGTCCATTGCATCTAGTTATTCCTTTCGCACTGATCCAGAAAAAGACCGCTTTCAATTCAATGAAATCATTTCGTAAAAAAAATATATCCCTTTCAACACATGAAATCCATCAAAATAGATCATCTTATCATAGAAGAGTCTAGCACATTTCCCACTGGAAACAATCCATCTTTTTTTCTTTTATCCTTTCAACATATTGACTTTGTCTGCCAGAAATGGTCGATATAGGTGACACAATTGCCTGTTACTTCGTCCCAGAAACACAATATCCTGCACCATGATTGAGCAACAGCAGTCCTTTCTCGCGTTAGTTAGCTAAGAACCAGCTGTGACATAGCCTGTTTTATCACTTTTGCATTCTTCAGACAATTCTTTTTTGGACTAGTTGCCTGGGTTTCCTGCTTTGCCGTTTTGCTTTCTTGATATTAACAGGAAACAGGAAACTGACCTTTTTGTTTGTATCATAAAATTCCCTTGAAAGCACTTTCACCATTTCATTTTTTACGTTTGCGAAAACTTTGGGTTCTTTCGTACAAGTCTTTTTCTTGGATTCTAGAGAATAGTTTTAATCGTATTCTTCAAGCTTTTTCAATATGTCAGGTGTTGCTCCATCTAGAGAATATTTAAATGAAAACGTTACACCCGTGCTCCTTGAGGGAATGAAAATGCTTGCTCGCGATCGGCCAGAAAATCCTCTTCAAGTGTTGGGCCAATTTCTACTAAATGCTAGTCAGAATCGACAACAACAAAAGCAACCTGAGCCGACGTTTCCCGAATCCCAACCACAATTACAATCCCAAAATATGGATCAAATTTCTCAGACAACAGATTCGAATCCCCAACTTCGTTCAATGATAGATGCTTCTCAGCATATATCACAGACTTCTGCTCCAGATGCATCGAATGGACCTTAAATGCTGTCTTCCTTTGTCCTCCTTGCTAATCTGATACGATTGAGGGAGTTCCCTCACGGAATGCTAGGCTGTCTTGGGCTTTCCAATGAATCCGTTGGATGCGGGACATAGAAACATGACCCAAGAGAGTTTATATTAAAGCGTGAAACATTCGTTCGGATACCTTGAGTACGTTTCCATCTCCTTTTTTGACATGTTCCAAACTTAAAGAACACGTGAATGAACTTCCTTTTTGTGGGGCTGCATATCGAATATAGAAATTGGGAATGGTATAAGTCTAAAGAACCCGTGTGAATGCATATGAAATTTGCATACAGGATGGTCTTCAACCCGAATGGAAATGAAGCATTATCGCTTCAAAAATAGAATAGATAGAAAACCTTTCAATACGTTTCAGTTGGGTTCCAACACCGAGTTACTTGGTTTTCATTCTCAAAAGCAAGCTCATCCTGAAAACAAGCACAACCTAAAATTTCCCTGATGGCTTCTATATCTTCGGTAAAGGAATCCGGCAACGATACAATATGGAAATACGGTTTTCTGTTTATTTTTTTATATTTATTTAATTTTTACAATTTACAGACCAATGTTTTTGAGCATTTATGCTCCAGCTTACTGACACTTATGTATTACCTATTCCTGTTCTACCAAGCCAGTAGTAGAGAATGAGCCAGACGAAGCACGTTTCATCATCTTCCTTTTCTCTTATGTAAAACAATGCACTTTCAACTACATTTTATAGCGACACTGCTTTACTTTCCTCCACTCTCTACGTAGATCACTCACCAAAACTCTGAGCGTATTGTTGTCCATAACCTATAACCCAAGTTACAAAATCCAAAATTCGAGAAAATCACTTCGCAACCTCACGATTTTTTTGTTTACTAAATATGAATTTCTTTTTTTTTATTTTTTATTTTTTGCCCATTCAACCCTTTCCGTCCATTTTGCGTTCGTTTGCACTATGTCATTTTCCGAATTGCGTTTCGCTACGCAGTTCATTGTTTATATGAAACGGAAAGTCTGAACTCACACTCCACACCCTCTGCAACTCTTGAACGGGAATACAAGAACTCGCAGAAATGATCTCGTTACTCCGTAACTCTGCCTCTTTAAGAGCAATCCCTAGATGCTCACAATTTAGTTTTGTAAGTACCTTGGTTGTTACGTCCTCCAACCACCAAGACGGATCCTTCACACCAACAAATAGGTCAAAGGGTTCCTTCTAGCTAACCGCGAATTTTAGAAACGTATGAACAGTACTCAAGCAAAAGGATCCTTTGAAGGTGTCAAGAACGCCAATGGAAATTATGTCGTTACTATGATAGCTGGTGACGGCATTGGACCGGAAATCGCGAAATCTGTAGAGCAAGTTTTTTCTGCTGCAAAGGTATGCTTTGTGTCGAAAGCAAGACTAAATGAAGGAGAAGCTAACAATAATGATTTAAGGTTCCTATTGAATGGGAACCTGTCAAGGTTTACCCTCTTTTAAAGAATGGTACGTAATCCTTCAGTGAGAGAAACCACTAGATTTACGAGACGTCTCGTATATTTCTCTATCTTTGTTCTTTTATTATTAATGCTTTCTGTCCTATAGGAACCACTGCTATTCCCGATGATGCTGCTGATTCAGTCAGAAAGAACAAGGTTGCTTTAAAGGGACCTTTAGCGACTCCAGTCGGCAAGGGACATGTTTCTATGAACCTTACTCTTCGTAGAACCTTCGGACTTTTTGCAAATGTCCGTCCTTGTGTCTCCATCGACGGCTACAAAACACCCTATGACAATGTCAAAACAGTCTTGATTCGTGAAAACACCGAAGGTGAGTATTCCGGTATTGAACATGAGGTTGTCCCGGGTGTTGTTCAATCTATCAAATTGATTACTCGCGCTGCATCTGAGCGCGTCGTTCGCTATGCTTTCCAATATGCTCGTCAAACCGGCAAAGACAACATTACAGTGGTCCATAAGGCTACCATCATGAAAATGGCTGACGGGTTATTTTTGGACACCGCAAAGCAACTTGCTCCCGAATTCCCTGATATCAAATTGAATGAAGAAATCCTTGATAATGCTTGCTTGAACATTGTTACAGATCCCGTTCCTTACAATAATACTGTCATGGTTATGCCCAACTTGTATGGTGATATCGTTTCTGACTTGTGCGCTGGTCTCATCGGTGGTCTTGGATTAACACCCTCCGGTAACATTGGTAAGGATGCTTCCATCTTTGAAGCTGTTCATGGAACTGCTCCTGATATTGCCGGAAAGGGTCTTGCCAATCCAACTGCATTGCTTCTATCCTCCATCATGATGTTGAGACATATGAACTTGTATGAGCATGCTGCTAGAATTGAAACAGGTATGTTTAACGATAGATAAATTGCGGTTTTAATCTAACACTCCTTTAGCTATTTTTGATACCCTTGCCAACAGCCCTGAATCTCGTACCAAGGACTTGGGTGGTAAATCTTCGAACGTCGAATACACAGAAGCCATCATTTCCCGTCTCAAGTAATGACTCTTATTCTCAATCTTTTTTTTGCATTAATGCCTACCTGAAGCAATTATGCCGATGACTTTTCTACACTGAAATAATACCTTAAATACAAATTACCTAACCCCCCTTCTTCAATTTCACAGATTTCACAATAAAATCAAAATTAAATGAGATTTTTTACTTTCTAATAACAAATCAAGTACTGTTGTATTTTCTTTAATTGCCCTATTGATTACCGTCTTCCATCATATCTTCCTGAGTCTGCAAAGTTTTAGTAGCATCTTTGCCAACCCATTCTAACTGAACATCTTTTAAAGAAGGAATGCGTAAGACTCCATGATAAAACTAGAATTTATGTTAGCAGATGTTGCCTCGCTGATTCATCTTGTAAACGGCACTTACACGTTCCGCTGCTTTTCTGTTTTGGAAATTAACCAATCGTTCATCAGGATTAAGCCCATCAATACTTTCATATTCGCCGACACTAAAAACGAATTGTAATAAAGATTCATTCTTCTCGGGGGTCAGATTTTTTACTTTGACCCTTGTAGGCCGATTGTCTATGGACATAGATGCCAATGAGAATCCACCTCTGCCTCTTCCTCTATACGCAGAAGACCCTCGCTGAGAAGGTGCAGACGAAGAAGGATGATGATTAGTGGATCGACCTGACTGACTTCCCTCACTCCCTACAGGAATGCCCAAACTTTCAGCTTCGGCTTTTAAAACAGCTAGCTGAGTTTCTAACAGCTGTGACTTATTTTTGTTTTCCGGATCAGCCTCCTTTATCTTGCTCATAAGTAACCTTTGTTGTTCAAGCTGTTGCAAAGCCAATTGTTGTTTTCTTTCATTCAGCTCTTCTAACGCCTTTTTATTTTCTTCTAAACGCTTCATCCGCTCTTCATGCAGTTTTTGCTTTTCGGCAATGTCCTTATGAAAATCTTCGTTTTGCAATAACAGAGAGGGGTCCTCTTCATCCTCATGATTTTCAAGATCTGGTGATCGCGATGAAGCTTGAAAAAAATCTTTACGGGAAGCGGGCCGGCTTTGGGAAGCTTTATTAGGATTATACCAAAAAATTTTAATAAATCTATTGTTAAAAATTGGTTCTGGTGAAGACCATGCATTATGAGCTGCCTCATGGGATGTAAAGGTCAAAATAGCTGCATGTTGTTCAAGATTGAGTTCAATCTTTTCGAGGACGCCGAATTTGGAAAAGAATGAGCTGACTTTCTCTTCATCTAAATACTCTTCGGGAATATTACGAACATATAAAACGGTATTCGTTGGATCGTTTGGAGTATTACGTACTGGTCGTTGACCCATTGAAAAAGCAGGACCACCCTTATTATTTCGGCGCCCAAAACCAGCTTGACCCGCTCCATAAGGATCATTCCTTGGAGCAGACCGTTTCTTGTTTTTCATTTTTAGATATGAAGATGGATGGTCTGCCGGGGAAAGGAAGAGGAAAAGGGGGTATACCAGCTGGACTAGAAGGATTGTAAAGCCCAGGATTCTCCGGCATAAATCTGGAACCAGACATTGCAGCTGGATGATACAGAGGCATTGGCATCATAGGAGGAATTGGTGGGAAAAATGCATTCGGATTCTGCGGAGTTGGAGCGATATAATTCGAAATAGGAGCAACCTGTTTCGGTGGAAAAGAATAGCTAGGGGAGTACTTGGGTTGTTCATTTGCTAGTACATTAGCTGCCACCTCCGGGGCTTCTTCGAGATAGGATCGTTCACGTAAAACATCAAATATTTTATCAACAAAAGGAACTGTTTCTTGCCTCAAGAAGTCTTCAAGCTGCGAGTAACATAACTGACGAACTTCCTCCTCTGAAGATTCATGCCGTAAAAGAGCCATAGCATAGTCTGATAACACGCCGGCATCAGCATCAGAACTATAGATACATTAGCATTTTATTTTCGATATAAAATAGGCCATAAGTCCCTAAATAGGAACCATCTCTTTTGTGTAAGATTGCAACTGTACTTACATGGGTTCTAATGCCTTTTCTAGATACTTTTTTAGGTACTAAACTAGTTAGAATTTTTTCAAAGCATCCAATATACCTGTGCATGTTCCTCTAAAAACAAAGGCATCTTGAATAGAGGAAATTCTAGTCGCAGGCTCTAGGTATAGGTTGTTGATGGACTTGCTAACGGCTGAAGCAAGCTTCAAAAACTCGATCGTCAGGTTAGAAAAAGAAACGTTAGAGAACAATTAGTTTACATAATACCAATTTTCAAGTCTGTCTTTTACCAAACAACCGTAACGCTTTCATCATTTGTAAAGCTATGCAGAAATGGATATATAAGCCCTGGGCTTAAGAACGCTGCGAGCTTTTAGTTACTATTATTCTTATTTCTAATTTCCATATAAAACTGCAACGCGCATTGCTCTTCTTGAACGAATTCAATGTATACGAACAGAAAACTACTACCTGTCTGTGATAACAACGAATGAAAGAGCATTAAAGTATAACTCGTTGCTTTTGAAAGAACAAGAGCAGTGTTTGGCATTTTTTCAATACCGTTGCTTTCAATGTCTACTTGCTTTTCCGACGAATATTCTACTGCATACCATGCAATATCTACGAGTAGGGGTAGGCGTAAATGAAATAGAACTATTAAACGTCAAACAACAGGAAGCTTTGATTAAAAGTATATAACGAGAAAAAGGATGAGGAGACCCCAAGGGAGAAGCATTTCTAATTCCAGTGCATGCTAATGCCTTTCGAAAGGTCTATTAAGTATTAAGGGACGTTAAAGGCAAGAGGAAGTACCGAGTTAAACCTGAAAAAAAAACAAAAAGAATAGGAATCATGCTCATTGAGAGATTACAAACGAATGATATGAAATATTCGAGGGAAGAGCCAGTAAAAATGCAGTCCAGTACTAAACTAAAGATGAAGAAGATTACAAATAGTAAGCATGAAGATTTTTAGGTCAGCGCAATGGCGAAACAGAAGATCACCGTTTTCTTAACAGAACCTCTGGTCGCTCATAAAACGAGGGACTAGATAGATGAGCCAAATCAGAATTCGAACCATCTGAAGAATGAGTTTGGGAAAAGGTAGGCTTTTTTGGTGATGAGTATTCAGAAGATGAATTCGACTGTGGGCTGTTTGCTAGTGTCTCTCTCTTATTATGAGATTGAGGTGAAGATATCTTTGATTTTTGCGTCACTGGGAAAGAAGGGGCGGTAGATGCAGATGCTAAAGGGGACGCAGATGATTTGCGAAATTTTCTTTTTCTCTTTTGACGTCTTTGTTCGGAAGTTAGGTAAGCCGTCCGAAAAGCCTCCCAGCCTTCAATGACAAGAATGTCAAAGCGCTTGTTTGACAACACGAGATGAACACCCTGGTCCAAAGGCTTTCGAAATTGAAAAAATGGGACAGGCGTAATCACGAGTCGAATGTTAAATAAACGCATAGCTTTGTTTGTCTGTTGGACATAGCGCGAAGGGTATGCAATGCTTGACCGATAAAGTCCAAGGACATAAAACAACAACATTGTTACAAACCCCGACAGTAGGCATAATTTATATATGAGATCAATCAATGAATAGAGCGAAACCCGAAAAAATACACGGTAGGAAAAATAAATATTCCATGTCAACATAGATATGTAAAACGCTAAATACTTTCGTCGACGAGCACGTAGCTGTAAATAGGTTCTTCGAAACGAAGCTTCTAAAATTAAAAGATTATGGTACACGGCGAGTGTACTAGGAACAAAAGGAGAAGACATGGCATCGTATGCTTTAAGAACGTAAGAACAGAAGAATAATCCCAAAATTGGAAAGAAAACAATCACCAATCTGTCATATAGTTGCAACGAGTAAGAATTCACTCTCTCCAACCGTTTCAATCACACGGTCGCGAACACGAAATTATTCCAAAACTTTTATTTCACACAGATAACTTTTGTCAATCCTTTGCTGCTAAAAGAGCCACAAACTTTTCTTACGTCCAAGAAAACCTCAGTCTTACACAGCGAAGCCAATTAGACGATTTTCATCCGCACAAACGAGTAAGTAAAAAAAATTACGCAATGCAATTCACAAATACAAACAAATAATTTAGCTTCAACAATAAAAAACTCAACAAAATGGAAATATGCGAAAGAAGCATAGAAAACGCGCGCATTTCAAAGATCCAGTATTGCGTGCTGCTGTAAGCGTACTTAACGATACACAAAACTATGTTATTTATTTTATCGAAACTTAGCTAAACAGAATTCCTCGTATATTCAGAGGTATAGAAAGTGTAAATAAGCCAGACGGTGTATACGCGTCCATGGACTTTATTCCCAACGACGAGGATTTGCAACAATTACTAGAAGTAGAACAAGAAAAAAATTCAAATGACGGTGAGGATGAATTTCAGGAAGACGAAGAGTACCTTTTGGAAATGAGAAACGCGAACTCTCTGGAAAATTTAGAGCATCGCAATATTCCAAATGAATTATTCCATAGCTCTCAACCAATTGGATCTCCAACGAGGAATGGAAATGATCTGCCTTCCACTTTGGATTTGTATAGCTCTTCAAATGGGGCATCCAGCATGGATTCTAGCATGGATGAAGATACGAAATTACCGAGTGTGCCAGATGCTTTAAAGGTTGGAGTCGACAAAGATCCAGAAAAAAAGGACTTGAGTAGTTTGAAATCCCGTACGACGATGGATATCGACACTCCCCTGGTCGATCCCAAGGACAATTTATCCCAAAAACAATCTCTCTTTTGGCAACAAGATAGGCCTGAATTACCAAAAATGAACTTGGATTTTCCAAATGAGAAATTCACTCATGTCAATGCTTCCCAGGAAAGCATTGATTCTCTAAATAATTCAATCCCTCACCTTTCACACGATACAAAGCCCTCGTTTTCTTTTAAGGAAGAGTCCGAGTCCGATACTAATTCTCATCCTTTTCTCTTTCCTTCCATTTCCCAGGATTTGCATGATGCTAAGTCTTTACATAATCTGGACAAACCGCTGCCTAATTCTTATGAACATCCATCGGCCAGTTCTTCTAGCACTTTTGGATCTGTTACTGCTCGCAGCTCTTCTGGTGCTATACTTCATTTTCCCAGACGTTATAACCGTCATATGGAAACTTTACCACAGCAACGTACTGACTATAATGCTGAGCTATCTAAAACCCCTTTCTTTAAAGATACTTTACTTCGAAATGTCCAGTCTTGGGCTAAAGATTTTCAGCTACAGCCCAAAGTGAAGGCCGATTTGCTTTCTTCAGGGGGCCATGCAAACAGCACATCCGCTTCTCCTGCTTCAAAAACCTTGGTGCGTACTGAGGAAATGTGGGTAGACAAGTATCGTCCTCAACTATTTCGTGATTTAATCGGGGATGAAAGAGTTCATCGAGATGCTATGCGTTGGATGAAAGCTTGGGATCCGTTTGTATTTGGTCATATCTCTCCTCATGCCTCAGCATCACCACGTCAGCTCGCTTTTTCCAAGGCTTCAGCCAAAGAATCGGGTCGTCCCGATAGGCGTATTATGATTTTGACAGGTCAGGCTGGTTCAGGAAAGACAACTTTGGCGCATGTCATAGCCCGTCAAGCTGGTTATAAGGTTCTCGAAATTAATGCTAGCGACGATCGTACCGCAAATACGGTTCATGAAAAGATCGGCGCTGCGGTCTCGTACCACTCTGCCTTGTCTTCCCAGCCTACTTGTATAGTAGCGGACGAAGTGGACGGTGGGGATCCTGCCTTCATTCGTGCTCTTGTGACGCTTCTGGAAAGCGATGAAAAAGCTAGCCTTGCACAAGCTACCTCTAAATCTAAGAAAAGGTCGAAACAAAAGAAGCTTTGTCGTCCTATTATATGCATATGCAATGATCTTTATACTCCTGCATTACGGCCTTTGCGACCCTATGCCCAAGTAGTCTATTTTAATGCTCCACCCCAAGCAACTTTGGTAGGTCGTTTACGTTCCATTTGTAGGTCTCAAAATCTATCCATAGACAGTCGCTCCTTAACTTTATTGACAGATATTTACAATTCAGACATCCGAAGCTGTCTAAACAGCTTGCAGCTCTTGTCCTTAAAGTCATCATCTATCAACCAGGAAATGATTAAGTATTTACAGCCAAAATCTAATTCGTCGGCGAATTCTGGTCTTTTATCGTCCCTTCTACATCGACCTGATGCGCGTTTCCTTCGAAGTATAGAAGCATCACAAATATCTTATTCACACATAGACACGTTACTTAACATGATTGAAAGTGGTAATGATGTAGATGCTACATTAATGGATTGCTTCCACATTTACTTACAGATGCCTTTTACGGATAATTTGTTCTCGAAACCTGTAATAACAGCAGACTGGCTCTACTTTTTTGATCGACTTAATAAATTAACATACGGAGGACATCATGAATTATGGAAGTATATGCCTTATTCCATAATTCACTTTCATTACTTATATGCTTCTGCCAACAAAGTTAAGCTTGCTCGGTATCCTCGTTATGATTTGGAAATGATGAAGCTTCGTCGCGACCGGCTCGAAATTTTGGATACCTTTATGTCTTCCTTTAGTCCCAATGATTTTGAATTTTATAAAAAACAAACCGTGCTTCTAGATTTAATAGATCCTTTGTTAGGCGTCATCAATCCTTCCATAAAAAAGGTAAGATCACTTTGGACTTGGTGTATAACTAACCAAGTTTTAGTCTTCCAGAAACTCCAATGCCGACGATAAATTAAAAATTGAGCATGCCGTACGGATCATAGACCACTACAACCTAAGGCTAAATCATATTCCAATCGGTGAAGGGCAATATACCTATCGACTTGAACCGTAAGTATAGAATAAATTACCGATAACGTTCTAACCTTTTAGTCCTCTAGAAGAACTGGTTTGGAATCCTCCCTCTAGTACGTATTCAACTAGACAATTGCTTTCCCAGGAACTTTTTCGAAAACGTCTTGAACAAGTTCAGAAGAACTCTATACCAAAGGTTTCTTCTTCCGAATCAACAAAAAAGAAAAGAAAAGAAGCAGGACTTGAAAGAAGTATACGTCGCGACTTTTTTGGTAGGGAAATCAAAGTTCCTCAACAAAATGACAAGAGTCCCGACACAGAGAAGTCTCCAATTGCTTCAGAGAAAGTCATTGCTGTTAACTTGAAGTTTCATGATGGATTTTCCAATGCTATTAGAAAGCCCATCTCCCTTCATGACATCCTTCATTTTGAGTAATTTGTATATTAATATAATTCTTTCTTTGCGTTTGTGCATTTTTTCATTAAGTTTCACTAGTAATACTATCGTAAAGTTTGTGTTTACCATCATTGTTAACTCTACTATTACCACGGAGAGCATATAGCTAGCTTAATGGCTTAATTGCTTCCAATTTAGTTTTGAGGCTTCGCTTTTTCATGCCATTACTTATAGATAATTTACTTTCTCTGTTCTTTTTGCTTCATTATGTCTGAACTTCACATTCGAGCTGCGTTGTCGCGTCTCGCCGATAAATATTTACAGAATTCTGAGAGCCCGTCAGAGCCGTATACAGTTGAAACAATTATCGGATTCTTTGAAGGAATCATTAATTCGTAAGTTCATCATCGTTAGATATATCGAAAGACTGACTTAATTTAGAATCCCATCTGATTCACCAGTATATGGAATTGAAGAAATATTATATCGCATATTTTCAAAGCGTAAGACACTGTGCAACAGAGACATTATTAACGTGAGTTTAGTTTCAAATGATAATGCTGATGGAATTTTATTCAGTCGACTCTCTAATCTAGTATCTCGTTTACGGACTCAAGAGGTACTACAAAACAAAGCTAGTATCCTACAAGTGTTATATAGCTTATCAAGATTAAGCGAAGGCGTGGATGAGCTGTCTTCTTCTCATCCAACAAATGCTCTTTCAGATTTGCAAGCTTTACCCCCTTTGGGGCCTGAACATACCTTGTCTGAAAGTACAGATGGAAGAAACACAGATAAAAACAGATCTATCTCTGAGCGAAATTCTATATACGAGTGGACATCCCTCTCGCAAAAGCAGCCAACACCTACTCAAGAAAAAGCTTCATATTTTGAAGAAAGTAACGATACAGAAGATTATTTGAAAAGTGCTGCACTGTTTATTCTTCAAGGCATTTCAACTGACCTTGTGAAGTTTCATGATGGTAATGCCGACTTATCACAACAAATACCCTCCCATCATATCCTACAAATCCGTTCTTTATGTGAAATTGGTCTTCTTTACCAAGAATTGAAAAAATTCGCTGACTATGATGGTTTTCATAGTTCACACTCAACTTTGAAGATGTCCGATTCTTCATATGATGAACAAACTTTAGCATTACAAAGTTTCCGAGCATTTATTTCTAAAGAATTGACACAATACCTAAGCCTTATCGCTTCTTTAGAATCTCAACTTCGAACGGATAATTCAACGAGTTCACAAACAGTTAGCATTCGCCGCTGTATAGTCTGGACAAATAATTCACGACTAAAGTTTAGGATACTATCGTCCATTGTGAATTCGTTTTTGAAAGAAAAGAACAAGAAGAAGCTTATTCATATTGTTGCTCAATATAGTTTCCATGGAGACCCTATTATTCACGATCTTAGCAAGCGAGTGTTGATGGAAATCACTCAACCCCTTCATGAGATGATTGCAAATTGGGTTTATAAAGGAGAGCTGGTAGATCCTTTTCGGGAATTTTTCGTCAATGAAACTGATGATATTTCTCATACTCATGATAGACAGGGAACAGGACGAATTGTTTGGAAAGGGAAATATCACTTGGAAAAAGAATTAATACCAAGCTTCCTGTCGAGTCCTTTAGTAGAAAAAATATTTCTTATCGGAAAGTGCCTCAATTTTGCCCGCTATGGTTGTGATGATTCGGAATGGACTCAGGACCACTATAGAAAATTTGCAAAAAAGCTTTCATATACAGATTCCCAAAGTCTAAAATTGACTATTGACATGGCTTATACACAGTCCACTCGACATCTCGTTAAACTCATGGAAGAAAAATTCCATTTGAGTGAGCATTTGAATGCCATAAAAAAGTATATTCTATTGGGTCAAGGTGATTTTGTTGCATATTTAATGGAAAGTTTAGGTGATTCTTTAGAACAACCTGCCAACACTCTTTTCAGACACAATTTAACCGCGTGCTTAGAGAGCGCAATTCGCTCAAGTAATGCTTCTTATGAACCAGAATATATTCTAAAACGCTTAGATGCAAGGCTACTAGAATTATCCCATGGTGAAGTAGGTTGGGATGTCTTTACGTTGGAGTACAAGGTGGATTCTCCGATTAACGTTATTATCACACCTTACTGCTCAAGGCAGTATTTGAAGATGTTTAATTTTCTATGGAGGTTAAAAAGAATTGAGTTTGTTCTTTCTCATTCTTGGCGTCGGTCGACTCTAGGAGTCCGCAACATTATTCGTGAACTAGAATTTGTTCAACCAGAATGGCATTTTGTCAGTATTCACTTGGCCGAAATGATCCATTTTATCTGTCAGCTTCAATACTATATACTTTTTGAGGTAAGCGTGGAACTCCAAGCTAGGTTACTAATTTTCATACAGGTTATTGAAATCAGCTGGGAAAAACTAAAAGAGGCAATGTTAAAACCAAATGCAACACTGGATACGTATATTGAAGCTCATCACCATTATGTGACCAGTATCACCCATAAAGGTTTGCTGGGTAGTGCCAGATCGCGGACTGAAGATTCCTTCCTTCACCAGCTTCATGAACTCCTAAAGATAATTCTATCTTTTCATAACTCTATCGAAGCTCTGTATAATTTTTCGATATCACTTTACAGTCGATTGAAGATCAACGCTCCTATATCCACAGAGTCGTTAGAAGAACAGTACGTGCCCATTCAAGAGAAACTTCAACACTGTTCAGAGGAGTTTCAGTTGCGACTTAAACATTTTTTGTATGGTTTAGCAACTCAAAAAGATTCAGAAATGAGGTTCTTGTCTGTACGTTTGAATTTTAACGAATTCTATGCATTCCAGCAAAAGAAGGTTTAAAATTTTTTAAAATATAAATTACAAATCTTTTATTAAAAATGGAAGGGAACGTAACCTCAATGTCTTCTGAGGTTCACCTTTCGTGCTCGCCTTTAGCCAACCACCATCCTCGCAACAACTTCCTGAAACGATCAATTTTCGAACAATTCGATGTCTGCACCTTCTGGAAGGCTTCAACCGCAGCGGTTTGCTGCGCTGCCAAACCCAATCACAGCTGAAAATAAATTTTGGCGATCCTTTAAAGTTCCTGTCGTAGCAAAGGAATATAGTGCCGTTAGCAACATTCATTTTTCTGCTGAATCGCCACATGATTTTGCTGTCACTAGCGGTACACGTGTTCAAATATACGGAGCTAGCTCTCGTTCCGTGAAGAAAACAATTGCCCGATTCAAGGATATTGCATATTCTGGTAATATTCGAAAGGATGGCAAACTACTCATAGCAGGTGATGCCACCGGCCTTGTTCAGGTATGTTTTCACATCCATTAAAAAGGGCATTAAAGGCTGTTTCTGAAATCTGTATACTGCGAAGACTTTAATCCGTGCTTGACAGAATAAAAATATAGACCGTTATTATCAACGTTGATGAAAGACTTTTTTTTCTATGAAAAGGAGATGAGAATTTTAAAGCCTATAATGTTTCTTTTAATTGTTCTTTAGATGTTCTTTAAAGAAGAAAGACCAGCTAACTTAATCTTTTAGATTTTTGATTTATCGACTCGCAGTATTTTAAGAAGCTTAAATTTGCATCAATTTCCTGTGCAGGTTACTAAATTCTGTCCTTATTCACAAACTAGTTTCCTTTCAGGATCCGACGACAAGACCGTCAAAGTTTGGGATTTGGCTACAGGAGAAGCCCATCACGACCTTCAAGGACATGAGGATTACGTACGTGCTGCCGAGTGGCTAAGTGCTACTCGACTGGTAAGTTCTGGTTATGATGGCACTGTCCGATTGTGGGATACACGTTTGGCACAACCTGAAGTAATGTCATTTAATCATGGAGACTCGGTAGATGCTATTTTACCTCTGCAGTCTGGAAGTACTATAGTTTCTGCTGGTGGACCTTATGTTAAGGTTTGGGATCTGGTAGCTGGTAAATCAACGGCTGCTAAGACGTTGACCAACCATCAAAAGAGTGTTACATGCTTGGGCACAAATTCAGACAACACTCGTCTCTTAAGTGGTGGTTTGGATGGCCACGTTAAAGTTTACGACGTTGCTGATTGGAAGGTTGTGCATGGTATCAAATACTCTGCTCCTATCTTGTCCTTAGGTCTTTCTCCTGATGATCGGAACCTCGTCGTTGGTATGACCAATGGTGCTTTGTCCCAGAGGACTCGCCGGGTGAATAAGCAACCTACCACAAAGACGCCTTTCCTTTTAGGTGTCGGTAGTGCCTTTGGTGTTGTTCAGCGTAAAAAAGACGTTTACAAAGGTGAAAATGACGAATTTTACGTTGAAGAAGTTCGCCGTAAAAGACTTCGTCCCTTCGATAAAGCTTTGAAGACTTTCAACTATGGTGATGCTTTAGATTCGTCTCTAGAAAACGGATCTCCAATTTTAGTGATCACCATGTTAATAGAATTATTGCATGTGGGTGGTTTGCGTATAGCGCTTTCTAACCGCGATGATCTTTCTCTAAGTCCTCTTTTGAAATTTTTGCGAAAATATATCCAAGATCCCCGCTTTACAGATGTCTTAGCAATAGTTGCCAATACCGTTTTGGACATATATGGAATTGCTTTGGGCGGTAGTGTCATGGTTGAAAGTGCTATTTCAAAGTTTCGTGAGAAGGTTGAGCAGGAAGTCGTCATTTCTCAAAAAGCCAATGAACTGGTTGGCATGTTACATATGCTTTCAGCATAAAGCAAGTTGCTACGCTTGTTTGTTCATTAAGCCATTAATATACGAAAAAGGTTGTATATTTTTGTATGGTTTGGACATAGGCAATTTTTTTTGGTGAACCGGATTTCATTTCCTTTTGGTAAATAGCATGTGTAAACCGCTTCCCTGATATGATTTTCAAATTGTTAAATAAGTAATAGGGTTCTTCAATAATAGAATTTGGGTTGGTGATACAATAAATTTAAGTGAATATTTATTAAAACTATAATTTCAAGCCAAAAGACTCCCGTTAAACATATCGAAAGTCGAAAACAAATTAAAGTAGAAATCATTAAAAATCGTGATTGTAAAGAGCAAAAAATAAAAAAAGAAAGAAATACAAAACGGAAGTACTGCCAAGCTGCCAGCAGCTTAACGAACCAAGAATCCGAATTATGTATTCACCAGGTCATTATTCAGACATTAAATATGGATGGGGATAGTGAGTGATTATTCATGAATTTGCTGGTTTAATTCAGAAAGAACTTGAGAGCGAAGGTAAGGCTTCCCTTGAACCGTTTTAGCAAAAGTGACCACCTGAACATTTCCTAAATTGTGGATAGAACACCATGAAGGGAGAGTAGAAGAAAGCAATTGAACCATGTCAATACATTCCTTAGAAGACATATTATAGGAAATGGACTTTTGAATACTGGAGACCAATTCCGTCATAGAAAATGAACGTTTTGAAGGCCAGGTCGAAAGCTGAACAAAAATAAGGTCAACGACTCGGACCAATGAAACTTTCTCAGATACCAGCTTTTGTGAGACAGGGTCCTTTTTACTTAGCTCAACTTTCTTAGCTTCTGCAACCTGTTGCTTCTTGCGAACACGATCAAAAAGTGAAGACTGCCGCAAAAATAACTGCGCCGAGTTTTCTTTCTTCGGAGCGGCACCAGATGTACTATGACTTTTTAATTTTATCGAGGATTTGGAAGCAACGGGAGTAACAGATGATTCTAATTGCTTCTCAAAAGAAGAGGGGTTTTGCTCTGAATCATCATGGTTGTATTCACCTTTCTCTTCGGATTGCAAACCCGCAGTTTTCTTCGTGGGAGATGCAGACTTTTTTAAATGAAGCAAGTCAGTTAAAGACGGTGTTTTAGGATCACGCGAATTTAAATTAGGCAAAGGAGGAAGATGAGCCGCGGGAATCTCTTGGATTTGAGGGTGAGTCTGAAGGTACTTTACGAGACGGTCATGAAATTCCTGTAACCGAGAAGAGGTTGCATCGGATGGTTTTTGAGATGGAGACTGGAGCTCATAAGTAGCAATTCGACGACCCTGGTGTTGCGAAATACATGGCCGTAATCGATATGCATCCGACCAAATTGTAAGGATTTGCGCAAGATGAGACAAGTGGAATGAGGATTTTGTAGACGAAGAAACCTTTTGTTGTAAAAGGTGGAATGTTGGCTTTGTATTAATGGAAATATGAAAATTCCAACAAATGTCTAGAGACGAGAAAATAAATTCTAATGGATGCTTTGCTGACACAGGATCCGTTGAAGGTATAGATGGGCAGGAATGCGAAGAATTCGGAGTATCCTGAAGAATTGGTTTCTTTTTTAAGGCAGAAAGCGACTTGGGAGCATGTTCAACTTCGCATTCGTCTGAGTCAGTTGCTTCAGAAAGCTTTCGTTTTGAAGAAGAAGAGCGAAGTTTTTCTACAGAAAACGGTAATGTTGTTTGCGAACCAGCGCGCATTACCTAGACAAAAAATTTAATAATTAAACAATAGACACGACATAATTAACTTGGCTTCTTTTATATGATCGCGTCGCGTCCGTGTCACAAAACCTCGCGTCGCGTTTGTTTATGACGCGTCGCGTCCGGGCGTTACGTTCGCGACATTGAACGCGAAAAGAGTTGAGAACAAACAAAAAAGAATGTAAAAAATAAGTGAAACGTTCATTCGAACACATTTGACGCGTCCTAACCTTTTGTTCTATCTTTTACACGCTGTGCCCGCATAATTTCATAAATTTCGTGCAATCGTTAAGTCTGCGTTTATGGAAGCAATAAAAAGTCAATCAATTTACAGAACGACTCAATCCATGTTGAAGCAAACTATACTTTTACGCATTTCTTGTTGAAAATCCTTTTAGGTGTGTAATGGATAGGTTCTTTGTAAAGATACTTTGTAGCAGCCTATCTATTTTGTTTAGAATGAAGAATGTAAAAAAAAAACCCACAATAAAGAGCAAGTAACCCAAGTATTATATTCTTTGTGTTCTTGCATTCCATAACCTTTATAACCTTCAAAAAACACAACAATGCATTTCCTTTCAAGTATCATCTTATGAATAAGAAACATTACGATATCATATTTTACTTCTTTTCGAATACGAAGCCACCGAAGGATATTACAGCAATGCTTGTAAGCGAGCCAAATAGCCTTTTTTTATAAAGACCGTCTTCTACAAAAAAAATACACTAAAAAAAATTTATACAATTTTTCTTTCTCTAAAAAATTCTTAATTGTGTATGTTGTCAAAGTCTATGCGTTTCCCGCAGCTTAGGAAAGCTTTCTTAACTCCGCCGGTCCGTAACCTAACTTCCACCATCACTTAACTTTTCAATTTTTTATTTATTGGGTTAAAACATGTCTGCTCAGCAATTCTACGGCGATAAGGGTTTTGTAAGTACTTGAGGCACCTCCGTGGTAAAAAATAATGCGTACCTGTATGTTCATGTAGCAAAGCTAACCCATGTGTTCTTTAGGGTCCTGCTCCTCCCCAACAAGCCTATGGCGGTTATCCCCCTCAACAAAACTACCCAGGCTATCCTCAAGGTGGTCAGGGTTATCCTCAACAGCAACCCATGTATGTTCAACAACCCCCTCAAAACAGTGGTGGTGGTGACATGTGCTGTGGTTTGTAAGTAATATATTATAAAAAAGCAATGAATTTGCAAAATCGGCTGATTGTCGACCAACCTTATGCTCATTTCTTGGAGCTCCTTGCGTCGATTAGAAAGCATCGTAATGATAAGAGTGAGCCTGAGCTTGGTTAGCTAATAGCTGTTTGCAATTAATTGAAGAATTATGAATTAACTTTGATAGATTGGCCGGTCTTGCATGCTGCTGCTGTTTGGATGCATTATTTTAAGAGGGGTGACGTGCGAATGATGCGTATAGTCAGTATAGATTTATTTTAAAGAATATTTTTTTTTTTTTTCGTTGAAATTTTGCCGTTTTGTGCCAGCGCCTTTCACACCTTTTTTGCTTGAGTAATTCTCCCTTTTTCTTCGAAACAATTTTCATCTTTTTCCTGGAGCAAATGGTTTTGGAGGAGGCTAGGAAGTCGTTTTATATTCCTCTTTTGGGATCCTTTTAGCCCCCTTGTTTTCCCTATGCTATGGAGAATGGAACTGACCAGTCTTGATTCATGTTTACCGGTATCTGATTATTTTTCTTTTTTTAGGATTGACCAAGAAACAGCATTAGTTATTCGTTTCTCCTAGAGATAATATCGATAGGATGAAAAGGTGAATCCTTGATTCTCTTTGCTTGCAAACATGATAATCCTGAATTTCATAACCTGTCAGGTATCTTGTAAGTTTTTCTGACTATAAGAAAATGGTCATTGCCATTGGAACATTTTATTCACTATCTGTTTCTCTTTTTTTTTATCATCAAAGATTTTAAGGGACTAATTCTTAAGCTTTCGTTTCCATATAATAGCGAATATGCAAGTTAGTATACTAATGGACTTAATAGACTCCACTTGTTGTTGATCTTTTATGTCTAAATTGAGTGTTGTACTTTATGATAATATTTTATGCATAAGAAATTGAGTAAATGTTGAAAATTATGTAGATGTTTAATACTTTTAAGAAGTTTGGTTTTGTTGATTCCATATGAGGACGAATGAAAAGTGAGTCTAGAGTTTTTAACCCAAGTATGTAAAACGTATATATCAACTATGCTCATGCTGATGCTGATGAAAAGAGTTCTTTAAAAAAGGATAGTATTCCTTCCTGTTCAGGAAAAAATAAATCCACAGCATTACATTAGGATAAGACAATATAACACAATCAAGATATTATATTCTAAAGTTTCAGAAATGCACAGTAATGCGGTAAACAATCCAATACAACAACAGACGAAAAAGAGTCAGAATCTGAAGAATTTGTTAAGAAAAGAAGGGTTTTGTTGCATTTATTTAATTTTCATAAGTCATTCTTTTATAGAGGTTCGTTCTGGCTGAATGTAGAGACGCTATGTCAGGTAAGGAGCTAAACATCCATGTAAACAAAATGGCAGATATTAACCAGAATTGCTTAGATACTTTAAATACACCACCCACGTATGCGTGGGTATGGAAGGCATTTTCTAGCAAGCTTGCTGGAACAGTATCAAAACCGACATTGAATCCCACAAACAATGTTTACGTTGAAGACGTGAATCCTGAGAGTGAAGAACACAAGATTCCTGAGGAAAGTTTAAGGCCTATGGATGCGCTCACACCAACTAAGCCAAAGAATACGCAAAGTGGCATTTTGAAGACACCTGGGACGTTACAAATAAAGAAGACGGTGAATTTCACAGATCATCTTGGAGACGACCCACTGAATCGAGAGGTACAGCCGAAGGGGTTCAGGCAAGAGAATGAAGAAAATAGTAAGAAGACAAGGAATCGATTCGGCAATGATCTTGAGTTCGAATTTGATGACAAGTATTTCTCCCAGCCGTCATCCAAGCAACTTGGCTATAAATTAAGTCAAGTAGCTCAGCTGGAAGGAAAAGAACGAAATAATAAAAAATGGCAACGAAATGAAATAAAGAATCTTCCATTTAAGCATCGTACAGGAGAGGAAAATCGCATTGACCGTTTGCTTGGTGATCAAGACATCCAAAAGTTTGAGTCAGAACTGAAAGACTCATCACCACTTCCTATAGAGAAAGAACGGCCATTACCAGAACCGTCAGATACCAAGCAGGAAAACATGGAATGGTCAAAGCTGATAAAGGATTGTTTTCGGGATGTAGTAAATAACAATCGAAAAATGAAAAATATCATACATGATGTCCTTGTTGATACATCGCACCTAGTTAACTCGACAGAAGTACCTGATGAAGCCGACTACACCATAAATTTGGATAATCCTTTGTCTTCATCAGGAAAGTATTGGAAGCAAAAGTTTAATTTGCTTGAAACAGCACATACTGATTTGGAAGAAGAATTGGAAAAAATTAGGGAGCGGGTAGACGCTATTATGACGGAAAGGCAGGAAGAAATTTCATTTTGGAAAAGAAGGTGCAAATTATTAGAAGCTGAGAATGTTCGACTTTCTCGTATGCCAAAAACTCAAGGAGTAGTGTCTGCGAACCCTCAGAATGAGTATACTCCGAAAGTGAAAGACAATCATCCAATTGCCAAAGGTTTCAAAATTCCCCTGCAGGAAAATAGTCTTTTTCGTTCAAGCCTCCCAGAACATTCCAAGGAACCTCTAAAATTTCCCAATGAGACTTTCTCTAATCCATTGGACATGTCTCATTTGGCAGCGGAAATGCTGTCCCATTCAGCAAAGAAGAAGCAATCTAACGATAGTTTCTTTAATTTTGAGGAAGGTGCTGGTCCAATTTCATCTACTCCTGTATCCGCAGCCTCCAAAGTTCGACAAAGGCTATTGCATGCAACTCAAACCCCGACCCCAATGCCAGTGTCAATCCGCAGGAAGGAGCCTCAGTACAAGTCAAACGAGATAGAAGAGTCTTCGATTCCATCCATGGGCTTCTTATCCAAAAACCGTGAGGCAGCCAAACGACAGATCGCCCGCAAAAAGGAAGACAACAGTGCAAAACTCTTGTACGGAGTTCCCTCTTCACGAGATAAACCAAAATTTACTTTAACGGAAATTCATCCTTATGATCAGGAATTGCAACCCAAAGGTTTACCTAGAGCTAGAGAGTTTACAGCAGAACAAAAACTCTCGAAAGAGCGCTCAGAAAAAGCCAGGAGTCGTTTAGAAGAAAGAAGGCAAAGAAGAGGGCTTGTGTGAAATATTGTCCCATTTGATGACGATGACTTGTACTTTTATGATATTGTTTTTGATGATTACCGGTTATGAACAATAATTGTGAACCTCCGACTTACGTATATAACTATTCTTGTTTTGAAAGACTAAATATAATTTTTTAACAATTTATCATCTTGCCTTTCTTGATATGCAACAATCCTATTTTTTGCACTTGTACTTTCAATGAGAATGCGGTTTTACAAAACCGCATAACAGGTAACTTAGATACAAACCTATTCAAAAATCTGTAGAATATTACTTAGTTTTTTATCTATTTTGCCCAAACATTTTTGGCATAGCAAGCATTTCTTAACTACAATAACTAAGAGTCGTATACGGTAGAGTTAGAAATTAAATTTTCTTTTAAATCAATAAAATCACATTCATTATTTTTCTTTTACACATACAAGTTTGTGTATGGATTCTGGTAACCTCTTCTGTTGTTTTTCCACAACATAACCCTCCAACAAATTTTGAAAAAAAGCTGCTTTTAAGCAAAGACAACCATATATAGCAAAAATGGGTGTTGCAGAAAAGGTAAGAAAGAGATTATTTTAGTTATTAACAAAAATCCGTTTAGATTCAAGAAATTGAGGCGGAAATGCGCCGGACTCAAAAAAACAAGTCGACTGAATATCACTTGGGACTTGTAAGTAAAGGATACGATTTTAATGATATGGAAACTTACCAAAATTTTTATTTTTAGCTAAAGGGAAAACTTGCAAGACTTCGTACTCAGTTACTTGAGCCTACCTCAAAACCAGGACCAAAAGGTGAAGGATTTGACGTTGCAAAAAGCGGCGATGCTAGAGTTGCTTTTATTGGATTTCCTTCGGTTGGTAAATCCACTCTTCTTTCTGCAATTACAAAGACCAGATCTGCTACTGCCAATTATGAGTTTACGACGTTAACGGCCATCCCCGGTGTTTTAGAATATGACGGCGCTGAAATTCAAATGCTAGATCTTCCTGGTATCATTGAAGGAGCTTCTCAAGGAAGAGGTGGTCGCCAAGCAGTCTCTGCCGCAAGAACAGCTGACTTGATTCTTGTGGTTTTGGATGCCACGAAAGCTGCAGACCAACGTGAAAAAATCGAGTACGAACTTGAGCAGGTTGGTGTTCGACTCAACAAAAAGAGACCCGACGTTACCATTAATTTTAAAAAGAACGGTGGCGTCAAATTTAATCATACCGTTCCTTTGACCCATATGGACTATAAAATGGCTTACAACATTCTTCATGAATACAAGCTTCACAACGCGGATATCCTGATTCGTGAAGATATAACTGTCGATGACTTTATTGATGTAGTGATGGGGAACCGGAGGTACGTAAATTGTCTCTATTGCTATAGCAAGATTGATGCTGTCTCTTTGGAAGAGGTTGATAGACTAGCCCGTTTGCCCAAGTCTGTTGTAATTAGCTGTAACTTGAATCTGAATTTAGATTTTCTGAAGCAAAGAATTTGGGAAGAACTCAATCTTTACAGAGTTTATACCAAACGGAAAGGTGAAGCTCCTGACTTCAGTGAAGCATTGATTGTTCGTAAAGGCTCAAATATAAACGAGGTTTGCAACCGAATTCACAGAAGCTTGGCCGAGCAACTCAAATATGCTTTGGTTTGGGGAAGCTCTGCAAAACATAGTCCTCAATTGGTTGGTCTCAATCATTTAGTGCATGAAGGAGACGTGGTGACGATTGTTACAAAGTAATAGAGATGGTATATATATCTGTGTACCATAGAAAAAGATTCAAAGAGATTTTTGCAAGCTTTGGTATTGCTTTTACTACATAAACGTATAGATACATAATTATTTTGATTAGCTTTTTAATATGATGGTGAAAAGGAAGTTCTAGATTTTCAGACACATGTTCTATATGACCTAAATTAGGAATCCATAATTTTGGATTCCAGTAACCAAGATTACTGAAACGTACTTTATATGTACAACTCCATCGTAACAATTATAGTTTGATCATGACGAGTGAAATAAGTTATTGAGCCATAGGAGCGACAGGTAAACCATAAGTGTCGCCTTTAATTTCCTTTTGTAACTGTTCATAATAGCCATAAATGGTAGTAGTGCAGAGGAGAACAGCAGTGCCTGAGCCCAAAGCACCAACGAGATCAGAAGTGACGGCCAAGGCACCAACACAGGCACCGGAAAGCAAAGCAGCAGTGGGAATGAGACGCTTCAATTCTTTGTACATACTTCCTTCACGGTATCCAGCCATTACCAATTGTTGGCTCTTTAATTGCTTAGCAACATCACGAGGACTAGAGCCAGAAACTTCTATCCAAAGCTTGGAAAAGACAGCACAAGCCGACATGGTAAATACAACGTAAACCAAAGTATGAATGGGATCAATAAGAGCATCTTGGAAAGAAGAAGGTGGGGAGAGATAGTAGGAAAGACCAGAGACAGCATTTTGTTCCCAAACACCCAAGAGGCGGATCAAAAAGTTATCAGAAAAGCGGTTGAACAAAAGACGGCTGGCCAAAAATAGATTCGAAGTTAATGCAGACTGCAACATAATGGGAGTGTTGGAAGTGTACAAGAGCTTGATTGGGAAAGTACTGCGAAAACCACGGAATTTTTGAGAGCGAATAGGAATTTCAACGCGAAAATCTTGCAAGTAAATAACAACTCCAAAGATCATAAGAGTAGCAAAAAAGTTCCAAAGATTGGGTAATTGAATATGACTGCTACTAAGACCAGTGCGGAAAAAGGATTGATACAAAGCAGACAGCTTGTTATCCCACTTGAGCATGACATAAACAAAATTGATTACAGCACCTTCAAATTGAACTCCGTTGGCAATATGATACGTAGTTGGCGAGAAGGCTTTCCAAAAGATGCTCTCGCAGTTGATGGTAGCGATAAAGAGAGAGATACCAGAGCCAAGTCCATAACCCTTTTGCAAGAGCTCGTCCAAAAGTAGCACAATCAAACTAGCGGCCGCGAGTTGAAGAATCAAAAGAAGACAAATACCAGCGCCAAGATCTTGAGGTCGACCATACATTCCAGTTAAAACATAAGCGGTAGCTTGACCAAACGCGATGATAATTGCCAAAACTGTCCCGTGTTAGCTTTGATAAAGAAACCCAAAGATTGAGAAAGTCAGAATTCCATCAGCAAATTTCGTTTTTTCATATTTTCGGAAAAATAAAATCGCTGAAAGACACGTTTGCCGATCTCATCTTCATTTTGTCTTACATTTTTGAGTAATTTGGTACATTTCTCGATCGGATTTCAATTCCATATTGACTTCAATTAACTGAGAACCGACGAGAAGCTGGATTAACATGCTAGAAGTAACGATAGGAGAGATACCCAATTCCATAAGAGTACTAAACATGTGTTAAAAAACCGAATTCAAATGAAAAACGCGTTCACTTTTCTCATCTAGCCATCTTCTTTTGTTTTTGTTTTTTCTTTTTGGTAGAGTCTTTTATTGAACACTGATTATCACATACCCTCGATTTGCAGCCAAAATCATACGCAGCCATCTAAAAAGGTTAGCCTCTGCTATGCATACTTTCCCATGCAACCTACAATAATGGATCTGAGGTATCCGACGAAACGATGCCATAAAGAGGAACTTGAGACATGACCAAAAAGATCAGCAGCGTAACACCTGTCCAAAGCATTTTCTGCTTAAAAGGGACCTAATCCTGTTAATATACGATTTCAAAGAATATAGCGAGGACATGAATCCTCACGACAGTCATACTTTGCGTTCAGGAGCAGCAATCTCCGGTAAAAAAGGAGCGAATGGCTTTACCAAATCCAGGAATCGTACTAGAAGCTGTTAGCAATATTCAAGAAATTTCACGTCCTTACAATCACTCATTTTGGTGTGTTTTTTTTGGTTTGTACCAACACTTTTCTTTGTTGGTTCTTGTTGACAGTGTCCTTACCTTGACGAGTATGGGGAGAGAAGAATAGTGAGGTAGAGCATATTATGGTGAAAACCGTATACAGTAGAATAATGATTGCTAATTCGTTTATGATTCTGTTGCACGATACCTTATATTAAAAGTAAGGCAACAAACCGTAAAAGAAAATAGTTGCCATAGTAAATAAACTATTCATGTACAGGATGAAGAGGAACAAAATCTTATAGAAGACAAAATGATACTTTTATGAACAAACGAATACAAAAGTACTGATTGAAAGAAGAAGGTGCCAAGTGTGGAAATGCTGAGAAATCTCGAGACAGGCTTCTAACATAATGCAATAGAACCTCTGTTCCAGCAAGTGTTGAAAAACAAAACAGAAGAGAATAAAGATTCCTAATTCCCATAAAAAGTAGTTAGAACTCATAATAGTGGCTCAACAGATAACTACTATAAGCCAACCGGACTTATGCATTGACATCTGTCTCACAGTTTTCGCCCACAGAAAGTATAAAAGTACGACCCGAGACAACATCAAAACTGATCTTTACTTCATATGCTTAATAGAACAAGGAATAAACGAGGAATATCTTCCGTTTTCTAGGCAAGTTGTCGACAAAGATTCTTCATTTTTCAGGCGAATATGCTAGAAAAGACATAAACAGAGGAAAAGGAACAAGCTGTCCAGAAGTATGGCTGGCTGTGTATTCTCAAAAGGCGTGTATAATCCATACAGTTGGGCGCGTCTCTTCTTCTACTTTAATATATTGTATGCATGATTCTTTAATTTCAAGTCCAATATTAGCATATATCAATCTTTGTTTAGGGATCATGCTGCTCAAACGTGCACAAATTTACAGCCTTTGTTCTCTTTCATCATTGTAGAGGGCATCCTCTGACCCGGAAAATTACTGCAGCTTGTTTCGTTTCAGACATTAAGGGAAAGTCTCTTTATTTACCAAAAGTTTGGTGCAAGTCATCTTACTGACCATTATAAAAGACGAATTTGATGGAATCCAATGAGAACGTAAAGAGTAGTGTTACATACAACTAGAAAATAGAATTTCTGCAGTGTTGTTGAAACACACTTAGCAATACTCCATAAATAAATCCACAGAGAAACAAGAGGTAAAATTTAAGGACTTACGCCATTCTCAATTTAAAGGTTCAAGATTTCGTTCAGTTACTAATGAGGTTGTGTGAATCGGATGCTGAAAGCTCTCACTTCCTTTTGTGGTTTGTTTTTCTGTCATATATTCTTCATCGTGAAACGGATTTTGGGCAAGCAAACTCTGTTAGGCCTATGTATACATCTGAATCGCTTAATAACTTTTAAGGAAAAAGAATACTTAGTGATCAACAAGCTTGTATTCCGATGTTTGGTATTGTTGCTCGGATCTCATCAAAATAGACAGTAAGGAAAATATTCCTTTTCATTTTTAGCCGTCCATATTCTAATCAGGTAGAAATAGACTTGCATGAAAGTCTAATAGTTCAACTATTATTGATATCAATACCGTAAAGAAAATCTCTAGTTAAAATGACCGTATGAGCAAGGAATGTCACATTTCAAACTTTTCTTACATTCATGTAAAAAGAACGCTCCTCAATCTTTACTAAAAGTTGTTATAAAAGCAGGATTGGACCTTTTGGGATTTGCTCGTATCGTTTAGTGGAGACCAACTATTTTAGCCTTCTCTCATTCAACTGTGAAAACTCAAATACTCTGTGTTTTTGTTAATTTCATGAATATTCTTAATCCTTCGGTAGATTGGTTGTTTTGAGCTTATGATTCATTTGTTTGAATAGCTTCCGCTAAAAAGTTAATATTTTATTTACTTGTCACAAGCGCCGGGAACTCTCTTCCTATTTATTTTCTTTCTTAACTTAATTTAGTTGAAACAGTCGAATACAAGGAAGCTAAGAATCAAAATTATAGGTCTCTCTACAAACAATATGGAGTTGGATTTATATCCCAAGGATGAGACGTTGAACATTACGAAGGATGGTGTAGATTCGGATGACATTTTACATTCCAAGAAAAAAAAAGAATGCCAATCGAATAACGGTTTTACCGAATACTGTACTCTAGCTGGCCATACGAAGAGTGTTACAAGCATAGCAGTATCTCCAGATAGACGATGGATCGCAACTGCATCTGCTGATGCAACAATAAAGCTTTGGAGTACTTTGACTTTTCGATTAGAATGTACATTGTTTGGTCATAGCAGAGGCATATCTGAAATAAGGTGGGCAAGTGGAGGCAGGTTCCTTGCTAGTGCATCAGATGATAAAACAGTGCGCATCTGGGATATTGAAAAACGCTCTAGCGCTCGCTGCTTACAAGGCCACACCAGTTTCGTATCTTCTGTCGACTTCAATCCGATGGGTACATTATTGGTTTCCGGCTCTTGGGATGAAACTGTACGCATTTGGAGCGTACAGGATGGAAGATGTATCCGTATGTTACCTGCACATTCTGAGCCCATTACATCTGTGTCGATTTCTTCGGATGGAACTCTTTGTGCGTCAGCTAGCTATGATGGCATGGCTCGAATCTGGGACGTTATGAGCGGCCAATGCCTCAAAACACTTGTGGAACCAATTAACGTGCCCTTATCAAATATAAAATTTAGTCCGAACGGACAATACCTAATTGTCAGTAATCTGAACTCACAAATGCGCCTTTGGGATTATCGCAACAATCGTGTTGTTCATTTATATGACTGCCATAAAAACACTCATTTTTCTATGTCCTGGGACTATTACCTATCCAGGTACTTTCCTTGGGAACCAAATAATTATCAAGAGCGTTCTGTGGAGACCGATATATCAGCTTATGAAGACGTTTATCTTCTTACCCCAAGTGAAGACGGCCGTGTTTACATTACGGATCCCAGTACAAAAGCTGTAGTAGATGATTCGATTCAGCATTCAGATGCGCCAAATGTTTCCCTGTTGCACGTCGCTTCGTTAGGTCCGTTCATTATATCTGCCGGAACAGATCCCTATGTCAGAGTCTGGGCTCCAGAGCGTCTTTTTTCGGAAACGAAACATGAAGAAGAAGAAAAAAATCAGAAAAGTTTACAAGAAACTTTACCCATACGGCAACAGAGTCCTACGCTTGTATCTATGGAAATGGACCAACAAGAGCCCACGCAAAGCTTTGCAGATTCAGATTCGAACCAAAAAGAAGGATTAGGTACGTCTTCTAATACCGAAAGCATGTCAGATTCAAGGATCCTATGAAATGCTATAAAAACTGGAAAACTGATGTTTAAATTTCATTTTATTACACATAATGGCATTTTCATCGTTATCCAAGGCATTCTTGGAAACAAATGCTAACTAAGGGTTTAAAATAATAAGACTTTTCTCTAAATTTAATTAGACAGCATATGCGCCTAACCTTCTTTGCAAAAATTGCAACCACACGAAAACAGGAGTTCTTCGTTTGTTTATATTTATTTTTACAAAAAAATGCCTTCTCTTTTTCTTTTCTTTATTTTTTCGTATTTTCCGTTTGTTCATGCTAGGTGATTAGCAGTATCTGTCTCTTTCTCTACTTCTCATAAACTGGAAATTTGAAGGTGAAAAAAACCGGTCGAAATACTTTTAAAAAATATCATTTGAAGCATTGCAATGTCAGCTAACTCTACGCAAACAAATTCTAATTCTGTACAAGTGGATGAACAAGCAAGAACTTGGATTCAAGGAAAAGTTGAGGAAGAACTAAAACGCCTAGAAAGTATCGGCGCCAAAGCAGTTCCCTTAACTGCCAAAAATTACAGTGTCATTTTGGATGAGAATACGGATACTGTAATGAACAGAATTGAGTTGAAAACCAGTTTTGACTTTAATCATGTGCACCAGATCCTTTTGTCTCCAGTTCAACCATACCCCTACAATTCCAATCTTAAATTTTTGTACTTGGTGATATTGACAAGCCTACCTCACCCTATGTTAATTCCTTACCTGTTTGCTCCAAAAGTGGTTGGCAAGAATTTGCTACCACGGGCTGATGGCCTCATTGAAAACACTTTGAAGCGTTGGATTTTTATTAACGAGAAGCTGCAACGAGCAGATCATGTGGTTCGTGAATTTCAAGACGTTGAGGCATAGAGTTCTTATTGGAACAATATCCATACACTCAGTGTGGTTTTTCCTCCTTGGCGAAACATACTAACTGTGATCATTTACATTAATAAGTACTTTTTTGGTTCGGCTTACAATAAAATTTGTCTGGTTTCATGAATTTTTAGTAGCATATATTAGTATATACCAAAGCATGTAAGAAACACAATCCTAGTTGCGTTTGAAAATGGTAGTGATTGACTCTATGTCGCACCACTAGACGATAATCTTTTACCGCTATATTTCTATTCATTCTTTCTGAATAAATGCTTTAGATAATAAACGATAGACTCATTATGCTGCTTGGTTATATGAAACCTCTCCTCTAGAAATTGAAATATCCAATCCTTCCTTCCGAAGTGCTCAATATAAAATCTATTGTATTGAAAGGTAGAAAATTGTATATAAAGAAAAAAAAAAAAAAAAAAAAAAAACTTAAAACTTGACAAGCGTAGAAACATCTAAGCTTCTAATCATCGCAATGAACACAATGAATATATATACACTGAGAAATAATAGACCGTTTACAAACTGATGCTAGCAAGCTAACACTAAAGATACGTCGAGAAATCCGTACAAATGACACTTAAGCATAAATAGAGAACATTCAGAGAAAGAGAATAGTATATACAACGCAATGACCATCAAAAGCCTTATTCAACGATGCTCGGTTCATTCTAGAGTAATCATTGGTTTTAACCATATTTTTAAAGCTGCGCAATAAATAAATCAAAGCAAAGTAAAAGTTCAGACTTTTAAATAGTTAAGTATTCAAACCTTGAAGTCACTGATGTGTGATTTTTGAAGAACCCCAGACTCCAGATCCAGACTTTCAAACATCTCTTTTCGTAGTTTATAATACCTGCACCAGTCACGAACAGATGAAGAGACAAACAGAAAGCTAAAAAATAAGATTTCCATTCTTACATGCCTGTAGGCAGCAGTTAACCGTTTACGAGAATTTACTTTGGAAGTATATGCGTAATGCAAAACGAAACATATACATGCCGACGTGATTAGGAAAATCCTTAAAGTCATAAACATTGAGGGAGAAATGGGTATCGTAAATAAAGAGAAAGAGTTTGGATTGCCTGTGTTTTCCGGATTTATCATTAAATGCATTGTTTCTAAGCCAGCTAAGCTGCCCAACATATTTCTACCAACCGAACGAAAAGTACCATTATTATTAGACTCATTAGTACTTTGTGTATGCGCCATTGTATTCCTCCTAAGGTTACGCGGTGAAATGCAATTCTCGGTTCCAGTATTCGGATTATCACGCTGAAAACCATATACATTGTTATCATACGATTCAAGAGTATCTCGATGTGGAGAGTTACCAGCCAAGGTAACGTTACTGGGGACTTTGGACTGATGACCTACTGGCACATACGCATACTGAGGTAAGGATTGATTATTTGAAACTGAAATCGGTTGTCCATCGGTACTAATAGCATTCACTGCACCAGGTTGAGAAGAATAATTGGTTGAATTATGTAAAGGAAGTGGTTGAGAAGGAGCAGAAAGCGATTGCTGAACAGCTACCATATATTCAGACAACCGGCTTTGAAGGTTTTGGTTTTCCTCAATTAATCTTTCATTTTCAGAACGCAGGTTCCGAATATACTCAGTAGCTTTGGAGAGGACGGTAGCTTTGTTAAGCTTTCTGATGGACGCATTAAAGCCACCGTTCTTACCGTCGTCAGATTTTGACCCAATTTTAGAGCATAAGCTTTGCAGAGACGGGATTGCATTTCGTAATTCTGTAATTTTGTCATTAAGATTAGACCTGTATTTTTTCTCTACTATATTATGAGAATTCTTTTTATTGGTTTGACCGACAACTCTATAACGAGATTGAACAGGTGATACATGTTCATTTTTGATTCGTTCCACACTAAACTTGAGAGGTGAAGGGCGAGTATTCCCAAGTTCCTGGTTTTTCTCTGGATTAGGTCCATCGGAACCAGAAGAAGAATCACCTTTGTTGAAGTTCGCGGTATCAAAATCATTAATGTAATCTTCTTCTTTTACTTTTCCCAAAGTGGAGGTCGAGGGAAAATTGTCTCTATCATTGTATATATTGTTTGAGTCAAATGCATCCGATAGTGAAGAAGCCTTGTATTCATCACCTGCATACATGTGCGAAGGAGACACATTTAGGACTGATGGCTGTTCACTTTGTGAAGTAGAAGTACTAAGACAAGACGACATATATAAGTTCGATCTGGGGGCGTCATCCGCAAAATGCTGATCAACACTGAAAACAGATGGTGAAGAGTAAATATCCACATAATCTCGCTTTCCACCCGTTTCCGGGGTATTGACCATTCGAGAAGCTGAAGAAAAATCCCCTAGATCCATATTCATGGAAGTTTGGGGTGAAAAAGTAACATCTGATTCTTCCAGGCTAAAGTTTGCAGATGCAGAAGGATGCGGGACACTGTTATGTTGGGGCAGTGAAGCATGAAATGGCCCAGGACGCGAGTTGTGGTAGCTTTCAGATAATAGAGGTGAATTTGTAAATGTATTCAAACCCGGCACAGCGTTTTGAGCGACAGAATATTGTTCTGGCGGTCCAGTTGAAGGGAGTGCATGATTTGTAGAACGACTTCTACGAGGAGTAAATGGAGAAGTATACGTAGTAGTACATTTAGGTTCAGAGATTGGAGGGTTAGTAGAAGTGGATACTAACGGTAGAGTGTTATTTATGGGTTCTGTAACTTGCCTTTTTTCTAAAGGAAGTTGGCCTTGTTCCATTGAAGGAGGAGCATACACGCGTTTATGTCCAAGAGGAGGAGAGCTAATAGAAACCGTGGAAGAGCTCGGTACTGTCTTTGGAGAAGGAAAACCGCTATAATTTGGTAATTGTGAAGGCGCTGACCATTCTGCGGGTTGTAATGGATGGCCCGGAAGTAAAGGTTCCATAGGATATTGAGAAGAATTTGGATTAGGATTCATCAGGTGAGGTGGAAGAGACTCTGCATGATACGGAAAGATGCCATAATTTTGTGAACTTTGATTGAGAGGTTGAGAAGTTGTCTGTGTTCTGGTAGGGCAAAACGGGAAGGAGCCGTTGGAAGTCATCAGAGGAAACAACAAATAAAGGACTTTATAGATAGAAGAGTATAAGAAACTAAGAAGCAAAGAAAGAATGACAGGAAAAAGATAATAGAGATCAGCAATTGTATAAAAGAGTGAAGTTGGTGGAAGATGATGCGAAGATGAGACGAAACCAATGCTTTTAAAAATTAAAAACCAAAAATGAAAAAGAAAAATGACTTTAAGGAAACGTAAAAGAAGGACAATTATATAAACAATGGAAAGAGATATACCAGTGACTCGAATACTGGTGTACCGAAATAAGGGAGATCGAAGCGAAAATTAAGAATCTCGTAAAAAGCTGTTTTCTCTAAATAAAACATAAATATGATACAATAATAACGAAAAAGGAGACTATACTAGCCAGTCCTTGTTCAGCCCTCTGAATTACGCGTGAAACATGCAAAAAGAAGCTTAGAGAAGTGCTCTTTCTCTTGTGATGTGTATCCTTCACTGATTTGCTGAAAAGTAAATTCAAACAATCTTACACAGTTGAGATGCGGATGGGTAATAAGATGGCCGTTCTAATGTCCCCAATAAACCTCTTTGGAACCTAGAGATGATTGGCAATCCTGAAATCGAGTCCTTTTCCTTCCAAAAGAATGCAAGACAAGGAACAGACGCGTAGAAAGCAATGCGATTGCAACGGAAGAAGAAAAATACGAACCTTTTAGGGAATCAAAAGGGTTACTTATAGAACAAGCGTTCAGAACGTGTCTTAGGAAACGATGGATGTGTGAATATTCCTGCGTTCCTATACTATTTTCTTAAAAGAGAGTATTATACTTGACTTTATGTTTCAAATCAAGGCAAGTATGTAGAAAAGTCAGGATGAATCTTCCAAAATGCTTGTTTTGGACTGTACGTATTGTTACTTTACCGAAGAGAGAACAAGTAGAGAAAAAGCCTCGTTAATAAATAAAATCCGAGAGTGGTTTGTATCCAGTATTATATTTACTTCCCAACTCGTTTCTGGTATTTACGACTTATTTACACGCTAAACTTATATTCCTTTTCTCATTTGAGTTTAATAATTGACTTTGTTCCATGTCCTTATTTTACGTTTTAGGATAATATTGCTTAGCGTCATATCATATTAAGATTTGCTCTCTGCCATACACTACCACCAAATTAGTTCTTTGAAAAGCTCTTGATTTTTCGATAATATAACTAGCTAATATGGTTGTACGTGTACGCTTGGCTCGTCACGGTGTACGTAATCGCCCATTTTATCACATTGTCGTCTGTAATGCTTGGTATGTTGAAGCTAAGATATTTGCCGATGTTTCTGACCCAATGTGGTTTTCTGAACATTTAATCTTTTTTTTTCTTTTTGACGCTCTTCAAATTGGTAACTTTACTAACTTGCAACGCAGGAAGGCGCCAAGGGCTAAACCCCTTGAAACTATAGGGACCTTTGATCCTATCCCAAAAAAGGAAGATCCGAAAGACACAATTCCTAGAATAAAGGATATAGAACTTAATGTTCAGCGCTTCAAGTATTGGATCAGTGTAGGTGCTCAACCCTCCGACACTGTCCGCTCGTTGGCTGAAAAGGTATGTTTTGACTATTTGATTTTCTCTTTCGTTCCTTACTTTGCAGAGTTTAACATGGTAGTTTCAATTACTTCCAAAGAAGCCTAGCCCTTAATTCCCTCCTCCTAAATAATCCCGGTTTTCTGTAGTCATGGAAAATCTACTATAATTGCATCTGTTCCTCTTACTTGATTTTGAATTTTCTCTTCTCTGCTATACAATTACATGTGCGTTTTATTATTTTTGCTCTACCACCATTCTAAAGATTACTATTCTTTCAAAGATTGCATCTGTAAAAGTTTCTCACGTTTTGGGAAGACGATGCTTTCATTTCGATGTTTCGAACAAATACATGACTATGAAGGCTTCTATTGCTAGTTTCACAGCATAGCAGACATGATAATTAAACCTGAGAGTCGTATAGCTGTTTTACTATGTAGAAGTGAGAATGAATGATTCATCTCATAAAAGTAATTTATAGCGAACAAATCGTTTAAAAAATAAAACCATAATAAACACGTTGACGTAAAAAAGCAGAAGGAACTACTTATTATTTTCTTTCACTTCACCTCAGAATATTGTGCGTGCTCAAAGAATCGGCATCATTACGCTTCAGCAGTAATGTGATTAAGAAATTCCTTAAAAGTCCTTCTTAAAACAAGTCATTCCTATATCTTAACATCACTAATTAGAGTCACGAGAAAAGAACTGTAAATAAAAATTAAAAACCAAAACTTGTACTCTTTAAAAATGGAAAAAAAAGTAAATGCAACCAAAATAAGATTAGGTCCTTCTCACAGGGTGATCACCTGGTTTGCACTCAGGTTGCGTATCGCCAACGTACACCCAAAAACCAGGCTCAATAACCTCTTGCACAGAATGAGCTAACAAATTACGGGCCGAGCTTTCATCAGGTTGCCATTCAAAGTATCTGCGTTTCCATTCTACACCTTCTTCTTTCTCTCGTTTACGCATTTCACGCTGAGATTGCTCAATGGCAGACTTTTCAATACTGACAATGTCATAGCAGTTACGAGCAAGAGCAGATGATACGCTACCCCAAACATGACGTGTTTCCCATTCACCTACTTCACTAAAAGGTTCAGGAGTAATCGGGGTAGCATCCATAGTACCATAATCTAAGAAAGGAACGGTGGTCTTAGATTTTGTGTCGCTTACCTTGGAAGTCCCTGTCCAAATGCCATCCACAACATAGTCGGGGTTAGCATTCTTTTCATAAATAGATGCTTTGAAAGAATTTTTCGTTCCACTAAAATATCCACGACCAGAGTAATCAATCTTTGTGACGTAGTTGGAAGTGCTGACGATATAGGTGCTGCCGTACAATTCAATGTAAGGAGTCATATACCAAAGGCCTTCTAAAGAAATATTGGGGAGGGTTAAGTAATACGTTTCGTTGAATTTTTCTAAATGAATGCGAATTTGACCAATCTGGTTCACGTACACGGTACGACCAGAAAACCCACTTTTATACATATTGTGGGTGTCAACAGAAATACCTGCTTCTTTACAAACGACATGGGCGGCGGAAACAGGGCCATGATGGGAAACTTGTTCGGCAACCAATTCAATCTTGCCTTTACTAGAGTCCCAGGTGCCATAATATAATTCACCCAAAATGGGATTGAGGGGCTTTTTCTCAGTGCCATACTAAAACAACGTGTGAGTTTTCTTCCTCTGGTTATTGCTTCCTTTAGACATACACTCTTGTTTCGAGATGCGTATTCGCGGCTGAGTCCTGCCATATACCATTTCAGGACGGCAAGCATGCGGTCTTTGGGACTTTCATGATCGACTATCGAAACAAATAATTCTGGAAACTCAAACCAGTATGACATGTATTCAAGCAAAGAAGTTCCTGATAAAATAAAAGAAGGCGCAGAAAGAGCGGACAAGTCTCCAGTACTAAACAGGTTAATACAGATGTGTTCTCAAGAAAGCAAAAGCAAAATGTTTCTACTACGTCAGGAATAACGAGCGAAGAGTATAAAAAAGGTACAATAAGACAACCACATAGATGAAGCAAAAAAACAATTATACTTTGTGACAATGCAATATCAAATTTCTGCCACTTCAGTTCTCCAAAAGACCTTTTCTTCTCATCAATCGTACTTCCCATGAAGTAACACTAATGCTAAAGAGTGCGGATCACATACAAAGTAGCCAGATTTTTTATGAATCCCTTTTCAAATGCCAGTTAGTAAACGAAAGTCTTTCAAAATCCTAGTTTGCACATCAGCAAGCACGAGTTTGCTGAGGCAAAAGAAAACCAAATTCATACCATCCAAGAGCTTCTAAATGAAATTATTTGTTAGTACTTGCAAAGCATGACAAACACCTTTCTATTACATACTTGGAAATAGTTTCAAAACCAGGAGCTAAGAGCTCTGCTCCCTGTCCAGAGGCTTCTGACATTCTTGGATTGACTGATCTGGGCAACTTCGTGTTTGGTAAACGGTGAGAGAGGACAGACCGTTTTCTGTTCGTTGTTCACTGGATAAGAAAATAACGCATCCTAAGAGAATACTCTACGTCATGATACTCTCAAATAAGCAGCATAGCTAGCGAAACTCTCGTTAGCGCCTTTAACAAATAATTACGAAATTTTAACGTAAGTGTTTTTAAGACGATATAGATGCTCCTAAGTTAATATACAGTTAAATTGTTTTCAAGTTGGGAAACATCAAATTTGAGAATTTCTTTTTCTTTTATTTAAAATTGAAACCATTCCTTAAAAGGTCGTACATGATGACCAAGTACGAACTTTTTATGTGTAGTAAATTCATCTGGGTGTATGCACTAACAACAACTATTTGATTGCTAATAAATAAACTAAACATAAATGCAGGAATGCTCTTTCTACGTTCAATTAAATTGCCTGTTTTGAAAGTTCAACTCTGTCGTTTCTAAGGAACAGTAATAGGATAGAATACCCTCTGTAAAAAAAGCCTTCATGATGAAGGATGCCTGAAAGAAAAAAGTAAATTGAATTTTGGCTCCTTTCCGGTATTTTAACGATATATCAATTATAAATAAAATTTATTTTCCTGACAAGAAATTTTCTCATTCGTCATTCTATAGAAAAATGCACAAAGATGCTAAAGGGGTCAGCTGCTACGAACGGGTTTTCATAGCACCGTGAGTCTATCTAAATACTATAATTGAGAAAAAAAATATAGCAAGAATGCGGTTCTCAATCAGCACTCCCGCTTTGTCTAAATAAAGAAAGCAACGTCGACCATATAAATTCATATACAAGAACAACCTTGTAAACGAAAACGTAAAAAAACGCAAACAGCAAAGAATGAAAGGAAACAAAGGAATCATAAATAAGAAAACAAACATTTAAAAAAAAAAGACATAGGTCACCATAGGATATATAAAAGAGTGAACAAAAAATCGATAGTGTAAAGTGTTGGATGACCATAAAGATAAAAAAATGTAAAACATATAGATAAAACATGAAATGAGAATCGTATGCAGATACAGAAACATATAAATATATGAAGTTGATAAGGCCGACCTGCTTGAAAAGAAGAGAAACAATATCAAGAAACTAAGTGCTAGATAGCACGGCTCCAATTTAGAACTTTTGATTTTTCTCAAAATCATTGCCGTTCATGGGAGGTGCATATGTACTTGTTGTCATGACAGGTTCTAATGCTGTTGAGTCAGAAGCATGTGTTAAAGACTGCCCTAATGTCAAATCTTCCTCTGTCATCATGGGGTTCATGTATTGAGGCTTGTGGCCGTGATGCTTAGTATAAGATCTAGAGAGACTCTTATTCAACATCTTGGATTGACGTCGCTCAAATTGTTCCTTGGCGGTCTCAACGTTGCTCAGATCAACATAGTCAACCATCGCCAATGCGTCCTCATGTTCCGCTAATCCTTCATTAGAAGCATCATCAGAAGAAACTTCGTATGTTTGTTTGCCGACTGCTTCTGTCTTTCCGGAGTAAACTAAATAAAGTAAAGAACGAGCGTCTTCTCGAACCAAAGGCACCAACAATGGGGTATAGGTTGATGGATGACCAAAGCACATTTCACTTTCCACGTGATCAAGAGATTCCTCAATAGAGGAATAAGGATCCTCAATCAAGAAATGAGCTTTAGGGTCTAAGCATATTGCGCAATAAACTTTGAAAACTATCACAAATGCAAAATTTGGAATAACACAAAATGCTCGAGTAAGACCACCACGAGCCCACACACACAAAAACAAAATAACATTAGCCAACTCAAGACCAAAGAGAATTCTGTTTACTACTGGGCGCCAAAAACGACCTCCACTCTCTGCAGTAGTTTCAGAAATGTACATCAAGTTATATTTTTGGGCCATGTAATTCGAGCAGAATGATGCAAAAGCAAATAACAGCACCAAAGGACTAACACATGCATAACAGATTGCAATCGTAAAGAAAAAGAGTAATTTGTTGAGAGAACTGCTGTAAATGAATTTTTGAGGAGAAGTCCATTCGAACATATCACGAGGAGTAGGCGAAAAGAACTTTTTCTTTATAATACGAATAGTTAAGCTAATTGGTTGGGCCATTTGAAACAAGAAAGACGTAATTGAGTGGGCAATATACATAATCCAAAACGAAGAAAACCCAACGAAGGCACTTACTAACCAAGGAACTGGTTCGGACGTCTTAAACACCGTCAATCCCTGCGCAAAATTGCCTTCTTGTTCCGTTTTAGCTATGATAAGAGCAACAACCTTCCAAATAACAGAAAGTACAGTATAAATGATAAAGTTATCAAACGTAAAAATAACGTGCATCTTATTCAGCACTCCCCTCTCTCTCGAACTTTTAGTCAAACTACCCTGGAAGGATGAAATCCTACGCAGGACAACCTCCAAAAGTGTAAAAAGCAAAGCAGTTAACGCAGGACTGATAATACCTTGAACAATCGACCAAAATCCTGAATGCACATTGAGCTGACGTGAGAACCATGGCCATACATTACCAAGATTCCAGAGGTTTGCAATAAAGATAGCAAAAAGGGCGTTTTCGGGAATCCAGGCTACGAGTAAAGCAATGAAAAGCAAATTTCCAATAACTCGATTGAAGAAACGGCTGCTCCTAGGAAGGGATAAATTATCCCACAACATATCCTCTGGTTGAGGACATATATGTATTGCTGCCCCAAGAGCCTTTGAATTCGCTTTGGCAATTTGATGAGAGGTAAACGAAGAGTTGTAGGTTAAAAATCCATATTGCTCATATTTATTTTCCTCAAGTGATTCTCGAGCGATATTGACTCGTAGTGCATAGTTTTCAATCTTTGCGCTGTAATAATCGATGGCATCAATCTTTTCGTAATTGAATAAACCATGTTTAACTGTATGAATTGGACGTACTTCGGGCAACTGTTTAGGATTCTTGAAGTACTTTGCAAACACTGCTTCAAGTGCATAAACAGCATTGTTGTATTTTTTAACGAGACTAGGAAGATTATTGATGGCATGACATATGTGATAATAAATTGGTCTGTCACTCTTTTTCAAATGAGAAGCAATGGCTGCTAAACCTTTTAAAGAACGAAGCGTAGAAGGGATGTCAGCCACCAACAAAGATCGCGTACTAATATTATTCTGATAGTCAGCACTCCTGTAATAGCGTTGCTGAATACGGGTTATGATCCGATAGTACCTAAATAATAAAAACAAGACAACGCTGTTCACAAAGTAGCAAACTACAATGTGTGCAATTGTCCATTGTCCTGAGACATTCTGAAAGGATAACTTCGCGTACGCATTTGTCGCGCTCGACTTGCTACCTGCTTTATTCGTAGCAATAACATTTATTGGTATCAGAATGACACAACAAAAGAAAGTCAAGATACAAAACAAATCCCTACAAAATCGGGAAAACAATAGAAAAATGGTGGCATCCGCGCCAATATCATAAAGACAATCTTCGACTCTTACGTTCCAAAGAGGCTCAATCCACCCAAAGAGTGTTTTTTTCATAGGCGGAATGCTGGTATCACGCTTCGCATACTTCAACCTAGGGGAATAAACATACTTAAAAGTTGTTCTTAGAAATATAAAGAGAGTTAATAGTACAGTAGCAAATAAACATGTAAATGCTAAAGAAACCAGAATGGAGTACTTGTCGAATCTCTCTTGAGAAGTATTATCATTTATAGTTTGTTGAATTTGGGTCCAAAAACTGGTCCTTTTCGAAAAAATCAACATTGTATAGAAAGGAAAAAGAACTTTTAGGTAAGCCCTGTAAACAAAGGGATATTGGGCAATTAAAAAAACGAATTTCAATATATGTTTCAAGTCCCTAGATAATATTTATAACCAAGCTTGATTTCGCACAAAAGGGGAATGATTGACGAAAGACTTCAAATGAAAGACCAGATCAAAGTGAAACAAAGCAATGGTCTCATACGTAAAGAAAGATAACGGTACAATAACTTTCTCACACAAGATACAGTGGACGATAGACAACGAAAGCCGGTCAATTCCTTTGTAAAGAAAGCTGCTTGATTTCCAGTTTCAGGTTGACAGTACCACAATACGTTGAGGCCAGTGACTTCTCTTCTTTACCCTTAGATATATGTTTCTAAGGTATTCTTCGTCTATAATTTATTTTTTGAATGAACTAGAAAGCAAAAAATCGTATCTGTATCCTATAAATCAACGACTGTCAATGTAAGCGTGGCTTTGAATTTGCATGAGGCTCAGAGATGAAAATTGTTACAACGAAATTTTCACTTCAACCTATTCTTTCAAACCTCGGCTGATCTTCTATTAGTTTAGAATGTGGTTTTGGGTAAATTGCTATATCAGTGAAATGGTTAATATAAAGGGTATCGACTTAAAGAGAACAAAGAAATGATACAAAATAACTGATACGTAGAACAAAGGATATGTAAATAAAATAATATTTGTACAGTATTGCCTTTTTTGTTTGTATTACTATCAGGCACTAAGATTGATACCATAATATAAACAACACCTTTAGTAACAAGATCCTTGTAAAAGAAATTCATTGTATAGTAAAACAACGGTGAATACGTAAAATGAATAATAATTATCATTAGCTACCATCGCCTTGAAGTCACCGTGTATGGTATCAATATGTACAGGATGTAGTCCCTTATTGGTTTGCTAGGTCATAGCCATGTTAAGCAGTTTTTAATGCTTTATGAGCTCGATCCAGCGCTTTAGAAAGCCGATCAATCTCTAATTGTACTTGATCAAGGTTGTCATTCCAAAAGGCATCCATAATGGAAGGAAAAACAACACCCCCTTTTCCTAATCGATTAGGTCCATATATTAGATGCTTGAACCATTCATGGTCAGGAAGGCCAGTCTCATCAAGAAATGAATTCTCAAACCTCGCAATTTTTGCATTAAAGCCTTCTAACTCGGGATGCTTTTTCGTGGTAAGAAAATAGCTGTTGTGGAGCATAAGAGAATGCCACTCTGAAATCACAGACATAAAATGCTTTGCAGTCGCAACAAGCTCTTCATATTCTTGTTTTACATGATCGAACGACAAGGATTTTTCCTTAAGAATCTCTTGAAGTTCTTCTAGCATTGTTCCAAGATATCGAACAGAATTTTCCAAATCATACGGAACCACTGGATCATTAGAAAGAAACAATGCCAGGAGAGACCATATTTTTGCAAGACGGTCTGCTTTTTCCCAGTAGAATGATCCAAACATACTTATCCAACTTTCCGTGTCCTTACAGGTGCCTAGAAAAGGAACAGGCAGCGAACTATCTGCTCCTCTTTCAAACCCCAATTCCACAATGGGAACGCCTGCGTACGTTAGGAATGGAGTAGCGTCAGATACATAATTAAAAGTATCTAACTTTATATCTGGTGTTCCTAGGTTGTTGTCTTCGTTCATCAAATGAAACGCTTTTAAAACCACGTCCTTCAGGCCCGGAACTGTATTTGCAGTGAACACATCTCCAAAAACAGCGACATCAATATTTAAATATGCTACTGCCTTTACTTGAAGCCATTCTTTCCAATGTTCGACCCATTCGGTACTACCTATGGTATTGTACTGTTTAGCGTCCCAGCTAGCAAAAACAATAGTCCGACGGGGTCGCCATGAAAGATTTTTAACCATGTCAGAAAACGTTGATATGATATCCATAAGCAGAGCGGTGCTCACTGCTGATTCGGAGGCACCACCGCACCATGAGTCACGAGGTGCACCTATAATAAGGACTTGATCCGGCTCTCGGCCAGTAATCTGTCCTAAAATATTCACAATTGGTTGCTTCTTTTTTGAATCAACCTCTGATTCAATCTGAAGCATTAGAGAAGATTCTGAGGTTGAACCCGACCAAAGTTCCAGGGAAGATGGAAGTCCCAGTCTCCATGTATCTGTAAGGATTTGCTCACCATGCCCTTTTAATCTGCTCATTAGGTCAATAGCATCACGATAAGTTATTGGAATCGCAGTAATTCGAGGAAGTACTTGCGCATTTTCAGGTTGTATCCTGTTAGAATCCCAATGGGAGGGTACTCCTGGTGTCAGCGGATCACCTAAATAATAGTAAGACTTAGCAGCGCTTCCACGGTATAACAAATCATCAGAAGGGTAAGGTCCTGCAGGATAAATTTCATCCTTGTGGTTTTGCTCTATACCAGTATACGAGTCGTCGAACACTAATACCGCTGAAGCACCATATCTTTCGGCATTTTCAATAGCTATAGAGGCATTCATACGGCTACTTCGTAATAGGACGACTGACGAATTGAACTGAATATTTTTTTCCTCCAGTGCTTGAAAGTCATCTGTTGTGCCCTGGTTAACATATATGAGAGGTGCTTCCAGTTTTCCGGGTGCGCTGTACGCATAAGAAGAAAGCGAGGTGATCCAAGTATCTCTATAATTAGGAATTTTGTAAGATTCAGAAAGTGTGGGCTGGAATGAATCATCATTGCTTAATCTTATAGAAAGAGATTTAGGGTAGTTTAAATAGGCATAAAATTTTTTTGTATCAACCGCGTCTAAAGATTCATAGCTTAAAACATCTAGCAAGTACTGTGAGAGCGAAGAATCCCCCATCGTTCCTGATACGTGAGGAAGAGAAGCAAACGTGGTTGCCTCAGACTGAATATTTGAAACACGGCTGTTTTTTATATAATTAATTAAGAAAGTTTCATCAAGGTGAGGAACTGATTTCCAGGGAGGACTACTGTCGAAATATCCATAGTAACTTGCCAAAATAATTATGGTAGCGATTAAAACCAAGTAAATGGAGTAAAAGGGAATTCGATAAAATCTGGACGCAATTTTATGGTGAAATGAATGGCAGGCAGACTCCCAACCTTCATGAATGGCTTCTAGTTTAGATCGTAAACCAGGAAATCGTAAACTTCCAGGAGGCTCTAAAACTTCCATGGGCTCTAACGGGCGCTGTTCCTCGGTACGCGGTTCATTTTGAATTTGAATAATCTCGGAATTTGCAGCAACATCTTCGTAACTCGGGGGTTCCCTAGGTGGAGGAACATATAGATGTTTTTCATGAGACATTTTGAAAATCTGTAAGAATATTAAGGAGAGTGCATATAATGGTAAAACAAGAAAATAAATAGTCGTAAACGGAGAAACAACAAAGAGACACACAGTTATTAAAAGTCGAGGAAATTTTTATGTATCAATACAATTCACAAAGGATAGAAATTTCGACCAGAACTCTCCTTCATAAAGACAAAAGCATACACGAGAGAAAGCGAAAAAAAAAAAAAAGAAAAAACGGAGCCAAAACTTTATTAAAGCGAAACAGTTAAGGGTAGTCAACAATAAGAATAACTTCACAAAAAAATTTTCAATAACTCAACTGTTCTGATTACTGATTTGACACAAAGAAAGGAGTGAAACGTAGGAAAGCACTTCATATACGAAAAGTATGCAATAAAAAAGACAAGCGCTTTTGACTTTTTCCTTAAGCTTTTAGCAAGGATAAGCAAGATCTCACCGGAATAGGGTAAAATCAAAAGCAAGAAAGTCAATTGCGGCCTTAGCGTTCTTAAGACAGTAAAAAAAAAACCGCACTTTAAAATTTTCATAGAGAAAATATTAATTATCAATCAAAAAGCGCTCCAGTAAGGTAATATATATATACTCCACTCCTACGACTTGAAACTTGTTGGATGAAGGGAAGTGGTGGTCCTTACAAAGATTACTGATTCACAAGACATAATGTATTTAGCAGATACTAATACTAAGGAATGCATATAGTTTTTTGATTTTTTTATAATAATACGAGTTGGTCTTAATTCTTTTAGCAACTGAAGATTTTAAAGAGAAATGAAGACATCTCAGTTTGCATCTAATGAGCCTGGAAATTTTTTTATGAAGCAAATCTTTTAATCTCCTAATTTAAATGTATTTGGGATTCTCTTATAACTTGCAACAAGGATCCAAGTTTGCACCGACAGGAAAAGCTCAGTTTACCACTCTAAGGGTTGGCAGATATGACTTATAATTGTCTCGTATAAGGTCCCGGTGATATCTTCGTGTTGATGCTTGCTTATAAAATGTGTGATTTTAAACCAACAGCATATCTTGGCTCGATATTTGGTGAAATCTTTAATGTCAGAAAAACTGATGTCGTGCTGTCAGAGTGTCAATAAGCACATAATGCTCCTATCTTCGCTTCAAAGTTTCTTGTTTAGTTCGGCTTAACTTTGGCTTGCTGATGAACGATATGTTAATGCTTCAGTTTGAAGGGGGGAAGGGAAGCATTACATGACTATAATAGCAAACATCAGAAGAAAAAGGGAAACAGAGATACTTTTTGATCTCACTGTTTGTTGTAGATACAGGGCACATACAGCAGTTGTATAGGAAAATGTCATAATACAACACGATAAGGACGAGGATGTTTGTCTTGATTTTCCTGAATGCAAAAGCTGGCTTATAACCCACCTGAAATAAGAAACATGTTTAAAATGAAGCTAATATCTTAGAACGAAGCAAAGCATTCTATACTTTTTATCGTCCCTGGAATAATCTCCTCCGTGTTCTTTCATGATCTTCTCTCATTCATGTATTATTACCTGGAGAACTTTGGTCGGATTGTTAATTTCTCTCCAAATTTTAAACAATTACACCTCTAATAATTGTGAATATCATTTTCGGATGGAATGCATGAAGTAGTTGGGTTATGTTCGCTAGAGACACTAGAACCTATTTAAAGACATTCATCAACTTTGGTAATTCACTTTTAATTTTCTCTTTCTTAGGAAACGGGATGGTATTTGAAACTTTCCTTTCTGTAAAAACATATGTTTGAACAGCAATTCTCAGATACTTACCTTTTTAACAATTCATCCTCCACTTCTTTAGAAAAACTGACAAGAACTGTTTTTGATACTAATAACAATTCGCAGCATCCCGGATTCCCATGTTGTCTCCAATCATAGTACGAAAAAGGAGGTCAGTTCTCAGACATCTAGCTTCACAGCAGTAATCAGAAGGGAACTAATATTATCTCCTATACATTTCTGTAGAAGTGAGCCTAATTTTGATACTATGCGTATATATATATATATATAATGGAAATCCAGTTGCTGTACGGTTTATAATAACACTCGTTTCAACCTCTGCCAACAGAGAGTCATATAAAAGCAAAAGCATTTTTTCTAATTAATCTGATTGATAGATATCCTGTTTCATTAAATGGACGGAAATCACTCTAAATTAGGAAGGACTTCATCATCTTAGTGAAAGCGAAAACGTAATGTCCCAACCTGCTTCAATGCGATGCTCTGAAGTTGTTTGCGAATTTTCAATACGATTTACGGCGGTTAAAAAAATCGATTCTTAATGATAATTTGTTATTAAATGAAAATCCGATTCCACTAAATTGCGAAACTGGTGATTGCTGATATATGTGAATAATTGATTCCCAATATAAACACTTTATATTCAAATCTTATATCTAAGCGAACCCCTGAAAATATATCGCTTATCCTGTTTTATTTTAGGCCCACTTATGACACGATCCTTCAGGCACTCTATATTGAAGCGAAGGTTCTCTTCAAAGGTCATCATCCTAGACATACACGCATTTTACTTTGCTAATTCATTTTAGCAGCAATGTCCGTATGAAGTCTAACTTATACAAAAATGAAATCTATTTATATTACACTGCTTTGGTGGTTTAGTGGTATAATGCTTCGTTGCCATCGAAGCGACCCGGGTTCGATTCCCGGCCGAAGCAAAACTTTTTATTGCATGTTCATAGGAATAGATTGATTGTTTTTGCTCAAATGAAAGCGCGGTATACTGACAGCACTGCTTCCGTCCGTCTTTTAAGTAAACTATATTAACTAATGATATTGTAAGAATTCGTTAATAAACAAATCATCAGCAACACTATCTTCGTAAAAGTTGGACTTTTATAGATCAGTTGTGCTAGTTTGAAATGTGTTTCGTAGTCGATGTTAGTTACTGTAACGAAGGTTGCATATATTTAGCACTGAATTTTCATATATCATTCTGTCATTTTTTGTTGTAATCTATTTGGAGAGTACAGAAATCTCAACGGAGGATAATTTTGCAAACGTCCTTGACCTTACGCAACAGATACATGAAGCCGTTTCACTTAATGAAATAGATTTTGATCAAATAATATCCTCAATATCCTAGTGTCTTCCAAAGACCCGTCATAAATTTTTAACTACTATTTACTTTTTAAAATACTCTTATTCCCTTTCAAAATGAAAAAACAAGATATTAAGGTATAAGTAATTTAACGGTTGGAAACATTAGCAAAGTACCCATACAACGAAGCTCTATGTACACAACTATCGACCATTAGAATTTGTCTACGGCCATACCTAGGTGAAAACACCAGTTCCCGTCCGATCACTGCAGTTAAGCGTCTGAGGGCCTCGTTAGTACTATGGTTGGTGACAACATGGGAATCCGGGGTGCTGTAGGCTCCTCCTCTTTTTGTCCTTTTTCAAAAAGGTTCTTTTCATGGTAGAGCTCTTTACTGCCATACCAATGGATGAAATGCTACAATGGAAGGAACCACTACGCAGCAAAACCGACAAGAAGCAGTAATTATTAAGACATCAGTCAGAAATATCTTTAAATGCTATGTTAATACAATACAGAGAAAAAGGGCACACATCTAAAATTACAGTACAAACAAATAAGAAGAAAAATGTAACAATGTAATTTCTTATTAGCACAGAGGAGAATGGAGCGTCACACAGATGCAAGATGTAATCAAAAAGAAAAGTGATACTCGTTAAGGGACAAAGTCAATTCATAGTTGTCATCCCGGTCTAAAGTACAGATCACACAGCGAAAGGATTGCCAGTGAAACAATGTCAATCTATTCACGTACCATGTTATGTAAACGTTCACTTATCTCAAAGTCAATACGATTTCATCGTAGCATCAAGAATGACCACGCATTTAACGACATCAGCAATGCAAAGTACAAAATAAATAATTTATGCAAAAAACGAACGTAAAAAGTGTGTTAAAATGAAGATAACGTAACATTAAAATACTGAATATGAAACAGAGAATGAAAAGAACCCTCTCAATTTCTCAGCTCGCCGATTTAAAATATCGAAAGAAGATAGAGTACGAAACCAAGGAATCAGCTGCTTTCCAAATTCCCAGTGCTTCCAACGTCCCTAGATTGACTTGGTTTTCGCTGTCTTTCCGGAAATTGTTCAACGCATTCAGAAGATGGTTGTTCATCTGTAAGAGTATTAGGGTCATTTGATAGGTTTTGAGACTCGGTTGGGATTGTATTCAGTGGGATGGGATTATCACCCGCCAAGTCGTTTCTTTCCAACGTCAAGTCGAAACCGAAAATTGAAGCAATCCAGAGATTAAGTTGATTTAGTAACAGAATGAAAAGATCCAACAAGTCTATAATTGATCCATTAGTAAAAGTCTCAAAACAAATATCTATGAATCAACTCACATGAAACAACAAATAAGCAAATCCAGAAAGCCAAAATGGCAAGAAGAACCGCTAGAATCAACTGAATCCGTGCATTTTCCATTGACTTTTTTATAAAAGGAAAAAGAAGAAAGTCCGAAAATACAAAATCCAGCACAAATGCAAAAATGTAGCACCAGACAAGTCGAGCAGTTTCATTTACCACTTTGACAGTAGCTTGTGGAATCCTAGCAACCTTTGCTGGACAGATAATTAACCATAATACAGACGTGTTGGAATTTTCAGAAGCATTCATGGACGCTGCTTGACTCTTCTTTTCAGAATATGGTGGTGCGCGAATTGGACGTAAACATAAACAACCTTTTTCCAAATCATCCATATACGAATAAGAAATCTCGCTGTATCGCGGTAAATCACTGTCAGAACCCGTAGGAGAAACCCAGAAAGGAGATTCGGTTGGTTTAGCAACTTCCGGCTGCATTTTTTTCTCTGTTTCTATCATTTTTATTAGAAGAAACTGAAATTTTTAACTATCTATGAAACGGTCACAATATATCGCGAAGACTACTACCCAAGTAGGTAGTAGAAGAACTAAAAATGCATCAAAGCCCACAGAAAAGGCATCTGAAACAACTCACGCTACAAAGAAAAATGAAAGCAGTTTAAAATCGTCAAGAAATGAGAAATGAAACTGCAATGGCAATGGCTAGAGTTTTGCTGAAGTGAAACGGTCATCAATCAATTTCGGTTTCTTTTGGTGCCTTTCATTATTCTATTTACCGTCGTCTCGAAACCCCTCGCTGTATCAGATTTAATCATTGTTACTTCTTTTGCTAGGGTAACATGCTATCCATTTGGCAGGTAAATAAAAAAGCAGTGGTGGAAACTTGAATCTTTAAAACGGCTAGCGGTTAGTATTCAACAAAGTTTCATTATGTGAACATCTACGGCCATACCTAGGTGAAAACACCAGTTCCCGTCCGATCACTGCAGTTAAGTGAAAACGTCTGAGGGGCCTCGTTAGTACTATGGTTGGAGACAAAATGGGAATCCGGGGTGCTGTAGGCTTTACCTCCTACAATTTCTACTTTTTGAAAGTTATTGGATTTATCTTTTAGTTACTTTTGCAATTGTCTTGGAAGAGATCGAACTGTTGTATACTTGCTGCAGATCGGTTACTTGCTAGGTGACAATACCCAAAAAGGTCTTTTTTTTTTTTGTAAATTCATTAGTCACCTTTTGGTATCTATCCAAACGCAATTACTAAAGTATATAGCTTTGTATATGAATCTAAAGTGATACCAACGATTCTCAATTTTACGGTTAGTTCCAGTAATGTTATTACAATAAAATCGACCCATTCATCGCCTCTCCAGATGGGCGGAAAACGGAATCATGCCTTTCTACTGTCCACTTTTCTTCGTCATTTCCAATTCATATTGATAGAAGGATGCTTTCGTAGTCAAAATTAGACAACGCAAGAACGCTTTTCAAAGGGACAGAAATAAGTCTTCGTCGGAATAAACCACTTGTAATGTTCCTTTTTTCCACTTAGTGAATTTCAATCGGAAGAGTTAAGGCTCATGGCAAAAGAAAGGTAAACAAATTAGCATTAACTTTGAGTGGTAGGATTGCTCTGCAGCTCTATTTCTTCATTCGTGTTTGTCGGCGGAGGAGCTACAGCATCATCCTTTTGCTGATATCTAGAAAGCATAGGAGAACTGGCGTTTTCGGCTGAGCCCTCAAATTCCATTCCAAGGCCAAAAACAAGAATGCTATAACAGGCAAAGCATAGGGGACCAATGACAAAAACTCCAACACATATAATTAAAGCACCTCCGAAAATAAATATGTATATTATAACCTGTGAAACAGTTCTTGTTATTTTGACAGCGAGTGAAGAAAAGTCTACTTTATGTTAGCAAACATAACGGCATCTTCTTTTTTTCGTTTGTCAAAAATGCTTCACTTACAATAAAATAGACAAAACAAGATTGTCCATATCACAAGCAAAAGGCCTAAAGGTGCAAGAAGGGCCCAACTTAATTTATCGTCCGAATATACTTGTTCCAGCCAAGAAAGAAGTTTAAAACTGTATGAAATCGCTAATGTACACATCAACGAAAAGAATAATGTTGAAAATCGACGGTAGTTTTGATCTTTAACCACAAGATTATCAGGAAAGCGAAGAGAAAGTTGTTTTAACAATTCCTCATAGCTTTTCGTTATCAAGCTGCTAAAGTTTTGCGATCCATTCCTGTGTGGTTTTTTTCTTTGTTTGGCTTTGACAGAAGTTGAATTGGAAGGGTTCTTTATGTCTTTTGGTGTATCCAAACAAATACCCTTCTCTAAATCAACATTGTAAACATTAGCATGGTTGTACGCAGGAGGGTCGCTTGAATCGAATTTCAGCTCCTTTTCCGACATCCTAAAAATAAATAAAGAGAAATATCAATGAATAATTAGCAAAAGAGCATCACATAAAAGCTGTTGATCCGTATTCGATGGAACAATTTCGCAAACGCAAAACTCATCAGAAGTAGCAGCCAAAACTAAAGTAGCTCTACCTGGTCATTCCAAACATTCACATGAAAGTCAAAAGGAGCCCAGTTGGAAGGAATTGAAGAAAAAAGAATTTGGCTCCAGCAAGAAATTTCGCATCACTTACGCAACATTTTTGCTCAGGATAGTGATATGTTCAGCTACGCTATCTCTTATAGCGATTATTGTTAATAATCGTTGAAGATACGTTTGAGTCACAAACAAAAGTAACAAATTTCGCTAATTTCGCGTTTGTTTACATCTCTGTAAATAAAGCAGGTCTCACTTTTTTATGAATTGTTGAACAATTTTTTACTTGGAAAGTGAGTAACTCGTGTTGCATTAAATTTATTCATTTTTCATTTTTGTGTGTTTTATTTTCTGTTTCATTCGTTTCCGGAAGGTTGATTCTCTTCCAGGTAAGGTAAGGTATTCTTTCTCCTATGCTTATTCCCGTAACAGCAAGCTATAAACTTGACGAATGTTTATCAAAACTTCATTAAACAACTAGAATAAAAAGAAAACTAAACAAATAACCCAAGGCTATCCAACATGAAAATTAAAAAATGCTACACGGATGCAAATGCAACTGCAACTGCAAATGCGAATCAAAAGAAATGCAAATTCAAGCGGAAAGAGAGCAACGAATAATACAGTATGTACAAAAGCTAAACGTCAATGACTTCATGCCCAAATATGCAGAAAGAAAGAGAACAAAAACATAAGCAACACCTTTTGAAAAAACAAGAACACCTAATATGCAAGTAGAGAAGAGAAAGAGAAGAACAAGAAACAGTTCCTTAGAGCAGAAAATCCGGTTTCAAAATTAATAAATAGAGCAAGTGTAAACTTACAAAATGTATTAAAAGTTAAGGGGAGAAAGAGTTAGTTGCTGGTCTGCAGATTTTTACCGCTTTCACTATCCCTAGATTGGTGTTGTTGTCGTCTTACATACTGTTCGAAATGTTCAGAAGATGGTTCCTCATCTCTAAGACTATTAGAGTTCTTTGGCTCGTCTAGAGATTCAAGAGGTATTGCATGAAGTGGGAGTTGATTTTCTCCCGTCGACTCGGTTCCTTCAAATGTCATTTCGTAGCCTATAACATAGGCAACCCAACCCAACAGAAATTCCATTATTAAAAATAACGAATCCAATAAAACTATTCAATATTAATTAGCACAGCTTTCAACAAGTATCATCCGTCTACTGACATACCTGAAACCAAGTTTAGAGAGAACCAAAAGGCCAAGATGATAAGAATAGCTGCTACACTATACTGAACCTTTATGGAAGTATCTTTCAGCATATTATTCTTTAGAAAAGGAAAGAGAACGTAATATAAAAATGAAAAATCAAGTATCAGTGAGAATAAATAACACCAAAAAACTCGGAGTCCTTCATTTGTCGTTCTTTTTGCAGCAGGTGGAATTCTCGCAAATGCCGCTGGACTAGAAATATACAAGAATCCGCTCTTAACACTACCACAAAACGCACTCCAGTAGTCTGAACCCATTGCTGCAGAAGCGTCGTTTGACAATTCGTCCCTCTTGTTTTCAGAATACGAGGGAGCGAGGTTTGGATGCAAACATAAACAACCCTTTTCCAAATCATCCAGATGTGAATAAGGGAGCTGGCTGTACTGCGGTAAATCACTGTCAGAACTTGCAGGAGAAACTCGACAGGAAGATTCGGCTGCTTTGGCAAGTCTTAACAGCTTTTCATTCTCTTTTTCGTTCATTGTTTATTGTTTAAACATTAAGAATCAAACAAACCATCAATTGCCCTCTACAAAACTCAGAAGCGAGCTATGAAAACTATCGAAATTTGATAGTAAAACACCAAGGAGGGCACAAAAGTCCAAAGTAAAAGCACCTTAATTTTAATCCTCTACAATATCAAATGATATCCTTTCATTACAGCTCTGAGAGACGAAAAATACAACGGCAATGGCAATGGCACAAGGGCTAGAGTTATATTGAGGTGAAGTTGTCATCAAACCAAATAGGCTTTCTTTTGCTGCCTTTCGCTATTTCGTTTACTACTTATTCCTAGGTATCGGTATACATATGTTACTTCAACATTTGAGTAGCACGTTACTTTCTGAAGAGACCGTTACTCAAAATGCATTCTAGGAAAACATATCTTCCAAACAATCGGTGGTGAACTACATTCGATTAAAAAAAAAATATTTAAAAAACACATCATCTTTTCAAGTTTCAGAGTCTACGGCCATACCTAGGTGAAAACACCAGTTCCCGTCCGATCACTGCAGTTAAGTGAAAACGTCTGAGGGTCTCGTTCATACTATGGTTGGAGACAACATGGGATTCCGGGTGCTGTAAGCTTCTTTTTGCTGCTCTTTTTTTCTGATCACTCACTGTTCGAGTGCGTTCATAAAAGCTTGCAACTCTGAGACTACACAAGGATTCATTTGCTTTGGCGAAGCATACATTTGCCTTTACTTATCAGTATCTACATATTTTGTCTAAAAACAACTAAGCTTTGGTGGTTTAGTGGTATAATGCTTCGTTGCCATCGAAGCGACCCGGGTTCGATTCCCGGCCGAAGCAGTCCTTTTTGCCGGGTTTTGAGTTCTATTGTTATGATTTATGAAAATTTGCGCTTTCACACAGCCCAGCAAGAAATCATGGACACAGCCTTTTCTCACTAGAAGACGAAGTATAGCAAATAGAAACGCAATACGCTAGTAAACAAAACCAACAGCTGTGATGCATCTGACTTGCTGTGTCTTTTGAATCTGATACCTTTTTAAAAGTTCAAAGTGTTCGTTTGATCATATAAAATGTGCTTTTCTGATCCTTCTATTCGTAAACTTCTGCTAATATTTCATCTGATAGTATAAAATCCACGTCATTTTCGCAAACTCAGAGAAACAAAAAGTGTTTTAGATCCTTTAATTTGAATTTTCAAAAATAACTTACAAAGAGTAATAATCCGTCTACTGTTTGTTTTTCCATAAACACCCCAACAATCGACCCTGCCGCCAATAAATACCAGCTTTAGATACTGCCTTGTTCATCGTTATCCAAATACAGTATTGTTGCGCGACGCTCCGCAAACACCCTGGCGCTGCCATTTTCATTCTCTGCCAAAACGCATACCCTAAAAGAACACAAAGAGTCTTGAATATCGTCGAAAAGCACCTGTAAGCGTGTTCTTGCGATTCTCAAGAGCTATAGATTACATCGGACATCACAGACTCAATTATGAGTGAAAACAAAAAGATTCGGTCGAAAAAGGCCGAAGAAGGCCTTCAGAACGCAAATAAGCCGGCAGCGAGCGAAGAGACCGTACAAGTGGATTCAGTACCGCCTCGTAGAAGTACAAGAGGTAAAAGAGGACCTAAGGGAAAGCAAGGTTCTTCGAATGCTGCAAAAAACTCACCTGAAAGTGAAGAGACCCAAGCTATAAAACTTAATTCAGATCCTAGAAGTCAAGTTTCTGCCCTGAAAGAACTTTTCTCTGAGTGGACTACGGATGATCTTGTTTTTGCATTGGAAGAAGCAGGTCATGACTTGGAGTTGACGATCGCTCACATTACCGAAGGCCATGCCTCTCAATGGGGACAAGTAAAGAAGAAGCAACCTACTAAGCAGTTAAAGCCAAAGTCGAAACCAGTTGATTCTGATGCTGCCGCTCCTAAAACTACACAACGAAAATCCAAGAAGGCTCCTACTTTTAAAGAAGACCAACCTCAGCCTTCTCGTAAGGAGAAAGCTACCACTCAGACAAAGACATCGACTACTGCTCCTGCCTCTGAATCCTCAAAATCTAAACCTGTTCCTGGTACCGATGTTACGACGTCTACCGCTCATCCCTCAAAACTTGACGACGCACCTCAACAACATATAGACACAAGTAATGCCAATACTATTCATGCCACTCAAACAGAACTTCCTTCAACTTCAGCTACTATGACTATCCCTCCCCAAACCGATAAGCCTGCTACTGTTGCTGCTCCTTCTCAGTCATCCAAAACCCCATGGGCTGCTATTGCAAAGGCAAAAAGAAAGCAGGCTTCACAGGCTGCTGCTATCAAGCCTTCAGAACCCTCTCAACCCGCTCAATTGCCTTCCGCTCCCCCAACTGCTGCCGTCGAGCAACCCTCGAATCCACCTGTTCCTTTAGCTTCTAGACCTGCTGAACCTGCTGTTCCCCCTCAGCAAGACAAGCAGGAAGTACCTCAACAAAAACAGCAAGTTTCCCCAACACCTCCTGCTGTTTCTTCCGTTAATAAACCAGTGGTTGGCTCCATTCCAGCTTCTACTACTACTTCTGCTCCTTCTCAAACTAAAACTTCAGATACCAAGGCTTCTTTGACTGGATTTCATGGTTCTACTAATGGAATCACTACTGCTCGTTTGCTTTCCGACAAGTTCCCCGTCGTTATGCCTGTGGCCAACACTGCTGCAATCCCTGAAAAGGTCCAAGTCCGGTTTGGTAGCTTAACTCTTGGTGGTGATGATTCATTGTCTAACAAACCTGCTGCTGCCCCGACTGCATTTACTTCCAAACAAGTTAAAGAACCTTCAACAGAAGCTTATGTATCTCCTAAACCGCAACCTCCCCAATTTGCTGATAGCAAGCCTGCTCTTGCTAGCGATACAGATTCTTTACCTGCAAAACTACAACCACAATTTGAGGCTCAAGTCTCTGCTTCTGAATTGCCTCATGCTCCGGCTGCTGATAACTACTACTTTGATGTCAAAAGCAATCCTTCTGCTACTTCGGCAGTTGGTTCCGGAGCCCCTCAAGTCAGTTTACCCGCTGGTAATGCTCCTTCGGTAAATAAGCAAGGTAATGGTGGGTTTATGGCTATGTATTCTCCAGCTATGCAGGATATTGCTCCCCAGCAATATGGAGCCGGTACTTCTTTGCCCATGTCGGCGGCTAGTGCATATACCAACGACCCTTCCATGGCAGGTGTTCATGATAAATCCAATCTGCCTTATTCATCCAGGTTTGGGAAACCATTGGAGAATAGAGCTGAGGCTAATGTCAGCCCTTTTGATAATTTCCAGCATGTTGAGTATGGCGCAGCTCCTGGCTTTGGACCCAATGCTGCCCAGCAACACCAACAATCTGCTCATGCTGCTTATAGTGGAATGTCACCACTTAACTATGGTCAAAGCATCCCCAATTACTTCAATGAACGTTCACAATATTCTCAATATGATCCGGCCATTAGTGGAACCCCTGAGATGCATAGTATGTCTCAGAATAAAGTTGGAACATCGGCAGCTATTCCTTCATTGCCCAACACAACCGCGACACCAAGCCCTGTGATTTCACAGCAACCTCAACCTTATGCATTCCCCCCTATGTATCCAGTTCCATATATGTCGTATCCCTACGGATCTCTTCCTTACGGCAATAATAAATATGGCCAACCTCAACAAGGTTACGTTATGCAGAATGGACTAAATGACTTCCCTCCTATCCTTGGAGGACACAGTAACATCTACAATCGTCAACAAAGTGGCAGCGTAGGAAGCATTGGCGGAACACAAGTGAACGCGACTGCAAATGCTCCTGTTGATAAGGCTCGTGATATGTCTAGTAACAATGCAATGGGAAGCTCTCTTGGTGGATTTTCTTCCATGGCTGGAGCCTCCAGAAGCGCTCCTTTAACGTTTGCCAATGAGGGGGAACGAGGAGGGCCTTCTCCTTATGGATATGTTACCCAAGCTTCTTTGAATGCCTCACCTGGTGGACATCAAGGATCTTATCAGTCGAATGCTAATAAGGCTGGAAATGTTGGCAATCAAACATCAGGATTTTCATTTAACCCCACGACCGCAGGTAGCGGTAATGGAATTGGAAGCTACGGTGCTTACAACCAAACATTTATGAATCGTCCTGGAAATTGGTATGGCAACGCATAAGACAAGATGTCTCTGAGAAAATACTGTAAGTAAAAGCATGATGAAAATAGTGATTGGTTTTGACGGGGAGGTTGAAGTCTTTCGTTATTTGTTAATTATGTTTTACATGTGGTGGTTATGATATGATTTCGTTTTGCTATTTTATAGCGTTGGTTTTTTATGTATAGGAATATCGTGATGATTGGCAGGGAAGAATTTAAAACATGAATTTGGATAAATGACACATAGCAAAGATGATTTTGTCGAATATGTAAATATCATGACTTTTTTGAGATGAACCGGAGTTAGCTCTTTTAGACTGTAATTGCGAGTTTATAAAAGTAAAAATGCTTGATGTTGGTGTAAATTCCGCATGGAGTACATGTGGAAGGGATGGTATGGTGTTTCTTTATAAGTGTTGTATATGGAACCGCAAACGTACAACAACTACTTGGAAAACAGGGAGAAAAGGAAAGGAATTTCCTTTTTCCTTTTGGTTGGGTTGGTTTGTTTGGTTGAAAAAGTGATACAATGATCTGAAGTACCGATGCTTGTATTCTTGATTAAATTTAAGAAAGCGAGGGTGGGAGAAGCAGGTTTGTGGAAGGCCTTGTTTATTCGTCTAAAACCGATTTTTATTGGAGCATTGCGGTATACGTAGTAGGAGTATAAGAAGCGAAAGAAAGGGAATTTCATGGACCTTACAGGGTAAAGCCGCAAAAGCGAAGTGGGAAATCAGTGTCTATTGAGGAATCGTTGCAGCATATGATCTGAAAAAGATACCCATCATTGGGACAAGTAGAAATTCATCAATTTGTAGAAAGAAAGCAAGCTTTTTGGGAATCGGTGTACAGGTAAATAAAGAAAGAAAAATGTAGATAAATTAGAGAAACGAAAAGGAATTCAGTAAAAGAAAGAAAGAAATCAAAATAAATTCAATTCAACTAAAAGAGAAAAAACATGAACAAAGTTTTTACGTCTACCACCAGAATAAATATTTACATGAAATAAAAAAATTTAAGAACAACAACTCTAGCAAACTCTTGGAAGCAAATCTAAACTTCTTATGAAATTGAGCATACAAAATCCAGCTGTTGAAGATGAGTTTTCTTGATTTAAATTGAACTTCTGTTTACATGTTCAAGATCCACGTTGGTGCTCTCATGGAAAATGCTGTTTAGGAGACACGGGTTGTCTTGAAATTGAAATTTTATTTTATTTAACTGTTTAATTTTTTTGTTTCGCTTGAAACTCCATCTCTTTTATTTTTTACATTTCGTGTACCCAAGCGCCCATCGTTCACTGTTTGTAAATAAATAAACAAACAAAGACAGCATTAAACGAAAGAATCGATTTAAACGAAACGTGGCACTACGAATCATAAACCAATCGGTTCGGATTTTTATTGGGAGATTTTCCGCTTTTGGCCCCCTTTTTCCATCCTTTCTCTACCGGATCCTCATCACCACGAGACAGACGGGGTCTGCTGCTGTGGTTCTCTTTCCAAAAAGGGGACCCAAATCACATAACCCCCTTCTCAAGTTTTGAGTTACGCAAAACTAAACAATGATGTTTACGGAAAAACCATGGAAATCTAGTATCGCCCCGCCCCGTTTAGGAAAAACTCGGAGAAACTTTGTTTTTCCTTCCATTACGCTTGCATATGATGCAACGCAGGTTTTTCCGTAGATACTCGATAAGTAACGACGAGGTTACAAGATGGAAACAAGAAGAACTCTTTTGTTTACCTTCTTTTTTGTTTGGACAGGCAAAAGGAGCAGAAAAGATTCAAAGAAAACAAAAATAAGTGAAGAAAATTGTTCTTTTTTCATGGAAATCGGAACCGACGGTTGAACTCACTACTTTTTCTCATTTGTTTTGCCCTTTTCTGTCTCGTTTTCCCCGTTGCGAAGAAAACGATCACCTTTCCTTTGCTTACGTGGCAGGTCCGGATGGTACCGACCGAAGCATACGATTTGATCAGATGGAAAATTTGAAGAACTTCCATGTGATGAAACGGAAGCTTAGTGAAACGGATCTTTTCGCCTGACAGCCGGTCTCGTCGGCAATTTCTTATGGAGCGAAATATTATAAATAGAGGCATGTGCTGCCACTATTATTCATCACAAACAAAAGAAAATCTCATTTGTGTAAGTTAAAAAGAAAAAAGAAAAACATTAAGAAAATAAAAAGGTGTTGGAACGAAAATCGCCAGTCATATTTGGTTTGATTTTTGTTTTCATTTCTAACTTTTTTTTATTTTCGCTTTGTTCTTGCCTTGTAGAACTCATCACTAACATTTCTGTTTAGAATCATGGCAATTCCTCAAGTTGGTATTAACGGTTTCGGTCGTATTGGACGTATTGTCCTCCGTAACGCTCTTCAAGCTAAGACTATCCAAGTCGTTGCTGTCAATGACCCCTTCATTGACCTCGAGTACATGGCTTACATGTTCAAGTACGACTCCACCCACGGTCGCTATGAAGGTGAAGTTGCCATCAAGGACAACAAGTTGGTCATTGACGGCCAAGCCATCACCGTCTTCAACGAGAAGGAACCCGCCAACATCAAGTGGGCCTCCGCTGGCGCTGACTATGTCATCGAATCCACTGGTGTTTTCACCACCAATGAGACTGCTTCCGCTCACTTGAAGGGTGGTGCTAAGCGTGTCATCATCTCTGCTCCTTCTAAGGATGCTCCCATGTACGTTGTTGGTGTCAACACCGAGGACTTCAAGCCCGAAGAGAAGGTTGTCTCCAACGCCTCTTGCACCACCAACTGCTTGGCTCCCTTGGCTAAGGTTATCAACGACACCTTCGGTATTGAAGAAGGTTTGATGACCACTGTCCACGCTACCACTGCCACCCAAAAGACTGTCGACGGTCCTTCCCGTAAGGACTGGCGTGGTGGCCGTACCGCCGGTGATAACATCATCCCCTCCTCCACCGGTGCTGCTAAGGCTGTCGGCAAGGTCATCCCTGCCCTCAACGGTAAGCTTACCGGTATGGCCTTCCGTGTCCCTACCTCTGATGTTTCCGTTGTTGACTTGACCTGCAAGCTCGCCAAGCCCACTACTTATGAAGACATCAAGAAGGCTGTCAAGGCTGCTGCTGAGGGCCCCCTCAAGGGTGTTCTTTGCTACACCGAAGACGCTGTTGTCTCTGCTGACTTCATCGGTGACACCCACTCCTCTATCTTCGATGCCACCGCTGGTATCCAACTCTCTCCCCAATTCGTCAAGCTCGTCTCTTGGTACGACAACGAATACGGTTACTCTCGCCGTGTTGTTGACTTGGTTGCCTACACTGCTGCCCGCGACTAAGTGTTTTGACTCTTATAGACCTTCACTTTCATTTTGGTAACACTTTGATCTAAAAAATAGACGTACGAAATGAAATAAATATTTCTCAGAATTGTATAGATTGTTTCATAAAGTAGTTCTGCCTAGTATCGTAGTAAACTACAGAGTCTTGGGTACATGTTGATTCGCAATTCATAAATGGTGAATTGAGAGGGTCAGTCATGCTGTTTTCTACTTACATTTTCCGTTATTGCTATAGCTTTGTGGACTATCTCTACTGGCCATAAAACAGCTTTTTCAGCTTTTACTAGAAATGTTATCATGAGGAACAATACCTTGCTGGTATGTTGATGATCTACAAATCATTGTACTGCGAATGAAGGGAGGCTTTTTTTTGCAATTTATTTTCTCTGCATCTACAAATTAACCTTCAAGGCCTTACCAGCCGCTTCTCACTGGATAACAGATGAAGATGTGCTCTTCATACGAGTTCTCCACGTTTCCTGAGCATCCTCAATCCTCAAGGTTCTGGCGACGAAAGCTTGAACTCCTTTTTCGCCTGCACAAGCGACCAAGCGGACGCCTTCGGACTTGTTCCCATTCTATCGAGTGAATCCACCAAATGCAACAGTTCCCGCAACCAGTGAAAACAAGTGTGATGAGCATAAATGGAATCTCCTAATAATTGCATAGAATGAACATACTTGTTTCCACTGGCCAGATCTCGTAATATCGTAGCCCTTAATCATGCATAGCAATTATATGAAGAAGGTCACAAACTCCTAGTATGTGCATAAACCAAAAAGCTCCCTGTACTCTTGTCTTTTTTCATCGTTTCAATCTTTTTATACTCAAAAAACTTGCCAAACGCTCTTACAGCTTGCTCTAACTATGTGTTTGTTTATTGTTACTTCAGCAATATTTGGACTCAAAGTAACGAATATTTTCTGTTGACTGCCTACTTCTCTCTCTTCTATTTATTTGGAACATAAGACGTTGAGAACTCCCTATCAAAGTCTAATTCAATAATTTAAAGCTCTTTAAGAGAGCGTATTAGCTTTCTTTTGTCTAAACTCTGTCCTATGTCGAAACTCGGAACATGCTATTTCGATCCTCGACGGTAAAACATGGGTCGGGCCCATCTGCGAATCTTCACGGCGAAACGGAAACAAATGAAAACCCTCTTGAAACAATTACTGAAACCAACTCCAGTACCTCGAATGTACCCAAACCGTCGGTCAGAGAAGAGCAAACCATGCCTTGGGCTTCAACGAGTTTACTTCAAAAAGAACAAGAACAAGAGAAATACAATGAGCTCCGAAAAGAGCACTTGAGAAGGTATCAAAATCTATTCAATACCTACAATCTTCCAAAGAAGAACCTAGAGGAGGTGGCTAATCAATCGAAAGGGAATCGGTTCAGTTACTATATCCAGGATGATACCTTTGATAAATTGAATTCATTTGATGAAACCCTTCACCAAAGCCACGATGATGGTTATGTAACTCCTTCAGGATCCCCCACAAAGCTTAAGAGTACTCCTAAAAACCTTCCTTTTGTACCGGAGATGTCTCTGGATAAGGAACAAGCAGGCGTATACGTCCAAGAACCAGCTGTTCTTGAAAAACATTTTGATGAATCTTTTCATACACCTTCTAGGAGACCCGTTTCCTCTATCTTACCTTCCCAAGACCTCTTTTTTTCTACCCCACAACAATCTCCATCTAAAAATGCAAACAATTCCGAAGATTTTTCTCCTAACTCAAGGACTTCTATGAACCTTTTTTCAAGTCCAACTCAAGATTCCCCTAAACGCAGCCCTTCCAAACACTCCTTGGGCAGAGCTAGCTTATCTTCCCTTCTACGCCGTCCTTCCTCCTCCTATTCTCCAAAAAAGCAGTCTCCAGGGATTCATCGTCGCTCTTTGACCAACTACTTCAAATTTTCTCATCGTGGTACCGTCCAACAACCTCCTCCCCTCGATACCGTTTTCGGCAAGTCCGTGGAAGATTTGAGTAATAACTATGCTGAAGACCTCTGCAAGTTTTTTTTTCAAACGAATGAGCTGGCTCCATTTCCTTTATTACTTCCCCATGTTTTTGCACAGTGCATATATACCTTGTCAATAAATGCTCTTCATGTACCGGGGATTTTTCGAATAAGTGGTTCAGGCCCGATTATTAAAGCCATAATGAGGCATTATTCATCTCCTCCCCATTATTGGCTTGATGAGACCTCCAGCATATTTCAGAGAATCGGGTTCCCTACGAGTATCGATATCGGCGGTGTACTTAAGCGTTTTATAATGCTTTTACCAGGAGGACTTTTGGGAACGAAGGATGTGTTAAACATGTTAGTTCCTTTGTTTTTAGACGAATCGTCATCTTTACCATCAGATGTGTGGGCTGAGTTGATCGCCTTTGCTATTGCTCAAATAGACTCTATAGTCCGCTTTTCTCTGCTTTGCAGTCTCATGGCTCTTTTGCGGCAGGTTTCACTACGAACACAAGAACTTGAAGCAACAATGGAAAACGTCAAAGATTCCAGTTTAATGAAATCTGAAGCATTGGGAATTATTTTCGGCCCACTATTATTAGGGAATTCCATTACGGATCTTTCGAAATCCAACCGATCCTCAGATTTCAATAACCTCATGCATTTTGAGACGGAGAAAGCGAGATTGGAAGCTAGAATTGTCGAAGGATTAATAAATCACTGGCCGGAAATTATGTCAAAATTGACTTCATTCAATATTCATCAAAGCTTTCCCGATTGTGTACTCTTAAATTTAGTACCAAATTTTCAACCGGCTATTCCTCTTATTGAAGAACCTGTCGATTCTACTGCTGCTAATCAAGAACACACAGCGGAGAAATCGATAACTGCGACAAGCGCTGAATCTCAAATTCCTTCCGAAGTTACCTCATTACCGTCTGTTGCAGTCGATTCAAAAAGTAACCCCAATGATTCCGGTTCGCAATTTTCAACGACTGTTCCTCTTGCGTCTGCTTCGACGCCGCATGTCGCTCATATTCAAGAAGAAAATCTTCCTGAGCAAGAAAAAATACCTTCACAAAGTGGCGTCTCTAATGTTCAAATTGAACCAGTATACAGTCGTTCAGAACCGCTAAATTTATCTTCTCAAGCTGCGGAATCGCATATTCCAGATTCAAAAGATATACGACCACGGGAACTTAACTCAGCAGTTAGGCATCAGCCAGAAACCCACAATAAACAGCAATCTTCGAACCTGAAGAAGAGTTCTAGGAAGAAATCCTCAAAAGGGAATTTTTTGACAAGGTTTTTTGGAAAATTTAAATCAGTAAAAAAGAAGCATTAGAGAGAATAGAGTATGGCTATACCTGTTTTAGATTATTTAGATGTTGTTTTATGTACAATTTCATTTTTGGGCATTATGTTAATTACTAATTCTTTTATAGACATTCCTGTCTTTTAAATTAATGTAGCTTATATGCACGTAAAAGAAAAAAAACATATATATATATACAACCATTACTTGATCTTGAATAATTGGATAAGAAGTTAACAATAATTTCATTAGTAAAATAGAATCAAATCATTAGGTTCTAGTTAGTATCTAATATTTAATATTTGAAAAAAGACGGTTATTAAAAAATTAACAGATGAATGACGAGATAAAGAATGTTGATGAAAAATACATATAGAAGTATGTATGTTGCCTGTAAGAGCGATTAAGCATCAGCGTCTTGCTCTATTAGATGCAGTGCTCGACCCGACAGTAAAATGACATCTCCTTCACCGTCTTCATATTCTCCATTATTCACGTCTCGGGAAACTATATCATTCAAGAGTTCTATGATATCGTCGCTTGATTGAATGAATGCAGTTAATCGAGGAACTAATTGAGTTAGAAATAAAAAAAAGGGAAAATAAAACATACCTCCAGCCTCCAGTAATTGCACAATCGTCCAAGCGGCGATATGAGCAAAGGTAGAGTCTTCACTACTCAAAAATCGAACAAGGTAACCGTGAATTCCACCCGCTGGAGAATCCCAACACTCAATAAACTGGCCATAGTCATCAACATTTGAAGAAAGGTTACCTAGAGCAGCAGCAGAATTTCCTTGAACTTCAATTGACATAGAATCTGTCAAAGGGATAAGGACATTACATATACCGTAATTTAACAAATACGATTTAAATTCATCGCTAAGAGCCAACACGGCAAGACAAGCAGTCATTTCGCTTTGGACGCTGACTGGAGCATCTAATATTAAGTCACGAAGCTTTTGAATAGCATTGGCTTCAATAATAGCACGTTTGTTTCGTTCTGAGCTAGCTGCTAAATTGCGTAGGGTGGACACGGCATGACATTGGATTTCTTCATTTTCGGTACAAGAGAGCAAGTCCACTAAAGGGCGAAGAAAACCAACATCTATGATAGGGGATTCGTTGAGGGGATGGATAGATATATTTCGAACGCATGCCACAGATGCAAGGATTAAAGGAAGATAAGAAGAACGGAGTAAACGTAGTAAAGAGGGCAAGGCATTGCTTTGGACAATTTCAATTTGGTAGCGCTCATCAGAAGCAAGATTACGCAAAGCTAAAGCAGCCTGGCATTGAACTTTTGGACTAGCAGTATCCATGAGTTGGATAAGAGAGCGGACCAACTTGGGTTCGCTTTGAGCAAGTTTTTTACGGTGAATGGCATCTACAGCGATATTGCTGATGGAAGTTGTACAATAATATTGAACATCGGCGTCTAGGCTGGGAAGTAAGGAAACGAGAACAGGTATGGTTCCAGCGTTGACGAGTTGTTGACGATTTTCATCTAGGATATTAAGTTAGCTACAAGCAGGTTTACAAAGATGATATAAGAATCAGAAGCAAAGGGGTGTATGAGGAAGACTTACAAGAGTGGGTCATGTTAAGCAATGCACCAGTGGCATTTCTCTGCACACGTATATCCTTGCTCTTCGCAAGTCGAGTTAGAGGTCCAAGGGCGCCAGAATGAGCAATTTTTGATTTGTTTTCGTCTAACGTAGCCAAGTTGGTGATGCATCCCACTGCATTACACTGAACCTCGACATGGGGAGACATCATTTGGCGAATTAAGAGATCCAAGCCGTTTAGTTTAACCACAAGGGCCTTATTCTCGGCATTTACAGCCAAATTGCCTAAAGCAACACTTGCAGCTCGTTGGATCTCGGCGTCAGGACTTTGTAATAAAAACAAAACGGGTTCAATGGTTTCACGATCCACTTCACGAACATCTATACATGTGAGTCGTTTATTCAAGCAATCACAAAAGCGATTTAATCGCATGCTAAATACCTTTCTCGGTAATTTCTGCAAAAGCCAGCGCTGCTGATCGCTGAAGATCAATGTTGTCAGAGTACGCAAGAATTGTTAGCGCCCTTAATGGTTCTTCGCTATAGAAATTCACTTCATTTCTCTACACCAATTCGTTAATCAATCTCTTCATCCAAATCTCTCCCTTACGTCTTCCAAGAAATTTAACAAATCTGCTACAGCTTCTCTTTCTCGATCTGCCAGTAAAGGCTCGTACTGTTCATCTTTAGATTCTTGTCCCTTGTTAGCATCATATATATATATATTGCCCTCATACTGTTGCAACAAGATAAGCAATTGCCCATCTGACTTTGTTTATTTTGGTGTTTTGTGTTTGGGAGAAGTTAAGTACGTGGTGTTTGGATGGTAACGCATGAAGCCCAAGTTTGTTAGGTTTCGTAAATTAAGTTCCGCTACCTTGTTTCCCTCTATATCGTTTTAAGAAATTCGAGTGTAACCCAACGCTGTTATAAACAAAACACCATGAAACAACTGTAGCGAAGTCATCTTTCAGGTATAGTAGTAGCAGCATCATTAGAAAGCAATCAATAGCGGAGTCGGCGCATTCAATTGAAAGCAATGAGACTGTAGAACATTTTGTACTTTGTTTCATACTTATTGATACCAATTGGAAGACATTAATGTTTTTGTTACGTTTTTTTTCATATATACGGTAGTTTCTTTTCTAACTAGACTCTGTTTTTTGCAACGTAGCTTTATGTAAAACAAGTGCTTAAAAGGAATAAGGTACGTCCATACGATTGTTATCTATCTTATCTTGAAATTATATCCTTGGCATTTACTCGTTTTTTCTTTCGCCTCTTGTCTTTTTTGTTATACGAAAGGTTCGTACTTTTTATTTTTCCATTTGTTTGTTTCAGCAAGAAAAAACTTCAAAGTAAATTACGGTTTGAATATAGTTTTACCATAGACCTCATGGATGTTCTTATTATCGGCGCTGGTGTCTTTGGTCTTTCGACAGCTTTAGAGTTGACCAAACGTGGAGGCTACAACATTACCATTTTGGATCGCGCTGTTCCACCAGTTGTAGATGGCTCCTCTGTGGATGCAAACAGAATTATCCGTCCTGACTATGCAGATATGACCTACTGCGTTATGGGTATGGAGGCGATGAAAGGCTGGCGCAATCATCCTCTCTTTAAAAATCATTTTTATCCCTCTGGAATTCTTCTCCTTGGTCCGAATGACTCAATGTATCGAGATGCTAGTTTCAATAACCTGTCCGCAATGGGCACGCCTTGTACGAAAATCCATACTACTGAGGATATCCGCAGTTTGTATCCTACCTGGCACAATAAATTGAGAAACCATCAAAAAGGGTATGTAAATCAATTATCCGGTTGGGCTGATGCGGAACAAACCGTAAAGTCTGTCACAAATTACCTCGTTCAACAAGGCGTCACCTTTGTCTGCGGTCCCCATGGGACCGTGCAAGAACTATTGACCCAAGGTGACACGGTTGTTGGCGTCAAAACATTGGCCGACGAGAAGAAGGTTGCTGACTTGATTGTTCTTGCAACTGGAGCATGGACGGCGTCCCTTCTTCCGAAGCAGCAAACACGACTGTTGGCAGTAGGTCAACCCGTCGGTTATGTTCAACTGACTGAGGAAGAACGAGTCAGGTACCAAAATTACCCTGTTCTATTAGATTTCGAAACAGGGTTTTACAGCTTTCCGCCAACTCGAGATGGCCTTTTAAAGTTCGCTAGGCATGGTTTCGGGTTCACGAGAACAGTAGATTTAAAGAAAGACAAGAAAGAATCCGTTCCCCCTTTCGTTCCTGTGTCGTCTGTCACTCTCCCAAAAGAGGCTGAAGATGAACTTCGCAATTGCGTATGCTCTGTATACGGAAAGCAAATAAGTCAAAGACCTTTTTCGAGGACAAGAATATGCTATTACACGGATACAGCAGATGCCGATTTTGTTTTCGACTTTCACTCCAAATATAAAAACCTGTTTGTGTGTACTGGGGGTTCAGGACATGGCTTCAAATTTTTCCCTGTTTTGGGAAAATACAGTGTTGGCTGTATGTTACGAGAATTAAATGAGAAATATTTGAATAAATGGGCTTGGGAAAAACCAAGCCTTAAAGAATTTACGCTAGACGGAAGTCGGGTGGGACCTTTGGCGTATGAATATGATCCTGAAATGTATTGCATTGCTTAAAACAGCAAGTTGTTTGAACAGCATCAATTTCAGTAAGCTAGAAATGTTGGTATACTCATATGAATGCAAGTCTAAGAGTTTGAAAAGGTTCGATCTTGCTTTATTTATTTCTATGAGAATTAGCTGGCAACACTTTAAAATGCAATGTATCAGCTTAAGTGTTTTTTTTTTTTTGCAAGTTACAACTTCGTTCGATATTCTTAATTACAACAAAAGCGAATTGCTATTTTATTTCATGAAATGCACCTATGCTAACTTGGAATTTGTTGAAAGCGGTTTCTTACTAAGATGATACTGATCGATCGATCTTCTATGGACAAATTCATATGAAGATAAAAATATTATGGAAGTTATAAATATTAAAGGATCGTTCGGTTTGTCCACTGGTATGCAACCAATGGAGAGGTCATCGATCTGAATAATACCTCTTCCTAAGGCTCCATGGCAACATGGTAGTAAACAAATAGAGGACCCCATCAATAATAATAATTAAAAATAATAATAACAATTAAACTTCGGACTGGAGCACCGGCTAGTTTGAGAAAAGGATGGCAAATCTTGTGTTTGTTTACTTTGCTCGTTCAATATGTGCCATCAACACTTTATCTCAGAAATGGGTCCCAATAAGAACCTCGATTCTTCGAGTAAATTTTTTTACTCTTGATTAATTCATTTCCGTTTTGGTTTTATCCAATTCCCACTACCTCTCAGAAAGTATCATACAATCTATTTCACTAAGACAATATTTCTAGCGTAATACGCAAATCAGTGCTGATCTCGGCCTAATCATTTTCATATGTTCAGACCTACGTGTCTTTAGCACGCGACTTACTGGGTAATAGAAATTACGATTTCGCCCGTCTTAATACTTTTGGGATGAAAATAGCAAGGAGGGAAATTCTTAAGAAAAATTGTTTTCAAATTAAAAATCATAAAAATTCGGTCTCTGTGTGTTAAAAACATAAGTTGATAAACGTGCCTTGATACTCATTTCCTTTATTTTTGTTCGGCTAGAAACTCCTTAAAAAGCATTTTAAAACCCAAGTCTTCTTCTTGCTGCCGATTGGCATTTTGTGATATAACTCTCCTATCATCATGGTAGAAGTTCCAACAGCTCCTTCGTCCGATAGCCTTCATATAATTGAGCAACAGGTTGAAAACCATGAAGAAATGCCTTCGAATCTGCCTAATGTTTCAGGGTCCTCCGTTGACCAAGATCTCGCTGGAATACAATATGACGATGAAAACGAAATTGGGGGCGCTTCTTATCCGTCGTCAACGAATCAAGAGCCTCTATTTAATTCCTCAATGAACTATGATCTGGACGAGGACTACGACGAATTATTCGAGTTAGAGAACCTAAACTCGGATGAGGATGATGAGTTAATCGATGAAGAAGAAGCGTTGACTCTGTATGAAGCTGAATTAAGCTCGTCTCCCTCTATTAGTGAAGAAATAATCGATATAAATTTTGTTTATGCTATTCGTCGTTTTGAAGCTACTGTGGAAGGACAAGTTACTGCTGAAAAAGGCGATATGATGATGCTTTTGGATGATTCGAACAGTTACTGGTGGCTTGTAAAAATATGCAGAAACTCTGATATTGGCTATTTACCCGCAGAATATATAGAAACACCTAGTGAGCGTTTAGCACGCCAAAACAAATACAAAAATTCCGATACTTCTAGTTCCGGAAATGCTCTTCCTGCTCCGTCTTTGGCCTCATCTACAAGCAAAAGCGATGATGTAGCTAGAGTCCGTGTGAAGCGGGTCGCTTTTAATTGCCCCATAAAGCCTACTACGGATCCTGACATGGATGACATTTCGTCAGAGAATGACTATGAAGCCATGGTAAATCGTGCAATGGCAGAAAATGGGTTGGAAATTGAGTTTTCCACGAGTAATGATACTTCTTCGGATGATGAGTCAATAAATGGTGGAGATGCTATTGATGATGATGATGAAAATAATACTGCTCTTACTGAAGTTCAACAAACTTCCACTCATTCCTCCCTTCCGCCTACTGATGTTGTTAATTCCGATTCAGAAAGAGACTTTCAGGATGCAGTTTCTTCCGACTACAAGGAACATGATAATAATGACGGGAGTGAAACAGAAGATCAGGAAGATGACGAGCAATTGTTTCACAATCATGGCATGATTGCTCCTACTCCAAAATTTCCGGATAAAGCGTCATCTCCTTTAAAACGAGCATTGTCCACTGGCGCTCTAAAAATAATTTCACCGGTGTCTTTAGATCCCGATTCTGATCGGCCTCTTTCGTGCCCTGCTCCAACCTTAAGTGAAGAAAGTCATTCACTGCAGCGGGAAATGATTGATTTACAAGACCACCTATCTAAAAGTCCTAATTCTTCTGCTAGCTCTGGATCTAAACTGGCCGATAGGAAATCTCAGCCAAATTCAAATAAAAATCACTCTGACGAAAAACGAATACCCTCGTCATTGATTTCCCACAATGATCAGTTTATTCCTCAAGCCATCCGACATTCAGTTTCTTTGGAGTTAGCTACAAAAAAGGAAGGTGAAGTGCAACCTCTTTATTCCTCTTCTGCGCCGGCGTCTCCGACAATTCAGGATGCTAATGATGATTCCAATTTGATCCAAAAAAGTATTTTCAATGACCAAAATCAACTTTTGTTTTCTAAATTTTCAAGTCTCCCCCCTATTTCTGTAAACGATAGTAGTATTGAAGAATCATCAGAGACAATTACTTCGCCCTTCAGGATTAAGCGCAAAGCCTTACCAGAAGAAAGTTTTGGCCAGATTATCATTAATAATGAAGATGATGATCATGATGAATCAAAAGAAAACAATGCATCTGGCGAGGACTCTATGTTTAGCTTGTATCAGTCATCCCTCGTATCCGAATCTGAAAAGAACGACGAGAATTTCACTCCAGACTTAATAAGTGGAAGTGGAGAGCCCAGTACGCCAGGATCCCATGATTTTGATACGTACCAAGATAAATCCTTTAATGTAGCGTCTTCGGATAGCCCGTCTACCTATGTTTCTCCTCCCACATCATTTTCAGAAGACATCTTTCCGAAACAAGAATCCTTCCCTTCTAAAGTACCCGATGCTGCCCAACGCTCATTTTCTCAGCGTCATAAGGATTTGAATCGGAGACTTAAATCTTTTATAGCTGATCCGGATTCTGTTAGCGACTTGTATTGGACCGTTAAGTCTGCTGGTGTAAGAGCATCTCCAAGATCGTCATACCCATTTAATGAAGATACTGCTCGTTTGCAACTAGAAGAAACGTATGCTAATGTTTTAAGGAGTTTGTCCGATGAATTGGCTTCGGCGATGAAACCCAGCAGCTAATTCTATGCATGAGAACATAAACCTCTGCCCATTACTGTTCAGAGCTGTACTTAGTTTTTTGGTTGACCATCTGTTATAATAGTAGTATTAGTGTACAATTTATTTATTTCGTTGTGTTTATCGTTGTTAATACTCTCTAATACAATGATTTCTTTTTTCATCTTCATGAGAACAATACTTACTAACCAAGATATAATTAGAATACCGAAGGCTAATATTATATAAGCCTATAGAAAAGTAAAAGAATTCCACTAGTAAACAACAAGTCACGAGTGCCTTTAATTATATGTCTAATTGGTAAAAAAAAAACTGAGTATATAGACGTTTATATTGTTATTTAATGTCGGAAAAGACTTCCCAGAACACCAATAAACATTCTGCCTCGTCGGTATCAGAAGATGTCAAATTAAGCAAACAGAAAGATTTGAACGGGATAAGCATCCAAAGGTACAAAGATGAAACGAATCGTCAGCAATTCGAGTACAATCAGAACAAAAATGTTTTGTTGCGTTCAATTTACGTGTTACAGGATCTCCTAAGCGAGTTGAATGAATACGTGAGCATGCAGAATTGCATATTCCACAGCGTTTGGAGGTCCTCTGAGCAAGCAAAATCAACATTTTCTAATGAAATATTCGAGGTCGAGCTTCCGAAGATGAGTATTTTAACCCTTGACTTGGCTTTGCATGCTAAATCTGAGGCTGATGAAATAATCATCGGCAGGCTTGGTTCAGAAGCGCATGAATCCTTATTGAAGGTGTATTTTGAAAGAGTTAATAAGCACCTTTTTTCCCTGTTTTCAAGAGTGGAAGATACATCGTCGAAAGTTTTAATAACGGGAGACCTAAATGCTGGTAAATCTACTCTTTGTAATGCACTTGTTCATCGCGATATTCTCCCAGAAGACCAGCAGCCATGCACAGAAGTATTTTGCGAAGTTTTAGATGCAGAATTCAATGATAAGAAGGATTGCGTTCACGCTGTGCCACATGGTAAAACGTATTCATTTACGGACCCTTCTACTTATGTGGTGTTTCCTATTGAAGATTTGAAAAGACTTGTTTATGAGACTGAACACTGGTCGATGCTGAAGGTTTACATAGATGATGGACGGCCAGCTTATGAAAGTTTGCTACATAATGGGATCACGGACATTGCCCTTATTGATGCTCCAGGTTTGAATACTGATTCGATGAAAACTACATCGGTATTTGCTTGCCAAGAAGAAATCGATGTTGTTGTGTTTGTCGTAAATGCAGAGAATCACTTTACTCTTTCAGCAACAGAGTTTTTAAAAAATGCTTCTACTGAAAAGTCACATATATTCATTATTATCAACAAATTTGACAATATTAGAGACAAAGAAAGATGCAAACGTCTTATTTTGGATCAAATTCAAAGTCTCTCACCGGAAACATATGCTGATGCTAAAGATTTAGTTCATTTTGTAAGCTGCCGAATCGCTGCGGATGCAAGCCAAAAGGATAATCCAATTTACTCATCATTCTTTCAAATGGAGAATGCCTTACGAACCTTTATTTTAGAAAATCGTTCCAAGTCAAAATTGGCTCCCGTTCGAAAGTACCTAGTCGGATTGCTTTCGGATTTAACGGGTATTTGCGATTACAATATAAAATGTATGGATAGAGATTTGGGTTTCCTACATAGCAAAATTTCAGATCTATCACCGAAGTTTCGAACATCAAAGCATCAAGAATCGCAAGTTTATCAGAAAGCCGAAGCTCTAGTGGAGTCTACTGTGCAGTCCGTAATGCAGCATGCACATATTCAGCTTGAAACGGCAATTGAAAACCTCAATTCATTCTCTAGTGTGAAATATTCTGGATTCTTGTTTGCCTATAATTATGGCGTTTCTGTCAGAAACGCTATGCAACAATACCTTGAGGAAATGCTTTTGGAATCGGAAGAGTTTGCTAGAGCGAGAACCAGTGAAACCGTTCAACATATTCAAGAAAATATGAAGGAGAACTTTTCAGATGCCTTGATCCCTGTTTTCCGCTCTCACCAAATGTTTGTACGTCGACATCAATTACAGTTACGAAAGCATTTCCGCTTTGAGTTAGGGATCTTGGACTTTATAGATCTGGACCTTACAGAACGACTTGGAACTTGGAGTGCATCTGTGAGTACGATACTTTTAGTATTGGGCAAAACGACTCCATCGTTCACTGTTCTTACAAGTTTGGTAGAAAAGTTTGGTCTTTCATTCTTCGATTTTTTTAAAACCAGAACCTTGCAAAATTTGTTAATTCCAGTCCTAGGGTTGACTGGAATTGCCGTTCTGGGTTATGTGATTTACGATATTCCTCGGGCGTTACCTTTGAAAATATCGGAGAAAATCAAAAGTTCTTTAAGAGAAACAGAATTCTCACATAATACGAGTTTATGGATAGGTACCGAAAGTCGAAAAGTTTTGAATGTTCCATTGAATGATCTTCGCAAAATGTTTCAACATCGATGGGATGAGCAAAAGGAAACTATTGCAAGCACTGAAAATGAGCTAAAAATATGCCAAAAGGCCCATAAATTTTTCTCAGAGATGAACAAACGCTTACAGCAAGTCCAAAGAAAGACCTTAACTGTCCAATTGGAAGGTTGTGAGATGAAATACTAATGATAAGAAAACATATGCGAATATTATAACTGCACTATCTACCAAAGCTTTAATTATGCTAATACTTCTAATACGAACTAATCAACCCCAAATCTCAAACACGAGCTCCATAAGATAGCTTATTACTTATCGAGAAGTAATTGATTTTTTTGTTTTATATTATATTCAAAGTTCTTTATGTTGAGTAATATACAGGCAAATCATTCCTTCCTTGACAAAACTGTTTTTGCTTTGAACGTATGAAAGAGGCAAATTCAGTTGAAAAGCACCGAAACCGAATGAAACGAATGACATAAAGTTTGCTATATAAGTTCTAAAGTAAAGTAGGTTCCTGTTTAGTAAGTTTCATAAAGCTACCTATTTTTAGACTACTTACCATAGACCACGTATAAACCTGGATACTGCAAACTACACTACATACCGATTTTTGAGGAAATACACCAATTTTCCGGACTATTGATAAAATATTGGAATAGAAAATAGTACTTGATTTCAATTCTGTACTGGAAGTGTCATATAACAACGTTTTTATATACGAAGAAAACAACTGTAGATTATAAAAACATACCAGAAGGTCTTTTTCGTCCGTGGCTTATTTTATTCAATTACTTTTTATCACATTGTTAATTAAACGGTTTACAGTGAAAGTTCTCACATACGTTTTTTCTTTTGAAGTTTGTCATTAAATTCTGGCAGGTGCTTGTTGGCTTCGCTTTTCAATTTACAGAGTTGTTTAACGTTTGTACTTTTATTTTTAGTTTATATATTTATGTACTTGCCTCTATTAAGGAGTCATCATCACGACAACGTTTTCCCATATGTTACAAACACTGCTGGGGTCGATCCTATCATTCGACTAAATGACCGCCCCGTTCAGCCGGACCCAAGTAAACACATTTATCAAGAGAAGAAGCTTTCTCGATGCACAAACTTGACTTACCCTGCTCGAGAATGGATTTTGCTTTCTTCATGTTCTAGCCTGCGGGTTGCATTAGCGCTTGCAGAACCCGTTTTGTATTTGCCTGGAACCACTTCAAATGAAATTGAAAGTGAAAAATCAGCAGTTTTACGCGGATCTCTCTGTTTGCACGTATTGAAGCCAGTTAAGCTTCGTAAGGTGCAGCTTACTCTTCGAGGGAAAGCTAGGACTGAATGGCCTGAAGGAATTCCTCCTAAGTTATTTGAGACGTATGAGGAACATAGTCTCCTATCGCACTCTTGGTTATTTTTTCACACTGACAACCCAGGAAATAATACGAGTCATGGGGCCGTGTGGTCTAAGATTATCCCTCCTTATACAGATGAGCATCATTATCCCCGGACACCTGAGTGTTTCTATCCAGGCGAATACGTATACCATTTTGAGTTACCCATTTCTTGCTCCTTTCCTGAATCTATACACATGGATATGGGGAGTGTAAATTATTACTTAGAGTCCCTTGTCGATCGCTGTAGTACTTTTTCTGGAAAAAAGACTGGCCGGGTGAGTTTAGAACTTATTCGGAGTCCCTGTAGTTCTAGTATCGCTGCTGTTGAACCTATTCTCGTTTCGAAAAATTGGGAAGATCGCCTCAAATATGAAATTCAATTGGGAGAGAAATGTCTCATTATGGGACAGTTGATACCTATCCAATTTAAATTTACTCCTCTTAGTGCCATACGGATTCATAAAATTCGTCTGTTTTTGACGGAACGAAGATACTATTATTGCCGACAACAGACTATTCGTCGTAAAGAGAAAACTAGACAGTTGCTGTTGTACGAACGATCGGCTCCTCGTGATGAGTGCTTGCTTTCTCAATGGAAGTCGTTGGGAGGGAATACCTATGAGATGCTGGATCAATTGCGGATTCCGGGTTGTCATGATATGTCTGCTAATATTGTGCATTTTGATACCACTTACCGAAATATTCGAGTCACACATACTTTACGGACCGTGCTCCGTTTTTCTTGCAATGATTCTCCGGAATTAATGGGTGATGCAAAATTTTTGGAAATTTGTATTGATTCCCCCGTTCAATTGCTATCTTGTCGTTGCTCACAAGACTCTACGATACTACCTGCCTATTGTGCTCGTGTGCCATCTAGTGAGGTACTATGTGCATATGAAGGCACGCCAATTTATAATCCTGCCTCTTTCTTAGTTGACAACCGCCCGGAATTTGTCGATACATCTTCTCCATCTCTGGATGAATGGCCGTCTGTTTCTTTTCAGGTGCCCCCGCCCAAGTATGATGATATATTTGAGGATGGTTTAACGGAATAATGACTCGAGCACATATGTGTTCGATGCTGTATATAAAAAAGGTTTAATGGAGGAATTTCGTTGTACTTTTTTTCTAACTTTCTTTGACGGACCATATCCTTGTATGTATATAATCTGCTTTTATTAGTTTACTCTTAAGTATATTTCCTTAAGTTGAGATATCATATATCAATTATTTATAATTTATAATTTAATACCTACTTTTTTGATTAATCATAATAAATATTAATTTATGTTATCTAGAAAAAAAGGCTATGGAAAAGGAGTAAAACAGAGAGAGGATGATGCATTGCAATTTATTTTAGTTGGAATAGAGTCCACGGAATATTTATGCACACTGAAAGGGACTTATAAACTATTTCACCAAGAAAAAAACAATTCATTCATGTTACTACTCGGAAAGATTCAGAACCTGTTTTCGATAGTAAACAACAAATTCGTCTATAAGAGTTGGCCAAGCACCTTCAAAATCATAATCTGAGCAATCCGGAGACACTTTTGTATAAAGTGAGAAATCCCATAATTCGTTCCAAGTGTCTTTGGGCAAAGCTCGATCCATGATGGGTGAATTTTGCAAGAAATCGACCCAATGATCAAGCAAAGGGAAAAAGTCTTTCAAGAGGACTTGCAAAAGCTCAATAGCAATTCCAGTACTGAGGTTCTTTTTTCCTTTATCGCAGGCAAGAGGATATGAGTAAATGTAGACGGCTTTTTGGAGCGCACGATCCGATTTCCAGAGAGATTTCTTTTGGTCGACAGCATTTTTTAGGTCGGACAGGTTGGAAATAGAGAGGGTAGAACATCCTTGAACAAATTTTTCCCGTATAAATTCACCCATATTGGGAGACTGAAGCAAATAAGAAATCAACAACGTCTCTGGGTCTTCAAACGAAACACCTAAAGTCTCAAACAACTTGGCAGATCCATCAAAATCAATTAAATCGGCATCCTCGGAAGATTTAAACTGGTCAAATAGCCCGTGGATGCTTTTCTCGGCCTCAGCTTTGGATTCCTTTTCAGCCCACTGAAGGCAAGCAAGATCTATGTCAAAGTCATACTGTTTTAACCAACTGAGTGCAGTTTTTGATGAGGTATTTGTTAATTTGCAGAATTCTCTAGTAAGACCGCGGGTATCTGGCTTCATTTCGAGATTAAACCGAAAACGCAAACCCTGTAAGGTAGAATGAAGAGAGACAAAAATTCGATTTTACACTACAAAACAAAAAAGAGAGCAATCTTTTTGTTAACAAAGCTGCGAATGAAATTGTCAGGTTACCAAAGTTGATCTTTGTGAACGTAAGTGATGAAACCGACCTTTGTCCGATGTCCACTCCAGGCAGAAGAATATACGAAACGAAGGCACAGCTCTTTGATGAGAATAAGAAATAAATTAAGAATAAAAACGCAATCTGAACCGTTTTCGTATCCTTTCTTGGTAAAAGTTAGTTTTGTTTACCTTTTTCATCGCTAATTATCCTTGCACCTCTCTAAATACTCTTAGACCCTACCCTAATGAAAGCTCAACAGTCACGGTTTGAAAACAGCACAACACAACTTTTTGCTAGTACGCAGAAGTCGGGTTTCTCTTAAACACCACAAAAAACAACAACAAAATGGGACGTGTTATTAGAGCACAAAGAAAGAGCGGAGGTATCTTCCAAGCTCACACTCGTCTTCGTAAGGGTGCTGCTCAGCTTCGTACTTTGGACTTTGCTGAGCGTCACGGCTACATTCGTGGTGTTGTCCAAAAAATCATTCACGACCCTGGTCGTGGTGCTCCTTTGGCTAGAGTTGCTTTCCGCAACCCTTACCACTACCGTACTGATGTCGAGACCTTCGTTGCTACTGAAGGTATGTACACTGGTCAATTCATCTACTGTGGTAAGAACGCTGCTTTAACCGTTGGTAACGTTTTGCCCGTCGGTGAGATGCCTGAAGGTACCATTGCCTCCAACGTCGAAGAAAAGTCTGGTGACCGTGGTGCTTTGGGTCGTTCCTCTGGTAACTATGTCATCATTGTTGGCCACGACGTTGACACTGGCAAGACCCGTGTCAAGTTGCCCTCTGGTTCTAAGAAGGTTGTCCCTTCTGCCGCTCGTGGTGTCGTCGGTATCATTGCCGGTGGTGGTCGTGTCGACAAGCCCTTGCTTAAGGCCGGTCGTGCTTATCACAAGTACAAGGTCAAGCGCAACTGCTGGCCCAAGACTCGTGGTGTTGCTATGAACC